TTGGAGATTTTTTTAGTTATTTATATAGATATATATATATACTTAATAATACATGACCGTTAAAAAGGTATATACAAAACCTATTTTATATCTTTTATTATATGATATTAATAAAGGGCAAAGCATTGAATCATCGACCTTCGAAAGAGCATTAGTCATATTATCTTTAGCTGATGGTCTGAAATACAAGTTCGTTCATAGCATTTTCTGTTGAAGTATAAGCAGACAACTGTTATAGATTAAATTCATGGAGCGCAATTAACTGTTGTAATGTTTTTGTTAGTCGTGGGTTGCATTACCAAACTTCAGCACTAAGTTCTTTGTAGGTTAAAGAGAATCTTTTCATTACGAATTTGATAAAAGAAGCGGTTTGCTTTGGGGTTTCTAGCTATGTACAGAAGAGTATAATTTACTCTTAAATATGGTTGCAAATGTAGGGGGTTTCAGTATGAGAATCAAATGAAGGCACCCAATGGAGGAGGCTGATCTCATGAAGATTCGGGCTGCAATTCTTCAATAATAATTTTAACAAAGTTCATGAGTTTGCAACAGGAAGAGTATAAAATATAAAAAATGTCTGCCCAATTCAAATGAAGTTTGTTCGTACACTAATTAAGGAATTGTTATTTAATTGAAGTTCACTACAGTGCGGCTAGCACCTCTCATAATTTTGTATTTATAAAATTTTACCACTAAACGCATTTTGATAGAAGTCGAAATTGCGCTGACACGCTCTAGTAGAAAATCAATTGTTAGAAAGTTTGTGGAACTAGGTCCTTGAGCAAAAGTGCTCGGTTAATCGGGCTGAAAAATTGGATGACTGCTTCAGAATAATAGTTGTACGGTTCTCTTTTGAATCTTCCACGTTTATTATTTGTTGCATCGATATCCATTCCGTAGTCCTCTACATTCATTTCGAATACATTATTCGCCAGTTCAGTGGTCAGAGGAGAGATTAATTCTCTTGTATTCTGTAAAATTGAAACATCTCACATTTCAATCTCATCATCATTAATATTTCCATGATTGATATAATTTGACGTATTTGCGAATCATATAGAGCAAATGATTTGTCAGTACTTTGGTCGCTTCAGAAGCTATTACTTAGGAAGGAAAATGATAAAGATCCTTGTATGTCTAAGAAGTGAGTATCTGCTACAGTGCTAGCCGTTTTCTAGTAGCTGTTTCATGATAATAGTGGGTATAGTTTAGCTTGAAGCTCATACTAAGCTCCGATGCATATTATGAAACTTAACTTGGATTTGAGTGGTCTTTGGGAATACTGAACTTGTGTATATAATATGACTAGAGTTTAAGGATTTCTTGTGTAGTCTTACTTTTACGATTTTAATACCCTAATGTATGGATTTATCGATGTAAAGCTTCTTGGTTTTACATGTTTTTGTTTTAATTCTTTTGTTTAGTATTTACTATATGAGTATTGTATTTTATATTTATACAAATCGATTGTTAAATCCATGCCTTCACTTGAAATACTCGTCTTCAGTATTGAAATCGAAGTCCCGCTCCTCATCAATTCCTAAGTATTTGGCATACAACTTGATATCTTGTTGGTTGTTATGGTTTGTTTGACCAGGAATGACCGGCTCTTTGAAAAAGGATAGCGTAGTTTGCATCGATATTGAAGTATAATATTTATAGATTTCGGTATCTTCTGTTCTTGTCTTTATTGTAGTTAAATCATTCTTAAAAGAATCCAACAGTCTGGAGGAGACTAACCTAGGTAAATCAGATTGGCAAGAATAGAGTTTTTCATCGTCTTCTCTTACTCTCGGTTGAACAATGTGAGCTTGAAACAAATTGTCATAATCTATTCCTTGAATTCGAGAATTGTATGCATTGACTTCGCCCAAAAAGGATGTAGTATCTGATAATTCGGAGCGAATTGGTTTTCCTGCATAACCCAATTTATCCATCTTGTTTGAAAGAAAGGTCTGAATCATATTGGAGTTGGAACCTGTTATTTGCAGCTCAAATGAGTTTTCGTTAGACTTATTCCATATTGAATTATATTTACTATCAACGGGTTCATTCAAATAATTGTTCTGCGTCTGATTTTTTGCTCGTTCCGCAATATTACCCACGTCATTGGATTTAGTTTCATGGTGTGTGTTTGTCTTGACTAGAGATAGCAAGTCATCTGATTTAATTTTCCGTGACTCAAAAGGGCTATAATCAAAAATTTTGTATGGGTCACTATTGATATTCGATGGAAAGTACCTAGCATTGGAGTTCATATTAAATTGAAACACTTCATTAAGTGATTGAAATTTCCGTGGTACATAGCATTCATTAAACCAGTTGTCATTATAATCTGGAAGTGGCTCAGACCTCTTCAACTTATCGTGACGCTGAATTTGTTTGTTGTCCAGCAACTCAAATCTTGATTTGCTTAAAAAGTTTTCGTTAAACCATAAGATGTAGCTTGGTTTTATTCTTATGTTTTCAATCGACATTGCATTGTGTAGATAAAAGTCATTTTGCAACTCCCAAAGTTTAGGCTTATTTGGATCATAGATATAATTTCCTAAGAATAAGTTAATTGCTTCTTGTCGAATCAGATCCATGAACGAGTTTGAGTAAATCCGTTTTACACTGTTAAGTATATCCCGGGTATGTGAAGACCACTGATTTATTCTGCGATAAGAGTCCATTGTATTGACTAAGTTCGAACCTCCATATTGAACCGCAATGGTATCACCATGGTCATGAAACATTTCAGTCAATATGTTAATTAGGTCTGAGTCATACTCCAACGTTCTATTTTCCGCAATCAAGCCTAAACTTTTTAATTGATGTGTGAGGGCTTCTTTGCAAATAATAAACTGAGCCGCGTTAGTTCTATCAAGACAGTCAATGCAATTAGTTCGTAGTATTCCCTTTTGTAACTTTGTTGACGGTAAATCGTTACCATTGTGAAAGAACCCAATTTCTTCGATTGACCTAGAAGCTATATTCTGTAAAGGTGTAATGACATCCAAATTTTTCTTTGAATGCTTTGACATATCAAAGCTATGATAGCGTAATTTATGTTCTTGTGGCAAGAATTGATTCAAATACTTGATGCAGCTAGAAAAGTGCGAATTTAGCTTCAGCTCTCTAGGCTGCTTTTCTTTGGTCTTGATCAAATTGAGTATTATAATAGGCAGCCCATATCTTTGAAAAAGATTATTGAAATGAAGCGCTGAGCTTTGATAAAATGGATCGGATAAATTAATCTCGATAGGGGGTTTTGGTAGTCTATTCAAATCCTGAGTCCAATACAAGGGTATAGATCCTCTATGTTGAACAAAACTTGTAAATCGAGGATTGTTGTAAAATCCATACTTAGTATCGTGAAATGAAGAAACTAGCATATCTGACACTATTTGCTCCGTTTCTATTTCATTTGCAACGTTCCCTTTATCATTGACTCCTCTTTTCAAAAATCGAGCTCCTGCAAAATGATGTGACCTCCTTGCAATGATTGTAATATAAAACTTCTTTCCATAAATAGAAATATTCGCCTGATCGATAAAACCATGTATGATCGGCTGAAACCATTCATATGTTGCGATATCGGGATTATCAAGTATCGGTTTTAAAAGCAAGTTATTCCATACAAAACGCTCGTTATGTTCAAACCCGCAAAATATGTTACTCCTATCTAGTTTGAATTCAGTATCTGCACTTTGTTTTTGTTTTGTCGCTAGTTTTTTGTTTCGTATGAAATTCGTTTGCAATGTGTTAGTGATATCATATGCATAGCTGAAATAGAAAGTCTTGCCCAAGTCCAAGTATTTAAAAATTGACAATAATCTTTCTTCATCACTATACTTTTCTGGTCTCCTATAATTTATATCAAGAGGGATCAATTTCGTTTCATCAGTATGGTAAATATAGTGTCCACCAAGAATCGCAACTTGACTGCACTTGGTGATAATACTGAGATAATAACCCTTGGTGAACTTGATTAATCCCAACAAACCATACCCCTGAGCAATCTTATGAATACCCCCATCAATGGTTTCATCGAGGCCATTCAACAACTCAACCATATCCTTTCGGGTGTAAAAATAGTTCTTATCTTCAATTATCTGCAAATTTTTACCCAGTGGGTCTTTTCCAATTTCCAATATTCTGAACAAGCTTTCTTTTGCATTACTCCCTACGATATACATTGTCGTTACTGAGTTGTAGATAGTAAATCGTTGTAAGATTATCCTCTTGTTATTAAATTCTGGCCCTTGGTTGAAATCATCTTCTGTCGCTCCACTTTCGTTTCCATCAGTTCCCACATTGCTCTCATCAATATTTCCATCAATTTCTGATTCACCAGTGAAGAATGAACTCTCAATAGGATTGTAAACATCTTGTTCTTGTATTCCGTAATTACGCTCAATGTCGGGGGAATTTACATCATTTGACATCTCACTGTTTTCCCTGCCCAATCTCAGATCTGAGATCTCTTTGTTACCACCATTAAGCAATCGATTTGTCGTATTCATCTCCCTCTTCCTCTTCAAGGTGCATATTATGATATCCAGATCACTAATTGAGAATTTCCTCTATATGCAGGTTACTACATAAATCAAAAGAAGGTTATGATGCCACAACCAATCCCAACCAAAATTCATTGTAAGATTGGCAAACTTAGAGCGAAATCCTTTGGGATCAACCCTAGGTAGTCTAAAGAGATTATCTTCTAAGCTTCGGTTTTATTTATTAGTCAATACTACGTAGGCTTCAGAGAATCGTCAATATAGTGTCTACCTTTATAATTCCCCCAATATTGGTATTTTCCATTTGAGCCCCTGTCGATCATATGAACAGCTCTTTTGGGGCTGAACTCTACCAAACCGTGCATCATTCAGCAACTCTTCCTTATCTTTTTCTGGATACTCATCCCAGTCTTGCTTGAAATCCCCAAACCGATTAATGAACTGACGTTGTTGGTAAACTGTATTGAATTTGAATAGCCTTTTTTTGAACCTATTGTTGAAAAAGAAATTTGAGTACTCCATCAATTTTGCTTCTCCAGTAATTTTTTCCACCAGATTAGCCTCTTTTCCTGGAATTAGGTAGTCATTGTCGTATTTACTAAGATCAGAGGAAGGATCACCATGGCCATATCCAAGAATTCCGTCGTCATGCTCGCCATTCTGGACAATATTTAATGCTTTGTATAGATTCTTTAATGGAAGATTGATAAAATATTTGTAGTCTGTTTCCTTCACGGTATAATAGAGTAGGTCATAATCATTGAAAAGTAAAGATGGTTGTGCAATGTCAATAAAGAAGATTCTAAACCCCGATTTTAGATATAAACCGATTTCCTCCATTACAAATTCGACCTTAAATAACTTTTCATGATCTATGGTTCCGCGATGAAGGGAGAATACTTCAGGTAGTGAAAACTCTCCAATCTTTAAAAGACAAAATTGCTGTTTAGGAAGTATCTCGTTGATATTTGTTGGGGGATAGAATGTTTGGATTACATCTTTTCCAGTTGCATCTTTATACTTGATTTCAAATTTAGTGGTACCCAAACCACTTCCATGTTTGATAATTAGGCCAATGTTTAAATTATATCTTCCTGGACTCAACCAAAGGGTTTTAGAATATGACAAAAGATAGGTACGGTTGATTTCGACAAAATGATTATATACATAGTTTGTAGGCTCATCAATCGTATAATCAGAGTACTCAGCATACAACCTCTTATTCTTGAGGATTGAATAGATGTACTTCCAAGAATCTTTGACGTAAAGACAGTTCAATCTATTTATTCCTTCTGAATCATCAATCTCTGACGTATCTGTTAATCCAAGTCTGCTTGCAATTGAGTGTCTGGCTTTAAACCTAAATACATCTAAACTCTTAATGTATCTTTTGAGCCATGGCAAGACTTTAATCAAGATGAAATTTATGTCTTCACCAAACGTCGCAATAATCTTATCATGGAATAGATCGTTGTATAAAATGTAAAAGTGGGAATTGACATATTTCAATGATGAAGATGGGTCAATGGTGAGTATTTTTACTTGTATCTCTAAAGGTAAAGTGGTCAACATGGGTTCAATTATCAATCAATTTGTCGTTCATCGTCCCTAAGCGATCAGATACTGTAGAGTATTCCCACTTGAACATTGCTACATTAGACAAATCACGTGTTGGAGATAAGATAGTGAGTAACTTAGAAAAGGATGACGTAATATCCCCTATATTATTGAAATGAACTAGGGTTGGTTTAGTTGAAGAGCCAGAATCGGATATTCACACTTACTAAGGTTTTTATCTAACTTTTCCAGCTTGCAAAGACGCATGAAGTGTGTAAAACTTTACTAGACAACGGTAATACTGCCAGATCCGAAGTTGATAGCATAGTTGGAACCTGCCACAATCGATAATGGTTAGTCAAATGAACATCGGAAGATCTAAAATTGACCGTATCCTCCTATCGATTTTTTGTATTACAATATTACTAGGACCAAAGCTTATTCATGATAACTTGTGGAGAGTCAAGACATCCGATGTCAGATTAGGAGTAAATGCTCTGAGAAACAAAATAGCATGTCCGGTTAATTCCGTACTTCGTCCTGAGTCCTATTCTGAAGATAACTCAACTGTTGTGAAAATTATTTCCGATGGTGAGTTCAGAAACCAGTCAGCTAAGAAGTTATCTGAGGCTGTGCAAATTAAAACTGATGTTTATGATAAGAGCCCCCCAATGAGCACTAATAATACATACTGGGAAGATAAGTTCAGGCCTTTCCATGAATATTTAAAATCAACATTTCCCATAGTGTGGGATGATTTTGAGATAGAATTTATTAACAAATGGGGTTTGGTACTTACTTGGAAGGGTTCGCAAGAGGAACTTAAACCGATATTGTTGACTGCTCATCAAGATGTAGTTCCTATCCAAGATGCTTCTTTGGATGAATGGACATATCCTCCCTACAGTGGATATTATGACGGTGAGTACTTATGGGGACGAGGATCTGCAGACTGTAAGAATCTTTTAATTGGACTTCTAGAATCAGCCGAGGAATTATTAAATAATGGTTTTGTCCCCAAAAGAACAATCGTATATGGATTTGGATTTGATGAAGAGATTGGTGGTAGCAGAGGTGCTTTTTTCATAAATGATTTTCTATTGAAGAGATACGGAGAGAACTCATTTTATGCTATTATTGACGAGGGTGGGCAAGGTCTCACAGAAGAAAATGGTGTACTCCTTGCGTTGCCAGGAACACGTGAAAAGGGCTCTCTTGACCTACTGATTGAACTATATGGCCCAGGTGGTCACTCGTCAATGCCCCCGGATAAGACCTTGATTGGAATCGTAGCTGAGTTGATTGAAAGTTTAGAAAACGATCCATTTGAAGGTATTTTCTCTCCGGAAAACCCAACCTTTCATGAGTACCAATGCATAGCGATACATTCCCCAACCTTGAATAAGAACATAAAAGAAGCGATTTTGAGAGCTTCAAAAGATAAATTTGCGAATAAGGAGGCTATTCGATTTTTGTCGAACAAATCGTCGCTAAGCAGATATCTTATCACCACCTCTCAAGCAATCGACATAATTACAGGTGGAGAGAAGGCTAACGCACTTCCTGAGCATGTGGAATTTGTGATAAACAATAGAATTGCTGTGGAGAGCTCAGTAAATTACACCATAAACTCCACCTTGCAACATATCCAAAGCGTTGCTAGTCGATTCAACCTAGGAATTGAACTTGACGGAATTGTAATCAAGAACAAGACTAAAAATGGTTATTTCCATGTTCATAAGAAGTCATACTTAGAACCAGCTCCAATTACGCCCTCCAATGACAAAACTTGGAGCCTATTGGCTGGATCTATTAGACATGTCTATGAGGATATAGCTTTTGCTGACCCTAGTTCTGCTTATCACGACAGGATCGTTATTGTTGCTCCAGGGATAGCAACAGGCAACACAGATACACAACACTATTGGAAGCTAACTGATCATATCTTTAGGTACAGACCGGGAGCTGGCCAAACAGTTGAAACTCATGCTCATGGAGTCAATGAGAAAATCTCAATGGATTCTCATTTGCAACTTGTTGCCTTCTACTATGAGTATTTACAACTCATCAACGAGAATGCGCATGACTGAGAGCTTTCTACTAATATGGTGATGCTCCCTCAATCTGATTCCTGGATCACCAGCTTACTATGTCACGTGACCTGTGATTGGTGATCACGTGATCAATATTATAGAAAGTTCGAGAATGAGGTGGAAGAAAGCAAACTGACTTTCATTATAGAATCCAATTCTTTAATCATATCTTTGTATTGACCTATAATTCAAAATGACTACTACCGCTCCCACCGTATTATGGGCACAACGTTCTAACGCTGAAGATGCAGCAAAGAATGTCATCTATTTGACTATTCAAGTTGTTGATCCGGTTAACACCAAATTAGATTTAACTTCGAGCAGCTTGAAGTTAACTGCTGATTCCTCAGACAAGTCCAAACATTATGATTTGAGCATTGACTTCTACGAAGAAATTGATGAAGAGAACTCAAGAAAGAATACCGATAGTGGATCCCATATCTATTTGGTTTTGAGAAAAAAGACTCCCAAGGAAGAATTCTGGCCAAGATTGACCAAAGAAAAGTTGAAGTACCATTATATTAAGACTGATTTTGACAAATGGGTCGACGAGGACGAACAAGATGAAGAACCTGAGAAAGAAGATGATATGGCGAACATGATGAATCTTGGCGGAGGCGCTGGTGGACCTGGTGGACCTGGTGGCCCAGGAGGCCTTGACTTCGCCTCAATGATGGGTGGTGCTGGAGGTGCCGGTGGCCCAGGGGGAATTGACTTTGCATCAATGATGGGTGGCGCTGGTGGCGCTGGTGGCCCAGGAGGACTTGATTTAGCATCCTTGATGGGTGGTGCTGGAGGTGCTGGAGACGGCAACTTTGATATCAGTCAATTGGCTAGTCAATTGGGACAAGCTGGAAGTGGAAATGTCGATGATGCTGATGAGGGAGAAGATGGTGTTGAAGAAGTGGCCAAGTGAGGTGCTCGCTTTCCTAAATATACGTAGTCGCGATCTAAATGGAGCATCAGCTATATTTTACCAATTTTAAACCACCTGGATATGTAATCACCTAATTTTATATCTCCATAATTGTTGTTTAGCGCATGCATCGGTTTCGAAAGATTTACATTCCAGATATCTATCGAAAACGTTCTTTCGATTCCAGAAGGCAATCTAAAACTCTCATTCCAAACCACACTGGTATCGCTATACGACTGTAAATTATACAATAAGCAAAGAATTTCATTAACAACTTTCCCCTTGGCCTCTTTGCATTGCACCCACTCAATGTTAGATTGGTTGTCTTTATCTGTATCACCAAAGAGGTCAGACAAGATATTGTGAAATGCCAACAAAGTTGGACTTTCAGCATTATAGATTTCGAATGTCACTTCATACAACTGCTTGACAACCCTGTAGATGTCACTAGGTTCATCTAAGAGAAAAACGTCAATCTTCTCTAAGTTACAAATTTGTCTTATCGACAAGGGTTCTTCATTGCCAAAGATTTCAAGCTGATCTGCGGAATCCTTAGTCAAAATCACTTTAACCCTCTCGTAACCATCTCTTTCAAGAAGCTGGCTAACCCTTTGTATATATTCTGAGAGTTGCAAAGTATTTTTGCTAATCAAAAGCATCAAAGTCTTGGGCTATATTAAAGGAATTAAATAGGTACACTTGAGTCTCAAAGATCGAAGAAGATTAGACCATGATCTAATACAATTTTAGTAGTTTTCTGTCTCCTTTAAATTTGACTTCATGGACGCATATCTATTTCAATATTGTTCAGTGCGCAAAAGTCGTGTAAATATCGAGAATACTGTGAAAAATTTATCCTAGTAGATCGCTATTCGATAATATCGTCCAGCTACCATTAACGGGGGAAGAACTAGTGAAAATGGTGCATTTGACGAAAGTACCTCATCATACTTTGAGGAAGATCTCTACTTGTGGTGCCCTTGGTGTTGGGAGGTTTTATTCCACACAAGTTCAGGAAAACACCGAAGAACAGCAATTAAGCCAAAAGGAATTAAGAGACAAGGCTATTGCCGATGCACTTGCAAAAGATGAAGAGATCACAGCTAAGAATAAATATTTAAGGGAGTTGAAAAGTCAAACCAAAAACATGATTTCTGTTTTAAACAAAACCCCATCTACTTTGATAGAAAGCAGATTACAGAAGCTTCAAGAAGACTTGAACAAATTACCTCAAGATAAGGTGAAGCAATTGGACGAAGAATTAGAAGAGTTCATGAACACGCAAATGCAATTACCCAAAAAAGAGGTTTTCAATAGACCATGGGCTAAGCAGGCTTCTCAAACCAGTGATTTGGGATTATCTCAAAAGCTTAACTCAACCACCTCAATGTCATACACAAATAAATTTCCAAACTTAGTGCCTACTGCAGACCACAAGCCTTTCTCTGATCAAGAGTTATACTTGAGACATTTGGCACACTCAAGGTTGTCCGGTAACTTGGGGTCCAAACTTGCCGATATTTATAGGCCAAGAGATGATGTCAAAAATCCAAAAGATTTAAAGGACACCTCTATCTCGACATTATTGGCTGCCGGGTGTCACTTGGGACATTCGAAAGCGATGTGGAGACCAAGTACCCAACCCTTTCTTTATGGAGAGTACGATGGAATACATTTGATTGACTTAAACGAGACCATAGCTGCTCTTAAAAGAGCATGCAAGGTTATTAAAGGAGTCTCTAAGAAGGGTGGTGTTATTTTGTACGTTGGTACTTCCAAACATTGGGCTCAACAAAGAGCTTTAGAAGAAGCAGCCACTAGATCCAAGGGTTACTACATTGACAAGAGATGGATTCCTGGTGTTATTACTAACTACATCGAAGTTACCAGACAGATAAAGGGAGAGAGTAAAATTGAAGTTGACATGCACAATAACCCAACGGACCGCAAGATAGACAATGAACTTCTAATTAAGCCTGATCTTATTGTTATCTTGAACCCTGTTGAGAACAGAACATGTATCAACGAATGTATATTGCTGAGAGTGCCTACAATTGGTTTGTGTGACACAGACATGGAGCCATCCTTATTGACCTATCCTATTCCATGCAATGATGATTCTGTCAGAGCTACTTCTTTGATACTTGGTGTTTTATCAAAAGCGGCTGAAGCTGGCTTGGAGGAAAGATTTGCTAACTTAGAAGAATTGAAGTCATCACAACGCAACTTCAGCACTTCTGCAATTGCATCAGCAAGATCGTCTTCAGCAGCATCTAGTTAAAGTTTGTAAATAGCTATGTTCGGTCCAAGTTTCTGGAATTGAATTGACACAACTGTACTTAGTAACAATCTCAAATCGTAGGATGCTGCTTCCGTAAGCAAATTTTAGTAATTCATTTGATATTCTAGATTATGAGGTCGTTTTGAATCACTGAGATTCAACCTTCTTGTTTCAATCTCTTTCAAAAAATTTGCTTTGTGGATGATTTGTTGATTTAAAAAGTCTCGTATTCCATTGTCCTTCATAATTTCCTCTCTATTTTGTTGTATTTTCCGTTCAAGGGTGTTGGTATCAAATTCCAAGTTACTCATGTCAAGTACCTTTGGGCAATCAAAGTCCTTGTCTACTTCTAATGGAAATCTAACCGAGCTCGCTCCATGCCGATCCACATACTGCTTTACTAATGATACTTCTTCTGAAATGTGCAAGCAGTCATGAAAGATGTAGATTTCACTCTTCTTCACAGTAATCATGATGTTTCGAGTTAAAGCGTGCACCCTCGAAGATTAAAAAATAGAGTTCTCGAAGATTACGTAACCCGGAATAAATTATGGAATTAATTATTAATTTATGTTCAAAACAAGAATACATGGGGTTTATTCAACGTTTGAAATCTGATAGTAGGATGCTTCCCAATAGAGTTATAGACAGATATTTTCTTACAGGTCCCTTCAAAAAAATAACAGCACTAGCACCAAGTTGATTACTGGTTTTTCTTATTATCTTCTTCGCTGCTTACTGTTTCTTCTTCACTCTCGTCATCAGATCTCTCATCAACAGTGTCACCACCGACAATATATCTCTTCAAAATACGGAAGATCAAGAACAACCAGTATGCATTGACAAGTTGAAGAGCACCAATTAATCCGAAAACAATTGGTTGCGAAATGTAACACTTGTATTGCTGTGTTTCCCAGTTGAGTTCCCATTCACCGACGGTTTTGAATTCAGTTAAAACAGACCATAAAATTTTCAAGTTGATGTAATGTCTGAGATATATCCATACCAAAACGAAAACACAGAAGAATGGCCCAGTAAAAATGGAGTCAACATAGTTCATAGTCTTGGAAGTTGCCAAAAAGAAGTCAGAAACATCCATAGTTATGAAGACAGCCAAACCCATCCATGTAAAATGGAAACGGTAAGAACACCAGATTAAGGCAATAGTAATGATATGATGTAAAACTAACTCGGGGAAGTCTTTACGTGGTTTTTCTAATTGTAAAACCAACACAACAGATTGTTGGACCCAAAATGCGGCTTGCCCCAAGTAGTATACTTTGAAAAATAAATCATGCGTAAAATGTGGATAGTTGGTGTAAAATGGGGTAGTTTCAAAAAACCATAAAGGTAACTTAGACATGATATACAAACCGAGGGGTCCAGAGACTCCATAATAAAACATTGAATATGTTTGTTCCATGAATCTCTTCACCTTAGCTTCCTTGCGGATACCGAGACGAATTGCAAGAGGTTTCAATACACAACACATCATGAACTCACGGACAAATGTGAAGAATAAAGCGTAGAATCCAACAAAATAAAAATCGTTGATACCCTTGCCATATTGGTCGGAACCTTCAATTTGATACGATGGAATAATCATTGCTTCAAAAAACAGATGGATAGCTGATCCATTGTCTGAAATTAAGTAAGTGGCAACCGAGAAGATTAAAACAAGAAAAGGCTTGATCCACGTTTGACGGTAAGACAATTCGTTAAAAGCGATAATTAACTTGCGCCAAATGTCACGATCAGTAGATGACTTCTCATTCAATGCATAAACTCTGGCATCCGATTGTCTTCTCTGGAACTTTGAAGTATGCATGGTAGTCAAAGATGGAGAAGTATCACCAACGTTTATTCTTCCCACAGAATTTCCACGACGACGACCATCCTGGGGTACATCAAGATTTTCCCCTCCAGACATACTGAATTTCCTGTTCAAAAGTCTAAATGAATCAGCTTAGTTCAATGGTGGAACAGACACTTCTAAAGCAGAAAAATTACGATGCTCCAAGAGTTACAACGTTTTTGAAGATTTTCGCTGAAGAATGGTTGATTACTTTTGGGGAAACTAGAAACTTCAACAGCCAGAAAAGGACGCGAATCGGCAATATATCCTGTATACAATTAGTCGACAAAGGATGACTATCGTTCGAATCGCGCTCAAACTCGGTCAGGAACCGACTATACAATCAGAGTCTGTGCTTTTGAAATAGCCTATTGAGCGTGTGAAGCTAAAGATTCTAGGATTCGCTCGTTGAACAAATGAGCAACACTAAGATCAAAGTGAACTAGTTGGAAGGTATAAAGTAGTGAGAAATATCTATACCGTTATATGATATTAAAGTATCACAACCATGTTCTCCTATTCTCACCAGTGTATCTATCACGTGATCTAATACATTTAACTTAGTCATGCGAGTCAGGGGCGCTGATAGAAGATACTTGGTGAAATCATTAGAGTACAATCATCTTAGTTACTTTAACAGTTTGAGCTAGTTGGTTAGATAATCAACTATTGTTTTATTAATCAAGCAACTAATATAGATTGGGTTTGTTTAGATTCATAGATCATCTAATGTTTAAGAAGGGTGAGCTTGAGAAACTTATAAACAGGGCGACTGATGCTACCCTAACGAGTGATAATTGGGAATATATTCTTGAAGTGTGTGATTACATTTCTGCAAATCCTGAAGATGCAACGAAAGCAGCATTGATCACAATTAGCAGCCGAATGTTGTCCAAGGATGCGAATGTAATGCTTAGGACACTTTCCTTGTTGATGGCAATTGCTGAAAACTGTGGATCAAGAATGAAACAGGAGATTGCAACGAAGTCATTCTTACAAGAGTCTTTGGTGAAAAGATTAGGTGATCGTAAAATTCATCAAAGCATTAAAATCAGAATTGTTGAAGTTGTTGGACAATTAAATAATGAATTCAAGCTGGATCCATCATTGAGACCAATGACTGATGCCTACAACACAATAAAGGCGGAGTATCCTCAGTATCATAAGAGAGCAGGACCTGGTCCTGACAAGCCTGCCAAGAAAGAGATCTCGAATTCAGATAAACGCAAGGAGGAAGAGGAGCTCCAGAGAGTGTTACAGGTCTCTCTACAGGAGTATGAAAGGGAGCAGAATTTACGCAAAGGGTACATGAATAAGCCTTTACCTCAAGAAAAGCTGGACCAAGAGAAAGAACACCAACCAAACAAATCACCCGAGCCGGAAGCTCAAACCATTGCAACTGTTTCAAAGGTCCGTGCATTGTATGATCTTATATCGTATGAGCCTGAGGAATTGTCATTTCGTAAAGGTGATGTAATCACTGTCATCGAATCTGTCTATCGCGATTGGTGGAGAGGCACATTACCTTCTGGCAAAATAGGTATATTTCCATTGAATTATGTTACTCCTATCATCAACAAAACTGCAGACGAGCTAGCCAGGGAAGCTGAATCAGAACAGACTTTACTAACCATAGATCTGAGAAAAGTGGATAAGTTATTGGCCTTACTTTCTTCGAAGAACACATCAGTAAGTGAAGATGAAATAACTCAGCTTTATAATGAAGTTATACCGTTAAGAACTCAACTTGGAAAGAGCATTGATAAGCATAGTACCCGGAAGGAGGAATTATTCGTTTTGAACAATCAACTTAATAATGAAGTTAAGGCGTTCAATGAATTGATGGACGCGCTGATTTCCCAAAGAGCCAGCAACAATACTTCTTCGACGCCATATCCCACCGGTATAACATCTTCACATGGTCATTACCCAATTCCGCAATACCAACCTAACCAGGGAATCCTCGGCCCCACGGATGCTCAACTACAACAACAACCTACCAGTAGCGGATTCGGAAATGGATTTGTAAATGCTGATAACTCGGTTAGGAATCAATTTCTGAACATCAATAGGTTTCCAGACGTAAATAGCATGAAGCACTAGGTAGAAAGGTCATTCTTAGGCATCCAATAATTCTCAATTACTTTTAATACTTTGTAGAAGTGTGCCTCAAAAGTCGTGCGAAAGTCCATTGTTATCTGTCATCAAAACTGGTTTCAATCTAACCAAGGAGATTATTGAACATGAGTGATTTGTTGTATTCACACAGAGAGCAGCAGAATAACCAAAGATTTGATGACTTGGCTCAAACCCTTCATCAATTTAGAAATACCGTGAATAATGACATTAATGGTTACGTGCAACAAGAAAACCTGGTCCTTGATTCTTTGAACGATAATTTTGGGCAATTGATGCATCAAGTCAAGCAAACCAGCGGGGAATTAAGAAATGTGATGACAAGGAACGCAAGCCTTTCAAGAATTGTCTTTGTCATATTAATTGCATTCATCGTCATCTGGACTATTTACAAACTTAGGTAACCAATCAATATAATCAAGGAAACTGGGGAAAGCTTTGCATACAATGAACTATCATAGAATATATTCGGAAAACAAGCATATTTATTTACATATTCAATTCAATCATTTTTTATGAACAACGTCGGAACCTAACTTGTAGTTCCCGATGGCGCTACCCCAGTTGATTTTTGATCTTGTAACCGGAAGAAGTCTTCTCAAGTTCTTGAAAGACTTTTGGTTCAAACCATTGAAGTTCTCAACGATCTTGATCGTTATCTTGTTCTCTGTAGAGTTGATGAAATTGATAATGCTGTTGGCACCTGAGCCATCCAACTTGCCTTCAACATTTTCATCAAAGTTTAGACGAACGTTACCATCCTCATAGTAGTGAATATCAAGTTTAACCCCTCCACTGATATTTTTGTCCTCGATAACATAGTGTGACTTCCACTGACCTGTGTAATAATTTTCCTGGTTAATCCTCTGTCCAATGATAACAACGTGGACTTTGTTTCCTTCGGGTATGATTGTGAACGCATAAGTGGAAGGATAGTGATCGGCACCGTAACTCTCTAACTGTCCAACTAACTCGTCAAAATACGTGGGGTACTGGACATCAGATTCATAATCTTCAAAGTCAATAGCCTTGTTGGCAGTCAAATCAATATTGAACTTCTTCTTGTTAATGTAGTCCACATACTTAGTAGACTGTTCGTCTTTGTTATGCTTGATTGCTATGTATTTGGAAGATATGATTGCTCCATTCTCCTTTATGTAGTCCTCGATAGAACTGTTAACTGTATTACTTCCAGCTTGATCAAAAACAATTGAAGACAAATCCTTGCTGACACCAATCAATTCTCCTGGTGGTGCTGTGTTAACTAAAGAGCTAATTACTTTTTCTAACAGTAAAGAACCTGACATGTCGTTGTTATGGCGAACACCTATATCCTTAAATCTCTATGGTAAACTCCTCAAATGTCGTGCGCGACACCCCCTACACTCCAAAAACGTAATAGATTAAAGTAGACACTAAAAAATCAAAACTAGAGACACAGTACTGTATGCTATGAGAGTAGAAATGCGCCTGCTCCTTCATGAATGGCTTGAATCAACTTTTCTCTCATTATATCTTCAGATGAATAATTTGGTAACTTAAGATAATTCGCACATGTCATGACACTAGGTAAGTAGTCATCATCCTGTAGGTTATCTTCAGCTCTCTTTCTTACCACAGTAAGTTCAGGACGCAATGCCTTAAAGCCTCCAATTGGCAACTTTGGTGCTCCTGTAAGAAATTGTAAAAATAGCCTTTTCTCCTCATTTGTGAAACTAACTAAAATATTGATCAAGGATTTGATAGCATCAGAGTCCTTTGTAAATCCATGATTAGCATTTATAGCTGATGTCAATGTATCAAGAGACCAATCTTCCTCTGCATTCCCAAATAATTCAACCAATTCTTGAGGCGAAAAAAGTACAAGAGAAGATATAGGAAACACTTTCGAAAACCCATCCATAAATGCCTTAGTTTGTTGGACAATGCCAGTATATAATGTTGCTTCTAAGACTTTATTGATGTAATTTTCGAGATTTGCTGCATCAACTTGAATTTCACTACCATTAGGTATGAGTTCATATTCTGGATATCCAGGTAATTCGAAGAAAATGGATAGATCTTTCAAAGTTGCTCCTTCAATCTCAATCGAATCTCTCTCAACCGCCCCAAATCTCGGGTATTGTTTCAAGTATTTTAGTAAATGCTCAATAGAACTAGCCAATTTTGGATCAACAAGTTTAAGACTAGGGATGTTTGCCAACTTTTTAAGATCCCTGTTTCCTGGTTTCTCATTATAATTGAAGTACTGAACCAACTTTAAAAACACAGTGCTGAAATTAAAGTCAATAATCCGAGAATCCAACAATGCTCTGGCTATAAATTTACCCAACGAAGAAAAAAAGTACAACACTTTTCTCCCATTTTCGCTGTTGACTTGATGCTTGTCGAGAGGTGCTGGGAAGAGCCCATGTTCATTCCAAATAAAAGCCTCCTCATCCATATTTCCCAAATCATCGTCTCTCCACAATTTCAACTTTTTTCGAACAAACTCCTTGGATACAGTAGAATAAAACTCCAAAGTGGGTCCTAAACCAGAACCAACTTCATCAAAGTATTCAATTTCTAATATGCCAGGAGTAGAACCATATAGTCCTAGAACTTTCACTGCGCTTTGCAAAATCATCTTTCTGGACAACCTGACTTTATGCCTCGTAGGTCTTCCTAGTTGTGGTCTTTGGCCATTACTGGAGTTCCCATTGTCTTCGCTTGCTTGATTTGTTCTGATTTGCCAATGATGTATGAGGCGGGAGTATCCAAATGATGTGGATTGTAAAAAAAACATCCTTGTCTCTAATGGAAATATGAATGGAAAGTTCTTGGTAGTATGTATACACCAACCTGGCAAAGTACCACTTGCAACCACTAAAGGTTCTTCAAGCTGTCTGTTTAGTTTGACAGTCATCTTCCAATTCATAAAATTGCTATCCTCAACCAGATTACCATTGGATATGTTATGCTTGACAAAATTATTCATCTCGAATAGCACCTTCAAAAGTTTAAGAATACTAAGAGTGGTATGATCGTAGATATCAAACTCACTTTCAACGGAATTCAAATTATTATTGGTAAATTTACTTTCAGAAGACAGTATTGAGCTTACTTTTCGAAATGTAATACTATGCACTGCTGACCAGATTTTGTTTGGATCAATGATTTCATCGATCTTGCTCTGCATTGATCTGTATACTGCACCATAAATTGTAGTTTCGTTTGGTATAACTTCCCCATTTATTGAAAACTCGATTCCACCTCCGGGTTTTCCACTCTCCTCTGTGTCATCGTCCGTTGACCTATCACCTTCAGCCAATCCTTGAATATCTTCGAAAAATCTCAATCTTTGCTTGAGAAAAGTATCCACAGATTTAAATGTTGCTATCGCGTGCACGGATAATACCATATCCTGTAAGTTCTTGGGTACGCTGCTCAGAATCTCTTCCTCGGCAACAAGTTTTAATTTCACTTGCTTCGCCATAATGGCAGTTTGTACGTGACCAAATTTTGAGGAATCCTCTAATCCTGTACTACTCCCACTACCTCCTGAGGAAATTATCTCGAAGGACTCTGATCTTGTAAGTGCCTCTTGCAATTTTTTTATTAGGAACAGAACCGAAGATGTCTTTTCATTCTCAATAAAAAAGACTGAAATGAATGCCTTGTAACAATCACCAAATTCGAATCCATAATTGTGATTTTCTGAAGCAAAAATAAAAGAAAGGGTTTCTATAATTTTGGACGACAGAAGCTCAAAACTTGAAAGTTGAATACCATTCGTTGTCTCACTTATTACTTTGCGGAGTTTATTCCATAACATGAACCATTGATCGAAACTCATCGTTCTTAACCTATCGTTGTCCAATAATGTCTCGTTAATTTCAGTCAAGATCCTCATATGCTCTGACGTCTCAGTTGATTGACCCAATGCTTTGGAAGAATCATAAAGATATTTTACCTCTTTAGCTGATTTCGCGACATCCCATAGTATCTTGTTCTCAGTGAGTTGAAACGCATATTCATCAGTTAACTCAGGATCGACATATTTATTAGTATAGCTGGCTGAAATTTTTGGAAGGCTTTCACGTCTATGATTCTGACCCTCTAGTGAAATTTCACCGTCAAGGCAATTTAACATCACCAACGTATCATTGATGAACCCCTCTTTTTCGAAGTCTTGAATGAAGAGAGTCGGGTCTGCCTGAATCAAATTCCTTGCAACCAGCAACGCGCTTAAAAGTAAAATAAATCCTTGCAGTTTGGTCGTGAGTTGTGGTTTCACTAAACTCCTATAAGTTGATGCCCGCCCTTCCGTCTCGCTTGCAGCTTCACCCTCCAGACTGTGCTCATGATTTGGAACAAACTGACTCTCGCTTCTTGGCTTGTTAGTTAAATCGTGTCCGAAACGATTTAAGCCAGAAACTTCTTTTCCTAATTCATTTTGATCACCTTCCTCAGTATTCAACATATCAATATCGTCGTCTATTTCCTTTTCAAAATTCTCATTTCGCAATGGAAAATCTTTGGTAATTACTGCCTTGCTCTGATTTGCAACGGAAGCCAATAATCCAGTAATGAGACTAACACCTTCTATCTTCGAAAACTTGGTATCTGGATTAAAGGAAACGATCCTAAAAATTGAGATGAATACCTTTTTACGCATATCAAAGTCCATAGTGGCCAGGAAACTATTGATTAATAATGGCCAAATATCAGTAACAAAACTCCAATATGAATCAGCAATTTCTTCACAGAGTTCCTGTCTATTCTGATTAACGATTTCTTTTTCCCTGAATTCCTCGTAATCATTCTTCAAGAACGGCGTATCTTCGGGGGAGTATGATATCGGTAACAAATAAGCTATTAGGATAAGAAATTGGGAAAGCAACTCCTTCGGTGTAGCCATCAAAGCAACAATTGAGATATTTTCATGTACATTGTGCGATGCAATTGTTTGCAAAGGTTTTTGGTTGGAAATAGACTTATTTTTGGAGTATTTGTTCAAGGACTTAACAATTGTGTCTCCGATTCGACATTCTGATAAAAGTGTCTTCGATACATTAACACTAACACTGGTCAAAACGACTAAGGATTTTAACAAACTTAAAAGAGAGCTATAATTGAGTGCAATCTTGGACAGTTCGCTATCCGTGGACAAGTTTTGTGACTTATTGCAACTTCTGTAGATTACTTGAGTAAGTTCTTTAAGAAGGGATATTTTGTTCTCAAATAATTGATCCAAGAGCTCAGGCTTCAATTTAAAACTAATGATTATCCTCGAAATGGCCAACCAAGCATTCTCGACAACTAAATGGTCAGAATGGCTTGTGACAACACTTTCAATATTTTCAAAAACATCTTGAACCATCTTGAAATTTAAAGTTAAAACATTGGTACAGGAATTAGAGACTATCGTCAAGCATTTTCTCTGTGCATGAATAGTCAAAAAATCCAAGTATTGCAAACAAGCCTTGAGCCCATTACTGGCAATAATCTGGTTATGTGATATTGGATCCCTAGAAATCATCTCCAAAGTTTGAAGCGCCTGTTCAGTCAAATCGATGTATGTGATTTCTAAGAGCTTATTGCATAGGGCCACTATAGCATTATTGTTAAGGGCTTCATGAATGAAGTCTTGATTGACTTCCAAGAAGTTATACAAACATCGACAAGCCACAAGGTGTAGTTCTAACTCTTCAGCTAATTGAGGATCTTCCATTATATCAATTAAACTTTTGGCAAGTTTGTTTGCAGGGATAAACCTTTCAGCAGTAATCCCGTTCATCATGAGTAGCCTTTCAGACAATTCATTAAGAGTTTCAAGAATAATATAAGTGTCTTCTCTTTGATTTAAGTTATTGATTAAGCCTTGCATCTCATTATTAGTGTTATCAACTCCAGATCCAAATCCTGCCCCAAAGATCACGCCGCTGCCCATTAATCGCTGAACAACGTCGTCAAAACCTTGTACCCTAAAGTTTCCTTGGCCGGAAGCAGCGCCACCTCTTCCAGCTGAAGAAAGCACGCCAATTGCTCTTAAAAATTCTGCACGAGGATCTCCATCAACTGAGTCATCATCATCCTCCTGGTCATCGCCATCGTCAATATCGTTAGCATTATTGTATTCATCTTCTTCATCATTCCCTTCAGTGTTATCGTCATCATCCTCTATCGAGACAGTTGCTCGCCTTCTTCTCGCACTCCTAGGGTTAACGAATCTTCTCAAAAAGTCTAGATTTCCCTCTTCATTGAAATCCTCATCGTCGTCTTCTTCTTCGTCGACATCCACTCCATTATTGGGTTCATGAATCTCAGACACGAACCCCCGCTCCTCTTCTTCGTCTTCATCTTCATATTCGTCATCATCGTATGGATTGAACGCAGACGATCTCCTTCTATGTGCAAGTCCCGATAATCGAAGAAGCGTATCCTCCTCTTCATCGTATTGGTCATCCACATTGTCCTGAGCTTCCTCTCGCTCTTTACCCTGGTTATTGTTATGCTTGTCCTCTAGGGTACGATCGTAGTTAACATTTGACTCCCTTTCATCAATATCGTACATATCCGTATCTGAAATGGGAGGCTCCAGGTTCCCCATCTTCCTTATGATTTACTCAATTCCTAGTTATCCGTGAATGTACTACGCAAAGTTGTTGATAGCAGATTTGAATATGTCCTGGTAGATCAAAAGCTTGAAATGTAGCTGTACTGTGACTTCCTATGAAATGCGTACTAGGATGTTAGGCTAATCGACTGAAGGTGGTAAGTAGTGATCGCACTAGTATCCCTGCAGTCAATGAATGTCGCATTTCTGTGGCAAAAATGTCGCTCTATGTCGCTTTAGAGGGCCACCGTATCACTTGAAAGAATGGTAGGAATACGAGCTGAGGAATTAGATAAGGTTTATAGAGTTCTTTGTTTTAATGAAATATTGATCTCAACAACGGGAAGTCTCTAGGTAAATTTAATCTCCGAACAGAAACGGGAACCGAATTCATTAATTCCACCTACCGTCGCCACATCCCCACCACTGTCCCCAAACTATTTTGTGGTCGTGGAGAGTGGAGGGTACGAGGCGTGAAATATGTGTTTCTGGTATTTCAGCCCCATAAAAGCTTGACGATGCAGCAGGAGCAATTCAGGAAATAGATCCGGAATGGTTTCAGTACATAAACGGGTCACTACAACATGTACGTCTCCGCCTCCACCGGTGGCCCAATCTATAATTCTCATAACCATGGTGCTTCCACAACGCGTGGGGGTGAGATTTGCTCGGCAAAACAAGCCGAATGTGACCCTTAATACAAACTTACACCTATAAAGTTGATCTTCGAAGAACACTTGAAAGCAAACCCTTTAGAGGGTAGTTCCACTACTAGTTAGCCGCCTGGAGGGCATTCGGAAGGTGAAGCACAAGGAGGCTCGCTATGTATTTCCTATCAATTGTTATTTACTTTGACGTGCGCCCCCACATTTGACACAAGTCGCATTAGTTGTTCCGGCATGAACTTTTTTTGCAACGAAACCCCACACGGCGCCGGCATTAATTAGAGACCATCCTGAAATAACCACCACCAGTTGCGAATTAGGGTCTATTTCCCCGGGCCTCTATCCAACCCCAATACCCCACTACCCCACTACCCCACTATCCTCACTTTGCACCCACATCTCGATACCTGCCATACTACAAGCACTTTTTTAAATACAAAAGGAAATGCTTGCCCTTCGTTTACACTTCAAACTCCAAAATGTCCAAGCAAGAAATCACATACCTCGAAGATAAGGAGGTCCCCACCCACTTAGAAGATAAGGAGTTGGATCTCGAGAATGGTGAACTTAAGGGTTCAGACGAAGTTCTGGATTCCGGTGAAGCAGTCAAGTATTATGATTTGCCTGAATCTTTACAGGGATTGACTCAAGAGGAACTCAAAAGCCTTGATGTCCGTACCACCAGAAAAGTGGACTTGAGATTAATGCCCATGCTTATTTACATTTACATCCTCAACTACTTGGATCGTAACAACATCGCTTCTGCGAGATTAGGTGGTTTGGAAAAGGACTTAAATTTGGTTGGCAGCCAATACCAAACTGCTATTTCTATTTTATTCGTTGGTTATATTTTGTTTCAAATTCCCTCCAATATGTTGCTCAACAAGCTTGGAAAACCTTCCTTGTATATCTCCATCTTGATGACGGTTTGGGGTCTTATTTCCCTCTGCACTGGTTTTGTGAAGAGTTATGGTGGTTTGGTTGCTATCAGAGCATTGTTGGGTATAGTTGAGTCTGGTTTCTTCTCTGCTGCTTTAGCAACTTTGTCGAACTGGTACGACAGAAAGTCACTTTCCTTGCGTAACTCCATCTTATACTCTGGTAGTTTGATGAGTAGTGCTTGGAGTGGCTTAATTGCTGCTGGTATCTTGAACAACATGGACGGATTAGGAGGAGTCAGATCATGGAGATATTTATTTTACATTGAAGGAGGTATTACAGTGTTGTCTGTTCCTTTTGCTTACTGGATCTTACCAGATAATCCATCCAATACCAGCTTCTTGAGCCAACAGGAAAAGGATATCATCCAATGGAAATTGCAGCAAGATGTTGGAACTAAGGATTCGGATGAGGAAGCACAAGAATCCACTGTCTCTGGTCTTCTCCTCGCTCTTAAAGACACCAAGGTGTGGTTAGTTACTGGTATAATGACCTTCCTTGTTGCTGCTTGTGGTGTAACAAACTTTTTCCCCTCAGTCGTTCAAACTTTGAACTTCAACAGAACCACCACCCTCTGTTTGACAGCTCCACCCTACTGTTTAGCAGTTGTTGTCACTTTCCTTTGGGCAAGACATGCTGATAAAACCGGAGAACGTTTCTACCACGTTTGTTTGCCATTATGCATCTCACTCGTGTCATTCATCATTTCAGCATCTACATTAAACACAGCTGCGCGGTATTTCGCAATGTGTATAATGATCCCATCATTATACTCTTCTTTCACAGTCATTTTAGCATGGACTTCAAATTGTTGTCCAAGACCACCTGCAAAGAGAGCAGTTGCAATCGCGATGATGAATTGTGTCTCCAACTCCACTTCGATCTGGAATGCATACTTGTACCCTTCAAGCTCTGCGCCCCGTTACTTGACTGCTTTTGTTTGCAACTGTGTCTTTATCTTACTTGCTATTGTTATGGCAGTACTCTTAAGATTAAGAATTATGGCTTTGAACAGAAGAATCGTTGCTGGTACCATGAATTGGACCAGGGAGCTTGGAAAGGGTAACGACGGTTCCAAGATCTCCCCTGATTTTAGATTCCTCTACTAAGTTAATAAATGTGCTACGTATTTAAATATTTTATTGTGTCTTCGACATCTCAGGTCGTTCCTATACAGTATTCTGGTTCCTCGTTCAACTGCGCACTTCTGCAGGGTCCTTCACACGTGACTTACAGAGATGCATGAGCTAGTCACAGAGAAGTGTGAATCCCCGGCCAGATTTAGTTACATATACAATGACCATATTGTGCTTTCATATATCCATACTTTCAAGTAGCATTTTATTGATGTACTTCAGTTGAATGAACGAACTTTAGAATTTTGCCAACTTTTTGCAATAAAGTAGCCAAATTTTCGAAGAGGTGTTCAATCTACTGAGGCAAATACAACGGAATCCAAGTCTAAGATGGACATATTTGGAACTCATCGCGAGAATCAGCTGTTGCTGATTCTAGAATTTGCCGTGTTAACTTTAGCTAAGTATCCTCTGAATTAAAGTCTACAGGTATCATTATGAAATGCCATAAGTCGCATATGGCCCGCGATTGCTAAAAAATACGGCAAAAAATCCTGAATTGCTGTTGCGCAAACCATTTCGAATGTGTTTTCGAAGCCATATTAAAAGTCTCGTAGTTTACAATAGTCATAGCTTACATTCTAGCCTTAAGACAATACTCAGTCAAGTTATAGATCGATAATATATATCTGCCTATTTTTACTTAGAGTACTGTGTTATATTGCTCGAAAAAATCGTTTTATGTAGTGCTTAGCCTCAATTCCAAATGTGGTATCGCAATGAAGGTTTTAGCCCGAAAATTTGCTAACAATCAAATTTGAATTGAGTGATAACAAAGTACCCGGAGGTTGCGCCAGTATCGAACCTTGCACATTTGCAAGAGAAGGATGTTTTCTTGAGGGAAAACCCAGTATTTTTCGGGAAAATACATCCTTACGGTCTTTTGTTCCTTAGCATTAAACTATGTGGTTTTTTAAGATTTTGTAGGGGTTAAAGAAATAATGGAAGTCGCTGTTATTATTACACACAACCACTTGTAGTTACATTGTAATGTTCACGGTTTTGCTCTAATTCGGATCATGTATTTGTAATATTATAATAGATTTATATCCTATCCTTTGTCACGTGACAAAAAAACTTTGAGACCATCGACAACGGTCATATCAAAAATCCTATTCTCCTAAACGTGCATAGTAATCAATAGTAAGCAACTATCTTAAGAAATAATCAACCGCTACAAACCCACCACTATCCTTTTATTTTTTGGATCATCGGATATTTATAGGAAGGACTACTAAACAATGGTCGCTGTGGCCACTGAACAGCTTGAGTTCATTGATATCTTATCAAAAAGGGTTCTCTCATTACTTCCCAACCGTACTGGCCATTCAATAGCTGAAGTCGAGTTAAACAGTCAATTTATTATCACGAAGAATATCATAAATGAAAATCAGAAGAAGCACCCTCAAATTGTCTCCTACATTCTACTTAGCTTTGTTAAGAGTTTGGAAATCCTCAACAGAGAGTCCAACTATTCAAAACTTAGGGAAAGAGATGAGAAGTCATTATCATCAACTTTGATAATATGTAAATTATTGTCTGACATTTTGATGTCTCATTGGAATCGGGAGAAAGTGATGTGTAATCTCTATCTTTCCGACTTATCTTCGAACTATTCCAGTTATAGTTATTTCGACAGACCACATCAGATTGAAACTACTGTTTTTAAACAGATCATCGAAACACTAATTACTCTTCTCTCACCAGGTGTGGTGAGAAATGTGTTGGACATAGTCAAAGGACCTCGAAAGGCCGAAGAGTCAGATGTCCATTCAACAAAACATAGTGAGGTCATCTCAAACATTGTGGATGAAATAGACAACAACATCGCCCTTATTCTACGTTACATTGGCTCATCAAATCCAATGGACTATTATCAATTTCTCTGCAGCAAGATCTTCAAGTATATACAAGAAGAAGATTTTGTTCCTATTCCTACTCTTCAGAAGTATTCTCCCCTTATCAAGTTTGTTTTTTATGTGGAAGAAAATGCCAGAGATTATGCCAGGGATTATTTCGCCTTGTTAAAATTCATAAAATCAAACACTTGGAGAAAAGTTATATTGGTGTTTGCTACTACTAGCATTCAAGATCAAAGCTTTTCAAGACCTGTCGACTACAACACCAACTTAACTGATGATGATCCAGATTTCCAAGCCGAGTGTAAGAGGTTGTACGATGAAGCAACCGTAGTTTTCGATGATTTTGTTTCGAATACTTGTTCGTCTTTCGTGGCTACGTGGATGTTGATGTTGTGCTTGGAGGATTTCAATGAATTTCGGGAATTGAAGAAGATTGGAAAAAGTGAATCCAAACGACTGTGGGAATCGAATAAAAGAATTGCTTACCTTAACACAATTTTAGCAAATATTTCGAAAGGTGAAAACTTAGAAAGTTTCGATACGGTCATGAAAATACTTCATCTTGGCGCAAGATTAAAGGCTCTCGGGTTAAAAAAGCATCCAATTCTTTTGTTTAGTACTGAGACGGTCGATTTTGTATTTGAGAACCTCATGGTATTTGCAGCTAATCAAGCAAACTTCACCGATGATAATGATATACTAAAGTATGATAATGTTTGCATTAATTTTTACGCTGCAGCATTAGTGCTTGATCCTGAAAAGTACACCGAAATATTTACTCAAAAGCTTGCAGTTTGCAAGGATAACATCAAGGAGGTTAAATTATTAGTCAAGATTTTGAAAAGCTTATCAGAGCTTAAAATTGCTACAAATGTTTTCAACAAGTTGATGGAAAAACTATCATATACCCTAAAATCGATGATATTTGGTTCAGTGAAGATACTAAAACACTACGAAGTGATTCAATCAAGTCAACGAACTCCAGTCAATCCTCAATCATCTGCTGGCTCAGTGAATTTGGATTCTTGGAGTATTGATTCTTCACAGGCAGCTGGCTCATTTGATGTATCAAATATGCAAACCACAAGTCTTGATCATTATGTATATGATATGGGGTCCATTTATAAAGGGGACTCGAATGAAGCATTATCTAGGGCCATCTCCCATCATTCACATCCTTCACAACCCTTACAGGTTAACCAATTTGCATCTCCTTCTCATTTGTCTGACGCTTCGAATCACACATACACCCATCGTTCCCATTCTTCGTCATCATCATCAAATTCTCCTCATTACCGTTCAATGCACCAGCTTATTTGCCATACAGAAGAAATGCTCGCAGATTTATTCGAGATTTTTGTTCAAGCCTCTCAGCTATACTTCAATGATTATGAGCTAATGAAAGATTCTAACCTTGAATCAAAGCCTCGTGAGGAAGTACTCGCTTCAATTGTTCAATACTCACAAGAGGTGACTGTTCCCTTACATTGTGCTTTCAAATTCGAATCAATCTCGAAAACTTCTCATCTTTTCGATGCTGCATGTGCATTAGCCATTAATTTAGTTGAGAAGGATTCCGCAGTTGCTCAGAATTACACAACGTTGTCAACATTTTCCAATTATACCGTTTCTAATTTGATTGTGCAATCTATTTGTGAGGCATGTTTGCTGTTCTCATTAACGAACTCAAAGTTTCAGGCATGCTTTTGGATGATAAATAAGTTCTTGCAATGTCGCGATGAATTCAAGCACATCATAGATTCCAATTCGATCTTGAGTAATCCGGCCACAAGGAAGCACATTGATTTTGGAACAGGTGCTGGCCATGCTATCGAAAAGGTTTTATTGTTGTCTTTATGCACTCACGATATTGAGTTTTATAACAGTGCGAAAACTACTATGAGATGGTATTGTGACGAATGTCGTAAAAGGAGTAACTTCTACAAACCAGAGGAGGATATTGACGAAAATTTGGCGGATACATTTGAGAAAGTCTACAAAGATGAATCTGTTTTCACTGGGTTTGTCTCTTTACACAAGAGATTTAGAAGCATTTTGAGAGATGCAAATCCGACAAATTCCCTCTATCTGGTATGGTTATTGATTAATTATAGATGGCTGGAAATGTTGGAGAATAAATCCAAATTGAATGAAGAGAATTTAGTCTTTAGACATTTTACTGGGTTCTTAGTGTCTACCTCGGGATGCTTCTTACTGGAGCGCTTCGCAGGTAATGATCCAGACCAAAAGGCTAGGGCATATAGTGCAGTTAGTGAATTCTTCGATAAGTGCTTGCAAATGTTGACGTCTCCCGATTTGGTCATTAGAGTTGTCATTAAGGATGCCTTATCCAATGAGTCGCACGCATGTGTCTACAAGATGTTGGCGACGAAGTTCATTTCAATTGAGACAAACTATATTGATAAAAAGATTGTCAATGCTGAATCTATTTTATTCTTCGAGCAGATTCTTGTCATTTCAACATCAATGATAACCATCAGGAATGATGGTGATTTCGTCCTTGTGGCTGCATTACCTGAAATATGTCAACTTTTCATGAAATTTTTAAATATGGTGGAGAACAAAGCTGATGTTCTTCGGTTAAAGTTGAGATTCTGCAAATTAGCTGAAGGTATTGAGACTGATAAGAAGAGATCGGGAGTTTCAGGTGCTTTTAAATTGAGAAACTTCTATGCTAAAGCTTCTTGCGAATGGTTAGAACAAGCAATATTTTACGATGGTGAGGATTCAGATTGCTCTTGTGAAGATGTCGATAAGATTAAGTCTCCATCCAATGCAGTTGAAAAGCCACTTCACGACAAAAAGGATAAAAGATGTGGGCCAGGATGTTCAAAGCAAAAGGATTTGGAAATCACATATCTAAACATAGACTTGGCTGCACAAAGTTCAAAAACACTAGTTTTACAACTTGAGGAAATCGTTCTAGAAGTTCCGGAGGGTATTAAAGATAATGAAATCAAAAAGTATAAAGATCTTGCATTTGGTAATTATTTTTCCTTATTCTATAAGATTATTCAAAAGTATACCAATATGGACTTGAGCACAAGCAAATCAAAATACAAATTGAGCAGCATACTCGACAATGTTTTGAAATGCATTTCCAACATCCTTCAGTATGATGTGGATATTGGAATGCAGTTTGTGCTTCCTTTGAGTTATCACAGCAATAATAAGATTCGGTCGATATTTTTGAATGTGTTTTCGAACATGTTGGCATCTAGGGAATTGATGTCCAACAAAGAAGAATTTTCGGAGGAAGTTATTCAAGAATTTTCGAGCTTGACTGGAGTTTATGGTGCTATCGCAGAGGTTGCCTCTTCATCAGAATACAACTTGTTAGCGTCTTCTTTGTTCGGTATTTTTAGCTACACTCAAAAATTGGACAATTTATTCAAGATTTTGGTGAAAGATGAAATTAATAATGTTACTCGTTCCACCGATATTTTCAGAAGAAACTCAACATTGACGAGATTGTTATCAAATTTTGCGACTAATCATGGCGAAGAGTATTTATCAACTACTTTGAAGCCATTCATTGAAGAATTGGTAGAAAAGGACATTACAGTGGAGGTAGAAAGGGCAGCTGATATCCATGATACCGATATCTACATTGAGTACTTTACGAAGTTGGTGGATTTAATTGTTGGCTCGATAAAATCAATCCCGCCTTCATTCAAGTTCATTTGTGCGGAGATTTACAATTGTGTCAAGCTAAAGTTTGAAGAAGCTTCTTTGATTGCAGTAGGTTCATTCTTGTTTTTGAGGTTTTTATGCCCTGCTATTATTAGCCCTGAGACGTTCTTTAAAATTGAAGTTTCGAATCCTAAGGTCAAACGTACGCTAATGCAATTGGTGAAAATTATACAGAACATGGCAAATGGATCTTTGTCTTCATTAAAGTGGCCTGGCTTAACATCTAAAATGGAGGAATTGAACGACTTGAATAAGAAGATTTCGATCTTTTTGAGGGATGTATCTACTGACGATATTTTGGAGTATCCTTTTCAAATTACGAGGGAGAAACCCATTCCAGAGTTGAGATATTTGCACAAGTTTGTGTATCATTTTTACGCCGATATTAAAGTGCACTATGTTTTAAATGACCCAAATAGTGGAGCAGCTTTAGCCGCAAGAATTAAGGAGGTTAGATTGTTGGACAAGATTGCTAAAGAGTTGGGCCAACCAAAACCATCGGTTCAATTGCAAATTAGAACGCCATTAAAAAACTTTGATGCAAACAATAATGGGAGAGATCAGTTCAATGATTTTATGACAAAGATGTCAATGAGATACGTTGAAAAAGCGAATAACTTTTCATTGGTCCACAATTCAATTTTTGCAGACGGCACCCCTGTTATTGTGTTGAATCTAAAGTATTTGAAGTTAGTTGATGACGATTGTGACTACTTAGTTTACAAATTTTTCGAAACTGCTAGCCAGATTTGGGAGAACAAGTTCTATGTGGTATTCGATTTTACTGAGTTTCGTTATACCACAGAGATTGCAATGTCTTATTCAGAGAAGATTCGAGCATACTCACCAGAACCCATGTACCAAAATTGTATGAGAATTTACTACTACAATATTCCTCGTTCTCAATATGAGGCCGTGGTAGGTATCCTTTACAAGTTAAGATTTGATACAATGTTCATCAATGCCCAATCATATGCATACTCGCAAGTGGATAGTCCTGAAATCGTGAACAATCTTTGTTTGGAACCTTCGACGACTGCAATCAGCAAGGATACCAGGGTAATATTCAACAACGTGAAGATTTACAGTTCAATAACTGGGTCTGAGCATGCAGTCAGCTTGAGGATAGGTCGGAAATGGATTCAGATATGCTCTCAAAATTCAGTTGAATTCCAGGCTAGTTTCTTCATCACCAGATCATTTGTTCCTATTGACATTTACCGGTTATCTGATATTTCTAAATGCGAAATATCACATACCACTCAAAATAACGATGAATTCACAATATACTTGAATTCTGGTGACCATGTCATCTTAAGGTCGAACGAAAGACAAGAGATTTTAAGATTCTTGTACTTTACTACTTCAAGGTTATCAAAGAACACAAATTTTGAATTAGAAGGAGATGCTGAGGTTGGTAAGCACTATATGCATTGGTTTGCTAGATTATACAATATTGTTTTTCAAGGATTATTGAGTGATAACGAACAAGTGAAGTCATCATCTGCTCTTTTATTTGGATCTTTATCATCATATTTCAATATTGACTTTGGAATTAAAACAAGCCATTCAACTTTCATTCAATTTCCAGCAAATTCTCTTGATTTTGTGAATCAGGTTTCGTTATACTTATCACAAAACTTTCCAACAATGACTTATCGGTTTTTCAAAGCCTATTTCGATAGCTATGATAAGATCACACCTGAGAATAAGTTGGCATCAATAGTCTATATTGCTCCATGGATTCGGAACATCTATAGTCACGTATGCTTGGATCAATCAGGTGGTTTGGAGAAGGTAGCAGAAATAATTCGCCAATTGTGTCGTATTTCAGCTTTGAATAAAGAGAATATCTCGATTGTTAATGATTACATTTGGAAAAAGTTGTTTTTGGAAACTCGTTTGTTAAAAGTGTTGATCGATGAAGTAATTTCGTTCACAATTGACAGTAAGAATGACTCCCCAACCAATTGGTCCTTTATTATTGCGATCATTCATCCTAGTATTGAGGTGTGCGGAGAGATAATTTCAAGATTATTAAATTGCGTTACTTCAATTAACAAGGACGATTCCACCATTGCATTGCAATCAAAGTTGTTTGAAATTCGGATATTGATCAAGGTTTGTATATCACTTTTTTTCAATTCGTATGACCTATCAAAGTTATACTTGGGTGATATATTCTTCTTGATAAGTTTGTTTATTGATAACAACCTATTCGACGTACCAGGAGGAAGTAACTTAACTTCAAGCAATACCTCCCACCTTAAGGTCAATCCCCTGGGGAATGGAATAGCAAGTGGATGTGGAAACGAATTTGGAAAGGATTTACAGAAGTTGTGTGTCAACATGATTCAGTCATTTCTTCACAAGCCTAACCTCAAACCTCAAGAACAGGCTGTGATCGACCTGACGATTCAATACTTCAGTGATCAAAGAGCTAAGATGTTGTTTGGCTTGACCAGGGATATTGTGGCATCCACTTCAGATCCAGTTCAAATATATAACAAAATATTGAACTTCGAGGTCTTGTGCGATTATTTGAACGATTTTATGCTTTACATGGGTGATTTAGATAACGATAAATACAAATGGAGAATGAACTGGAGTTCAAATTCCATTGATATCGCTTTCTCACATAACTCAATTTTCCAAGGCAGGTCTATTTTGATTGTTGGAATTTTGTCCAAGAATGGTGTGAATGATTTGATTGCATACAAACTTATCAAACTTATTTCAAAAGGTGAGCACAAGAGTTTGGACTATATCACTAGTGTTACGTTTGCTATGGCCCGAATCTTACAGGGATTGTCACCAAACTCGCCGCTTTTGTCAATTATGGTATGGCCAATGTTGGGATTTTGTCTCATTAACGTATCTGTTTTGTACCAGCCTTCCGCATTGTGTTTGATCAATACTATAATCAAGTTATCTGAATTCATGCCAGACTTTACGGACAGAATTTTCGAGCAGCGTCAATTAATAGAGCCATTAATGAGCTACTTTGAGATGTCGCAAAACTTGAAGATTACAAAGGAAAACTTCGAAACATATGTATTATTTGTGTTAACTCAAGGTTTGAGAGTTTCTCAGTTCAAGCATGCTAGTTTGAGCTATTTGAAGAAGTATTTCAAAGCAATTGCACCTATGCATCAGAAACTAAAAGAAGACCTTGTCAAGGGGGCGGATGTTTCGGTTGCATCCAACCCTTCTCTTGGAGATTTGCTGAACGTGCCTACAGCACTTGAATGCTTACTGGACTCTTCTGGAAAAAACTTAGAAGCTTCTGACAAAGTCAGTGATCCTGATTCGCCTTTAGCAAACAAGGGACAGGGAAATCAACAGTCCGCAGGTGGCGAAAAGAAAACCACAATGTTGAATCAGATCGATCTCAGATCTCAGGATTACTTGAGTTATTTGTTATTCATTTATTTGAGTACGGACGATAATGAGTTTCTGGCGTATTTGAGTGAAGTTGGGCTTCATACAGACCTTATCGAAGACAAGAATGATACATTTCCTTCCATCATTACAGACTATCTTGAGCTGGGATCCATTTCTTCAAAACTTGCATTCCTTCAAGCAGCATTTTTCTATGTCTCGAAATCGATCGATAGTCTTTTTAGCTCCAGATTTTTGCGCCTTTATACTCACCTATTCAAAAGCGAGAGAGAAATCAGCAGATTGGTTTATCATATCATCAAGCCAGCTTTAAGTGACAGTCTAATCAATAACATCAACTTCGAAGTCATCGACATCATTGCATACCTTCAAGTTGCTATCACTACGAGTGATTATTCTGCCGAATATTATCAGGAAATGGCAGATAATATTTTGGAGGAATTCAATGTTCAATTACTTAGAGATATCAAAAAGATGAATTTCTTGGAGGCCATTCCCACAGATGATGGAATCGAAGTGTCGTTAGGAGAGAATATCAGAAAACTTCAAGTTATGGGATACAGATGCGCTTGTTTGTATGTTGAGGGCTCACGTTTAGAGGATTGAGAACACTTACAATTGAGTTCAAGTGAATCAAACGATGCTTTAACTTTTTTTGTATTGCGTTTGAACATGCTAGTTATATATGGTGTTATGCATTATTATAAATTATAGATATTAATAGTCGTAGCTTTACTTTTTCACATGATGCTTGAGGCGGGGTTGGTTTTCTATCTCTTTCCTCTTCAACCTGAATAATAACATGGTGGCTCTTGCGTCATCAACCGAGGAGTGAGATCCTTGTTGAATGGCAATATTTAAGAAGTGTGATGTCAATTTCTTCAAAGCCGGTTGTTTTCCTTGAGAAATTTCCTTAAATCCTGGAAACTGTGAGGTATCCCTGATCAGGAGTTTGGGATGGGATAGGAATAATGCCTCTAAGTCATTGTTAACCGCATGCCCCACCAATATTTTATTGAGGAGCAAGTTTGATACTTCTTCTTGAGCTTCCTGGAATGAGACGGCACCAATTAGATCTTTGGGGGTAACACCACTGATCCATGTTCTCCAATCCGTAACTTTCTCCTTTGGTTTCACAAATTTATCGTAGATTACCTGGCCATAAAAATTGACCACAGATACCCTGGCTAAGGCTGATTCCCTTCCATCTTCTCCAACGCCCACAAATTCACAGTCGATTGCTAAGTATTTACCTGGTTCGGTTTTACGACTATTCCCTGTAGTATGTGGCACTTTAGTTCTTTCACGTATTATGTTGGACTCAAGGATATCATTTTCGTTCATCCACAACGAAGCTTCTAATGGGCCCATAAGTACTGTCTCAGGCGTATTCGGCACTGTTGGGATAGACACAGTGTTCTTCAATGTCTTCGCATGCTTTGATGGTACTGATTTGACAGATATCTTTGACTCATTCTTACCTCTCTTAATGCTCAATTTTTTTTTCTTCTGTACTGAATACTTAGCTGTGTTGGTATGTGACTCGTCTAATGGCTTGTCTTTAGCCAATCGCTTGCTCAATTTCTTCCAATTCAGTGATAAGGTAGACATTTGGCTTCCAAATCTAATTTATCAAAATCTTTTGTACGTGAGATGAGTATGGTAGCGTGGCTCAGAAAACAGAACTGCTCTTTGAAGCTCAAAATGTTTGGGAATCTACAAGCAAAATTGATAAGGTATACGTTCTACATGGTGGTTTTTATTGGTGGGTACTTGAGAAGGAACGGATCCTGCCGTATCCTTGCGGGTGAAACATCACTTAAACAGTGTATAGATTATGAGAGCTCGTTAACGACCTTAAATCATTGAGTAGACCTGAATCACCCACTTCAACTTTTCTATTATCTCTTCACAGTCCGCTACACTGACAGCTTCCAAGTCATACTTCTTCTTGATTGGCTCTTTCGCATTGTCCAGGTTCTTCTGAATAACAATCTTGAAATGATTAGGGTTCTTCGAGTTTTTGTACTGTTTCATTTTCACTATTTGAGTAATGTGAAAGGAAGATGTTTTCATCATCAGCTCCTTATAGTAGTTGTTGTAGTTGTAGTAATGGATATGATGATGATGATGACTGTGATTGTTCGAATTACCCTCGCTTTGGTTGATGAAAGGGTTCTCGCCTGGATTCTTCTTGAAGACAATATCATCTGAAGGAGTTAAGTGTATATAATCACCATCTAACACCAATGACTTCTCAATTTTATTAAGAATGGTAGTCTTCTTTCTGTATACCTTCCACTTGTAGTATATGGTATTGAGATTGGTGGGTAAACCAGGGTTTCTTCCAGTCATAATATCGTCAAGATATTTATCAGAATTAGTTTGTGACCTCGTGGACACAATAGGGTTGGATGCCCCCAGTTTTAGTTTAGATGTTCCGAAATGTTGCACTGCATTAGCTGGCCCCACCAATGAGCGCTTTCTGAGACTTAACAGGTCAAACTTGTCTTCCAAATGCTTTTTATCTGGTGTTATATTCAGGAACGTTGATTCGGATGGAGTTATATTGTGCATTGTCATCAGATTTGAGCTTTCTTGGAAATCCGTGAATGGGATGTTAGAAGGAACTAGGATCACGGAAAACTGGGTTAAATCACCAATTCTACTTGTGAGAGGAAGAAGGTTTCCTTCCTTCATGTTGTTTCCTGGTTGAAGCATCAGCGATTTTGAAATTTCGATAGCCTCTTTAAATCTATACTTCATCGGTAACCCTTGAGTAGCGCAAAATTCTTTTAAAACTTGTCCTATAGTTGAAACTGAAGAAACATTGAACGTAAAATTTTCTGTCAGACTCAGATTCAACGGATAATTCAAGATTTTCAACTCAATCCTACTTCCATGATCGGAATTTGCCTCATTATAGTCAGTTTCTTCCATACTTCCATTGAGGTTCTCTTGTTTGCGTTGATAGGCAAGTAAATTCAGTTTGACTTCAACAGGTAGTGGGGTTTGTATGTCATTTTTATTGATTTCTTCCAAGTTTGTAACCTTACATAATGCAACACCTTTTGGATTGTTGTATGACGCCAAGTCTCTTGATCTGTCGAGGATACCGAATGAACCATAGTTTTCACCATCTTCATCAACTAGTTCTAATCTCCAGTGATTGGGGTTTAAAAATGAACTGTCTTGCACAGAGTCCTTAAACTCAGGTAATTTAGAAAGAGTTGACAATATAAGCCCGATGCAATCAACTATGACCACATTTTTATTCACTTTGAGATCATTTAGGGTCGGTTTACTACTTGGAGGAAGAAAAACGCTTAGCCTGACTTGTCCTGCTACTTCAGTCAATCCAGTTGATTCAGCAAAGGTATAGTAGGCTAGAGGATTAATGTTTATCGATTTGAACCTTGATTGAATCATTGAGCTTAATTTGGAAGGAGCCATAGAAGAATTGTTTATCTCATGTTTTTCAAAAGTCAACGATGGCTTCTTATAGGATGATAAAGTTTTAATAAAACTTGGGCTTTGAGCTTTATTGTACATTGACGCCTGTGAAGATACAGCCTTGATATTAGATGTTGCCGTTGTCTTAAGACTCGGGTGGTCAAACGAACCATCTCTTCTCTTCTTCCGGTTCCTCTTGTCAACCTTAAACGAGCTAGCACTCGTGGGATTATTGAATGAGTATGAATTGGAAGTGCTTGCATCGTACGAGTTCAAAAGGATGGAGGAGTCAAGAATGGAGTCCGTTTCAATATCGGTAAATGCAGAGTCTGTCGATGATGCATCAAAATATTCGTATTCATAGTCGTCACTGGCATCATCCTCTTCATCTTCTTCATCGAATTCTTGATCCTCTTCATCCACAAAAGCATCCTTTTTTTGTTGGGTGTCTGGTTCTGTAGTAGTACTAGCAATGTTGTTTTCGTCCCAGTTATGGACAACTTGTCCATTAGCATCAACTGGTACTCCAAAATCGCTATCAATTGTTATCATATCGCTATTATCTATTGGATGCTTGGATCTCCTCCTTGACCGCCTTTTTTCCTCAGTTTCGGTTATATCACCATCTTCAGTATCATCATTATTAATTTCCTCTTCTATCAATTCCAAACTCTTATCCATGGGTTTGAATGTCAGGGTTTTAATTGATCCATCACTCTCACTATCATTGTCGGACTCAGCTTCTACCTCCTTGCCTTTCGACTGAAAGAATCTCGCAATTCCGGGGGTGTATTTGCTTTTAGATTTACCTCTTATAGTAGTACTATAAGAGAGCTCGCTCTGCATGGGCTCATCCTCAAGAGAATCCACAATCGTGTTTGGATCAACAGCCTCTTCGTAGTCTAAGCTGTCCCCTCTAGAGTTGTCAAAATCGTAGTCTTTGACAGGTGACTCTTCAATTTCAGTCACTGCCCGCTCTTCTTGAATTTCCGTGCTAGGCGTTCTCTGGTATTTCTTCTCAGGATGCACCCTTTTCTTGCGTTCACGCCGCTTGACCCTGGAAGCTGTTCTGCCTGATCCTGTCAGGCCATTGATTTGATCGTGATTTTGTAATGATTTCTGAATGTGCCTGGCTACCTGGAAAGCAATTGGAGGCGAATCTCCTAGTCCAATGTTGGGTACTCTCGTTATGATATTCGAATCATTATGAATTTCGATCGGTTTAATTATACCGCTGGAGTGTTCATCGGAGTTTTCAATAACTAGGTATGAAGTCCTTAAGAGTGCCAATAAGTGAGAAGAATCAAATGGAAATGCCATTATCGCCTAAAGCTCACGGCGTTATTCAGTTGACTCCGATTACTGGGGAGTTAAAACAAGATAGCAGTTTTCACAAACACCCAATCACGTGACATAAAACACGTGAGTAAGAATTAAGAAGCTAGTTGAATTCGAAGCGTTCTAATCAACCATCATATCTGCAGAGAAGAGATGATCTTGGGGATGTAGCTACTAGGCTTAACTCCAGGGGATAAGCCTGGCTGGTTTATCTAAAAGCGTACCTTACTTCGCATTACGTCATGCTTCCCAAAATAGATGCCAACTGAGTACAGCACAGAAACTGGTGAAATTGGGCGGTAGCTTGGCATACTCTTGAAATTACCGAGTCTGCAGCTTCAGACGTAACAGTGATAAACTTAGCAAAACACGTGATATATGGTTCATCTTCATTCGGCATCTAGAAGTCCAGCAATTGGATTCGCTAGTAATCAGATCACGTGATAAGCGGCCCGGGCGGAAGTTAAACATGTGGATTCCATGAACAGGTTTGGAAGGATCATGTTACAGCTATGCAATTGATCATACTACTCTGAGCTATCAAAACATCAACTATCTACCAAAATCCTTCCCCTTGATTGTTCGAGTTACAAACTTCGGATATCTTCATTTGGATGCTGGATCACGTGAGTGGTATGTTTGGTGGAGTATAGCAAGATCACTTCCACAAACCATTCCACTCATCAACACATTTTCTAAGTATAAGCTAAGCCTATTTCTTCTGTTGTATTAGTAATATGTACAAGTGAATACTGCCAATTATCATACAATCAAATTGATTACACCTTCATTGATTATCAACGGTCGATTACCAAACTTTGCTTCACTGTCATTTAATTTCAACAAGTGTCACGTCATAGACTTTCCGCTTATCCTTGCTGACTAAAAACCCAGAGTATTCCCTTACTGAGACATCATGTCTGAAGGAAACTCCAATCACAATCATTTAGATGACTTAGAAAATGAGCTAGACAGCATATACAACACGTATGTCAACCCAACCAACAACAACAGTACGGAGACCCTTGATTCCGAAAAGGATAGGGCACCAGGGCTTGGAGGATACAAGTTCAAAGGTAGCCAACACTTACCACCTGTCCACATTTCCTCAAGGCTATCGTCAATGCAAACAGACGAGGATGGCGTGAAGAGTGCACCATTGAGTCCCTCCTCGGCATCTTCCTTCGATTTCAATATGGCTCAGAGAAGGTATCCTGCTATGACGAACTCATCTTTGAATGTCTTGGTTGGTGCTAACAGCGTGGATTCTGATATTAAGGACATCATTACTCTAGATGCATCCCAGGATGGTGTTAAGAAAGTTGAAGCATCTCCAAAAGTTGAAGAAGAAGACTGGAATGAAAAAGGAGCGGCAGAGAGAAGGGTATCGAATGGAAGCAATTATAGAATCGTCAGAAGAACTGTTCAAGACTTCAAGTTCGGTAAATCCCTTGGAGAAGGCTCTTATTCAACTGTTGTTCTTGCTACAGATAAGCATACATCAAAAAACTATGCATGCAAAATTTTAGACAAAACCCATATCATAAGAGAAAAGAAGGTAAAATATGTCAACATCGAAAAACATGCCTTGAATCGGTTAAGCAACAGAATGGGTGTCATTTCGTTGTATTTTACGTTTCAAGATAAGTCATCTTTATATTTTGTTTTAGACTATGCGTCTAATGGAGAGCTTTTGTCATTGATTAAGCAACACCACACCCTTAATGAAGACTGTGTCAGACATTTTGGTGCCCAAATCTTGGATGCTATCAAGTACATGCACGATAATGGTGTCATTCATAGAGATATTAAACCAGAGAATATTTTGCTAGATGATAAGTTGAGAATTCAAATAACTGATTTCGGTACGGCAAGATTATTAGAGAAGAAGAATGATGAGAGCGAGGAATATCCTGTCGATGTCAAAGCAAAATCGTTTGTTGGTACCGCAGAGTACGTTTCGCCAGAGCTTTTAGAAAGCAAATATTGCGGAAAGCCTGGTGATATCTGGGCATTTGGTTGTATCATTTATCAAATGATTGCAGGAAAACCCCCTTTCAAAGCTACAAATGAATATTTAACATTCCAAAAGATCACTAAGTTACAGTTTGCATTCAGTGCCGGATTTCCCACAGTTGTGAGGGACTTAATTAAACAAATCTTGGTCTTGCAACCATCTAGAAGAGCAACTATACCTATGATTCAAAAGCATTACTTCTTCAGTTCAGTTGATTTTGATGATTTTGACCTGATTTGGTACAGAGAACCCCCAGAAATAGGACCTTACAAAATGACTGCCAAATCCATGTCCAAGGTTCCTGAATTAACAAAGCAGTACTCTCAGCAACAAATAGTGGTCAAGAAAGCAAATAAAAAGAGTGTGAAAGCAGAGCCTCGGACTGTCAGCGAAGGAAATGGCAAATTAGTTAACCCTGCAAGTGCAGCTGCATTTGTTTTGAACAAAAAGAATCCCTCTGAGAGTAGTTTGAATGATAGCGACTCACCATTGGAATCCGATAATGTGGCTTCGGCTTCGGTGGCGACTTCAAGAGTACCTTCGGCACCCGAATACATTCCAGGAACAAATATTCTTAGACCCACAATCAACACTAGGGCTTCCTTTCGGAGCTCGTCCACTCAGAAGAAGACTCCAAAGCCAAAACCCAAACCAAAGGTCATGGAAGTAACTCCGATAACAACATTGGAAGCTGCATGGGGTGCGTACTTGAAGCACCCAGATGAAAGGATTCTTAAAATAGGACCGGTTCAAGCGAGCAGGGAACTTACGGAGTCTTTTGAACGTCGACACAAAGGATTGTTACACAATGCTCCACTTGGCATGGCCAATAAAATGCAGGGAACTAGGAGCTCGACCAGTTTGTTATCGCAAGTTGTTAACGGATCCTCAGCCGGATTGAGAGGTTCTATTTCTTCCTCTGCTGGTGAACTCGAGGATGAGTCCGATGCAGTTACCAATTACTTTGAAATTGAAGAAATTGGAGATACTGAGCCAGAATCCTCCGAAAGTAACACTAGCAGATACAGTACTTCTGCGTTATTCAAAAAACTTCGTATTGGTCATGCTGATAAGGGAAAAGAGGCTTTATTATCTAGTGATGAAGCTTCTTCTAATGGAGCAGTACGTCAGCATCCACTTGACAAGACTAGAACTTGTACTTTGGTCTTAACTACTCATGGAAGAACCTTGATATTCTTGAGAACCGAAAAAGAGAGTAACGCTAGATTGATTAGTGAGATAAAATTGGGATATCCGTTCGTTCAGATCAAGGAATTGGTTTCGTCTGGTGGAAAGTTTCAAAAAATGTTGCCTTCAACAGGTGTCTTTGCTATTGAATCCATCGAGACCACTTTTGCTTTCGAAGTTAATAAGATTGAAGTCAATCAATGGACTGAAGCATTGGCCAGGTCCAAAATCAACCAGTTCGAGCGGACAAGGGCTCAACAAGGACTGATCACCAGATCGGAGTCAAGCCCAAGGATTCTGTCATCACCTAGACTCCAGGAGTCACCTTCATTTAACGTTGGATCCCAACGTAGAACTGTTACAACTGAAGATAGAGAAAAACACGATACTCGTCATGAATCCAGTCCTACCACAACACCCAAGGGTCGCTCTTCTACAGATGGAAAACCTCTGCACTTGTTGGCTGCGAAAATCAAGAATAAGGCTACCAGCATCAGAAGAAAGCCACCCCCACCAATTGGCTCCCCAAATGGGGTGAGTATGTCAACTGGACTTGCACATGATTTGGGTAGCAATGATAATGGCTTGCAGGCAGCCGTTTTGGCGGTATCTAACAACTCTCACAACATTCCTAGTCCGACCTACAGACGTTCCAGCTTTACCAAGGAAGATAAGTCCAGACTGAGACCTCCTACTGCTGTGCGTACATCTGCTAGCCCCTCAGGCGGAGTCACTTCCAAGAACTCTAAATTTCTCGCTCGAAGCCAGAGAACTAAATAGTGAATGCAGCATATGTTATCGCTTTTAAATGATAAGTCACCAAAGGACCGTATTCGGGTGTGGATTGTGTAGTTACAGGTTTAGAATTAGAGTTAAGGATGTTTCATTTGCATCAAAATGTATCAATCTGTGGTTCTTGGACAGCATTGGAACCCAGGGTCTAATAGCACGTGATGGATGTCCCAAAATGTAAAGAAAAAAGCAGTCACTAATTCACGTGAGACACTGTGATTGTTGGTCTGTGGCCCAGCACTCCCCACCAAGCCGCACTTTCCCTAATAGGAAGGTATTACCCGGCCAAATGCCTGCTTTGTGTAACTAAAATTTTCACCTAGTGTGCGGGTGATGGAGCGGTAACGAGACCACTACTCTGATCAAAATAGTTTATAAAAATTTTCAAAAGAGGTTTCTCTACTAGTACATCACATCAAAATGGCTAAGTTCATTAAATCAGGAAAAGTTGGTATGTATAATCATTGGAACAGTAACGAAGGACAATGAAGAGGACGGTATATCAAGAGACTGCTTAAAGAAAGTTCGAACTGCTTTCCAGTTCATGAAAAAGTCAAAGAGATGAAAAATCTTGAAGAGATTTCAATGCCATCCATAAAGTAATGAGGAAAGATGTGCCAAAGACAGCCAAGCAACCAGACTTCATGTAGCATAGTTCTACAATGAACGAATTGGAAATTACTATTGAGGGGTCCAAATAACGTCGTCCTCTTTGTCCATGGTATATTGGCTTGAACGTATACTAACAAGTTTAGCTATTGTCGTCCGTGGTCGTTTCGCCGGTAAGAAGGTCGTCATCGTCAAACCTCATGACGAAGGTACCAAGTCTCACCCATTCCCACATGCCATCGTTGTTGGTGTCGAAAGAAACCCATTGAAGGTCACCAAGAACCACAGTGCCAAGAAGGTTGCTAAGAGAACCAAGGTTAAGCCATTCGTTAAATTAGTCAACTACAACCACTTAATGCCAACCAGATACTCCTTGGACGTCGAATCTTTCAAGTCCGCTGTCACCACCGAAGCTTTGGAAGAACCATCTCAAAGAGAAGAAGCCAAGAAGGTTGTCAAGAAGGCTTTGGAAGAAAAGCACCAAGCTGGTAAGAACAAGTGGTTCTTCCAAAAACTCCACTTCTAAACGTTGTTTAATCTTTTCTGCATGGGTAATAAACAATTTACGATAACTTGGAACCGTGGAGGTTCTAACCTTGTATACTCCTTGTAATAAACATCTGCCAGTGTCTGGCTAGTAATGGTACAAACTGTAGCTAACACTTTGCGAGTTACCTGCTCAAAATAATTCAAAAATGCCCCCATCAGTCTCCAGACTCGCCTCGTCGGACTACTGACTCAATATATGAATCACGTGACTATTCGGAAATGTTTTCCTGAAGATCTGAGCGATCACTGTGAAACTTCACCAAGATGTCTACAATCGAACAAGGTATCAATGAGCTCAAAGTGAACGAGCCTCAAGTCGCTTCCAAACCTGCTGCTGCTGAGTCTGAACAAGTTGTTACTCCCTGGGACGTTGAAGGTGCCGTTGTTGACGGTGAAGCCCAAGGTATTGACTACGACAAATTGATCAAACAGTTCGGTACCAATGCCATTCTGCCTGAAACTTTGAACAGGTTCAAAGAAGTCACTGGTCATGAACCTCACCCATTTTTGAAGCGTGGTGTTTTCTTCTCCGAAAGAGACTTAGGAAGAATCTTGTCCTTATACGAACAAGGAAAGCCCTTCTTCTTGTACACAGGAAGAGGTCCTTCCTCTAACTCCATGCACTTGGGACATATGATCCCATTCATCTTCACTAAATGGTTGCAAGATGTGTTCGATGTTCCATTGGTGATTGAATTAACCGATGACGAAAAGTTCCTCTTCAAGCCAAAGTTGACCATTGATGATGTCAAGGGATTCGCTATTGACAATGCCAAAGATATCATTGCTGTAGGCTTCAACCCTGAAAATACTTTCATCTTCAGTGACTTACAGTACATGAACGGAGCTTTCTACGAAAATGTCGTGAGAACTTCCAGACAAATTACTACATCCACTGCTAAGGCCGTTTTTGGTTTCAAGGACTCTGATTGTATCGGTAAGGTGCATTTCGCTAGTGTTCAGATTGCAACTGCCTTCCCATCTTCATTCCCCGGAATTTTGGATTTGCCTGATAAGACTCCATGTTTGATTCCTTGTGCCATTGATCAAGACCCATACTTCAGAGTTTGTAGAGATGTGGCTGAAAAGTTGAAGTTTGCCAAACCTGCTTTGATACACGCCAAATTTTTCCCTGCTTTACAAGGTGCCACCACCAAGATGTCTGCTTCCAACACAACTTCATCTATTTTTATGAGTGATACACAGAAGGAGATTAAGAACAAGATCAACAAGTATGCATTCTCAGGTGGTCAGGCCTATCTTGAAGATCACAGAAAGTATGGAGGAAATCCGGATGTTGATGTCGCTTACCAGTACATGACATTCTTCGTTCATGATGATGAGAAGTTGAAGACCTTGTACGATGGTTATAAGAAGGGTGAAGTCTTATCAGGTGAAATGAAGAAGGAGTGTATTGATGTCGTCCAGAAATACGTCAAGGACTACCAAGAAAAGAGAGCAAAGGTTGACGACAAGACGGTGGATAGTTTCATGAAGCCTCACAAACTCGTCTTTGGCCAGAAGGAAAGATTGGTCCCTGTCAAGGAGGCCCCTCCTAAGGATTCTAAAAAGAATTAGACGTAAGAATACTTAGATCAAAATATTAATAATTGAAAGATCGTACCGTAGCCAAGTCTTAGGAGAAGTCATATTAAAATCGTGGGCCATAACTTAACGTGTTCAATTTCGAAGTTAGTGGAATCTTGATTCACTTCTATATACCCTGTTTGGGCTACTAACCCAATAGTCTTTTGACATTTCCCAAGATAAACATCAATCTGTCGAAGTCCTCATTGTTTGTCTCATCGCCTCGTCCAAACCAGCGTGATCCTATGGACAATATAGTGTCTTTGGGGTTTCTGGAAGTAGCGATTACCTTGCCTATTTGTGTAGCGACAATCTGGATTTTCAAGTTTGAGTGGTTCCCCACAATAAGACGTGGCTCAATTCCGGCGTCGCCGATTTCTGGAGAGATCATGGCATCATGAGTGATAGCCATTCTGGACGAGATTGGCAACTCGAATGTGGTATCCATTATTCCGTTCGTTTGGACATTGATGATCATCTTATCAGCAAGCTCGATTTTGTGGAAAAAGAATTCAGTATCACGATCATCGTTGTAGTAGTCTGAGAATGAGGTAGTGAAACCTGTTGGATCTTTGGTGATGGTAGACATGGTGCTGTAGCATGAGAACTTGGTGCACACATAAGTCGTCACGTTGATTGATACACGTGACCAGTGTCAAGTACCAGAAATCAGCATAAGTCTGGACAAAATGCTTACATCCATGCATAGATACCACCTAATATACTTAGGATCGTAATTATTGGCTATTAGACTGGCAATTTCTACATTCGTACGAGAATCGAATGACCAGGCATATTCCCCACAGATGAGGCAATCCTCGGTCCGGGTTTTCGGCTCTACCGAATCATACGAGTCTTTGAAACTACCTTTTCAGCACCCATACGGTGCTGGGATACTCTCAGTTGAACGGGAAGCTGAATATGTAAACACACCTACACTTACTAAGCTGGACCTACAGATTCATATTTGTAACCCATTACTGTAATATTACTAACGTCGCACTAAGTGACATCATTTGGCCCATATTACCTGATCATATGTGAAAAATTCAGAGTTACTGTGGATTATATAAGCGCACTTTGAGTCAGGAAGTAAAGTCATAAATACCTAAAAGTTACAAAGTCACCACCAACGACAGTTTGTTGCACAACTACTGACCTTATTCTTACTAGTCCGATACCTTTCAGCCAAACCACCGAATAACTTACCACCTCCAATATGTCCGTTTTTAATGACACTACTGAAGCCATTGAAGCCTTCAAGAATGGGGAGTTCTTGATTGTAATGGACGACGAAAACCGTGAAAATGAAGGAGACTTGATTATTGCAGCAGAAAAGATCACCCAGGAGAAAATGGCCTTTTTGGTAAGATATTCTTCCGGTTACGTATGTGCCCCATTATCTACTGAAAGAGCAGATCAACTTGACTTGCAGCCTATGCTTAAAGACAGAACCGACAGACACGGAACAGCATACACAGTCACATGCGACGTAAGAGAGGGAACTACAACGGGTATCTCCGCACACGATAGAAGTTTAACTGTCAATGCGTTGGCTAACCCATCATCCAAATCTGATGATTTCATAAAACCAGGTCATATCTTACCCCTTAGGGCCGTCCCAGGTTTATTGAAGCAAAGAAGAGGTCACACAGAGGCCAGTGTCCAGTTATGCGAGTTAGCTGGATTGCAGCCAGCAGCCGTGATTTGCGAGTTGGTTAGAGATGAGGATGGTTTGATGCAAAGATTGGATGATTGCGTCAAATTCTCCAAAGAACACAACATTAAGATTGTGACCATCGATCAAATTGTCAAACACCTCAACTAATGGATGATCATTATACCGGAAACAATAATAGAAAAGAATAACTTGCGGTGTATTCATGGTTTAGTGTAGGTCAGACATTATTGACATATAATTAGGCGCTCCTCGAACTTGTATGACTTCATTGTAAAGTAATCGAGGTTGCTACGGATCGAATATATCTATGTATAATTAAATCTATGATAGACTTCTATTTCAAAATTAATTGTGCCTTTCTCTTTCCACTGACTTCATCCTTGACAGACTTCACGTCAACCTTCACCTTGTCAAATACGGCGACGGTTCTTTTCTTCTTGTTGAGATCAACAAACGTTAACTCATAAGTGTCTTCGTTGTATTCTGCAGAATTCACATCTCCCAACATTTCGAGTTTGATCAAACCTTCAACACCGAACTTAGGAACCAATACCACGATACCATTATTAAAACATTGAATAACATAACCTTCATGCTCAGATTCATTGTTTCTCATGACCTGTCCCACATAGTATTCAATACTAGCTCTTCCGGCAAATTGGGCATTTCTGTGACGTTTGTTAATATTTCTAACAATCATATCCATCTTGTTCTTATCCCTATGGCTCAAATCCAAGTTTTCATATCCAATAGCGCCTGCTAATTGTCTATGCGCAACCACATCACAATATCTTCTAATTGGAGAAGTGAAATGGGTATAGATATCAACAGCTAAACCATAATGTCTGAATTCTGGGTAACCATAAGATCCAGATGGGAAATATTCAGCTGCCATCATACATCTGGTAGACATGATACGCAACAAGGTGTTGAAATATGGATCATTAGCATCAACACATCTGTCTAAGGAGTCAGCCAATGCTCGAGAAGATTCCAACGACACGGCCATTCCTGGCTTTCTTGCACTTAACATTTTGTTAAGGTTCTCAAAGTTAGTTGATGGGGGAGCAGCATGTCTTCTCAACATAGCTGTTTGTGGATAAGCGTCGTAAATCTTTCTAGCAACAGAAATGTTAGCAAACAACATGAACTCTTCGACCAAAGAGTTTGTTTCCAATAACTTCTTAATCTCAACTTCATTAGGGTCAGATGTTTCACTATCCATATGGACTTTAACTTCAGGGGATGCTAAGTTTAAGGCACCGGCATCCAACCTCTTTTGTTTCAACTTTTTGGAAAGCTTCAATAAGATTCTCATCGATTTTGTTAAATCATCCTGTTGAGATGGATCATCAATTCTCAACTGAGCTCTTTCGTATGAGAAAGCTTCTCTCGACTTAATAATTGACTTCATATAGTTCACGTTAACAATGTTAGCATCTTCATCCAATTCCCATATAACCGAGAATGCAAATCTGTCAACATATGGCTTGAGAGAACATAAATTTGTACCTAATAACATGGGCAACATGTCAATTCTCTTATCAACCAAGTACACCGAGGTACCTCTAGCGGCACCTTCTTGATCCAAGGCGGTTCCCGCTTTCACAAAATGGGTAACATCTGCAATATGAACACCCACCTCGTAATTACCATTAGGTAAAGGCTTTGCGTGCAAAGCATCATCAATATCCACACAGTTTGGAGGGTCGATGGAACAAACAAGTTTGTCACGTAAGTCTTTTCTCTTCGCCAATTGAGGATCTGAAGTACCAGCGATATCAGGAACAGTCCAGTTGGCACCCTCCTCAGGTAAACAATCAAGAACATTCTTGGAAAATGGTCTATATTCGACATCGTGCTCCAAAAGCAAAGCTTCAGTTTCTGCTTCAGCACTTTCAATTTCTCCTAGAGATCTAACATAATGCCCATTTGGATATCTAGAATTAGATGACCAGGAGTCTACCACCACAACAATTCTTTGACCTAAAAGTTCTTTGGCCTTTCTCGTCCTAATTCTGATCTTAGGTAACACCTTATCCATCAAAATGACAAAACAGTTCTTCGAAGCATTACCACTATCCTCAGCGGATACCGAGGTTGGAGCGATTTGACCAACGTAGTATCTCCACGATCTTCTGCTGATTCCGACAACTTTAGCAGTTGGTTGTAATCTCGATTCGTCGTCAGCAGCCACGGAAGTTGCCTTCACTGCTTCTTGCGCTAACAACACCCTTTCTTTGTCGGAAATTACACCACTTGAGCCTGAAATATCGTCATCGTCCTCATCACCGGCATTATCATTTGCACCAATTGCATTTTCTTCAACAATGGTACTGGAAGGTTCCTTCCATTTGTCCTTTGGAAGTAACTCAACTATAACAGAATCACTGTTGAAAGCACGATTTAAGTGCTTAGTTCCGATAATTAACAATGGCTTTTTAAATGCTGGTGTTTGTACTGTACCTTGCAAGAAATTGTAAGGAGAAATATTCAATATACCTTGGTACAATGTACCATTCTTGACACCAGCCATAATTCTAGAATCGTTGTAGTACTCAGGGAAGCTGGTTTCGTTTTCGCCAGTAGCAAAATTGGTGGTCTCATTGGGAATCAAGTCTCTTAAATCATCGGCATTCTTCAAGTCTTCGATATACTCAGTGAGGGATCTTGCATCGATTTTTTCACTAATAGCCTTTCTACGGTTATCAGCATCGTTACAAATGAAGACAATATTGATCTTTTGGGCGGCATTCTCATTATTCAAATGGTTGTCGTACCATGTCACAAGCTTTCTGATTGCACGATCATTACGATCATTGATCGACTCGTTCTTTTCACGATTGACGTACGTTTCTTCATTGTATTCGTTATGGAAAACCACGAACCTCTTGTCTTCAGACTTAACCAAACCTCTGACTCTTTGATAGATGGGGTACGATCTGTTTTTCACCTCATCCAAAACGGTTTGTGGGATGATGACATCGAAAAAACATTCATTATTCTCCAACAAATCGATGGCATGCAATATGATATTGGTGTCAAGCACAATATAGTGTCTCTTCCCAGACTTGGTCTTGGCAGGGGACTCACTCAATATGAAGTTTGGCAAGTTACCTTGGGCATCGGCCTTTAGTATGTGCTGACATTTGGTACAAGCCTTCGAATAACAGGGAATATCATTTCTCAAGTAGTGCTCTCTGACAACCTTCAATGCACCTCCATTTCTGGAGCGGACGAATACCTTTGAGGTAACGGTAAGTCCACTTGATAGTCTCTTTCTCTGTCCTATCATTGATGATTATGGTGAGTAATGATAGTAAGACAAATCATCGCATCTATTTTTTTCGTGAGGGAGCCACACGCCCTGGGTGCAAATCCGAAGGGGCAAACCAGTAAAGCATGACGGAGAAAATGGATCAAATCATGGTTTCTAATACTACTATAGAGAAGTAAACAAGCGAGATAGTACAGAAAGATCCCGAGGCATACCAGGAGATTCCATAAAGGAATATCTCTGCTATTAATGGCACGAAACGAGATACCATGGGTGGGAATTCGGTTTCCAATGGAACCTTCTGGATACGATACGTTAAAAATATGTGAATGGGTAGACCCCAATACCACCAGCTTCGTGAATATGGGTAATGATATCATTGCGTGAATTGGTGGCGGTACGATGGCCCGAAGATGGGACATCAGGGTCGCAAACAGCGGTGATGAAAGACCTCGGGTTCCGCATAGAATCGCTCATGGGAGAAAGTTGTCTGCCTCCGAGGATTGTAATAACACCAAGTTGACGGGGCTCGCGATGGGTGTCAAATTGTCCACTTCAAGTGAGACATTCGATAGTAGTGGCTCCTGCAGTATTCCACTGTAGTCCATTGCCCCCAACGATATGTTTTTAACCAGACTGATTGAATTTGAGGAATGCGAAGCTGGACTGCCCGGGAGTATTCTCGACTTCCCACTAAGCAATTCTGTCTCTACCTCGTTGATCACTGTATATCGAGGATAAAGTGCGTCAAGTAATGCCTGAGGAGTTGGAACAACGGTTGGCTCGTCTTGTTTGCGTCTGCTCTTTTTGGTGAAGAAGTCAAGGAAGCTTAGATGATCACTTAGGCCAATTCTTAGAAATAATTGCTTGATGCGGGACTTTCTCGTAATTTTCGGTTGCTCTAATTCCATCAATTTACTCTGTAGATTTAATTCACCGCATCTATAAACCATCTCTAGATCCAGAATCAGTGATTTTCCATAATTTGTAGAATTAACATTTGAAATTGTTTTCTCCAGGTATTTCGCTACAAATTCAATGTCATTCTCCCTCTCCAACTCTATAGTATTCACGGTATGGGGCTCAAGGAAGTTGATAGTGTTCATTGAAGTGGTTGCAATATTTGCACCAACCACCACAAAATAGCACATGACACATCACGTGCGTATAAGCTTGAGAACCACGTGATTCGCAGCCAATGAAAATTCTTCCTTGGTTTTTCACCTGTATCCGGAACAAAAATTGAGAGTCGAAAAGTGGTCTAAGTACTACAACACATATTCTCGAAGACACAATGGGTTCTGCTTACACTATCCTCGGTAGATCTGTACCATCTCACCAATTAGCCATCGCCACCTTGGGTCTTGTAACCTTTGTTGCTGTCCCAAAGCCATGGGGTCCAGCTGCTCCAAAACACCCATCCATCAACGCTAGCTCCGCTGAAGAAGAAAAGTTTGTCAAGGAATGGTTGGCCAAGAACGCTCCAGCTGCTGAAAAGCACTAAATCATAGAGTAGCATCCTTAATCCTGCATTCACATGATGGGTCCTGCAAATTTAGAGTTCTCGGATGTATCTGGTGAATAATTGATTGATCAAAATGATTGCACATACACACAACTTCCTTCTTCTTTGATCTGGGTGCATCCTACAATTCAACTCGGGTTTGCTTTTCAAAAGTACCAACTGATTTAAAGTCATACATTAGAGGTAGAATGCACTGGTGTCTTTATTAATCGAGTGGAGACATGATCTGTACTTTATAGCTTACACTTATACAATAAAAACTGTGAAACGAATACCCTGGGAATCTCCGACATGTTCCTTTTACCGTAATTGTCTGTAAGTCACTACCATGGTGTGGTTATGCTATTTGGTATGGGGTGCCAAATCCGGGTAACCCCTTATCGTGCGGATGGGATGTTCTCAATTTCTAAGATGAGATGAAGGTGAAAAATTACCAGTAAGACTACCCTAGTTCATTCACCCACGATGTCCGCTATCTACAAAGCATTACAATCCAAGAGTAGCAAAGACAGCTCTGAAAAGGCCAAGCACATAAATAGACAGCGTTTGTTGGTGATATCCTCCCGAGGTGTTACCTACAGACATCGTCATATGATATCTGACTTGTTAGCACTTTTGCCTCACGCCAGAAAGGAGCCTAAATTTGATTCGAAGAAGAACTTGTACCAGTTGAACGAGGTTGCCGAGTTATACAACTGTAACAACATCTTTTTCTTCGAGTGCAGAAAGCACCAAGACTTATATTTATGGCTCACCAAGCCACCTAATGGACCAACTTTGAAATTCCACATCCAAAACTTGCATACTTTAGATGAGCTTAACTTCACCGGTAACTGTCTCAAGGGATCCAGACCAATTTTGAGTTTCGATAAGGCATTCTTGGAGAACGACCACTACAAGTTGATGAAGGAGCTTTTCACCCACACCTTTGGAGTTCCTCCAAACGCCAGAAAGTCCAAACCATTCGTGGACCATGTGATGACCTTCTCGATCGTGGACAACAAGATCTGGATCAGAAACTACCAAATCAACGAGACCATGGATGTCAAGGACAGCGAAACCAACGAAATCAACCCCGATGAGTTGAACTTGGTTGAGATCGGGCCCAGATTCGTTTTGACCTTGATCACCATTTTGGAGGGATCCTTCGGAGGTCCCAAGATCTACGAAAACAAGGAGTACGTGTCTCCAAACTTTGCCAGAGCCCAAATGAAGCAACAGGCTGCCGAACAGGCCAGATCCAGAGCCGAAGCTGCCCACGAGAGAAAGCTCAAGAAGAGAAACCAGATTTTGAACGCGGACCCATTGTCCAACGATGCTTTGTTCAAGGAGTAGGTTGCGGGGGATTCCTGGGATCAACCATGTCTTGCTGAAGGTGTCACGATGGTGCATTCTTCTCCGGTTCAAGATCAACTGAGTGCTTGATCTCGCTTAACGGTTGTCGTGTATCATAGAAATATAGCATTAACGAGTATGTGTAGCGATAGAGCGAGCCACCAACAGTGTTGAGGTAGGCCCCCTAAGCCTCAGAGTCTCAGCCCCAGCCTGTTGCACCGGCTAGTGTGCCATAGCCGACTGCGGACCAGCGTCTCCCTAAGCCGCAGCGAGAGCGCTAGGGCCACAGCCGGCGGCAGGCGTATCCCCGCCGCGCCCAGTGGAAGTAGGAGGCACCATTTAACAGGGCCCCCGTAGTGAGCCAAAACCGGCCACCCTGTGCCACCAGTACTCTGTGATGGTCCCTGCCCTGGCCAGTGGGCTAGGAGCCCCCTGGCGGAGTCTGGCGGAGCACCCAGAACTTCCCGTATCTGACGTTTTACGTCATATACTGCAAATAGAACGCCCCATCTGGTGAGAGTCCTCATGTTACCTAAGCGACGCGCGCAGTACGCTTCAGTGGCCGCAACCACTCCAGGGGCACCTCGCCACTGCCACCCCATCCCCTTGCATGAAGCAGTAGTGGTTGCGGTAGAAGGCGCTGCTACTGTCTCCGCCAGCGTCGAGGCCAAGCACTATGATTTTCTAGGCACCCGATCGCCGGAGACACCGTCATCCTTTGCCCCAAGAGCGCGTCCTGCAGGCAGACCGGTTAAGCCTCCAAGATCGAGTTCTGTAAGGTGCCTGAAAAGACAGACACAATTACACCAGTGCCAACCACTCCCAACCGCCCCCAGAACACACAGGTGTCCCCCACGCTTCGCTGCCTACTGCTGCATCCACCATGTTTCCTCGGTACCACCCCCTGGACGATGGCACCAGCCATTCGAGGAGCCAGTTCCCGTCCCGCGCCAGAGATCAGGAGCCTTCCAGGTTCCACCAGCCCTCCAACACCCAGTACCCCTACAACGACGATGCTGACACCCACAGCATAGCTGATGACGACTTCCACTTTGCAAGCCTGTCAGCTAACACAGGATTCAACTCCAAACAACTCCCGTATCCTCCTTCCAACCCATACGCCGATAAGCAGGTGCCCCCCAGGCCTGACGCCTACGAAATGACAAGATTGCATGAGTCCTCCAGCCAGCACCACCCCGAGACCCCTCTCATGAACCCATTCCACTCCACATTCGACTCCTCATACGATGCTCCTCCCCATCACCCGGCCTACAACAAGACCCAGGTTACAGGCATCCCATTTGGGTCTCCCGACAAAGACCCTAGCTCCTTCAACGAGTACCCGTTGTTGGACTACCCCGATAAACCACAGCCCCCTTTGCCTGACCTTGTGAGCGACGAGTACGACAGACAAAGACGCAACGAAAAGAACAGATTGAAACAGCTTCGCCGCAAACCCAGATTTCACTACACAAGACTTCCGTATCTCACCATCCTATTTAGCACCATCCAAGTCATCGTCTTCATTGTGGAGCTTGTCAAAATGTCACAGCTTACGGGTTCGGCATTTCAATCCAAGCCCTACTTCAATCCCATGCTTGGGCCATCCACTTACGTGCTCATCAACATGGGTGCTAGATACGTGCCGTGTATGCATCAGATCGAGGGGATCACCGACGACCCTTCCATAGCCTTTCCCTGTGCCAACTCCACCAACGTTGACACCAACGTGTGCTCCTTGAATGAATTGTGCGGTCTCGGGGGCTTCCCACTAGTGGACGACAAATACGTGCCTGATCAGTGGTACAGAATTTTTATCCCTATCTTCTTACATGCTGGGTTTCTCCACATTATCTTCAATTTGTTATTACAGGTGACTATGGGTTCCACTATCGAGAGAAATATTGGGTACATCAAGTATTTCATTGTCTACATGCTAAGCGGAATCGGCGGGTTTCTTTTGGGAGCCAACTACTCACCTGATGGAATCGCCTCTACTGGATGCTCTGGCGCTCTTTTTGGGATTATGGCCACCAATTTGATAATGTTTGCATACGCTGGTCGCAAAAACTCTAACATATACGGTACCAAACACTACGCTTTATTCATCTGCATTATGGTCATGGAAATTATAATATCGCTCGTGTTAGGTTTGCTCCCAGGATTGGATAATTTTAGTCACATTGGTGGGTTTGCCATTGGTATTCTCACATCCGTTTTGCTTTTGCCAGACCCATTTTTTGTGTACATCGATGGAATAATCACCTACAACGCCACAGATAATACGTGGCAGCAAGTCATAAATAACTGGAACCCTTTTCATCACTTTGATGATAAAATACCTGTCAGATTTTACATATGGTGTGTCACCAGAGTTGCCGCTTTAGCTTTGATTATTGTCTATTTCACCACATTGTCCAAGAATTTTTTTAATGGTAAACTCAACAACCCTGATGATAATAACTGCAAATGGTGCAAGTATATCAACTGTATTCCAGTTCATGGATGGTGTGATATCGGTGAGGTGACAGTGCTGACTTCTGGACCGTCTGCAACCAGCCCCCCCTTGGGAGAAGCTTCTGCAACCGATATACCATCCACTCCTACCAATACCTTACCCTCTAGTATTGAAAATGGCGGCGAGAGAAAAAGAAGACAATATAAATCAGATTTTCTCAGCACATTCCAAAAAGAACCAGTGAGCCCACCACAAATATCGAGTCTGGAATCATTCATCCAGAACCAATCGGTGGGGCTTGGACTCTACATCATTATTGCATTTTTTACATTTTCATTTTTGAAGAAGAAATTGGGATCCAGCAAATAGTTTATATTACTAGAAATAAGACCATATAGTAGCTGTACCGAAGTTCAACATCTATATTCTAACTCAAAAAATAGGAACCGTCAGTGTGTCATGGACTAAAACCAAAAGCACGTGACATAAATGCGACATCGCGACATTTCCATGAGGTAAATTTTTTCATCACTTCAATGTTGGTGTCAGACATAAGACAGAGACGACAATGATTGCACCATTAAGACGTGCAGCCTTAAGGCCCACCATTCGCATATCTAGCATAAGGTCTTTCGGTTATTCCCAGAATAGACCATTCCTTAACCTTTTTGGGAAGAAGGACTTGAAGAAGAGAGAGGAAATAATAAAGAACCAAGATGACTTCGAATCCGATCCTGAAAGTAAGATTGTGATATTGAGCAAGGAGAACTCTCCAGATTACAAGCCATTTGATGCAGAGACTGATATGCCTGATTTCAAGGTCAACCAATGGAAATCTATCAAAGTTCTGCAACCAGAAATTGAAACCACATACAACTCTGAAAAGTTGATTGAGAACATTAACCAGGCCTACTTGGAATTAAAGGGACAACAGATTAGTGTCTCCCAATATAATAACATTGATTTGCATGATTTATCTTTCAGATTTGAGTTTGCAAAGGCTTTGCAAAAGAAACTCGGATTTGACTTTAACGACTATACCTTGACTACCTCTCACACTTTGAGCCAATTGCAAAAAGCTTTGGACAAGCAAATCAAGACTAGATGGGTTAGCGAAAGAAATCCTAACGGTATTGTGTTGAGAAAGGAAGATTTTAAAGCTCCTAACATTTACTTGAGCGAGGAGCTCAATGAGCAAGAACAACAACAAAAGTTGAAGGACCTCGTGGAAGAAGCCAGACAAGCTTCTGCTTGATCAGTACATACTAATCACAACTTGTAAATATAGAATTCTCAATTAATGAGATGGAAAAATCAGTAGACATTCTCTCTTAGATGAAAAATTAACTTTGATCAACGTTGATTGACAGAAGCAAATGGAGGTGGGGGTGGAAGCAGCTTAAGAATATCACTTACATGCTTGGTTGGATTTTTTTTCATACCGGTAAAGGACTCTTCCTCTAGTTGAAGTGCCTTATAATAGCTCCACTTTAGGAGAATCTTGGTGATCGAATAAAAACCGAAATCTGGCCAGAGAGTTTGTACAAACTCAATGGTACAGTTGTAGTTGCATTGCCATAGCATGAAATCGCTTAGTCTTTGATGGCCACTAGTTCTAATCAAAATATCCAAAGGCGGAGAATTGGGACCAAAATACATTGATGCGTTCAAGCTGTCAATGGTTATTTCTTCAGACTTGCGTGCCTCCACTACAGACCTGATTGCTGCAGCGATTTCATCTCGAGATGTATAGGGAAAACATACGTTGAAAACTTTCTTGGTGTCAAAATCCTTCGTTTTAGCTTCTACAAACTCTAAATCATGTAGAATATCAGCAGGAATCATTGATCTATTCCCGAGAATTCTAATAATGATCTTATTTTGGCTTGCAAAAGATTCTTCATTTTGTGAAAGAAACCTGAGTTTATCACGAAGCAATCCGAACAAGGTATCGACTTCCTGCTTTGGCCGATTGAAGTTCTCGATGGAAAAGGCATAGACAGTCACTTGCTCGATACCTACTTTGTAGCATACGTTCAAGACCTGAGGTTAGTAAGCTATTCTTCCATAGGCTAACAAACATACATCTACCAAGGACTCTGCCCCAGCCGAGTGTCCTTCCTCCAACGGTAATTGCTTTGTTTTGGCATACCTTCTATTGCCATCCATAATAAGCGCAATGTGTTTGGGAACTGGGCCCGTCCTCATCACTGCGATCATACCGTCCTTGAAAAGGCTAACCAAGTAGTGAAAGATCTTTACACTCAAAGCTGCTTTCCATAGCTGCTTCAATGGCCAACTCAGATAGAAAAGAGACATTACTGTAGAAGATATAACAATGGCTGCAAATATCAATTTCGCGCAATGGTATGAGGAATTCTCGCGTCGCCACAGAGTCAGAGTATTGCGGAATGGGATGCTTCAGCATCAAATGTATACGGGAAGTGACGAGTAGACTTCAACTGAGAAGCTGGTTAATCAAGTTCGTAAATTTTGTCATAAAATGCATATATACATTGGTGTGGATTAACGATGTTGGAAAAGTAATGGGAAAGACAGACTCACCACAGGAGAGTTGAAAGGGTCCTGTCAGTAAGCTTATACCACTTTTAACGCTATCTATTACCTTTTTGATTTTCGTCTTTCTGGTGAATTTCCACATCACTCGTTGAAACATCCTTCTCAGGTATGTCCAGTTACCAAGATCACATCTAGCCCACCAAATCAACTGATCTAAGAACTTTTTTGACCTCTTTTGTCCTACGCTCTGTCACCTTGGCATCTTCAATCTTGTTTAAGTACCCTAAGTACACCACAACCTCGGCCACCAATACCAACAACGCGAAGAACAAACAAAGCAATATTCTATACGAGTCCTTGAGTTTCCACGAGGTGTCCGTCCAATACCAGATGGCGTAGGCCACACTGGCCACACTTATGAGGATATTCACGATGGTTGTGACCTGGCTTTTGAGCTCCTTGTGGGCTTGTGCAGGCGTCAACTGGTCGTTGGATTGCTCATACAACGTTTGATGTTGTGGCGAGGGGTTGACGAGCCTTTCGTACTCACGTTCCTTGGCCTCCAAACGGAGTCTTTCCATGGACTTGATGAACTCCGGAGTTTGGGCCTTTTTGGGCTCATCATAGTTTCTGGTCCTGAGCCTGGCCTTTTGTACAAGCCCAAGAAACGTTGGGGTTGGATGGTAGAGGTTGTAAAACTGGGCCAAGTTGGTGTGTGATATGTACTTCTGTGCCACTAATTCTCCAGCGAGCTTGGGTTCAAGAGGAGATTCCTCGATGATCTTCTTCAATTCAGGCGTTATTTCGAACAACGTCATTGTCGGTAAAGGTCTGTATGGACTATTAAGTTTTGGGCGTTGTGGTTCCAAGGATTAAGATATCGAACTTGTGGACTCAACTATTGGTATGTGCCCAAATATAGTCTGGCTAACGACTCCCCACTATCGAACGAGGTCCTGGTTTTATCAATCTTGACAATGTCGCGACACACCTATTGTCTAATATTATGGGGCTGATCAGGGGCAATACAGACGGATACTAAAATTTATACAAACACTAGGTTCAACTACTGCATACTCTCCTATACCTTTGTGTTTTACCAATTGTACAAGAATCAAGTTCTTGTCAGATCCATCCCATACATTGTGTGGCAGGTTATTCTCAGCCGTTTGATTCCAAATTGTTTACCTTTTCCCGAATCGGCTCCGTTTGTGATCCGAGCCTTAAGTAGAATTCGTTCAAGATAACCAAGTACAACCCAAGCCCAAAGCGCGTACTTTCAAGAGAAAGTCCTACAGTCAATGTCGTCGCTCAAGAACTCAAGAAAGGGCAACAGCTCCACTTCGTCTGCTCAGGACCAGTTGTCGGAATCTAGAAGAAGACAAACCAAGCGAGATGATGCCATCAGAAGAAGGATCGAAAACGATTTGAGCAAGAAGAAGAGAGGGGGAACCAGGACAACCAGGAGCAAGAAGGCCACACCCGGCACTGTTCTCTCGTTGAGACCCTCTGATCCCATCATTTGCAAGACATCCGCTACCGTGTACGAGGTTTCTCAGTTGATGTCAGCCAAAAGGGAGAATTGCATCTTGGTGGTCAACGACGGCGGAGAGTTGCTTGGTATATTCACAGCCAAAGATTTGGCGTTTAGAATCGTGGGTGCGGGCTTGAGTGCCAATAGTGTCACCATCGACCAAATCATGACCCCCAACCCGATGTGTGCCAATGCTTCCACCCCCGCTTCCGAAGCATTGACTTTGATGGTTGAAAGAGGATTTAGACACTTGCCAGTGTTGGATGATAACAACCAGATCGTTGGTGTTCTCGACATCACCAAATGCTATGCTCAACAGATGGAGAAGTTGGAAAGAATGCATGCCTCTTCAAAGAAGTTGTACGAAGCCTTGGATTCAGTGCACTCAGAAATGGGTGCCCTTCAACAACCGTTACAGATTTATCAATATTTCGAGAACTTGAAAGATAAGATGAATGGTCCTACCTTGGATAACGTCTTGGATGCTTCTACTATACCCGTTTACACCAACGTGAAAGCCTCTGTGTACGACGCAACCGTGTTAATGAAAGAGAACAGAACTACCGCTGTCTTAGTAAAAGACAATAATGATGAGGTCACTGGTATCTTCACTTCTAAAGATGTGGTTTTAAGAGTTATTGCGGCAGGGTTGGATCCAAAGAAGTGCTCTATTGTAAGAGTGATGACACCACAGCCCGACGTTGCTAAGATTTCCTTGCCAATTCAACGGGCACTCAGACAAATGTTTGAAGGGCACTACTTAAATTTGCCTGTTGTAGGAGAGGACAATGATATCATAGGTATTGTGGATGTGTTGAAGTTAACTTACGCTACCTTAAATCAAATTAAACAATTGGAAACGACTGAAAGTGGCCAAGGTTCTTCAACTGCAGTTCCAAATGAGAACGATGCCGAAGGACCAGCATGGAACAAGTTCTGGACCTCTTTAGACAATGACGATTCAGATTCCGTCCACTCAGACTCGGTGACAGAGAGTGCCCCAGATATTACACCATCTGAGTTCCAATCTTTTAATGTCGATATCAAACCCTCCGACTCTGTTTCCCATGTTGATTCTCCAAGTGTTCAAAGAACCTCGTTGATTTCTGCAAAAGATGATGATGTTGCATACACATTTAAGTTCAAATCGGTTGCAATTGAAGGCAGAGTTCATCGTATTTCTTTGAGAGCCAGCGAGGGTGTGGCCAGATTGCGTTCATTGATGGATGAAAAATTACACAAGAAGGACTTTGAACTCTTAAGAGTGCAACCTCCCAATGGTGACGAAGACAGAGAAACTTATGCTATAAGTTACATTGATGATGAGGGCGACATTGTGTCCATTACCTCTGACAGCGATTTGGTGGAATGTATCAAAATCAACCAGCTTCTCAAGAATGATAAAGCAGACTTATACCTACACAATCCTCATGAGCCAGCACCAATTGACAGTTTAAAGCTACACTCCGAAAAGCAAAAGAGGAGACAAGGGTCTAGCGATATTATCGAGGGTGTACCCAATGGTGTACTTGTTAGTGGTGCTTTGGCTGTGAGTGCATTATCTGTTGCTGTGATTTTTGCTTTTGGCAGAAAATGAACGATTTGTTCAATGTTTGAACTGTATAACAATTATATGTTTATATAGTACACTAATGCCAGAATGAGATTGTATGGAGATGTAAAACCCTAATTTAATGGATGCAAAACCCTTTCGATGAAGTAAAATAATGTATCTCATGGAAAGTATAATCCAGAAGACCTGTGATGCAGCCAAGTAGATAGTTTACTCTGTAAAAATCTCCATTTATTTTATAATGAAGTTCTATAAGAACAGAGCATTGAAAGCTGTTCATTCTCACCAACAGTCAGTTCCGGAATACTTGTTTCAACGAAATTAGAGAATTTTCATTTAAATGAAAGGTTTATCTAGGGATAAGTCTTGAAGTCCTCCAAATAAAAAGGAAGTAGCATGCAAATCAAAGCTGATAGCTTTCCGTTAGGGAACTAAAAAAGTCAAGATGCAGAACAATTATCTTAACAAGAATTGCAGAAAGTCCCAATTTGGTCAAAAAATCCTGAAGTGAAGTCCCAACAACTGATCATGCCCATAAGTTGGAGAGTACCTGTAGATCACCTATTGTATGTCTGGTTATCATACGCTCACTATTGTGGGGTATCACGTGCAGCGAATCACAACCATCATGAGTAATCCATCCATTGATTAAAATCACCATGTCTTCCACCGTTGTTGGGGCGTTAGCATGCCAGAAGAACTCGTTTCTCAAGACCTTTCAAACCAGCGTTGTTTCTAGTCGTGAGTATGTTCCTCTAGAAACTTCTCGTGATAAACAGAACAAGAACCAGAAGAAGAAGAAGGTGGAAACTCCGCACCAGGTCAAGTATGCCGTAGAGCTAAAGGATACTATCTTGTTCCCTGAGGGAGGTGGTCAGCCATTTGACATGGGAACTATCAAGCTTCCTACAAACGAAGTTATTGAAGTTCAATCGGTGTTGAGAGACAAGTTGACTGCGTTACACATCACCGATAAGCCAGTGGCACCCGGCACCGAAGTCACGCTAAATGTTGACTGGAAGAGAAGAATCGACTTTATGCAACAACATACTGGCCAACATCTCTTGTCTGCCGTGTTTGACACTTATAACTTGGAGACTTTGAGTTGGTCAATGGGGGAGATGATTAATTACATCGAGTTGCCAGAAAAAGTCAGTGACGATATAGTCAACGAGGTCAATGAGAAAGTCAATGATCTTATCTTGGAGGGCCTCCCAATTTCTGTCTCTACTCCAGACGCACACGGCGGGGAAATTGATACCTCTCATATTCCTGACGATTATGATTTATCGAAGGGGATCATTAGAGTAGTGAAAATCGGTGATTTGGATACCAACCCATGTTGTGGAACCCACTTGTCTTCAACTTCCCAAATTCAGGCAATTTCTCTTTTGCATCAGACCAATGTTAGAGGCGGTCACTCGAGATTGCACTTTCTTTGTGGATCTAGAGTTTATCAATACTTGAGACAACAAAACCAAATTTTGAAGAATGTGTCAGGAAATTATCTCTCCTGTCAGATCGAAGAGGTTCCTGAGAAAGTTGAGGCATTGAATGCCAATTATAGAAAGTCTCAATCAAGAGAGTCGACGTTATTGAAGGAGCTCGCTGCTATAGAAGCATCCAAGGTTTTCGAAAAATTCAGCAAATCAGAGAAACTGGTGGACTTTATCTACAAGCCCGAAAACAATCCTGAATTTATCACTTTAGCTCAGAAGGAGTTGGCCACTTTGATCAACACCAATACTGGCTCTGGTGTAGATTTGACCGACAAACAAACGTTGATCCTCTTCAATGGTGATTATCCATCTGGTACAGGTGGAATGGTCAAGGTCCTCGGCCCCAAAGCAGAAGAGGTGCAAACAGAGCTTAAAAAGCGTATCAGTAACTTGAAAGGTGGTGGAAAAGGTACATCATTCCAAGGAAAGATTGGTAAATATGAGAAGGGCGAGATTGAAAGCGTGTTTTCTTACTTGGAGAATTTGGAGTAGCGGAGCCGAGATTGATACCAATTGGTGACGATTGATTGAGCCATGATGCCTATGTGAGTGGTTAGTAGAATATAAAATATATATGTGTCTAGATCATACAAGTTAGTAACAATTCAAAAAAATTACTCTCGGTGTAACTAACGAAACACAATATGGGCTCGGCTACAGGTGGATGATAACTGGAAGCTAGCTAGGCTAGCACTTCATTAAATATATACAAGACTAACGCTTAACCCAGGTTGGAGACTTTCTGGCCTTGACCTTACCCGGCTTCTTTCTCTCCACAATTCTGCTGTCACTGGTCATCAAACCGGCCTTCTTCAATCTAGGCTTGAGTAAGGGGTTGAAAACAATCAATGCCTTTGCAACAGCGTACATCACAGCTTCAACTTGCCCGGAAACACCACCTCCGCTGACGGTAGCGAAGATGTTGTAACCACCCTCTTGACCGATCACCTTGAATGGGTAGGCCAATTTTTGACGGTCTGAGTCTCTTGGGAAGTAATCAGTGACAGATCTACCATTGACCAAGATCTCCCCCTCTCCTCTCACAACTTGGACTTCAGCACTGGAGGCCTTTCTCTTGGCCTTACCAAAGGCTCTACCGAATTCGTCAAGAGTCTTTTCTTTTTGGGTTAATGTGAGGGAGTCACCTGAGTTGTTTCTGTACTTTTCCAATACTTCAGAAACTTCCTTGGGCATTAATTGTGAATCGATACTTCTTAATCTATGCAAAGCTTGAGTCAATTCCTTGAAATGCAAAGCCTTGAATCTGGTACCAGACTGGGTCATTTCTTTGTATGTTTCAAACGAGATGAATTTGGTGGCACGAAGTTCTTCATCAGTAAGTAATCTGGTTGGAAGGTTGATATACTTCCGTATTATGGCGTTTAACTCGTTCATGTTCTCTTCATGAACCGGAATACCTCCGAAAAAGGTTTTCAACTTGGGAATAACTCTCAACCTTTCGGCCTCTGCATGGTACAATCCTCCTAATGTGACATCACGACGTATGGTTATTTTTGCGTTCTTTATTCTTTCCTTCAAGGTTGGAGGAACCAAAGGTCTTCCCTGCTCTTGCAACCTGGTTGCAGCAGTAGAGAATGCTCTACGGGGGATCAAACCCACCCTGTTGACCGAATGCCTCAAAGCCATTGTGGATGATGCTAACATTTTCTCAACTGAAAAATTTATCGACGGTAGCTCCAGATCACGTGACGAAAATGAGTGATCTGTCTGAGTATTTTTGGTGGTAGCACCAGTATAATCTGAATGGCCTCCATCCAAGTAGATGTAGACTGATATCAGCCAGCATTCACGGGATGGTGAGCCGGTAGTTGGACAATTATCGCCCCGTTATCAAACGTAACCACGTATTGCAAATGCAAAATTGCCAGTAAAACAACCTTTTGGATGCTTATTAGCTGGTCGAGGACTTTATTAAAATTCTATAATACATACAAGGAATTAAACCGCATCAATTCGTTTGATCATTGGCCCCATGGGGCTTGTCGACAGAAAGAAGGCTGGAAACGTTGGACTTGTAGCCGTTTGAGGGAGCTGGCTCCGACAGGTTATTGAGGAGATCATTAAGATTCTGCCTAGCAGGAGCAATAGTAGAAACGGATAGAGGTTCCTGTTTGACTGGACTGGAATCGGAGTTTAAAAGACTCATGATGGACGACCTTTGAGGGGGAACAATAGCGGTAGGTATTGGTGCTTCCTTTGGAATTATTGGCACTGTGGAGTATGTATGGCTGGTTGGAGGCGAGGGTTGCGACTGCGAAGTTGGTTCTGAAACCACTGGTTTCGCCTGGGGAATTGACCGGGGAGGTTGAGTTGCCGGCAGGTCCGCCAACAAAGAATTGATTCCCATTCGAGGTGGATTTGGGGTAGATATGGTGGCAGCAGCCCCATGATGAAAGGTGCCGTATGGAATATAAGCAGACTGAGGAGCCGGTGATTGCGATGTAGTCACCGTGGTGATAGCAGCCTCAGAAGCACTGGTATCTTTGGATGGTTCTTTGTGTGCTTCTGTTGTATCCGCCTTTTGTTCTAGCTTAGTACTTAGGACGGCAGCAAATTTTGCTTCCAATCTTTGGTCGGCAGCTTGTGCTATTTCATTCCAACCATTTTTTTCAGCATTTCTTTGAAAATAGTTTCGTACCATAGTCGCTGTCTTTGTGGTCAATTTATCAGCAATAGTTGTCCATTTTGTTCCGTGCTCTTGAAGTAATTCGGGAAACAAATTGGCTTCGGTGATGCTCCAATAGCTAGAAATTGTTTTTCGACGCTCCTTTGAATCTTCATGCACCGGTGATGCACCATTGACCTTTATAGGTATGGCCGTATCAGAGACCACCAATCCGTTAGGCACAACTTCCTTCTCGATTTGTGTCGCCTCAATCGGTTTTGTAGATTCAAGCTCATCATTATTCATGGGAACAGCTATTGTTGGGGTAACTTTGGTAGATGTTTCACCTTCGTGTGCTTTCTTTGATTTTTTTTTTGCTGGTTCTAAGTCAATCTCAGAACTTTTGAGGGGTTCATCAATATTGCTTTCTGCACTACGTTTGTGGGCCCCATTAATGGCTAACTCATCGCTGGAAGGATTGACCGAACTCTCCGGCATCGAATTCTCTGGCACTGCAATTTCCGACAATGAACTTTCTGGTACTGAGTTCTCCGGGGCAAGCTTCTCAAGCAATGAATCCTCTGACTTTTTCTCAAGCGCAAGCGTAGCTGTTTGTTCTTCATTTGGGGTTACCAAGGGTGTTTGAGTTTGAGAAACATTTCTCGATTTCGAAGTTTTACTTCGACGGCCTGCCTTTTTGGACAACTTCTTCTTGTGCTGCGCAAGCAATTGCTTGTAATTGACTTCTTTTTTGGTGACATAGTAATGTATCACACAGTCTTGTGCAGTTCTTAAACCACCCATATGTCTTGAAATGGCACCAAATCTTTTAGGATAATGGCAGAATCCCTCACAGAATAATTCATGCTCCTTCTTTGAAAAATTGTCCACAAAGTCTGTTTTCACACGGTTCGCCCATTGCTTCTTGTCATTCACTAAGTTGTTGGCATCCATGAATTTAAATTGTTCTCTCTCTATTGGGTCGAGAATTAAGTCAGGGATTTGCGCAGCAACTCTTTCGGCTTTGATCAAAGGCTCCTCATCATTCTCTTTCCCCAATGATTGAAGGATTTCTTGGAACTCAGCTTCAGTTGTGACTAAATCTCCATGTCTTCTATTCCGGCGATTACCAGAATTTGATCCTTGAAAGCGATCCGGAGGTCCTGCTTCAGCACCATAGAGCGGATTTTGCTTCCTGGTATCACTTGCATCGATTTCCTTTCTCATTTCATCATCAGGAGGGTGAAGCAAACGTAATTGTTGATCCATTTGGATACTTTCTTCTTCCCAAATCTTTAATCCTCTTGAGTATTCACGCCATAACGCAATTCTTTTTCTATGAATCGCCTCATTTTGTGTTTTCAACTTATTGATCAAGGTATCCTTGTTATTGACGAAATGCTTATAGTTTCTCGCAAAGAAATAATATTGATGAAAGTCATTAACTGGTTTTGCTAGGGAGTATTTTAAATAATTCAAACCGTTCGGATGTGTAAAATTTTTGGAATACTCAGTTTTCAAATTTTCCAACTCTGTTTCTAATTCAGTCAATGGATAAGTGCACCCATCTGGATAACATACTTCATTCGATACATCCACCTTGGTAAAAGATTTAGGTTTCTGTTGTGGGTTTGCATCAATGCTCTCAAGAGCAGATTTGGTATCGACGATAACTTCTGCCTTTTGCTCTTCATCTTCATCTTCATCTTCCTCGTCTTCTTCATCTTCATCCTGATCATCTGCATCACCTTTGGTATCAATTTCTTCCTTCGTGTTGACTTTTGAGTAATCTACCCCCTCATGATCGTTATCAAGTATCCTTGAATCGTCCTCGTCCTCTGTCATTCGATTTGTCTCATCTTCATCGTTGCTTGCATTAGGGGAATAGTGGTCAGCTTCTTGTTTTACCCTAGTTTCCAATAGTTCTTCTGGCTCAACACTGTGATTCCTTGATTTCGAATGATTAGATGCATCCAGGTGATAATTGTTAGAAGAGTATCGATCTACCAGCTTGGAAGAATTATATCCAGACGAGAAAGAATCTCTGGATGAGGGGTAATATGTATCACCTGCATTACGCTTAGTACCAACTGCACTATTGACAAGGGCAGATGACCCCCCTGTGGAATAGGACGATCCTCGTACTCGGTCCTTTGAAAATCTTGATGCTGAACCAGACAAAGTTCCTCTATTGCCTGAAACTGGGATTTTATTTGCATTGTAAGCTGATGACGAGAGAGATGAGGATTTCCACTTGGAACTTCCGCTAGTTGGTGGTATATCTTGTTGTGAGTAGGAGTCATATCTATCTTTTCTATAATCGTTGGATGAGGATGTTGGAGGGGCACCACTTGAACTGAGACTACTTCTGGATGAGTACAGTTGCTTGTTTGATGATGATAGTCTGGAGTCTCCGCTATTCCCTTTTATTCTATCCGATCTCCAAGTATCGCCCCTTGAATTGTAGTAGTTACCGGTTTCACCGGCCTTGGACGTTCCATTTGATGAAAATGTGTTATAGCTTCCGTAACTAGGATAATATGAGCCATAAGAAGAACCCTTCAGAGGACCAGAGTACTGGTCACTTATGTACAGACGACTGTCTCTTACATTTGGCCCACTTACACTGTTCCCAGACGAGGTGAGGCCTTGTCCCACATTGCTCTTGTAAGATCTATTGGCACTTGCTGGTGGTACCGTTTCTTTACCACCCAGGGGTCCACTCCCGCTCTTATAATCTCTTCTTGAAGTGCTGGGGGAGTAGAAATTCTTCCGTCGTGATTTGTTATAGTCGGGATAATCACTTCTATCATTGTATCTGCCAGACGAGGGTCCTCGAGACCCAGATGACATATTAGACGATGATGATATGGGTTTGGTTCTATATTGTGTGCTTGAAAATGATAGCTGGATAGTGTTTGGTTTGGTAGTTCTCTAGAGAGTGTTTACCGCTATTTTTGAACTTGATGTCTTTTATGAGTATCCAATTATAGACCATCAGTTGTTCAGAATGAGCAAAAACTTATGGGTAGTTCAAGCGGGTATCCAAAGCAAGATTGGATTAGCTGAACGATATCGATACTGGTTAGTTTCACAAGTGTTCTATCACACCATATTAGCGTCACTTTGTAATCTTTTAAAGATTTTTCTCCTACTGGACTATGTGCAGTCCCAAACATGAAGCTGGTAAGTCCAAATAGGCAGACTACGGCAATTTTGGCAGATGCTTTGTTCATAGTACAGGTTGAAATAGGACTGAGGAGCCGCTAAAACCTACAGTATAGATGTATCAGTGAAGCTAATTTCCGAATTGTAGAGGACTCTAAATCTGTCCAGATTTGTAGGGAAATTCGAATTTACTCAAGCAAGCATCGGCGAGCTGACAGCAAATGGCCTGTCAAAATGTGTTTCCTCCAAAATCGCTTTTTATAGACAGATGCACCGGCTGAGACAAGATTTAACCAGGTTATTCCTGAAGAACAGGTATTATCAAAAGTCACGTGTCCAAATCTTAGTACGGAGTGTCACTATCATTCACCCACTTAATCCATATTAATTGATAGTTACACTACAAGTCAGTCTAAGTCTATGAATTATTTATGTATAATACAGAGCATGGCTCAGCCATAACTAACTATGCAATGTGACTGTTGTCACTCATTTTCCCACAATTCTCTTCAATATGCCAACATCCCCAATAGATTTGATCACGTCATCAAAAGGGACATTTGGCCTGATGATTTTGTTTCCAATATCAACGTTGAATACGTTACATTTCAACAGCTTTTTCTCTCCCAAAGTCACTACCGAGGTGGATTCCAATGCAGAGATGATTTCCAAAAACTCCCCCTTCTTAAGATTTCCAAGCAACTTTTCGATGTCAGGCTGCTTGATATAGAAATCGTAGAGAGTATTCACATTGATATCCTGCCCTTGGTGAGTGAATAGGCAACACAACACGGCTTTCTGAAGTAGGTTCAATGAACTTAATGATTTTTGGCCAAAGGAAGACGAGCAGATTTTGGCGACATGGGGAATCAATACTTTGGGGCAGTCCAACCATGTAAGTGAAGATATGTCCTTGTTCTTCTTCTTAGTGTTCTCTTCGACCACCTCTATGCTCTTGTAGACCATGTCAAATGCTTTTCTGAGATCTCCAGTGATGCTGGCCGATTTCTTACAGCACAATTGAATGGCAGAAGGATGAAAGATCGGGATATCATCGGCACAGTTTTCCTTGTCTTCGTCAGGTATCAAGCTCCTCAATTTTCCAATAATGACCGCCTTGATTTGCTCGAATGTGTATGGTAAGAACTGCAACGCCTGCGGATTCAAGCCGTTCCGTTTCAAACGAGGCAAGAATTTGTCAGTCAAGTCCAATGCGTTGGAAATTCCTATCAAAACAAGTTTGGTATTGGTGTCGCTAGTAGGAGTGGCGATTCGGAAGAGCTCAAAGAGGATCTGTTGATCTCTGGTGATCAAGCAATCCATTTCGTCCAACACAACCACCACGGAGTTCAACTCCAATTCCTTGTTATTCAAGAGTTGCACCAAGTCATCAAATGTCTTTCTCTTGCGGTATGAAATGGAGAGAGTTCCCACTACTTGACTGTAGATTTCATGAAAAATGTGTTCCGGAGCGTTCAAGGTCATACAGTTGATCTGGATAACTTTTGCAGTAGCACCATTAATTTTAATATTCTGACCTGAGGAAAGAGCCTTGAAAGACACGTTGATCTGCGCAGTTTTGCCGGTGCCAGGAGGGCCTGAGATATATAGACTGTTGGAGGTATGGTTGGTGATATTATCGAGTAAGAAGCGGTTGAGACACAGGGCCTCAACTTCTCTGCTGACCAATGGACTGGTGTAGTCTGCAGAACCTCTTTGGAACAAAGCCTTGGCTTGTGTGTAGATGGAGGGTTTTGAGGTCGATTTGGTGGGAGTAGAAGGGGCAGTGAATAAACGGGCCACTCCTTTGTTTGAATCTGTGATGGAGGTCTTTGTGGGTGTGGATGCAGGGGAGAGTAAGCCTGAGGTGATTTGCTTGGTGGGTGTGATCAACGTAGAGTGGAGTTTCTGCTTCTTGGGAGTTGAAGGAGCGATGTTGGAGATATCCCTCATTCTCTTTTGGGATGGAATCTCCGAGCAGTTGGAGACATCACTTAAGACGTTTTCGGATCGCACCATCTTGGCTGGAAGGCAGGATTGATGCTATAAGGAATGGAAATGGGAATACCCTAAAAGTGGTGTAATTGAAGTAATGGCTCTAGTTGTAGCTAGTGCAGCAAGGAATGTATGTGGCGATCGAGGGAACGCGACAGGATGAAAAGCGAAGGAAGATGATGTAGAACTGAAGTGTGTAAGCCGTCAAGTTCGGGAAGCTCACTCGATATATATCCAAGTCATCTTACACGTCTGACGCGTAAATGTCAATTACGCGAGTATTTCCCAAAACGGAAGTATAATGAAGGCTGGCTGGTTTCTGGGGAGATAGACTGTGGCCACTACAGTGCCACAGGGGGTGTCACGAGGACTGAAGCAGGCCATGCCAGTGATGTAGATGTGAAGTATTGAAGAATAGCGTACACTCAACGGAAACGATTATTCACTCTCTTTCTTTGCCATCTCTTCTAGTCAAGATACTGGCCTATACGGAAACCTGATTGTCTGTGGCCTCGCTAGATTTGTAGACACCAAAGGCTACCAGATAGTGACCGCTGGAGTGATATTGCCAGGTAGTGGAAGATCGTAAATTTAATGCATTTGCACACAGTGGATGGAAACGGCTGAACCTGCTAAAGTCGGTTTACTGAAAACCTACCATTATTCAAGCATAATGGTAGAACCATGGGATGGTAGATGCTCTGAAAATCTAGGTGCCACTACCATGCTTGTGCTATTTACTTACCAGTCCAACGATAACCATCTGCCACGATGAAATTTCTTCCATTAATAGTTATACTCTCACCTTTTATTCGTTAGAACGACTGCCCAAGGGAAACTACCCCAGAAGAGCGCAGGATCAGCAACATTTGTCGATGCAGTCGTCCCAGTAGACTCCCTTAGTGGATCTCTGTTTTCCTACGTGATTCAGAATACCTGACAGTTTATTGATATCCGTAAACAGATCAGGCCCAAAATTATTTGTTGATTTTCGTACCATACACACCATATTCTGGCCCATTCACAAGTGTACATTGAATACTATACATCGCCCTACTCAGCTTGCCCCATGGCCTCTTCCACGGCCCGCAACACCCGCGTCAACGACTCGTTCTTGCGCACCGCCATGTACATGTCCTTGGGCTCTACCGTGGTCCTGCCTGCGTGGTGAGCAAACATCTCGAGGTCCTCTCCGAGGATAATAAGCTGGTTGTACACCAACTCTACCAAGGTGGCAATGTAGGTGGGCGAAGCACCCACCTGAGCAGGCAACTTCTGTTCCACCATCCGCGCCACCATGAGGTACACCGCCGACTTGAGCTGTCCTGTGTCGTCCATGGCGATGTGGTTGAGAGGGTTTGGTCGTAGGAATGGCGGTTTGGTGGCACTCAGTTTGCACTGGTCCCGCGCACTCCCGCGCGCTAGCGCCAATGTCGCCTCACCCTCGCCAGCGACCCCATTTGGGTACGCTCGCTTATCCCCCGGGGCCTTCCCAGGCCCATCACCGCACCATTCGCCGGCGGGGCCTCGCCGGTCAGGCCCCCTGGGCTACCCAACGGAAATCTCTCCGCCCAACTACGTCATAACCAGTCACTGGACGTCGGTGGAGCCACCACCCCACTGGCGCCGTCCGTAGCCCTCGCTAGCTCGCCACAGCCCTCCCAGCCCTCGCTAGCCTGCGCCGCTGGTGTTTATTCCTACTAGCTATTCGATCTCGAACTACCTTTTTGAGACAGCCACTCACTCCGCCTGCGGCACTTTTGTAGAGCCGCCAATCCATCACCAACCGTCGCCACGCTCTTCCAGCGCCCATCACCTCGAATATCTGCCCAGGCGCCATGTCCACCCCGGCCCGAACCAACAAGGGCCTCTCCTACGTGCTAGGAGACAACAATGTCCACGAAAACCACATCTTGCCCGTCAATGCCTTGCAGTACTCGTCCCAGTACCGCCAGCTCTACACTGCTGGACGGGACGGTACCATCAAGGTGTGGGACAGCGACCATGGCCGCCAGTCCGGTCTCAACCACACACACACCGACCCTCCCTCCGACTACCAGGATATCGACGAGCGCCTTTTGAAGTTGGAGACCAGCATATCGTCCAATCCCATTCCCTGTGGTGGCGGCGATTCTACCCCCGCCACCTACTCCATCGTGGACAACTACAAGATCCACTTCGACTGGATCAACGACTTGAAGCTCGTTAATAACGACGCCAACTTGGTCTCGTGCTCGGCTGACCTCTCCATCAAATTGATCAACTTGAAGCAGTCGCCAGACACAGATTCCACTACAGTGCACAAGTTCCCCAACTACCACACTGACTACATCAAGAAGTTGTCCTACAATACCACCCACAACCAGGTTATCAGTGGTGGCTTGGACGGCCGCATCATCGTGTGGGACTTGCTGACCTTGAAGCCCACTAGGCACCTCAGCAACGCCATGGCCGCCGTCAACAACCCTACCACATCCTCCTGCTCCATCTACTCGTTATCCAACAACCAGTCCAACCTTATAAGTACGGGCGGCTCCAACAACTCCATCAATTTGTTTGACAAGAGATCCCAGAACCCATTCATCAGAAAACTCATCGGCCACCAGGACAATATCCGATGTTTGCTCATGAATGACTCCTTTATTCTCAGTGGCTCCTCCGATACCTCGGTCAAGTTGTGGGACTTGAGGAACTTCAAGGTCTACAAGAACTTCGACATCCACGACTATCCTGTATGGTCCTTGACAAGCGAGTCCAACGATTTCTCAGTGTTCTATTCCGGTGATAAGGGTGGTAATATCATCAAAACTGATCTCAGTTACCTTCTGTCTCACGATAATACCCAGGACTTCCCTGAATTCGACACCTTCACGTCTACGGACGCTGCTAATGTGGACGAAAAATTGGGCCTATCTACCATTGTAGCTCAAGGAGACTCCCCAATATTGTCATTGTGTTACGAAGACAAAACTATATTTGCTTCTAACTACACCTCTTTGAACAGATATCACGTTCCAGATATTACTAATATTTCTAAGTACCAGTACTTGAGAACATGTCTCGACTACACTATCAACAAAGAGATCCAGTTGAGTGATGAATTTGCTTCCGGTATGCCTATTGATGGGGCTCCTACCTCGAATCCCAACGAAGATTTAAATTCGGACTTTTATGATATCGTCAGTCATCTATCTGTGGATACAAATGCGTACGACATTCAGTCCACCTTCTCCAATAACGCAAACCTATTCAATGATTTGGATAACACAAACGATTCGGACTACGATGGAGAAGAACAGGACGAGGACCAATACTTGTCCATGTTCTTAGATATTAACGGAGGCGCATCTAAAGAATTCGTGAATATGTACAAACAAGAGATATCAGATGACGAAAACAATCCTTTTGATGATCCGAGGACCGGCACTCAGCATACAGCATCGGGCCATGTCCTGACCATTGATACTACTCCTGTGGAGATTTTGTTGAATTCGATTCCTCAGAGTCAAATTTCACTAATTCCTTATAATAAGGCTCCATTCTCAGAATATCAAATTGTGCCTAAATCCATCATTTCCAAGAGGCTTTTCAGCAATAAGAGAAGGATGCTTGTTCTTTATCTCAATGGTGATATAACTATATGGGATATTCTTCTTTGCAAGGAGATCAAATCATTTCCTTACCCAGTACCTATTAATCAACCTTTAGCTGGTGATTCTCTAGAGAGAAGGCTTAAAGAAATGGACACGATTTATCAGAACAATCAAAGTGACGAAACTCTTAACAATTGGTGTGATGTTGAGATCAAAGCAGGGAAGCTTTTGGTTACAATCAAGGAAACTAGTTTCATGAATGTCGAATTGTATTATGATGACCTCATTAAAGATTACCCCTCTGCCTCGTTAGATCACCCCGATAACCAGAAATTGAAGAAGATGGACAAGATCAGCGTCAATAAAGATGATAGGTTCCATATTGGATCTATTCTCTTAAATTCTTTTTTCAGGCAATATGCATTGTTCGAATGGGAATTCGATATCAAGGTCAGAGAGGAAATGAGGACATTGACAAGAAACAATAAACAATTGGAGGCTGCCGGAACCGAATACAGTGGGAGTATCAGACAATCGAATGGCCATAATGGAGTTGATCCCGGTTCGGTAGGATCGGGGTTGAGAAAGTTGAAATACTTTGGAAGAAAATCCTCCAAGACTAACGTGTCAAATCTTTCACTTGCATCAGCACAAAACTCACAGCAAGCTAGTCCAATAGTTTCCACAAACACGAGTATAAATGATTTTGCGATTGACTCTGATCCTGTTTCAGAATTCCTTAAGTTTAATGGTGATAACTTGAAGAATAGCGCTGGTGCACCAGCGGCTTACTCGACGTCGGATTATGATTGTTCAGTAATGAAGTTATTGCAGAGTAACAAAAAGGTTTATTGGGAAAAGTACCATTACCCTACATACAATGTAAAGTCTGGAAAGCCTGTTGATACAATGCTACGTGTTAACCATATTGATCCTACCTTGGGTGAAAATAACGAGGAGGAAATCTCTTACATGCCAATAATCCAACCTTCAAGATTGCCCCCAGACTTATTAATTACCATTTTTGAACATTCCCCAGAATTAGGCAATTATAGAGATGTCTGCAGCTTCCATTTGGAAGATATCTCAAATATCAGAGAAAGCTCAAAAGAGGAAATGATCAAGAACTTGAGACTACAACTTCCCAGGTGGCTTGGATTATCCGTTTTATACAACAAATGGCCCGAGCGGGAATCTCCCAAGATCTCCTTCCAGCTTATGGAATGTGAGTACCATTTGTTGGAGCCAGATCAAAAGATTGGAGGGAAGTCCCAAAGAAAAATCAAGAAGTTACCAGTCCTAGAAAGTTCAATCAAGCTTACTTCGCACAATATGTTGAGAGTAAGTAAAATCTTGTATTACTTAAGCGAGAAGTTTGAGTCTAAAACCTCGGAAATGAAGGATAAGAAGCTAGTACCTACAGATTGGTTAGCCATAGATTGTCGAGGCCAGGAGCTTACTAACGACATGACCTTGCAAACCATTAAAACCAAGATCTGGAAGAGCAGTGCCGATGTTGAGTTGAGATTTAGAAGAAAATATGACAAATAGACCCCGAACAATACTCATTTATAGCACCTATAGACGCTATTGATGAATAAACGAGATACGAAAATAAAACATGTAAATGTGCAGCGAAAAAGGAGATATTTCAGCCAAGAGCCTAGACAAAGTGACCACCAGACAGACCAGCTCGACATGCGAAACAAAAGATGTTTAAATAGTTAATAAAAGGTTACCTTTTTAGAATGGTGAAGAGAAAAGAGATTCATCGAAAATAACGTGAAGACACTTCAGGCCATTTTAGAGTGAAACAGGACCCTATGGATGATAATGTCAGCGCAAGAGGAAGATCGCCAATCTTGGACTTCCCTGCACCTGGCGTTATCGCTGGCTCTGTCAGATGACTGTGCACGTGATTAGCTAGGTGAGTAGAAATTTTTGTCGATGAGAAACTCTCCACAACACAGCACAATGGAGGACGCCGACAGAACCATATCACGTTTGTTTAGATCGTTCAAGACGGTCAAGGAGATGGTCAGGGACAGGGTAAGTACCTCAAACTTGAGTGGGATTATCTGCGAATACTAACCGTTAGGGATACTATATCACCCAACAAGAAATCGATATGTCCTTAGATGAGTTCAGAGCAAAGATCTGTGACAGCATGGGCAATCCACAAAGAAAATTGATGTGTTTCCAAGCCAATCCTACTGCCGAGTCCTTGGAAAAGTTCCCCGAGTTGGGATCGTTGTGGGTCGAATTCTGTGATGAGGCCTCAGTGGGCATCAAGACCATGAGAAACTTCTGTATCCATATTAGTGAGAAGAACTTCAGCACTGGTATTTTTATCTATCAGTCATCTATCACTCCTAGTGCCAACAAGTTGATTCCAACCGTTTCTCCAGCTTCTATAGAAACCTTCCAGGAGGGAGATTTAGTTGTCAACATCACCCATCACGAGTTGGTTCCAAAGCATATCAAATTGTCCCGCGACGAAAAGAAAGAATTGTTGGAAAGATATAGATTGAAGGAATCTCAGTTGCCAAGAGTTCAAAGAGAAGACCCAGTGGCCAGATACTTGGGTTTAAAGAGAGGTGAAGTGGTCAAGATTATCAGAAGATCTGAAACCTCTGGACGTTATGCATCCTACAGAATCTGCTTGTAGGGAAGGCAGAGCCATATTTGATAGTATCTGTTAAATAGAATGTAATATAGTGACTAGTGATCTAGTGAGTCTATGTAGGAACTATATGGCGGTAGTCGACTCGAGACGCTTTGGAAAAGCACACAATACTGAATCTTGGACCCCCGTCCACCACTTGACCGCAGTCAAGTTTACATGCTTGCTTGGACTGACTTCGACTCCTTCGTTTCCCAAAAAGACAGGCCCCACCGTGATAATAATACTGTCGATCAAGCTCGAGCTTACCAACAAATCATTGATAATCTTGGCACCCCCTTCAACCATCACCGAATGCACTCCAAGCTCTAAGAGCTTCTTCAAGATGAGACTCCAGTTGTCCCCTCTGTTTGCCAACAATGGGAGACGCACAAGCTTACCTCCAGCCAGCTCTAATATGGTGGATTCAGTAGGCCCCACTGACTCATCAACGAGGATGTATGGGGCGAGCCCCTTACCAGACTCGTTGATCTTGCGCAATGTTGACTTGGTATAGTCCCATTGAGCCTTAGGGTCGATAACAATCGGCCTAGGGCTGAAGGTGTTACCATCTTCCGTGAATCTGCAGTTCAATTTGGGGTCATCGGCCAATACCGTACCAATACCCACCAATATCCCATCATACCTCGAACGAAGGTAATGGGTCATGGTCTTGGTCTCAAGATGAGAAATGACGGTCTGCTGGCCTGGTTTGGACGAGATACGAGAATCAAGCGACTGGGCATAAGTCAACGTAACGAAAGGTCTCAAGGCATCTTGCTGATTTTTTTGGGGTAGGTATGACTCAAGAAAGGGCTTCAAGGACTCAGGAAGCGGAATAAGCGACATTCTAATGGTTTCAAGCGGTGACCAGTGGGTGGTCCATTGTGATATTCTTATCGATTGGCGGTCATACTCAGTTGTGCGCGGAACAATTAGATTCTAAGAATTGCAGCAATTACATCCTACTCTTAAAGCTAGATGTTACGCCTAGATCAGCCGTCCATCAAGTGCACTCTAAGCAAGATTCCGCACCAGTGGCGATATCTTTAAGTGTATGAATGAGCTGCTATTCGAATTATCCGGCCCGCTGGGGCGGATGAAACGAAATGCCCAACTAAAAAATCTATATATGACTACTAATACCACCACTCACAGCAGCCATACAACGATGAATTGTTCGTCGTTAGTTTAACAAATCTGGAGCTCAGTTCTGCAAATTGGCACAGCAGATGCATGTGCTGACCAGTAACCACCCCTCTATGAATAAGGATAACCTAAATGCTGCAATAGTTGAGGACACACTGAATAGTGACCTTAGCACAGCCAAAGTACACCAGGTAATGTACACAGGCTGCTGTATGAGCGTGATTGGATTTGGTGATTCTGTTAATTGTGGTAGTTGACTAGGGCCCTTTGGGTTGAACAATCTTAAGCAAACAACGACCCCTTGTGCCAATAATGACAGCATCATTAACTGGACGTATTTTCAAGCTCTTCGGCTCTTCTTTTCACCCCTCTTAACCTGTCTTCCTTGGCCGTCTCCTCCGTTTGCAAAAGTTGTCTGTCTCTAAGGAAACGAAGCCTTTCCCTTTCCTTCCATTGCTCAAACTCCTGCTCGGGGTCTAGGTCATCAGTGTCATCGACACCATCGAAGTCATTCTTTTCGGAAACATCAGGCGATTTGGTCCCTTTGGACTCGAGCTTGGAAATAATAGTCTTGGCCTGGTCCTTCACTACTTCTTTGGTATCCAGTTCAGCCTTCTTGCCTTTCTTCACGAATACGGGCTTTAGAACCTCCTGGCTTGATTCACTCGACGTGGACTCATACTCGCTGCTTTCCTCACTACTCATGTTGAAGTTTGATATTTGAGTTTTCGCTGATAACTCCGAACCGAGCAAGTGCCGAACGAACGGACAATCGCAGATGCATAATATTCCCAAATTTATCCATATTCTGACTACATAAACTAGCTGCCATACAACATCCTGATCGTATCAATGAGAATTACGTTCACCACAACCTTGTTTAAGCACCACCGGTCTTAGCAGAACAGTGCACGTGATGCAATCTGTCAAAGGACTAGACTTGGATTGCGGCTCATCAGTCCCCTCTCAAATAGGGGTCGGCATAGCCGACGGACACCCCGCATATCACTATGCCTACTTACATGTGCTAGTAAGCGTTAGCATGAAAAATTTTACGCGTTAAGCACAAAAACCACCAACAATTCCTGCGCGATTCTCGCGTTTCGTTTGTTTGGATAGTGTTGAGATTATTGATAGTCAAAGGATTAAGCCTCCCATAAGCTCAACAGAATTCCACGGTCACTGACACAAATCACTGACTAGCCGATACATAAGTCCTCAGGTTTGCCTAGACATATATCCCGAAATTTGCCCTTTTCCTCTAGGCATCCAGCTTTTATCTCCCATTTACGTGACTCTGAGTCTAACTTGAGTCTTCTTTTCAGTCCCGTGAATTTCGCATCGAGTCGCATCTGCAAGTGAGTCCCCCACTATACGGATCATTTTCCAGCCTCGTTCAAGTCGTTTTTTCATCAACGTACAAGTCACTCTTTTTATCATAACACATTGAAGATGTCATTCAAGGTACAAGTTCCATCGTTCGATGTTCCTTTCGGAGTCCAGTTATGGCCGTTGTTCGACCAGGCTGTTGCTACTGCCTCCCAAGGTAAGTTTGTTCCTTCCCAGTTCCAATTTATCGCTGGTGAATTACCTTTCTCCACCCTCCCTCCCGTTATTGCTGCCATCAGTACTTACTATACTGTCATTTTCGGAGGTGACTTTATCTTCAAGAAGTTCGGTATCAAACCATTTGTCTTGAACGGCTTGTTTCAAATCCACAACTTGTTCTTAACATCCCTCTCGTTCACCTTATTGGTCTTAATGGCTGAACAATTAATTCCAATCATTTACCACCACGGTTTGTTCTATGCCATCTGTAACAAAGGTGCCTGGACCCAAGAATTGGTTTGCTTGTACTACTTGAACTACTTGACTAAATTTACTGAGTTCATTGACACTGTTTTCTTGGTTGTTAAGCAGAAGAAGTTGACCTTTTTGCACACCTACCACCATGGTGCTACTGCTTTATTGTGTTACACTCAATTGATCGGTTTGACTCCAATCTCTTGGGTTCCTATCACTCTTAACTTGGGTGTCCACGTTGTTATGTACTGGTACTACTTCTTAGCTGCCAGAGGTATCAGAGTTTGGTGGAAGGAATGGGTTACCAGATTCCAAATCATCCAGTTTATCTTGGACTTGGGTTTCGTTTACTTTGCCACTTACCAAAAGATTGTTTTCACCTACTTTTCTGACTTGACTTCTGTCTTGCCAGTTTGTGGTGACTGTGCTGGTACTATGTTGGCTGCATACTCTGGATGCGCCATCTTGTCTTCATACTTGGTCTTATTCATCGCTTTTTACATCGACGTTTACAGAAGAAAGTCGTCCAAGAAATCCAAGCTTGTCAAATCTGTCAAGGGAGGTGTTGCTGCCAGAGTCAACGAGTACGTCTACGTTTCTGGTAGATCCGATACCCCAACTCCTCCAACCGAGGTCCAGGTCCGTTCTAGAAAGGCCTAAGAGAATATCATCACTTGATGTATTTCACTGTTCAGGAAAAGCTATCTTGACATGAGCAAACTAGTTAAAATTAATAAAGATACTTACAATAATATGATTCTAATAACTTCAAAACGGTAGACAAGTAAGGGCTGCTTGTTGTACAATATACAAGATAGACGGATCAGTAGTTCTTCCACTTGCCTGATTCTAAAATGCCCAATTCGAAGACTCTATAAATGTAACCATATCATGTGGTTGACATGCTATCCTAAATCACTTGCTCGAAAGTTGGAATACTTTCGACGGCACCGTTCTTCTGAATCACCAAACTACTGGCAATAGTTGCATACTTGACTGCCTCATCAATCTTCTTACCAGAAGCAAGTTTTGTTACCACACCCCCAAAAAATGTGTCACCAGCACCAGTGGTATCGACAACCTTTTCAATCTTTCTAGATGGCTCGAAGGCAACATCTTTGCTTTCTTTTGAAACATAGATTGAACCCTTGGCTCCCATGGTGATGACGATGGTTTGAACGTTGTCATGGTTGATCAAACTTTGCAATTTTCTGGCCAAGTCGGAGAATCCTTGGACCTTGTCGGTTTCAATCGAGCTTTGGAATTGCTCGAGTTCACTGTCACTTAACAAGAACTTGGCGACGTCCAAAGCCTCTCCCTCGTTGAGAATCAAGAGATCGATCTGCTTCAACGTCTTGCTGCTGATTCTCTCAGGCTTGAATGGGGAAGGGTTGTAGGCGATGTTGATGGCTGGCCTGTTAGTCTTGATCCAGTCGATGGTGTTGATGGTATCGGGGTACTCATTCTGCAACATCACGAACTCGGGCTCGGATTCGGGGAAGTACTGGACATAGTCTTCTGCAGTTGGTTTCAAGTCATCGTTGGCTCCACCCGTGATCAAGATACGGTTCTCTCCATTGTGCTTTTCCACCAAAATCACTGCCACTCCTGATGACTTGTTGGCGATAGTCTTGACGTGAGTGGTGTCCACGCTGGCGTCCACCAACGCCTGTTTCAACTCCTTTCCAAAGGTATCATCACCGACATTGCCTACCATTCTGACACTGATGTCGGAGTTCTTAGGCAACAACCTGGCAGCAGCGATGGCCTCGTTAAGACCTTTACCGCCAAGGTGGTTTTCGAATGCATTTGCCTGGAAGGTCTCACCAGCAGCTGGCACCCGATCGGTGAAGGTGACTAAGTCATAGTTCAAAGATCCCACAACCGTGATTTTCATGATGAGAAGCGTTTATATGATAATTTTCAACTACTGAAAGGTTTATGTGGAGGGGCGAGAATATGCAATCTGCACTATTTAAATGATTGCTGCAACTGACTCCAGATGGCCAGTCAAACGCACAGCATGTATTGGACGGTGGGGTAAGATGGCATGGATTGGGGCACTGACCCGAGTCGGGTCTCTCGATCCGACCCCAACGGCGCGGACAGAACATCCGGACCGCAAGCCTACTGCCAAGGCAGCAGGTAAAGACGAGATGAAGCAAATGAGAGTTAGAAGCAGTCTCAGTCCGAGGCTCGAGGTGGTGGAGAGGTAAAGCCGTAACTGAGGATTGCGTAGCCGTACTACATGATCGCTTATTGGCGGATTGATATTAAGTGTTGGTTAATGTCGTAAATCAAACAAATAAATCCTTTAATACTCTTACTATACTAATTAAATACAGAAGTGAAACTGTTATGGGACGCTTCAACTTAATGAAAAGTGTGTTTATAGCAATTATTGTTTCACTAGTTAATTAATTGGCGTCTCATTTTACTAGGAGTTTACAAAGGAATCCGAGTAGTAGTGTTGAATTGAATTTCGGGTAATAATACTTGCTGTTTTCTTACATGCGTATACTTCCATGCGTTCCTGAATAATAGAAGCACATCCAGTAATATTCTTATTCGATTCAATGTGCATTGACAGAATACCAAATCTTAAATGCATTATAGGTCTTCAAATTAAAAAGCGAACTTAATTGGGCCTCTAATTACGTATCTCTTCGTCCAGAGGTTGACAATTGGACATAACGAGCCAGAGACCAAGACTGCTATTGGCAAGAATCGTACTACTTTCAAGACTTTTACCACAATGCAAAATCTCATCATGTAGGGCATAATTGCCATCTTTGTAAGACTGGCTCTCTTGCATAAAAAAGTGATGATTTAGAGTGTAATCACTTTCCTACATCAGTTGTGTTAAAAAGATTAATACTAAATAAAAATGTAAAGTAAATAAAATTTATGCAAGTAATGATTTTGTTAGCAAGCTTGGATGTGTTGATAATGTGTCGAGGTGATGCGTTATGATTGTCTAAGCTGCATAACTCAATAGATCCGTTACTGTTGGATTTTTGGAATAACTCAAGTTCTGTGTCAAGGTCGCATTGGTAGAGGGCCAGAAATTTGGCCCACATTCATGAATGTTTTCTTAAAGGTTCCTAGAACATGGCTGTAATAAATTGTTGACTCCAGCAACAATCTAAATGTGGTTCAGCTCATTATCTGGATAAAATCCATGAGACAACGCTGAATGCTATCCACAAGCAGCGGTTTGGAAACCGGGGAGTCGAAGTTCTTGAGATCCCACAATCCACCAAAAGAACTATCAACTGAAAAACTACCACCAACAAAATACCAAATTGAATACTGTTGTTCGTTGCACTTCTGGGCTCGAGTCCCCCAACTCTCGCCTTTGAGTATGCCCCGCAGCATCTGGCCAAGTCTAACTTGGATTCTGGATTTGGTATATTTTGGTAAATAGTATCAAGTTCAAGTGCATAGATGGATTGGTGTGCCATTAATAAGAAGTATTTATCGTGACCCTGGTCGCAATTATCCGCGGAAGTTGCTGAAGTTTCGTTAGTTTTGAATCTTCTCAAAGAAAGTTTGGTTGGCGATGTTGATCCATTTGAGAATTGCCCTGAATGTAAACTTGAACGGGAAGTTTGCAAATTAATCTGGCCTTCTGGTAGGTCAGATGTCAAATTGAAGATACTAGCTTCAAAAAAAGCATCATTCAAAGCATTAAACAGAGCCTGGCTAGTCCTTTCTTGAAACCCAGACTCCCTCTGAAAGCTTCCTCCAAGATTTTCATCGAAGTCGGTAGACAATAATTTATGGAAGAGTTGGGTTTCCAACTTTTCAGGGAAATCTATGTACTCAACCAATTCCAGCTTAGGAGAATCATTCTGCAACGCTTGGCATTCGGTGGAGTGATCAATTTGAAAAAGACCAATTGTCCGAGTCAGAGTCTTGTTGTCCAAGACTTCATCATCAGAGTTCAACGTTCGCTTAACAAATGCCGAGTTTGTTTCTTCCATGGAAAGATTCTTAAAGTCGATATCTCTAGCTTCCGCATCAGCATCTATGGTAATACCTTGTTCAGAATTATTTAAAAACAAACCAAATGAAGGATAATACTTGAAGTAAAATCTATTCTCCTTAGACAGAGAAGAACGATAGACAGTATTATCATCTTCCAAGTTCACCATACCCTGAGGGTGTTGATCATGTTTGCCAGGATAACTAACTTTCCTATCGACTTCTGGCCGAACCAAGAAACAGAACAAACAAGTCTTGAGAGTAATACTACCACTGAGAACCCACACAAGGAGAAAGACAAGACCAATAAGTGTAATATCCCAGAGTAAACCATAGCAAGGACATCTTGTCGTCCCATTTGCCTCCAAGTGCAAGTTGTCTTGTTCTTCTCGAAAATCATTGCTATTATTTTCAAGTTCAATAGCTTCTAATTGTTTCTTAGTTTGATCTTCCTGACTGAGGCTAGGATTAGAAGTACTCTCAATGACTTTGGGCTGGAAGAAGTAAATGACCAAACAAGACTTGAGGATAATACTAGTCTTAATGCTCCAAACAAGAAAGACAACTAAACTAAGAAGTGTGAGGTCCCTAGCAAAACCAAAAGAAGGATAACTAGCCTCTTCCGTGGCAAATTCAAAAGAATGTTCACCAGAATTTTCAACTGCACCGTTAATTATATCGAGAGATAATGAACACCTATTGACTGGAGTATCGTGCTCTTCATAGGCTTCCAATTCAATGAAACCGGATGGATCATAATTGTCAATATTGTCAGCTTCTTTGTGGACTTCTAAGTCCATGTTTGATCCTAAAGAGCAATAAACTGGTGCATTGGTCGTTTGAGGAGTTTCTCTCTCCTTGATTTGCAGTGCACCTTCGAAGGTGGTTGTTTTTATCTCACTGACTTCTAAGTGCATTAAAGCTTTACCATATTCAGCAAAATCAACGCTAAGATGTTCGGCCTCCTCAACGGCCTCGAAGGGAGAGATGTCTTGGTGAACAACATCTCTAGACATGTCGAAAGTTTCACTAACTTCTAATTGCGTGGATTCTCCAGCTTCTTGATCTATGTCTGGAGCAATATCTAGGAGTTGTAAGATGATTTTGGTGGCTTCAACATCAGCAAAAGAATTGTTAGATGTCCAAATACTTTCGTTCAAATTCATGGAACTCTCAGCAACTTCAGCATCATCAATACAAGGACCGGTGGCTATCTCAATGCCTGGTAATTGCGTATTTGTTCGAGAAGCTTCAACATCAACTCTACGATTCTCGCAGGTACCACCGACACCAAACTGCACGATACTTTGAGCAGCATCCTTGCTAGGAATGTTGACCATCCCACTAGCTTCCAAGTGCGTGTTGAATTGAACTTCTTCATCAATTCCAGGAGTGTCGACCTCCTCAATGGTCTCTAAGCACAAGAAGAATTTTACTTTCTCAGTATCAACGCTTAGAGTGTCGATCTCTTCGATCGTCTGTAAGCGCATGGTGTCTTGGACATCTTCAGCAGCACAAACACTGGAAGTGTTGGAAATCTCATATTTCTCGTCATTGCACTCTAACAGAGCGACATCTCCAGCAACTCCAACTTCGGTAATTTCGGGAGCATCCAAGCGCCCGATGTCTTCAGCAACTTCGACAACATTAATTCTACGAATACTTGACGTCTCACTCTTCTCACCGTTCACTTCTCCATTACTCTTGATCTCAAAGTGAGCAAAGAAGTCATCATCACCAGCATCGGTTCTAGCCCCGCTTTCAGCCCAGTCAAAGTTTTCTGGGATTTCAATATCAAAGGCAAGTTTAGTAATCAATTCAGCTTCTGTAGAAGCTTCAAAAATATTTTGTTGACCCTTTTCATTACTCTTTTCAGGTTGAATACAACAGGAAGAATTAGATCTTTTGGTCTTCCGGGACCTCTTTTTGTTCTTTCTGGATCTATGCTTGGGAGGTCTTGGTTTTCCCTTTGAAACTTCAGCAGGGACATTAGGCTTAATACCATTATCAACACGGGTTTCCTGAAAAGCGACAGCAGCGCCATTTGGTTCAATATTGCTAGTATCTACGTCGGTTTCCTTCAAAACATTAGTAGACTTAACAATACCATCGTCAACTTGAAATTCGTGCGAAACCCCAGTGGCCATAGATGGTTTTCTCAGACCATCATCATCAATATTCGATTCCTTCGAAACTTCAACAGCCATATCAGGCAAAATCATACCAGCAACTGCATTAGCTTCTTTCGAAACTTCAGCAGCCTCATTAGGCTGAGTTATCTCAACATTAAATCCAGCGGTCACAAATGGCTTTTTCATACTATCTTCAACATTTGTTTCCTCCGAAACTTCAGGAGCCTCATTAGGCTTAGTTACACCAGCATCAACTTCAGTAGCCTCAATTGGCTCAACCATACCATCATCACCATTTTTTGCCTTCGCAACTTCACCTGCCACAAACAGCTTTTCCATACCAACATCAACATTAGTTTCCTCCGAAACTTCAGGAGCCTCATTAGGCTCAATCACACTATCATCAACTTCAGTAGCCTTGGTTGGCATTTCCATACCAGCATCAACCTTAGTTCTATTCTTCTTGGAGCGTTTCTTCGTAGTGTAGCACTGCTTCTTGGGCAACTTGGAAGCTTCGCTCTTCTTTGGAGAGCTTTTCTTTTCAAACAATGCTTCAGCCCAAGTGGGTGCATTTGCACCATGGCTTTTGCTCTGGTGAGGAGCCTTCTCTTTAAAAGAGGAAGTGGTCATGTTGAGACGACCACAAACACCATTGGCCCATTCCTTGTTGGAAGGAGGGACAGCCATGTTCTTCCCCACCAACTTCTTGGAGGGAAGAGCAGGAAACTTGTCAGCTTGGTGGGATGGCACTCCAGTAACCTTGGCTTCAACGCTAGACCCACAAAGTGGATCAGCGGAGCCCGTCACAGAAGGCGATTCCAAAAGCTGAGGAGACCCCGAGGTCTTAACCGCATTGCCAGGCAACGATGGTTCAGAGCAGGGACTGGTAGTATCTCTATTCATAGACATTGCAACGTTTATTTGCTGATCGTAGGAAGAAAGATTTGGGTAAAAGGGCAGAACGATTCTTGTTTTACAAAGTAAGTATATAGTACACAGACACAGGAACGCGCCCTCCAGATCTTCGGCATTTTTGCAGCTAACCAGCAGATCTGATTTCTTTTCTGACAATCTAAAGTATTTTTCGTTCGATAGATCTCGCGAGATCTCTGATTATACCCTCAATATGGGTGCAAAAAATGCGTGGTCGCAAAATCTGTCCTGTCAATCTGCAACTTTGTGTCAAGATCATAAACGCACTGAATTTTCAACCCAGGCTTCTCGATGCAAAGGGGCTTAGATAAGTGGAGTGTATGAGCTGGAAAATTGCAGGTTATTGTGAAAAGCTATAGTTGTTTTGCATGGCCCGGATTTTGATCTAAAACCCTGTTCTTCTCTGCCAGGAACCAAATAATTGAAATTTTACAGCCCTGCTTACAGTAGCTGACCGTTTGACACGGTGATTTAGCTGGCAAATCGATTAAAAATTGTTGGCTTAAGTGTGTCAGACTTAATGCAAAAATTAATTCGTTCAAGATCCATTACTTCCCGCCTATTATTTATTCCCGCATCTCTCTCAACTTGATCGGCAGTATTTAGGACAGGAACGGTAGTTGCAACACTCAGACATCGAATTATGAAGATTCAAGTTCTATTGTCGTAATAGTTCTCGGAATATGCCAGTGATTGTGATGTAACAGCAGGGAGACGCCATTACTAAAATCTGCAGATATATGCATTTGGAAACTAAACTGAAAACATCTCCCAATGGATATCTGCTTTTGGTTACCATTAGTATTCATTTTTGGCTATTAAAGAGGGGATAAGTCAAGTTGATTGATATTGTACCTGCATCAAATCCAAGTTACTGGCGGGTAGGTACGTGCATAACATGTACAGCAAGATGATGCCAACTCATCTCTGCATGCATTCTGTCAACTCAAAGTGTAGCAAGCCAGAAATCTTAGATCTTCTTGTCTATCATGGACCACCGGGCTTATTTCATTGATCATCTCCCCTTAATATGTATTCAATTAACCTGCTGGCATATATACAGGTTGAGAGATGGGTATATTTACATGATTACTAACATTGTTTCTACTTTGGAGACTCCAATTAAATCAGCATAGTGAAATAGTTCTTATATATGCATTCCACCAACCAAATAGGATATCCCATCGCAGGTGGTTCAAAGCGAACCAATCCATCTACATCTCGTTGATAAAACGTTTATGCTGTATGTAAGATATATAGACGTGCACTATTCCAACGAGCTCGTCTCTTTAAATCGATTAAGGATGGAAACAGACTGCGAATTGCCCATACCATTTATGCAAGCTTACCTTCTCTCTTCAATCTCATTCTTTCAGCGAAAGTCATTGGCTTAGCTGGAGCTTGGGCAGCGGCCTTGGCCTCAGCTTGGGCAGCAGCGGCTTGAGCTTCAACTTCTTGTCTTCTTCTAAAGCTTTCAGCATCCTTTTCCTTCTGTTCCTTCATTTCATCGGTCCACTTCTTCAAGGCAGCTTCCTTAGATTGTCTCTCGGCTTCCTCTTGGGCAGCTCTCTTCTCTCTTTCACGTCTGGAGATCAATTCTTGGATACGTTGTTGCTTGACTCTCTCGATACGTTCTTGCTTGGCCCTTTCGAACTTGGCTTCAGCTTGAGCCTTCAACTCGGCAACCTTAGCTTCGTTTTTCTTGTCGATCTTGGCCTTGAATGGAGAGTAGTCTGGGAGAATACGCTCTAAACGTTCCTTCAATGCAAGTGCCTTCTCGTGTTCAGCCTTGGCCTTGGCAACCTTGTTGGAATTGATGGATTTGAAGTCCTCAACTTCCTTGGTCTTGTGGACTTCAGCATCCTTTTCGAGCAATTGCAATTCGAATCTTCTGAAAGCTCTTTCGAGGAAATCATTCTTTCTAGAAACATGCTTCAACTTGTCGTCCAACTCCTTTTTGTCCTTGTTCAACTGTTCGATTTGCATAAGTTGCAACTTTTGGGTGTCCAATTCAGCCAAGTTGTCCAAATCGACCTTAATGATACCCTTGGCATTGATTTCTTCAGCAAGCTTTCTCTTTTCACGTTCCTTGATCATGTTTCTTTCCTTCTCCAATCTCTCGGCGTTCTTTCTCTCTTGTTCGGCAGCTAATCTTTCTTGTTCAGCCAATTGGTCGGCAATGATTTTTTCTTGTCTGATTCTGGCGGCCTCTTCTTCTTCGGCACGTCTCTTCTTTTCAGCAATGGCTTGACGTTCCTTGATAATTTGGGCTCTGTCAACAAGTTCTTGTTGTTCTCTAACGATTTCAGCAATAGCTTGTTGCAAAGCAAGGCTACGAGCTTGTTCAGCACGAGCTTCGTAGTTGACATCAATAATTCTGACGGATTCAGATAAAGTGTAGGCCAATTTGGAGATTTGAGTTCTGACCAATTCAGCAGGAGAAATCTGCAACTTGTCGCTCAAAGTATCGTCAAGAGATTCTTCGAATGGGTTAGACTTGAAAGTGACGACGTCAGATTCATGGTCAATGGTCAAGGACAAATGGCCATCCTTAACAGCGTTGACAATCAAGTCTTCAACTTCCAATGGAGACAAGCTGTAGGCTGGGTTTTCAAAAACACCCAAGGAGACCAAGAAGTCCAACTTGACAGTCTCGTAGACTTGAGAGACTTGCTGGTACAATCTGATCAAAATGACTTCAGTTAAAGTTGGAATGTACTGCTTGTAGTCCTTGTCCTCTTGAATCTTGTCGAAAACTTGGGCAACCTTATTCTTGATGGTCAATGGATGGAATTCGCCTTCTTCCAAGATGTTGAACAACTCCTTGACAGCTGGGTCAACGTAAGCAAGAATAGACTTGTTGATAATGGACTTGATCAAACCGTCCTTGGTTGGGACAGCGTTCAAGTTCAACAAGGAAGATAACTTGGAGTTTTTGGTCTTGTGTTCGTCAACAACTGTTTCATTATTGTTCAAAGCCTTTTGCTGAATGGCCAAAGTGGACAAAACGAGGGTGGAGGCGTAATGATTCAATTCGGCATCGGTGGCATTTGGAGATTGAGAATACAAGTTGAAGAACTTATTCCAGGCAGCGGCATGGAACAAGGTGTTGTCAGAGACAGCGAAAATTCTGGCCAAGTTTTCGTAGTAGTTGGCCATCATGGTAGGCTTTGGAGCCTTCTTGGATGCAGTGATCAAAGTGTGAACATCATCAACAGAACGGAATGATTCTTGCCACAACTCCAACTTGACGGCAATGTTTAATTGGGAGAATCTTTGTTCCAAGTAACGCTGGACAGTTTCATTTTCAGATAAATCAATGGCGTTACTTCCAGCAGTCTTGGTTTGGGTAGTGACGGATTGCATGTGGGCTCTCAATAATTCACATAATCTTCTGAACTCAGCCTTTCTTTTGAAGTTCAAACAGAACTTGAAAGCTTGGCCAACAATAGCAGAGTAGGTGACTTCCAACTTGGAGTTGTTTCTTAAGATATCTAAAACAGCACGGAAAGCTTCCCACAAGAATCTCAACCATGGAGTGACTAATTCTCTTTCAGTACGGTCAGCAGAATCAGTGTTAGACACGGCTGACAACAAGATGCTTTCTGGGGTTTCAGCAGCTTCCAAGTCGTCGTCTTCTTCCTGGTCGATCTTGATGTCGGCCTTAGCTTGGGCCTCATCCAACTTCTTTTCTGCCAATAAAATGAACTTTCTAACAATGACTTGAACAGATTCTAATCCGTTCTCGGACATCTGGATGTTCTTCTTATATTGGTGTAAAGCATCCTTAGCCAACTTTCCACGTCTTAAGTCCACGGCTAATTCGATGAGTAAGGAAGCAATTGGCTCAAGGTCTTCAACTTGCAAGTATCTGATTCTCTTGGAGGTAATCAACTCGTACAAAGTTTGTAAAGCGGCTTCTCTTTGGCCAACGCCAATCAAGTCTTCGGCTCTTTTCAAAACATTTTCCGGACGGAAATTGTGATTCTTGTGAGGAGGAGCCATCTTGTTATGACACCTTTGGTTCGTATAGGAATCTTGATTCATACATAGAAAAATTTTTCAAGTGCAGGGGGTCGTGCGCGACGCCCACAAAAATAGTATACATTACGGCTATTCAGGCTATAGTTAAAATGGAGGGAACTTGAGTTCCATCTCTGGAACAGACTTCGCCAACTGATCTTTCTCGATCAAAATCAAACTCAATTTTGGATCGATTCCGTATTCGGTAAAAACTCTTCTACTGTCCGTATCCTGCTTTTCGTTGGTGAAATCGAAGACACCGTGATATTTGGCGTTTTGCTCAAGGATAATGTCTTCGTAATGGAAGTAGTCCATCTGCTCTTGAGGGTCAGAATTCTTCTTCTTCTTGCTCCTTTGAACCTCCTCTTCTTTCGCAGCAACCAATTTGTAGACTTTCGAAACAATCAAAAAGTAGTCAAATTCGTATTTTTCGTGTGCATCCTCGGCCTTCTCCATTTCTTCAAGAAGCATCTTGTACATTGGAGGAACCACTTCAACAGGCATATTGATCATTCTTTCGCTAAAGATCAAACCGACCTTCCCATTCTTACCTAATAACTTACGTAACACCAAGTTGAACTCGGTCTGCTTCTTGGATTTCGAAAGAACGTAATCTGTCAATTTCTTCATTGGTGCCTTAGTGATGTGTTCGTTGATGTTAAGGACGGTTAACATTGCAAATGGATCACTTTCTTGACCTTCGGTTTTGATGGTGGTACCGACGGAGTTTTGGGATAACATCAAGTCTGCTAACCCAGAAACGTCAATCTCTCCTGCATCGTCACCCAATAATTGTGTGATGAAAGTCTTGGTGGCATGGAAATCGACATCTGGGTTGAGATCGAAGTAATCGAAATCAACATTGACAATGTCCTCTTCGCCGGCATTTTCCCCGTTTTCGCCACTTTCTTCGACTTCAACCTCGCTTTCTGAGTCTGTAGAGCTGACGTCTATGTCTGAATCTTCTTCCACTCTTCTTTTAGCCATGATAATATGTTGTGGTGAACAAGTGCGCTATCCAGATTTCAATATTGGCGATGAGATCTCTAATCACGTGATTGGCAACACAAGCTCATAATGCTTGCAATACTTTACATCCAGCTACTACGATAATGATGTTTAGACGCTGTATGTAGACCCACTAGGGACTTTGAAAGAAAGGCGCTAATTTGAGTTGAACACTGATAATTCAAAAGATGCTCCTACCAAAAATTGGTAAAGTGAAAGTCGATATGCTAGAAGTTAAACTAGTTTAGGTTTCATGTGTATTACATTGCTGTCTCTTTCCAAATGTTTCTTGATCTTTACTTCTCATTATTCTCTAATAGATGGTTAGAATAGGGTATTTTGCAAGATTCTAATTCAATTTGCACCCAACCAAACTTCGACATCTGAAAACAGAATAAGAAAATACTATCAATGATTGATATCTCATAATATCAGTAAATCTGGTCCGAGACCCGCACTTTCATTCTCTGTCCCAGTTGTCGATGAGTAACAAATCTACAAGAGGAATATCCAAAATTCTGATACTTTGCAATAAAGCACTGTCTATTTTCGTTCACAAAAAACTATCCAAGCAAAGTAACGAGAGAACAATATTTTATTCATTCGATCCTAACTTGAGGGTCCAAAACGACTCCACTGTATACCAGCAAAGCCATACCGGTACTCATTGATAGGCGTGTCCCAACCGCATTGATTCATTAGACCCAAACTATCTCCACCTATCATACCAACTTATGCTGATTGTTCAGGGATACGAGTCCAGCGATGGTGACGAGTCGGATAAGGACCGTCATGAAAGTCTAGCTGTTGGTGTAATAACTGAACAAAGTGCTTCGCCCATAAGAAGCACCACCAACAAACTGAAGAGAACATTTGCAGGGTCAATAGAACAAGTCCACTATGATGCAGCATTGTTCAAGTCGACATCTACAAGTCAAGACCGATCCCAAGCAAAGAAATTGAAGAGGGCCAGAAAGAAGAATAAGGACGACTATTTAGGGCCTTGGGCAGCGTGGGACCAAAGTGAACCTGAGCCGGAACACGAACAGGAAAGTAACGAGGCTCATGGACTAGAAAGTGATAAGGAAAATGATCGAGATGCTGAGAATGAAGAGAATGTGGACGAAGACGATCTGGACGACTCCTCTGTTGAAACCACCCAATTTTTTGGAACGAAGAAAGGCGACTATTTGGGAAGATCCTATCTCCATGTTCCTACAGACGTTAACATTAATCTCAAGCAAGATCCAGGTTCCCATCAGTGCTTTGTACCCAAGAAACTCGAACATACATTCGCAGGTCATTCCAAAGGAATCAACAAGCTTGAGTTGTTCCCAAGGTCTGGTCATTTGATGCTTTCTGCGGGTAACGATCCGGTCATTCGATTATGGGATATGTACCATGATCGCGAACTTTTAAGGGAGTACTATGGTCACAAACAGGCAGTGAAAGATGTGGTTTTCAATAAGATTGGAGATAAGTTCTTAAGTTGTGGCTACGACAAATTAATTCATTTGTGGAACACAGAAAGTGGTAAAATCGAAAAGACGATTAGGGTTAAAGCAATTCCCAACGTTATCAAGTTCAATCCTAATAATGAAGCAGAATTTATTGTAGGATTGAGCAATCACAACATTGAACACTATGACATGAGCACCTTAAGCTATGAAGTGCCCATTCAAACATATGACCACCATCTTGGAGCTATCAACTCGTTGACAATAATAGATGACGAAAAACGGTTCATATCCACAGCAGATGACAAAACTGTGCGTTTCTGGGACTGGCAAATTAACATCCCCATCAAGTTTATTTCTGATCCTTCACAGCACTCGATGCCCACCTCTGCATTATATCCAGGTGGTGCATTTGTTGCGCTACAATCAATGGATAATACCATTCAGACAATTCAGGGACGTGGTAAGTTTAGAACCAACAACAAAACCTTCAGAGGCCATAACGTAGCTGGCTATGGAATCGACATTGACTTCTCGCCCGATGGAAAGCTCATAGTCAGTGGTGACTCTAAAGGAAATAGCTACTTCTGGGATTGGAAAACTTGCAAATTGGTAAAAAAGTTAAAGGTCAGTACCAGGGTCATAAGTAGCATCAAGTTCCATCCTCAAGAGCCTAGTGGTGTAGTAATGGGAGGAATGTCTGGAGAGATCTATTACTATGCATGAGTTATCGACTAGTCCGTGGTACGATCAGTTTCGAGTTACTTTCTGGGAAATAGATATCCCTCAATTATTTCTCCTCAGATATCTCAAAGTCACCTCATTTAGAATTAACCATCGTCCTGGGGCCATTTTGATGTTTCAGGAAGCCACCTTACAGTATCGTTATCATATTGCTATATATTATTATTCTATAGGGGATCTATTCTTAATGCTGTAATATAAGATCCATTTGGATAGACTTTGGTCTCCAAATCACATAATCGTGCACTTATCCTTTTTGTAATCTTCCCTCTTTTTTCTTGAATGTTTATGAAACATTGACCTGGAGCGCTTGGCCTCAATATTGGTTTTGTCGGCGGTCGTTGGCTTGGAATGTTTCTCTATAGGGTTCTCTTTGGAATTGTGATGATTATTGTCCTCGAAATCCTCCTTAGATGTCTTTTTATTCAAACGATCCTTAGACAACTCTAGCTTGTTCAACTGATCATTAACTAAATTCAAGTCATGACCAATACTACCACCATTCATTTGATTGTTGATGCTAGATATGTTGGACTTATCACTCCATTGACTATTACGACGAAATTGTGGAGTGATACTAATACTAGGACCACGAGTACCATGGGTAGATACCGTCGGTAATTCCTTGTAGTAATTTTTATCTTTGTCAGTTACGTACCAAAAGTATTTCTCTCGAATATCGATGAATTTTGCGTCTGTTGGTTGAATTTCGGGTAAAGGAATGCTCAAATTAGAGCTAGGAACACTTTCATGCTTTTTCAATGAAGAGAAATCTTCCTCGGATTTGTAGCTGGAAGAGTAATTTGCTGATAGTATAGGCGACAAGGTGTTTGGATCCTCATTCCAAAATTTGTTCTTTGAACCATGTGGTGGATACACTGGAGTCTTCACCTTCACTGAAGAGGCCGAACTCTTTGAAGTTTCTTCGTCGGACACCAACCGATAGAACAACATATAGGGCCATTCAGTATTGAATATATCTTTGAATGTCTTTTCGACCACCTTAGTCAGTTTCTTCATGTCGTCGTACAAGTACCACGGGGCGTTATATGCTTCATCTTCAGTGTTGTCAACATTATTAGTATCCTTCCTAATAACAGAAACAAAATGCCCCGAAGATATTGAGGTGCCTCTATGACAAATCGCACTTTCGAGAATCAATTTGAAATTATTGGACATTTCAGTGTCACTGTCATCAGCAACAAACTTGGGCAAATTAATAATTGGAGGAATGATGATCCTCTTGGTGGATCTTTTAGCTGAGGATTGAGAGGTGTTGAAAGAATATCTTTTCAAACAGATAGGCAAAATTGGACGCCTGTTGACAAACTCTTTGGAGTTCTTGGCAATACTCTGACTATCTTGTACATTATTGTCGTCTGTGTAGAACGGTAAAAGTCTTAAAAACATCCATGCTGGTAAACTGACTTCTTTCTTCGACGGATTATCGTTAAACGACCAAATAGAAAGAGTAGATGATCTCGTTCTTGTAGTTACTTTGATATTGTTTTTGGTCAGGCTTGAGTTTTGATGAGATAGTCTAGTGGGGGTTAAGGAGACTAGTTTATCTAAGGCATCCGAAGAAAAGGCTTCCTCTGCACTTGGGAATGGCTCTGCCTCGTCATCAAGTGGCGCAGTCGGTATAGAAGCATCCGTGGAAGTCTTACTGATTGCAGGTGGCCCTTCTGCAGAAGGGCTTCCGGTAAAAGTCACTTTTGAAGGAGGATAAGTGTTCGTTTCCTCATTCACCGGCAGAGGCAGATCAGTCTCCGGCTGCTCTGAGACTCCTGTAACAACACCAATTGGAGCTCTCTCTAGTTCCAAAGTAGCCCTCCTTTCCAATTCTCTTTTCACGCTAATAGAATTGTTAAAATAATGTTCCAAACACTCCTCAAGTAAGATTCCATCCGCATCAGCGGATTCCTCCACATGCTCTATTTCCGCAGCTTTATCAATTTCTTCTCCCTCGTCATCTGGTATACTTACGAATAGTATACGTTCCTTTGAGAACTTTTGGTCGTCGTCTTTGCTGAATTTGCCTCCGTGTTTTATATCGATCTTAAAAGTCAATAAAGGCATTGACAATGTTTCGGTCAAGAACTCAAACAATGCTGCTGAATCTTGTTGCTTGTGTGACATGGCCTCTTTGAAACCCAATTTCATAAGGATTTCGCAAATTCGTTCGGTCAAGTCGGTAGTAATGAGATTACCCGATCTCAATAAACTGACGTAAACACGCAACATCGAAGCAAGCTGATTTACTAGGTAGTTCTCGTGTTGATTGCTGATAAACAAGATGGGCTCGAAGCTTTCAAGGTTGGCAAACATCGAGAACAACAAGGCATCAAGATAACACATGACGTTTTCCCAATTATCGGCACCCTGAAACTTGATGACGGCTCCAGATTTGTCCTGAACTGAATTGGTGAGAAAGAATCCTTCTTCACAGAGCTGGAAGTATCTCACCAAGTGGAAGGTCTTGTCTAGATCGTATTGACTGAAGGGCGACTTCATGAGAGCAATGACCTGATTGGACGATGGCACGGGAAGACCCAAGTTCTCGAACCATTTCTGGACAGTCTGCACCGATGATGACGAGTGGGTGAGCTTCTTGTGCTCCTTGGATACGGTGGATGATCCGTTGGCGTCTCCCTTTCGGGAGAAACTCTCCAGGTACCACTCCCAGAAAGCCTCGTTGAAGCCACCTTTTTCTGTGTGAGTCAGTCTAGATGCAAATCGCCTGAACATGGATGGCTCATGTACAAGTTGTGGTGCTGATCAGATAAGTTGGCGAGAATAGGATCAAGCAGATACTCAATTTGGGTTAGATTCGGATTCTCCATGGCGGCGCACGTGACCTGTGCGGAGTGGTGGCAGATAACACGTCTGGGCAATCTGGGTCACTTTTGCGCTATTGGATCCAGAAGCTTGTAGACTGTGCAGTTGCACCAGTCATTGGGGTGATCATGCGGCTAATGGCTGGACCAGAACTCGATGCTATGGAGAGGCCACGCTACAATTACTGAATGTAATTCAACTAGGATCTACACTTTGACGACGCGGGCTGTGTGCAGGAGTCCCTGGTTGGGGAATGCATGCATTAATATACGAATTTCGGAGGCGGCGTGAGAAGGCGGATAAATGTATAACCCAGGGTACACTAGCCGGCAATGTTCAAGGCCTTTATTTTGGCCAACACCCGGTCAATGCGGTTCTCCAATTCTCCCGTCATGTAGTCCTGTTTGGTCTGGGCGTCCAATTTCAGCTGAAGCTTGCCCAAGTGGTGGTAGTTGTCATTGAAGAACCGGAGCTGAATCTTGACAAACGCCTCGAACGAGGGGTCCAAGAACGGGGTCCGGAGATTGATGAGTTTGGGCAAGTCCTCCTTGAGCTGGTCGTTGATGACATGGTACGCAAGCGCCAGGGCATTCAAGTCGGCCTCGCGGGTGAGGTCGCTGGCAGCCTCATCTTCGTCTGGCGACTCCTGTTCGCCAGAGCTCTTTGCCCTGTCAATCTTGTGCTTTTTTGCCCGGAGTGCATCGTAGTCCAACATCTTTCTTCCACGCTTCTTGATGACATCGTTGACGTCAACAAAGTACGAGTTGAACCGCGCCAATGGGTTGAGCACCGTCTGGTTGTAGACCGGCTCCAACTCCTCGACACCGTTGTTCAACTCGTAGGCATACTCCTGTGCAAGGTTGGGGTACTTGAACGGCTTCTCGCGCGGTTCTACTTCGTGTGTGGTGGTGATGTTGTCGCTGTTCATTTCTTGCAACCTTTGAAGAATGTCGTCGGGGTTTCCGTAGAACAGAGCCAAAGCGTCTGCCACGCTGACTTGCGACCTGGTGAGGGTGCGAAGGGTCTCCAAGTAGTGCCTGAGCTCCTTATGAAGCTTTTGTGACGCAGCCTCCATGGCACGGTATCGCTTCTCTTCGAACTCGTACTCTTTATCGTGCGTCTGTTCGAGCAAGCCGGTCTTGTGCATGACTTGTGCCCCAGCACGGTTGATGGCCTTCTTTAGTCCTATCCACGACATGGCGATTGGAGCAGCGGCTGTCGTGGTCTATATGTAATGGCGAATCACCATCGTAGTGTGACGGGTCCGTTTGGGATCCGTGCCAACCGTAACGCGGGTGACACGTGACCACGGCCACTCTGGTGATCTGCGGTTGGGCAGAGGTAGGTGGTTGAGGAGTGCAGAGTTCCGTCCCTATTGTAGCAATGGCCAGATTTGCGTTTTGGTCAGTCCTACAAACCCTGAATGGTGCTGGAGGAAGAGAGGCCACAGCTGTGCTGGTGCTTCCAGTGTCGGCTGGCGCCACTTGTGGCACCACTTCTGGTGGTGATTATGCTGGTTAGCTTGGCTGGGGGTACTAGTTAGCTCTGGTGGTGCGGGTGGTGATGGTCAGCTGTGCACCTCGCTGGCATTCCGACGGGGTCCTCGGATTCTCGGCAGATCTTCCCCAGATTTTCGTCCCCGTAAATGGCCCCTACAAACTTTACCGTACGGAAAACCGCCGGGTATAACACCTCTCGGCCGCCCCATTAGCCCCGTTGAGACGGAGCTGAAACCGCCAGAAGCCAGGCTTAAGGGATCCATCTGGCATGGAAGCTTCTCGCTGACGTCATACCCCAACTGTGCCTGGTGGTGCACCCACAGCTTACGTAACCGGACCCTACAATCGAAACAATAGAATGCCCACCCAACCCGCCAGTCCTGATCTACGGCCACCGCCAACTCCGCAGACTGCGTCTGGGCTCTCTGACACCGAAAAGGTGGACGTAGCTCCAGGTAGTTCCAGGTAACTCTTACAAGTATAAGTAAATGCAACCATATAGTAACCACTCGCGTCCTCCCCTGGACTTGTCTCTATCTGTCGCTAGCCCCTCGCCAGCCCCTCGCGGGCCTCTCGCTACCGCCCCTCACTCTCCCTCGCGGTTAGCGGCATCGTCGCCCTAAACCAGCTACCCCTCCCACTAACACCCTCATGGCAACAGTGCGAACAACCAGAAGTCGCACAGCAATCGTATGACGAGATTGTGAACCAAAGTTTAAACCAGCGATAACAAATTGTCACCCATTTCAACCAAGCCGTCCCTCCGCTGCTCCCCCGCCCAATCCGCCCCAACCTCGTGGATCCTCGACTCGTACTGGCTATAGAGTCTCTTCCCCCCCCGCGCCCCTCCTTCACCTACCCCCCAGCCACCACCACCAGAAACGGCTCTGAAAAACCACCACCAACTGATCCGGTCCTCCGTGGAAACAGTTGCCAATGGGAAACACCTCGTCCACTACCACCCGCAAGTCCACCGCGGGCCAGCGCCTGGACGTCCGCAAGTCGCTGTCGGGATCGCACAGCGCCCGTGGCGACTCCCTTTATGATGACTTCAACGACTCCATTCTACATCCCGTCAAGCGGGAGGCCCCACCACCGTTGGTGCCAGTCAAGCAAGACCCCAACTACACCACCCAGAACCAGTTCACCAACGATCTTATCGAGGACGAGTTCAATGAGCTTAATGATGGCTTGATCGAAACTGAGGCCACCAACCTTGCCCGCAACATCCTTCCCAACAGCGAGTTTGACACCAGCATCGACATGGACGATGCCATGGACATCGATGATGTGCCTCCAGGAAACACCACCCACGAGGAGGTGTTTCCGTCCGATTCTCTTCCTGAACCAACCGACCTCTCCAAGGTGGACTTCACCAAGATCACCAACCAGAGCCCGTTCAATCGCCGCACCAACATGAGCGACATGAGGCTCTCGCAGTACCAGAACCAACAGCCCAACCACAAAAAGGCCAGGAACAACAACTACACCTACCAGTCGAGCACTATGGAAACCCTCATTCCGGTGGAGATCAAATGGGTCAATTCCAATAAAGAGCCTATCAACAAGATCTCCATCATAGGTTCGTTTTCCAACTGGAGAGATATCATCAAGCTTGTACCCTCGCCATCCCACGACAACGAATATATCACCACCATCACCTTGCCGTTGGGTGTTCATAAGCTTCTCTATATAATCAACAACGAGTATAGAGTCAGTGACCAGTTGCCTACAGCTACAGATCAGGAGGGTATATTTTTCAATTGGTTCGAGGTGATTGATGAGGCCCACTTGTTCAACCACTCCAACCATCAAACAAATCATCCCGACGATGCCTCCACCGCCTATGACGCAAATATCATCTCTCCAGATTATCACAATCATTTCCAGAGGAGTACCTCCTCGGTTGGAAAACAACAGGCAGGAAAGTATGACGTTGGTAAAATTAATAGAAAGTCAAACAGCTTCTTGGCAAAAATATCTAAGGAGTCTTCCAACTTCGAACATGTGGAATATTTAAGTGACCTGAATCAGGATTTAGAAGAATTTAAGCAAAGTCAACAACATTCGGAAAACTATCCCTATGGCAATGAAAGTCATGCCAATTCCAATAAATACGTACCATATCATGAAACCCTATCTTCTACCTCACTTCAGAAGGGTGATGATGAGTTTCAGAACCCTCCACTTGAATACTCCAGTGAGATCCCTGAAATGTTTGTCAACTATGATTACTTCAAAAACAAAAGCCCAAACTATGAGTTACCAGAACCCCCACAGTTACCTGCCCATTTGAATAATGTTTTATTGAACAAAATCTCCAATTCTTCCAATAATGGAAGTCAGGGCCAATTGACTAACATTCCTCAAATTCCAAGCTCATATCATCATCCAAGCTCTGCGGACCCTCTCAGACCGCCACATGCTGGATATATGGACGGAAGTGCCTCAAGTTCTGGTACTTCTTCGACCAGTACGAGTCATTTTAAAAGGCCACCCTTGAGAAGAGCCGACTCATCTTATTATGCTAGCAATAAAGAGGCTTATCATTTGTCCATCCCTAATCATGTCATCTTGAATCATTTGATGACTACTTCTATTCGAAATGAGGTTTTGACGGTGGCCTGTATTACCAGATACTCAGGGAAATTTGTTACTCAAATAATGCATTCTCCAGCTGATAAGTGATAAGCGAGGCAGCAATAGAATTATGGTGATACCACCACTTTTAGCAATAGAGCGTTGGGAATTTAATTTAACAATGCAGTTACATCTTACATTAGGTAGGTAATTAATAAGCTAGTTAATAGACATCGACGGGAAACTGATTATATCATTGATCTGCGCTCTCTTCTTAATCTGCTTTGCATTAGGCTGTAGCTGCCCCGACGAATTATGACTTCTAATTTGAATTTATCGAACTCCGGATAAATAGTACTGGTGTACTTGTACAATCGTTCCACCAATTGAACTCTTTGCTGCTTATTTGTGTCCCTGATCCAGGTTTGGTAACCCAAATTGAAATTGCAGCAATTCTTGAATATCTCGAGTATATTGACCTCAACAACCTTGGTTAGTTGGATATGATAGTGATTCAATCCGAGGATTTTGGATAACTCATAAATATTCAACCTTGAGTAGTATCTATCATTTCTTTCCCAGCTAGCATGATCTTGGCTAGGTACTATACGGCATTGTCCAAACTCGGTTTCTTCTTCAGGGACTACGATAGGTTTTATGGTGTTCTTGCTTAACCCTGCGTCATTACTGGACTGATTTTTCGAAAGTGAGAACCTGGGGTCTTGTTTTAGTTGAGACAAGGGCTGAAATCTAGCTCCCTGTAAGAATGAGAAGTCTGGGGGAAGTACCGAAGTTTCATCAACCAATTTCAAGGCCCTACTTGGAAGGATTTCTTCTGTGTCTGATGGATCTGGATCTTCCTGATTTTGTGGGTCTTCGTCGGACTCAAGCTGGTTTCGTAAAACCAATTTCACCAAATATTGACTTCTATCTGGTTTTGGAAAGACTCTGTCTTTTTGCCAATTCTTCGATGACTTATGGCTCTGTGGAATAAGTAATTTTGTTCTCCAGCGTCCCAATGACCGTTCTCGAGTTTTCTTGACTCTATTTGTGCTTATTTTGGACGATTTTGACATAATTTCATATTTCTCGTACAACTTTGCACTTGGTGACATATCTACAATGTTTGATGTAACATCTGGAATGGTTGCATCGACCTCCTCATCACTTCCAATGATAGAATAGTCGAACTCAAACTGCTCAACGATTCCGTGTTCGGGATTCAAAGGATCAAAGATGCTGAATTGGTGTTTCAAGATACCAATTTTTTTCGTATGTAAATTATGGCCATTGGATACTAATTGAGGCAGAAGTGTTGGTAATGAAGAGTCAGATAGATCTGTGTTGTCTATTTGGTCTTCAGAGCTCAATTTTTGGCCGTTCTTCATCATCAATGTAGGGTTCAACGACCCAAGGACTTCTTCATCTTTTGAGGAATAAGAAATTCGAGACGACAAAAAATGCTGTTGTAAAATAAAGCTAGCATTGTCTTCGGGAGAAGTTGGTTCAGCAGATTCACTATTGCAGGAATACAAACTGGTAGGGCTCGAATCGTTAGTGTATGTATCTGAAATGTCAGCCAGATCACTAGTAAGGTCACTTGTATGAAGCAATGTTAAGTCATATTCTTTCTGTATTTCATGTTGTGAAAGCTCTTCCTCTGATAAGATTCCAAAGTTCAATAATTGTTTTAGTTCCATATCTGCATTTGCATTTTCTTCTTCTGAGCCACTGGGACTTGAGGGGGACAGAAAGGACACATTATTTGATTTAGCGTCCATAGCTTAATTGTTCAATGTTTGGTCGAGAACTCCAGGCAAAACTAGTGGGTATTTATAGTACACTAGTGGTCATTAGGGGTGTTTCTTGGATGGTAAACAGGGGTGTAGATAACCTGTGTTATCAGAAGTTGCAAACTCTGCATCGTATTTTTCTGCGGTTTAAGATATTCTGTCCATATTTTTTATGCATTTTGCGCCATAATCTAAAATTCTTGCTCTTCGGTTATGCAGTGTGGTGATAGGTACCATAATACGAGATTGAGACTTTTCTTGAACACAGGAGCAAGTGGACTATGGCTCAACCACGAGGCTGCAATAATAGCAGCTTTCTACGCCTCCACTTTGTGCATTGCATATTAATACGAGAATATGTGCGAAGGTGTGATATTCATATACTCGATAGTTGGTGGAGCCAAAGTATGCAGCATACTCTTCGCTTTCGGGTTGATAAGAAGTTCGTGGGGTAAATCTAGGCATTGATCCTTGCATAAAACTCTAATTACAGACACAACATGGGGGGTAGAGTCATTCAAAGTTCTAGTTAAAGCATGTAACCGAGTGGAGCACACAATTTGTATAGCCATTAAGCGGATGTCCAAACAGACCACTTACAAAGTACCATCCTGAAGCACAATTGAACTACTGGCCAGTTTTTACCTGGTCAGCCCCTTGTGGTTACCCAAAAAGGTATGCACAAATCGGATATGCATGGGAAAACACTTGCGCATCCTACAGTAGCCCAGACGCCAGATGTGCTTCTAAATCATACACCAAGTAACTACTTCTATACATTGTGGGCGTCGATAATATTCTCTACCACACCATTTGCGTCACTCTTCAAGTACTTGCTATTCATCAAAACTTGGAGCAATCTCTTGATACCGATATTGATCTCGAACGAAGACAATTGAGACAAGATATCGTTCTTTTCAGCTTCTTGGCTCATGTAGCCGATCTTGGTCAATACTCTACCAATCTCTTCCACCGACCGGATGGAAGGAACTGCAACAGTATTGGTAAAACAGTCAATTAAGTTCATGTGTTTCAAGACAGAGTACTGAGAGGTTGTTCCTATGATCAACAATCTTCTACCCTTTGGTGGTTTTTTCGTCAAGTAAACCATCAATAACTGTAAAATCTCATTGGAGAATCTTGGTCCAATGGGAACGTAATTGATCAAAGTCTCGATCTTGTCAATGACCAAAATGTTCAATGGCGACTTGTAAACATCTCTGAAAACATTATCAATGTATTGAATCTTGGCCGGCTCAGACATACCCACCATACTTTCAGCTGAAAGCATCTTAATGAATGGGAAATCGGAATTGAGGGCTAAAGTGGCCGCAATAGCAGTCTTACCCACCCCACTAGGACCATGTACCAAGACACTAATCAAAGTTTCGGTTTCACTACTCTTAACTTCATCAATAAAGGATTGACCCCTGTCAAAAATGTTCTTGATACTGGAGTTGAATGGAATAATACCATGTGGAGCAGCCAAGGTCAAATCTTCTTCGTCCGTACCAAAAGCCGGTTTCACTTCGCTGAAAGCTAACAAAAAGTCGTTTCTAGTGATTTGCATCTTGTCAATAGTAGCAGCATCAATTTGGGCAACAGAGCCTGATTTTGTGTGTCTGCTGATTGCAAATGATTTTGCAGAGTTACATAAACCCTCTAATTCCGCACCAGTGAAATTCTTGGTTAAGCCAGCCAATTCATCAAAATCAACATCCTTAGTCAATAAGTTGTTCTCCTTCAACTTTGCAGTGTGGATTAATAAAATGTCCTTTCTACCCTTTTCATCTGGCAAAGCAATTTCGATTTGGATCTCAAATCTACCAGGTCTAAGCAAAGCACTATCGATCAAGTCCAATCTGTTGGTCATACCAATAATTAAAATGTTGTTCAACTGATCAACACCATCCATCTTGGACAACAATTGATTGACAACGTTGTCACCCACACCAGTACCATCAGATTTTGCGGAACCTCTTTGTTTGAAGACGGAATCCAATTCATCAAAGATAATGACATGTAAGTCCGAATCATCACCCTTTTGCTTGTATTCTGCTTCCGCTTCTTTGAACAAGTTACGGATATTCTCTTCGGAGGCACCCACATACTTGCTCAACATTTCTGGACCATTGACAATCTTTGGCTCCTTACCGTTCAACATCTTACTCAATTTACGAGCAATCAAAGTCTTACCAGTACCTGGGGGACCGAATAATAACAAACCCTTACAATGCTTGTAGTCCAATCTTTCAGCAATTTCAGGAGGCAAAATTCTACTGTTGAAAGCTCTTCTGAATATATCCTGGAATTCGGCGTCTAAACCACCAATACCCAAATCTTCTAACTTGAAGTCAGGATTGATAATTTGTTTTCTGGCTCTTGGTCTGCCAGCACCACCGCCACCTATTCTCTTACCCTTTAAGGAAGAAGGCTTTGCCAAATTAATAATTGAGTTTTCGTTGGGGTAAAAGATCACCTCAGTTTGCTTGATGAGAATACCCTTAACTGACAAGTCGCTGCTTTCTTTTATTGAGGGCAATTTCTCTTTGCTATTAAGATCGATAACCTGGACGCTATGGATAAGCAACCCGTAGATAATGCCCTTGAACTCCATCACAATTTTCTGGGTAGGTTGTAAGATCTGATTCTGGTAGTTGTTGATGAAGATGTCTACCAATTCCTCATGCTTGACTGGATTGGAGTTAGCCTTGCTCTTGACGTGAAAATCAATCAAGATCTCGAGCCCACCCAAGTACTGCTGTTGCTGCTGTTGCTTTCCCAGGAAGATGTTGTAGGATTCGACCAAGATAGTTTGGGTCAAAGACCACTTACCCCATAATCTGACATTGGCAGCTAACCCGATAGTGCCTGGAGCAACCGTTTCTTCCTTTTCAAGCGTGCAGACGTAATTTCCATCCAAGAGGAGAGGCGCACGGTTGGGGAAGTCGGCGAAGTCTCGAGGGTTGACCCCAATACAGTTGGAAAGGGCCACTCTGTTGTTGGGTCCGTTGGCTACTTCGAATTGGCGTTTAAACGCTGGTGAGGGGGGTAATTGTGGGGCCAAGGGGGCATCGGGTTGGTTTGGACGACTGTGGGAAATAGTGGGCTGTCCTGGCATGTTGGGGCTGTTGGATACCCTGTGGAATCCTAACTTCTCCATTGTGTTGATGAGGACACTTGGTACTACTTGATTTTGAATTGAATGTCGCTGCGAGCGTGCTACGCGACTGCGCAGCGGAAGATCTGGTGAGGAAATCGCGACAATGGTGAGCCTAACCGTGTCAGCACTAGGGACGGTGGATAGGACGAGATTTTAACAAATAAATAGACCCTTTGGCAATTAGTAAAGATGCTAATGTGGGTATAAGCCACCTTGCTTAAGCCAGTCATACGGTCCATTGGGAAAAACTCTCACGGAAGAGTCGGATGAGGGATGGAGCACGGCGGCAACCATCACAATAAGCAAAACAGATGGAATGACTGATCCCAAAATTTCTGGGGGCGAATTGACAGTTGGTGTATATCACAAAGTTTAGGTAAGGAACTTATCACATCCCAGCAATAAGTCTGAAACCATCTCGTGGGTGGGGTAGTAGCCATAGGGGTATTTGGTGGCGAAAAGGGTGCGAAACTTTCAAAATCATCAGCAATACACAGCAGCCAGTGGTGATATTCTTGCATGGCTGAATGTGGAGCAGGTGCTATTTCATGTGCTTGTGCAATAATTTCAATTACCGTAGATATATGGCACGACCATCCTGGGACTCTCTGTAGTGAATTCTTCTTAAATCGCTATTAAGCTATGTTTGGACCAAAATCTATTTGATGCAACAAAGATTAAAAACAGTAGGCAGAAATATTTGGTGGTTTGCATCCTTACAATGTACTTTACAATACCCATCGTCTATAACTCTAAGACCCATTTATTTGCGAGCTCTGTGTTCTTCGATTGTAATTGTTATTGCTACAATAGTAATCCAAATGTGGCCGCGGGATGATTACTGGTGACACCCAATCACAAGTTTCAGGAGATGGAAATTTTCGTTTGTTGTCACTAGAGTTAGTTTTAAAGATAAAATCAGCACTTTTGGCTGTCTTTGGATACATATCCGTATAGTTGGTAATTTCAATTTGCCACCTATTTCCTAGACTGGAAGGAATCAACTATTCAGGGATATGTCACGAACGTTGACAATCAGAGAGAGTGTATATGGGCAACGAGCCCAAACGGGATAGTTTAGATGCGTTGCAGTTTCTGGATGTCATTATACATACCCTTGTCATGCATGACATATTACTGTGAACTGAAAATGTTGAATTATCTTAAAGACTTCATTGCAAATGAAAATACCTGACCATAACATCGAAAAACAGTTTCTTCTTTGTGCAATGTACGATCTGTTTGACCATGAAGAGCGAAAGCGCTTGGAATTGAAGAAAAAATAGGATAGCGTTTTTATGCAAAACTACGAAGAAAGAAGAGTTGTCGGGTTGCTGATACTCATCATAAATGCGGACGAACAGGAGACTTAAGTTGCAAAAAGAAAATTTAATGAAATGAAAATGAGTTCCATGTTCACCAGTACATGAATTCGAAATCAGTGTCGAAAATAGAAAACTACTTCTTACTAAATCTAAACAACAGATAGCAGAAACAGCAAGGCAAATAAGACTTTATTATTAAAAAGCTCTCAGGATATTGAATCATGGGCTTTAATTACTCAGAATTTAGTATGTAGCCACATATTAGTGCTTATTTATTTGCTAATGGGATTATAATCTACTGACTATATACCTATTTCGATGGATAACACACCATTATGTCAAACTTTTATATTTTAATATAATTAAAATCGTTTATTCAATTTTTGCAACTTGGTGCGTGATGCACGGCATCCTCATCATGTTGGATACGATTTTGCATTAGAAGCTGTAGCTGGAGAATAATAAAGACAATTGTGCTAACAGAAAATCAATCTTTTTCCTATTCAAAGTTCACTACTCTGTGGAAACTTGGAAATGTCCTTTTTTGAGCTTCTGTATTCACCTCAAGACTATAGTCTTTGCAGTGAACATCAAGCTAGTGATATTTGGTTTTCCAAGTCTCTATTGGAGTCTTAAACTTAGTACCTTGTCAGGTCTACTTGATGAGAAGATTCTGCTTTCAGTCTTTGGTACAAGGAAGTAGTGGCGAATTTTCAGTGTTAATTTCTTTCTTGAAATACGTAGGATTAATGGCTAGCTATAAACCAACAGAAAATACAGTATTAGACAATAGTAGCGTTGACTGTTCTGCTCAATACAAGAATCTCAACCAAAACAAGGGTTTACTGAGGACCCTAACATGTTAAGCTTAATTAAACGGGAAGTATTTTATATTCTACTCTTTAGAAGACTTGATAGCTTCCAGGTAACTGACTGGAGCTAGCCGGCTATGAATTTATGCTTATAAGAAGAATATATTCTAATCTACTGAGTATACACCTATTGCAAAGGAAAAATAACAATTAAATATTAAGTAGTGCGGTATGGGTTTTCACAACTAACTATGGATCTCATATATTTTAAAATTTTATTTTTGTCAACGATTGGTTTAGTGGTGTAGCGGCTATCACGTTTCGTTTACAAGTGTTTACACAGTAAAATCCGAAAAGGCCCCGAGTTCGATCCTCGGCTAGATCATTTTTTGTTTTTGATGCAAATTTTTTGCGGTAATTTTGGTTGCTGCGCGCGCAACTAGGCGAAATTTTGCAGTAATTCCGCTTGAGCAATTAAGATCAGCTTAGTAATCTAAGATATTCATTTAACTGTACAGTTCAGACTATAAACATAGTGGAATCACAGGGAGGTCTCCCAAAGCAGCAGAGAGCCATGAGACCATCCCAGACATAACGGTGTTAGGGGCAACTTCACTTGTGAAGTGTGTGCAAAGATTAGCAACTTCGCAGCAAATCGAATGACAGCCAATAGGCTAATTGTCCCTGATGCAGTGGGATTTTCTTTTGGAGTTTTTTTTTTTTGTCTTTTTGGTTTTCATAAACAATTAGATCAAACATTATCGGACGATAATCATAATAACACAACTGATACACTTTTTGAAATTCTCGTGTAACAGAATCGCCAGAACAAAAACATAATACATAAATAGGTGACGGGTTGGATATTGGAAATGGAACACTGGGAAGAAACAAATATCAAAATAAATAAACAGGTAAAATGCAATCGGAATATGGATAGTCATTGTAAACAGGATCTATGGTTATCTGCTCACTGGTAGTAGTTGAATGCCAAAGGGTTACCGTTGAACATCAACCCCTCGGATCCAACACCTCCATTGGGTAAAGATGAGGTGGAAGAGATCGAGAGATTGTGACCGTGGTTAACTCCATGACCACGCACAAAGTTGTTTCCAGCTTGACCAGGGTTTTGTAAGTGTTGAAGAGCTGGTGCTTGTTGGAATTGCTGTGGAAGGTGGTGTTGACCAGGGAATACATTACTCTTGAACTGCGCCTGAGGTTGAACCTGCTGCTGTTGTTGGTAATGTGAGTAGTAATTGGGCTGGTGGTAAGACCCTGGGGGTGGAGTGAATTGATGGTTAATACCGCCATTGTTGCCACCACTGGTAGTATAATGTCCCAGAGGCTGTGGATGGTTGAGTTGGACCGAAGAAACACTACTTTGATGCTTGTGACCCATCAGGATCGAAGATCCAGTTCCGTTGCCATTAGCATACATGTCAGAAGTGGAGTTGGATCCTGAAATGGATACATGGTGATGATGTTGAGCTGGGTGTTGAAGCAGCTGGTTGGAACCATCCATTTGACTACCATTGCTAAACGAGTATTGGTGGGTTGGACCATTGGTAGTAACGTTTCGTTGTGAAAGTCCTGCTTGACCAGGGAATCCAAATGGATACTCGTTGATCGTGTAGTCATTAGAATTAAAATTGGGAACTTTGTTGTTCATGTGGGCCATCATTTGCATTCCGTTATTGGTAGGTTCCGGGCCAGGAATGTGGCTGTTTGGGCCAGCCATGTTGGAATTGTATAAATTGGAAGGCAAGGAAAAGTTTCTCGGGTTGGACTGCTGGCGCTGGTGCTGATGTGGATACTCCAAGTTTGAAGGAGTCGATGAAATACTAAGAGATCTGTAGTTTTGATGGAATGGTTGATTCATACCAAAAGTCTCATTCACAGTGAATTCCCCATTTGAGCTCATATTCTGTTGAAATATTCCAGCATTGACACCGGGGCCACCAACACCATTCATGGATGATTGAGGACCCCCAGGGCCACTCATACTACCCAATTGAGAATGTCCTTTATCCAATGAAACGGATCTAGACTTAGACTTATGGTTAACCAAAGGGGCAGTACCACCCATACTAGAACTGTTCAAGATTATGTTGATCTTTGATTGGATTCGCTTTCCAAAACTGGAGATAATCTTACAGTTTTGGAACCAATACTTGATAATAACAATTTGAAGGCTTTCAGAATGTACTTCTGGATAATTTGGTGGTAACAAAAGAGACAATTTTGGAGCGAGCAAAGTAGAAGGCATTCCAGGTTCATTGTCCTCTAAGTAACTAACTTGAGGGTGTACCAAAATGTCCACCAAAGTTTGAATAACATAATTTCCATAAGGGTCATTGATCAACTTATTCAACTCACTGGTCAAAATGTTGTAGATCAATTCGAATTTCAAGTCTGAAAATCTGATATTGCAAACTTCATTGTTATAACAGTTTTTAAGGAACTTTTCAATCACGTTACTTGAGAATTTCAAATTGCACAAGTTGTTGATACCATACTTGACAAAGTTCTCAAAAATCTTGTAGTTTATATCTAATGAGTTGATCGAAATCAAGTACTGTAAGACATAATTACCAAATTGATCATTGATGAGTAACTGAAAGTTCTTGAAGTTGAGAATGCATTTAGAGAATTCTTCAAGTTGAGGCAAAGTCACATGGTTCAAGCACTTTTGTAGAACACAGCAACCATGCTTGTGGGTGGCGACAATATAAAGATCCTCAATGATCGAGTCATAAATGAACTGACAATCCTTTGGCTGGTATTTGTTGAGTATCTTCTGGATTACATGGTTACCATTCAAGTCCTTGATAAGCTCGATAATATAAGGCTTCAATCCCTTGATCAAGAGATTAAGTTGGTACTGGTTATTGAGGTTGTCGATGATCTTTTGGAGAGCTCTTGTACCGTGTTGGTTGATGGAGATTTGAAAGAGATTAAATTGAAGGATTTCTAATATTAAGTTCAAGTTTTCTTCACTGCAGTAGTTGATCAACTTTTGGATAAGGTAGTTGCCAAAGGGGTCGATGATGAGCTCATAAAGGTAGGGATGGATTTGCTTGAAAATGATCTCAAAGTTGGAGAGTCTGGCCAGGTAGTTTGAGACTAAGTTTTCATCGATCTTCTTTTGGAGAAACCGGCATCCATATTGGTCCTTTGAGAGCTTGAGGATCTCCCCTTTGAGTTGGGCAAGGGGGACCTTATTGATAGAGGCAAGATACTCCTTGTCGATTTTGGTCTTGGAGCCACCGGATATCAGCGAGGAGGCGGACGCCGATCTGCCACTAGCGGAAGCCAGCTCTTTGGGGAACTGGTTCTCCTTGTCTGAAGGGTCCTGGGAAGAGGAGCGCGACGTTTGACGAGGGCGGGAGCGAGATCGAGTGGCGGTAGCAGTAGCAGCAGCAGCAGCCACGGGAGCGGAAGTGGCCGGCTCAGGCTTGGAGCCGTGTCCAGCAGCCATGGGTGGGGGTCCTGCGAGGGCTGGGCCCTCGATGTTGAAGTTGGGCAAGTTCAACTGGTGGTTCAAGCGGTTGGAGGAGTCCCAGAGGGCTGATTTGGGAGGGGTGGTGGGCTCGATGATCGAGTTGATCGAGTTGACCGAGTGGTTATGTGAGTGGGACATGGCACGGGAGGTCGCTGGGTCCACGTTTGGGCAGGTTGACGATCCTGGACCAATAGTGGTAGTGGAGGTAGTGTCAGATACGATAGGTCTGGCGGGGGGACCGTGGAGGATAGGGGGCCGTTGAGGAAATGGTGGATGGGAGTACAAGCCTTAAATAGCGTCGCTTACGAAAAGACTAGTAATGTGGCCCGGCTAGAAAAGCATTCCTACACCCCTGTATTGAATCACGATAAACGATCGATCCTGATTATAGGGTAGCAGGTATTTTGTGTAGTTTGCGGTGGGGAGTTAACGGAGGTGGCACTAGGGCGGTGAGGATGGAGGCAGCGGGCCCTGGCGCTGGGCCCTGGGCTGGGGAGGGCGGCCAGGCGCTGGGGGGACGGGGGAGACTACAGGGGAGGCAGGTAAACAGGTTACGTTGGTATAGAGTGGTGTATGGTGTATATAGGTTGGACTAGGAATGGCTTGTGGTGGTGTATGGTGTATGGTATGGTGGTGGTGCAAGGAGAATGTCCCAGCGGAGCATGGCGGTGCGGACTGTCGTCTACCACCGCTCGTCACTAGCAGTTATGGCGGTGCGAGGTGGTGGGCCAGGTGTTATTGTCACCTGCCATATAAGAGAGGGCTTATTTCTTTTCACACCTGCACTAACCATAGCTCCGCCAGGCCCTGATGCGGTGATCCGACTGGGGCTCGAGCCAGGAGTCGCTGGCGCCAGAGTATTGCAGTAGAGGTCTTGTGGGATGTGGCCCAGCACCTTCCACTGGTGGTGTTAGCAGGCCACCTACCCTCTGGCCTGGCTGCCCTGGCTGGCCTCCCTCACGTACCATCGCCCAGCAACTACATACCAATTGAGCACGTCGTGCCGAAACACAAACTCTCCTACCTGCCGCCCGTGTGAAACATTCACACAGGCCAGGATTCGCCGCTGGAGCCTTCGCTGCTGGCGTTTGTGCACCACCCCCCGCCGTCTCATACCCTCCTGGGTGGCAGGAAACTCACTGCTCATGAATCCTGGAGGCAGCGGGAACTTATCGAACATCTGACTGAGGTGGTCGTCAAAGTCGTCGTCGTCCCCCGACGACTGGCCCAGACCATCGCTGCCGCCAGCGGCCCTGTAGAACCGGCGTCTATTGTCCTCGTCCTGTCGTGTCAATCCTATTTTTCGTGTGAACCCTCCCGTGGTAACGTTGTCCCGTTTGGTGTAGCCAGGATTGGGGCGGAAATCGGAGATGATCCAGTTCTGCTCGGTGATGGGGTTGGTGGCGAGATTGACCCGCAACAGAGTGCCGGCGTACTGGCTACGGTAGTAGCTGAGCACGAACTCGCGCCGCTGGAGCGTGGTGGCGCCTGCCGGGCCTGCGGGTGGGCCTGGCTCGTTCTCGGCCTCATGCTCGTGCTCGCGGTGGCGGTCGTTCAAGCCCACCTGTGTGTGGGCCTCCTGGTGGGGGCTGTCGTCCACAGGGGCTCCACTCGGTTTCTTGACAGGCGAGAGCTTGATGGGCGATGACCGGAACACGCTCTCGTCATCTGAATACTGGGTGGGGAGCTTGTGGAACGGCACCTCCTCCTCCACCATCGACTGGCTGCGAAGGAGGGGGATCTCGCCAAGAGTCCCAGTACCTCCAAACGACTTCATCTTGATCGGCAGACGGTCCCACGACTCTGCTCTCCCGCGCTTGGTCCTGGCTGGCAGCGACCTCAACGACGTTTTCGCCGAGTTATCTGGTCTTGCCCCGGTCTGTTTGAGACTGGAGAGCTCATCTCGGAGCTGGCGATTTTCCCGCTCCAAATGGGCGATCTGGGCCCGTAGTTCTGCATTCTCTACGTTCCTGGCCCTCTCGATCTCGGCCGCAATGAGCCGGGTGAGCTTGCTCTCGAACGTAGCATCCAATTGAGGTGAATCCATGGAGTTCCTGTTCATGTCAAGGACGTGTTATCGCACGCGATCCGGGTCACGAGAGACGCGTGTCTTAGATAGTTAATCACGTTATGAGTCACGTTCATAAACGTGATATGTCTCGTGCGTAAAACTCTGCTCAATGAAAACAATTCATCTTCGATTCACCAATCGATTCTCCATCACCAATGTTTGGATCTTCAAATACATCGACCGGAGGATTATTCGGTGCCAAGCCAGCCGGGTTGGCTCCACCCCAAACTGCTACTCCTAGCGGTGGATTATTTGGTGGCGGCAGTAACACTTCGGGTGGCCTCTTTGGAAACAACACCAATAATGCCAACACTGGTGCCACCAATTCAGGTGGACTTTTCGGTAATGCCAACAACAATACGTCCACTGCAAACACCTCGGGAGGTCTCTTCGGAAACAACAATTCTGCAAACAACTCTGGTGCACAACCCGCATCTGGTGGGCTTTTTGGATCAAAGCCCAGCACCGGGGGAGGACTCTTTGGAAACAACGCTGCCAACACCAATACCTCAACTGCCCCTAGTGGGGGCCTTTTTGGAGGTGCAAGTAACCCTCCTGCCAACAATGCCACCACCACAGGAGCTCTTTTTGGTAGCAACAATAACACGAATACCTCAACAGGCACAGGTGGAGGTCTTTTTGGTGGTAACAACAATACATCCACCAATGCTTCCGGTGGGCTCTTTGGAAGTAACAGCAATACAAATACCACGACCAACACCTCGGGGGGTCTTTTTGGTAATAATAACACTACTTCCACAGGTGGAGGACTTTTTGGAGGCTCCAACAATAACACAAGCACCTCGGGGGGGTTGTTTGGTGGAAACAACAATACTTCTGGTGGATTGCTTTCAAAACCGGCTACTGGAGGACTCTTTGGTGGTTCTAGTGCTAACACTGGTGTAACCAACTCAGGAGGTTTATTCGGCTCCAGTGGCCAGACAGGAGGGCTTTTCCTGCAGCAACAGCAGCAAAACCAGCAACAACAGCAGCAGCAACAACAACAGCAAATCACGGGTATGACCAGAGTAGGTGATCTCCCTCCTGCCATGAAACAAGAATTGGAACAATTCGACAAATACATTAACACCCAACACTTGATAGCAACCACGTTACAAGCGGACTTATCCAAGCATGACTCCCTCATAGACACGATACCGAAGGATATTAATTACTTGCATAATAAGTTATTGTCGACGAAGCAAGCTCTCAAGTTTGACTCTAGCCAGCTTGCCAACCTCAAGCAATTGAATAATGAACTCACTGAAGATATAACGAAAATTTTACAATTGATTTTGCAATTGAGCACCCCTGGAACCCGCTTATCTTCGTCATACCAATTAAACGAGTTTTTCATCAAAAAGATCAAAAAGTACTACGAAATATTAAACAGCTATGAGTCTTTAGTGGCGGAGTTGGACCTCATATTGAATGGCTTAGAAAGGCTGTGTACTGAAGGTTTCGGCAACTTGTTCAATGTTGTTCAAGTAATCAAATCACAGTACAACCTCTTCATGGAATTGTGCGAGACCATGGCCCAATTGCATAATGAGTTGACCAAAATAATTAAGTAGCCTACGAGCTGTTAAATAGAGTATGTAATAATCTAGATTTCATTCATAAGATCACGTGTAGTTAGATCCCGTGACCCAGTTCCCCAAGCACATCTCTCCACCGTAAATTGCAAGCCATCATGAAGTCCAAAGCAGACTACCTCAGCAAGTACCTCAGCGGTCCAAAGGACGCAAAGAAAAAGAAGAAATCCAAGTCTGCTAACATCGTTGTTGATGCTTCGGTGCCTTCAATCAAACAAGTTGACTTAGAGGACATTTTTGATGACGATGAGATAGACGAACTTAGGCCCATCAAGGTCGATCTCAAGTCCACGAAAGAGTTCAAAGGATTCAAGAGGATAGATGGTCAGGAAATCAAGCCTTTGGGTGAAGCAACCGACGTTGCACCACCATCCTTACAGCCACAGACAACCGTATACAGAGATTCCCTGGGTAGAATAATTGACATAGAAGCAAGAAGAGCAGAATTTGAAACTCAAAAGAAACAACAGGAACAAGAAAAGGAGGTCAGAGAAGTCCGCATATCGGAGGAGGAACAGCTCCGCCAGTCAAAGGAGTCGTTTAAACCGAAGAAACAGGATCTTGATGATCCGATTATTGTATTCGAAGGAGATACCGGAGGCAATGATTTGGGCAACCAGTACACTTACAATCAAGGAGTTAATCCTGTCAACAGATTCGGCATACTTGCAGGATGTTTGTGGGATGGCATCGATAGATCCAATGGGTTTGAAGATTTGATGATGAGAAAAGTCACCGAAACCAGGTTCAAAAAGATTGATGGTAAAATCAACGAGAGCTATGACGATTACGAAATTTGATGAAATTGGTAAGACGTACTAGGAACATTGTGCTTCCTATGTGACCCAACACCGAGCTATAATGACAGCTACATAAACTATAAGCCTCGGCCAATTTAAGCCAGTGTGTGTAAAGGAGAAACACTTCTGAAAGCAGCCATTCTCGTCGATGCAACTTCTGATAACAACTCCTTTCTGAGCAAACCACACCTAAACAGCCACACTGGAGCACTTCGAGGCTCAAACTCACGGCAGCGGGGATATGCCATTTCTGGCCAAGCATTCATGGACAAACTTTCATCTAATACCTTGGGGGATGTACCATCTGTTCTACTTTTGGAATGCACTTGTAATTGACTCTGCTAGTATAGTCTCGATAAGATATACAAGTAATAGAATAATATTTATCAAATCGTCCAATACGTAGAACTACAAAATAGCCATGATGTGTCTCACTTGTGTGTGACCAGTGCTTCGTCATGGTCCATTTCTATCGAATCATCCTCAGCATCCTCCCATCAGAATACATACCGTTATCAAGATGGGGCTGTTGCGACTATATGCACTCCCCCATCTAAGCTTGTGTGACTCCCTACTCTCCACATTACTATAATCGTTTAGAGTGATATTCTACTACTGTCATTAGCACATATTGCCTCAACTCTCCAACACTGACTATCTTGCATATTAGGTGCTTGTCCTACCATGCCTGTTCCTCAAATTCCAGGCTTTTATTACGATGAAGAGAAAAGGAAGTACTTCAAGATACTAAATGGGGGCCATTCTGCCAGTAACCAGGTCAACAAGTACCACAACAATTCAGTACAGGCTGAAAAGCGAAGGAAATTATATAAGGATAATGAAAACACCACCAAATACAAGGTTTCCCGATCTACTTCTCAAGCCATTAGCATATCCAAACAAGCATTCCAGACGCAACTCGAAAGGAAGCAGTTCGAGCCGTCATACGAGGGTCTTCTACGGCTCAAGACCGGGAACTATGATAGGACGTTACCAGTCAATCGAGATGATCTTCTCGATATTATCCCCTCAGGTATGAGCTCGGGTACACCAACTGCATGTTCAAGGATGGGCTTTCAAGAGTACAGCACAATAAAAAGCACAGAGGACAGCGCAGAGGAGTTGCGCCTGTTGTATTTCACTCGGGTTCCTATTGTTCAACGGGTTCCTAAATCCTTCAACCGGGTCCTAGGTGTTTTTGGAAACCATGTGGTGATGATCCCCCTGTATGAGCCTCACGGAAAGCTGTTGATCAGATTTTGGGACACCAATGGTACCACTATTGATATGGTCGAACTGACTGTGTGTAGAGGTGGAATAGTGTCGGTGTTAAATTTTCATTGCACCGCCTTCAACCACAATGCACAGAAGGGCTCATCCAGAGGATTAGTGATGTACTCATTTAGAGAAATATTCAAAGATAATGGAGCAAACTTGGTCAAGTTGAAGTACATTGATGTGAATAATGGTTTGCGAGTCACAGATTACACTTGCAAATTGAAGACCTTCTTGGCGGATTATGTTCCCAAGCATTACAGCGGTCTCGAGTGTGAGATACTGAGATTATTTGGATTTCGAGTCTCTAGTTTTAAGAGAAGAGAGGGCGATTTATCTAGAGACATAGAGGAAATTAACAGGAAACTTCAGCAGGCGGAGCTCAACAACAAGAACGAAATAGCAGAGAAGTTTGTACACAGTGTCGATAAGGACCGGTACGAAGATATAACCATAGATCCCTCTGATCGATGCCAGTCAAGTATCACTGGGTGTGTTGTGACTGACAACGAAATCATCATGGCATCCGACAAACTTGATCTAATGAGAATAAAATATAAATGGAACGAGGAGCAGAAGTCGCTAACATTTCAATCATTCGATTTTGTTTCATATTCCATTGATTCTGTTATGAATTTTGATTTTAAGGAAATGTTTCTCGATAACAACTTTATTCATTTGTACTCGAACAAAGGAATCATCACACTCAAAAAGAGCTGTTTCGATTCAAAACAAATTCGATCAAAGTTTATTAAAGTACCACATTTGAGGAAAGCTTTTCTTATTCTGTCATCTAGACTTCTTCTTCTCCATGACCAAAAAATCAGCATTGTTAATGTAGAGGTCAACAAAGGAAAAATACGGTACAAAGACATTGACAAATCTTTGGGTACATTCTTCATGGACAATAACCCATTTCAGAGCTTTTATTTGTACCAGAATCATTTGCTAATTAATGAAACAGAGACTGAGTTCAAACTTATCAACTTGAACAGGAGCTTTGAAAGTGATTACAATTCAAGAAAAATTCACTTGGATCCGCATCCTACGATGTGTCCTGCAAGAAGAAAACGATTAAAGGACATAGTTTCATTAGATGGAAAGTTCCATCTCATCTACGATTTATGAAAAAACATTTATTGGATACATAGTATATTTCATTATTGAAGGTCAGGTCAGGTTATCATTAAAAATAAAGTATGAATTAAGCGTAGTGAAGAATGATTATAAAGATAGATTTTCTGTTTTTATGTTTTTTTTGATTGTTGAATTGTATTAGATTAGAATTGGCTATTGAACCAGTCACTGTCCAAAATTTGATCAAAGGTTAAACGATCACGCTCATGAATTCTCACCATACCGTAAATCAACCACTCGACATGTTCTAATCCTTCTTCCACTATGCGTGTATGCCTCATTTGATCAAATGCCATCAAGTGTCCGTGGTTCATGTAATGCTGGAAAAAGAAATCTTCTGGAACACACTCCTCCCACAAATCCAACCCAAACGATAAAACATTGAAGAAAATGCACCCCAAAGACCAAATATCCTTTGCTTGAGCGAGTCTTCTGATATCATAGTCTTCATCAAAGTCACTGTAAAGTTCGTCTCCTGCATAAGAAATGGGTGCAATATATCCGGTGGTTCCCCAAGTCAAACATTCATGCTTCAGAATGAGGGACATGCGAGTAGATGTAGAAAGTGACAAGCCAAAGTCAATTACCCTCACTTGTAGAGTACTTAAGTTTACCAAGATATTTTCTGTTTTCAAATCATTATGGCACACACCATTCTCATGACAGTGTTGAACGGCTTCGAAAATTCGCTTGCAGATAAAATTTCCTAATCTCATTCTTGACAAGCTACTTCCTGTCATTTGGAGAAGGTCGAAAAGTTCCCTACCATTGAAATATTCCTGGACCAAAATAATTTGGTTTTTGTTGGCGGGTGAAACCAAAATATCAAGACAACGACATGCGTAAACCAGAGAAAGTCTCCGGCTATTAGTGTACTCCCTTGCGAGGGTTAAGAGAAGTGCTTCGTTGTCTATCTCAACAAATTTGACTGCAGTATGCCTTCCCTCGTGTGTTGTAAAAAGATACACATCACCGAATGATCCACAACCGAGCTTTCTGGCGGGAAATCCGTAGTTTCTTGTTAAGTCATGGCTGAATGGCTCAGCCTGCAAACACACATTTAATATATCCTGACCAATTGTATTCAGGAAGTTTGACAGGCACTCTGGGGCAAAGGACTTGAAGCTTGTTAAGAATTCTACCGTTTCCCTATCCAAAGGAAATAACTCTCTTCTATGTGTTACATCGACGATCCGGGACTGTCTTGGAAGTTCGGAATTGAGGTGGGAAAAATATTCGCGATATTCTTCTTCTTCCAAAGAAGGGAGACTTCTAGGAATCTCTTGTGGATGTACAGCATACAGGTGAAGTGCCGAATAGGAGTAAGAATTAGTGCTACTAGAATTAAGAACATTCATGGTTGCTTGAGAAAGATGTTGCTGAGATCTATCTCAGTTGGAGGGCACCGACCCATATTTATAGATTCCTTGCTAGCAGAACAAGCAGGTATATTCCCAAAATCACGCCGAAGGGGGAGGTTTATTACGCTTGATTTCAGGGAACTGTGGGTTTAACGGTAAACGCACCAATATTTCTTTTGCTAAAATATGAATTAGCTGTTTCTTTTTGCAATACGATAGAGTCTTTAAAGGGATGCAAGGTATGATACTATGCTTATGCTAACCAAGCAAAATAATATATTATTACTAATATTTTACGTAAGCGATAAGCGTAACACCCATCCGCGGGCAATACGCAAAACGTACAGAACGCCCTAGTTCAACTGCTAGGATAAGTTTTATACGGTACTCGAGGTATACAGAAAAGTGCACAATAAAGTTTATTCTATATAAAAATCATTTTCCAATGAATCTCTTGTAAGCGGTCTCATTGAAGTTACCGAACTTGTAATCAATGTCTAACAACAACTTGATAGCATCTTGAGATTTGTAGATATACTCAGCTGGCAATTTCACTAACGCATCGTTCAATTTGTATTGAGAGTTGAATTCACTCTTGTTCAAGTAAATGATTCTTTCATTCTTTCTTTGCGAGTTGTAAACCTGGTCATTGGACAAGTTGTAAACACCTGGGTAACCACTGATGGTCTTGAAGTTGGATTCCTTGGTCAATGGGGGGCTCAATGGGAACAAGTTCTGTAAGAGCTCATAAGACGCCAAAGTGAAACCGAATTGAGGGGAGGATCTAAACACTCTAGCAATAGAACCCTTGAAGAAAGCACTGAAACCTTCTTCCTTCAATATAACCCTGGCAGCGTGAGCAATCCCGCTATATTTAGTTTCGTGAGTCTTGGATTCAACTTGCAATCTGGTTTTTATGACATCGGCAGGGGTAGTGAAAAATGCAGCTGGGGCACCTGCCAAAGCACCACTGACTAACAATTGCCAAGTGCTCAATCTTTGGTGCTTGTTGTCATTAGGGTCAAAACCAAACATGATTCTCTTCAAATTAGCGTAAGTGGGGAAGTAAATGGCCGAGAATGGAACATCTCTCAACAAACAAGCGCCAGCACCCTTGTACAAACCTTTGAGACCCAATTGCTTGACAATTTGACCAGCACTTAAATGTTTCTTTGGGATTTCTCCTGGGTTATTCACTTTGCTACCACCTTGCATTTGTAATCTGATCTTGACGATTTCCAATGGATTGGTGAACACAACTTGACAGGCACCGGCACTCATACCAGCAAGGATTTCCCATCTCATGGTAATCTTTCCATCTTCATCGGTACCGATTTTTCTGACCAAATCATTGACAGTCAACTTAATGGCTTTCTCTGGAGCAACACCAACTAATTGGGCACCCAAACCACTATACAACCCTTTCAAACCTTCATGTTTCACAATCTTCTTGAAACAATCCAAGGAGTTGTCATACATAGCCTTATGTCTTTGGGCTTGCATACGGGTTTTCACCAAATCTATAGGGTAGACAACAGTAGCACCAATACATCCAGCAATGGAGCCAAGGAAGAATGAGTAAAGGGAATCGTAAATGGGCCACAAGGAAAAGTTATCCGAGTTGGCGTGTTTCGAAGGGTGAGAAGTAGAAGGATGCTCAAAAATTGGAGTCAAGGTATTGATGTTGTTGTGGTAGTTAGGATTGAGGTAACTGATCATTTCCTTTCTTGGGATGTTGTCATTCTCCTTCTTGTTGATCAAGTGGAACAACAATTCAATTTCGTTTATGGAAATAGGCTTGAAGTTGGAAGACTTGAGAAGGTGGTCATTCAAGTGGGTGTACAAGTCCTGCTTATTTATCATGATATCGTCTTTATCCTTAGAAGTTGGTGGAGTGTTGGCGATAACTTCATTGATCAAATCAATCTTACTCAAAGTGTTGTAAACAAACAAGAAGTTGGACAACGAGTATTCGTTGGTCTCAGGGAAGAAATCTGCGATGTTTTCCAAGTTTCCCTTCAATTTGGAAGACAACTTGTGATTCAAGTTGGTAGAGAGAAGGTGGATCATCTGTTCGTTGTCAATAGTTTGCTTCTTACCGGCCAATAATTCGAAGTTACCAATCAACTTGGTGAGAGGCAAGTAGTTGATCAAAGAAATGAATTCATTGAAGTTCATAGAACCATTTGGAGCAAAGAATCTGGTGAAGTAGGTCCAGTTCATCTTGATGAGGTTTTGCTGGTAGGCTGGGTCGATGGATTTATTCAATTTGTTCAACATTTCAATGCATCTTTCATAAGTGATTGGATCCTTCAAAGATTGAGTAGAGGAGATAAACTTATACAACAACTTGAACTCACCGTCGGTGTCAGTCAAGGTGGAGATGAAGTCATTCCAGTCATCTCTGGTAAGGTAGCCCTTCTGATTTTTATCAGCAATCACGTACAATAACGAGAAGGAATCCTTGGGAAGATCGGTGTCGAATGGGGCCAAAATATCCACAAACTGATCAAGCGAAAGGGTGGGTTGGTCCGCATCGCGGGCAACCGCGAACTGGTCGAAGATTTCCGAAGAACGGATAGATAATAGAGACATTGGTTAAGAACGAATTGGTTGGGGTGAGGTGTGTAACTGACGAGTCTCGGGTCCCAAAAAGGTAACTTTTCCTGAATGAGGAGACAAAATTAACAACTGGAAACGATGGGGAAATGGGGACGAAACAAACTGACACTGGCTAGGAACCGTGGGGATGTTGATAAAAAGGGATGGTTATGACGAGCGAGACGAAACTATTCTATGAGTCTAATCAGTGGAGGTGCTAGTTCGTCACTTTGGTCAAAGACTATGAACAAACGGAATTAGGTATGGGAGCCGAATATACCGCAATGGGGATGGTTATAGACAAGCAGGAGGAACAGGCACGGAATATGCAATGGCGGTGGATAAAGATGCCAAATAGCAGAGTGATTCTTTATATGAGAAATAATGGTAAATAAATGTGCGACTAACACCGAGAGAATTTCTCCACAAATGGACGTCCGTTTTAGAGGGATTTTAGTGGCCGCGAGTCGCCGTATATTGGCAACAATTACGATTAGTGTTTGGGGAAAGTGGCCGAGGGGGCGCTGCGGGGCGGGACGCCGGTGTTCACTGCGAGCTCGTGGACAGCTGCTGGCTAGCTCGTAGACTGGCCAGCCTGGGCGAGATCATATGTTATTCCAGCTTGATCACAAGACGACTGGGCGATGATGGATTTTTCACTGCGGATCCTTTTGCCCGTAGCGTGCGATGAAGCCGGTCCCGGAGGGGGACTTGCGGGGTGCTTAGCGGTACATCACGTGACGTGGTGTTGACTCTCATGACTCAACAACCGAGGCGCCAGCGTAGACCCAGTGGTTGGGGGTCCTGGCAACGCAACCCGGGCTGGGCCGTAGTCAGGGAGTCACCCCCGAGGCCGGTATCCCCGCAACCACTCAGGGATGCCAGTGGTTGTCCAAGCTGGAAGTCCCTCCTGGGCCCTGGGGTGCCGCGTCGGTCGAATTCAATCCGGTTGTGCGGTTAGACTCACCGTGTCATGTGCTGGCAGTTGAGGGGCAGCATTCCGAGAACAACTTTAGTGACCATCGTAAGCGCTAGCGACATGCATGCATTGCAGGATTGACTGGATCCGGCAACTGGCCGTTTTGGTGTCGTATCGCGCTAGCAGTCAGGCAGGGTTAGATGGGTTTGCAGGGCTTTTGTGGTCAGGTAGACACTGTTAGCAGTTGTGGTCGGCGGCGGGTTTGCCGGCTGCTGGGCACCGGGAGTAACGCTTACGTAATCGGGCGGCTGCGAAATGGTAATCAGATCGGATACGCTCTGGCAGTAAACAGGGTGGGTCTGTTTGGTACGTGTCGTCGGCTCTCCCATATCGAGTAAGGATAGAGATCGCCACAGATGGAATGGTGACAAATACACAATTCCATCAAGCTATAGTCGGGGGAGCTAGACTGACCAGCGTATTTTATTCAATGACAGCGGATAGCTCATAGCAGCGTATCGTAGGTACGTAGCAGCTTATGGTTAGTTCTCAGCAGAGCATGTTTAGTGATTAACAGCTTAATGTAAATCCGTGCGTGTAGCGGTATGGGCGATAATGGTTGCAGAAAGGGGACGTATGCCCTTAGGTTCAAACAAGGCTCGGTACAGCAATACCACAGTCCTGCCACAGCACACTTCTATCTCGCCCTTTAGAATCAAGCAAAGATTGTACTGGCCTGATTTTGCTGGTCGGATTTCCTGGCCGTGATGTGCTGCCATTTCTTCCTGAATCCTTTTCCATGGCACCAGAAACACAAAAAGACAGTTAGTTCAAAACCGCTTGTACCACGACAATAACCTCCCTTATCTCCACCACCTTGCCTTTCCCTTCTCCTCATCCATCTAACAAGTATCTCTTTCATTCTCGTCCCATAAACGCCGGGGTGGGCAGACATCAAACTCCACCAGCACGTGATCTGTCTCACCATTTCAGTTCCCGCTCACCAACTTTCATCCATAACGATGGCTACAGGAGCTCCAGGTACGTCCCACACAGGCATCATGATCCGCACCCCACCGGAACGCCCCCACTAACTTCAGGTAACAACTTCAGAGGGTGGACCCCCACACCTCCAGAAAGAGGCTCTTTTCCCTTGGACCACGATGGTGATTGCACCGAATACATGAACAAGTACCTTAAGTGTATGAAGTTCACCGAAAACAAGAACGCGCCCAACTGCCGTGTTTTGGCCAAGGATTACTTGAACTGCCGTATGGAGAACCAACTCATGGAGAAGTCAGACTGGGACTCCTTGGGACTTGTGAACTTGCCTGGTGACAAGTCCACCACCCATCAAGAAATGTTGAACAAAAAGAAGACCGCTTCGGGCGCCGACAAAGCGCCTCCGACCTGAGCGGCTGCTGTTAGACAACTGCTGATGGCTAGGGGCCTCCTGGCACCACTACGTGTACATACAGAATCTTGTAAATATTAATGGACTACCTATCATGTCGACAACAACTTGTAATCCTCGTGGCTTTACGTTAGCGGATATCAAGGTATTCTTGAAAATATCCAGTAATTATCCTATTGCTCACAGCTTGTAATTTTCGTGATATTATCTATCATATCGAGGCTATTTCGATAACTGACTACTCGGGCTTTCCCTTACCTCTAGAAGGCTTTCCCCTTCCTCTACCACCTCTCGATCCGCCTCTTCCTCTGCCGCCTCTGCCGCCACGGTCGCTCTTTTCTTGCTTACCGTTTTGGTGAGAGTTATTGCCCCTCTGTTCGGGCTCGGCTTGAGCTGGAGCCTGAGGAGAAGGAGCTGCTTCTGAAGCACGGTAGTTTGGTGCAAGAAAGTGGGCAGGCAATGGGATTCCGGGAACATACGGAATTTGACCTGGACCTGGTGGTGGTGGCACAAATCCGTTACCTTGGTAAATTGGTGGCGCCATGTATGGGTTAAATCCTGGAATCCCGTTGGGTCCTGGAATTGGAGCGCCTGGAATTGGCACTCCTGGAACACCGGCTGGCACTGGAACTCCCTGCTCGTTCATAACATTGGAGTAGATTTGGCCATAGATTTGCTTGATTGCATGAGCATTCAATGCAGAACCATCAGCAACCTCCTTGTCTTCTGTTTCGGTTTGCTTCTCGTTAGTGGCACTAGCAGCTTCGCCGTCTGCTGCTGGCTTACCCCTCCTCAACAAGGTCAAGATCTCATTGGAGCTCTTCTCCTTTCTCTCCTTTTCCTCGAGCTGCTTCTTCTTAGCAAGAGCCTTTTCTTGGTTCTTTGCGAGCTTGGCCCTTTCAGCCCTCTCGGCCTTTTGGACGTCGGTCAATGGCTTTCTTCCCTTGGAAGCATTACTGTGGTAAACAAATTGCCTATTGGTGATATTCAACACCAAGGAAGAATCGAGAGTTAATCCTCTCTTGGTACTCAACTTACCATTCATAGTGGTACCGTTCATCAATGGGTAGTCGAAAATAATACCCAATTCAGTCTTGCTTGCATTGGTGGTAATAGACACAATAGTACCCTTAGATAAAGTTGGGGCTTTACCAAAATCTTGGATGTAGCTAATTCTATCACCCAAATCAAACTTTTGATCACTCAATAATTTCGAAGACTCTTCTGGCTTGAAAATAGCATCTCTTGGAACACCCTTAATATCCTTATCCATTAATGGAATTTGTTGATGAATGTATCCTTCCATGTATTGTTCAATTGCTTGGTAACTGAACTTTGTTAAGGACTCGCTTTCCAAAGAAACCAAAATCAAGTCCGCCTTAACTTGCTTTAACCAAGCTCTAATTTGCTTCAACTCATCAGGAGTGGTGATCTCATTGGAGCGAGGAGTCGATTTAGCATCAATCTTGGTCAATTTGGCAAATAATCCAGGGAATTTCTTCTTGTATTGCTGGATCAAATCGACGGCCAATGGAGAGAATTCCCAGAACTTGTCATTTGCCTTCTTAGTGTAGCCCAAAACCTTTTGTCTCTTACCATCAAATTTCAATTCAAGACCAATGTTGACCCTCTTACCTTCATGTTCGATCATGAAACTGCTAGTAAGCTTAGATAACAATAAACCGTTCAATTTCAATTGCTTACCAACTTCAAATGATGGATAGTACTTGAAATCCCTAGCTTCCATACTCAAACGTTGTTTACCAATAATTGGTTCCTTCAAGGTTTGAATTTTAGAAATTCTGATGCTGACCTTGTCCTTTTCTGGATTGTAACCAACAATCTTAGCGGCTGATCCATATCCCATATCACCCAAAAAGATAACTCTTGAATCCACTGGGAACTCTTGGTCGATAGGCAAAGGAGCTCTAGTCTGGTAACGTTTATCCTTGTTATGAACATCCTTCACAACTAATTGCAATGGATAAACTTCGGTGTCCCTTGAGAATGTTTTAACATAAGCACCTTTAGCATTTCTAATCAAACCATTGACTGGTTGAACATGCACCAAAACAGTAACTTTACCAAGCTTGACACCCTTTAACTTGTCATAAGCAGAGTTCAATGAATTCACGGTGAATCTAAAGTCTCTGTATTCATCTGGGCTTAACTGGGACGAAATATTTTTTCTGTTACCTCCAATCTTTACGGTTTCATATTTTTGCTCTTCACTAACAACCTTAACAACTTTAGATTCTCTTAAGAATGGCCATTTACTGTAAACGATTTTGTTAAGGTATTTTTCACTAAACTGAGCAATAGTCCAATCCGACCAATCATTCTCGATTGTCAAAATCATCGATTCAGATTTAGTAGGAAAGTTGAAAATCTTTACTTCATTCTTCTTCAATTCGGAGCTAAAGTTCAAAGTGCTCAAGGATGGGAAACCAGCCAACATATGCTTACCAGTTTTGGCACCATCCACTAACCCAATTCTGACATTCTTCAAATCTGGTAATTCAACCTTGACTTCGTAACACTTGTCATTTTCTAAGTCCTTGAAAATACCGGGAATTGGGGATGGGAAAATGTAGTTGATTTGAGGATTGTACACAAACTGCACTGATTCACCTAAAGAGTTTCTTTTGGCTTCAGCAGCAGTCAACTTGGCTTCCATTGGCTTCAAAACCTTCAATAAACGTTCTTCATCAACAAAGTCTAATAATACAACCGCTTCCCAGGAAGCAGACTTACCATTCATGTCAATATCAACCTCATCTGGGTAAAAGTCATGAATTGGTGATTTCTCATCGGTCATTAATGGTCTGTAGCAATTAGGCATCAAAGATCTGGATCTTGCTGGTAAAACTGCCATCAATTGTTCGAAAGGTTTGAATGGAGTGGACAAATCAAAAGTAATTTCTTCTCCGGATTTGATCATCTCTTCCAAACCTATTGAGATGTCTGAAATTCTTGGAGAATAATGATACTTGTAATACCAGTTCCAAGACTGACAACCTTGGTAATAATAATACAAAACCCATTGTAAACCCTCGATATAATGCTTAGTAAGCTTTACCATCTCGGTGGTGTCATCAATTGAAAAATTTAACTTTTCTTTATAGTACTTATCCTTCCACGTTCTAAATTTCGAATCGTAGATATCTTTCGAGGACTTCAAGTTTTCCTCAGTTTCAATCAAGTTTGCAGATTGATACTTCTTGACAATCTTTCTGACTTCTTGAACACGTTCTTCGAATTCTTCATCAGATTCAGTTGAAGGTAATCCATCAATATCTAATTTCAATTCCCACAAATCCTTTGATTTTATGTGAACAATTAAAAGACCAGTTTCCAATGCAAACTTCTTGAGAAATTCAAAGTTGGATTCAACATCACTATGCTTGAGTTCCAAGTGGTTCAACTCACCTCTGGTCTCAAGATCAATCAAATCTTGCACATTCTTATTAAGGTTCTCCATCAACCAAGGTTTGATAAAACCAACCAACTTCTTCTCATCTTTTAACATAATCAACTTGCCAATTCTCTTTCTCTTCTTCTCCCCGGTGATGGAGATATCATCCAACTTCTTATTAAACCATTCGATATCAACATCTTCTCTTTCAAAATTCTCCAATTCAAACTCGGACAAATGGTGCAACCAAATGTTTAATCTCCTTAAATTTATCTTACCACCTTCATTAATGTATCCATCAGACTGTTTCAAAGTTTGCTTGAATGTCTCAATCAATAACGGGAAAGCACCCTTGTTAATGAATAAATCAGGTAAATTTGGTAAGAAATCATTACCAATAACGTACATAATAAGGATGAAATCATCTAAAACTCGTTCAAAATCGTAATCAAAACTTAAATTTTTCTTTAAATCAAGGAACTCCAATTCGAGATACTCTCTTAATAATGACAAATGAAGTAAATAGAACTTTTGATCATTCAAGTTATCAGTCTTTTTGCCTCTCTGAGGTCCGAAAGTGACTTCTTCTCTCAACAACGAGAAGTGAGGATCGTGACTCACCAAACCCAACATGATTAAATCGGCATCCAAACCGTAGATACATTGTCTGATGTTTGGGTCGTAGTCATCCTGGGATTTCATAATTCTAATGTAATCCATAATTTTGTGTTCACCTTCACCAGGAACTTCATGACCACTCAAAATAATCTGTGTGTTTGCCCAAGAAGAGTCGGTGGAGATCTTTTTATGTATGAAATACTTCAAGTTCGTGGTTAATTTGGACATGAACTCAGTACCTGGTGTGATACTGTTGGAATCAAAGGGGTCTTCACTGGGAATAGTTTCACCCGCAGCAATAGCCTTCTTCAAGTTTTCTTCTGCTTCGTAAGCAGTTCTAAATCTTCTTGCTCTCTGTTGGTTCATCTTTGCTCTGGGGGCAACACCATCGATGGCCATGTAAAACAACTTGTTTGGTTTGATGATGTCAAACAAATGCTCGATGTAGTTGAAGATAGCAGCATACATCTGATCTTCGGTCATTCTGGACAACGATCCATCGTTGGGATGAGTACATGTATGCAAAATCGAATTCATGTCCAAGTATAAATTGTCAAACTCGGGAATCTGATTCTCATCGATAAACTGTGATATCATTGGCCATCTCTCCGAGATGAATCTAAAGAATTTGGGGATACCCATGGTGGTAATACTTTGAAAATAACTGAATGTCCACTATTTGAATTGAATTTCAACCTGCGGTGATCTGACACTGGGTGGGGTAGGAACTTGGGGCAATCTTTTAACCAATTGGTGTGAGATGCGGTGGATGCTAGCGGTTATGGGTGGTTTGTGAACCTGTAATCGCGCTGCTCTTGTGGTTAAGTTTCAAGGGTGTGTCTGCTTAGGTTGTTAGTGTTCACGCTGAATGGATGAAGTTGTTGAACGTCCATTTGGTCGTGGGAGTGCGTGTCACGTGCACTGCTTGCTTAGCTTGGGGCTTCTTGATTTACAACTTCTGGTGGAGAATTTTCAAGCAGCAAAGGGCCAGTGGAATAATCTGGGTTACTGTTTTGGAAATGTCAGCACTGTTGAGCCAACTGAGATGGAAAATACATGAATACTAGTTGATCTGGCTAAGTGCCTTTTCGCACCGCGAGGTTGCAAAATTAGTGGTCGTACAGCTCACCCGTTGACATGAAACTGCGACTACAATATTGCAGAAGATAGATAAAAGAAGGCAATGAATAAAAGAAACAAAAAACTCATATCTAGTGGTATCATGCCATAAATCAACTAATAACGAACCACTAAGCTGGGAGCATACTTCAGCAAATTTACAACTATGAGTTAAATACCTTTTCTCAAACATTCATTACTATATAATGGTGATGAAATCACGCTGCCAACCGTGACATTCTACGCTCTACATCACCATGAAATAAACCGACCATCCGTATGGACCCAGTCCAAAAAACAACTAACAATTCCTGGTATATAAATCAAACAGTTGTATCAAGTACCCAAGAACAAGTGCTAAGGGAACATAATCATAATCATGTGCAGACCGACAATGTGAGCTCCTTTCTCTGGGCTATGGCAGGCAAGTTCGGGGTTTCCCAGAAACTTCTGTAGGTCTGGCGATAAAGACTATTGAGATACTTGGAACATGTCTGGATATTCTCAATACAAGTATTCACCACCTCGCTTTGGAGTACTCGGGTCTTATTCGTTTGACCCCAAACCGAGCTTGTGAACACCTTGGCTCTGTTAAATCCGTGGAAGGCTTCCGTAGTGGTAATGTTCCACAATCTCTGGAATTCTTTCTGAGCAGGACCCCAATTCTGGTGTGTATTCAACACCCAACTCCAGCCACGACCTGCCTGATTTGACATATATTTCCAGGACTTCGTACTGTATGTTCCAGCTCTAGCCATGCCAATAACTGAGTATTTCTGAGTCTGATTCGAGACAAACTCCCAGGTTTTCTTGAAGTATGTTTCACCTTTGCCCAATCCAATAATTGAGTACTTCTGGACTGTGTTCAAAATCTGCTTACTGTACTCCCTTGCCGAGTTGCGGGCCAAGAAGCCATAGGTTTGAGTGAAATCCACAACTCTAGGAACATACTCATCTAACTTGAGCTTGAGCAGAGAAGATATATTCTCCACTCTTCCTAAGACATGCTGAGTGCCCAAAAAGATGTTGGCACTCACTTTCGAGTACCCTCTGAGGATCCTATTGGTTCTCTTCGTCGTAGTGTAGAAAAAGTAGCCCTGCTTCTCTTCCTCATAAACTAAACTTCTCAACCTCTCATAGAACGACTCCGTGAGTGTTGGTGCTTGCTTGATGCGGATCAGGGTAGCTGTATCGAACAGATAAATGCTCAAAGAGTAAACGAGGTAGGCAATTGAAATGTAGTACATCAAGTACGCAGAATTGGAATCCAAAATAGTTTGCAAAGACTGAAGGTACTCGCCAAGTTGTTTACGTATTTGTATGAGATAGGGGGTGTCAGTCTCTGTGAGTGGAGGATCAATTGCACCAGATTTGAAGTGATCCGTAGCAGGAGTTTCGGATTTGGTAGTATTGATGGTGGCATTCGAATCACCAAGGTCCTCTTCAGGGATGCCCTTTCCAGTTTCAGTTTCGGGGGAAACATACTCCGTCAACATTTCGAGAGGCCGCTTACCATAGAAGGAGTATAAATCCGAGGAGAGAAGCTTGACAGACTCATTGATACCGGAGAGGTTCTCGTAAAAGTTGATTTTGAACGACACAGCAGATTTTGGAGGTTGAGGCTCGAGTGCAAGATCGCCACCCTTGGATTTGATATCTGATTCGGGAGTAGGGGGTACGTCTTGGTGGCCACTTTCCAGAGCGGAGTCAATTTCATCTATGTCTCCATCAAAGGGTTCCAAGCCCTTGATCCACGATTCCGACACCGATCTTTCGGTGTCTGATAATCCAGTCTGGGTGCGATCGGAATCCCTTCTGTGGGGGGTCAACGATACGGTATCATCAAGGTTCTTGTCCTTAGAAGGTATGCTGTAGTCTCCCACTTCTGGGACAGCATCATGCTCTGCATCACGAGAACTGGTGGTGGACTCGTCGTCAAAATCAGAGGACGACGAAATGATGGACCAATCTTCCTCGTTAGCGCCCATGGTTAAGGTGATTGTATGGAAAGGCTCGAAATAGTAAGACAGTGGGGACAGCTCAATTGGGCACAAGAACTTTGGCTAGTGTAAGCAGGGGTGTTATACTACTGGATGTTAGTATAACTGCCTTGGTGTAGTAGTGGGGGCTAATAGATAAGATAAGGGGGTTTTTTGTCGCTTCAGTGCGGTGGCGGATCAGAAGGGGCAGTGGCAGGGAGGAATCGTGGGCAGCTGCGACAGTAATAAGAAGGAGTCACGGGAGAGTCTAAGATGACAGTTTAGGGAGAACCGGAACGGGTGTGGTAAAAATGGCGGTAGCTAGGGGGGTTGTAGGGATCATGCGGGTGTCACGTGCCTGGATGATCCAGTGGTAGTGGCGGCTGGGATGTGACACCGCGCGGCGGTGATAGCTAGGCTGGTGGCGAGGGGCGGGAGTCGGCTTGGAGACTGGCCCTTAGCCAAGGAGGCTACTCAGATGGGGCCGAGACGAACATAGTTTCCAGCCACCGCCTACACTACGAGACGGTCGGGCCAGATCAAATGAGACGGGGCTCGTGGCAGAACCACTCATTCCTTATTAGCTGATTCACGTTCTTACTGGCTACAAAATGAATACAGCCAGGTAATTCTCATATGTTCAAATGTGGGTGTTCGGTGACGCGAGCTCATAGGAACAGAAGTGACCAGTCACTTCTGGAGGGATCGTAAGCCTTTCAACTGATAATCTTTTTACCACTCTCTTACAATACTCTTACATGTGTAACTCCTCGTCGCATATTCCTTAAATAATACCAGTTAGTGCACTATTTTATCTTATCGCTATCCAAGGTAGATTAGAACAATGCAATAATTTTATGATACATTGAAATAGTTATGCAATCGGCATTAGCACCAACCTTGCAAGCAGTATTGGCCGTAAAATTCCCGTATTGAAATATAGTATGTTATTCTACCTTACTCCAATAACGTGGTTTTGGATTTGCTTGTTCACCTAAAATTCGCTAATCAACCTATTGAAGAGATCGTATGATGCTCCCCACTACATCACTCATTAAACCCATGTATGTAACATACACTAATATTACACTATGCTGTACCGAGCTCTGGCCAATTGAACCAGAATCCCGTTGGAGCCCGCAAGCCATTTGCTGGCATTGCCTCCAAAGTGGAAGTCGAGTCTGCGCTGCAGCTCTTCCTATCCACAATAAAAATCATTAGTCATCATCACCTCCTCGTTGAGCCGACTTCTCAGTTTATTCACCTCTCCGTCTCTTGAAGTCGTCTGTAAACCGTCCATCTTCTCTATCTTTTCTTTCTTGCTGCATTCTATACATGCGTCCGCGCTCCAAATCGTACTTCTCTTCCTGCTCCCTTAACTCACGTCCCTTCTTCTTGTCAATCATGTCCTGGTAGAATCCGGTGTTGGATGGTCTATTTGTGTCGTCCTCAATAAACTGGATCCGGTCGTTCATGTTGCTCAAGCTATCCTGGAGAGCCTGTGTATAACTGACAAGATCCTGGTACTTGGCCATACTGACGTAACCTCCTCTTCCATTCGTATGCTGTGCATTATGTTGATGTTGAGGTGGAATTTCCTGGTACTGATGAGGGTGTAGTGGAGGCTGTTGCTGATTCTGGTAAAGCTGAGGGAAGTTTTGGTAATTGGTTGAAGAATGCAATTGCTGCAAGCTTGGACGTGCGGTGGGTTCAGGGAATCCATACCCTGAACTTTGAGGCGAGTAAGAGACAGAAGGCGGTCTCTGAAACCCAACTGGTCCAAAGGGCCCCGTAGATGGGCCTCGTGATCCTTGGAAGCTTCGAGCATCTTGAGAGTCCGAACTATTTGAGTGTGCCTGCTGAGCTCTAGTTTCTGGAGAGCCGCTGTACCTCGGTGAGCAGGGAGGTGGTGGTGGCAGATTGCCCTGCTTGTTTGGAGGAAAGCTATCCATTGGAGCAGGCAACCTGAGGTTTTTCTTGCGGTCCGAACCGGCTGCCGACGAAGTCGAGCTGCCAGAGTATGCACTGAGGGTGTCTCCCACTCCTCCATGTCTATCCTGGACCTCATCGCGATGCTCCTGGTTGAAACCTTTCTGGTTATGTCTATTAGTGGTGGTGGTTGTCGTGGTGGTGGTCGTGGTGGTGGTATTGTAGGGATACTTGTTGGGGGCATTATTCTGGGGTCCGATGTTTTGCTGTTGGTGGGCTTTCCACCTGTGGAAGTCGTAGTTTTCTCTTCTGAATGGCACTGGGGTAAGTTCTCCCGGAGAAGGGGTGGCGGAGCTGGAGTTCAACGACATGGTGGTATTCTCATTGAGCATATTTGCATGGTTGTCTCCAGTGATTTCCCTGGGGACTGAGGAAGCACCTTTCTGGGTGGTCTGGGTGGATTGGTTCCAGGAACTCTTATCGTCGTCCGACGAAAATGCCTTCAAGTCCCTGGCCTCGTCCAGAGAGGTTCCCGTGCACGCGTTGGGCGACTGCTGGTGCCTGGTGAGAGCGTCGGGTCTGGCAAACTTGCGGAAACACTTATCGCATTCGAAGGGCTTTTCACCCGTATGCAATTTCTCGTGCCGTTTCAAGTCATGGATTCGACGAAACTTCAAGTTGCACACCGTGCAAACATGCGGCTTGAGAGACGAGTGGATGAGCTCGTGCGACACCATGTTGTGCTTTCTGGTGAAGCCCTGGTTGCACACCTTGCAGAGGTATTTCTTGGGTAACTGCGACTTGGAGGAGTCGCTCTTGTCATGGTCGGGTTCAGGCGCCTGCATCTCGGTGGCTGTTGAGGAAGACTCGGTACTTGGTGGAGCCAGCTTCTCGGGTCCAGTGCCCGTGGTGGTGGATTCGGACGCTGTGGGCTCTTGTTTGGCGGGGTATGGCTGTTTGTCCTTGTCAGGCGACACCGACGTGGAGTGGGACGAGACTTGTTCGCCAGAAAACACAGAGGGCGATGACAACGAGCTCGACGACACCGAGCCCACAGGGGGAGGCGCCGATCCCAGCCGGGAGTCGATGGATCGAGATGCTAGGTTGGCTGGGTTAAGTGGGGGGAGCAAGTTCAGGTACTGTCTCAGCGATAGCACTGGTGGGGGGTGGGGGTTCTTCGGAAGGCCCTCTTTGTCGTTTGTGGGCATGATTGGGGGCCGTTAGTGGAGCACGCAGGTGGGCTTGCGGTGCGTGGTTCAGTTGTAGGTGTAGTTCGGGGTGTGGGTGTGGTTGGATGAAAGTGTCACCGGGGTGGTTGGTGATGAGTACTCTGCTGATAGTCTAGTTGAATATGATCAATGACACAAGGATGTTGGCGGCCGCCACTGGCTTATGGATACTACTGGTAGAAAAAGAGTGAGTAGTTTTGGTGCACGACGTCAAGTGCAAGATCATATAATATTGGCCGGGCTACACAATAACAGCCAGAAAAAAGAAAGTAAGTGGTCCAGCGAAGAACAGTGAGAAGGTGGCGGAAATAGCGGGAACTCAGCGTTGACTGGCGGGGGTTTGGGCAGAATGCACGGCGTGTGTCCCTCCGAGGTCACGGGGTGGGTCTACGGCTAGGGGCTATGGTTACTGGTGTATGTAGGCGAAAAGAAACGATCGCATAGCAAACGACGTTTTGTGGCACTGCCATTTGGTCTGGTCTTACGTAAGCGGCCCCTCAGTTGACGAGATGAAGCCCGCTGGAGGCGGGGCCAGGGGCAGGTGGAGCTGCTACTTCGGGCACCAGTTGTGGCTGATGGGCCGGAGTCCCGCCTCCATACGGTCGTGTGCTGGGGCATAAGCTCGTGGTCCAGGGAGGCGGCTGGGATGCGCCAATAAGAGCTTGATGCGACTATTGCTACCGTGCAGGCATCGCTGCAGGTTAAGGTTTGGGTCCGCGTCATCACGTGTGCAGCTGATCCCAGTGACCAGGGATCCTGTGGTCACGTCCGTCCAGACAGCCCAGGCGTGGTCCGGCATTGGCCACAATTCTGCTGAGCTTTCTACAGATTCCACTACCGGTGAATTCGGCCCACCCAGGAGCGATACAAGCCATTCACCCCATCGCCCACGCACTCGCTTCGAATGTGTCATCGCACCTGCATTGGCCACATGCGTGCTGGAACCCCTCAAGCTTGAAGTGCACCCCCTTGGGGGTGCTTCGATATCTGGTCCATCTTGCTATCTGTCCCGTTCCGAAAGCACCGAGGTGCTTGCCACTGCGAAGATCTGTGATACGTCATAAACCTCATTCCGAGACATGTGCGGCTCACCTATTTTCTCTTGCTTGCTCACCTGATCTAGTTGCAATAGCACGTTGATGTCATTGATCCTGTCTAATGATCTCATTATTCTATAAGATGACCAGATTTTTGTCTGTGGTTGATATTGCAATCTTATTGTGGGGCTTACGGTTCTATTGAATCTTTTTGGGGCTCCAAAACTCGTGCTTGCTGTTGATATCCATTTGTCCAGAGGGATGGACTTCACCACGAGATCGTGGGCTGATTCCACTCAATTGGTGAGTTGTTGCAGCTACCCGAATTCAGTAGGTGATTACCGTAATCGGGTGAACCACCGGTTCTAGGAGGCTCGTAGCGGTTTTGAAGTGCGAACCCATGGCCCTACCTGGGTAGAGGCGCAGAACCAATCGAAGCATCTAGTGCTTTCTCAAGACTCCCTCAGTATCACAGAGCTCGTATCAGTTTTATGGTCTTTGCGAATAATTAGAGGTACAGGGGTTGAAATTACCTTGACCCTCTCAATCAGCAATATGTGCCTTCTATAGGGGAATTAACCCTGATCTACTTTTATCTAACAACTAGAAGTGCCTTTATGGCGAGTCTATCGATCGAATTCGGAAGTGGCTCTTCTGACTGTACATACATCAACTATAGATAAGGATCAAAGTGCATGTGATAGCACCATGGTAATGCGGATAAACTGAGCATAAACTGTCAAACTTTATATCCTATTGGAACTTATTTCTGTCCAAATTTCCAAAATTTCCAAAAATTTCACGATGTACACCAAAATGGGGAATTTTCGAAATTACTATGGCTACCAAGGGGAACTAACCTACAACCTACGCGACACCTAACGCGACTCTCTTAACACAAATAACATCCTCCACACCCTCCACACCCTCCACACCCTTGCCTACGCAAATGGTGCCGAGATATCCCATGAATGTGGCAATTTCGCACGCAGTTACACTTGCTCCACGTGCAGGAGGGCATGCACGCTATTACTATCACTCGGGCAATTATCACCCTGCCCCGCGCACGACTGCCCAGCACCCCCACGCCCACCACCTCCTCCAGCTGACTAAGCCGCCGCCTTAAGGCCCTCCACCAGCTCGGGATTTTTGCGTGACAAGACCTTCCAGCGAGCCCACTCGTGGGTAGGGGCCGGCAATTAACGGTGCACCACCTACCGCGTCTTACCAGCGATGCTTCACGATGGCCCAGGCCAACTCGTCCTCCGCAAGCCGTTCTAGTCTCTGTTCCCGTCTCTCACCGGCAGGCGTCGCCCCAGCCGCCATCCACCACCGAAACAGAAATTACAAACCGGGGCCCAAATGGGGCATGGGTGAAATCTGGCGGGCGCGCGCACGACCATCACCAAATACATTTCAACCCCCCTAACTCTCAACAACATCGATAATACCAGCTATTTCCCCCCCGTTGTAACCCTAGTTGCTCTCAGTATATCCACATCCGGAGACAGAGCGTATTCGTCGCTCTAGACTGTCTAGAATTCGGTCCACCATGATTTCCAACCGAAAGAGACCCAGAGGATTCAGTGAGACCTTTGACTCCAACAAGGCGTCTGTCACCACCGGCGCTAACGGAGGAGTAGGCTCTTCCGGCTCTGCCGTTGCCATGCAGAGCTCTGGCGGCCAAACCAGCCCGTCGTCCACCGTATCGAACACCAAGAGCATCCACATGGACTTCGACCACGAACTCAGTGAAACCAGCATGTCCTCGTCGCTGGTATCACACCCATCTCCACCTTCGCACCCCTACCTCAAGCTGAACATCGCCAAGCCCACGTTCAACTCCAAGTACCTCAAGCACATGCCCAAGCCCAACGATGACGTCTATCTCATCGATGACGAGGAGGATATGGATCTTGGCTCCTCGACAACGGTGAGCTCCCATAACCAATTTCACAGCATAGGCACCGACATGCTCTTGGAGGAGAATGAGGAGGACAACGATGACCTTGTAATTTTGGAGGAAAGAGCCTTGGTTCCCAAGCCCCAGCGCAACAACTCGGATTCCATGCTAATGCTTGACCACGAGGCGTTTGCGGCCTATAATATGTTCAATGTCAACAACCCAGAAGAGGAGCAAGATATTTCTTTCGAAATCAACCTGAAAATCAATCCTATCAAGAAGCAAAGAACAAATTCATTACCCCAGCTTCCTCAGGCAAGATGCTTTTACAATAAGCTCCCAAATAACTACATTCTACAAACCCCAAAGTTAGGAAATATCAAAACGAATGTAATTCCCCACCAACTCAATCTTCCACCTTGTGATGATGATAGTGGCCACTACATTGTGAATCCAAACGAGCTGTTTGCTAACCGTTTTGTGATTATCAAACTTTTGGGCCAAGGGACTTTTGGGAAAGTTGTTCAATGCTATGATAAGGTTAATCGTGAACATGTTGCTATTAAAATTATTAGAAATATCAAAAAGTATCGCGATGCTGCTAGAATCGAATTGAGAGTGCTTTCCACCTTGAAAAAGTTTGATAACGAAAATATCAATCATTGCATCCATTTGCGTGAATGCTTTGACTTCAGAGGTCATATATGTATCGTGACAGATTTATTAAAGATCTCACTTTACGATTTCTTGGAAAATAACCGGTTCATTGCCTTCCCAGGGTCTCATGTACAAGCATTTGCTAAACAACTAATAAGATCAGTGACTTTCTTACATGATCTTAATTTAATTCATACAGACTTAAAACCAGAGAATATTTTGCTTCATGATGACTCCTATTCCAAGAAGAATTTGTTTAGCTCAACTTTGGGTGCTTCTTTTCTTCACTTGTCTGATAAGGATAGCCTAAAGAAAATGGGTGAAAAATTTACTTCTAAAAAAGTTCCCAAATATCTGAAGATTCTCAAAAACCCATTGATACAAGTGATAGACTTCGGAAGTGCTATCTTCAACGATGAATACCATTCCCTGATTGTTTCAACACGCCATTACCGTGCTCCTGAGATTGTACTTGGAATAGGCTGGTCCTTTCCCTGTGATATGTGGTCGATAGGGTGTATTTTGGTGGAGTTAATAATTGGAGAGCCATTGTTCAAGACACATGACAACTTGGAGCATTTGGCAATGATTGAAAAAGTGTGTGGTTACCCGATAGACAAATCAATGGTGAAAACCCTGAAAGCTAACTCGAACGAATGTGGTTTAGATTACTTCACCGACGAGTATGTTTCTCTGCAAACACCTGAAAGTAACAATGACGATGACGACGATGTGATAATAGATGATGAATCCACCATGCTTCATTCATTGACATTAAAGTTCCCCTCGAGGGACACTCCTTCGAAATTTGTGGAGAGTGTGGACGATTTGCAAAGAATTGATTTATTCATAAGTTCAAGGATCGGACTTGATATTGATTTTGACAAGTCTTTGTCATCGAATTATCAAAACAACAAACACTTGATCAACTTTGGAAACTTCACCTTTTGGTGGTTCTTGATAGACTTACTCAAAAAGTTGTTTCTGATCAATCCAGAAGATCGTATCACGGCCGTCGATGCCTTGAATCATCCATGGTTCAATTTGGGTATTGAGGACGAGGGAACAATATGATGTTGGGTTATTGAGACGCTTAGGGCGATGTATATATTTTCATTTCAAAAACTACATTGAACTAATGGTATTTTTCTTGGTGGTTTTATTCTGTTTGTTATTAATATTCGGACCAGGGTCCGTGCCTAGTGCCTTTAGTTCTATTTCGCTAAGATGAATAAATGTTTTATGAGCAAGGAATCGAAGAGAGATAGTAGGTGCGGGATGCTTTATTAGGAACTGGAAGGACAAAAAAATTGTAGAGGTGGAGCATCTGAATGGAACTGTGAGGAGCCAATAGGAGCTGGACCGTAGGCACGGATTGGCCCCTTGTCTACAAAGTTTATTCTAGATTGGCGATCTACGTCGACTGTTGGCTCATGACTGGTATCGGTTACAAGGCGCTGTTTAGTGGAAATCCGGTTGTGATTCTGATATTACAAATCAAAAGAAAGGTTTATGATTAAAAAATATTGTATACGAGATGTTTCAACCACTCATAACGAGGATTATTTCATCAAACGATTAAGGTTTAGGCCAGTCCGCATGTTGGGTTTGCCCGAGGAATCAATAAGTCTTGTGATCTCTAAGCCAGGGAGAGGATAATTGGTAAGCATCAAAGAGCCAATTAGCTGTGGATAATCTCATTTAGGGTTTCCCCAGCCGAGCCCAGTCTGAGAGGCCGTAGGTAGAGCAGGGCTAGTTTCGGCAGAGAAGGTGGGGTGCTTTTCAGCATGATCCAGCCTTATTGACCCCTGGCCATTACGTAGCGACGGGTGGTTGCTGGGGCAAGTCCAGACCGTTGGCCATTCCCGGCTGTCAATATGCATCTCATTTGCCTTTGCTGGAAATTATCCGCGGAAGCATGCCAAGAGGAGATCTCGCTAGTGCTCGAGGTTATGAGCGGACGAGAACTATGGCCATCGCTACTTGAAAATTCGAGGGAGGGGATAGGCGAATAAAGGGGCTAAGTGGGAGACAGCTACGAGACAGGTTCGAGACAGCTACACATTTGTCACATACGAGTGTGTGGCAGGTCTGTTAGGGTGGGCCAATGCTGGAGGTGGTGGAAAGTGACAGGTATTACACCACTGGCGGCTGGGAAAGACTGTAGCTTTCATTATACTCTACTTGAGGCTCGAGGAGCTATTACTAGAGGGGATGTAGGTGGGAATTTCTACTGGCCTGGGAGCAACGGGGTTGGTGTGGGTGGAGTCGGAGTTGGTCTATGATGGTGGTGCATGCATAACCGTTAAGCAGGATCGCAGGAAATATCTGCAAGCAGTTTGATCTGGACAAAGAGGCCAGCCATGGAGGATCTTTTGATTGGGAGCCGGAGCCCTAATTAGTACTAGGTGGGGGTCTAGGCTCCTCTAGGTGCATCATTTGCGTAAATTACATGCATATGCCGATCGAATAGAGGCTGGCATCTGGACGTGCGCGGTCTAATTTTCACCCAGGTGCAGTATGTAGAGAGTTAACTCCCACCAGACACTGGGGAATGGCAGCACGGCGGTAGTTCAGCACACTAGGAGCCGCCAGGAGGTGCCAGGAGTCGCCAGGAGGTGCCAGGAGGTGCCAGGAGGGCCATAACATGGTAGTACCCCGTAGAAAGGTGCGACAGCAGGGGCGGCGCCAGGGGACCAGACCGCACGGCAGCCACCTGCCAGAGAGACAGCGGCCGCGCAGCTCCTAGTCACGTGAGGCACATGTCAATTTCTCCCGATCGAGACAGCCATTATGAACCAGGCCCAGCAACCGAGTATATCCCCTATGAGCACCGAAACGTAAACACGGTCCCGTGTAGGGTGCCAGGACCCAGCCGGCACTTGCTGGTGCCCCCCTCTTTGCTGTTTTCGCCCGTTTTTTGCGTCCCTGTCCCCCGTCCCCCGTCCTTCGCAGCCGATCCATGTCACTGTCACTTCCACATCAACTCGTGGCCGCCCCAGCAACCGGTCTAGACCGATTCGAGGTGTCCCTGAGCCGGGCTCCCAATTGGAAAATTACCCATACCCTTTCGGTCGACAAAATAAACAAATTGCTTTTTCTCCACCTGAGCCCGGTTGTTTGGGACTGTGTGCAGGCGCTCGCTCACTGGCGACCAGTCCCTCGTCTCGCTATATATTCTCAGTGATGGCCAGAATTTCAACGCCATAGCCGCTTTTACAGTGTATTAACTATAGTCTTTCCTTAACCGACCCCGTCCCTTCTTTAGTATGAAGTCGTCAATCCTTAGCCTACTCACTTTGGCCTCCTATGCCGCCGCCGTTCCTTTGCAAGGCCATCAACACCATCAACACAACAAGAGAAATGTTGTCACCAAGGTCGTCTACGTCAACGGCCAGGGCCAGACCGTGACTCCAAGCGGTGATGCCGAAGCCACCTCCGCTGCTGCCAACGCCAAGAGCACCCAGACCACCGTCGCCACCTCCTCGCCTTCCTCTTCCTCCAGCTCGTCTCCAAGCAGCGGTGGATCCGGTGGCATTGAAGGTGATCTTTCCTTGTTTTCCGACCCCTCCAAGGAGTTCGAGGACGGTGTCTACTCTTGTGACTCCGTCCCAACCGGCCAGGGTGTCATTGCCGTCGACTGGATCTCTGGTTTGAACGGTGGTTGGACTTCCATCATGAACCAAAACGGTGACACCTCCAGCAACTGTAAGGACGGTTTCTACTGCTCCTACGCTTGTCAAGCCGGTATGGCCAAGACCCAATGGCCTTCCGAACAGCCATCCAGCGGTATCTCTGTCGGTGGTTTGCAATGTAAGAACGGAAAGTTGTACAGATCCAACACCGACTCCAAGTACTTGTGTGAATGGGGTGCCAAGACTGCCTCCTTCAAGTCTGAAATCTCCAAGGACGTTGCTATCTGTAAGACCGACTACCCAGGTTCCGAAAACATGAACATCCCTACCTTGTTGAAGGCCGGTGGCTCTGCCCCAGCCATTGTTGTTGACTCTGCCACTTACTTCAAGTGGAGAGGCGGCAAGACCTCCACTCAATACTACGTCAACAACGCCGGTGTCAGTGTTGAAGACGGTTGTATCTGGGGTACTCAAGGTTCCGGTGTTGGTAACTGGGCTCCAGTCGTTCTTGGTGCTGGTGTCACCGACGGTAAGACCTACTTGTCGTTGATTCCAAACCCTAACAACAAGGACACTCCAAACTACAACATCAAGATTGTCGGTGCCGATGGTGCCAACGTTGTTGGTGACTGTAAGTACGAAAACGGCCACTACAATGGTGCTGGTTCCGACGGTTGTACTGTCACTGTCACCTCTGGTTCCGCCAACTTTGTTTTCTACTAAGTTTGATACCCCCAGTCCGCCTGGTTTTGACTTCTCGTGTTGTGTTTTTAGTTTCTTCTAATGTACTTATACAACTGTATAAAACGTACCACCTGTTTGGTTTTTGGTTATTTTTATGGTAGCTTTATGAATATATTGATTTTGAGCTCCATCATGAATCTTTCGTGTGGCAAGTAGAACTGTTGGCTGCGGTCCCCTGCTGATGCGAACCCTGATCCGAGACATCTACCACATGGAACAATAGTAAACAAACTTATCATAAACACAAGTTGGTGCTCCTGGCCCTAAACCGCGTTTTGCTATTCCAGGAAATAGTAGCTCTTGACCCTTGTTTACCCTTTCTGGTGCGCCAGTTGGGGCTCATTCCATCAAGTAGAGGCTGTTAACCCTGCAGACCTGCTGCGGCCTTGGTGCATCTGGCATTTGGGTATGTCTCTTTGATTTCAAAGGAAGAATCACCAGTACGCCGAGAAGACAGCCTCCCTGGATTTGGTGCAGAAGACCAGTATATAATACATTACTTTCAGTTCTTGCATCTGGCTAATGTTTTTAGCAGTCCCCACACAACCCCATCCCATGTATCTGCTCGTGTCTCATTAAACCCGTTTATTTGTTTAGAAAAGTTTACCCGAATGCAACCGAGTAGCAGTAGCTTATTATGAGTTCGTTGTTGGTTTTGAAAAGCGTGTGCAAATTCCCAAGCGTTTCGTCAGGTGTTGGTTGGAAAGAGTTCTGGATGTACATGTAAATAGGTCCCTTGTGACGGAGTTTTCTGCCGAGAAAGTGGGCGATGGTGGAGATCTTTTGGGTGGACGAGATTGTGTGCACTTTGGGGGTGATTGCAGGAGTGGATCCCACAGGGAGTAGTCGAATAGTGAGTTTTGTTGGCGGGTAGGAGTCAATTTGGCCAGCATCTGGCCCCTTCTGGGCTGTTTGGGGTACTCGTAAGTCCTTACTATAGTCATTGACAGTCAAACTGTCTTTGCTATCTGAAGGTCGAGCTTGAGGTAGCACTCTGGCCATGTCCAATCGTTCTTTCTGTTCTGGAGGCAACCGTTCCAACATTGTCAGCGTTGATAGTGGAATGCGCTCCAGAACGGCGTTCTCCTCAATTGATTCTTCTGCAGAGGATGCATAAGAGTCAGCATCATCATCCAGCTCGGATACTAGAGACATGGCGGCAAAGTAGTGATGGTTGGGGTGGTGGTGGTTCCGGAACGGGTAGGTCAGGTGACTGACAATCTTTAGTACATGCACGCTCGAACTCCAGGAAGGCGGTTGGAATCACGTGTGTCCATACAGATTTGAGTCCAGCACAGGTGCCATTTCCAGCTCCACACCATCCTTACGTCCGCAAGCTCTTGCGAATCACGCCCAACAGAACCTGACCTCTGTCCTTCATCACTTTCTGCCCTTCTCGTGAAGTATCCCGTGCTACTAGCCAATCAGAGCCAAGTTTCACGATAGCACATTTCTTCAGCAGCAACTTGTTCGTACCCAACCAACAGTGAACACAATAATGTCTGAATCTGACGTCAGTGAGAGCACCATTGTCACCTTTCTGCTCGCAACAGTGATGGAAGCCCTTGAAAGAGGAGCCATTGAGGCCATTCAGTCTAAAGACTACTTGACCTATAGCACATTGCTCGACATCTACCTTGGGGATCCCACCAGGTTCACTATTCCTGAGAGAGAAGAGCTCTTGGGCCACTTATTGACCATTTTAAACAATCACAAGGAGTTGACCTATGAAATAGGATGGGACTTGCCCAGTTTGCTTATCGCATACGTTAAGTCGGATTTCACCTTTAATGGGCCTCTTCGTGATGCCCCATGTGTCGTTAAGATCTTGAAGTGCTTCGAGGTCTTGGCACACTATGGAAACCCTAAGGAATTGTTTTTAAAGTGTTGTGAAGTCATGGCAAGTTTGCAAATTCAAGATGAGAATGACGATGCCGAAGAAGTAGAGTCAGAAGAGGTTGATACCGATTCAACTGAAAGTGGACAATACCACACAAACTCTAGGGAGGAAATTGACGAAAAATTCTTTGATATTAAGCTCTATTGTATATTCGAGTTGATTGATAGTTGCTTGAAGAAAATTAAGACTGTTTATCCTTCAAGATTCTTGTCCATGACCATTACCTCCTTTATAAACTTGGTTTACGCCAATAGGGACAGTCGCGACTTGGAGTTTATGACAAAGAGGGCCTACAGTTTTACCAAAAACTACTCAAGTCCCGGATTTCCAGAGAACCACGGATTTTCAGATGAGGAGTTAGCTAAGATCAAAGACGACGAGGACTACTTGCAAAGAAAATTGTTGACAGGATTCGTTTCTCATGTGTACTATATCACCACCGCCAATTATTTGACGGGATATACTCACGAGTACCTCAACTACATTGCAGGTCCAGGGGCCCAGGACCGTCCTGGTATTATCGGATCTCTTGGAGAACATACACATTTGGATTCAAGAATTTGTGATAGGATGGTTGGATTGGCTGAATCTTTGGATATTCCATTGAGCGATAACTTCAAGAAATTTGTCACTGATTCCCATGCCTTATTGGACTCGTTTGACTACACTAAAGACGAAGATGAGTTGAGTGGAGAGATATTTGAAAAAGCTGTTATCAATTTCCAACAAACTTTGGGTGGCTCGATTGTTGATAGTGATGGTAAGAGTATCAATGATTCGCTTCAAGGTTTCTTGCTTTTCTATACCCACTTAGTGGTTACAAAGAAAGATTTTGAAGTGTCTGTGACCTTCAAGGATGCTTTAGTATTGACCTTGAGGTTGCTTATTCCTGCAATGGTCAATGAAAGATTCTCTACTCGTGCAATGAAGGACCTTTGTCTTTACTGGATGTGGCATGCCCTCCATTTGCTGCAAGTGGATAGCAAGAAGATCGAATTGGAGGTGGCTTCAATCCCAAAGGTCTTATTGACTATATATTGTCACCTACTTTTGTTCATATGTCAAGATAGATACTTGAGATATATTGGTTTGACCACATTGACAAAGGTGTTGACTTTTGTTCCTGAAGACATTTCCTACGAATTCTTCAAGGACTCGTTGCACAGTGTCCCATTTGAGAGTAACAAGGCGTTATTGGTGGGTGTATTGAAAGAATTATTGACGAAAGAAAGGAATCAAAATGTGGATGAGTTAGAACTGAAATTATCCAAGGTGTCACTCGAGGAACCAGGAAAGGAAGCACCATCACTTCCAGCAAGAAACACAACTCCACGTTCTAAGTACTTGAATTTGACAGAAGTACGATTCGATGATATTCTTGAGCTTATTCAAAAATCCAACGAGGAAACATTTGTCAAGCAAGACGAAGTCACTGTCATCGATCCATCCAAATTGTCCACTTTATTAGCATACTTGAACTTGATTGTCGTTTTAAAATCATTTCCAGTAGTTGTCAAGGGCAGAGACGGATTGGATAAAACTCTAAGCGAAGTGAAGGCCAATATTGAGGAGATAAAGAAAAAGCACAACCCGGAGAAAAACAATTCACTTGAGTTGAATGCCGCTGGTATGTTGGAGCTTACTTTAGATAGAATTGGCAATTAGCTCTACTAGTATTACAAGTGTATAAAGTTATGTAAGTTCTTAATCTTGTCCGAGCCCAAAATATATTATTCTATTTCTTTGCTTTCGATGTCTTTTTAGAGCCAGAGCCGGTCATGTTCCGGTCATCCACTAACGGACCCCAATAAACGAAGAAACCTTCCTTGGTAGAAGTGATTTCTTCTTCCATCTGCAATTCCTCATCATCTATAAATGGATCTTCATAATCATACTTCCCGACTTTTCTATTCATTTTAACCTCATGCTGCCTCACAAGCTGTTCCTCCGTTAATTCCTCGTCTTTCTTCTTTTTGGTAGGGATAGCAGTCTGGACTTTTTCTTCATCCGCTATCAATTCCTCGTCTTCATCTTCATCCATTGCATCATCTTCATCATCGATCATGTCGTCCATGATATCGATAGCAGATTTGGCTTTTGGATGAATTACTGACCACCCGTATTTTTCTTCAGATAATCGAAGTACATTTATAACCAATTCCGATTGACCAGGCTTGGGATTCTTGGAGTCTATCAAGGGGATATTCAATGCTATTATTGGAGGATCCACTTTTTCCTCTTTCTTTTCCTTCGGCTCCTCTTTTGGTTTTTCTTCGACAACAGTAGGTTCATCTTCCTTCATTGGATTCAAAAGATCTATCACTGTAGGACGAGGCAATTGTGGGGGTTGGATGGTGGTTTTTGATTTGTCAGTCGTCATTCCTGGATGTATAGGTAATTTCTCGTATTCACTCTTGGTCACAGTTGTGGTTTCAGGAGTCTTTTTCTTTCCCTTGGTAGCCTTTTTGGGTTCTGCAGTTTTACCATCAGTACTCTTTGTCTTAGTTGTTTTCTTTTCATCATTATTCGTAGCGTCGTCTGTCTTTCTCTTTTTAGAAGCCTCATCTGTCTTCTTTTTGGGTGCTGCTCGCTTCTTCTTTGGTGGGGCTGCTGTAGTTGTGGTTGTTGTTGTGAGGGAAGGGTTGGTTGACGGAATGGTCAAAACAGGGACTGGAGCAGGTGTGGAGTTCGGGGTATCATTGACATGTACCACTTCCGGCTCGTCGTCGATGTTAATGATGGAATTGATAGATGATTTGTTGAATGGCTGTGCAGGCAATTGGAAACTGGTCTGAAACTTTTTGATGGTATCGCTAGCAATCACAGGTGGGTGAGACGAGTCTCTAGAAGCTGGAGGAGCAGGTGATGCTGTAGCCGTTGTCTGTGGTTTAGGGATCAATACTGGCAACGGCGAAGGTCTGATGGCAATTGGTTTGCGGCTAGCCTGTTTCTTGGCTGTTCCTTTCCCTACCACTTGTATATCGTCATCATCAAGGACCACGTATGGCTTTTGTGGGTCTGTAGGTCCCTGACCGGGGGTTGGTGACATTTCGACACTGGTTCTGAACTTGGAGACGAAATTCAGTAAAGACGACTCGTTAGGCACCGGTTGTTTGGGTGAGGAGGTTGCCGAGCGCACCACTTGGGGAGCGTCGTCTGAGTTGGACCCGAGCAACGACGAGATGGGCACGTTGCGTTTCGACATGGTTGTTACTTTCTGGTTGAATTGGACTATGAGTTTGGATTTGAGAATAGTTACCGCGCACGTGAGGACGGAGTGGGTCAGGGTGGGAATTCTGTAGTACCAACTAAATTGTTTTTAACGGACTACTTTAAAAGGGTTGGGAAGCCCACGGTGTCTATGGAACTTTAAAAGGGTCGAGCTATGGTTTCAGAAGAATAATTGTATAAATCTAGCTTTGAAGCGAAAACTGGGGCTTGATAGTGGAGAGCCTCAAATTCCGTTACACTTGGAACTACCACTTGCTTCTACTGCTAGGCTCAGTATTATGCTACGTATATAAGTGGAGGCCATTTTGTATTTTTTAGCGCATAATGCTGTGCTGGAATATGCCAATGACTGTCATTTCACAGATTCTAGGCTGAGAGGGAAATTGTAGGCCACGAGAACAGTCTAGTTTGTCTTACTTGATCTCCTTAAACCTATGTGAGGTTCAAAGATATGCACAAAATAGAAGACGGAGTTAAATGACGAAGTTTCACCAAATTGTCTGCTTGACCGGTTCTTTAAGCCCTGTCAAGTTGGATGACGTTGGAGTGGTACCCCAACTTGCTCAAGGTAAGACAGGTGTCACTTCCGTAGCCTTCCAACGAGTTCATCAGTAAGTTTCCGTTCCAATAGTCGGCGTAGACCTTACACATTGGAAGGCCCATCCCCAACTTGTGCTCATAGGGCCTAGTGATCAAATTGTCTAAGGTGGACTTTTTGTGCTTGGTTGAAGGATTTTCGGTATCCATTAACAGGGTGGTGTTAAGCGACTCAACTATAGAGGATCCACCTGGAGTCACCTTGAGATTAGAGTAGAGCTGGAGTCCTGGAATACGGTGGAAATTAGCCAAACTTTGCTTGGCCAATTCCGGCTCTTTGCTGAACGACCACACCAGTGCCAACTTGTCATGGGAAATTCCTCCTCCTTGGTCGGAAATGCGGAAGATCACTTGCTTCTCTGCGTTGATGATGGTGACCTTGATTGCTGGTAATTTCTTGGATGTGCGGTGCCCGTGGGTCCTGATGGTGGCCTCGTACGAGTTACGGAGAATCTCACTCAAGAGATAGTGGAGATGGGGTACCATGAAGGGGAAGCTGGTGTCAGTGTCTCCCTCTAGTTCGATGTCGGGCATGTTTTCACGTTTGGGAAAGATATCAATCATGGAGGTCTTAACCAATTCTGCCACCTGGTGAAGGTGCCTGGAAGCATTGCACTGGTGGAAGATTTCACCAATATAGTCAGGTGGCTTTGAGTCGTAGGGTTTTGCTCTATAGTTCTCACTCAAGCTCAAATGCTCTTCCACAATAACTCTTCTGGAAATACGGGACCGAAGCGTGCAAGACATGAAAGTGTCCAACTCCTCACGAGGCAAATTTGTCAAGATCGACACCTCTAATGCCCCCATCATCAAATGCGAGAGGTTGAACACATGGTCGTCCAACATGGCAGAAAGAGTCTGGCAAAAACGGTCGTTCTGCTCCAATGTGGTGATGGGCGAGATCTTCCTGAAGGCATTGAACAGGTGGTAGTAGCTCTCGTAGATCTGAGCTAGATGGAAGTTGTTGACCACGCCAAAAGGCAAAGTCTGGAGGTCTCGAATCCGCATGGCCAAACGGATGGGAAGCTCAAGGCGGACAAAGTTGGCACTATTCAAGATTTTCTGTTTGGACAACGTCTTGCCGTAGCCTGCCAACTGACGGAGCGACACTGGATGGGGGTCCTTCTTCAGGTAGTCTATGAGGACCTCGTTCTGGTAGAAGTGCTGGGGGTTAAGGATGTTGGAGTATGAAGGAAATGGGCCGAGGTTCTTGAGATGGTCGGCGATCTGCTGCTTGTTGAGGGATGTAAGAAAGTCATATGACCCGTTAGCAAGATGGCGTGTGGACATCTTGGTCCACGCCGGCGTGGATCGAAGCATGGATGATGAAAGAACTACTGGTTCTGATGATCAGACTAGATCAGACAACTGAAAAAAGTGAGCAATGAGAATATGACAGTGAGAATGCGAGGATATTGGAGATCAAAAGAGTGAGAGAAATCCTCGTATATGATAGAGGGGGACCAGCGAGGCAATTTGCGAATGTAAGGGATCAGTCACGAAGTGGGGAGAGTAATCAGGGAGAGAATGAAGTGAATGGAGCACTTTTCGGATTATCATGAGTCATCTGGTTGGGATTGTCGCAGAATGGGGAGAGATAATGCGGGGGACGGTAACATTTGTAGAGCTTATTGCAGCAGTCAAGAGCTTCAGCAGCAGTATCAGACCGTATAGATTCAGGCAAGAGGTAAAACCTGTTGACACATCCGCCAAGCTGATGGTTTTGCCATATGGTAGCGCCGTTTGTTCCAACTATATAGCGTTGACAGAAAGTTAAAAAGTGAGTTAACGAGCTTGTGGGAACTCAACTATTGTCTATCACTTAGCCCTTCTTCAATAACTAAAAAATTATCATCGGAATTTTCATACGAGCTATATTTCTCTGGATAGATAAGAAACCTTTACTTCTTCAATGATTACCAAGAAAATTCATCTGACAAGCCAATGCTACCGTTAACACCGCGCACTAGCTCGTACATCGCTTGTGCCGTAATTAACCCTTGCAACCAGCCACACAGTCACGTGATATATACACTACCTGGCTATCCTTTTACCCCCACCCCCGACCCCCACCTAGACCCTGTCTGCCAAGGGCCCAGCCATGCCGCGTCCATGCTGGATCGTCATCACTACCGGAACCTGAAACCGACAAATGTACACCATCTCGCTAAGCCGTGATCTCGCGCTCTTCCATGCATATATTCTATAGCCAGCCACCTCTTAATAAAAAGACGACAATTAGCTTCTAATACCAACAATACCCCCGGGCCTTTCAAACTACCACACGTACCCATAACACATCAACACCAGTCAAGTGAACGCGTTTGACTCAACAGGTCTGCCCCTCAACTCCCACTCTTATTAGACGACCCCACGCTTATTAGTACTGAGCGCCACCTAATTGCTCCGTCTAATTGATAGTAACTCACTCACAGCCACGCTGGTCGATACAAACGGGGCTGCTCGTGATACCACCAGAACTACGCTCCACCAGCATATTCACTCACTTGGGCCGCCATGAACGTCACCAGCAAGGGCTACTTCACCACTCTGTTCCTCGACAGGCAGAAGCAGAACTCGCCCAGAGGGTACTACCGTGGAGGCTACGACGAACTAGAGTACGATGATGAGTTTGACGAGTATTCTGGCGACTGGGACTCAGAAATGTATAACCCGCATGCCTACGCTCCCCACTACCAGAACCACCCCTCTCCCAAGCTCTCCACTCCAGAGATTCCTAGAGTAGCCGACTACCAGCACGGGGAGCCTTCAGAAGTCGACACAGGCCATCAAAGTCTCCGAACCAAACGTTCCCGGGCTACGTTAGCTACTGCACGTACGAGAACATCTCCAGCACAGTCACCAGTTCTTTCTAAAAGGCAGATGATCCCACCTTCTCCTACAAATTCGTCTCACTCCCACACAGAACCACAACAGCCCCAAAATAACACCGAGGTGAGCGAACTAGATGCTCCCATGGTTTTGGAGGCTACCCCAGACCCAGACTTTTTAAAACAAGAAATCACCCCAGCCGAGTTGAATATTCTTCAAAATAATAATGCCAGATACACCCCGCACAGACCTGGAAAGAGAGGTCCTTTCCAAGTTCGAAACTTTCCCATGCAGAACCCTCCCCCCAAAAAAGGGTATGGTGACTACTACATTAAACAAAAGATGAAATATGACGAGGCAGATTACAAACCGAAGCTCTACACCCACAAAACCTTCAGAGAAGTATTCGAAAACAAGGAAGAAAATACCGATAAGTACAATCCTATGGAGTACGTTTTCGATGAACGACCCGAGGATACTAACTTGAAGCGGGCCTTCAGGACCTTACAGCTCAAAATGGGCAAAGATGACTATGCAAACTACGATTACTACGAAAACAAGAACCGTCCAAGCAACTCGCAGGCAGTTTTTGTGAATAAAGGAAGCGATGAAGATGACGATCAAGAAATGGGAGGAACAGAATCTGCCGAAAAAATTAAAAAGAACAATAAGCTCAAAAAGGCATTCAAAAGGAAAATGAAAGATGCCAAGAAGGAGTTGGGTCGTAATTTTATGTCCAATGCCGAAAGGCAGAAAGAGATCTATGAGCTTATGAAAGAACGAGAACTTAGGAAAAAGAAGAAGAAGGGGAAGGGTTTGGAAGAACTAACTCCCGCGGAAGCTATGAAGGAGTCCATAGAAGATCAAAAGCTAGAGGATTTGATTGATGAATTGCAGGAAGAAGATAAATCAGTGGAAGAAGCAAAGGCCGAGGCTGTAAAAGAAGTCGAGCAAGAGGAAAAGGCCAAGGAAGTTGCAGCAGCAACATCGGTTGGAAATCCGAACTTTCATCCACTTTGGAACTACTTGCTTTCCTGGGTTGTGTACGACACAGTTGGTAGTAATGAAGCCAATGGAAATATCGAAATCGAGGAGATTGATAACCCAGACACTAAATCCATAAAGTCTAAGAAATCGGCCAAATCTTTGAAGGCTGCAAAAATGACCAAGAAGATGAATTTCAAAAATATTAAAAAGAATTACAATACTGTTGTGTCCAAATGGAACGAACCTGTGGTCACATTATTCCAAGAACAGCTGCCCAGTAGTAGGTCAATGGTCACAAGAAGAACTCCTCAATCTTCCCATCATGCTGTTGGGGATGAGATTCTTGATGAAGAGACACAAGAATTTACCATTGAGGTCGACGATGATGGGTTTGAGGCAAACATGGAGTTATATTATAACCCAATAACCAAACAGCTTGAAGCCACACCGCCAACTTCAATGGGTTCTCTTGAGCACTCAGTTCCAAAGTCAGGTTACAGAAGGTACTTTGACACTACTAGTGGACCAGTTGCAATCATTTCCAATATCAATTCGCTTATAAAAAACATTAAATTGATGAAGATCATCTTTGCGCCTATCGATGTGATTGGGGAATCATTTCCCAATTTGCAAACGGTGGTGATCTTGATAGAATTGGTGATCTTCATGTGGATATTGTACGAGTTGAGTCTTTTGATCGACGCACTCTGCATGATGGTCAAGGCAGTATGTGCTCCTATGATCGCAATGGGTAGATTTATGAATAGAATTATGTAGACAATCAATGTCAGGATTTTGGGTACTATTTTGGAGAAGTGTAGGCTCTACTAAGAAAACTACGTATAAACGTATACAGTACAAAAAAACAAAGCCCGACGCGGGGGTCGAACCCGCAACCTTGTGATAACCTCTCAATCAAGCTGATTAAAAGTCACACGCTCTAGCCATTGAGCTAGCCAGGCCAATTTCAATTTTTTTGAAGGATTGTTATTGCCAATCTATGTTATAATGCTACTATAGAAGTCGAGTTTTGCATGTTTTTACCATGTTTCCTCTTATTTTGGATTATCAAAATTCTATTAGTTAGCTCATTTATAAAAAATAAATTGTTGTGTGAGAGAGGCAAGAAAGAATACTTCGGGGAAGGATGATTCTTTCTAGTGCTAAATTAGTCTACTTGGGCACTCTTATAATTGGATCCTCCAAAGTGTGTAATCTATTGCAATAGGTATATAGTCAGTATATTATAATATACTTCCCATTAGCACAAAAAAAATTCCAATCATTCTCAATATTCGTAAAAATGCTAAACGATAAAAGTGTTATTTTTTATCGTTTTTGGAAATTAAAATTTTGGTCCAGTCACTTCAGATTACTGCCTGATTCTTTGGTCCAGTGTGCTATGAATTTACAGGATCATATTCCAATACAATTCATCAATTCCAAGTGACTCAAGCTTTCAGGATTCATTGGAAAGTACGCAACAATATTCTAGTAGAAGACCGATTATACTAGTTATACTAAACAACTTTATTGGTATAAAATTGTTTACTTCTTGCAATAAAAATACGTTACAATATTTTTTGCGAGCCCCGGGCTTGCATTTTTCCGGATAATACAAGATTAGTATTTTAAACGCCACTGAAGTTGATTTTGCGTTGTAGTTTCCAAAATTCAATATCCCTCAATGTAGAGTATAGGTTTCATTGGACATCATTGAGCAACTTCAGACACATTTGGCACTCATTAAAAGATACGGCGCGCACTTTTTTGCATTTGCATTCTATTTCTCCACAAGCTATGCATTCGCCATTTCTAGGAACAATCGTCTTACCTTCTATGTTTGTACATCACAAGGTCCTCCACATAAAAGCTGGACTCCTATTCGACGAGGGCACATGACGCATACAACTTAATAATACTCGATCATGCGGTTGTGATAGGTGCAAACATCATTTGACTACTCCTGCATTACGCTACTAGAAAGAAATTTACCATATTATATCCATTAGTTAATAATACTCATACAAATGTATGTAAATGCAGGAATCAAGCAATTAGTGCTGACTCTTATCAGTTCTTAAGCTCATATGTTGTCGAATCGGATTTGATTTTGTGTTTGTAGATTTAGGTAGGTTTCTTCTGTACTCTGTTCTTCAAGTTTCCATTTACTCTAATACCCTTGATTGTAATTCCAGTTTGTTCAACTGGAAACTTCCTTGGACGCCCCCTCTTATCCTTTTTCTGGAGTAGTTCTTTGACTGCTTCATCCTCAAGTGTCCTCAAATAAGTTGGCTGTTCATATAACTTGGTCAAACTATCGGTGAGAGATCCCGCGGCATTCGGGTGAGCCGAATTGAACACACTACCATGCAAAATGTTCGGGGGTGTTATTGACTCTTTCAAGACTTTGTTTAGCTGCTTGAAATTAGGATGAGACGAGTCAATGTATTCGTTGGTGGTAGGGTCCAATATTAACTTCTTAGGCCTTCCTCTCTTCTTCTTCTCTAAAGGCTGTCCATCGACTGGTGCTTGGGAAATAATAACGTGCGAGTCGTTGTGAATATGTATTTTTTGAGATTCCCCAGGGACAACTTCCGCCAACTTTTTGATCTGACTTCGTTGGTTTGGTTTGGTCTGTGTATTTTGTGTCGATTGAAGAAGATGGGATTGGTTTTGAGCTTGATATGGGTTTGTTTGTACTTGGTTGTGTGCGAGCATTGAGTGGGGTTGCCCATGCAACTGACCTTGGGGCTGAAGTGGTACCTGCATTTGGTTGATGCTTTGGTTGATGCTTTGATTGTTAGATTGCTGGGCTTGCTGAATCTGTAATTGTCCTTGTCCTTGGGCTTGGGCTTGGGCTTGGGCTTGGGCTTGGGCTTGTTGCGCCTGGACTTGGGCTTGGGACAGTACCAGCTGGAAAGCCTGTTGCTGAAACTGCAGCTGTTGAAGCTGTTGCTGTTGGAGCTGCTGTTGCTGGAGCTGCTGTTGTTGGAGTTGCTGTTGCTGAAGCTGCTGTTGCTGAAGTTGTTGTTGCTGAAGCTGTAATTGCAAATGCTGTTGATCAAGGACCAGTTCCTGTAGCTTTGGCGATGGTTGTTGTGATTGGTGTGATATATGGAGGTTTTGGTGTTGTTGTGGAGGGGATTGTTGGAATTGATTCATCATTTGCTGTCGGTGGAACTGCTGCTGATATTGTTGGTTGGTTTGTTGTGCTTGCTGTGATTGTTGGGCAGCATTAATATGGTGCATTGGTGGGGGTCCAGAGTTGGTATGGGGAGGTATAGCCATAGGTGATGAAACATTCATCGTAGAGTGAATCACTTGACGGTGAAGTCCGGGATGTGAGGATTGGCCCACCGATGATATGGGTGGCACAGGACTATGTGGTGATCTTGAGTAGAAACCACTAGATTGGAGATGCTGGGGGATGTTCTTGTTTCTGACCCCAATCATATTATTGGAGTTTGAGGAATTCTGTGCCTGCTGAGGATGTTGGAGTTGAAGCTGGAGCTGCTGGAGCTGCTGGTATTGCTGATGTGTCTGGAGCATATGCGACTGTGTTTGGAGGTGCTGGATGTTCTGTTGCTGGAGGTTCTGCTGGTTCTGTAGAGTCTGCTTCACGCCCTGCTGCTGGTGTAGGCCAGGATGCTGCTGCTGGGGCAGAGGTTGCTGAGGTGGCTGCGCAGGTACCGTGGACGGGTTTGCGTTCTGTTGAGCCCCGTAGTTCGAGTTTGCCTGGCCATTTCCGTTGTTGGAGTACGGAGGGTACGGAAGATACATGGCTGTGTTGTGGACGGGGGAGCTGATCTGGAGGAAACCCTGGCGGAAAACTTGCGACAGACACGTTGTGGCCGAGGTGTTCGTGCCAGGAGGTTCGTGCTGTGGCTATCTAGAGGCCGGAGACGGGTGTGGAAACTGATGACTTGTTTGAGTAAGCCGAGATCAGACTTCTCGTGTAGTTGCAGGCTGACGGGTTGACACGCACAGAGTTGGAAAACGGAGGCAGGGATCAGTGAAGAGCACGAGAGAGCTGTGGTAGTAGAGGCCCAGTTTGGTGGTTGTTTCGGTATGGTATAGTGATGCAGTTGATTGTAGGTACATTTGCAACTCAGATATTTTTTTTGCTGGTAGAGGTAGTGGCCGTGGTGAGGGTCTACGAGCGAGTGATGCACAGCCAGTGAAGCAGCGGGGAGAAGCCAGGAACCACAGAGGCGGTAGAGGATGTTTCCAAGTAAGGAAGCAGGGACGTGGTGCCTGGAATCGGCTACGGCAGCTGGCGAAGACCCCACTGGCAGGTCACCGACAAAGCCTCCTCAGAGAAGATTATCTACTGGCTAATCGGTACCGACGCCCATTACTATGAGAGGTAACGAAAAGCGAGGTTGGCGCAGTAGGTGAAACTGTGGTGCTGATGGGCGTGTAGGTACTTGGAGTTGGCCCATTTTAACTCTAGGGGCGCTAGCGTCTGCAGGCTATGCGGCTGTGACACATGTAGTGTGAAATGTCACTCTCCATGTAGTTCGGTGAAATAGAAGCGTGTCACGGTATCCTGATTTCTAGTCTGGCGTGGAGCCAAAGGGGTTCGCCTGCCAAGTAACGCCGGTGGGGTGTATTTCAAGTGGCCTTGGTTGTGACCCCAATTCCGCCATCTAGGGACAGTGCCTGTAACGGTGCCGCAACCAGTTGTGGGGTCGATCCATACCTGGGGTAGTATGGTCGTTTGATCTGTGTTCTACACCAATTCTTGGTGATCCGTTTCGGTGTAGCAAAACAGAGGCATTTCTATGTCAGTGCTGACCAGCTCATGAGCACCTGAAATTATCAATTAGGGGCTGGAGTGAGGCGGTTCCTTACTAAATAAGACGACTCTACGCTTGTGACCGTACTTGTCCGTATCTATTATACAAGTACTTCTATTTATGGCTCGGAAACAGTCAAAACCCCGCTGAACTCTTCGGCCAACGTCTTCTCGAAAAATGCCACGAACTGTTTGGCATCCAGGACGCTCTTGTCGAATTTGATCTTGAAGTCAACACTGACTTGGTTTCCAGATCCAGAAACTCCGGTTGACCCAGTCAAGCCGAGCAATTCGTCAAAGTCGTCAGCAATTCTGGCTTGAGCTCCGTTGGCTGGACTGCTGAACTGGTAGGTGACATCGTACACCTCGAATCTAGACTTAGTGACGGGTGGAGAAATCAAGTCATCGAACAAGTCGCCGCCAGATAAACTGGACGCGACTGGAGATGCAGCGTATTGTGGGTACTTTTGGGCATATGTGTATCTAGTAGCAGCAGCAATAGAGTCCTCGAATGCATACTGGAAAATGTCCCGAGTGACTGGTTCTTCGAGGGTGGTTGTTAAACGGGCGTTTAAGATGTTTGATGGTTTTGGTGGAGCTGGGGCTTCTTCCTTAGCAGCTGGAGCTTCTTCGCGTTGTGCAAGCTTGTGGGTTTCCTCTGGGGTGGCAAGCTTGATGTTGGACAAGTCAAGGTGTTCTCTGGACTTGATAAATTCAGCAAGCAGAGACACGGAGTCCTTGCTGATGGAGCCCAAGTATGCGAGAACATCTCCCTTCAACAAACGGCCCTTTGGACCAGATGCTGGGATCTTGGCCAATGCATCTTCCGAAGATATGTGGTTTCCGTGAAGTAGTAACTCAACCGCAGGAGAGAGCTTTTGCTTGGGGTTGGCAGGGCCAAACACATCACCAGAACCGGAAGACTTGGGAGCAGGAGCAGACTTCTTAGGCTCTTCCTTTAGTGGTTGCTCTGGCTGGGCCTCCTTCTTTGGTTCTTCCTTTGGAGCAGCTTGTGCATCGAGCGATGGTCTTTCCAAGGTGGCCAAATCATCACCTTGCTCGGCCAAAAGAGCAATCGGTTCACCAACCTGGACCTTGGTGGCGCCATCCTTCACCAAAATCTCCCACATCACACCGTCATCACTGGCTTCAACGTCAATCGTAGCCTTGTCGGTTTCAACCTCCAACAACACATCACCAGCGCTGAACTCTTCGCCGGACTTGTACTTCCAGGCAACCACTCCTCCTTCGGTCATTGTAGGCGACATGGCGGGCATCTTGAACACGGAGGCGGCGCACACGGCCGAGCTCTTGTGGAAGCCTCTGGTGGCAATGCTTCTTCTGAGGACACTGGCGGCTCTAATCATCTTGTGTAGGGAGGTGTAAAGTGATGGATGTGAAGATGAATACGGGATCTCGGACGCGACATTTCCGCAGCCCGGCGACATCACTCGCGCGCGTGACACGCCACGTGACGCCCTTTTTCCCCCCATGTTTGCGCGTCACCCACCACCCTTCCGACCCGGCGAAAACCGCCCGTCTCCGCCCGTCACGTGCGTGTCCCTTTGCCCGGCCTCACTGGTTGCCCAGGCGTTCTTTATCGCCCAGCCCTGACCTTGCACAACCCATCTGGTCTGTCTGTCTGCTCTCTCTTCTGTCGACTTCACGTCCTCTCCGCCCATCCTCTCCAGCTTCGTGTCCTCTGCTAGTTTTCTACCCCATCAATCACGCGCTCGCCGCATCGTGCGACCCATATATCCCAAATTGAAATACGTGAACTCAGCCAGTTTCTTCACCAGCCGTGTCACCACTCAAACCTGACAAAGGTCGTTAACTTCAGCCTCCACAGTGTTCCAGAAGAGCCCCTCGCACACAAGGCATACCAATATCCATAAGGCCTGACTCTACTGGCCCAAACACCATCCAGCAGGATCCACACGGTGAAATCACAGCACAATAACACCCACAACAGCACTAGACTTACCAGAACTTCCAAAGCACCAGACTTTCACCACCTGTCAGAGCACCCCCACAACACACCATGTCAGCCCATAGCCATTTTCAGAAATTTCTATCGATACTAAAGACCTACTCCCGGTTCATAGGACCGGGGTTAATGGTCAGCGTGGCATACATGGACCCAGGAAACTACTCCACAGCCGTGGCGGCCGGCTCGGCCTATAAATACCACCTCCTTTTCCTGATTCTCCTATCAAACTGCCTCGCCATCTTCCTTCAAATCTTGGCCGCCAAGCTAGGTGCCGTCACTGGCCTCGACTTGGCCGCCAACTGCAAGGCCAACTTCAGCTTCAGGGTTAATCTCTTCATCTACATATTGGCTGAAATCGCCATCATTGCTACCGATTTGGCCGAGGTAGTGGGCACTGCCATCTCCTTAAACATTTTATTCAACCTTCCATTATTCCTCGGCGTGGTAGTGACCGTGGTCGACGTTCTCATTGTGCTTATGGCCTATAGACCTAAGGGACCCTTGTTGTTTATCCGTATATTCGAAGGGTTTGTCTCCTTGTTGGTAGGAGCCACCGTGGTCTGCTTCGCCATTGAACTTTACCAAGTGAGCAATGATCCTTCTCTCGAGTTTTCGGGCTGGGAAGTGCTCAAGGGATTCTTGCCTAGCGAAAAAGTTATCGACATGGAAGAAAGACCCGGCGGAAGTGGACTTTTCTTGAGTTTGGCCATTTTGGGTGCCACCGTCATGCCCCATTCATTATACTTAGGTTCAGGCTTAGTCCAATCCAGATTGAAAGATTTCGATATCAAGCACGGATATTATCACCCCGAGAAAAAGTCGAGAAAGTTGAGTATCAGTGTGGAAGGTAACAGCAATCCGTTGGAGCCTGCGCTAACCCCAGACAACCCAGATGACACCTTGACCCCCGTAGCTACTCCATACAACGAGTTGCATCACCACCGTTTCGAAAAGAAAGATAATGACTCCACTGAGGATGAAGATGAAAACGACGAAAATTACAGACCTTCGGTTCATGCCATCAATGACACCATGACTTACACTATTGTCGAGCTTGTGATCTCGTTGTTTACGGTTGCATTATTTGTGAATGCTGCCATTTTGATTGTGGCGGGTGCAACCTTACACGGTGGAACGCAAATGAAGAGGGACGACAGTGACTCCGATAGTGATTCCGATAGTGATGACTACGAAAACGCTGATTTGTTCACCATATACCATCTTCTTTCTAAGCACTTGTCTCCTACTGCAGGTTTTGTTTTTGCTTTGGCATTATTGTGTTCGGGTCAAAGTGCCGGTGTTGTTTGTACCCTTGCGGGTCAAATGGTGTCAGAAGGATTCTTATCATGGTCATTACCACCCGTTGTCAGAAGACTTATTACCAGAGGTCTTGCGATCACTCCATGTTTATTGGTAGTGAGTTTCTCTGGTCGTGAAGGATTGGCCAAAGTATTGAATGCCAGTCAAGTGGTATTAAGTATCTTGTTGCCGGTTGTTAGTGCCCCTTTGATCTATTTCACCTGCTCTAAGGAAATTATGCGTGTTCCAATATTCATTAGAGATGGTGATGAGTTACTTGATGATTCCAACATTTTGGATGATGTCAATGACTACGAAGAGATCACTTTACCAGGAGGAGGTGCTCCCGTTTCCAATACCCCACACAGATTCAGAAGCACTGAACCAGCTATCAGACTACAAGACTTGAGAAAATCGCACCCTTGTGCTGGCTGGGACGAAGAAGATGATGATGTTCATTTGAATCATGGTTCAGAAGAGCAGCATCGTCTCCTTGTGGGCGATGATCTTCCATCTCACTCATCCCCACAAAAGAAGAAAACCCACACTCCAGAGTTGGAATACTCGCAACATGCACCATCCAACATCCAAGACACCTACACCGAAGATGAGGTTGATTACCGCATCAAGGGTTACAAAGATTATAGCAATGGACCAATAACTTCATTTCTAGCAGTATTGGTATGGGGATTCATAACATCCTTGAACTTATACTTGATCATTAGTATGATGATGGGATACGAAGTACCCATGTAACATCATTCAGCATTTATTGTCCCACATCGTGGACTTATAGAGTTTTCTTCCCTATTCTATTCTACACATGAGTCATTTTGGTTGGCTTTTTGCATTTTTTATATATTCACAATACAAGGAACCACAAAACACATTTACACTTAATCGTATTTAAATTTATTACTCGAGTTAACACTATACACCTTTTGAACGTGGCAGAAGGGTGATGTCTATTAGCTTAAGCATCGTAAGTGGAGGCAGAAATCTTACCACCTCTACCAGTCCAGTTAACGTGGATCCAATCATCCTTCTTCAAGAAGTCGTTTTCTTGACCTGGCAAGACCTTGAAGGTGTGAGCACCGAAGTAATCTCTTTGGGCTTGCAACAAGTTAGCTGGCAATTGAGCAGATCTGTAACCATCGTAGAAAGACAAAGCAGTGGTGAAAGCTGGAACTGGGACACCAAATTCAACAGCCTTACCAATGGTAGATCTCCAACCCTTTTGAGCGTTGGTAATAGCATCCTTGAAGAATGGGTGGAACAACAAGTTTTCCAAGTCAGGGGTTTCTCTGTAAGCAGAGGTAATTTCACCAAGGAAAACGGATCTGATGATACAACCACCTCTCCACATCAAAGCGATAGCTGGGTTGTTCAACTTCCAGTTGTATTCCTTAGCAGCTTCTCTGATCAACATAAAACCTTGAGCGTAAGAGATAATCTTGGAGGCGTACAAGGCTTGTTCCAAGTCATCAACGAACTTCTTTCTGTCGGTGATTGGAGATTCACCTTCGACGGATGGACCTTCCAACAAGGTAGAAGCTCTAACTCTTTCGTCCTTGAGAGCAGACAAACATCTGGCGAAGACAGCTTCACCAATCAAGGTGACTGGCATACCCAAGTCAAGGGCGTTGATAGCAGTCCACTTACCAGTACCCTTTTGACCGGCAGTGTCCAAGATCTTTTCCAACAATGGCTTACCATCGGTTGGGTCATTGTAGTAGAGGATATCTCTAGTGATTTCAATAAGGAAGGAGTCCAAAACACCCTTGTTCCATTGAGCGAAGACATCACCGATTTCCTTGTTGGTGAACTTACCGACACGCTTCAACAAGTCGTAAGCTTCACAGATCAATTGCATGTCACCGTATTCAATACCGTTGTGGACCATCTTGACGTAGTGACCAGCTCCGGCATCACCAACCCAGTCACAACATGGTTCACCATCGGACTTGGCGGCAATGGATTGGAAGATGTCCTTGATGTGTGGCCAAGCATCTGGGTGACCACCTGGCATCAAAGATGGACCGTAACGGGCACCTTCTTCACCACCAGAAACACCGGAACCGACGAAGAGGATATCCTTCTTCTTCAATTCTTCGAAACGACGGTTAGAGTCTGGGAAGTGGGAGTTACCACCGTCAATGATGATGTCACCCTTTTCCAAGTGTGGCAACAATTGGTCAATGAAAGCATCGACTGGGGCACCGGCCTTGACCAAGATGATGATTCTTCTTGGTCTCTTCAAGTTGGCACACAATTCCTCGATGGAGTGGGCACCAATGATGGACTTACCCTTGGCTTCGTTGTCCAAGAACTCGTCGACCTTTGAGACGGTTCTGTTGTAAGCAACAACAGTAAACCCGTTGTCGGCAGCGTTCAAGATCAAGTTTTGACCCATGACGGCCAAACCAATCAAACCAATATCACCACTGGGCTGGTTAGTATTTGCGGCAAGGTGGTTTTGCACGATTGAAAGACGGTCGGAAGCAGACATGGTGATGTTTTGATGAAAAGCCGTGGACGGAGCAAAACCAATTGTGGAGAGAAAGAAAATGAAATCGTGGGAAAAACCAACTTTTCATTGCGGTGCAACGGACGCCCCTCGCCCACGCCAGTGGCTGGTGCAAGCACTCAATGCAAGTACTCAATAGCCAAGGCACATCAACAGGTTCAATTCGGGGGCTATCATGTGATAGTGGCCTACCGGTGGACCAACGGACCACCGCCTCGGCCCCGACTGGACGAGGTGGTTATTGGTGGCGAGCCACGCACCACGAGGGCGCCAATCACCCCCAATCTTTCCACCAACAGCGCCTTCCATCCTTCAGCTGTGCCAGGTTTACTTTGGTTATACGTACGTTGGAGCAGACATTCTTGTGTAGTACTAATAGAATAGTTGGTAAAAAATCCACATTCGCCTGCCAACGGCCTGCTTATATATCTGTTGGGCTCGCCGGACGCACATGCAGGATGCTCGGGGCCTATGGGCGGTGGCTGCAGGAATACGGCGGTGACAACTGTTCTGACACCAAATGTGGATGGACGCCGATGCACACTCCCCCACTGGGGCTGGGGTCCCCCACCCCGTTCCCAGCTGGGCAACACCACCTTGGCAAGTTCAATCCATCCCCATTGGGGGCTAGAGAACGATTGCCCAATAGGGACGTGGGCCGACCAAACGACGGAGTTGCTGAGGCCGCAGCGGCCTGGACCTGTGTGGAACGCTGGAGAAAGGTGGATCCGGATCCGAACCGCACCCTGACTAATCATGGGCCCTAAATGTTGCAGAGGGGTTAGTAATCAGCGTCTAGAACGAACACGTGAGCATGGGGAGCCTGACTGGGAATGGTGGACGAGGCGTCCCCCACCCACCACTGACCAATAGCCAAAGCCCGCAAAGGTCCCCTGGGTTCATCCCCCACGTCGGGGTGTCTGCAGTGGGGTGTTTCGGGGTGGCGTGGGGGACCAACGGCCGCCCCCACCTAGCTGAAACGCGTGCTCCGGCACGAGTTATCACGTGTGGTATCAGGTGATGAAGCACATGGTTCTCCTTCCATCCAGCCTCCAACCTTACGGTTGTGGCTCCCCAGAACATATAAGCTGGGCATCCCCTGGTCAACAATTTTTATCTTGGCTTCCTCTCCAAGTCAGCCTTGCAACTGCCACCACCGCCTTCTACTTACCCACAATGCCAGCGACACCTATGAACCAAAACAATGTTCCAATGGTCGCCTTCTAACCAGCCGTTACGGCCCGCGAACGCCTGTGACGGCTTCCCCAGTTGATTTCAGCGGAAGCCCGCCGAATCTGCCGAATCCGGGGCCATTCCGTCATCGTCGTTTTCCATCTTGCAACCAGATGGAAATTAATGATAGTAAGTCACGTGAGATGGTATGATTTTGCACCCTTTGTGCCCTTGGATCTGGGATTACTCAATCAAGCATGCAGCCGGGTGTTTAAAAGAGCTGAAATCCGTCCGTGTAGAGATCTACCCATAATCACCCTTCTCCCCAAAATGCCTATCCCCCAACCCCACGGTGGTAACCTTAATGATCTCGTTATCCGCGACGCAGCCATCAAATCCGACTTATTGAAGGAGGTTGCAACTCTTCCTTCGTTGGTGTTGACAGATCGTCAGTTGTGTGATTTGGAGTTGATTCTCAACGGTGGATTCTCTCCATTGGCAGGCTTTTTGAACGAGGAGGACTACAACTCTGTGGTCTCCGACTTGAGATTGTCCTCAGTCAAGGGTGCAAATGGTAAGGGCTTGGTTTGGCCTATCCCAATCACCCTCGATGTGGACCAGTCCACCGCCTCCAAATACTCCACTGGTACTAGGGTCGCTCTTTTGGACTTGAGAGATGAAACTCCATTGGCTATCTTGACAGTGGAATCCATCTACAAGCCAAACAAACAGCTTGAAGCTGAGAAGGTGTTCAGAGGTGACCCGGAGCACCCTGCCAACAGATACTTGTTCGAGCAGGCTGGTGATGTTTACATTGGAGGCTCTCTCCAGGGTTTGAACTACCCCAAGCACTACGACTATGTGGAGTTCAGAAAGACACCCACTGAGTTAAGAAAGGAGTTTGGCAACCTCGAATGGAACGATAAGAACATCGTGGCATTCCAGACCAGAAACCCTATGCACAGAGCCCATCGTGAATTGACCATTAGAGCTGCTAATGATATTGGTGACAAGGGACGGATCTTGATCCACCCAGTGGTTGGTTTGACTAAGCCAGGTGACATTGACCATCACACCAGGGTCAAGGTCTACCAGCAAATCTTGAAGAAGTTCCCTGACGGCTTGGCCACCTTGTCGTTGTTGCCATTGGCCATGAGAATGGGTGGTGACCGTGAGGCCTTGTGGCACGCGTTGATCAGAACCAACTACGGTGTTGATCACTTCATTGTTGGAAGAGACCATGCTGGTCCGGGTAAAAACTCCCAGGGTGTTGATTTCTACGGCCCATACGATGCTCAAGACTTGTTGGCTAATTACGAAGACGAACTCACCATCAAGATCGTCCCATTCAGAATGGTCACCTACTTGCCCGAGGAAGACAGATACGCTCCAATTGACACTATCGACCTCAACAAGGTCAAGACCGCCAATATTTCTGGTACCGAATTAAGAAATAAGTTGAAGACCGGGGATGATATTCCTGAATGGTTCTCGTACCCAGAAGTTGTCAAGATTTTGCGTGACACCAACCCTCCAAGATCCTCTCAAGGTTTCGTCGTACTCATCGACAGCAATGATAAGTTGGGCGAGTACTTGGGATATGCCTTGCAATCGAGTTTGAACCAATTTGATGGCAAACGTAGAATCACCAAGTTGACCGATGACATTTCTCCATTTGTGGTCAACGAATTGGTTCTTGCGGGCTCTGGTGTCATCTTGCCAACCAAGTCTGCCGAAGTGACCCAAAAAATCACCAGCACTGTTGGTAAGGGTAACACCATTATCGTGAAGTCCAGTGGTGATTTCGGTGAGAATGAATTCAATTTGGTTGAAGATTTGAAAGAAGTCATTGGCCAGGTTGTGGAGCATTTGAAGCAACAAGGCTTCTATTAGAGTACTAGAGTATGTAAAGAAATAGTCGTGGCATCGTAAACTGTTGATCAGTGATCGATGGTTAGTATTGTGGCATATCCTTATTTAGAGTATAGGTAACAACTAGTTGACCAGCTAATATTGTGTAGATAAAAGGAAGCATTACGATATTTGATTCTACTGAATTCGCTGTAAGCTGCTACAGGAAAAGCTACTCTCTGGTCAATAAATAATCGTCTTATTAAGACATACTTCATTAAATCGTAATGATGCTAATAACTATAACATACATCTTCGCATGGAATTTTTGGTACCTTTCTCATAAAAAGAACGGTAGCCAGTGATTAACCGCTAAGTTATTAGTTCAATTGTATCACGTCAATTTAAACTTTTTGTTGAATTGAATAAGTGAGAGTTACCCGACTCTTACATTACCATTCTTTTCTGATAAATAATTTGCTCTGAATTTGAGTGATTCAGAGAGCCCCATTGCAATTGGCCACACTGGGGCATCGGCCAAGATTCTGATACCCAAATAAAGTGTCTTTATGGATAATTTGTCATTCAAAATCTCGCCCCGTATTTCTTGTTCGATTTGGTTCATTTGTTGAGAACCTTCACATTTCCCCTTCGTTTCGATTAACTGCTTAACCTTCATCAATCCATCATCCTGTTTTACTGACTTAAATGTATTCCCTTGTTTGGTGAGCATCTCAGAGTATGAAGACTTCAAAATAGGACTTAAAACTTCTTCAACTTTAGAGGTAATGCTTTCACATTCAACCCATTTGATCAATTCACAATCGTTTAACGAACTCTTCTCGATCTTGCTTTCCAAATAATGCAAATACGATGACATGATCAAGACTGCCACAAATAAGCATGACACGAAGAACACTGGACTTCTTAGGGAACATTGTTTCATATCATCATTGCTAATACTTTTGATATTGTGGGTCCATAATTCGATAATCTCAATACAGAATGGCAAACTTTGCTTCAAATTCTCGAAAGTAGGTTCATCTTGCGTAATCCGATCCAAATTATTATTCATCATCTTCCAGTCTTTCGAAAAAACTGGTGATATTACTGGAGTGATATTGATAACCAACTTAATCTTAAGTAACCAGTATAAGGGAAGAATAATCTTGAGCTCATTATGAATGTTGAGTAAATGCCTATCGGTAGCGTCGATTAATAACGTACCACCATTCATGATAAATTTTTGTTCCCAACACTTTACAAGCTTTTCCAAGCTTGGTTTGTGATTGAGTTTCCAGTCTAGGTGGTTGAATGGTTGTGATTGTAAGGATTGAATTTGAACACATTCATGTGCGTACATCAATAAAGAGAGAAGGTTATTAAAAGACAAAGGCATAGAAACGTCTCGTCCAGTAAAATTGCCTCTCAAGTATTGTAACATCTTGTCAAAAGGCTGTCCATTACTTAAATCCACCAAGGAGTCAAATTTCCCATTCTTAATAACGCTGAACCAATCTGCCGAAGTTGAACAACGCCATAAGTCTTCGTTGGCACAATGATTACCGCTCTTCAATAGACTATGATCACAATAGATCGGTAAGCCTCCGATACTAGCTCTGAATGATTGTAACATATAGAACAAGTGAATTGTTCTGATTCTGGACTGGGCCATGATGAAGTAATCAAAGTTCTTCTGAATAACTTGCGTAGAATCTTGAGACAGTTCAATCTTTCTGAGATCTTGAGGTGGAATTAAGAATTGTTCCAACGGTTCATTAAAGTTTGTAGACTTGATCAATCCAATCATCGATTTCATTTGCTTGGAAGTCACGTCTGTCATATTCGTTTCGTTGAAAAACAAAGTGATGAAAATATGCAAAACCAAACATTGGTGAGCCATTAATGGTACTTTCTTGAACTGCAAATTGTTCAAGGTAATCTCTTTCTCAAAGAAATTTTGAATATGATACTTTGACAAACTGAACAATAACAATGTGTTCGTGTCGTGGTAGGAATACAAAGCACCTATCGATGTCATTGACAAAATCAACGGAATATACTCAAATTTGTTGACCATAGGGTTTTTTAATGATGGAAGGTGAATGAATGGGAAGTATTTGTTAAATTCCAATTCATAGAGTCTCATGTAATGGTTCAAGTCTTCGGTAGTAGGAAACTGAGTGTCATTCAAGTTTGAAATGCTAATGATCTTGCTTCTAAAGTCTTCTGTAATGAAATTGAAATCTTGAAGGAGAGAGCTATCAAGGGTAAATTCAAAATCACCAGGTGCGAGTGTCTGTTTTTCTTGGTCAGTCTTGTCCTGTATCACGTTTGGATTCATTTGTTTGACCAAATCAATTTGCCTTGATCTAAAAAGTGAGGAAATTTCATTAATTGAATTGTACTCTAAAGTAGTGGACGAAGGAAGTGTTGCAGTTTGAGCATCTAATTTTGGGGAATTCAATAATGAAGGAGCCTCGATGAACCCAATTTGGTGGGAGGCAACAGGGAAATTCGTGTCGTAAGGTGTGTTGATAATTTCTTTCAACCAATCGTCATCAGGAGTCATGTTCAAGTTTATTGCATGCATGTTGCTTGTTGCGGAAAACCTGGGTTGGTTTGAACTATTCAAAGGTATTTTTTGATCGGTTATATTAGCACTTGAAGTTGAATCAGTCCGCGCCTTTTTGCTTGGATTTTCTTCGTGCTCCTTCCTTTGCTTCTTCATCAATTTCTTACTTTCAACTGCGTCAGTTTGTAAATTGATTGGACTAGCAGCTGAATGACCATTGGAGAACATATTCTGGGTCATGTTCATATAATTTGGTGGGTTCAACCCGTACTCAAATGGAGTCATTCCCTTCAAATGATGGGGGTGGTTGGGGTTGTTAAATTGTAAGGCAGCAAGCGCGTTTTCGTTTGTTGCTGTGGTGGAAGGGTTAACGTTCCCATTGACCATACCATTCCCATTCCCGTTATCTAAGGTATGGCCCGATGGTGCCAAATTATCCAGAAAGAACTGTTGAAGGTTCTTGATTGACCTTTGCTTGGCCGTGAGTTGGGAGAACGAAGGAGAGCCTGCCCCCTTTGTTCTATCAGCAGCACTACTCAAGTCGAGACCGTCAAGATTGGTCCAATCCATCATTCCCAAAGAATTAATGTCTAAACCGGACAAAAGCAAATTCTTCGAAGTTAATTCGTCTGAAGCATTCAATTGGGACGAGAAATCAGACAGCTGACCATTCGAGTCAAAGAAGCTCGAGTTGATTTGCTGAATGTTTTTGGCATCCTTCAAATTGGTGTAGGAAGAACCCGAGACAGCGGAAAACGAGGCGTGACGGGTCTGTGATCCCAACAAATGGTTCAAGTGGGAGGTGCGCAAGGCCTCTTCGATGGATTTGGACTCTTGCTTCATGCGAACGGGATTCTGCTTTTTGCGAGGCGAGTCGATGTTTTGGGCGATGTGGGTTTTTTGCAATCCAGAGGGACCAGTAATACTGCTGGGCAAGGTCACGTTGGGAGGCGAGTTCTGGCTGGAGTTTGTGGGGATGGGCGATGGAATCGGATTGTTTGCAGGCAGAATGTTGGAGGAGGTACCCGGGTTCTGGAACAAGCCGGTTCTGAATTGTGGGGTCATGCCGTTGTTGTAGTTGAACTCGTTGGACTTGGGGGGAGAATAGAGCTGCGAAGGTGCCATCTTTTCAGGGTCATCGAACGCATCGTTTGTATTGGCATCGCCCAAGTCCGGAGTGGCTCCGTTGGGCAACGGGGCCGTGTTCTCGGTGTTGTTGTGCAACACAATAACGTGCTCGTCCAAGTCCTTGGACGACCCGCGACGCATGATGTTGGGGAGACTCGAGTGGAGCTTCTGTTGGTGTCTCAACACCAAGTCCCTGCGGGCAAAACACCGTCCGCAGGCAGCACACTGGAAGGGTTTTTCATTGGTATGTGACCGCTCGTGGCGCTTCAAGTGCTCGAGCCGGGCAAACGCACGAGTACAGATGGTGCATATGTGGGGGCGGGGTTTATCAGTCTTGATCTGCTGGGACTTCTTGGGGATGGGTTGGGTGGCAGTCGAGTGGTCCGCTGAGGGTGTGGAACCGCTCGACGCGGGGGACCGACTGGAGACGTCGGAGTGTCCACCGCTCATGTTGGGACGGGCGGCTAGAGGGAGATGGAGGGGTGAGGCAAAGAAGGACGAGGTACGAGCTGGCAGGCTGGCGGGCTGGCGGGCTGGACCTGGTGGTAGTACAGGGGAGGAACAACAGGGAGTTGGGTAGTTGCGTTAGTGAGTGACCCAACGAACGTAAAAAATGAGCCTTGAATCGCAAATTTTCTGGAGTTGAACGACACGGACCGGTTGGGATGCCGGGGCCCGCGACACGCGCGACACCGACCCTGGCAGGCTACCGTTGGGTCCGGTCACGTGCAGTGGGTCAACCTGGTGGTGGTGGGTTTCCGTGGGTATTGTTGAGGCATGGTGGTAGTGGTAGACTGGAGTTGCCGACGGTGCGATGAGGTGGGTGGAGCGCGCTGGCCTGGGACTGTCACGGTTATATAGTGGCGGCCTGGAGAGGGGCGCTGTAGATCACATGCGGGGCATCTCCAGGTGTTGTTCCTTTGAGCCTGGATGGATGGCCGAGGAAGCGGGGGGGGTGCGAGTGGTGGCTGCGTGGCCGGTAAACGATCCGACGCAGCGAAGGATGCAAGAGGGGTTGAGCGTGAGATTGATGCGGTGGGGCGCGGCCTAGCCCTCCCGCCAGTGGAGCCGACAGTAGGCAGTTGGTCCAGGAGTGGGGAGGGGGAAAGTAGTACGTATGCTTTCCATAGCATCGGTCCAGAAGCAATTGGGAGCAGGGGGTGCCAACCTGTCAAATGGCGCCGGTAGCGCCGGCTGCATGGACTAGAACGCCTAATGCACAGGGTTCAGCATGCATAGGAACCGACCGCGGTGTGCGTTGACGTTAATGCGGTACAATGCACAGTAGGGCGGGCGTGGACTTCTGGGGTCGGTGTAGGCTGCTCTTGCCGTGGTGGTAACCCCACTCCAGAACCTGAAAATACAATAATCATTCGAACACTATCTTTGGTAGTTGGAATCTAAGGTGGGGCGGAGGTGGGGACTGAAAGGTGTGGCGCCTCTCGGGTCGAACCTACCAGTATTCGCAGCAAATGACCCAACCACGGCCCCGTTCTATCATGGGCATGCCGAGGGAAATAAGTCGTTTCTCCAAATTTCTTTGCCTAGTGATTGCCAGTCACATTGGGATTCTGAACAGAGGAAGTGCTTCCACGGGCTTGCACTCAGCCCGCAACACAGCCGAATCATGGATTAGACGGTTGTTGATGTTATGGTCACGTGTTTTGCACGTGTATTTTTGGCTTAGCCTAGCAGTTCAGTTATCATAAATCTTCAACAAATAGCGCAGTAGCGAAGTGGAAACGCGCAGGGCTCATAACCCTGAGATCCCCGGATCGAAACCGGGCTGCGCTAGTTTTTTTGATCCTCAACCTCAGGTTTTACTTTAAGTAACTACCCATCTTTAGACGCCATACATTTTTGTCTTCATTGGTGGGTCAAACGGCTTCCAGCACCAGCTACAATTTGCGTATGGCCAATCTTTATTTCTGCACTGTAATTATTTTGCTGGGGTTTAGTCCAAGTGAACTAATCGATGATATCAGCTAATTCGACGTAGGCTTTTCTAAAATGACAAAATCCATTCCCTACATCTATTTCACTGCCAATGGCATTGTTTCTCCTCTTCCCCCGATTTCACTCTTGTGGCATTCTGAATGCCGTGTTTGCTCCTCTCGCTAATCGCAGCCGTGTGATCCTCAGCTAAAAAAACTATCACGAGACCCTAACACACCACACATCATCACCATGGACCAACCTGCCTACGTGAACGTGTTCTTCGTGCTCACGTCGTTCGTCATAGCAGCCGTGCTCGTGCTGTTCATCTGTGTGTGCAAGATTTATCTTCACTATTCAGGAAGAGACGAGTACACTCTTCTTGATGATTCAGACGAGTACTTTCCCAGGGACTTTGTCGTCGACCCTGAGTCGCTTACCCAGTTGGCAGAGCGCTTCGAGTTCGTGGAGTTGTCACCTGAGGAACAGAACTCATACCTCCGGGCTCAGGAGTTCGCCAAACAGAATCCTCCCGCCACAGCCCATGTCAGGGGTAGGTCGTACACTCTGGAAATCGAGGAGGTTATTAAGGAATGTGGAGTCAATGCTTTCCAGTACGACAGCGACGACAGCGAGATCTTGAACGCACGGTACGTGGTGGCTGACAAGACCGAGTTAATCTTCAACAACAACGACTTGCCCTACTCCACCGCTACGGCAGCCTTCAATTACGCTTTGCCCGTCAAGAACCGAGTATACTCCGATACCGTTTACTTCGAGACCAAGGTTTTCGAATTCAACAACAATACCAACCCCAACGCCCATTTCGCTATTGGCTTGATCACCAAGCCATACCCAACTGCCTTCAGATTACCAGGATACAACAACTTCTCCATCGCTTACGAGTCCACTGGTAACTTGAAAATCAATCAGCCATTCCCAACACCATTGCAACAGCACCAGGGCGAACGGAGTGAGTACAATGCACAAGTCTTGCCCCCATTGGAACAGTCCGATATCGTTGGGTTTGGTTATGTAATAAGCTCAGGCACCATTTTCATCACCCGCAACGGAAAGAAGCTCATGGACATCATGAAAGGTGTGACCATTGACATGTACCCTGCAGTGGGATGTTTCCTGACCAATGCTAAGTTCCAAACTAACATCGGTCAGCTTGGGTTTGTATGGGTCGAAGCCAACGTCAGGAAGTACGGTTTTGTTTCCAGATCAGAGTATAAGAAGATTAAGGGAGACCGTGGATTGGCTGCTTTACCTAATTATGGACTGGTACTCGATGAGGGAGACGAGATTCTTGCCAAGGGTGAAGAATTGCCTCCTAGATACCCTGAAGACGAATTGGACTTCTTTGGCAGATCGAGTCAGGATGTCGTGCGCTTAGGCTCTTCATCCAAGGCTGACCAGAGGGATGAAGAGAAGACAGACGACGAGAAAAAAACTGGTTCAAGCTCCTCAAAGGTTACCAACGAAACCGAAGAAGAAATGAGTTTGCGAGAGAGGATCTATGAGCAAATCACTCATGACGAGACTGATGTGGAGGGCACTCCAGAACCAGTCGATGCTGCAGGCAACTTGTCTGAATTAATCGACGCTCCCGCAAACCCTGATGCCGACGCCAGTGCTACAGAAAGCAGCAAGGCTGGAACCCCAGAAGTAGAGCAAGGCACATCTACATCTACTGGGCCCAAGAAGAAGGGAAATAAGAAGAAGAAGAAAGGTAAAAAGGGTAAGAAGAGAAAGTAAATAGACAAGAATGGACCGCATAAAATCACTGTAGTAGGGATGGTATTGCGATAGTGAGTTGCTGAATAGCTTGGCCAAAGTTCACTCGATACACTCGCTTGGATTGATAAAAAAGAAACGGGGCGAGCTGGGAATTGAACCCAGGGCCTCTCGCATATTTGTAGAATGTACAGCAAACCATACAGTCACCCAAAGCGAGAATCATACCACTAGACCACACGCCCGTTATTCGACTTTTCAAAAATTGCTGGCAAATACTTATTGGCTGTTGAAAATGATTTTCAATATTTTTGCCGTATTAATAGGATTATTAGTTTATTATGGGCTCAGTACGCTAAAGTATTTCATTGCACATAAAATTGTACAATAGCAATAGAAAAAACAAGAAAAGAATCTGGAAGTGTTTTAACTGTCTTCTTAGCAGCCAGCTTCACCTTGAAAAAAACTCGCCATGCCGCTAAATTATAACGGTTTGACCATAATGGTGTGTTATCCATTGCAATAGGTATATAGTCAGTAGATTAGAATATACTTCCCATTAGCAAAAAAAAAAAAAATCGCAGCATACGCTCCACTGGCGCAGATCATAAATGATACAAATATCATCAAATCGTTCAAGTAGTCTTTGGAGGTTATGGATATATCGAAGAGCACAAGGGGAGACCCAAGCTCGTCCTCCAACCACCAACGAAGTCTTTCATCTTGTCCAGGCACAGCTCTTAATTTAATGCATCATCTAGTACGAGCTGCTGCATAATGGTGTTGTTTGTCGTTTACCAAGTTGCAAAAAATCATCAAAAAAAATACGATCAATTTTCTAATGGTTTGACCGTAATGGTGTGCTCTCCGTCACAATAGGATGTATAGTCAGCAGATTATAAAATACAATCCATTAAAAAAAGAAAGGTGATCTGGCTATCTCTGGACAATTAATTGGGAACTCTGGGGAAATTTATAGTGGCCAACATAATATGTTTCCTATTAGCAAATCAAAAGAAATAAATTTGTCCTCATAAGATAGAGCTGGAAAACAGTATGGATGGATTAAACCCAATTAGAAAGAGAAAAGTCCAGCTGGTGGGCTCCTCGGTAAGGCCAGGAAGAACCAGGCTGCATATCTTTCTTTCCCTTCATCAGAGAAATAGCTTCAAGGTCCATAAATTATGAAAAATTCTAATCTGCAATAAAACTTTGTCTTCTTCGGTTTAAACATCTAATCATAATAGAAGAAACCATACTTCAAGATGATCAGACTAAGCCCATCGAGACAGATAAGAAGCTCATCACAGAAGTTATTGGTTTCTTTCCACCCATAGCCTAGTCAGATCGAAAACCTGCCTATCGAGGAAAACTGGACTTTGGGTAGCTTGTGCCAAATATTCCCAAAATGGTGCTGTAGGCCATACTCCTCACCACAAATTTCCTTTTCATCTTAGATAAAACCCTAGAGCGTCCCACCACCACCACCACTTCACATGTAGGACTTCCTATACAAATTTACAGTACTGCCTATTTCATTGATTGAGCCGTACGTGCTCAAACGGGTAGATGGTCTAGTTTTCCAGTAGTTCGTGCCCATTTCTCATTGGAAGGTGTCTGCTCGGTAACATTCTTAACTACGGAAATTCTGACTCCATGCCACCTACCCGCTGTTTCCTGGCACCAGGGCAAATAATAGAGGACAGTGGCTTAACGTAAAACGCATATGCACCCACCGCCGCCACATTCGCGGTCGTAACCCTACTGGTTTTGTCGCGGTTATGTTCTCATCTCCGGACCGCATTGTGATTGGTCATACTGCGAAACCAACGGCGCATACGAACCACGACCATCGCTAGGGACTATTTACGGTTTGTTGGGCGTATTCAGTTGTGATGTGTGTCGGAGAGGGCCAATTCCAACTGCTGGTTGTCTGAAGCTCAAGCCCTGGTTCCGCTCTCGGCTCCACCATTCTCACCAGTCCCTCATACACGTATTAGACTACTGGACCGGCAACGGGTCGCGCTTCGGGGCCTGCACCAGATCTGTCACTATCGCCAGGTACCAAGAATAGCTTTCAAAACAATAAAACTCGCAAATCCACTGGGCACCGTGCGTCAGAGTTCAGTTCACAATGCTTTAGCACCAGCAGTAGAAGGACGGCTTCTGCCAGTCCACCAAGCAAGCACCTAACGCGGTAATTCTTACACTTGTTCACCACCAAAACATTCCCCAACACAGCACAAGCACCACCTTCCCCCATTCTCCTCTGGCGTCCCCATCTCTTGGCTGGTGCACCCACACCCGCCTCATTTTCCACTCGTAAATTGTACCCTCACGTGCCAAACGCGCGTGCTTATCACAACACCATTTTTTAGGTCCGTGATCTTTTTTTACCACACCCTTCTTCAACACCAAACGTTCTGACCAAGATGCCTCTCCTCAGCGTGTCTCCGAGGAGGATGGCCTCGCCTTTCTACATCCTCCTAGTTGTGTTCCTGGTGGTGGTTTTTTTCAACATGATTTTCTTCCACAACTTCAACGAAGACTCTCCCATCGAACGTATCCAGGACGCTATTGACAAGGTGGACAACCCCGAGTACGGGCGGAACCTCATCAACGAGATCAAGATTACAAAGGAGAAGGAGTTGATCGACTTGCTCCGCAAAGATATCGAAGAAAAAAATACCCAGAAGTTCCACGACGAACTCCGTTTCCAGATCGTGTCCAACTTCTCCGAGTCGTTTAAGGAGGAGTTGCAGAAGGAAATCAAGGAGAAGAACACCAAGGAGATGTTCGAGGCCAAGAGTGTCTCCTACGAGCTTTTCGATAACTTGAAGGCCGAGTACCTCAAGAAACATGGCAATGACATCGAAGAGGTTGCTATTCTTGAAGTGATGCAGGACTTGAAGATGGAGAGCTCTCCAGGTCTCTCCAAGAAGGTCAAGGATTTACTTCACCAAAAGATGGATAGATCGGTCTGGTACAAGTATCTAATTAATGACCTATTAATCAAGTTTGGTCCTAAAGATATGCATGCCCTCACCAAGGAAGAAAGAGGTGATGACTTCCCGGGTACCTTCTTGAGAGATATACAACAACCACCTATCTCCAAGAATGTGTTGCTTAAAAACCATGTCAACTTGTCCAAGGAAAGACATGCAAAACTCAAAGAATACCATGCCAAGTTTGTGGATGCCATCAAGAGACTCGATGACCCCCCCAAGCAATTTGTGAACGGTGATGGTATCGTTATTTCCGGAGGTGGTGTCTACTTTGGTTCCGCCTTGGTAGCAATCGGCCAGATGCGTGAAATGGGTTCCAAGTTACCTATAGAGTTGGTTATCAATGACTTATCCGAGTACGACGAGCAAATCTGCGAAGTGCTACTTCCAAAGACTTTTAATGCCCGTTGTATTGTTATTGAAAAGGAAATCGGTAAGGAGCTCCTCGAAAAACTAAAATTAACCAAGTTCCAAATGAAGATCTTTGGTTTGCTTTTCTCCTCCTTTGACAATATCATCACTATTGATGCTGACAACATGCCTATCAAAAATGTTGACACCTTGCTTACTTCTGAACCTTATCTTTCCACTAAGTTCATTTTATGGCCAGATATATGGCACAAGGGAGTGTCACCACTCTATTATGATATAGCCGGTTTCAAGGTTGGTACAACACCGATTCGTCGGGAAGGTCTTGCAAATGACTGGCCTTGGTCTCGGTACCCCGGTAAGGATGTCGACACCGATGTGGCCTACCACGACTTGGAAGGATTACCTGGTATGATCAGTATTGAAACTGGTCAAATGGTTTTCTCCAAAAGAGCCCACTTCAAGTCTTTCTTGTTATCCTTATACTACAACATATATGGACCTGATTTTTATTACCGTTTGCTTTTCCAAGGTGTCCCGGGTGAAGGTGACCGTGAGACCTTCGTTCCTGCATTACATTTATTAAAAGAACCTTACCACATCGTTCCTCGTGCTTCTTGGCTTGCTGGATACAAGATGGGCGAGAAACAAGACGGAGATTTCCAAGAAACCACAATCGTGCAGTATGACCCAACTCAGACTGTAAAATTGATTGATGATTGGGAAAAATGGTTGAAAAAGCATGATTCGGATACAAGATTGTGGCCCTACCAATCTAACAAACACACCGGTGAATTAATGGACTTATTTAAAAAAGATCTTGCAATTAGTAGGTCGAAGGAAGTACCAGACCCGGAAACTGGTAAACTAACTATGGTTGACGAAGTCGAAGAGTATAAGTTTCCAGATGTCTTCTTCCTCCATATCCACAAACCGAAGATTAACCCAATCGAAAATGCGAAGACTGAAAGTTATGGTATCTACACAAGAAGAAATTTGGGACTTCAAGGAACTTATCCAGAGTATGGCAAAACCGATTGGGAATTAAAGTTCCATTCAATTGCCAAGTGGATTGCCTGTGAAGGAATCACCTCCCAGCACTTCTGGGACACAATTGCTGAAAAGAAAAAGGATTTTGTCTGTGAGAAGGTTACCGAATACGTTGAATTCTTAAAGCAGGATACCACAGATCCAGGAGCAGAAAAGTTAAGTTTTGCCAAGAACTAATTCTCATCCGTTCGTTTTGCAGACCCTCATATTTTCTATATGACATGTATAATAGTAAATGTAACACCCAAGTAATAAGCCGTTCAGTACCTGAAAGTATTTGATCTCATATCGTATACCCTCCTATCTGTAATGTAGCCCCTTGTTAAGTCTAATTGTGGTATTCCATATCTAGACAAAAAAAATTGATGGAGTATAATTGTAAAATTTTTTAATTATACGTGGAAATTGAAAAATGTCATAATTTCCATCCTTTATTTGGTGATACATATTTCATTGGTCATATACCATCTAATATTCTACTTCATAGACTATTTTACACTATTTTCTCTTTAAGATACCGTTACAGTGAGCTACTACTCTTTAGAAATTCCTAGGTTCATTCCTCGTCGCTGTCTTCGGTTTCCTCACCAGACTCACTTTCTGTTTCAGACTCGAATTCGGAATCGAATTCGGAATCGTCTTCAGAACCATATTCGCCTTCTTCAAGGGTGATTTCTTCAACATGAGTTTGGTAGCCCTGAGACTTGAAGAACTGGCTAGTTTCCTCAACCTTTACAGGTGGTAAACTGGTGAAAATGACGGAACTCTCACTACTAAAAAGTGCCTTGAAATACTTGTTCAAAGTGTAGAGAATATCATCTGCTTTCAATTCGTTAAGTCTCTTGATAAAGTATTCTGTGTAATCGGGACCTCTTCTCTTGAACAAGTAGTCGCTGATAGCACTTGAAGCCGCGTTGTAGTTGGTATCGATTTGGTTTGCAACAGCATTGACAATAGCAGCAACCGAATTCTCAACACTTAATTGGTCAATTTTTAGCTTTCCATCGGCATAATCATCCACGATAGACTTGGCCACCGTCCATGCTTGGATACCATCAGAGCCACGGTAGATCTGGAAGGTGAGTAACCCAGTCTCAAGATTTCTCTTAATTTGAGTCCCGTATGCAAGTCCAGTACCTCTGACACCTCTCCAGAATGGACCTTCAACTGCGTTCAAAAATTCAGTGGTAAGCGCAATTCTGAAAATATCGTCTTCGAGGTACGAGGTAGGCATAGGTGTCACTGAAATCAAATGAGTAGACTCTTCAGCGGGCGAGGCAATGAGGTATGCCTCGTTCAGACATTTGTTACCAATTTCAGACTTGAATTCCAATGATCTTGGAAGCTTGTCGAACGGAATTGGGGAATGGGCATCTGGGCTATTAAATGTTTCAATAAATGTCTTCCAACTGGTTATAGGGTTTTGCAAACTAGAAATTCCACCAACCACGAAAACCTTGAGGTTTTCCAAAGTGAATAATTGCTTAGTCAATTTTTCCAAATCCTTCTTAATCATATCAAATTTTCCGTCATTAATTTTCACTAACAAGTCCTTGTAAAACTCCTCGGTGTACATGGAGTCTTGGGCTTTCCTTAAGGACGATGATTCAAACATGGTTCGATATTGGAGAGAGTACATCATTAACTCTCCCAGTCTCTTCTTATCAGGGATGGAATTGATAATTTTTTCAATTATGACCTGTGTTCTTGCTTCCTCAAACTTACTGAACCTGAGGACATTCTGGAGCCATTCGATTGCCTTCGGGTATTTATGAGATTCAAATTTGACCTTGACGCTAATTAATTCGAGGAACTCGTTTTCATAGCCATTATCAAGACGGGTTTCCAAAAGGTCTTCTTCAATATTTGAAATGACCTTTTCGTATGGTATGTAATCCCCGTTTGGAAGCTCGATGGACAAGGAGAAAATTTCTTCGATTATGGACATGTAGCGTAAAAGGTCAGGATCAATGGCAGTAGAAGATAAAACAAGGTTGATAGTAGTAAATTCGGACTTGAAGTCTTCGAAATGGATGAAGAGGGGCAATTCTTGGCCGTACACTTCCGAGTCTTTAGCAATCGTATCGTAAAGAGCATCATCCCTGATGTACTTGGTATACTTTGGATTGTACAACTTTTGCGACAGTTCAATTGTGTATGACTTGGTGTTAATGAACTGGATCTTAGAAGGATCGGGCTTTTCGAATTCAGTCAATAATTTCTCAGGAATAGGGGTGTCGTTTTTCTCTTGGGCTAAGTCCAATTGCTTCCCCAATTCAGCCAATCCTTCCTTGCCGTACTTGGCCTTGATATCTTTGGAAATCTGCTTGGTGGTCTTTTTGATTTGGTCGTTCAACTTGATTGAAGGTTTTCCCAAGAGAGAGACCGAGTGGTTCTCGACAAAGTACTCTTTGATCAATGAGCACCATTGCTCAGCAGACCACTCCAACAACTCATCATATTCTGACAAACCCTTCGACCAGGTCATCAAATCTGAGCCGTCGGGTTTCCCATACAAGAATTCAGAGATCGCGACATTGGAGAACACCATAGGGGATTTTTCTGCACTGGAAATGAACTTCAATCTCTGCTGCTTGATGACGTGTCTCATGTAGTCCAAGTCCAAGCTCTTGGGGTCTGTTTGGCTCACAATCAAGTCTTTGATGAGAACATCGACCTTGGAGAGATGCTCCACGGGAATATCGTGCACGGTGAAGTTGAGGGTGGTTCTGCGGTAGTCGTCGGTTCCATAGTCGATCTCAGTGGCATAGGGACTCTCGATCTCCACCAAGTGTTTGTTGAACAACGAGATAGGGCTTTCGGTAAGGAAAGAACCCACCATGTCTAAGGCGACGTTGACCAAGCAGCCTGAGGCATCAGGGCCAATCCACGACATCAAGAGCTTACCCATCACCTCCTCGGTGTCGGGGAAGGGCACCTCCTTCACTACTGAGGCCAGGAGGGGCAAGTCCTCGGGAGAGTCCATGAACGGTCTTTTGTTGGGGGTGGTAGGTAACGCAGGCAATTGGTGGTCAAATTGTGTCATGATGTCCAACAACTCATCCTCGTTGATGCTGCCGGTGATGATGACACACAAGTTGTCCGGACGGTACATGTCTTTGTGGAACTGGACGATCTGGTCGTTGGTGAGCTTGCGGAGTTCTGCCATCAAGCCACCAGTCTCAGACGAGTAGCCAGAGCTGGCAGCATACAACAGCCGCTGCATCTCCAAATACATGATAGACCAGGCGTCGGTTTCGATGCCTTGCATTTCGCTGAATACGACACCCTTTTCCTTGCCGGTGCCGTCGATGTGGTATACCTCGGTGAGGCAGGCTTCGTCGGTGAGGGTGGGGTGGAGGATGTGGTCCAAATAGATGGGCAACAACGTTTTGAAGCCATCCCAGCCTGCCGTGGTCAATGTGTACACCGTCTGGTCCACGCCAGTCCAGGCGTTAGTAGACGAGTAGAGACGGTTGCCCAAGGTGTCGAGAAGGCCCTTGTAGGGGTAGTTGGAGGATCCGGTGAAGATCAAGTGCTCCAAGGTGTGGGGACAACCCGAGTCGTTTGTGATTTCGGTGGCCACCGCAAAGTAGCCCTCCACGATGGGGGACGGCTGGTTGATGTAGGTGATTTGCAAGCCGGTTGTTTGGGAGCGCCACTTGGTGATGTGGGAGGGGGCATAGTCCACGGCGAACGAGGTCTGCTTGACGAAGGGGCGATTGGCGACGGTCATGGTGGATACGACCGGGGGGATTCGGTGCCGGAGTGCCTGGAAGATGATGGTGAAAGTTGTTGATGAAATACCGTGGTGGGCATCGCGCTGAGTCGGATTTTGGCGCGACTGTGGCGGGGCCAGGAGCCCAAGTTAGCGAGGGCTCGAACAAGGTCTAGCGAGAGCTGGCGCGAAAATGTGTCTCTGCTGCTACGAATTCCTCCATGCCATGTGAGAATCCTTTGACACTGTGGCCAAACGATCACAAGGTCTATCTTAAGCAGTTGAACAACCATCCAAACCGAAAGCCTCAAGTGTAAAGACACATCTGCTTTGAAGCAAGACTCAAGACTCAGTTACTCACCATCCTTGGTGGCTGCGATTTTTTGACTTGTTCGCTGCCGCTGGCTACACACAAAATTGGAAAATTTCCAATGGCCACAATTTTGGCAAACTTTAGCATGAAGTGGCCAAAATTCCAAAATGGTTAGCATTCCAGCAAAAAGAACATGAAATTGACCAAATGGCCACCATTTCTGGCAAATTTGAATTATGATTGGCGAATTTTAAGAATGGTGACAATCTAGCGAGGGCTGCACAAGCCAGTTGTAGCGGAAACATCGCCAGCCCGACTAGCGGGAGGTTCGCACTAGGCAAACTGGCGAGAGTTGCACGAGCAAGCTCACGTGCGAACGCTAGCCAAGCTTCCCAGCCCCAATGCCTTCCCCATCCTGATCGTATCGAGGTGCCTCCAAAGCCTCACTAGTTATCTTTTGAACCCACCAGGGCTTCATTTCCCCTACCAACCACTTTTCCGGCAGTAATTGACTTTTCTGCAGTGGTCGATCTTCCCAGCCGACACTTGGTGGGGAGACCAGACGCCGGGGATTCGACTTCCCGATCCTGGTACCCCAGCCGTTCAGCCACAATAGCTAAACCGTTGGTAGAGTGTTGGTAGCACTGGTCGCTCCCTCCACCAGAGCTGTGGATAGTCTCCGGTAGAGATAGCGGGAGTGGCGATGTGTTTTAGCACCAGGACTCCACGACTGATGACAGTCGTCCCAGGCCACTACCACCACCTCCCGTACCCAAGACCAGTAATTCACCCGCAGCGTTGTTCACCCCGGTGATCGCTCCCTCCACCAGCGGCAGCGCCCAAAACAGCCATTGCAGCTGCCCCGCGAGTCGCATCGAGGATCCCTCCACCAGATCTGCCCCACATTAGAATCCCCCACTCCGAAGCCCTATAAAGCCAAGGGTGTCCGCTGAATTGCCATGCCCCATTAAGCACCATGTCCGTTACTCCAGGTATCTACACTCCAATAGTCACCTTCTACAAGGCCGATGGCAACACCATCGACTACCCCACCCAAATCGCCCACGCAAAGCACCTCCAAAAGCTGGGGATCGCCGGAGTGGTTGCCTTGGGAAGTACCGGAGAAAACGCCCTTCTTTCTCAGCAAGAGCGCATTGACATAATCGCCAACCTCCACGAGGCCATCCCAGACTTCCCTATAATTGCCGGTGTGGCCCAGAACAACGCCAAGGACGCCGTGGACACCATTGCAGCCTACAAGAAGGCCGGTGCCACTTCGGCCATGGTTCTTCCATCCAGCTACTACGGCCCAGTCACCACCCAGGAGGGTGTCTATGACTGGCTCACCGAGGTGGCTGATGCCTCTGCCTTGCCTATTCTTGTCTACATCTTCCCAGGTGTGTGCAACGGTCTCCAAGTGTTGCCAGAAACCGTGAGAAAATTGGCTGCTCACCCTAACATCATCGGTTGCAAGTGTACCCACGGCGATGTCCAGCAGTACGCCCGTATCGGTCTCGACGAAGAGGTCACTGGAAACAACTTCGCCCTTCTCTCTGGGTTTGGTCAGTTGCTTCTTCCATTATATGCTGTTGGTGGTTCCGGTGTTATAGACGCACTTTCTGGTGCCTTCCCAAAGACCTTCGTGGAATTGTTCAAGGCTTTGGAGTCCGGCGACACCAAGAAGGCCCAAAAGTTGCAGTTTGTTGTTTCTGAGGCCGAAGTTTTGGCCGGAAAGGGTAACTTCTTGAGTATCAAGAGAGCCATCCGTGACAACCTCGGCTTTGGTGAGAGCTTGGTTGGAAGAAAGCCCATGAACTACGGTATCAGCGACGAAGACTGGGAAAAGGAGTACAAGGGCTTCTATGACTTGATCAAGAAGGTTGAGGACACCCTTTAGATTCTTTTAGAGTCCAATAGAGGTCAGGCACCCAGAATATAATTCAGCTTATAGAATCTTACGACCAGTTATAGCTCCTTGTAGAAATGCGTTTGGTGATAGATCAGAGGCACAGCATTCTGTTTTGAGCTTTATGCCTTTGTACCTTTCGTCATCTGAAGCAATCTACAGAAATTAGCACCTGGAAGTATGCTGATGGACATTAGTGTATCGATTTTCCAATTTTGGGTCACTAACTGAGAATCATAAAGGAACAAACCAACTATGAATTTGCTTTTGCTTGAAGAATATCTTCCCAATGCTAGAATTTCTTAATGTAGAGCTCCTGAAGTAGTAATAAGTGTTTATATACGGTGTCGGAGGCGTACATCGGCGCTTTACCAAGCTAGATTTGGTCTATTTCGATTTGGATACTTTTTTGCAGCCACTCCAGATGGCACATCTACACTTCAATCAACTAACGCCTTCAAATTTACTACACAGTAGATATAATACGGAGTATCAGAAGTAATATTAAGAACTGAAGCAATCATAGCAGAGTATTGAGTTATGGAGACCTTGCTAATGCACACCCAACTCGCTACTCTTTAACCAACAAAACTCGTGTGATTGCTCGAGGTTTATGTACATTTGAAGTTTTAGTTGGGGACATCTGGAAGAACCGTTTTTGCTTAAAATGGTCTATTATGAAGGGTACTGCCTATCAAGGATGTTGTGGACCCCAAGCCTGGAATTGTGTCATGCACCTTGTTCGAACAGAACCTTGATAGAAACATCGGTGCGGGTATGATAAGGAACTTGTATCCGTGATGTGAGCATTGTCTATCTGATTTAAATTTATCATCTGCTGCAGACAAATGTCAATTTTATTTAATATCCAGCTCTGCTTCTTCAAACATCTTGAAGATATTCGTCACATCATTCTTCATACTGATGGTTAACTTTACCAAATCCTCATCGGACTTGTTATACATCACGCAGTTGGCAAACATTAACATGATGTCTCTCTCCAATTGCTTAACCAGCTGATATTCAGGGGGCTCTGCTTTCAGTTTGATGTTCTTCAAGATGCCCTTCAAATTTTTGGGCTCGTATATCACATCGTAATAATCATGTGCATCGCGCTTGTTGACCGCTTGAAGGAACGGCGATGAATATCTGTGTGCTTGGATGCTGTTGATGAGATTAACGGCAATATTTTGAAATCTTTTGCGTTGGCCAGAGCTTGAGGTATTTGGGGAACCCGATCTCTTCCTGGCGCTTGTTGGCTCTGGAGTAGATCCTGAGGATTTTAAGCCTTTAGGGGTAGCCGCTGCATCAGAAACTACCTCCTCTTCTTTAACGGCAGTAACTTCTGAATCATGCTCCAGTTTCTCAATAACAACATCATTCTCTACTGCCATGCTTTCCTTCTCCCCTGAACTTTCTCCGTGTGTCACATTTTTAGCATGTGTAGAAACAGCTTGTTCGTTGGACCTATCCTGGTCTTCTGCTGGTTCCTCCACCTCTGGTGCTTCAAGGATCTCGTCATCGTCGCTATCTGCAATTTCAGGCTCATCAGAAACTTCCGGAACTTCGTTTTGCTCCAGTTCATCTATATTTTCTGCTTGTTGTGCTACTTCAGCTATCTCCTCTAGGCTTTCGCTTTCTTCTTCTGGACGAGCCACGATGGTATTATCTTGAGAATCAGACTTCACTTCGAATTTACCGTTCGCATTTTCTGACTCATTTACAAGCTTGTCGTTCGAAGCCGATTCTATGTCCTTAACATCGACATCCAACTCATTGTCTGAAGCAAGTTTCGGACTAGTAACTGATTGTTCATTATCTTCCTTATCGGCTTCAGATTTGCTTTCTTCGTCTTCTTCTTCGTCTTCCTCCTTCTCCTCATCAACCACATCCTCTGCTTCATCTTTCTCCACTTCACGCAGCTTCTGATCTAGTTGCGGTGCTTGAGTCATTTGAAGCGGTTGGACATTACCTAATGTCTTTTTATGTCTGTATTCTTCTCCGATATCATTTATCTGCTTGATTAGCGACTGTGAATGCCTGATGGCAGATTCCAACACAATCTTCTTCATGGTTTCTTCGTATTCTCTTGGCTTTGCCAGAATCACCAAACGGTCGTTCGAAATTTCAACAAAGTTAGAAAACTTGGAGCTATTGATGGTTGAAATCAAATCATGCTTAGATATTCCCTGTTCGTTCTTGTTTGGCGTGAATCTGTTGGTATAGCCCAAAGTCAATGACTGAAGTTCTCTTAGAAATCCCCCTATAGGGATGGTTATTTTGGAATTTTCAGAGTCATCTGCATGCTTTTTAAGACTCTTGTTGATAGCAGCAGCAATAAGTATCACTCCTAGGTCCTGCTTGGAGACGGCGCTGGACGACATGTCTATGGATGGTACTGTTGTGGATGCGGTAGATGAAGTATCACCTGACACGTGATTCAAGTCACGCGAGAAGATCCGGTAGCTGACTTGAATCTGTCTTGTCTGGCTCCCTACAAAGAGTATATCGAGTGTTTATCAAGTATATACAAGGACAAGTGTCCACACTCTATTTAAGTCATCAAAGTTTTGCGTTTGCCGATCCAGTGGCGGCCGCACTTTTGATTCCCAGCCTACCGTCAGGCTAACCCATAGCACAGAAACCGTAACAAGCTTTCCGTGAAGCACAGTACTGTATACCCACAGACAGCCTTAAGATCATCATTAGGGGATCCTAACGTTTTTGCAAGTTTTGCATCAACAAAGCACTAATAGTTAGTAAAGTCCCATTTCCTTCGGGCCTGAAGCCTGTTCTATCCATTTACATACTTTTGCTCTTGGAATCTTTGACCGACACGTTCACTGTGCTTCAAGAACTTCTCGGAACACTTGGAGATACAAGTGGATTCCTTGGTGGTCAAGTTGGCCGAGGTGAAATCATTGACACAGTCATCGAAACATCTGGAAACCAAGTTGGAGTACAAGTTCATGAAATCCTTCATTTGCTTTTGCTCAACGAGCTTTTGGAATTCTTGTTGTTCTTTGACGTTTAATTGATCCATTTTGAAGAGTTGGTGTAGTTTAGTCTAGTTAGTTGCTTCCAAATTTTTCTCGACAAATATGGTGGAGCGGAGATGGCGAGTACACGACAAACAAAAGAGTGAAGAGTTCACCAACAGTGGCGATTTTAAGACCTCATTGAGCATCGAGGAAGCTATATACAGTGATGCTAATGGGCAAAGGTGACATGTGCCTCTTTAGTCTGAGACCTATTGGTCGTAGCATTGCACTCACCACCTGAGTAAGGTGTGAAATTTTGGACCAGTGCGAGGATAAATCAACTCTGCGATGGCAAATTTTGGGACAGAAGCGCTTAGCTTCTAACAAGGGTCGAAAGAACCTGTGGGTTGTTGTGAACAATAACGGGTTTGGGAACATGGAAAAGTTCAGCCCGGTGGTGTTATTTCACTTTTTTGTAGGTGTCATCCATCTCGAATGCAACTGTTTGCAGCAACTACTGTGGGGCCCATCGTAGTTTAACTAACAACTACAAGATTGTGGAACCCGTGGAAATGGAATCACATCTTTGATGTTCTCCATACCTCCTAAGTACGCCAACAAACGTTCGAAACCCAAACCGAAACCTCCATGAGGAACTGATCCGTGAGCTCTAGTGGAAAGGTACCATTCCATATCCTCATGGTTCATTCCCCTAGCCTTCATCTCTGCAAGCAACTCGTCGTAGCGATGCTCCCTAACAGATCCACCAATAAGTTCTCCGATTTCTGGGAGAATCAAATCGTAACATGCTACTGTTGGTCTTTCTGATTCATAGTTCTTTGACTTCGGCATGTAGAAAGGTTTCTCAGATGCTGGATAATCAGTGATAAAAACGGGGGAGTTGAAATGAACACCAGCTAACCATTTTTCGTGAGGAGTTTGGATAGAATCACCCCATTGTAATCTATTTTTCAGTCTACCTTTGTTCATTACCCTGTTGATGATTTCAATGGCTTCAGTGTAGGTAATCGTTGGCCACTCTTTATCCAATATCGAGTCCCATCTAGCTTTGATAATTTTCACATCTTCTCTGCTAAATCTAGAATTTAACAAATCCTCACCAGCTCCATTTCTAAGCTCATTGGTAATGTACTTTACCAATTTTTCAGAAAAGGCAGTAAGCTGGTGAACGTCATCTACGTAGCACATTTCGGCCTCAAGCATCCAAAATTCACTGAGATGACGATTAGTGTTAGAGACCTCTGCTCTGAAGCACGGTGTAAGAGTCCATGCTCTGTTTAAGGATAATGCCAACACTTCGAGATGTAATTGGGTCGAGACTGTGAGATAAGAGGGTTTTCCGAAGAAGTAGTTTTCCTCGGAATCTCCTTTTCCAGAATTGGTTAGCGACTCAACTTTGAATTGTTCACCGGCACCTTCACAATCAGAGCTTGTGATTAATGGTGGTACTACTTTGGTGAAGTCTTGGCTGTTGAAGAAGTCCATGAGTTTGGATTCCACCACTGATCTGAACCGAAGCATGGATCCTAACGTCGCTGTTCTGTGTCTGAATGTGGGAAAGTTACGAAGATGTTGGAAAGTACTCAGCTTCTTCTGGATCGGGTAGTCCTCGCCCACATCACCAATGATCGAGATGGCATGGTCGGGCTCCAGTGGGTTGAAGACCAACTCATAGTCCTGCGATCCTTTGGATTCGATCCAACTGCCTTTGACCGAAATGCTCTGGCCAACCTTGAGCTGGTGTGCTGCCAAAACGTCCAACGGGCTCTTGAACACGACACTCAAGCTGTGTTGGTTCGAACCGTCCGAAAGGTCGATGAACCCGGCATTCTTGGAGTGTCTTATCGATTTGATGTGTCCATTGCACGTAAGAAGAGACGAAGCCGTTGGTGGATTCTCAAGAAGGTGCTTGATAGTAGGGGCCAAGTTTGTACGCGCAGCCGTGTGGAGACTTCGTAACATGATGGGTTGATTGATTTGGCGGTCAATTGGCGATATTTGAGGTGCGAAAATGGTGCAACTGGTAACACTACCAGCCAGAGCAGAATGCTGGCACTACAACTTCACAAGAGCGTAGAGGTCCTGGAAGAGTCCAGGCTACAAAATCCATAAGCCTCGCCACTACCGGCCTGAGATTGAACCGTTCAGAGTAGCGCAAGTCTCTAGTTGGTGGTAATGACGCCATGTGCAGGGTTTTGGTGTAAGCGCTACTTCGAACCAGAACTACCACGGTGCCAGCATTGAAGAGCCACCATCACGATGCATTCCCACCATTCACACTCTGGGACCTACGTTTCCCATGCGGTGGACTCTCTTGATGATATTGTGGAAAAAGCAGCTGCGATAGGCTTTAAGATCTTCTGCTTGACAGAGCACATGCCCCGACTCAACAACCAGTTCCTCTACCCCGAAGAACTTGAGAAAAGCTACACCACCGCCAACCTCAGTTCTAACTTCACCAACTACCTCCAACACGCCCAGAAGCTCCAGTCACACTACAATGCTGGAACCGAACTCAAGATCTTGATTGGATTTGAGGTGGAGGGCATAGATTTGGAGCACATTCAATACTCCCAAAGCATCCTCGACCAGAATCCGTGTATCAACATGACGGTGGGATCTGTGCATTACGTCCATCTGGTGCCAATTGACTTTTCTGCTGAACAGTGGCTCGAAGCACGTACCAAGACCAAGGAAAACACCACCAGGGCCTTGTACAGAGACTATTTTGATCTTCAGTACCAGGTGATTTCGACCTTGAAGCCTTTGGTGATAGGACACTTCGACTTGATCCGCTTGTTCGAGCCCATTGATGAAATAGATCCAACAACCGGAAAACAATTGGCAGAGATCAATATCGAAAACGATTGGCCCGATGTGTGGCAACTGGTTGTCCGCAACATTGAGTTCGTGGGGTCATATGGAGGCTTGTTTGAGCTCAACTCAGCAGCCATAAGAAAGGGCTGGAGTGGACCCTACCCCAAGCAAGATATGTGCGAAGCCATTAAGAAGTATGGAGGTGGTAGATTCTGCTTATCTGACGATTCACATGGTTTGAAACAGATAGGCTTGAATTTTAAGAAGACTTGGACGTATGTGATGGATGTTCTTCATTTGGAATATATATATAACTTGGATCTCGAAAATGGCAAGACAATTGTGGTCAAGAACAAGGTGGAGGATTTGAACAAGGAACCGTTTTTCAAATAACCAAGTTCAACTCAATGACGACTGGACTTCTATGGCCAATTAATGAAGCAATTTCCTGCTTAATATTCTTTTGCAAGTATACACCTGACCGTATATAACCTACGAGCAGTAATTAATTCACAATTTAGAGGAGGATCACGCTACGACTTCTACAAAGTCAGTTCCAATAATGTAATTATTAACAACTATCGTTGGTTGCTCTTGTTCTATTTACCTAATAAGATCTACCAAACATACACCAGTTGACGGCAACCTTATCACATCTCACACACTTTTGTCCTGGTTTCAATTCTCTTTGTTCGTTTGGAATACACAAGGACTTAGCACCCATAGATGGAGATTTGTCATCAACTTCCTCATCTTCACCGTTGTCCTTCTTGGCAGAAGAATCCTTGATGTCATCTTCACACTCAGGAACACCACACCATGGGGCAACGATAACGTTCTTGGCATTCAAAGCTGGAACGAAATCCTTCCACTCTTCAACAATAACACGGTGTTCGTCGAAGTCCTTACGGGCCTTCTCCAATAATCCCTTTTGCATTTCTTCCAAAATTTCTGGAATACGGGATTCCAAGTCAGCCAACTTGACGACGTACTTGGCATTATTGTCACGTCTGACAACGGTGACTTGTTCCTCCTTCAAGTCCTTTGGACCGAATTCCAAACGGATTGGAATACCCTTCAATTCAGAGTCAGCAAACTTCCAACCTGGAGAATAGATATCTCTGTAGTCACCAGTGGCTCTGACGTTGATAGCTCTCAATCTCTGTTCAATATCAACGGCACCATCGTTGATGGCCTTTCTGGCCTCATCGGTGGTCTTACTGGTCAAACCGACTGGAATGACGACAGCCTGGGTTTGAGCGACTCTTGGGGGCAAAACCAAACCTCTGTTGTCAGAGTGAGTCATGACCATGACACCAATGACACGGGTAGACAAACCCCAGGAGTTTTGGAACGCAAAGACTCTAGGCTTGTCAGAACCATCTGGGTTTTCCACAGAAATGTTAAACATCTTGGAGAAGTTGGTACCTAAGTGATGGGAAGTGGCACCTTGAATACCTCTACCGGTAGCAGCAATGAAACCTTCGACGGTGGTGGTGTAGTCACCACCTGCAAACTTTTCATTTTCGGTCTTTCTACCCTTGACAACTGGAACAGCCAACAATTCTTCGTAAATTCCGGAGTACAAGTCCAAGATTTGGTCAACTTCTTCAGCAGCAGCTTCACGAGTCAAGTGTGCAGTGTGGCCTTCTTGCCACAAGAACTCTCGGGTTCTCAAAAATGGTTGTGGGTGCTTGAATTCCCATCTGACGACAGAGTTCCATTGGTTCAACTTCAATGGCAAGTCTCTGTGAGATCTGATCCACTTGGAGTAGTATGGGTACATGACGGTTTCTGAGGTTGGTCTGATAGCAATGTGTTCATCCAATTCAGAGCTACCAGCACGGGTGACCCAGGCAACTTCTGGAGCAAAACCTTCAATGTGATCTTTTTCCTTTTCCAAAACTCTGGAAGAAACAAACATAGGGAAGTAGGAGTTTTGGACACCCATCTTCTTTATACGTTCGTTGAACCAGTTTTGAATTTCTTCCCACACAGCGTATGAGTTTGGTCTCAAGATGTAACAACCGGAGACATCGTAGTAGTCCAACATTTCACCCTTGACGACGACTTGTGAGTACCAGGTGGAGAAATCCTTTGCCTTATCGACAGTAATACCGATGAGCTTAGCGTCATCAAGCTTGGCGGCTTCCTTTTCCTTTTTCAAGGCATCCTTCTTGGACTTCTGTGGAGCGGCAGCAGCGGGGGCAGCGACTTCGGCAGAGAAGTCAACAGGAATAAGTTCGATACCGGTGGACTTCAAGAACTCAACAATAGTGGTGGCTGGGAGAGCGGCTTTGGCAGACTCAGTAGACAATTCAAGAACCAAGTTTTCGTCACCTTTGAAAATACTTTCATCGATAACGATCTTGATCTTGCCAGCCAAATCTTTGTTCAAGTTGGCAACAGAGAATTCCTTAGGGGTAGTGGAGAAGAACTCTTGAACCAAGTCTTCCTTGGCCAATCTTGGTTCCTTCACACCAGCTGCGCTGGCGATGTGAGGCGAAGGAGTTTGGGTGGATTGCAATGCAAAAACAACCACTGGGACTGGAGCCGCAGTCTTGGCGGTTTTTGGCTTGAAAACCAAAGTTTTGGTTGGAGTGGCAGACTCAGCGGTCACGGTAGCCAAAGATAAGGCAGCCAAAGATTGTTCTAATGCCATGGTGACGAATGGTGGGTGTGTTCTGGTGAAATTTAATCAAGTGGACGAACCTGTAATGTGAGAAGAGGTCCCGTAGCGTGATGTTGCAGATTAGGTCCGACATGGCCACGCGACCCCACCAAGATCGGTAGCCACTTACAGGTTAGGGCTACAGATTGCAAAAGAGTCACAGTGCCCTAAGCGAAAGGGCTGATAAAGACCGCCTTAATGTACACTTGCGCCTGTTAGACATAAAGTCATGAATACCTGTCATTTGGGATGACTAATACCCGGTGACTGATTCGAGGAGGCTTCGTTGCTTTCACTTTCGTTACTCCAAGCCCAGTGCTGGATGTTACGCAAGTGCTCCCCACGCGTAAACAACAGTCTGCTGATACGACAATTTTTTCCAACTTGACTCATTATTTTACCAACAAGTACTAATAAGCACTTGATATCCCTTCTGAACACGATCAAGATGTCTCAAGTCTACGTCAACGAGAAGGCAGGTACTGATACCGCCACCACAGCCGGAACTGAGCAACAGCCATTCCAAACTGCTGCATATGCCCTCTTTTCACAACCAGAAGCCAAGGTTTTGATCCACAAACAACTCGAAGAAAGTGAGGAATTCGGATATGTCGAGATCTCTGCCTCTGCATTGAAGAAGGCCAAGAAGGGTGCCGAAGGCTTGAAGAAGAAACTTGAAAAGCAAGCCAAATTAGACGAGCAATCCAAGCAAAAGGAAGAAGAAAACTCCAAGAAACTTGCCGAATTGGAATTGATTAAAATTGTCGAAGATGAGTCCTTACCAGAAGCCAAGAAGATCAAGTTGAGATCTGTTCAAGAAAACATAGATACAAGAGTCGCCGTGCAAGGTTGGATCCATCGTTTGAGAATCCAAAAGGGATTTGCATTCATCACCTTAAGAGATGGTAGCGGATACATCCAAGCCGTTTTAACCGGTGATTTGGCCAAGGCCAAGTCTACCCAAGAATTGACTTTGGAATCCACCGTCATTATCAAGGGTGTCATCAACAAATTGCCAGAAGGAAAGACCGCGCCAGGTGGTGTCGAATTAAAGGCAGACTTCTACAAGATTGTCGGCTTAGCCCCAGGTGGCGAAGAAGCATTCTCGAACAAGGTCCAAGAAAAGGCTGATCCATCGTTATTGTTGGACCAACGTCACTTGGCTTTGAGAGGTGAAACCTTATCTGCCGTTATGAAGGTCAGAGCAAGCTTGTTGAAGGCTGTCAGAAGAGTCTACGATGAAGAAGGATTCACTGAAGTGACTCCACCATGTATGGTTCAAACTCAAGTTGAAGGTGGCTCCACATTGTTCAAGATGGATTACTACGGTGAAGAAGCTTTCTTGACCCAATCTTCTCAATTATACTTGGAAACCTGTTTGCCATCTTTGGGTGACGTCTACTGTATCCAAGAATCTTTCAGAGCCGAAAAGTCCCACACTAGAAGACATTTAAGTGAATACACCCACATTGAGAGTGAAATGGGATTCCTCGAATTCGACGACATGTTGGCTCACATCGAGAAACTTATTACCAAGACTGTTCAGTACGTTCTTGAGGACCCAGTCTCCGGTCCATTGATCAAGCAGTTGAACCCAGACTTTGTTCCACCATCAATGCCATTCAGAAGAATGGAATATATCCACGCCTTGGACTGGTTGAACGAACACGGCATTCCAAACGAAGATGGTGAAAAGTTCAAGTTCGGTGACGATATTGCCGAAGCTGCTGAACGTAAGATGACCGATGCTATTGGTGAACCAATCTTGTTGATCCGTTTCCCTGTCGAAATCAAGTCCTTCTACATGCAAAAGTGCTCTGACGACCCAAGAGTCACTGAGTCTGTTGATGTGTTGATGCCAAATGTTGGTGAAATTACCGGTGGTTCTATGAGAACTTACGACCACGACGAATTGGTTGCTGCTATGAAGAGAGAAAAGTTGGACATCGATGCTTACTACTGGTTCATTGACCAAAGAAAATACGGTACCTGTCCACACGGTGGTTACGGTTTGGGTACCGAGAGAATCTTGGCCTGGTTATGTGACAGATTCACTGTCAGGGACTGTTCCTTGTACCCAAGATTTACTGGCAGATGTAAGCCATGAGGAATGGTGAGTTCATGTATATCATATTACATATTCAATAATGTATCAATAGAGACACGTAAGAGGAAATTGTAAACCAAACCAGTTCCTATTCACAGAAGTGAAGTAAACTGGACTTATCTTGAAGGGAAGTAATGGCTGTTTTAACTCACTCGCTTCTCAAATAGGACAAGATTGCAGTTATTTGTCAATCAGGTCGTGTCCAAACTGAAAAATCCACGCCTATTGCTGGTTATGAGACCAGATAAGTAACTTGATGGTGTCAGATACTTCAGTTGGAGGCAGAATTATGGGGAAGTAAGTAACCAAAATCAAGCCTAATCGGCAAGTTATAGATTCTTCTTTTATGTCGGGCCCTTTTCCAACTGATACCCACACCTGGAGTCCACCCGTCATGAGTCACCTGCAGTCCCATCCTAATTAGGCAACTGCCAATGAAAAATTCGTTAAGCGCGGTGATGAATCATTCTATCGGGATTTCCACTATAAAAACTCCCATCTTTTCTACTCCTCTTTTTTACCATCATACAACAATGTCACAACCAACTGAAAACAGATTATGGGGAGGTAGATTTACCGGAGCCTCCGATCCTTTAATGGACTTATACAATGCCTCCTTGCCATACGACAAGAGAATGTACGAGGCAGACTTGACTGGTACCAAGGTGTACACTCAGGGTTTGCAGAAGATTGGCTTGTTAACTACTGAAGAATTGTCTGCTATCCACACTGGATTGGAACAGATCAAGAAGGAGTGGGAGTCTGATACCTTTGTTGAAAAGCCAGGGGATGAAGACATCCACACTGCTAACGAGAGAAGATTGGGAGAAATAATCGGTAAGCACATTGCTGGTAAAGTCCATACTGGTAGATCCAGAAATGACCAAGTTGCTACTGATATGAGAATCTATGTTCGTGAAAACTTGACCAAAGTTCTCGAGATTTTGAGCCAATTTATCAACACCATTCTCAAGAGAGCCACTCAAGAAATCGATGTGTTGATGCCAGGTTACACCCATTTGCAAAGAGCCCAGCCTATCAGATGGTCCCACTGGTTATCTTCCTATGCTACTTATTTCACTGAGGACTACAAGCGTTTGAAGCAAATCTTGGAAAGAGTCAACCAAAGTCCTTTGGGGGCTGGTGCTTTGGCTGGCCACCCTTACGGCATAGATAGAGATTTCTTGGCCAGCGGATTGGGATTCGACTCTGTTATCGGTAATTCTTTAACTGCTGTCAGTGACAGAGACTTCGTTGTCGAAACCTTGTTCTGGTCCACCCTCTTCATGAACCACATCTCCAGATTTTCTGAAGATTTGATCATATATTCTACTGCCGAATTTGGATTTGTCAAGTTGGCCGATGCTTACTCTACCGGTTCTTCTTTAATGCCTCAAAAAAAAAACCCTGATTCTTTGGAATTATTGAGAGGAAAATCAGGTAGAGTTTTCGGTGCATTGTCCGGATTTTTGATGTCGTTGAAGTCCATCCCATCCACTTACAACAAGGACATGCAGGAAGACAAAGAACCATTATTTGATGCTTTAACCACTATTGAGCACTCCATTTTAATTGCTACAGGTGTGATCTCTACCTTGTCTATCAACAAGGAAAAGATGGAAGGTGCTTTAACCATGGATATGTTGGCTACCGATTTGGCCGACTACTTAGTCAGAAAGGGTGTTCCATTCAGAGAAACTCACCACATCTCCGGCGAATGTGTCAGAGTTGCCGAAGACTTGAAGTTGGAAGGTATTGATAAGTTGAGTTACGAGCAACTCAAAAAGATCGACGAAAGATTCAACGAAGATGTCAAGGATGTGTTCAACTTCGAGGTCAGTGTAGAAAGAAGAACTGCTCTTGGGGGTACTGCTAAGAGTGCTGTCTTAAAACAGTTGAGTGAACTCGAAAAGACCGTCAGTCAATAGGCAACTGACACCTGGGTGTCTGTCTGAAATGATTCTATTAGGAAATTAGATTGTTTAGACAGAAGATATATATACTCGATATAATACGGTAATTTACTAAGATCGTGGCATTCTTATGTGTACTATATGGGTGTCTATAGTGTACTTTTGATCTATTCTAAGTGTCCCTGTTTCTCCTTTTACTCTTTTGAAGTGAGCGAGAGATCACTTTTTGCTTTCATTTCCAGCATTGAGCACCCACTATACGTGGGATTGTGCTCCTTCTTGCCTGTACTTTGACCAGATCTCTTTTCATAATCGTCCCCATTGCGATAGTTTGCTGTCAAAAACTCCTTCAAGCTCATTATTTCCGAATCTTCACAGGCACTGTGCTCATCTGATGAGTAGAACTCTAAAGTTACTTGAGGAATTCTCGAATTGTTGTTCTTAAGTGAATCTGATATATGTCCATATGAATGAAAACCAAATTGATTATTGTTGAAAGGCGAAGCGACAGACCAGTAAGGATCAGGATGAAGCAGGAACTGGTGGTTATCTTGGTGGGGACTAGGGCTTTCTTGCTCGAGTTTTCTCTGGAAGTTCTTGGAGGCTTCAGTGACCAAGTCCAAATCAATCATATGTGACAAGCCGCCATACACTGAGACTGGAGATTCATGGGGAGAATGGTTGAGGAGACTGATATTGGAATAGTTCATACTAGTATTTTCGTCCAAGTCGAGGGATCGTGGCCACTTTTCTCTAGAATGACACAGGGAGTATTTCTGAACACTGTCCTTGTGATACCAGCAGTAGCTATACTCTGGCTCTCCGCTCATAGTTGTGAAGTCTGAACTGCTGGGATTACGTCAAATTTATACAAATATGTGGGGCAGGTGAGGAACGTTTTGTGATCATTACAGACAGATGCTCTGGTACGATATTTTGAGGCAAAAGCACGCTTGCACCACCCATTTTGCTCCTAAAAGCCTCAAACCGTTCCTGCCCCAGTTAGAATCTGTCTTGCTAGCTTGGCCCCACAAATCGGTGGACGAATCGAGAATTCCGCCTTCTGCGACGTGCATAAATTCGCAGCCGCGCGCAGATGGAGATCAAGCCTCACCACAGGAAGTACCACCATTCCAAGGATCTAGATGTCAGTAAAACCCATTTAGGAGAAGACTAGCTTTGGGAGTTGCGGACTAATGCACGCAGGTATGCAGTTCGACTAAAGAGGGTCTCGACACGAACACTCTGACACGATGTGTCAGAAGAAGATCAGTGGGTAGGGAACGTAAGCAAATACCCAAACAACACCCAGCTCCATCACTTCTAGACCGTTTCCAGATCTAGCCAAACCTGGGGCGTCATCTGGGGTGCCAAGTGGCACTTTTGCCAGATGCCCCGGACCAAATATGTGGTACTGTCCTGTCTGCAGGACGATAATTGCAGCATGCTCCACTGATTTACCACATTCACAATACACATTTGGCAGCACTTCTTCTTCAAGATGACCCATTACGCCACTATCCACACCACATTGGCGAATGCTGCAATTCAGCTCCTAAGAGCTAGGGACTCCCCCGACTCCATTGATCCCCAAACTTTGGAGCTGCTATATGCCTCTGTCTACCGAGTTTTAGACACGATTCCGCTGAAACATAGGTTTAAAGTTGAGCTCGATCTCATTTCTCCACTCACCTCGGTATTGGATTTCTACAGCACTTCCGGAACCACCTTTGCCTCCTCTAGGCTCAAGCACCTCTTAATCGCTACAGTCTGGCTTTCGCTCACAAATGCCAATGTTCTCCGGCACACAGTTCCTGTATTTCCAGCTTTGCTTGCCTTGGGTAAGGTTTGCCAAAGCCTGGTGGGGGTAATCTCAGAAGAACCAGATATGTTGTATGTAACATACACCTTGCATGCAGACCACCACCGTGTGGGTGCGGAGATCGGTGAAACCCTTTTGTCCCGATTTAGCAACACGGCATTGAAAATAGAAGAGCTTTTTGTCCAGCTTGACACCTACAAGTCTACACATAGTAGCAGTCTTCTTTTCGAGAGCTTGAGCGGCATCTTGCTTCTCTTGATCAATGAGGACCTGGAAATTTGCACCCTAATGCTCGTGCAACATCCCAGATTTCCTGAGCTCACCAGAATGCACGAAGATGAAATGACCTCAGCCAACCAAAAACTACTTTTGAAGATTCTCGATGTTGTGGCACGGATATTGATACCTAAATATAGCCTGGTTTTTGAGTTCTTCAGTTCAACCATTCCTAGCAGCAATGTGCTTTTCATAAAGGATTATTCGCCTGAAAATCCTGATTTGCTAAAATCGTGTGTTCTTTGCATTCTAGAACTTTTGGACCATGGCACCACAATTCAATACTTGAAATCAAGGAATCTAGTTACTTCTCTATTTCTGGCATTAAGGACCTTGAGGGTACTGTCTAGACTCGCACTTCACACTGAGTATAATCGACGCAGTTCGAAAGTGTCTTTTGGAGCTGGCTTGATCTATCTAAACTATCTAATATGCATTAATCTCATGAACCAAGAAGAAATTAAGGGCATGGCTAATCTATCCACTCCTTTTAAGAAGTTTAGTCTAGCACCTTTGCCAAAGAGCGCTGAATTCGTCCAAGATTCGTCTACAGAAGACAGTTTTGGTTTAGATGTCACTCACCTGGAATCGAAACTTCGCCGGCAAAATCTTTGGATCTGTCTATTGCTCAATCTTGAAATCCTACTGGATATTATTGAGGACGAACTTAGAATGTCCCAGTACATTTGCGGAAAAGCTTCCCAGTCACTTCAAAAGAAGTTACTTTTCCAACGCATTGATATGGTATTGGCCACACTAATTACCACATTGATCCTCGCGAAGGATAATAAAAAGAACAGTTATCTCGCTCAAGTGGTTAGTAATACCACAATAGGGGTGATCAATCAGATTCTCAATTTGAGCTTGGAAAAACTCGAAAAGTCATTAGTATGGGTTTGCTTGATCAATTTCGCCAATGATCTATGCTACTCTGATCTCAAACATTTACAGATGTTTCATGATCTCTTTGAAAGTTTGATTAAGAAGGACGAATCTGTCTTGAATGACAGTTTGATCAGAAGTGGTCTTGAATTCTTCCAAACTACCTTTGATCATAGTGCTGAAATTGTGGAGACAAAGCTAGTACCCTTGAGACTACAGGACTTCAACTTCTTGTATGAAACTAAAAACAAATCTAAAGATGCTGAAGATAGTTCTCCAAAGGAGGACACAAACTTGCGGAACACTTATGTCACTAATTCGGCCAGAAAACAGAGTGTGCATATAGACCAGTTCGGGAGATGAACCACGAAGTCTAACGTATTCTGGATTAGTTTTTTGGCGGGGATGGCCCTTATATATTCAATTGCTAGTAATAAATCTGCTTCTGCATTTCCTGCTGCTTGTCGCAGCCATCAGTGCTACACCCAAAATTCACGTGATCCAAAAAAATTAAGCTCATCCCAAAAATGAGATGCAAACCATTGACCTCATCTCGTCATCATGGTGTTAAAATCTACGTCTGCTGGAAATGTGTCGGTGTACCAAGTCGCCGGTACTAATGTATCCAGAGCCTTGCCCGACTGGATTGCAAAGAAAAGAAAGAGAGCATTAAAGAACGACGTGGAGTACCAAAATAGAATCGAACTTATTCAAGATTTTGAATTCAGTGAAGCATCCAACAAGATCAAAGTATCTCCAGATGGTCAGTTTGCCATGGCTACAGGTACTTATAAGCCTCAAATTCATGTTTACGATTTTGCAAATTTGTCTTTGAAATTTGATAGGCATACTGACTGTGAAAATGTTGACTTCATAGTGTTATCCAACGACTGGACTAAGTCCGTTCACTTGCAGAACGATAGGTCTATCGAGTTCCATACCAAGGGAGGTATTCATTATAGATCCAGAATCCCAAAGTTTGGTAGAAGCATAGCATACAACTCCTCCAACTGTGACTTATTGATTGGAGCATCCGGAAATGAATTATACAGATTGAACTTGGATCAAGGTAGATTCTTGAACCCTTATGTTCTTGACACTGAAGAGGGAGTGAACTCTGTGGATATTAACTCTGTGCATGGATTAATTTCTGCAGGCTTGGAAGACGGTACGGTGGAGTTCTGGGACCCCAGAAGTAGACACCGGGCTGCCAAGCTTCACGTGGCCGATGTCTTGGGAGAGAATACCCAAGTAACCCAAGTAAAATTCAGAAATGATGGGTTAAACTTCGCATGTGGTACCTCAAGTGGTAAGTCACTCATCTACGATTTGAGAAATTCTACTCCATCTATTGTAAAGGACCAAGGGTACGGCTTCGAAATCAAAAAGATCTTGTGGTTGGATGAAAATAAGTCGGATTCAAATAAGATCTTGACATCTGATAAAAGAATCGCCAAGATTTGGGATAGAAATGATGGTAAGCCTTTTGCTTCAATGGAACCAAGTGTTGATATCAATGATGTCGAATATATAAAGGAGTCAGGAATGTTCTTCATGGCCAATGAGGGTATGCCAATGCACACATACTACATCCCCGATCTCGGTCCTTCTCCAAAGTGGTGTTCATTCTTAGACAATGTTACCGAAGAATTGGAAGAAAGACCATCGGATACCGTTTACTCCAACTATAGATTCATTACCAGAGATGAAGTTGCCAAATTGAACTTGGCTCATTTGGTGGGCTCCAAGGTCTTGAGATCCTACATGCATGGTTTCTTTATAGATACCGAGTTATACGATAAGGTTAACTTAATTGCCAATCCTAACTCCTACCGTGATCAAAGAGAAAGAGACATCAAGAAGCAAATTGAGAAAGAAAGAGAATCCAGAATCAGATCCACTGGTGCTGTTACCAACACTAAGATTAAGGTCAACAAGGACTTGGCAACCAAGATTCAATCGAAGTCTGGTGATTCTGTTGCTGAAGGTATTATTAATGATGATCGTTTCAGTGAAATGTTCTCCAACCCAGATTTTGCTATTGATGAACAATCTCACGAATATAAACAACTTAATCCTGTTCAATCCACTAAAGATATTACAACTGATAGACCTAGAGGGTTAACGGCAGCTGAAGAATCTGACGAAGAAAGAATGAGAGGTGACAATGCCAGCGAATCCGAGGATTCCGAAGAAGAGTCTGAGGAGGAAGACCAAGAGTCCAAGGCTCAAAAGAACCAAAGGGTCCAAAAGGAAATGGAAAGATTGCGCAGAAAGAAGCAAGAAGAGGCTGACGCAAAGAAATTTATGAATGAAATGAAGGTCAGAACTGAAGAAGAACCACATCAAAAACAATCAGAATCCTTTGGAAGTCAAGTCAAGAAAATTAACAAGATTTCCAAGGACAGAAATGACGGTTCCAGATTGCGTCGTCACGCTAGAGGAGAGGCTGAATTGACCTTTATCCCTAAGAAAGAACAAAAGAAGAAGGAGGTCAAGTTCAGAGCCGATGACGACGAAGATCCAGAGAGGGCCCAGAACAGTGGTAGAACCAAGCAAAGATTCCAAGGACGTAGAACTGCTTCGAAGAACTCTTTCCGTGGAATGTAATCCCCTGGGTTGTAAGATAGCACTTATGAGAGAACTTCAAATAGAATTAATATTATTACGATGGAAGTGGTAGTAGCAGTAAATTTAATAATACAAGAAGAGTATAATAATACTTCACATAACATTGTTATGTACTGTCTGCTATCGTAAGTACTTTGATGAATGGTTCCCATACATTTTATCATTTTGAATCGCCTAAAATGTTCAATATTTCTGGCAGAATATTGCTAAGGCTTCCAAATAGATAGTATAAGAGTACAATATATTTGATTCATAATCTGATTTGACCTAACAGAAGATTATTGACTAATTTCAGAATTCTTAGTACCTTTCTATTATTTTAATGAAGATAGAAAATGTGACTTTCAATTAGCGAATGATACGAGAGCACTTGCTGGTTTCGACAATCGGTAATGTAAGCGTAATTGCATTAACCGTGCAGTTGCATATATGATCACGTGTCAAATTCAACGTGATCGCACATCGCATCAGATAACTGATGGTGTACGGCAACTCCATATCCACTAGTACCAATGTCCCGGAATAAGGAGAAAGCTCAGGCTTCTCTTAACAGGTTTCACGATCAGAAAGCTAAGGAGGCTGGTGTGCTTGAGTCCAATCCTAATCTCAGACCCAAATATGTCCAATCAGTGGACTCACTTCCCCAAGCAGAGAAGTGGAGATCAACAATAATAAGTGAAATTTCCACTAGACTCACGTGGATCCAAGATCCTGATGCAACAGATGCAGAGCTTAGGGAATTGAATGACACGATAAACAAACTTTTTAATGAGAAAAGAGCCTGGGAATACCACATCAAGTCATTGGGAGGAAATGACTATTTGAATTTTGGCAAAAATTTGAGTAGCACGGGACTTTTGACCAACGTGGATTTGAGTGGTGCTACTTCAAGGGGATATAGATACTTTGGTAGAGCAAAGGAGCTTCCAGATGTCAAGAAATTATTAGAGACCAAAGCCGGTACAAAACCCAAGCCAGAAAAGAAAGAAACGAAGAAAGAGATAGAAGATCTCGAATACTATGGAGTGTATGACGAGAAAAATAGAAGGGTTCCATTAGTTAGCCAAGAGGAAGTTGATTTGATGAAGAGTATAGCGGCGGAGTTGGGTGAAGAATTGGAAGGAGTAGAAGAGTTAATTTGGGAGGACCAAAACAATGACAACGATGATCCATTGCTAGCATTTGAAAAAGCAAGAAGTATAGATCTTCTCAAGGAGTTGAAGTTGGAAAAGAAGGGTGACTACAACGGAGGTCTTCCGGATTTTTCAAAAGTGGTTCCTGGAAATGACGAAGTACAAAAATGGCTAGTTGAAAAGAAAAGAAAGGAATTGTTGGAAAAGCTTGGACTTGCTAGTACGAGCTAGGCAGGAATAAGATCATCTCAACCACTCTGAAGAGAGCCAACAAACGCCAAACATAATAGTTCTCCTGACAAAGGCGTAAAACAGCACATTTTGGAGTTACCCCAAGTTTGATTTACACAGGATTCCGGCTGGCCTAAGGTAAAGACAATAAGCTAGAACAGCGAAAATCTTGACTCTGATCCACGAGTCTTCGTTAATTCGCAATAAGCACAGAGTAACTTTCCAGCACCTGGTTCCTGATCGGTGTACTGGTGTACTGACGGGAAGATGTAATCCCCGGTTCGATGCGCAAGTAAATATCATAGCATGCCAATGTCATAACGGCACTCAGTCAATAATAACGCAATAAAGACATATGGAATATTATTTAGCAGGAGGATTTTCCAATCATTACAGTAGTGAATGATAACAACAAGAAATTAGCTATGCTTTGAGTGGTTTGTCAACTCGCTCAATGTGATTAGGCGTACTCCGCCCTCCTTGTATAATGCATCGGTATCACTGTCGTTGTTGGGATACACACTTCTACAGCAGTCCCGAACAACGGAGGTGTTGAAGCCCAATTTGGAAGAGTCGATTGCCGAGTTCAACACGCAAAAGTCGTAGGCCAAACCAACCATTACTACGTCAGTGATGTCGTTGGCCTTCAAAAACTGCCCAAGCTCGGTGTGGTGGATCCCCCACACGTCTTGGAAGCATGAGTAGTATTCTCTATCTGTGAGGTACCCCTTCTTGATAATGGCCTTTGGGATGTCTGTGATCAGATTGAAATGGCCCGCAAACAGGGCCTCGAGGTCGGAACCATGGGTGTCCTGCACGCAATGGTCTGGCCAGGTAGTTTGGGTCCGAATATAGGCATTGCCAGTTGTCTTGTCCAACTCGCCTAGGGGATGACTGAATTCGATCTCTGTGAATGGAGGCACGTTGTGATGGGAAGAAAACGATGTATGGTCTTTGGGGTGCCAGTCCTGGGTGGCTACTACCACGGACCATTGGTAGTTGGATACGAGCTCGTTTATTGAGGAAACAACGCTACGCCCATCTGATACTGCCAATGCCCCATCTGGAGGGAGGAAGTCCTCCTGGATATCAATAATAATGAGAGCTGGAGGCATGATGGGTGGAGTGAGATGCGGCTGATTTGATGCCGTTGAGGGGCAAACATGCATACTAAGTGCAGTACGACCTGCATATGAATGTAAGAGCTAGTGGTGACAGCTATGCAGTGACAAAACCTTTCAAGAAAAATCCGATATAGTGTAACGGCTAGCACGGTTCGCTTTCACCGAGCAGACCCGGGTTCGACTCCCGGTATCGGAACTTCTTTTTTGCACCCACTTCCTATTTGCTATGACATCTGTATCACCCCCCTCAAATGACAAGTGTATTGTTGTTTCCGGTTAACGCATTGCGTTTGTGAAGGCAACACTTTTCTTACTGCTACTCTTTATTGTGGTTACTAGGAGATTGCCCAAGCGTTTTCTGTCAGTTGATCTAAGCCGGCAAAACAGCCACCTTTGCTACATGCAAAACTTAGGTGTGTCATTTCTATAACTATATTACTATAAATATTCTATTTACTACTATATTGATCAATCTACTTCTCTTTTCCCCAAAACTAACACGGAAACTAACACGGAAACTAACACGGAAACTAACACTTAATCTGAACCGATTGTTCTTTGTATAGCACCCTTTTCTTACCTTTTTTGTTCTCGCCAATCTCGTTCCAGAGGACCATGGCAGTCAAATACTCACCTTTATCGCACCCTGTGTCTATGCCCTTGGTGAACTTCTTCAAGCTCAAGCTTCTTCTGGCATCATGGCCGTAGTACACCGCAAGGGTATCTTCTGATTCCTTTTCTTTCTGTTTCATATTAAAGATCTTGGACCAGGACACGGCGTTATCTTCGAATGGGTCGTCTGTTGTCTTATTGTAGAAGGGGCCGATGTAAGACCTCATCTCCAAGTTTTCGATTGGGTCCTGGTCGTTAAGTTCCAAGTCCCATCTTAATCCGGCGTGCACAGCCACGCCCTCGGTAGATCTTGGTCCACCTTCGTTCTTTGTTTTGTGGAGTGGCACCTTTCCCAAAGTTTTAATGATGGAACACTTATTGATGTACTTAACTTGGTCAGGCACCAATCTCTTTGCCAACAAGAACTCAGGATCATCGTTAAACCCAGAGTTGGACATGGCCATGCTGGTGAATGTGCCAGTTTCGTTATCGTGGAAGAATGGCGCACGCAAACTGTGGTATTGGGCATAGTAACGCAACACATACAATTCGTGGTTGCCCATGATGCAGTCGATGTCATTTTCGATCAAAAAGTCCAAGACCTTCTTGGAGTCTGGACCCTTGGTGATGAAATCCCCCAATACCAACACATGGTCTTTGGAGGGGTTGTAGTGGAGCTTCTTCAACAACTTCATGAACTCCGAGTAGTGGCCATGAATATCACCAATCATGATGAGACGTTCCACCCCAGGGACTTCCTTGCTAGGTCTAGAGGTCAACTGCTCGGCGTAATTGTCATCGTCTTCCGAGTCCTCGCTTTCGTCTTGGTCAATGGCCCCAGCCACACCTGACCAATCTCCCAACCCCAATTCCTCAACACGGGTCCTAGTCAATGGCTCTAGTCTCACACCTAGTTCACTTACCTTGGAAATAGCCTCCAAAGGAACTGCTTCTGGGATGAACTTGCCTGGCAAAAATACACAGAGCAACCAGAGGGTGGCAGCCGCCACAATCACACCAGCGGTGGAGAGGATGATCTTGGCCCGCTTGCTCAAGCTGAACTCTTCATAGTCGTCCTTGTAAATAAGAGGAGTACTTTCGGACATCAATGGCAAATCAGTGATGATTTCAAGTGTGAACCTCCCTCCATCTTATACTCCACACGACTAGACGATATACATCGCATACATGCCAGCCGTGCAGCACGTGCGCTAATAGAAGGTGAACTAGCCCGCAGGTGGAGCAGCTACTAATGCACACAAAGGCACTGTAGGGGCCTCGGATCGGACGGAATTGCCTCCCGTGTAGCTGATGCTAGTGGGGCAATGCTTGTGGCGATGATGTACCGCGTAGCAGTTGGCCCATCTTCCATCACTACAACCACAATAATAAAACCATAACCTGCAGGGTACGATCCCTGCAACATATATTGAACACCAAAATAAAAATAATGACGGGACTAGCCTGCTCTCATAATAATTGAAATTAGACCTAATAGGCGGTTCAAATAAAGGCTAAAACTACCAAGTCTAGCCTCCTCCCATGCCCTCCTCTCTGGTGACCTCCTTCTGGATGACCACCTCTTTGCGTAACAAACCTCTCAATTCCTCACCAATTTCGATGATTCCATCGTTGGTCACACTAGCTCGAGTGTGATCCACCTTTTTCAAAGAATTCTCGCGGTCAATAATATCGATCATTCTCTTGAACTTCAAAAATAAGAGCTCACTCCGGATCAACAACGGATTCAAATGTAACTTCATGCTCAAGTCGTTCATGTACTTCAATACCTCGTCAAAACGAGTCAAGTTTTGCACGATAATTCTCTCATTGTCACTCAAAATGGCCAATGCAAAGAACAAATGGTGCTGACTTGTGTAGTAATCTGTCCATAAGATCTCCCATAATCGCAATACTTGGTCCCACTCCAATTCGCGTTTGAACCAGACCAAGAGCATCCGGAAGAAAAAGAAAAGGTCAATGGATTCACATTTTTCCAAGTGTTTGTACAAGTTGGGCAACATGAATTGCAAAAGCTTGTTCAAGGTCGTCATTTGCTTCTTCATACCCGATTGGTCTCTAACAAAATTTCTTTCCATCCTGTCCATGAATTTAGTGAACGCCCAGAACGTCAAAGCCTCATGTTGAAACTTCACATACAAAGGAGAAAGCAAGTCGGTCATTCCTTGAACGTACCCCAAGTTCTCATTGTACTCGTTGTAGGTGATTAAGATTTCCCTCATTTTATACAAATGAGGATTGGTGATATTGGATACATCGTACTCATCGTCATCATTAGCTTCATCTTCGTCTGGAGTCTCTGGTGAAGACTCTCTGGTTGTTGGTAAAACGTTACTTCCCATACTGGTCACAGTTACCCTGCGCTTCTTTTGGTTCTGGAAAATAGGCAAATTTCTATCTGTTCTTTGAATGTCCTTCTCGATTCTATGCTTCTGATCTTTCCAGTAGTCGGTTTGTCTTTTTTCCTCGTCATTTACCCATTTCAATTTTAATTCTTCGTAAGCGGTTTCGTAACTCTCAACCAAAACTTGTCTTTCTTCAGCAGAAGAATCCCAAGGGTAGACTTCTAACAAAAACAACCAAACCTCACCTCTAACTGAGTCGCTAACTCCGCCATGGAATATGCGACTTTTCACTTCGTTAACAGTCAATGATAATCTTCCAGAGTAATCAAAAAATGACTCCCATTCAACTTTGGTTATTTCGTTACGTCTCGAAGTTTTATTGATTTCCTGGCTTGTAAGCAACTCACTTGATCCTAGTTCCTTGTTGATTTTGTTGTAGATATCATCATCCAACATAAATTTCTTTTGGCTCTGTTCGGCTTCATCTTTTACTTGCTGTGCCCATTTAGCTAAGTATACTCTGGCACTATCAAAATCTTCCCCAATTTTTTGAACTTCAGGTTGGCTAATGATTTGTTTGATTGGAGTTGGGGCATGTTCGTCCACCATATCCAATACTTGATTTTTAGCCTTTGCTGAAAATGTAGCCACGGTTTCCAAAACCTTCCATTTTGCAGCTGCTAAGAATTTGTTTACCTCCGGTAACTTGAAAGGCTCCTCCTTTTTCACAGGAGCATTCTTATCCTTGAAAGGAGCAAAGTTGCGCAAGTCGGTTGAGTCAGGGTTAACCAAGTAAACCGAAGGTTCGATTGTAGATCTTTCGGTGTTTATGAACTTTTGCAACGCACCCATGAAGTCCCTTCCACCCCAGTACACTTCACCATCCTCACCAAATGGATCCATTCGTTGGTTCAAAACCTTTTGGTTTTTCAATGTTGATGGCGATTCGTTGTCATGAAAGAACACAATAGGGAGCTTTTCGCCATCCTTGGTGTTGATCACCACAGAACCAAACCAGAACCCAGATGAAGGCTTGCGGACCTGAATGGAGTAGATAAAAGAAAGATTTGTACTGAAGGAATACCCTGACAATACCGAAGTGTGGGGCTTGGGAACCACTCTGGCCCTATCAATACTGGTGGAGGAGGCCTTGGAGTTGGCATTCGTGGTGCCACCGAGACTCAATGTCTGCAAATCTAATGAAATATCACCCACGTCAACCGCATTGTACTGTTTGATTTCTTCCAGGGACAATTGGTTTTCTGGAGTGAAAGATAGGAGGATATCCTTGTTGGTGGAGTTGGGGCCCCTCGATAGGGAAAGAAACCCGACGATGTTGTCTCTTTTGGAAGTGGTTGGATGTAAATAGACTTTGGATTTCACATAGAGAAGCTCGACCTCTGACAGCAGAAGCTGCTTCTTCTGGCGATTGGACATTGGGAGGTTAGTGCTATCAGGGCAATTGACACCTGGATTTTAACAGCCAGGGTTTGTGCAGGCACGACTGGTCATCGATAAGGTGAGAAGGGGCAGGGTATAGCTGACATCGGTCAATGGCAGGTACTGGCGTTTGATCTACATTGCAGGACTGATGGGCATACGGCAGGGAAGCTTGGACAAGGCAAATCCGGTGATATGATCCATCGACATAGTCTGTGGTTGGTTCTGTTCCTGGGGCGATCCAGCGGGAGTCCGTTCTTGCTGCGCGGCTCGAAATCGTTAGCAGTATACAACTGAAATGGTCTAACTTTGGAAAGATAATATTATTGGGAAATTGTAGAGTTAGTCCCAGTCGCCCAATTTGCGAGTAAATCACCATCAGATGAACCGTCTGCCGTTTGGGGCATGACAACGTGTGTAGGTAGAATGGTCACAATATCTGCATCGGCAATTTAGGCGCTTGGTGGAGATGCATGAGCTTATATGCACGCAAATCCCGAGATCTGCGTCTTGTTCCATGAGATGAAAGGTACATTAACCATTAACCAGACAAGGTGTTTGAGCTTCTGTTACCGTAATCACGACTGATAGATGCTTGTGTTGGTTATTCGTATGGGATAGGAAGTTGTAGCTTTCCATGTCTGATATCTATTAACCTTTCATACATATTTTGAGTCAGTTGGCAATTTCAAGATAGCATGTCTCGATCGACGATCCTGTGGGGAACAATTGTGATTGTCGCCCATGAACATGTATTAATATCCTTGGCCATAAAAGGCCGGGATGTTGCCCATCAAGTACTTCCCTTTCTCAACTTTCTTTCGCTATCATGTTTGACTTGAAAGAAACTCTCTTCCCATTGGAAGTGACTGAACAGCACGTTGACACCATTCTACTGTTATTTGATGCTGTTATCCACGAAACTACTGCTGAGAATATTCTCCCATACCTCGATGAGAATTTCCCAAGGGATAGATTGGATGAATATCTTAAGGAATACAGCAGACCATCCAAGCTTCCAGGAATGAGAGAATTCACGAAAGAACAGATGTGTGCTCCTTACACTTCAACTCAGCAACAAAGAGACTTCAGATTTTTGGCACACGCGTTAGAGTCGAGATACCTTACTCCTCTCTTCACTAACTCATTCAAATTATTGTCAGAAATGACCATGGAGGAAAAAGAAGCCTTGTTGAGATCATGGAGAGATTCTTCCCAAGCCCTTAAAAAGAAGTTATTCTGTAGTTTCACTTCTTTGGGTTTAATGGGTTTTGCAAGATATGCCACTGAGTTACATAATGCAGCCATTGGATATCCTGGAAGAGACATTAGAGAAGTTGTACGATGGCCAACCCAAGCCTGAATTCAGATATAAAATGATGAAAAAGCCAGAAGCAGAAGGTGAAGTTTTGTTATTACCAGAAGTCGATGTGCTTATCATTGGTTCAGGATCTGGTGCTGGAGTAGTGGCTCACACTTTATCTGAAAGGGGCCAGAAATGTCTTGTCCTCGAGAGAGGAAAATACTACCATGAATCCGAAATGGGTTTCGATGAAAAAGAAGCAAGAGATTTATTACAGAATTATGGAGTCATGGCAACCGCTGATCTGTCTTTATATGTGTTGGCAGGTAACACTTTCGGTGGAGCTTCCACTGTCAACTGGTCAGCTTGTTTCAAGACACCATTCAAAGTGAGAAAAGAATGGTATGACGACTATGGTATTGATTGGGTAGCCACAGAAAGTTATGAAGAATGTGCCGACTACGTTTGGAATAAAATGGGGGTGTCTGCTGATCATGTGGAACATTCATTTTCAAACAAACTTCTTATGGATGGTGGTGAAAAGTTGGGCTACCAAGTTGCTTCTATTCCACAGAATACTGCTGGTCAACCACATAACTGTGGATACTGTAATTTGGGGTGTAAGCACGGTGTGAAACAAGGTACACAGGCATTTTGGTTGCGCGACGCTGCTAAGAATGGTTGTCAATTCATGGATCAAGTCAAGGTGATTCGTATTATTCACGAGGGAGGAGAAGCCAAGGAAGTGTTATGTGAAAACAGAATCACAGGTACTACGTTTACTATAAGGGGACCAAAGACATTTGTTGTAAGTGGTGGATCTTTCAATACTCCTGTCCTTTTGCAAAATTCTGGATTTAAGAACAAGAATATTGGCCAGAACTTACAGTTACATCCCTCCACAAACATGTATGGATTTTTTGAAGGCGTTAAGACTGACCCCCACAATTACTCCATTATGACCAGTGTCTGTACCGAGAAATCTGACCTTGATGGGAAATACCATGGTGCCAAAATTGAACTCAATATCAATGCCCCTAATATGCACATGGCATTTCACTCTTGGGACGGTAGTGAGAATGCCAGAAATTTCCAAATGCGTTACCAAGGCTTGTCGGCTATGATGATGCAAACCAGAGACACTACTGTTGGTAGTGTTAGGTGTGATCCTGACAGACCAGAAGCGGTCATTATCGATTATGCTATAAACAAGTTTGACAGAGACGCGCTCTTACTGACAATGTCAATCGCTGCTGATGTATTGTATATTGAAGGTGCTGCCGAAATACTTGCCCCACAGTCCTCAAAGCTTCACTTCAAATCTTCGAAGCCTAAGGAAGAAAGATCAGTTGATGACAAGGATTTTGTTGAATTTAAGAACAGAGTTGCTAATTGGCCAATCGAAATTTACTCAACTAAATTGGGTTCGGCTCATCAAATGAGTTCTTGCAGAATGTCCGGTAAGGGACCAGCCTATGGCGCTTGTGATACTAAAGGTAAACTTTTTGAGTCCAAGAATGTTTATGTTGCGGATGCTAGTTCTATGCCAACTGCATGTGGTGTGAACCCAATGATTTCAACTATGACAATCGCAAGACATATTGCATTGGACATTGCCAAACAATTGGAAGATAAAGCCAAACTTTAATTATGTCCTTTGTATTAAGTAGTCCGCCAATGATGCTTAATATAATTAGTCTCTTGGAACAATTTGATATGTAAAGGGGTTACTAATCCAGGATTATAGCTAGTTTTTTGTATTTCGATATCATGTTGCTGCATTAGCGTGGGCTTATTGAAGACGACTAAAAAATGATACATTAGCAAAGGCTTGATATGCGGTTCGACATCGACTACTGACGGATCAGCCCAGCGATTTCTACACTCTTTCTTAGTGAGTTCTATTATACATATACAACCAGCGCATTCTCGAAGAGCTAATTAAAGATACAAGGAACCAGCCGAAACGATGTCTCTGTGAACCATTTCCATGGCCTTCTCCATCTTTTCTTCTAACTCTGCATTACCGATGGTTTTTGCAGCCATCACCAATTGTCTGATAAGCTCTTCTAATCTTTTGAACATTCTGATCAAAGAACCTTCGTAAACATCGGTCATCTTACAAATCTGAGTGAAGGAAGCCCCCTTGCACCAAGCGTAGGTGACTTCCATTAACTCTGGTCTGAACGACTCAACATACTCCTTCTCAACAATTTCGATCTTGGACTCTTTGAACACTTTAGCGATCTTACTAGCCATATCTTGCATAGTCTTTAATGGCTCGGCCAACTCGGGCTTGAGTCTAGGAACCTCCTTGGCTCTTTCTTGGAATACAAAACACGATAAGAGGGCGGCACATTGCTCGCTACTCAAGTCGTTGAAGTTACCATTGAAAATTAACTCGGTAAGCAATAACTCGTCCCCAGTACTGATTTCACAGGCAACACGTCCCTTCAACTCGATAATGTCATTTTGGGTAGTGAACTCCAATCTTCTCAACACTCTCTTTCTGTGTCTCAAATCGTCCAACTGAATTACGGCTTGTGTTTCCAAAATCTTCTCTTTCAATGCCTTCATCTTTCCTTCGATTTCAACCTTGGATGAGTAAGTTGAGTACAATTCATCAAGTCTGGCAGTGTTATGTAATGGATTGCCATTCAACTTGGCTTCCAAAACGTCAATCTTTCTCAACAACAACTTGAAGTCTTCGTCTTCAATCTTCATACTAGTTACTGGGTCCATCAATGGAATGCCCTTGGGTAATCTCTTTGGCAAGTCCTTCATGGTCTTTAATAAAGTCTTCTTGGAGGCAGAGCTTTTCAAGTCTTGAGGTACCTTCAATCTGACACTACTGATGCATTCAATAGAATCCAAAGTGATTGGGATGTACTCAGCCCTAGATTTTTCACCTACCAATGCTGGTCTGATCCCTTCTGGAAAGCTAGGATTGAATGGCTTGATGAGGTTTACTGGAGCATCAACGAACATTGAATACACAAAAACAGTCACCAAGTAAGATTCATGGTCACTGTAGATAGCTGATGGATCTCTCTTGTTGACTCTTTTGGTAAACGAGGTTACCATACCCCAACCGTAATCCATACCCTTGACATTAATTTTAACCACTCTACCTTCTTGCAAATATGGCAAGATATGACCTGGATGGGTGATTACCTTTCTCACGTCTTCCTTGTAAGATTGTAGCTGCTTCTTTAAGTCATAGTACTCCTTTATAGTAGGCTCGTCCTCAACTTCTATAGCTGAACTCTTGGTCTTCAATTGATCCAATTCTTGTTCAAGCTTTGGGACCGAAGAAGCGTTTTGGAATTGGAAGAAAGAACTCTCTAACATGAATTCAGGGGAAATACCTTCGAACCTCATCAAGTTCAAAATCATATTGTAACCTAAATGAAAAGCAGAATCTAATCTGTCAGCTTGACCTTTAACCATTCCTTTAGCAACTTGGGGTTCCATTTTTTCATCAATCATCATGATAACAATACCACGGTCATCCAAACCACGACGACCAGCTCTACCGGACATTTGAATATACTCACCACCAGAAACCCATCTGAATCCAACACCATCCCACTTACGGACAGAAGTAAAAACAACGGTTTTAGCAGGCATATTTAATCCAATGGAGAATGTTTCTGTGGCAAATAAAACCTTAAGATAACCTTCCTGGAACAAAATTTCTATAATTTCCTTCAAAATTGGGAGCAAACCAGAATGATGGATACCGATACCTCTTCTAAGTAACGGGAGGATATTTTTAATTTGGGGCAACTCCTTGTCCTGCTCTGGCAATAATTCAATGGCGTTGTTGTAGATTTTGGTTAAAGCCTCTCTCTCGTCATCTGTGTTAAAGTCCAATTTGGACATTTTCAAGGCCAACGCCTCACAGTCTCTCTTGGAGAATGAGAAAACAATAACAGGATTGTATCTCTTCATGTAGATCATCTTGACAATTTTGTAGATATCGGACTTTCCGTCCTTATTTCCACCCTTGAAGGTTTGTCCTTTTTTCCCCTTTGAATCAGCGGCAGATGGGTCGTCGCCAGCTCCGTCACTTATGCTTGCCATAGCCTTTTGGAAGTTTTCCTCTCTGAAGGATCCCTTCTCATCCACCACAAGGTGAATACCGTCTCCGCCTGAGGGGAACAAGTAGTGCTGCAATGGAGTAGGACGGAAGTCAGTGTAGACCACATGGCATGGTTGGGAATGTATCTTAACGATCCACTCAGCAAACTCCATAGCATTTGGAATAGTGGCCGAAAGGAAAACATAGTGAACCTTGTCTGGCAACAAAATGATGGTTTCTTCCCAGACAACACCTCTGGACTTGTCTCTCATGTAATGAACTTCGTCAAAAATAACCCATGCAACTTCTCTCATCACCTCTGAACCACGGTACAACATACTTCTCAAAATTTCAGTAGTCATGACCAAACACCCAGCATCTGGGTTGATGGTCACATCACCAGTCATCAAACCAACGTCACCAAACTCTGCCAATAATTCTCTGTACTTCTGGTTACTCAATGCCTTGATGGGCGAGGTGTAGATGACTCTTTGCTTGTCTCTCAAACTCTGGGCAATGGCATACTCGGCAACCACAGTCTTACCAGCAGAGGTGTGCGCTGACACCAACACCGACTCGTTTCTATCGATACAAGAGATGGAAGTGTCCTGAAATGGATCCAATGTGAACGGGTAGGTTCTGGCCTCGGTGGTTCTTTTGTGGGATCCAATTGGCTCGTAGGGGTAGTCTGGTGGGATGGCGACCTGATGTCTGACCTGATGCTTCAATTTCAACTGGCCCTCCTCTTTGGCGTTTGAGATTAAGCCGTTTGAGATCGCAACCTCACGGGAGGCTTCGATTTCTACGGCATCCGACACCACTGGCTTGATTTCCTTGGGCTTATCTTTGGACTTTTTGGCTTGAGGAACTGGTTCTTCTGAGGCCGGTCTTTTTCTGGACTTTTCGGGTTGGGGCTTTTCCGACTGTTCAGGCTTGGGAGGTTCTGGGGCAGGAGCTCCAGTAGGAGCCTCCTCGAAGACGTTAAATAAGTCGTCGGCGTCCATGATGGTGAAAGAGTTTTTTTGAGATGAGTTGAATAAGTGCGATATGCGATGTCGATGGGTGCGAAGATTGGCTGCAGGCATGAGCTACCAACATCATAGGAACCGGAAAGAAAAATCCTTCCAAACTGGAACCGATTCTAGACTTACGGATGTTAGCAATCTTCCCGAGAAATTGGAGTGTGCTTCAATTTAAGTATCAATGCAGTGAATTACTGGAAACAGTATGGTGCAAATAAGGGTAGATGAGAGAAGGTACTAAACTAACCCAGCAACTGAAAGTAGATAATAATATGAAAAAAGGAAATACTTCCGATGGATGTTACTATTTTGTACATTGTGGTACTATGTGTGCCAATAAGTGGTTTTGAATTTTAAAACTAGTATTTTGTGGTTTGGTCAATATACGATGTACGGTGGCACAAAAATCCAAGAGAGTGTTTTCGTGATGCATTTCTATCCATCCTAATTCTTCTTATGTTCCTTTTTTCTAGCGACTTTTCACATTTTCTTGCAAGTCTTCAAGAATATTCAAAATGCTACACAGATTGTTAAATTCTATCCCAATAAGTTTCGTGATTTTTTATTTTTTAGCTTTTAAAAACTCAGAAAGTGAATGATTACATACCTCTGAAAGATCGATGGTGACCGAGGGAGATATGTTACTGATTCCCCCGTTAATGGGTGAACGATATCTAATTATGCACTATGTTTGTATTCCAAGCGATAGTTCAAACATTCTGGATCATGACCATGCTATTGCAAGGTGGAAGGGCAAACGAGAAATTCGGTCCCCATTTGAAGGGTTACTACAACTGGGTTATCAATGTAAATGCTATTATTATGGATGAATTATTTCCGAATGTCTGTAAGAAAATGACTGGCGGTTCCGTTAATCTAGTGCTAACCTCTACGAAAGCCCAATTACCCAAGTATACTCAGGGATTCGGGAAGTTGATCTCTCTTTGAAGCCACTGGCCCTGCCTCTGCAAGTGCCTTAAGCGTACGCCACTTCTCGCGGTCGTACTCTCCAATCACCACACTGGGAATGGAGCTGACCCGCGACTTGTCGCTGCTCTGGTTGGTATCCAAGTCCCAGAAGTCAATCGCCTCAGTGTCGTACGCCACCACAGGCTTGGTGATCTGAACCGATGCCATAGATTCCGAATGCTTGTGCGAACGGATGGTCAAGTACGACTTGAGAGACTTTTTAGGCAGCCCCGACCGCGACGACACTAGTGATGCTATCGACAACTGGTTGGAGATCATTGACGAAGTGTGTTTGTGGTTGCGCTCGGCGTAGTCGTCCATGCTGCGGCGCTGGCCCGACTTTTTGCGGAACACACTGCCTAGTCTCTTGGGGCTCTCTAAGAGCTTCTTGATGGGCGACGAGCTGGCAGTGGCAGTAGCAGTGTCTGGTGGAGTCCTGAACAGGGTGAGCCTGGCAGCCTCGAGGTGAACTGGTGGCGTGGGGTCTGGCAATGCTTGCTCCGACTCTTTGTCGTCCTCATAGTTGCCGCTGAGGTTACGGAATGTGTGCAAGGATGGAGCACTGAAGGAACGCGTCGAGGCGGGGGCAAATGCTTCGCTCAAACTGTCGATGTTGTCGAGGTCGTCGGTTCTATTCTCTAGCGGTGGTAAGAGAAACGAGGAATTAGGATCTGCAGTGTTGGGGTTCAAGTTATGGTCGCTCACCAAACGAGTGATTCCAGGGATGTTGAGATTGACTCCCGAACGGGTCCGTGCTTGGTGATAGAGGTGGATGTTATCGTCCCACTCCTTCAAGGAAATGTTGTTGAGTCCACTGTGTTCCTCCTTGAACCAACTGACGTTACGGGTGGGGTTGGGAATCTTCTCCAACCCGGCAAGAAGTTCCAGGGGGTCTTCATGTTGGTCGCTTGTATCAGGCTCGTGGTTGTTGCGGCTAACAAGAGGTCCTTGCTGGTCGACAGCAGGTCCAAAGTAGTATTTACCCTTATTGCGGGCCTTGGGGAGACTAAGCACATAGTCCTGGTCAAATCCGTGGAAATTTACGGCTTCGACAGGCTCACCAAACTCATTGATATGAGGAAGGTTTTCGTCATCTGGTGTGGCTGGCTCGACCTCTCCGACTGGACTCAAATGAGAGAACGTGAATGGTTGTTGGGGTGACTGAAGCTGGGTCTGTTTGCAAAATGCGGGTGCTTTGACTTCTTCCTGGCTCGACATTTCTGCCTCAGTTGCTACTCTTTCATGGTGTACATCTGTCCCTTGAGCTTGGATCTCAAATAACTCCTGCTGCCTCTTTATCTGCATGATAGGACTTTCTCCCTTCTTCAACACAGGAGGCAAGAGGCTCTCGTCGACGTTTGATAAAAAGATTCTTTCATCGTGAATCGACTTCCATCTTTGTTCTTTTCTTTGCGTCTTTTTGCCAATAAAACTCGTGGATTTAGATCTCTTTACGGGGGATTCACTTGATTCGTCGGTAATGACCGTCAAGAGCGAATTCTTGGATTTAGATTGAGGCATTCCTAGTCCAACTCCAAGTGACGATTCCTGCTCGACAAAATGGGAGTCATACTTGGAATTCCTAAAAGTTGGGACACTCTTGAACGATTTGATGGTCTTGAAATCACCCTCTTTAGGGGCGTAGCTGTTTCTTCTCCCTTCTGTACTGTCTCTATAATTGGTGAAACTTCTTCTGGGCTCGTCTTTCTGGACAATAGCTCCGGTTCCTATGCTCAAGTTGGATCGGGTATTTCCAAATAATTTGAAAGAAGCGTTGCCTGGTGCAAGACTGCCTCTTCTTGCCCTCGAAAAGTCTGAGTAGGAGCTCTTCGAGCTGATGTCTTCATATGCTTTCAATGAGTCCAACTGGCCCGTAGAGTCCATCCAATTGTTGTTGGTATATGCTAGATATTGCTGATCATGATCAGGATTCTCGATAGATGTTTTGATGTAAAAGGCCAACTCTGAAGGCTCTTGGTCTATGTCTCTGATCAAACCAGGTTTATGTTCCATTTTCGACTCTATAAGCGTAACGTCAGATACTTTCTTGCCCATGGTAAACAGAGAGGGTACTTGGTCTTGGTGAGGGGAAAACTCCACCGGGGACTTTTCGGTCGAAACTGATTCAAGATCAGAAGAATGATGGTCTTCTATGGAGTAGATGTACTGGATTGAAGACAATCCACACGACAATGCAATGAAGAAGACTGTGATCACGAAAAATGTCGGCACTATGATCTCCCAGTGGGGTATATTGGAGTCGGTAGACACGTCTTGAGTGATCATCGATACTATGAGAAGGATTCCATATCCTATGTGGTAGGCACTGCCCAAGAATTGGAGGACGATGGGTATTGTGTACGGACGTCTAAGGTATGTCACCAACTTGATGATGGTTGTTATTGAGCACACATATCCACTGATGAGATAGATGAGCAAGCGGGACGAGTTGTTGGAGGTGGTGTACACCGAGGTGGTGATGGACGCCGTGGTGATTGCTAGGATGGTGATGAGGGTGTCTATAATGGGAAGGCTGGTATGGCCCAACATGTTGGAGATTGGGTGGAGATGGGGCAAAATGGAAGGTCTCTGGCTATTTGTGCTGACTGTGGATAGGGGCGTTGTCGGGCGACTCAGAGGATGGTCAACCTGGCTGTCAGACATGTCAATCTTGACATGTAACGTTCAATTAAGCTTCCGTGTAGAAAAACGACTCAAATCGAATTCCCAACTTACAACTTTATTTCAGCCCTTCCGTTCCGGTGGCCGATCTATTGCTGTGGACCATGTTGATTTGAGTCTAGCATGGAGGTCGTAAATTGGCTGAAAATTTTATGTAAACACCGCCTTATTGGGTTGTTTATATCTTGGCCCGTTCGGGAAAATCGCAACCTCGGCGAATCTGGTGAATGCGAGAGAACATAGACGAACATGTTAACTAGACGGTGTGACGAAAAGCCAGGTCTGGACCTTCCAGGCATTGCTGGTCCCTCTAGTGAACGCTTGTTGATCTGAACTCTATTTGTCACCTGCATGAAATTCTCTGCAATCGGCAGATACATCAAAAGATACATTAGCGAACAAACCCATCAGGGGACTGACGTATCATTCGGAGACAGCCAGGGAGGCGTTTCCGGCTTTTCATAATTCCTCCGGTACTGACAATAAAAAGGGGGACAATAGCCTCGTGAAAGCAGGACGGATCAGGAACGCTAGTAGGCGAGGATCAATTACAAGTGAGTCTGAACGACAATACTACAGGGAGACAGTCTTAGTTGTGCTTCTCATGATCGGGATCCTTCGTTTGGATCTCAGATTAACTAATATGCTTAAAGCCTAAAAATGATGGCTTTTGCTCAACGTTAGCTGATTCATGCCCAGGATGAAAATTTGGGTTAATTGTGGATTATTGCTCCTTCGATGCGAAATGAGAATTTCAAAGAAGAAAGTATATAGCACAGGGAAATCTTCATATAGAAGCTAGCATTATACAGTTACCGGTTCGTAACTCGTGTTGCATCCAGAAAATTTAGCTACAACAGTACTATAGATCATACACCAAGTAAAATGAAACGTAAATCATGAACATCATAAAAACAAGTGAACCGTCCATAAAAAACGCAAGTTGTAGATTCAATAGTGGCTTAGCCACCCATGCAGAGGTGCCTCGTCATGAACCCTGTCCTTACAGTAAGTCGCATCTCATCTCTTATCGTTGCTCTCCGGATTTCCTCTATGAAGTCATACCTTCATTAAATCAAATACTTCCTATATGGTATAATTTTAACTAGCTAATCACTCGTACTTGAAGTCACCACTAATCCATCTGTTGAGCATACTCAAAGAATTTTGTGGTTGATCGTATGGGACCATGTGACCACCATCAAACACTCTCAAGAAAGTGAAGTGCTTGTAGTTCTTGACTTCACCAGCGTGGTGTTTGCCGACCTTCCAGTCCTTGACTTCAGCGTTAGAAAATCCTTCCGAACCAGACCATTCCAACTTGTCAGTCCAGGCTCTGTTACCTAACCAGTTACAGATGAAGTCCTTGTCACCAGCGTAAATCAAAGTTGGGATGTTTTGTTCCAAAATATCAATCACGTTCTTGAAGTATGGCTTCATCCAGTCACCACCAAGCAAGAAGTTTCTGTTGATGTCAAAGTTGCAACTTTCGTAATCATCGACTTCAGCACCCAAAGCTTCCTTGACGAAGTCTTGGTTCAAGTATTGGTCAATGTACTCCAAGTCCTTGTAACACAAGTTTCCACCTTCACATTCAGCACGGATATCATACACGTTTCTGCCAGTTCTCTGGTAAGGGCCCATCTGAGCATTGTTACAGTAGATGGAAGCTGGAACACATGACCAGACAGATTGGCTTTCGTAACATGAGTTGATCAAAGACAAACATCTTGGGATTGAGTCAGACATCGATTGACATTGTTCCTCGTCCAAAACAGCTGGATATCCACCACCACCACAGGCCATTGGTTGGTATTGGTCGTATTGGTTCAAAGGATCGGTCAAACCGTTACCAATCAAGACGGAAGTCAAGTTGAAAGAACGGTCATCGTGGGACAAGATCTCGCTGGCAAAGACTGGGATGTAGTGGCCTGCGTAAGACTCACCGGCAATGTGGAATGGCAAGTTGGAGTATTGAGGGAATTGCTTGAAGAACAACTCCAAGAAGGCGTAAACATCCTTACCGGCATTGACGGTGTTCGAAACCGAGCCAGAAGAGTAGGAGTAACCGACATTAACAGGCTGGTCCAAGAAAATGACGGTGGCATTGTTGTTCCAACTGTAAGGATTGTGGACTGGCTTCAAGTCGGGGCCAATGGAGGCAGGACCCAACTCGAAGAACAAACCGGTCAAGGAAGAGCAGCCAGGGCCACCGTTCAACCACAAGATAACAGGGTCGTTCTTGGGGTCGTTTCTGGACTCGAATGCGTAGAAGAAGAAGTGCTTGTCTTCGTCCTTGACGTCCAAGTAACCGGAGTACTGCTTAACTTTGTCAATGCCCAAGCTTTCTGGGGTGCTCTTGACTCTCAAACTGTGGTTGGGGACCTTGGTGCTGGCCACGTAGTGGTCGAACACCTTGGACTTGAACTTCTTTGGCAACGACTTGAAGTTCATCGACATGATGGTTTCTGGGAACTCCATCATCATGTCGGACCACACCTTCTTGGTTTCCTTAGGGATGTTCTCCAAGGGGTCGTTGAGGTGCTTAGCAATGGCGTCCATCACCAGGTCCTTGCTGGCACCAAGCTTGTCGAAGCTGGAGCCAAGCTTGCCCACGAAGTTCTCGTACAGTTGGGCGAAACGGTCGGGGTGGTTGAGCTGGAACGACTTCTGGAGGCCTGACATGGCGTTGGGAATCGAAAGGGCGTCAATTGCGCCCATGGTGGACGCAATGGCGATAAGGGTTGTAAGAGATAACTTCATGGCAGCTGTCTCTTTGTCGAGCGAACGATAAGGGGGGATTGAGTACTTTATATAGGGTCTTATCTACGCCACTGCGCACAAACTACCCCCAGGGTCTGTGTCCCGGATACTGTCTGCAGGAGGGGGAGGATGGGGATTAATTGGGTGATGGTGTCGTGGGGATACCGGCGGCCGCGGCCAAAGGTTGCTGAGTTATTGCTGGATTGAGCCAGTTTTGCGCCAAATTGGGGCCACATGTAGGAACGGCCGCTGGTTGGGTTCACCGAACCGGAAACTGGGAATTGGTGGGGGACGGGCTGGGGAGGCGAAACCTCGGTGGCGGCGGGGGGCTCGGGCCTAGGGAGACAACTAGTGCTGCCCACTGGGCCTAGCGGTGCTCTCTAGAGGCGTTCGTGTTTGGTGGAATTGTACTTGCAGACCATGGACTAGTAGTGGTCATGTGACGCATAGGTTTGTGGGTCAGTTGCTTGGGCGGAGTGACCTCAATTCGGGATTTGCGATGGTGACGGGGGTTGGATTCCACCAGGTGGCCCAAACAGTCATCTGGCAGAACCGTGGCTGGCCGTTCCCGGCCAGTGCATGTGACCAATTATGGAGTATACAGCCATCTACTCAACTTCTTGTCAGGTGTATACTAATCCCCAAATACATGTTGCACCCAATTAATAGCACGATAACTGTGAGATGCAATCCGTAAATCATACTTAGTAATTGAGTTGTTACGTTAAAATGAACGGTCTCCACTAGCATGAATTTAAGATACTATTCATCCCATCATTTCTCCAATAGTTTCATCTGTATTCAACGCTTGGAATTAGGAGAATTCTTAGTTATGACACCTGGCAAAATACTGAGGTGACCTATTGGACAAGGCCAACCCCACTAATTTTGTAGGTGAAGGAAGGATTACTTCGATTTTACCTGGAGCTAAGCTTGCTTTGAAAAGCATCCACCTAGCAGAGGTGTGATATTCGGACAATCTGGCTTGCCCGTTGGCCTTTCCATGGACTGAGTGATTAGTATAGTATTTCGCATATTTCTGGAGATCTTTTCATGAGTATTCATACCTACGAAATGGCTGCGAAACCATTGTATTAGGTGAAATAGCCGTACAAAATGTATGCTTATTGTTATTGCTGTATCAAAGAGATCAGTACGGCACACAAAGTTCATGGAAGTATCTTATTGGAAAAGTGACGTCTAGCACGAATTTAGCTACACTTGTAACTATGTTGCATCCAGGTATCAGCTGGCTACCGCAAAGCCTCCATATCCAAACTTAATATGCCACAGAGTTAGTTAGAGCAGTAGTCACAACCTCTACTACTTCTCTCTGGGGAAATTGAATCGAGACACATATTGGAAGAACCACATTGCTCTAGCAAAACGCCTGATCTAACTTTCCAATTCATCTAACTGGCTGGGAATTAACTTTCCCAACCCCCACTAAGCTTTTCATAGCAGGACGAACCAGACAAGGTTAGTGATAGTCAGTAGTAGTCAGTGGCTCTCTTTTGGCGGGCGCACATTTTCGTAAGCCTCTGCTGACTTTCCCAACCCCCCTTCTATGGAAAGAAAACCGGGAGAGACATGGAACACGGATACTAAAGAAAAGAGGTATAGCGTTAAGCTCTGTAACGTCCTGGACTCTTCAAATAAGTGTTCACTAATCACACAATAATATACCCCAATTGAGGTTCTTACAACCATGAAAAGTCACTAATGGCAATGCTACCAGACCCGTTACCGCTGGTAGATCCAGCAGCTCTCTAAGCAGCATCGAAGTCGAGATAGTTGTCAATTGCCGGGACTTCCCTGACCAATCAAACTTGTTTGACTCGTGCCTCTATCCACACACTCGTAAGGCTCCTTACGTAATCCTGATCTGAAAAATCACTGGCATCTCTAATGGGTCTTCGCCAACTTTTCAGCTCCAGGTCCAAGCATGACACATTCCAAACCTCTAGCACCGATAAGCGAGTTGCGGAGCTAGGTCTGGGTGTTTCTGGTACCACCGAATTGTTCCGGTCCCGGAAAAACCAGCTCTATGTGGTGAAGACCTACTTTGGCAAAGAGGATTACGAGTCAAAATCCGAGTACAAAGAAAGGGTGCTTCATGAGTACGAGGTGTTGCGCCAGCTCAGCCATCCCAATATCATCCAGGTGTATTCATATCGCGTGTCATCCTCCCGAATCAGCCTTCACCTTGAAGCAGGGAGCCCCGATTTACATGTGCTCCTCAAGCAAGTGCCGATTTCCAATATCAATCCTGACGAAATGCTCTGCTTGTGGAAACAGCTTTGCACAGGGATCAGATATATCCACTCGCTTGACTTCTGCCATCGTGACTTGAAGTTGCAGAACCTCGTGCTTGATCTCAGTACGGGTTGTCTCAAAATTATAGACTGGGCAACAGCCACCAAAATCACCAACAACGAACCAGCAGTGGGCTTGGTGGGATCCAAAGGCTTCGCAGCGCCCGAGATGTTTTCGTCGATCTCGTACGATGGAAAAATGGTCGATATGTGGTCCTTGGGAATCGTGCTTTATTACATGCTTCACAAGAAGTTGCCCTGGAAGACGGCCCAGCATTCGGATCCCGACTTTTGCCGTTTCCAGACACAGGAATGTGGTCCCAGTTCCATGGTGCAATTGCCGGGAGACCAGGCGACGAGTCAAATCCTTGTGGTGGACCCGGCGAAACGAGTCAGTATCGACCAGCTCTGGACTCACCAGTGGTTCCAGGGCTTAAAATCCTGTGGAGAAAGTCCCTGTGGCATGGAACACTTCCGTACATTTAAGGTTGCAGGAACGGCCGACTCGGGCATCCGAGTCGAAGCTGGGGTGACTCGTAAAACACACTGACTCCGGGGCCGGGGTGACTCTTAATCTGGGGAACCGCGACGGGGTTTGTGCACGTGATGCACCCGCCAACCGCCCGCGATGTGCCCGGTGCAGGCCACCCTCGGAAATGCTGAAAAAATGAGTCTTAAATAGCCTCCACCCACCACTTTTCAACCCATACCCCGACAATGCTCAGCAACACCATCCGTGCATTCAGAAGCCAAGCCGTCAAGGCTCCTAGAGCTCTCTCTAGAAACTATGCATTGTCCGCTAAGGCCCAAAGCTTGATGTCACAGTCCGTCAACGAAGTCGATCCAGAGATGGCTGATATCTTGCAACAAGAAAAGTCCAGACAAAAACAATCGATCACCTTGATTCCCTCGGAAAACTTCACCTCCAAGGCTGTCATGGACTTGTTGGGATCCGAAATGCAAAACAAGTACTCGGAAGGTTACCCTGGCGAAAGATACTACGGAGGTAACGAGATCATCGACAAGGCCGAAGCCTTGTGCCAAAAGAGAGCCCTCGAAGCATTCGATTTGTCTCCACAAGAATGGGGTGTTAACGTTCAATCTTTGTCTGGTGCCCCAGCCAACTTGTACGCCTACTCCGCCATCTTGGAGGTCGGCGACAGAATCATGGGTTTGGACTTGCCCCACGGTGGTCACCTTTCCCACGGTTACCAAACCCCAACCAGCAAGATCTCGTACATCTCCAAGTACTTCCAAACCATGCCTTACCGTTTGAACGAAGAAACCGGTATCATTGACTACGACACTTTGGAAGCCAACGCCCAGTTGTTCAGACCAAAGATCATTGTTGCTGGTGCATCTGCTTACTCCAGAGTCATCGACTACAAGAGAATCAGAGAAATCGCCGACAAGGTCGGAGCCTACGTCTTGAGTGATATGGCCCACATTTCCGGTTTGGTTTCTGCTGGTGTCACTGACTCTCCATTCCCATACTCCGACATTGTCACCACCACCACCCACAAGTCTTTGAGAGGTCCAAGAGGTGCCATGATCTTCTTCAGAAAGGGTATCAGAAAGGTGACCAAGAAGGGTAAGGAGATTCCATACGACTTGGAGAGAAAGATCAACTTCTCGGTTTTCCCTGCCCACCAAGGTGGTCCTCACAACCACACCATCTCTGCATTGGCGGTAGCCTTGAAGCAAACTTCTTACCCTGAGTACAAGCAGTACCAACAGGAGGTTGTTTCCAACGCCAAGTCCTTCGCTTCAGCCTTGGAGTCCAGAGGTTTCGAGTTGGTCTCTGGTGGTACCGACACCCACTTGATCTTGGTTGACTTGAGATCCAAGGGTATTGATGGTGCCAGAGTGGAAGCTGTGTTGGAAAGAGCCAACATTGCTGCCAACAAGAACACTGTTCCTGGTGACAAGTCTGCTTTGTTCCCATCCGGTTTGAGAGTCGGTACCCCAGCCATGACTACCAGAGGTTTCGGACCTGATGAATTCTCCAAGGTGGCTGAGTACTTCCAAAGAGCAGTTGAGATTTCCCTCAAGTTGAGAGACCAAGAACAGGGTAAGGTTGCTAAGGAACAATTGGCTTCCTTCAAGGAATTGGCCACCCAGAGTGAAGATGTCAAGGCATTGGCCAAGGAAGTGTCCGAATGGGCTGAAAGCTTCCCAGTTCCTGGTGACTTCTTGTAGTTAGTGCTTCAAAAGGATGAATTTCTTCGTAGTGACAGAATGAATAATCAATTAGAGACTTGTAGAATGGATTGAGGAGGGTAACATGATGAAGTGAATTCGCGACGTGTAGTTGAGGCGTACGAACTATGAACAAACAACCAATGCAAAGTTTCCAACTACTCTACCATCATCGGTGACAATCGCTGGATACAAATCTTGCTTATTCCCCTAATTTCAAGTTGGGCTAATACTGGTCCTATATGGTATCTTCTGGGATTTTTTTAGGCCTTAGGACATCTCCCAGAATGAGCCCCAGGTTTTCCATAGCACCATCTCTCGTCACTGAACCCCAACGCTGCACTAATTGGCTGGTCTACCAGTCTGAATTGTTTGAAGTTTAGACAAATTAGCTTGATTACAATCCTCGCTGGGATATTTCAGGGCCAGATGGCCATGTAATTATGTCCTCTGAAAAGGATGAAAAGAGTACTTCACTTCGTCTAACACGTAATATAGTTGTCTCAATTCCTCTGGTAACTTGCAACCGTATGTGAGTTTCTAATCAGTACCCTAACATCAACCAATACCAGTAATTTTGCTGACATACAGCATAGAATGCCTCCCAATGGTCCCCAACACTGACCAGACCATACCACGACAATTTCTCTGCGGCACCCCAGCCTCCGGTGTCAGCTTCCCGTATGCGCTCGGAAATACCATGCTAAGCTCGCTCCACACTATCTTTTCGAAAATACCCTCATTGATCTACCAATAATCCACAAATCATCTCCAGCATCATGACAGTCAGCAAGCCACAGGCACTGTCGGCTCCAGCGTGCAAGCCCCTTGCACCACATATCAAGTTGGGCAACCTCATATCGTGGTCCAAGAACGGGTTCATAGCGTATGCCAACCACAACACCACCTCGCCCAATCTACTCCTTACCTATCTCGAGAACACGGACGGAAAGACATGGCAGTTGGCCGCCCCGCAAACACTCGACTCCAAGCTTGGGAGTGTGTCGAACGAGATCTCTCTCGTGTGTTGGAGTAATTTAAACACCGACTTGGCAGTGGCCGATGCCTACGGAAACTTCTATATTCTATTGGCAGGCGTAGGGTTGCTTGACCATCAAAAGGGACACAATGGTCATTCCAGCAACGGCTCCAGTACCAGCTCGAACGGGTTCTCGTCTGCCAGTATCAACACTAACGGAAGTACCACAAGCAGTGCAAATGGGTCTTTAGGTGGAAAGTCAAATGGTACCGCCAACGCCACCAACGGGTCCAATTCCTCTCCGTCAACCGAGAGCACCCCCAGCTATGAGTTGACCTCCTACAACAACGTGGAGATGATCTACCGTGACCAGCTGTATTCCCACACCACCACTTCCATCGTGGCTTTTAAGTGGTTGAACATCGAAAAGCCCCAGATTGTCAATAAACCAGCCACCCTAGTTGCGGAAGGTGACGAGTTGAAGTACACCTATGGAGTGGGCCAAGCACAGCCGCATGGTATAACCCATCCCATTTCTACGAAACAGGCATGCGTTGCCCTCCGTCAGAATGGTGAATTCATTCTCTACTTCCAGGGTGAGCACAAAGTAGAGTATCACAAGTCCAGTTTGTTTGTCAGCGACCAGCTAGTACATTTGACCACATCCTCAATTGGGTTCAATAACGAAAAACAGGTGATAATAGTGGCATACGATTCCTTGTCCAATAAGATTCTCACATACACAGTCTCCATTGATTGGGGATTTTTGGTTGAATCAGCTAAAAGACAAAAGACCGACCCTCATTTTCATACCCCTAAAGAAGCCCAGAAAATGCCGAAGGTGACGTTGCAAAAAGTCCAGCAGATGAGCCCCATTCCGTTGTTTAGTGATGCGCTGCTTGAAATTCAAAAGATTAAGTCAGAAGATGCTATGGACGTGGATGTTTCCAAGCCATCCGAATCTTCAGATGCTCACTTCTCGGTAGGAAGTTTAGATGGTATCGAAATAGCATCATCCAATGCAGAGAAAGATTCAAAACCAGATATATTCATAATCTATTCGTGGAACGATGCAGTTAGTGGAACCTTTAGCAAGATATACAGATACAACTTGATCGAGGAACAGGAGCTAATTTCGGATGCATTTACTGACTTGGGTCTTCGTAAGAAATCTTCCGAAGATACCACCACTCCTGCTTTATGTCAGAGTTTGCGGTTACAGGATGTTATGACGAGATCAGGAAAGATCAAGTCAATTTCGAGCGCTCTCAATGATTATTTTGTCCTCATTCAATATGAAGATAATAGGAAACTTGATGTCATTGATAGATTCACTTTGAAAATTGTGAATAACGAGTCCGTCAAGGACGATCCCCCGACCACTGTGACTACAATCTTTGATACAGGGTTTCAGTTCGCTTCAATTCCCTCAGACAAGTCATTGGTGGTTGCAGTTTCTCCAAATATGACATCATTCGTATACATACCACTCAGATCGACAAATGCCAATTTGACATTTGAAGTTGTTAAGAAAGTAAATTATTTGTCGAACTCATACAAGGATTTATTGATTTCATCTGTTGGATTGGCATATCGCCATGCTTATTCTTGTTACACAAACACTTGTTCTGACGATATCCTCATTCTCATTCAATCCGAAATCGCTAGATTATCAGGTTCTGATGAAAAGGATCCCAAGACTCAATTAACCATTCACAAATTTATAGAAGCTGTGATATCAGAAGCGCACAAGGCTATCATTTTTGAGCTCGATAAGTTTAGCAAGGAGTCTGTGGATAAGCTTCTTTCAAACCCACCTTTGCAAAAGCTTTTATCCTTACAGTTGGTCTTAGGAGAACTAAATCCAAGAAACAACATAATGAGCGATATTGCATGGATCGTGTTGAACCTCAGAAGTGCATCTTTTGGTATCATGTTTCTGTTGTCCAGTATTTGCAGGTCCAAGAAGAAACCTACCGAAGATAATCTTCAAGACTCCATTACAAGAGGTGAATGTATCATGAGCTTGATCGGAAATATGAAATGGTTAATTGACCTCATGGTGTACTTAAATCAAGAATTAATCGAATTGTTCCTGAGCAAAAATCACAGCTCAAGTAGCAGGATTAATATCAGAAATTCCTCAGTTCTTCCAATTATTATGAGTAAGGTCCCAAGACTTTTTTTGATGTATGCATTGTCTTCCATTGGTAAAACCCATGAGATCTTAAAAAAATTGCATAAGGATTTGGAAGTCTCCAATAAGCTTTTCAGTCCAATGAAAGAGTCTTTAAACCGTTGTTTTACCATTTGCAACAATTCGCCATTAACATTAAGTTTGTTTGAGAATTTCTTACGAGAATGCGATGTGATTATCAACAAAGAATTGTCAACTAAACTAGTGGGTAAAGACAGAAGTTATGGATTAAAACTTGAGCAAAAGCTAGTTTGTGAGGGAGAAGTTCCTGATGAGTTAATTCCAGTTGCTAGAGCAATAATTGACCGTCATAACATCAATATCAACAGAGATATGAAGGTATCGGATTTGTATTTCTACGACGTTGAATGGCTCAACGTAGGTATTAACAAGTCTATTTTATCTATTACACCAACGGAATACTATAGTAATTCCCCTGAAAAAAAGTCGATGACTCCAAGGTTGAAGTTTTCTGATGACGAATGCATTGATGCCTTGAGAAAAATTGTGGTGACAACAAGGGGAACGAACGAGAAGTCGAGTACGAGGAGCCCTAAGTTGAGAAAATGTACCAGATGTCGTTCTTTGTCATTGGTTTCTGATCCACATGTATTCGATGAGTCCACAGCCGTAGGTTTGTGGACCGTTGTTTTCCACAGAACATGTATTTGTGGAAACTCATGGGTTAACTGCGAGGTATAGAGCCATTCACAAAACTTAAAAATGAGTTTTAGTGGTTATAAGTAACATAATAGTTAACATTCCCTGTAACAACATAAAGCACATAATGAATAAATGTTAAGTAATATGCAAATCTGACTAGCCACTAGCCTCGAGCTTAGAAGTCTCGGCCTTTGGGGCTTCTGCGGAAGCGTCTGCTTCCTTTTGTTTTAGAGCAGCTTGTTTCTTTGTCTTTTCGTATAAGTATTTCATCGCAAACGGCATGGCGGCATTAGTTACCACGATCCAAGCACATAAAACGCCGATGTTGAGCCCCACGGTACCCTTCCACGCATCAAAGTATGCAACATGAAACAATGCATACGCGTTACGCACTGGCATGGCATGCCCATACCTGAAGAATTTCGGGCACAATTCCATGGGTGACACAGTAGGTGCAACGTTAAGAACAGCCACAAATAACAAAACAAAACCTGGCAATTGCATTTTGAAACTTCCCACAAGTAAGGCAAAAATTTCAATGAAACTACCCAACGAAGACATGAGTAAGAAACCAAAACTCCAAACGACTAAGAAACCCAGGTAGCCAAACGTAACATTGAACTTCAAACCAAATGCTAAGTTCAAGAGCAAAAATGCTAAAGACAAGACCACGTAAGCAGCTTGAGTTGCCAAAATCTTGACTAAAATGAACTTCAATCCCTTGACTTTGGTGGCAATATACATTTGGATCTCAATGGTAAAGATGAATGTGAAGAAAGTGAACATGACCAAATAGATCATACCAATTTGGAAAGGGGCCTGGACAATTTGGTTTGTGATTGGAATCAAATCATGGATGACAAAGGAAGGTAAGGAAGTGATCAATTGGGGGGCATTCGTCAACACGCTAACCCGCTTTTCAGGACTGAGACTCTGCAACATACTGGAGATCAAAGGGGTTCGAGGCGCAAACGAGTCAAATGCTGCCACGATTCTGCTGGCCACACCACTGACGTAGTTATTGACCGCGTTGTAGTCTCTGCCCGTCTCATACACCAACTCCATTAACGATCTGGGGACAAAGTCGGTGGACTCAGCTTGTAATGCCTGGAACCACTCCAAGGTGGCATTGGGCTTGACGTAAAACGCAGCCCAGTACTTCTGGTGGTGTATTTGTCGGTATACTTCTTGGGAAATGGTATTGTTGTGGGATTGAGCAAGGTCGCTGATTCTGGTGTGGTTCCAAATGTGGAAGGTACCCAACCGGTGCACAGCAGGCACCTGGGTGAAAAATGCCTCCACCACGGGTCCCACGATGGCCGGAAGCTGGCCCACGTCGGTGTCTGCGATGATCACGGCAAAATCCAAGTTGGGGTAGCGGGTGGTTCTCTTGTAGTATGCGCCCCAGTAGATGCAGAGGGTGATCAAGAGTCCGATGATGAGCCAAAAGTAGTTTTCCGCAAAGGTCACCACAATTTTGATGCGCTCGGCATGGAAGTCCTTGTCCCAGAAGCCAAACTTCTTGGTGACGGTGTGGATGGTGGTGGCTATGGTGCTCTTTCTGCGAGGGGTCACAGCAGGCGCACTAGCGCCTGGCAACGCTCCTGTGGCGATATCGCCAGAGTAGGCCTGGGGGAACTCCTCCAAGTCGGTGCCAGTGGTGGCATGGCGGTGCAAGGTCTCGGTGAGCAAGGCATGGCCCAAGATGTCTTGGTGGTGATCGCCTATGTCCAAGTAACCGGCTTCCTCGCGGTCCACGAGGCTCTGCTGTTCCAGGCTCAGCAAGGTGAAGAAGCTGGTGGCAGCGGTGGACACCCGGCGGAGAAGCGTGTGCTGGGGTCTGTTTTCCTGGTCCAACTGCACGGCCGTGGTGCCGCGGTAGTCGTGGATATCCTCGCTGGAGCTGAGGGAGCTGACGTCGTGTTGGGACATCTTAGTGGTGGGACTAGCACGGAGACAACTATGTGGCGGGTCTATGTGGTGGGCTAGTAGACAACTATCTGGCGGAGTAGCGACAATCTGCCGCTAGATTAATGCTCGCCCCAACATCTCCTGCACGAGGGCGCCTGTTTTGATTTATGATTTACAGTCCCAGCGGGGATACATCGCCCAGCCGTGCGAAGTCATTCAATCAGTATACTAACATGGCACGCTCCATCGACAGCAGCGTGGACCCGTTGACGGAGGGAGGAGCTGTGCATGCAGGCGAAGCTGCTGATGCTGTTCATGCCGTTCCAGCGGGTGAAGCGTCAGGCGAGGCGCCAGGGGAAGCGCCAGGTAAAGCCGTTCAAACTCCTGGTGATGCTCAGCCGCCAGCGCCACCACCACCAGAACCGTTCCACCGCAAGGAGATCTACACCGTCGCCATCAAGCTCTGCCAGTCGTATCTCAAGGTGTTCGTGCTCTTCCTCGCCATCTTCTCCATCTACTGGGGCACCATCTACCGCCGCGAAACCCGCTTCCGCAACTTGAAGATGTTGGTGGTGTCGGAAGACACCTCATTCCAGGCCAACGGCACGGTTTCCGCCGTGCTAGGCGACACCTTGGAGGACATGTTCCAGCACAACAGCGTGGCCCGCCAGTTGGCAGGCTGGCACGTCGTGGCCGCCGACGAGTTCCGTGCGTTGGCTGCCTCCCACAACAACTCCGTCGCCCAGGAGGTCCAGAGACAGGTCCACCACCAGAAGTACTGGGTGGGTGTTCACGTGGTGCCCAACGCCACCCAAACCCTCTACCTGAGCTTGGCCTCCGCCAACTACACGCTTGCCGCGGCTGGTGCATTCTCCCAGTTGGTCCAGGTGTACTACGAGTCGGGAAGGCACTACTCGGCCTTGAACCAGTACATCACCAGAAACATCAATGCGGCCCAGCTCCTCTGGACCACCAGCTACGCCACCTCTCGTGTCATCAACCCGTTGCTCCAGAACCTCAACGACACCCAGAAGGCCAACCTCGTGGCCAACAACAACACCATGGCCATCCTCACCAATCCCCCCAGGTTCCAGATGATCGACATGAGACCTCCCTCTGATGCTGCCGTATTAGGGCCCTCGGAGTTGGGGTTAATCTACCTCATGGTGTTCTCGTTCCACCAGTTCAACTTCTCGTTGGAAATCTACACCTACATGAGATCGGTGCTCAAGTACCGTCAGTACATTGTGTGGAGATTCTTGGCCAGTCAACTCAACTGCTTCGTGTTGTCGTTGGTGTATTGCTTGGCCACCATTGCCTTCCAGATCCCGGTCAACACCACATTTGGCCACGCCGGCTTCTTAGTGTACTGGATGTTCATTTACCTCTACACCTCGGCCTGCGCCGCTACCAGTGAGCTTGCTGCCACCTTCTTGTTTGCAATCGACCAAAAGCTTTTCTTGGCCCCTTGGATGGTGTTCAACGTGGTCATCAATGTGGCCACAACCTTTGCCCCATTTGAGTTGTGTCCTCAATTCTTTAGATTCGGCTACGCATTGCCCATGTACAATGCTTATGAATCGATGAAAGTGGTATTCTTCGATACTTGGAAGGGTCACTTGGGCAGAAACTTGGGTGTTTTGGTCATCTGGATTGTTGTTTGCAACCTGATTCTTTGGGGTCTCAACAACTGGCAAGCAAACAAATTGAAAAAAGCTGCTGCAGCTAAAAAATTGGAAGAATCCAATGAAGCGAAAAAGCCTATAGAAGCTGACCATTCCGAAGTGCGTAAGGATTCCATCTATGAGGATGCTCACGATAGCCAGGAAACTCAAGATTCTGAGAAGGAACGATAAACTCTAGAGACATATACAAAATTAAATAAACGCACCATAGTTTTACACCATTACTCATACTGATTCGTCCATTAACCTATGTTACAATGAGATCAAATGATCACACCATGGTCTCATATTTTTACTCATGCTGTTTCATCCATGACATCGACCTTTGGCGCAACACCTCTTATATTTCTTCCGTATTTCATGACTGATAACGATTCCTCCAATTTCAGTCTCCAAAATTCCAGCCCTGGGGTACCATCCTCTTTTATTAATCCTTCCAAGGTGTGTAGCTTCAATTTCCAAACCTCGTTCCAGACTCATCAATAAGAACATTATTTATGATGTTTGGAAGATTGTTGAATAAGTAAGACTTCGAATGTGGATGGAACGAGAACTCGAGAATAATAGTGAGCAACTTGTCAATGGATAATCTGCTCAATAATGCGTTCTGGAAGTAGACAGAAGTGAATCTTTCAAATATGGATTTGCACTTGATAAAATTGAGAAGGATGCTCAAGTATTTGTTATTATTCAATAGGGATAAACCATCCAACACATCATCATAGATTGATTCGTTGACTCTGACGATAACTTCGGGGTTTAGAGTACTCAATAACTTGATATCGAGTTCATGGTACTCGTATACCTTTATGAGGTTGTAGGTTTTCAAGATTTGGGAACCCTCGAGTAACTCGGCTGCATCCTTAGGGTACATATATGACAATTGTGCAAGCACAGAGATAATTTCAGATTTTGTAAAATCTTCAGCTTCGGAATTGTACAACTTGGTCAATTCTGTCAAGGTGGGTTTGATGGTTTGATAAACCTTTGATAATTCGTTTCTCAGGATTTCCTTAAGCACGTTCAAGTAAAACAGAACCACTATCACAGAAAACAATGGATCTTCGTTTCCAATGTCAACTAGTTCTTCGTAGGTGAAATTGTATAGCTGAGGATTCAACCCAGGTACATAGGGTAACAAGAGCAACAAATAGTCGAGCAATCTAGCCAATAATGTTGTGTCGATGTCCTTGAACCTGATCTGGTTATAGAGCAAGTCGAAGTCTGGTTCTGCTAAGATCGCTCTGAGGGGGGTATCGTCCAAAACGATGGATTGGACCAACGACTCGATCTGGCTGACAATGGCAATGTCTAAAGACTTGTTGGTCAAGTACTGTTGGACGAGCAGATGTAACAAGTTGTTTTTCACCAAGAAGGTGGTGGTCTCTGCTTCGGAGTACTTGAGCAGGATGATTTCGAGGCAGAGTTTCAGAGCCTGGACGTTGTCAGGGGAGGCGATGCTTTCAAGGATGAACTCAGGAGGATAGTAGTCCAAAATCTGGCTGAAACTCAAGAGCGAGAGGATTCTCTGTAAGAGCTGGAGCACGTAGGAGCCGGGGTCTACACTGGCGTAGTCTTTGGAGTATAGCACCTGATTGATGGCGGGTATGAATGACTGGAGGTATGCGGGGGACACCGTGGATGGGGTGATCGACGGGATGTAGGAGTCCACGAGGTTGGCATTGACCGGGATGGGTGATTCCTGGACATGTTGAAGATGCTCAAGCACAGCTTGGGATTGGGGATCCATCTTAGTGAGTTGGAGGTGGTGAAGATCCTACGCGATAGTGGCAAACATTAGTGCGAGTGGTTAGGGAGGATGCGGCTGAGGCCTAGAGATGCCCACGAGAAAATGGGTGATTCCAAGAATATAGGTATGGGTGTTCTGGAAGAGCATACGGCAGTTATAGAATGACGAATAGAGGCTGCCTCACTGGGAGTGGCAACTGGGATGGTAGAGATAGTGGATTGGATGATTTGGGGCCATCTGGGGTAGAAGGGTAGATACGATGTATTAGCGGGATGGACTGCACCAAAAGAATTAGAGTAATTGATGCTGGAAAATCGCTTAAATGATATTTACAGGCCAAAATGGCCATTTGGCCACCAAGTTACTGTAATCGTGTCATCAACTCAATAATACTGGGGAAATGATAATTACGAGTCCAAGGGGCCTCCAATTTATTGCATTCGTTCCATCCTACTAAAACTCGAGACCCGCCTAAATGATTATTTTTTTAGGTCCTAAGGGTCCAAGAGCAATTTACTCTATTAAATATTCGCCACCTAAATGGTTCCAAACGCCAACTTACTGTAATCGTGGCATCAGTACTGCAATACTGGAGAACCACAAAAATCCAATTGGTTTCATAATTAGAATATACGCTTGTCAAGTACAAGCTGGATCTAAAATTTGGTGTACAATTATTATCACTAATTTCGAAGGAAATCCCGGTATTACTGTCGCTGGTAAACCACCAAATAATATGCTGATTCCCGGGTTTGACATCTGGTCCCAGACAGCCGCCAAACACCCACCAACCACATAAGAACGACCGTTGGACAATGACCCCTGGCCAGCAGCCGCTGTGCGCCCTCCACTGACCACCATCATACTGATCCTCTGTCACCAACGGCGCGGACAATAGACCTGGAGAGGGCCCTTGCGTTCTGCCGCCGTACAGCCGTGCGTGGATCAATGCAAAACACATTATCCAATGCACACAATCCACAATGCCAAATCACCACCAGGTTGACCGGACGACCGGGCGTTGACGTCCAGCAGACCGATAAGAACACGTCTCACCATGGTGGTGGATCAGATGACATTGTTGGCATCGTCACAAGCGCACCAATAACTTCGCCTGCAGCACGAACCCGCCCGCACTGGGTGTGAAGGTTTTCACTGCAAGCAACCGCCTGGTTCCACCGCAGGCCGACAGCCAAGCACATAGTCGCCAGTGAGTGTACCAGTTCGGTCCGGGTTAGCGAGGTCGCTACCAGCTCCCGCTGGCGCACGCGGACAATTAGACGATACTATCGGGGAGGAATCTCGGCAGGGATCAATAGCGATCTGGACCCGGATTGCACAGGGGCCAGGGCCCATTAAGGTTCCGGTTACCAAGACTAAACCCCGCTGTCACCTGACACGACACCTGCACCAGCATGGGCCGAGTACCGATCAGCAGGTGCTCGCCACGATGATGCCCATCATCCCCCCAGACTGGTGCTAAAACCTGTACGGTCTTATTCACAACGTCCGGTGGACCATGGCACGGCACCATGCCCCTACAACGGCTAAGCTCGCGCCCGCCTACAGCGAGGCCCACTTCCGCATCGGGGCAAATTATTCTCACTATGTCCTATTCTTCGTCTCGCAGTGCTCATGTCAAACAATACGCAATTAGGGTGTAAAATATTATTGACGAGAATTCTCCTGTGGAACACGCCAAAATCCCGATTACTTTTCATCAACCAATTTCCAGCGGGAATATATCATCACCGGGTTTGTCGCTCGAATTCACCTCTTACACCTCCTACACCTCCTACCACCCGATACCCAGGACCAGCATGTCCTCAGTAGGAACCGTTGATTCTATGGTGACGGCCGCCTCCAACCTCAGGGACGACGAGCCCAGCGCCCTCACCCCCCCTGACACGCCTCCGTTGGCGTCGCCTTTGCCTAAGGACTCCGACGAGTCCGCTAGGGCAGCCGAAACCTCCTTCCACTCCGAGGCAGAGTACCTCGACATCGCCAACAAGCTCTTCCAGGAGGAATTCGTCTCGATCCAGCCTGAGGAGTACACCCAGTTCTTGGCTGCTGGCGACGAGGAAAGCACCAAGATCAGATCCCACTATATGAACCTCTTCGACTGGGACGCAAACCTCCTCAAGTCCACCAGAATGTTGTGTGCCAAGTTGTACTTGAAGGGTGAGTCGCAGGAGATCGATAGAATCTTATCGTCTTTCACAAAATCATACATCAAACAGCACCCTCAAAACGTGTTTTGTACCCGCAATTTCGAGAAAATCTACATCATCATCTACTCGTTGATCTTGTTGAACACTGCGTTGCACAACTCGGAATTGAACAAGAAATCAAAGATCTCCCAACCGGACTATATCAAAAACACATTCACGACCTTCATCCAACAAAACCCCAAGAGCTCCAAGAAGTTGTCCATCAAGCAACGAATCATCATTGAAAGAGAATTGAGCAACTTCTACGAAGAATTGTCGAAAAATGAATTGCATTTGAAACAGTCCGAGGAGGAGTCAAATGAAGCTGCGGCCACCACCAGCTCCCGTCGTCTTTCTCGCCATTCATCGGTGGCTAGACACAAGAACAGAAATTCCACCATCAGCGAAAGGTCTCTCGATGGTGAACCAGAATTGAAGGATTCCAAGGACGTCTCTGGTTCAGCTCACACCACCACAAAGACCCTCGCAGTCTCGACTCCAGATGCCTCTGAGTCCTCTTCGAATGGCCAGGATTCTGAATTGCCTCTCTTATCAAGGCAAGTCTCCAATTCTTCAATCTGGTCCACCGATAGTGCCAACAGAAGAAGCTCTCTTGCAATGAAGCGCATGTCTTCTGCTACTTCTGCTGTTTCACAATATACAGTCACCAACAACAACTCGGGCTCGAATGGCAAGTCCAACAGAGTTGGTTTCACCAGAGCCTTGGCTTCTGATCTGAACCAAAAGTTCTACAAAAATGGTAATAGTTCCAGAACCTCGAACGTGTCTACTGCACCATTCACCATCAGAAACCGCCAATCATTGGACTATTTGAGGGGTGCCCCAACCACCAGTTTACAAACCCAGAACTCGAAGCAGGCTACACCAACCAATGTGCATGGAAATTTACACAAGAGAGCTTCGAGATCTTCAATCATCTCTAAGGAGTCAACCAATTCCGTTAATGGGGATGATACTATGTCGGTTCTTTCCCTTGATACTGTCAATCTCAATAACTTGGATCTTGGCGATGACTTTGATCTTCAAGCCTCTTCGCAACGCCAGCAATTGGAAGATTTCAATGTTGACGACTACCAAGATCAGTATGATTTGACTTTGGAGTTGCAGGGCTCTCCTTATTTGAAGGAAGGATTGTTAAAGTTAAGGATCATGAACAACGATCAACAAGACACCACCTCAAGTGACTTGTCCAACGGTGTATCATCATCTGCCACCTCAACTACTTCCCACAATTCGACCGGCAGCAGATTCCTCTCCTTCTTCAGTAGAGCTGCTAACAATACTAACACCCAACCAAACAAGCCAAGTTCTACTGTGGGAACCTCAACAAACCTTTTGGCCAATAAGCTAACTGAAAACTTTGTAGTGGTGTCCAAAGGTGAATTATCTTTATACTCATTTGACCAAAAGATTATTAAGAAACATCAGCAAAAGATAAGAAAGTACAAGCAAAAGCAATTGGTCGTCATCACCGAGCTTGATGAAGATGAAGATGATGAAGACCAAGAGAACATTGGTGATGGTAACTGGTTGAAAAATGCAGTCAAAATTGGGAATTACAATTTATGCTCCACCTTTGCTCAGATTGAAAACCAGTCTAACTCTACCAAAAAGGCAATCTTATGGTCGTTGGTCTTCCCAAAAACTTCTAAGAAGCCAGCCAAGAAGTTCATTTTTGAAGCAGGAACCATGGAAATTGCCTTGGAATTTGTCAACACTTGTAACTTCTGGGCCGCTAAGATTACCGCTATCCCAACTTTAGAAGAAAGTGTCTCATCCATTGAGTATGGATGGACTAACTTAGAGGGAATCATTGCAAAGAAAGACCAATTTAAGAAAATGAAGCACATTATGAAGTGGGAACAGTTACCTAAAGGTATCTATCTCAGTAACTATATCGTGGCTAACCTTGAATCAGACACCGAGGCAAACCACGAAGGTATGATGAAACAGTTTGTTAAAACTTTGACTTACTATAATCATTTAAAGAAGTTGTACCATGAATTCACCAAGGACAAGTTAACTTTCCTGAAGAGCTTGCCAATGAAGCAGTACAATTGTTCCAACTATTCTAAGATTACCAGCAACTACAATGCCAAGGTACACGAATATAAGGGAGAATTGACCAAATATAAGAACTACTTAATCATTCTTGGTTTCGGCTTGCAATTGAGATTTGACTTGGAAGATCAGGATAAAGAAGCTGAACGTGAAGCTCAGAATGAAGCCAGCAACAATAACTCAACTGAATACAGTGGCGAAACTGGTGAAAGGATTCCAGACGTTGAAGAATCGGTCACTCCTAAGGCTGCTTCTATCGCTGAGGATGATGAATTGACTAAATTGGTCAAACTGGAAATCAGAAAATTATTCATAAACATGAAAGACGTCAGTAAGATTATTCCTACCTTTCAATCTTCCAAATCTATCAACAACTTGACAAATTTGATTAGGGAGCAAAACGAGGAGGACTCTGAGAAACCTACCCCTTTGGTAAAGTCTCCAAAGACATTCAAGCTTTCCAACTACAAGGATACTGAAAGTCCAGTGAACCAGTTGTTACAATCAACTAATGCCGTAGTTGAACAAGAACCACATGATGTGGTCCACAGTTACAGTACTAATACCATTAAGGAGGAGGAAGAACCCGAAGAGCAAGAACTTGAGAAAGTAGCACCTGAACTGGTGCCAGCTCAAGAAGTGGAAGAGGAGGTCATTCAGCAAGAAGAGACTGAGGTTGCCCCACAAATTGAAACACTTCCAGAGGTTCCACCAATCCCAATTGAAAAGGATTAGGTGAATTTTAGAGTAGCACTCGGTGTGATAGGTGATCTTATTTTTTTAGGACATTTATATGGGATAACTCATTTGTTAATTAGCCAGGAAGCGAACATTGACTGTTTGCCAAATGATATGCTTGATTTAGCTCTAGTTCTTTGTTAATATATTAATTTGTTAGTTGGACGACCCTATGCAAACAGAAAAATGGTACACATAGTAGATTCAGTAATAGCCACATTGACGGTCAGAACTCGTTACCCAGACCCAGCTCTCAATTTCAAACGGCCAAGTATCTCAATTGTAGCTTGAATCGCGAATTCGTTAGTTTAAACAAAAACGACTCAAAAAAATGTGCTCCGAATCTACAAAGACCAAGTGTCATGTGTCATGTTTCATTTGATCAGACAGGCTCAGACAAACTCGAAGGCTAGCTGTTTGGGTAACAAATGTACTACTCCAAACAATTTGGTCACGTGAGAAATTACTCGACCAAAAAAATCACCACACGACCGCCGCCACCAAACCAGAGAGGCAACATCACTGATTACACCAATTGTATCAAATAACATCCTTCGATACTTAAGCTTATCTCATATTTCCCCCAAACTACGTTCACATATAATAGACACACATCAAAATGTCGGATCCAAGCTCCATCAATGGTGGTTCAGCAGTAGCCATGGTCGGTAAGGACTGTATAGCGATAGGTTGTGATTTACGTTTGGGTAATCAATCTTTGGGTTTGTCCAACAATTTCGAAAAGATATTCCAATTCGGTGACAAAACCTTCTTGGGATTGACCGGTTTGGCCACCGATGTCACCACATTATCGGAAGTGTTCCGTTTCAAGAACAACATGTACAAGTTGAGAGAGGAGAGACAGATCGAACCTAAGACGTTGGCTAACCTCGTGAGTTCCACATTATACGAAAAGAGATTTGGCCCATACTTCGTGGGTCCTATTGTTGCCGGTCTAGACTCCAAGACCAGCAAGCCATTCATCTGTGGTTTCGACTTGATTGGATGTATCGATTTTGCCAAAGATTTCATTGTCAGTGGTACTGCCTCTGACCAGTTGTACGGAATGTGTGAATCACTTTACGAACCAAACTTGGAACCGGAAGACTTATTCGAGACCATTTCGCAGGCGTTGTTGAATGCCGTTGATAGAGATGCATTGTCCGGTTGGGGTGCTGTGGTATACGTGGTGACCAAGGATAAGGTAGTCAAAAGGGTTTTGAGAACCAGACAAGATTAGGTAGCTAGCGTGCTATAATGGATAAGAAGCGTATGGAATGTAGAAAATGAGTTTAAGTTCGATTTTTGCAAAGTTGTCAGAGATGAATCACTTGGTTCAGTTGAGGCTCTTGCTAGTTGCACTTTCACATAGAATAAGGTCCCAGACGAGGCGATCTACCGGATTTCTTTGAAGAGCCGTGTTCATCAGTGAGATAGGATGGATATGGAATTTTAAGTCGGCTCTTACAAGTATGAATAAGACATACCAGCGAAAGTATTTAGTTTACCAATGGTAGCAGGCTAATTTCGCTTCCACCAGGCTAATTACTATTAAATAATAAAAATCAAGAAGTCAGTTCTCTATCCGTATATTAAACCAATCTCCACGATAAATGGTGTGTAGCGTGGTTTAGGTGGGAATGGGGGGAGAACAATTTTCGTCAAATCTTGTTACGAGATCCCTAATGAAAATTGGCAGGTACCCGTATTGCAATAGTTTTCCAGTTACACGAACCCGCCCTACAAGCTCCATGTGTGTTCCATGCCTGTGCACTCTACATCTGTCCTAGTCTTCCTTTATTTACAAGCTATTTACATAATTACTTCTCGCTCTTGGCCTTCAAGTCCATCTCGATCACCTTCTTCAAGTACCCGTTCTTGCCGTACAACTCCTCCTCGTTCTGCTTTCTCTTCTGTTCGAGTCTCTTCTGCTTCTCGCGGCTGGCTCTGATTCTTGCGTTGGCATCGTTGGTTCTGGTGTGGTGCAAGCACTTGGAGAGCTCATCCTTCTCGAAGTTGCAAACCCCCAATGCCTGCTTCAAAAACTCTTGTCTGTGGCACTCTTCAAGAGCGTCCATGAGCTTCTCGCAGGTGTCGAATCTGTTCTTGTCTAACTGTGGATGCATCTCGAGGCAACGATGTCTGGTGGAGAGTGTCTGGCAGTGTCTGATGACAGTCAAAATGCGTTCGTGATCAAAACCCGCCCAGTGGGCGCACGAGCGCGCGCAAAGGCCCATACAACACCAAATCGTGTGATTCCACCCCAACACCAAACTGACCACGATGTCCAAAGCCGCCGACGACGTGTTAGATTTCATCAACTCCTTGCCCGACTCCAGATCAGGCACCCCCAAGCCCAAGAGCGCGGCGGGAAAGGACGAAAAGGACGAGGACTTCTTGGAGTTCTTGGATGAGTTGGCACAACACGAAAAGAAGAAACCAGCCACCCCCAAGCCCAGCCAGAAGTTTGAGCCCAAGAAGAAGGACAAGGAGGAGTCCAAGGAGCAAGAAACCAGTGCAAAAGAACCTGTTCCAAGCAAGCTGGAGCCCAGCGCTGGCACCGAGCCCCAGAGCGAGGAGGCCCCAGCCGCCAACGCCAACGAAGAGCTCGACATCGACCCCATTGGCTCCATCACCAACTGGTGGAGCAGCGAGGGCTCCACCAAGGTGTCGTCCCTCTGGGGAACCATCGCTTCCAACGCCCAATCCTTGGGCGAGCAAACCTACCAATTGGCATCGACTACAACCAATCAAATCAACCAACAGAGACAGAAGTTCTTGGAAGAAGGTGGTGATGACGCGTTCAGTCCCGAGCAGCACATTGGAAACATCTCGGGCAGGCTTAATTCCATCTTGTTGACCATGTCCAACCAGATCAAGCAGGGCTTGATCAGTCAAGACGACGAACTCTTAAATGTGTTGGTGGTTTATGATATGTACAATATGAGTTACTTGGACAGATTGATCTACGATAATTTCAACAGGGTCATGACCCAAGTGGAGGGCGGAATCAAAGTGTCTGTGAGCAAGATCAACCACAACGACAACTCAGGCTCCTCCGACACCGACGCCAAGATCAATTTGAACATGTTCCACGGTAAGGTGATCGATGGAGAGAAGTTGTGCTTTGCCAACTTGGAGTCCAGCATCAAGGACTTTGAAAAATTGACCGGAAACCAGGAAGAAACAGCTGAGAAGAAGGAAATTGACCAAATCAACAAGTCCAATGTGTTTATTTCGGTGCAGCCTATAACCAGTAAGTTGGAAAATGCAGAGGAGACTCCTGCCGGCGAGGACAAGCCCGTGTTGATCGAAAGTAACAATCTGGACTCTTTCTCTTTCACAATTATTCTCAAGGACATCACCAATGACATCACCATTATTACCAAGACCCAGCCATTCCCACTCAAGTGGGCAAAGTGGTTGAACGGAGAGGGCCTGGATGTTGCTGGAGAAGAAGGCGGGGAGAGCGTGGATGCCAGTGAATGGGTCAAAGACTGGATTCACGGAGGCTTGGACTTGGGATTCGGGGTGGTTGCACAGGAGTATGTGATCAAAAGAATGGGCGTTTAGGGGCTGTACCGGTGCTTTGGGACTAGGTATAGCCTCATTTCATTGCACAACTCCAAGGTGTCTAACCAGACAACATGCAGGTAGCACGCACTATGTAACTTCTACTTGATAAGCAAATTAGTGTGCATGTGGAATCATATGATAATCTCGATTGTGAAAAATTATTCGCTATTGAGAATTCTCTTTCAGTTCATGCTTTGGTGAAATTGCTGGAGGTCCTTCCCTAGAGTTCAGCCCCCTTTCCATCAATTGTAGTCCCCAATCCACTGCTCTCTACAGTCAATTTGGGGTAGGGGCATATCCTCCGAATTGCACCCACATACATAGTTCCAGTGGACGAGATGGCCAATGGTTATCCGGTCTAGTCTATTCTATTTCCTAGTTATTATTATGGCCGCAAACTGTAGCATTTTAACATCAGGGCTTGTGAACAGTCCGCCTCAGGTTGATGGTGGCTGAAAGAAGCGCATAATACGGATCGCACGCGATGCTCAGCCGGGCCTATTCCTGTCTGAGGTGATTGGCATTTTGTGGGATGTATAAGCTCCTGTATACTTTGTGGCCAGGAAAAGAGGAGCCCGGGTAACTTCTAGGCCGTGGGCAAGAGCCCCAAGTCTTCCACATGTGGATACAAAAATAATGCAATTATTACTTATGGCCCAGTGATAATGACCAGGAAATATTGAAGACCATGGGATTAGTTGCTCAAATCAGCCTAACCGCATTGAAGCTAGGAAAACTTAAGTTCCTATGAAATGGCCGAAACAATAAATTCAAGAGACAAAAGAAATAAGCCATTAGTATCGTGAATTATTGAAAAGTTAGGACATACAGTGCAGATAAGCCATTAGTAGAATAGTATAGAGCATATAGATAAGCCAGGCTAATATTCAAATAATACAGAGCAATTTGAAGTACTAGTTAATAGCCAGACCAGATTTGGGCAAATAACCGATTATGTTAAGAAATAATATACCACAAATTCGGGTAGATCACCGATTAGTATGTGAATAATCACTAAAATAATATGGAACAAACTTGGGTAAATGGCCAATTAGTACGGGACGTATGGATAATGGTTGCCATTCGGGGCTACAGGATGCTATTATTAGATTTATTACCTATGTACTGGCGGTCTCATCTCCGGGGGATTATTCTATAACGATGAGACACGGCCCCTAAAACAAGTCGGCAAATTCAGCAACGTGTGGGTGAACCAAGCTGTGCTGGTGGATGTGTGCCTGCGACAGCGGGCGGGATCTGGCGGAATTCACCGCAGTCAGGTTCGTCAGGTGCTGGATGCCACACAGCAAGTAGTGTTGCATGATGCGATCAAACGAGGCCTCGTCGTTTGCCACCAACTTGTGATCGTAGTCGATGATCACCGGGAACTCGGTGTGTGAGAGCTTGTGGAAGTCCGACACGCACAAGGGGGCGTGCTTGGGGGTGTTGAGGAGGCGACGCACCACATGGGTGTTGTGAGGGTGGATGTCTGCGCACTCGTTGACAATGAACTCGTAGTCGGCAAATGTGAGCAGCTGGTTTGTCTTGAGGTTGAACGAGAACTTGGCGGGATCAGCAAGCTGGTTGGTGGAGGAGGCGCTTCTGGTGACAGCTGTGGGCTCGTAGCGGGTGCTGGTGCAAGGTAATGTTGAATACTTGGAGAGCTTAGCCAAAAGCTGAGACGAGATGGGAGAGGCAGGGTTGTGGTAGATGGTGAGGGGGGATTTCATGGCCACGGGGGTGGAGCTAGCGCCTGCGCTAGTTCTGGCCCCGGCAATAAACGACTTGGAGTACTCTCTGATTAAGTGTCTAAACATGGTTGAACATCTAGATGAAAAAACTGCAACGGTTGCCGCCCTCTTATATATTTGCATCCAAGGGAGGGGAGATAAGCTCGTATAGCCTTCTCCTCTTTGGCGTGGGCCTAGAGGGGTTTTTCCGGTCCAACGCCAACAAATGCGCCAGTGAGGGGTGGCAGGGAGGGGTGCTATTTTTGGTGGACGAAGGCGCTCCGAAGGCGGAACAACCACAGTCCCAACACCATCGCGCGCGTCCCAGACAGGTTACCACGCCGCAGCCACGACGTGGTGCGATTCCCCTCTTCGCTGTGGGCGCGGGCCGTTATCTTACGATGGCGGTGCCAGCCTCCTATTACCCCTCCGTTCCCCTCCCATTATGGTGGTGTCTATTGAGGCTATGGACTGAAAATTGAAAACATCTGGATCTGGCAGGTCCCTGGTACCCCTCCGGTGGTGTACGATCGTACTAGGGTCGAGGGGGGTAGTAAGGATAAGCACGGTAGGGATGGTGGCTACACCTCCGTTTGCGGCACCCGTCCCATCCCCTCGTTGGGCCTTCCCTGCGCTTCCCCTCCCTCGTTCCAGGTGGCAGTTTATTCTACTCGCACTGCTCGTTCTGGTGGCGTGCGTTGCTGCTCATCGCACCAGGCGGCCTTTGACCAACGATGGTGCAGCCATTCCCCTCACTTAGATCTCGTACCCAAACACATCGGGACGCCGATGCTCAAGCAACGGCATATTGCGACGGATTTGCTCCAAGCTGTCCTTATCAAGATCGGCCACCCCCAACTCGTAGTAGTCGCCGTCGCTATCAGCAGGCCCACGCGCAGAAAACTTCGATAGCCGCGCAACCACCTCGCCCCATGGCGACACAATTAGCGACTCGCCATAGCTCACTCGCGCCAACGGCGCACTGGACCCCCCAGCACCACCGCCACTACTGGCCTCCAGGTCAGCCTCAGTGTCGTGTTCACCGCACTGCGCTGCCATCACCACATAGCTCTGGGTGTCGATAGCCCTGGCCCTTGCCAACACCTCCCAGTGGGCCTCACCCGTCTTGACCGTGAACGCGGACGGAAACGTGATGATATCTGCCCCCAACCGTCTCAACCGAAGTGCTAGCTCAGGGAACCGAATATCGTAGCAGATAGCGAGTCCCACCTGGAAGGCGTCGCTGCCACCCGTACCCACAGGGGGAATCACCCTGGAGCCAGGCTCTACCGAGTTGCTCTCCTTCAAAGTGGGCCCATCCTTGATGTCCACGTCAAATAGGTGGATTTTCTGGTAGGTCTCCACAATCACGCCGTGAGGGTCGATCCAGAGCTGGTTGTTGCGGACCCGCTTGCCGCCGTCTGTGGGCTCGTGGATCCCTACCGCCACGTACAACAGGCCCAAGCGCTTGGTCTCCCGTTGGATCTCCTCCACAAAATCCTGGTGGACCCTTTTGGCGAGATTCAACGAATGGGCTGCATTTTTGGAGAGGTAGTCGGTGGCTTCAGGAAGAAAAAGCACCTGGACTTTGTGGGCGGCTGCCTGAGCGAGAAGCTTCTTGACAATGCGCGCATTGGCAGCGATGTTCAGCGACGAGCACAATTGGCCCACTGCAATCCGTAACGACATGTTGGTGGCGGATGGCAGTTGATCCGTGTAATTAGGGTGTAGCTATGATCACGTGCCATGTCAACCGTGTGGCTGATAGATGTAGGGCGCGTGATATGTCACGTGATCCATTGCGCGTGATTAGGAAAGCTGCTGAATAAGCAATTTCTCACGTGACTCATTTCGGTGAAGGTACCGCATAGGCATGTTACTCGTGATCCATTGCACGTTATTTCTAGCCCGTGATTTAGCAGTTTTGAGCACGTGAGTGTCCCCGTGGTCATGCGCGTTGCCCCCCACTCTTATCGCTCCAATCCTTTTACCCCCGTTATCTCGCACGTGATGCAATTCGGCCACGGATGTAGCCAGAGGAATGATCTGATATTTCTCCACGTGGAGATTTCTGGATCATTTGCGGAGGTATACAGATTTCGACCCAGAAAATATTGGAAATCCTCCAAAGATAGGCAATTCCTATGTAGAAGAGAATTCGTATTGATGACCAACCTCTCTGGTGCGGCCACCATATCAAATTCCCCCGTTCATAACAGAAATTCGATTGATTTTTCACAGCTGGCGGCTTATGCGGATAAACGGCTGAAAGGGGCCCTTCCCTGTGAAAAACGCATCAATGCGATAACTGCTGATCGCATTGGCACTTGAAACTACACGATGGTTAATACTTCGTAATCATTAATCGTTATATACAGCCTAGGCTAGTAGGCGGGAAGAACTGAAAGGTATGGTGTGACAATGGGGCCATTGGCCTATTCGTGTCTTCTGACAGGGCCGGCAGTGTGAATCTCTTCGCTGGAAAAGATAGATGGCTCGAAGGTCTCGAAGTTGTATTCTTCGGCACTGGCACTAGAAGTACCGGTGGCGTGGGCACCGGCACCAGCAGCCAAGACGTCGTCGTTGGCAACAACGTTGTGGCTGGAGATGTTGTTGAAGTTGACACATCTCTGTCTGGACGAGAAGTTTCTAGCAATGCTGGCCTTCAAGTTCTGGTTGACAGGTATCCAGCATCTGGAGGCGGTTTTGTAGGTGGAGATAAGCTTAGCGACCATGGTTATTGTGTTGTGTTGTGTTGTGTTGAGTGATGAGAAGTAACTACCTGGGGGGTGGCAGGGATATTTATACCGTGCCTGGATGGGAGCCGTAGATCCGGGGAACTTGAGTCATCTCGGAGTAACGGACGCACCACCGGGCGTGAGTCAGATTTGCTGCGAAATTCGCACCCTCGGCAGATCGGGCCCACGGACCTGCAGCTCCGAAATGATGTTATCGCTGGCAATGGTAGAATACCCCCGAAGGATGTTGGGCCAATGGGGCTGAGGCTCCAGGGGCTAGGGGCGGACCATGTGGTGCCGTATTGTCAGCATGGGTGCAGAAACCGTCGCAAAAGGCCCCCTGTGGTCCGAGCACCTCGGTGGTGCCTGGCGACCAAATGCCGGTCGGTACCCGACCATCCACCCGTGACCTACCTCCCCTGGCCCGTGGCACACCACTGATAATGTCCGTAGGCCCGCAACACCATCCGAGCGGCCGAGGGTCGTGCGCGCGCACCCCCACAGTTCACGTGCGTGTGATAATCTGGGGTTGACTCAGTCCACCATCCGTCCACCGACCCCAGACTTCCTTCCTTGCAGCCTGCGTTGACCGGTTGCATCTTCCACAATTCGATCCTTCTTCCAACTCTTCGCCACCATGGGAACCGCCTGGGAATTCACCACCCAGCTAAGGAACAAAATATACCAGTATGCTTCCTACAAACAGACGTCCATCTCGTTGAGACAAATGGTCCAGTTCGGGCCCAACCCGCTGCCAGGGTCCATCTTTTTGGCATCGCAGTTCATTGTGGAGGAGTTGCCCATCCGCTTGGCCCTCAAGGTCAAAGATCTCGACAACGCCCCCCTCGGCTTGAACGAGCTGCCCTCCACCATCAAGGTCAAGAGCTGGTACGCCCAGAGCTTCCAGGAGTTGACAGAGTTGCCCAAGCCGGAGATATCGGACCACCTCAAGAAGCTCTTGTACTCCAACAACCTCTCGAACGGCAGTGTCAAGGACGTGGCCGACGAAAGCCCACTTCTCGAAGAAACCACCAACCTTGCCAGCGCTGAATCCACCAATCCCGCCATCAACAACGTGTTTTCCGACGACGGTATCGTAGTCCGCCACTCCAACCCCAGACAGCAATCGCAATCGTCCAAGTCCCGCAGCGAAAGCCCGACCTTTGGCAAGACCTACTTCCATCCATGCCCCACCAACATCGTGTGGCCCAAAGAGGTCTACGACTACAACAAGCTGGTTTACGATGCCTTGACCAAGATCAAAAAGCGCCACGACGCCACCGTGGCCACCATGGCCCAGGGTGTGCAAGAATGGAAAAATACCCACAAGACTGTGCAAGTCAACTCCCAGATCCAAACATTTTTAGACAGGTTCTACATGTCCAGGATTGGCATCCGCATGTTGATCGGCCAGCAGGTGGCCCTCAATATGGCTCAGGCATCCCCCACCAAGCAACGTATCTCGCTGTTCTTGAACGGATCCAAAGGCAACAACAAGTCGTCCAAGTCCAACTATGTGGGCGTAGTATGCACCGACTGTAACGTGGGCGACATTGCTCAGGATGCCATTGACACAGCTAAGTACATTTGCGAGGAGTTCTATGGGTTATTCGAGGCCCCCGAGATCCAGTTGATTGCTCCCCATGATGCAATCAGCTTCATGTACGTTCCAGGCCACTTGATCCACATGCTCTTTGAAACGTTGAAAAACTCGCTCCGGGCCACCATCGAGTTCCATACCCCCCGCTTGAAGGCCAAAATGATGGAAGAGAACCCCCAACTCAAGGAGGAAGATATTGACATCAACGACTTGGAGTTCCCTCCCATCAAGGTGATCATTTCTGAAGGCACCGAGGACATTGCCATCAAAATCAGCGACGAGGGAGGAGGCATTGCTCGGAGTGAGGTGCCCTTGATCTGGACCTATCTCTACACCACGGTCAGTGAGACCCCCGTTTTGGAGCCCGAGTACAACCAGACCTCATTTAAGGCGCCCATGGCCGGGTTCGGCTACGGATTGCCCATCTCTCGGTTGTACGCCCAGTACTTCGGGGGAGACTTGAAGTTGATCTCGATGGAGGGCTACGGCACCGACGCGTACCTCCACTTGAACCGGTTGAGCAGCTCGTCCGAGCCTTTGCCTTAGGCCGCGCTGCCTGCCGGTTTTCGTTGCCTGTACCATAGCCTAGATAGCAATAGGATGCTTTATTAGTAAGTGCTTATGTAAGCCAGGGCCCCGCGCCGCCCACTGTCACAAGACATCCGAGGCCCTCCCCCCAGGGTGACCCCCCCGCCGCGGCGTGCCACTGCCCGTGCCACCGCTCACGCCACTCCGCGGTCTTCCCCTACCCTCGCTACCGTCTCCTCCCAGCACCTCGCCCTCTCGGCTACCCCACCATTGACTCACGTGCGACTCGTCGAACCTCTCCAAATTCTCAACCCTTCCATCACTTCGTCTTTACTTATAACCATGTCTGCTCCTAGAACCAAACCGTGGGAAGTCAGCTCAGGAACATCATCAGCAGCAGCTTCAGGAGGCGACTCAAGCATGTCTAGCATCAACAACGTCGGCACCGCCACCAGCATGGGTGCCACCACCACTGGAGCAACATCAGCAACTGGCGCCAGTATCCCAGAAAGACCAACATCATTAGCATCCGATTTCTCCAACATGGCCACTAGCAGCCCGTATGGAGCAGCAAACTCCTACGGCTCGTCCTCGTACGGCTCCCGTCTTGGGGGATACGGATCGTCCATGTACGGAGGGGGAGGCCTCGGCTCATCCATGTATGGAGGCTACGGGTCTTCAGGCTACGGGGGCTACGGAGGATACGGCTCGTCCATGTATGGAGGCGGACTTGGATCATCCATGTACGGCATGGGCGGCTACGGAAGCATGGGAGGTATGGGAGGTGGCATGTATGGCCAACCAGGCATGATGGGCCAGGGAGGCTTGGGCGAAGGAACCCAGGCCACGTTCCAGCTCATCGAGTCCATCATCGGAGCCGTGGGTGGCTTTGCTCAGATGCTTGAAGCCACATACATGGCCACACATTCTTCCTTCTTCACCATGGTGTCTTTGGCAGAACAGTTTGGCAACCTCAAGAACGCCTTGGGCTCGTTGTTGGGGATCTTTGCATTAATCAAATTTGTCAAGAAGATCTTCTACAAAATCACCGGCAAAACTTACAACTATGGACTCAACCTCAAGGAGTTCTCCAAATTCGAAAAGAACCAGAAAAAGTTAGAAGAAAACATCAAGAGACAACAAGGTGGACTTGCAGGTACAAATAAGCCCAGAATCTCATTCAAACCACTTTTATTATTTTTGGCCGCATCCATCGGATTCCCATACTTGTTGAGCAAAGCGATCCAAAAGATCAACGAACAACAACAACGCAGACAGCAGATGATGGGCGGACCAGGAGCCGTAGGGCCAGACGGCCAAATCGACCCGGCAAACTTGCAGTTTGCCAAAGCATTATACGAGTTCAACCCCGAGAACCCAAACATGGAGATCGAGTTGAAGCCAAACGAATTGGTGGCCATCTTGTCCAAGTTGGATCCATTGGGAAACGAAAGTAAGTGGTGGAAAGTCAGATCTAGACTGGGTAAAGTCGGGTATGTACCGCTGAATTATCTTTCGGTCATTGAAAGAAAGGCAAGCATGCCGAAGCAGGTAGAACCCGCTCAAGAGCAACCTTCCTACCCAATACCGCACCCTGAAGAATTGAAACCCACCGCCGATAAAGGTATTAATGCTGGAGAATTCCACAACTTTGCAAAATAGTGTATGATAGAGATTAATGAATATTTGAAACGAAGCCAAACAATGTAGCAAATAGCAAGTAAGTATTTCCAGGATTGGATCGTATTTACTGTGATAGGAAATTGCGGTTGAGTAGAAGATATGGCGACCGACTGAATCATTCCGAAATGATTACGAAAACATTACAAAAATATTACGAAATTCAACCTATACTAAATGGCTGAGAGATTCGCTGGAACTACACGGTGTTATTATATGATATGGATGTTCTTTCATTGCGGTTCATATTACAACAACTACAATTATTTGCTAATCAACTTGCAATAAAGGTCCACCAACTACTTGTATGGTAGTGAGGAATCTGGAGCAAAGCTAATTTTACCTACTACATCAATTGTCATATTTCATTGTTCAATGCATTCATTACGTACATTCACTGTAGCATCATTTTTGATCAGAAGCCTCTAAACAGCGTCATCTGGACGGTTTTGTTCAGTCTCAGTCTTGGAGCCCTTGTCTTGCAAGTCCTTGTACCCCTCGTGGTTTTTGGCAACCTTGCTCTTGGCGTTGTTGGCGGCGTTTGGCACGGCCTTTTCAGCCTTGTCTATTCCGTCGGCTAACACTTTGCCAGTCTTCTTGTTGGCCTTGTCAGCAGCATCAGCCACTTTGTCACCAACGTTCTCAGCGGCCTGCGACAAGTCGTCCTGGTTAGGCGTCACCTTTTGAGCCTTGTCTATTCCTTCAGATAACACTTCGCCAGTCTTCTTGTTGACCTTGTCGGCAGCATTGATCACGGTGTCCTTATTTGGGGTGACCTGCTCGGCTTTTTCTATGCCGTCAGCAGCAACCTCGCCAATCTTCTTGTTGGCAGTCTTCAATGCCTCCTTGGCCGCATCAATCACCCCCGAGTTGGCAGGGGTTTGACTGAATGGTCTCATCGAGGATGAGATGGTCTTAGTTTGTCTTAATGCAATTTGGCGAAACATGTTTGTAATTTCTCTTTCTGTTGACAGCTAAACTGGTGGCTCCTCCTATATATACCGCTTGCAATTTTGAGTGGATTGCTGACCGTAGCAACCATTGCTTGAGACGGATGCAAAATTCTTGCTGTGCGCGACTGCACACTACCACCTGGTTTGTGGCTGTTGCTGCCATAGATTGCTGTCCACAACCGGGTGCCATGACTTAGCGACCCCAATGGGGAAGGTGGCTCAGGTGCCTGCTGTATGGAAGGAAGCAGCTGCAGGGATGATGTAATAGAAGGGCTACTCAGGTCTATGGTAGGGGTGGGTTCTGCCTGTAGTTCTTCTTCTCTCTGGGCCCCCAGACCGCGAGTGTGGCGCGCTGGTGCCCATGCTAGGGGACCCCAGCGACGATCTGGTGCTGGACGAAGTGGCAGTTGAAAGCGTGGCTCGCTCTGAAACTGGCGCAGGCTCATCTTCAGGAGTGCTTTCAAACCACGCTCTCTGTGCCGGCACCGCGGGTGGAGCTCTGGATGGAGGGTTGGTGTCTCGAGGCGTGGTCTGCCTTGGGCCATTTGTTCTGGGGTTGGCCATGCTGGTGGTATCAAACGCGTGGAACCTGGTGGGCCGTTCCTGCGCCCTATCTCCGGAGTCAGGGAAGGGGAACCGTCTTGGAAGAATGAGGTTGGGCTCGCGGGATTCGGTTCTCTGCATGCCCAAATTGTAGGGAGTAGCCCAGTCCTGGTGCATGAAGGAGTCGGTCAAAGGCGTGATGGAAGGATTGAACGGACGACGGTAGGGGTTGAACACGTCGGTGGAGTGGTTGGCGAGGTGGTTCACCACGTCATTCGGGTCGTTGAAGTTATGAAACATGCTGGCACGAATTTGATTCAATCGCTTCAGCTTCGGATCGTTCTTCTTGGCTTCCACCTCCTCTCTACACAAAGGGCAACTGACGTTGCTCTTCAACCACTCTATAATGCACGATTTTCCAAAGATATGGTCACAGGAGGGCATCTTCACAGGCGTGTGGGGTGCTTCTTCCTCTTTCTTGGATGGCTTCGCCGGCTTATACCCGGGAAATGCTTCTTCTAACGTCGTAGGAGTTATGGTAGCGAGGTTTCGCATGGGAAACCTCGAATAATGACATATTTCGTCGGTAGGCATGAATAGCGACGGATCGTTGAACTTGTCAGCTAAATCAGGGGTATGTGTTCTTGCGTGGGACTTGTCGTTCGCCGTGGGCTGGGAGCTGGTTTTGGTGGCAGAAGACACCTCTTCGTACAGCTCGTAGCAGATAGCACACTCCTTTTCCTTCAAGTCTTGGATAGGCACTTCTCGCAAGCTATCGATGGCGTCCTGCGATGCCAGTTTGCCATTCATTCTGAATCCAGGAATGCCACTGGCGGTAAGCGCTCGTTCAAGCACGTCCCGGATCCATATTGGGAGGTCGCTGACGCCTGTTTCCACGTCCACGTCAACGACGGTATTGGCAAGAAAGTTGCCACGATTGGGGGAGTCCATGGTGAGGATGCTGGATTGAATGCGATGAGAGGGTGTGGTCGATGTCGGTGTCGTAGGTGAAGTTCTTGTTGGGGATGTGTGTGTGGAGTCCCTGCCTTTGTAATGGGTGGATTTGTAAGACGTTTCGATTGAATGACCACTTTTACCCGCTTTTTGCCCGTTGGTGTTGGTGATTTCGGGGCCTTCTCCTTGTAGTTAATAAGGAACTCGAAGCCGCGGGCCTGACGGAGGGTGGCTAGCTGGAAGGAATCGAGGATAGAGGTGTCCGGAAACCAGCAGGTCTTGGAGTAGGAAAGTTGATCGCGAGTGGGTCACGTGCACAGAGCCTAGGAACACAGATGGAGGCAGAAGCTAGCTGATCCAGGAGGCACGAGAGCTAGCAGAAGGTAGAGGGATTGGTAAGGGAGGACGATGGTGATATGGGGGATGTCAAATAAGTTGGACCAAGGTGCGATGGTCGCTTCTACGCCTATTTACGTCATCTTGAGTGCTTCGTACAATCTGCGCCAGTGCGCCCTATTTGCTAAATAGAAATAAAATTGCTTCTATGGTGGAAATCCGTGGTTCGCTAGCAGCACACGGATTACGGTACCGGACACCGGGAGCACGTTGAGTCCGCCCGGGAGGATGTGCACAGGCGTATGTGGTCGTCTTATCAGAATATTCTAAAATAAGAAATGTGTGAAATGTGGAGTGTAATTAGCGATACGGCGAGGTTCATTGCACCACAGGTTGGGTGACTGTAGTTCAGCAGCCACTGACATGGTGGCTCGCCTGTACTTTAAGTAGAGCCACGGGCTCCAGGTGTTGGCTGGGGTTGGTCGTCGGGACCTCCGTGGCGATGTGTTTAACAACAAAACACTAAGATGCTTTCACGTAGCCGTCTTGGTCTCTGCGTGGATCGTTTGGGACCTCTGCGATTTGGTGCATCGCGCTCCTCACAAATATTGCGCCCGCAAGTCCGTCACCATTCGTTGCTTATCGGATGGTAACGAGCTGATTTGATCCGCAGGCAATGATAACACCTGGGCGATCAACTCTGCCTGGTCCGCAGGCATGGCTGTAAGCTTTGCCTGAGTTCTGGGTGGCAAGTGGGGCCATTTCAGGGTTGCCTGTGCGAACGTCTGGCCGTATGCTGGCTGGAACGGCTGCTGAGGAACGGGTGCCGGGGCGGGGGACGGAGCAGCCGCGGTCTTCATGGCATCGCTGATGACGTCCTCGTCAACAAACCCCATGAGCAACAATGCCTGGGCGGCAGTCGACGCCAAGTGTGGCGAGAGCTGGAAAACCTCAAACGCCCTGGCGGCTTCGGGACCAGACACGATATTTTTGAGGGTAGAGATGAATTCGATGAGCTGGGCTGGGGGGATCTTGCTGAGAGTTTCGTTGATTTTATCGGGAACAGCAAATGGAAGTTGGGGAGGCGCGGGAGGAAACTTCAAGGGAACCAACGGAGTGATGGCTGGCGCTGCTGGAGCAGGGGCGTGGCTCATCGAGGGCTGGTTCATTTGGTATCCCATCTGACCAAACCCCACGGGAGGAGTGCCGCCCACGCCACCGTTCATCTCTGGTGGCAACACCACGTAGTTGGGCAATTTACTGCGATCCAATTGTAACACCGGTTTCTGTTCCAGCGGAGCACTCAGCTTCAAGAAACCTTCCTTGGACGATTCAATCCGCAACTTCTTGACCTGGCCACCATTCACCAACTTGACCTGGTTCAATAACTGGATGGCCCTGTAGGCGTCTTGTTTGGTCTGGTACTCCACGAAACAGAACCCTTTGTTCTTGCCCACGTAATCGAAACCAAGTCTTACCTCCACCACTTTTCCCGACCCACACACCACGGACTTGACTACAGACTCGTCCCAGTCGTATGGTATCTGACCGATGTATAGCACGCTTGAGGCTACGCCCGAGCCTTTCTTAGCCATTGTGATGTAGTTGGTGGAGTTTCTCATCTGTTGATGAAAAGTGTTGGTGGTTTGTGCAGGACGATTGGAGAGAAAGCACTTTCGTAAGTCAACCTAAGATTCAAATCATAAAATCTAGGCTCTATGGGCTTGGAGGCGGCGGTGAAGTATGAGTATCTGCTGATGTTCTTCGAGCTAGGACGTTACTAGGCCGTTTAGAGATAGACCTTCAAGAACAATCTCAGGGATACAGTAGCATAAACCTGTGAATAGAAGGTACTACGATGGGTTCAAGGATTAGAATCACAATTTTAATCGATTGATCTATCTTGTAATTCTTCAAGTGTTACTACAGTCATAAATGGGATTTTATTTTGTGGACCATAAATTGAATACCTACAATATTGGATGGGTTGTTTGTCGAAGTTGGTTGAACCTTCTACAGTCATGAAATGAGTTTGTTCATTATGTGGAGGACGATGTGAACTTCTGGTTTCTTGGTGTTGCACTTCCTTCCACTCTATGGCTACATATTCTACTATCGCTATCCTTCCGTATTATATTCAGTTACGTACGTCACTCTCGCTAGCTCGCTAGACTAAGCAACTCTCTCAGCACCACTCAACTTCACAGCAGCACCATACTTTTGCAACTTGGTTAATAAGTTGTCACCTTGCTTGATCAAAAGGTGGTACTGGCTGTTCTTGTTGTCTGGTCTATTCGTTTCTATGATTCCGTTCACCTTGTCGATGGTACAATTCAACTTCTTGTTGGGAATGAATTTGCACAAGTCTTGGTCCAAGAACTCCTCGCTAATGTTAAAGTTGTGAGCCATAGATTTCAAGCTCAACGACTTGTAACTCTCCAATAACTGACCGTAGGCCTTGCAACGCATTTCTCTCAAGAAGTAGTTGGCATGCTGGTGTAAGTACTTATTTGGGAGCAAGAGCGCGTCATATGATTCCAACAAATACTGGAAGAAGCAGTTGTACTCACAAGTGTACAATGAGTTGGTGAGATTCAACAATGGCTCCAACGAGGGGGCCGAGGAGTAGATTGACAAAATCTCAGGAGACTCAATGATCTTCAATCTCAAATCAACTCTTCCAAGCGTTAATACACCGCAAACGATAGCATAATAGGCCACCTGTTCGTACGAACAAAGCTCGGTGGAGGTGAAGGTTGCCAACGAATCGGTCAAAAGCTTGGAGGCCTCGGCAAAATTACGGGTGGCCATCAAGTAGATACCATGGTAAGTCTTGTATCTGTTACGACGCTCCCAATCACCACCCTTCTCGATCAACGCCTTCGTTTGTTCCAAGTACTTGGAGACCAACTGGTAATCGTTGAAGAAGAATTCGATTCTGGTCAAGGTCAACAAGATGTCAATTTTGCTTCCAGTGCTTTGAGGCAACTCGAGGGCCTTTTTGTAGGTTTCCACAGCGTTTTTGTGGTCCACGATTGTGGTGTAGTGTTCTGCAAGTCTAAGGGTGGCCGACAAGATATCCCATTCGGTTTCGTCTTCACCTTCGGCTTCCTTGATACGCAGCTTGAGCAAGGTGGCGTTTTCCTCATTCTTCTGCGCAAACTTGGTGTATAATGCCTCGTCGAATGGGAAATCATCCACTTCTTCATGCAAGTATTTGTAGTATGGGGCCATAGAATCGGCCTCAATGATGGCGGTCATTTCCTTGAAGAGTCTGGCCCTTTCATTTTTGCTGATGTTGGTTCCTAGAAGGAATTGATGCTCCGATAACGTGTGGTTAGGGATCTGGGGGGTGTCGGTGTCGTACTCCATGGCTGGTGTGGTGAAGATAGTTCGCTGAGTGAATTCGAAGGCAAATCGCGAGGTGCGACACGTGACCAACGACACGTGACCAATTAATTACACCCTGTTCAACCTACCCTACCCACTCCCCCAGTGGTCTGACGCAAGGCAAATGGTTGCTGGTAGGGGAGAAGGCACGGAAAAGTCAGGACACCTTCACTGCAAACGTTTCTGACCCTTCCTGCTCTCCTGGATGCACTTGGATCGGATGTGAAAAATCTTAGGGAACCTGCAGTTCCATCACCCGCTTGCCCAAGTGGTCGAAGGCAACTCTTGAGGGTGCTTCAATCTGGCAGGAAATGGCCATATTCTCGCTAAATTTGCAAATATGGATTCTTCGGCCCCTGCATGGTGGTGCAGGAGCCGGAGGAAAATCCGATCCAACCTGTAAACCACCCACCGGAGATGTTTGCATTTTCTCCCCACCGTTTGACATGTGCAGTATACCGTGTGGGGATCGGATTGTTCAGTCCAGTATATAAATCGAGCACAACCGCAGGCAGGTCGCACTGCGAATCCGTAACTACTTGTAACTACCTCCAGCATGAGTGTTAAAGACGAAATCCCAGCTATCTTCCTCGACAAAATTTCCCCCAAGGGACTTGAGTACATCCAAAAGACCAAGGACTTTGTCAATGACTGGTGTATTCCTGCCGACCAGCTCTATCACGACCAAATCTCACTCGAACCATCCAAGAGATGGAAAAGCACTCCCGAGGTCACTGGGAAATTGAAGGCCAAGGCCAAAGAATTGGGCCTCTGGAATATGTTCTTGTCCAAGCACTATCCCGAGGGCCCAGGGTTCACCAACTTGGAATATGGTCTTATGGCTGGCTACTTGGGCCGCTCGTTCTGCGCTCCAGAAGCCACCAACACTAACGCTCCAGATACGGGAAATATGGAGCTTCTTGCCAAGTACGGTACTCCCTGGCATAAGGAAAAGTACCTCAAGCCTTTATTGAATGGAGATATCAGATCTGCCTTCTTGATGACCGAGAGAGGTACTTCGTCTTCCAATGCGTTGAACATCTCTTGTTCGGCTAAGAAAAACGCCAAGGGTAACTACGTCATCAATGGGCTCAAATGGTTTGCTTCTGGTGCTGGTGACCCCAGAACCACCGTGTGGTTAGTGATGTGCAAGACCGACGACAATCCAGATGCACCATACCGCAACCATACCGTCTTAGTATTGGATGCCAAAAAGGCTTTGGCTTCTGGCAGAGCTAAAAACCTCAGACCTTTGGATGTGTTTGGATACGACGACGCACCACACGGACACTGTGAAATTGAATTCAACGACTACGAGGTGGATGCTGAGGAAATGAAAAATGTGGTTTTGGCTGACGTTGGCAGGGGTTTTGAGTTGATCCAGTCCCGTTTGGGCCCTGGAAGAATCCATCACTGTATGAGACTCATTGGTGCTGGTGAGTTTGCGTTGATCAGAGTCCAGCACAGAGCCAACCATAGAATGATCTTTGGTAAACCTTTGATGCGTTGGGAGTCCTATCTTAACCAGTTTGCCCAGTTCAAGATTGATATCCAAAAGTGCCGATTATTAGTGTTGAATGCAGCACACAAGATCGACATTTCCGACGCCAAGGGTGCTCAACAGGAAATCGCCATGGCGAAGATAGAAACCCCAAGAACCATCTTGAAGGTGCTCGATTGGGGTATCCAGATGTTTGGTGCCGAGGGTGTCTCTAACGATGTCGAGCTTGCTAGAATGTACGCCCATGCCAGAACTTTGAGAATTGCTGACGGTCCAGATGAGGCCCATTTAGGCCAATTGGCTAGACAAGAGATGAAAAAATATAAGGAGGCCGATAAATTCTTTGAGAGACATGCTGCTCAACAAGCCAAGATTGCCAAATTGTGAACTTAAAGTGCATTTTAGTTTCATAGCCTTCATTTACGAGTATATATTACGTTTTTGAAATCGATGTAGACGGAATTGAGTGAAACGAAACATTTTCGTTGAAAGCCATTAGGTAAGGTTTGCATTTTGTATTGAGAGCTGAAGAGCAAAGACAATACCCATTTTGAAAGAAAGTAGTGGGAATGCCACTTCTATTTTGGGGGTCTAGGCACTACTAGAAACGACTACTGTCGAATTCGACTTCGACTAAGATTTATGATCCACATCCACCACCACGCTTTCTGTAACTCTATTCCCCCTTATACGGTCTATTCTACGCTTACAGCACATTGGTCTCGAGACTCGTACGCTCGTTGGTGTATTATACATGAAATGAAATACTCATATCTCGTGAAATGACTAATATAAATCGGATTTGGTGAAGTCATTGATGAGACCCTTAGATAACAATCTCTTGCTTCTTGCCTTTTCGTCTTGGATGGTTTGAGAGTGCACAAGTTTCAATTCTCTTTCAGCATCATCAAATGGAATTTGCTCCAACTGGTCAAGGTGGTCGTCCTCTCTATCGATGTCCAACTCTCCCATCATGACTACGTTTTCTCCTCTCACCATGAACACTCCACGGTAGGCTTCTCCGAACTTAACTGGTCCCTGACTGGCATCTTCTCCTTTCAAGTAGATTCTTTCTATAGCATCTTGCAACACCAAGTTGGCAAATTGATCAAAAGTTCTTAATATACCAAAAATATTCCTTCCGTCCCTCAACAACACGAATGTCTTTCTATCCACCGATCCAACTATGGCAGCTGCGGTGGTGAAAGTGTATGATTCCAAGTATAAGTCTTCAACATTGGGTCCATTAGAGTCCAGGGATCCGGAGTTAGGCGCAGCCGGCTGCTGTTGGGCTTGTGTGGGCGAATTGGACATGGTAGTTGGCGTTGATATTGCGGTGGTGGGAGTTTAAAAGTTTTCGTCGTTTGTGGGTGCGCACGACCCAGTATGGAACGATAAGCTGGTTCCACCCAGGCCCCATAGCATGGGTAGGGCTCCTGGTGGGAGAAACGAACTTTTCCGATCACCGAGACCCTATGAAGATTCTGCTGGTATCTGTGGCATCCTTGGTTATCACTCTTTGGAGATTCGTGGGAAAAAACTACTCAAAAAATTCGAATAAATAAGCCTGATTCTTTAATTAATATTGGGTAAACCAGAAGGAGTTCACCTACCCTGGTAAGACATACGACAATTTTCATTGTTTTGATGTAGGAGTTGTCTGCAGTTGTGCTCTCTTTATTCTCCAATTTGAACCAGTATGCATTATCGAATGTTTATATGCACTCCCTCGATGGATATGAGAAAACTCATCCACTCACAGTTATCATCAGCATGTCTTTCTTCAAATTCAAGGATTACATAGAGGAGGGAGACTTGGTTCTCGCCTTCATTAGCAGAGGAACCATCAAGCCAATTACCGTCACAAAAGGAGCATTGTTAAACACCAGATATGGACACTACGAGCATGACAAAATGATCGGGTTGAAATATGGAGAACAAATGGGAGGAGAAAAAGGGTATGGGTTCATCCACTTGTTACACCCAACACCTGAGATGTGGACTCTTTCGTTGCCCCATCGGACTCAGATCGTTTACACCCCCGACTCATCCTATATCATGCAAAGGTTGGGAGTTACCAGTGGATCAAGAATCATAGAAGCTGGTACCGGATCAGCATCATTTTCCCATTCTTTCGCCAGAGCCATTGGTTTGGATGGGCGCTTGTTCACCTACGAATTCCATGAGCCCCGTTACTTGGAGGCGAAGAAGGAATTGGAAGGCCACGGTTTGGTCAACACTCATATCACCCATCGTGACGTATGCAATGACGGTTTCGAAATAGAAGTGCCTGCAAACTTTGGAACTGAAGTTAATGGTGATGTAGTTTTCCTCGATCTTCCATCTCCCTGGACTGCCATTCCACATCTCCCTAAGGTCATCTCCAAAGTGCGCCAAGTGGGTATATGTTGCTTCTCCCCATGCATAGAGCAAGTGGCCAAGACTGTGGAAGCATTGCAGCAGAATGGCTGGACCAATATTGAGATGGTGGAAGTGGCTGGTAGACGTTGGGAAGCCAGAAAGGACATGGTCAGAGACATCAAAGATGTCGTCAAAAGATTGAAGGACATACAGTCGAGAAAGAACCAGGGAATCGAAAACAGAAGACACGCCAAAGTTATTGGTGAGAAGAGGGACCATTCAGAAGTGCTGCCCGAACCAAGTGAGTCTTCAAAGGTCCAAAACACAGGCAAGGGCTTCAATCCATTCGGAAAAGGTATCAGAATCAGAGAGGGTGACGAGCAGTTCCAGTGGAGAAACGTCACCAAGATCGAAACCGAAGTCAAGAGTCACACCTCCTACTTGACTTTTGCATACATGCTACCAGAACGTGTAGAGTAATCACTTTGTCCTCATAGCTCATTAAAACATGTATGATTAATTACCACCGTCCATTTTTCTGTAAATGATAATTTTTTACCATCTTTAGTAACGACTCTTAATCATATCATCTATATGATAGTAGTCATATCCCGTGGATCACCTATCATAGAACATCTCAATACATGCTAGCTATTTCTACTTGGTCGTGCGCGGGCGTGATTATCCACCTTCAAGTGAGCGCCCAAGTCAGTGATAGTCATAGTTCCAACAACAGTACATCAATCAAACATGAGTGGGCAACCAATTGGTAAGTATACAACGGTACAAGCCGGGTGATGGGCGTCGAAGCTTCGTGTCACGGGATCGATTGGGTGGTAAGCGAGAAATCATTTTGCTGGCCTCGTTTCCACCAGTGCCTGACAAAGATCAGACCAGCCTTCGATAACCAGCATCTATTTGGTGTCAATCCATTAGGTATTGCATAGTCAATAATGAGTTTCGGATGATGATTGATCTAGAATTTAGAAATTCAGCATGTTCACAACTGGTACATGACAGGTCCACAGCATATTTATAAACCCCCAAATCAATCAGTCTATTTCAGAATGTGACGGCTACAACCCAGATCTTCGAACAGCTAGCACATGGTGCCATTGACATCCAAAACAGTACTAACCATTAGTTCTCGACCAAGGTACAGGTTTTGTAAAAATCGGTAGAGCAGGGACTAACTTCCCTGACCACACATTCCCCTCCATAGTTGGTAGACCCATCTTGAGAGCAGAAGAAAGAAACATACTCCTTCCAAATGATATCGAAATCAAAGACATCATGTGTGGAAGTGAAGCCAGTGAGGTCAGATCCTTGTTACAAATCAGTTATCCCATGGAGAACGGTATCATCAAAAACTGGGAAGACATGGAACATTTGTGGGACTACGCTTTCTACGAAAGATTGAAACAGCCCACCGAAGGTGAAAAGATTTTGTTGACCGAACCCCCAATGAACCCATTGAAGAACAGAGAAACCATGTGTGATGTCATGTTTGAAAAATACCAGTTCGGCGGAGTTTACGTCGCAATCCAAGCAGTTTTGGCGTTATACGCACAAGGTTTAAGTTCTGGTGTCGTAGTCGACTCGGGTGATGGTGTGACACATATTGTTCCAGTTTACGAATCCGTAGTCTTGAACCATTTGACGAAGAGATTGGATGTCGCAGGTAGAGATGTCACTAGAAACTTGATCAATCTTTTATTGCGTCGTGGATATGCATTCAATAGAACCGCTGATTTTGAAACTGTTCGTCAAATTAAGGAAAAGTTATGTTACGTGTCTTACGACTTGGACTTGGATACAAAATTAGCACAAGAGACTACCACTTTGGTAGAGTCATATGAATTGCCTGATGGTAGAGTCATTAAGGTTGGATCGGAAAGATTCGAAGCACCAGAGTGTTTATTCCAACCACATTTAGTTGATGTTGAACAACCAGGTGTTGGTGAGACATTATTCAATACCATTCAGAGTGCCGATGTTGACGTTAGATCTTCATTGTTCAAAGCAATTGTGTTATCGGGTGGATCCTCCATGTACCCAGGTTTGCCATCTAGATTGGAGAAGGAATTGAAACAGTTATGGTTAACAAAGGTCTTAAAGGGTGACGCTTCTAGATTGGACAAATTTAAGGTAAGAATCGAAGATCCTCCAAGAAGAAGACACATGGTTTTCATCGGTGGTGCGGTATTGGCCAACATTATGGCTGACAAAGAGCACATGTGGATCTCGAAACAAGAATGGGAAGAACAAGGTCCAAGAATCTTGGAAAAGTTGGGTCCACGTTAAGAGTCCTTAAGTATGAACTTACGCCAAAAGATACACGATAAATGCTTTAAGTTGAATTGTAAATGTACTCTCTATCCTGTATTGATAGACAACCTAAACACCACGTACTATGTGATTACGATTTGCACGTTCTATATTATTGTACTTATATACCTTGACCTAGTTCCCCATGAACTAGTATATGCTAATATGACGATCACCCATAATTCAAGTTCTCTATCTGCTTCAAGACAGAATCCACTAATGTATCGTACATGTCAGAGGTCATGGGACCACCTCCATTGATTCTCTTGTTATAACCATAATTCACAGCCAGATGAACCAAATCCCTAATGAAACCTTCGCTCACGATTTTTGGTTTGAGGAAGTCACTGTTAATACACTGGTCGATTGTCCATCTCTCGTTCGGATTTCTGGCCAAACAGTTCTGCATCAATTCTATTGCGCTTTGAGGCACGGGAATCCCTCCAATACCCTTGTTAGAGAAGGCTATTTTAACTTGGGGATTCATGATAGCCATTATTCTCTGATTACCTGAATATCCACCATACGGAGGCTTCCCATAAATCATTTGATAGACGATGCAACCGCAAGACCATACATCAGAAGGTTTTCCAACCTTCCATGTATTCTTTTGGGAGTATGATCCATTGTTATCAGAGATAGGTAGCCCAGGAAACGTCTGATTGACCTCTACCAATGCTTCAGGTGCCATATAATTAGGTGTTCCGATTTGTGACTCTCTGTAAATATTGGCAGTGTGGTCAGGGACAGCATTCGCTATTCCGAAATCAATTATCTTTAAAATCCCCCTGACAAATAAGAAGTTTGCCGGCTTCAAATCACTATGAACTATCCCAGCCTGATGCACCGCGTTCACGCATTTAAGCATCTCTATGGAATTGTACTTAACAAAATGTAAATCCAAGGGGTTATTCATACTGAGCTTTGTTTGAAACACATGTGCCAAATCAATATCACCGCATTCCATCACCAAGTATATTGAACCTTCACCAATAGCGTGATCTACCAACTTAACAACTCTATCGGAATGCTTAAGCTTTAAGAGCAAATCAATCTCACCCTTAAAACCTTTGACACATGCCTCATCAAATTGATCAAAAGTCACCTTTTTTATGGCGTAGAGTCGATTATTAACAAGTGCCTTCACCTTATACACCTTTGATGATCCACCTCTACCCAACAATTCTAGCTTCTCGTATTGATTTCCATTAATAATTATAATTTTCTTCTTGTGTTCTTCTGATTTGGCCGATGGTTGTGCTGGAGTTTGAGCTGGTGGTTGTATTGGTTGCTGGATGGGTAATTGCACATGGGGCAATTTATTTTCAGATGAGTATTGTTTTGCTGGAGGAAATACCAGATTTCCTGTGGCTTGCTGGTTAAAACCATTTTTCTGAGAATTATTTGTACCGGACTTATGTTGGTATGAATTAGGCAAACTTTCTTTTCTTGTTTTGGGTATTTTGGGCTTTCTAAAACTCTCTAAATCATGCAGGAGTGAATTAAAGGAGGCCACTGGGATATCAAGTAAAGGAGTTCTTTCTTGAGGCTTTTTGGGGTGGAACACATTATTTACTTCAGCATTCTCTTGATCCTGTCTTACAGAAAATAGTTTCTCATTGCCATCCAATGGTGAAGGCTTATTCTCTTGGTCTTGCACATCTAGATTTGGAGACTCAACTCTAGATATGTGGAATTGTAGTTCATTAAGGATTTTTTGGTCTTCTATCCTCTTTCTCAATTCTAATTCCCTATTTTTGGATAATAAGTTGTTGTCATCAACTAGCGAGAGAACAGTGTCTGGTTCCTTTCTGATTTCGGGGTCAATTTCATATTCATTGCGCAACTCATTTGATAATCCGACGGGTTGGCCAGTTGAAATTACTGGCTCAAGAGAAAATGGTGGTGGCGCATCTTCGGCTAAGTTGCTATGGCTGTCATAACCTTGCTCGATATCAGTCTTCAGGTAATGATCACTAAGTCTGGATGCACGCTTAGGAGGACCCAAAACCTTACCAAACCTTCTAGTTCCCCTTATTCTTTTAAGGGTGTGTACGCTGGAGTGTGATGCTGAGGGTTCTTCGTTGGAATGCTTGCTGCTACCGGGAGTGGTGGCAGGTGTTTTGGAGGCGAGATGATGGGGAGATTCCACTCCTTCCATGATGTCATCCTCAGAGATGGTGGTGTGAGTGTGGGAGCTCTGGTTGAACGAATTGTGGGACATGTGATGACTTTGGATTTCCTGGAATGACGAATGATGAGATGATGCAGATGTGTTGTGGGTATCGGAGGCTTGCTCTTTGGAAGTTTCCTTTGAGTTCGGCTGGGCGAGCGCCTCGCGCTCGGCATCCTTGAAATGAACCGAGAGCCGGCTCTTCAAGTTGCTTGTCCGAGTTCGTTCCGGAAAGTCCAACTCATATATGCCAGTGACGCTGACGTCGTTGGAGCTGGATGGCGACGCCTTGGTGCGGTCGTTGAGCAATGCGATGCTGTAGGAGCTTAATGCTGGAGGAAGAAATGTGTTATCGTCCTCGTTAGAGAATTGTCGTTTATGACTGGCCGACACGTTCGGTGATGGTCCCATGGGAGACCTTATGTATTTATATGACATTGCTCATGGATGTGATGATGGTGGTGATGGACGTGGTGGGGGCAAGGAGTGTGGAAAGGGAAAACGGTGGTGATGATTTATGCAGATGTAACGGTAGACGGCAGGGTATTCTTTTCAGGTAAACACGAGATGGTAGGTGTGGGAGTGTCTAGTAGCGCGTTTTGTTTATATTGTTCACAAAGGGAAGTGATCCGGCATATAGTCCAGATTTGCCAATAACCGGCAAAAAAGAAATGCTCCACGGCAGGTTCGAACTGTCGACCTTCAGATGACACAACTTATGCTATGAGACTGACGCTCTGCCAACTGAGCTAGTGAAGCTATTTCTGTGTAAGTCGTGTTTTCGTGATTGTTATTCGCCTTAAAAATATGCAATTTCTGAAACGCTTCTGAGGCGGTCTTCTGCATCTAAACATGTGGTAGTCTAATAAAAGGCAGGAGTTTTTCAGCGGGTTTATAACCTTAAACAGCTAGCTCGGGCAAAATACTTGAGAATTATGGGCTCATATAGGTGTAGGGCATGATATACTTTCCATTGGTAAAAAAAGCAAGATAAAAAAACAAAAAAATGCAAAAAATCATCAAAAAACGACTACTTCCCATTGGCAAAAAAAAAAAAGTTACTTATATTATTGCATTGGGACTATCATTTGGAGATCTGAAAGTTGTACAATCAGTTCGTAGGCTCCAGCATTCCTCTTATCCTTGTGAGCAATGATTTTAAAGTGGTAAAACAGATCAGCAACCAGAGACGAACAAAAAAAAAAATAAATACTAGACTAGCTTTAACAGGCCTTGAGAATTATTTCATAATCTTCGTATTCTTGTAATCTTATTTAGCTCTTTGCACACCGAATATAAAGTGCATCATCACTTGTAGCCATTGCGAAAGCATACCCTTATAAGAATAATTTACAGGCAAAGATCCAGATCCTTTCTGACTGAGATAAAAATAGTCCACGAGTATCGTGTGTCAGGTATCTGGTAGGTTTACAGGGCCCTTGGGGCTGGCGACTATTATGAAGTTGACTGGTCAATCTGATGCCATGCCAATAATCTAAATCCTAAATATTCTTCCTACCAATTTCCCAGTCTATACCACCAGAAGTCCATCTTTTCCCTACTTTCGATCGTGGGCCTTCTCTTGAGGCACACACCCCTACTAACATACTATCGCGGCAGGCATCACGGCATGTGCAGGGAATGCCAAGCCGATGGGTAAGTCACAGATATGTCAGACTCAACATGACGCATCTTGATTACGGCTGTCAGGTGTGCGTCCTGACACTCTTCAGCGCGTGCTCCATATATTAATTCCTGTCATCAGAACTAGACTCTCAATAGGTGACAATTCCTCGCTGATATTATTAAGTGAATTAATCAGTTTTTCGTATAAATTACTTTTTTGAGACTATATTAAGCCCCAAATTACAGCACCACGTCGTTACTACTTGGTGACAGGTACACAGCTTTGTAACCGTAGCTGTTGGGGAGCACCAGCGACATCAACCGTCCAAGTACTGAAGTGGTCACCTGTCGTCAGCCCTCCCTAGTATCGAGTCCATACTTTCGCCGCCTGCACACAGTCATCAGCCGACCCCACGTGTAGGGCTGGTATTAGTGACAAGCATGCAGGACGTAATCTGAGCAGGATAGATAAAATTGGCGAGATATCACCGGTGTTTTAATCAGTAGTGCCTCATCATGTCTTCCTCCACCAAAAGAATTGCATTACCAGCCAGAGTCGAACCAAAGGTGTTCTTCGCCAACGAAAGAACCTTTCTCTCATGGTTGAATTTCACCGTCATCTTGGGATCCTTGGGTGTCGGTTTGTTGAATTTCGGAGATTCTGTGGGTAGAATCTCTGCTGGATTATTCACGTTCATTGCCATGTTAACTATGATTTACGCATTAGTCACCTACCACTGGAGAGCCAAGGCCATCAGATTGAGGGGCTCTGGTCCATACGATGACAGATTTGGTCCTACCATGTTGTGTGTCTTTTTATTGGTGGCTGTTGTCGTCAACTTCATCTTGAGAGTCAGATCTTAAGCTACATAATAATCTACGTCATAAAGAATCAAGTTGTAGATTGGGCTGAATTACTCGAAAGCCGGGGTGGGAATGGACTCCTTGGTTTAGTCGAAGGTGCACAGATGCGTTAGCTTCTTACACTTTCTCGCGTACGTCACTAGCTTAGATGGAACATACACCAATACCACCGAACGAATGACTTCCTGGCTTTAATTTCTGTGTTAATATTAGAGTATTTTAATTCAATGTTTCAACCCTACGTTTTCTGATATGAGCTAATTTCATTGAGTTATGCCTGAAAAAAAGCTATTCAAGTCGTAATAACTAACCACTACCTCCTAGTCTCAAGTGTACTTCCTTTTGAGATCCCGATACCGGGAGAGAAAGTAGAGGGCCTCCAATTCTTTGGTCACATACTCGCCCTTCTCTAGCGCCGCAGCCATATCTTGTTCGTTTTCAGCACGAGTGCTTTGAAACGACTTCTTCAACACCTGTCGGAACTTGCCATACCCTCCCGACTGGACGGGGTAATCTCGGCCCATATACAACAAGTTTCTATACAAGTTTCGTACTCGGGGGTCCATGCTCAGTGGCTTTTGTACCTACTTCAAGATGCCGATGTGCCAAAGGTTGTGTCAAATCCTAGTGGTCAAGGTGCTCTTCGAGGTTCTAGTCAGTTATCTTCTTGACCTGCCAGTAGTCATATGCCTGTCGGTCGAGATACGAGATGAAGTATGTCGCATTAGGCTTGCGACAATCAAATCTGCAAACACCACGAATTGGAGCTCAGCAAAAGGTTTTTGGCTGGAGCGCAGCGAAGCAGAATGGAATGCTCGATCGAGTGCCAATCCTAAGCTTCCATGCCTATTTAATTGGCTTACAAAAGCTCCTATTTCCATTGAACTGATTGTCGTCCCTCCTCCGTCTTAGTCACAATGTCGCTCGGGTCTGCGACACTGGAACCGTGGGCTAATCGCACCCCAGAAAATGCTATCACCAATAAGTACCAACACTTCACTCCATCCCCAGCTTCTTAGACTCCTAGCCTGTCACGCCATGCCAGAATCGAAGTACCATCCGTCGAAGGTCGTGGCCCTTTTTGTTGCTCAGTTTGATATCCGGTCAGGCTACCAGCTTGTTTGGTCAAAATGTTCGGTGCCAGGAATGTCCTTGGACGGCTTGGACTACAAGGCGTTACCTTCGGGCATCCACGAGTACCAGAAGGCCACCGTGTTACTTAGCCACAGTCACCAAAATAAGCTTTACTACGGACAGAGCCGATTTCGCCAGTACATCGTGGGGGACCAGCCCCACGAAGGAAGCATCGACAGAGACACCGTCAAGATGTTTTCCGTTGGGGTGGTGTGCGATCCCACCGCCAGCCAACTGGCAGTGGCTCATACAAATTGGAAACCCAACGAGTTCATCAATAATGGCTGGGAATACTCCGAGATTTTGGACACCAACTTGGAACAGTTTCTTCAGGAAGGAAACTACGCCAACTACGACATCTTCGAGCGCCTCTACCAATCGCTCACCTCCCACATAACCCACCTCAGTGTAGTGCCTCTCCAGCCTGACATCAACCACCACTTGTTGACCAAGTTGCCCAACTTCGTGGACTTGTTTGGGCCACTCATCTTTATTCTCTTCAAGCAGAGCTTGTTGAGAAAACGGGTGTTGATTTTCAACCGCAATCACGGCAACAATGCCGACTACTTGACGGTCAACTCGTTCTCCTACATCCTATCGCTCTTGACTGTGATTCCCCAGAACATTGAAACGGTGTCCAAGGACGAAAAGAACAACTACTACTCGCAGCCCATATACAACGTTGGTTTGAACGACTTAACGGGGCTGGATCTCTTGAAGACAAAAGCGTACGTGGCTTCAACCAACGACGACGTCTTGCTCTACCAGAAAAACTTGTTTGACATTGCCGTAATTATCAACGACGAGGAAAGCGACTATCCTGCCATTTATAACCACAAGGACATGGGTGGAGCCCTCGACCAGAAAAAGAAGCTCAAGGCTACCGTCAGGGACTACTACAAGTTCAAGGCCATCCACAACGAATTGCACAAGTCCACTGGCTCCAGGCTAACCACTGAGTTCACCAACAAGACCAACATGTCCACCGACGACTTGAATTCGGTGCACACAAAGATCTCGTCGACATCGTTGAACCAGTTTGATGACGAGGTCGCAGACGAGCCTGCGTGGTGGGTGAACGATGCCACAGAGGCAGTCTCGTGGAGAGAATCCATCTGGTCGGCGTTCTCGTGGTTTGCCAGTGCTGGCCAGGTGGTGAGTAACACCCACAGTGAGCCGTTATCCAAGAACGATCGCAACGGAAGCTTGGATATGATGCAATTGGTGAATATCGTCGGGTTCTTCCACAGCTTGACCAAGAAATGGATCTACTTGATCAACGAGATTGTCATAGAGCAATTGGAGGAGCAGAACCCCGGGTCCTCGGATACTGAGGCCGAGGCTGACGACGACAGGGACGAGGATGCTTCACTCTTCTCTTCGTTGACTTCCAACCACAAAATTAGCTTGGAGCTTACCTACCAGGACTTGGTAGACATGGAGCTCGATCCGTATTATGCCCAGGACGTGGAGTTTGTAAGGGAGTTTGTGATGTTGTACTGGGGATCTGTGGTGGAGAATGTGGATATCGGGATGGGCATCACTGGCATATGCTGCTGAAGCAAGGCGATTCTTGAAGAGTTGGTAGCTTCAATACTCTGCAAACAGGATAGTCCATATTGCTACGGGTAGGGGAAAATATCAAAGCAGCACACCAGTCTGATGGGTGTTTTCTCCAAATGCAATGTCGAGAGTAGTTTCATGGCCGTGTTACGCTTCGGGTCTATTCCTGGTGATACTCGGCATGTCCTTTGGATGAAGTGTGGCACGTTGCTTTTCACCACAGACACTCTGAGTTACCAGCTATTGTTCAACATTACACAGCTAAAGCAATCGACTCAGCATGCCAAAGTGCGCTACTGAAACAATCTACTTCGAAGCGCTGAAGTGCTTCAATTTCAGCATAGTCAAAGTGACTATTACCTCTACTTTGAAGCGCCGAATTACCCCATTATTCCTCATAATCAAAGTGCTAACTACAGCAGTCCAGAAGACCTGTGCAACACTGAAATTACTCGTACTAAGCCTATCATCCGTACTTTACATCATTCATAGACATTAGCACGTATTCTAAAAACGTTAATATAGGTACGAGCAGGAAGTAGCGGACATACATCCTCTTCACTAGTGCAATGCCCCCTGGAAAATCAACAGAGTATATGATGCCCAGAGTATGAGGCTTTCAAGAGTTTTTTATTTCACTACCCCAAGTCTCTGAGAAAGCACCTCAAATCCACCACTTTCCAATTACGCAATCACTCGTATGACAATAGCATAATAATTAATAACACCACGAGCACCGTAGCGCCCTCTAGCGACACGCCAGCGCCACTGGTGCTAGAACCGCCCATGCCTAGCGCCTCCCTCGGGCGACTCCGGCAACTTCAACCTTTAGCACTGGCCCAGCCTCCTCTACTTCCATACTTCCGCAGCCGCCCACTCCTTGGCGCACGCCTGGTAACACCACACGACACGTCTGGAGGTAGCCAGGCACCAACCCACCCCGAATAGACCCACTCGCCTCTGAAATAGTAGCCGTAGCTGGTCGCTTGCGCCGTAGTTTCGCTACCTCAACTATTCCCGTACTATATTTGCTGGGGCAGCCTCTATCGTGGCTGGATAAACAAATACGTGGAGGAATCAAAAGGGCGAAAATTAATCTGGAAATAACTTACCAGTACCTTTACTACTACACCCCGACCTCTCAACCAAGGACTCTGGCGATAGTCTGTGGAGGGTATAAAGAAGCACACGTGGACATACCAACTGAATTGTCCCCCAAGATTGATTGGATCTTCATAGCTCTGCAATTGGAGTGCCTGTCTGTCACAACAAAGTGAACAAGGCTGAGGCAAGTGCAACCCCCGAACTCCATCAGGAACTGACTGTACGCCTTCGTTGGCAGTATCAATAGGAATTTTCCAGCTACCCGTCCGTGTGCTGGTTAGCTCTGGAGCATTCCGTCCAGCTAGTATCAAAACAAAATGAAGGGCCAGAACGCCAATCGTGGCAACCCCCAAAAGAACGGCCATCGCCGTTCCAACTCCCGCTACAACAACCAGAACGGCCACCTGGCCACTGACGACGGCACCGACCGTTTGTTGTACTTGGTGACCAAATCAATCGGCAAAAAGGTCACCGTGACCATCACCAACGGGGCCCGTTACCAGGGTCTCCTCCTCAGCGCCGACTTGTCGTCGCAAGGAACCTCTCCTTTGTCGGTGGTGATCATGCATCCCACTCAAGTTAGCAAGGGTTTGATCTCCGAGAAAAGTAACATTGATGAAAACGAGGTCCCCGAGAAATTGATCATTCAATCTAAGGATTTGATTGATTTGGAAGTCGCTGAAGTCGATTTGAATGATAGCTCCAGGCAAACACCTCAACCTGAAGTAGTTCCTCCTCCTCAGCCATCTCAACAAGCCCAACCTGCCTCCAAAAACCAACCTGAGTTCAAGACTGACTCAGACATATCTGGCCGTTTCCAACTTAAGGAGAGAGAGTTGCAAAGGTGGGTTCCAGAAGATGACAACAACCCTGTCTTAAGTTTGGATGACGATGCATTTGGTTCTAACAATGGCCAATGGGATCAGTTTAAGGTGAATGAAGAGAAGTTTGGTGTCGAAGCCTCTTATGACGAGCATTTGTACACTACTAGAATCAACACCACTGCTTCTGATTATCAAGAGAGATTGGCAAAGGCCGAAAGGTTGGCAAAAGAAATCGAAGGTCAAACTACCAGTGACCGTCATATTTTAGAAGAGAGAGGAATTCAGGTTGATGACAGTGGTATGGATGAAGAAGACAAGTATTCTGGCGTTGACAGAAGAGGTGACGAATTGATGGCTGCTTTGAGAAATGCTAGTATTTCTAGTGATGCTTCAAGCTCTTTGCGTGCAAGTTCTCCTGGTAAATATGTTCCTCCAAGACAAAGAGCTGCACAATACCACAATGACCCTGCTATCATTTCAAGTTCTGCAGCTTCAAAGTCGAAAGCAACAGCAGCTTCCCCTGCACCTGCTACTGAAACAGATGCTACATCTTCTGTTCAAGAAAAGGAAGCTGGTACTTCAAAAGCTCAACTTGCAAAGCCAGACTCCATTCCAGCGAAGCCCCAAGTGCCTCAGCATAACGAGTCATTTAGATTAAATGCTCAAAGTGAAATTAATTCTTTACGCGAATTCAGTGCTAACTTCAAAATTCCTCACAAAATGCCCCAAGACTTATTGCCAATCCTTTCAAAGGACAAGTTGAAGCAAGATGAAATTTTGAAGAAGCAACAAGAAACTCAACGTCAAAAATTAGCCAAGGAACAAGCAGCTTTGCAACCTCCAGTTCAAGCCAATTCTCAACAAACTCCTGCCCAAAAGAAGAAGGCAGACACTGCTAAAGCTGCGTTTAAGTTGAACCCCAAAGCGGTTGCTTTCACACCATCCAACAAGCATGTTCCGTTATCACCAAATCCACCAAAGGCAAATTTCCACAGGTCCCCAAACAACCCTTCACCAAGAATTAGCAATTCTAGGCCATACTCAGGCTCAGGCTCCAGTGCGGGTAGCAACAGTTCGTCAAGAAGACACCACCAAATTTCTCCTGCTGAGTTTTTTGGAGGAGCTGATAGGATACCAACCAAGGAAAGTCAAGAAAAGAAAGCTGCTGACTTCAAGTTTGCCTTCAGCTTGTTCATAACCACCAAGAAGAACCATCAAGCCAAAGGTGCCAAGACTCCAGTTGCTTACGAGAGAACTTTCAAGACTCCACCTACTTGGGACTCAAACTTCGATGATACCCACGACAAGTTGTTCCCCTCGGTAGAATCATTGAGCAAGGGTCCCGGAATGATAATACCCTCTTCTCAATTCATCCCAAGCCCATTGATGGGCAATCCTAATGTGCCGGCAGGGTATCCAGCACCAAATGGATCTAAGTTCCCAATGTCACCACACCAGCAACAGGCAGTGGCTGCTGCTATACATTTCCAACAACAGCAGCAATTCCATGCTGCTATGTTGTACCAGCAACAGTTCCCAGGAGGTGTTCCACCAGGGCAACCTCCTATGCCCATGTATCCCGGAGGCGAACCACCATTCATGCCACCAGGAGGATTCATGCCACCACCGGGGGGCTTTGTTCCAGGTGGAAGTCCTGTCAATGCCAATCTCATGATGGGCCAAGGCAGCCCTTACTCTGGAGGAAACCACCACAACTACAACAACCACCATAACGGAAATGGGAGAAGGTACAACCAAAACTCTTCGAAGCGGGGTGGTCACAATTGATTTGATGGTGATTGAAAATGACAAAAGAAACTAGGACCAGGTTAAGTCTAGGAATCGATCGGCGAGATCTGATAGATAGGAACACGAACAGTGCCAAGTCGGTGAGCCTGGCAGGAAGGCTGTAGCTGGCTCACTCATGAAGACTTCAGCGTTGAGCGACAGGCAGCGGAGGTGCAGGGGTCGAATCAACATCTTCTCTGTGGACACAGGCCTGGTCGAATGAATAAGATTCGAATAGATGACCGTTCATTAGCATATCTGTAGAACTGGCGAATGTGCCTCAGCAACTTAGAAGTAGTATTGTGTTGATCGAGCGACAATTATGTGAAGTCTGGCTACGTGATCGGTACTAAGAGTTACCACTTGGAAATAAGTCCAATATCAAAGCTGAGAGAAGCTTTACAACAAATTCGATAATGCACCCTATATCAGTTGATTTTGGGCTGAAGTGCTCAATTAGCTTATTGTGCATCTATTCAATCCATTGTTAATTCCTGAAAGTTCAAAACGATGACTTCACGGAAAACAAATAGTTGTTAAATCAGTTCATAGTAAATCCCTAGTATTAATTATCTATTAATAGAAGGTTACCTGGTGCTCATTAATCTGAATATTAATCGTTTCTCAGATGAGACAACCACAACTTTTTCAAAGTTATCTGTGCATGGGATTCTTCAATCTCACCGAGATAGCACCAGGAGATTGTCGCTAGAGAAACGCGAAACCGTACAAGTTGTGCTCTTTTCTGGTACCATTTTTGCCAATTTCTCACTGAGCTAGGATTTTTTCCCACTACCTCGCGCTTCGGCGTCGCTGTTGCCCCACTATGTCTTGTTAGTTCTCGGTAGCTGCCTCCAGCCCGCGCGCCAATTTCCACCCAGATCAACACGTATAACCACAACACAGTCGTCACCATGACGGACATAGCACTCTCCAAAATCGCCAATCTCATCAAGGTCGAGGATGACTTGGTCAAAGTGGCCTCGCTAAGGCAGCAGTTCATAAAGGAAAAGGCCTCAATTGATTTGAAGCTCAGTACCACCACCCAACTCCAAATCGACTCCATTATGACCAACCTCTCCCGGCTCAACAACGCTGCGCTCAAGCTCAACACCATCAAGCAGAACATTGGCACCATTAACCAGGTGCACGACGACTCCATTACCAACATCAAAGACTACGCCACCATCAAGAAAATGACCCAGGTCAACCAGTTCATGGCCCAGGTCATGGACCTCTACCGAGACATCTCCCAGTTCAAGACATTTTTGGACCGTCTTAACAGGATGATTGCCGAGGAGACTAAAGCCATCCAGGACAGCTTGGTGTATCGACTCAACAACTTCTTCACCATTCATTACCTTTTGACCCAGGCGAGAAACTTCCAGGACTACTTAGAATTAGATACCACCAGCATATCCGACGACTTGCAGTCCATCATCCAGCGTATCGTCAACCCCATCAAGAAAAGCATCCGTCTCTTCGACGAATTGTTGGTGGAAATCATCACTTCGTTGACGGAATCTGTCAAAGACGGTAACATCGAGCTTATTTTCAAGTTAGTTAAAGTCATCGAATTCGAAACCACCGAAGATACGAAGTTCACGCTAATGGAGAGCCTTGGGCTCAATTCTCAGAGGGACTTGAAGAGCATAAATTACTCCAACTTTAGAGGGGCCCGTAGAAACTATAAGAAGTTTTTTTACGACAAGTTGGAAGAGAGTCTTGACGAGACATTCAACGGGTGTATCGACCATTTTGCACACGATAAGATGGCTGTGTATGATAATCTCGAGTGGCTCGAAGATGAGTTGCTATTTGTCAACGAAAAGTTGAATCCTTTATTTCCAAATACTTGGGAAATTAGTTCGTTCATCCAAAACGTGTACTATAACAGATTGCACAAGTTCACCATGGAAGTCATCAAAACAGATCCCCCTGCTGAAGATTTGATGAGAATCTTATCGTATGACTCCCATTATGGTAAATTCATGACTCAATTACAGAGTGACGAGGAAGAAAGGCGAAAATCATTAAAGAATGGAAGTGTGGAAGCTGCATCCAACAGAAAGTCCGTTATCAAGAAGGACCAAAAGTCCATTATTGGCGAAGACCTAAAGAACTTGGTGTTGGAAGACTACCTCAAGGTCATTACTATCAAGATGGAAGAATGGAATCAAAACTTGATAAAGCAAGAGACTAAGGCCTTCCACGATCGTGAGTCGCCTCCAGACGTTTACAACTACCACCAAGTTATTGAAGATTTGGATGCTAATGACGAAATCATCAGCTTAGAAGTGGATACAGATGTGTTTGTTTTACCTGATTTCAAGACTCCGTTGACGATGCTCAAGGAACAATCAGATGTGGCTGCAGACTCGGGATACTCCAAGATTTTGGTGGGTGTTATAGAGAATTGGTCAAGGGGCTACAACGTGAGAATCGAAAATTACCGTACCATAATAGAGGAGGAATATTTGAGATACATGGCAGCGTACAACAACGATAAATACTTGGTGACTCAAAGTAAGCTCAGAAGAATGTTCAAGAGAACCCCACAAGAAACCAATATCGATATTGATAATATGACTCCTGACGAGTTGGCTACTATTTCGAAACCCGGTTTCATCGAATATTTGACTGCATTGGGTAATACTTTCGAACTCAACACCGATAGATTACAAGACAAATTCTTACCTTTCTACAAGGACAAAGTGCATGCCAACTACCATGACAGAATTATTAAGGCTTTTGAAGATACATTGAATCCAAGCACTGAGTTAATTTCGCAAATCATCAGGCACATTGTGGAAATTATTGTCAACGACTTGTTCCCTGCATTATCTGCTGTGTTCACCAAATCGTGGTACGAGGATGGAAATGCCACTACCAATAATGACAGTATAGCTATGGCCACCAAAATCGTGGAAACAATCGGGGAGTACATGGAGGAACTCAGAAGCTACACTTCGTATGATATTTACCAAGTCACGTTCAACATCTTGTTGGATACCTTTATTGCATCTTACATCAAGTTTGGATATGCTAACGTCTTGAAGGGAGACGGAAAGAAAATTGATCCAAATGCCACCAAGAAGTACAAGTCGTTTGCTGAGGCCATCTCCAGGGATACAACCATATTTTATGGAAGCTTAGAGCCTTTGTTGACCAGGAAGGATCGTGAGTACTTGTTCAGCAGCTTGAGTGCCCTCGAATTCATGAGTGACTTAGCCACTTGCGAGCAACCAATGAAGGTGATTCCTCAGATCTGGGAAAACGACATCCTTAATGTATTTTACTACTGTTCTGTGGATTACGTGAAGGGAATTTGCTTGTGTCGTAAAGACATGGACAAGTCGCAAGTCAACGAGTTGATTCCAATTTTGGAGGAGATCAAGAAGAATCACCATCTCAACGTGGAACCACCAACTCTTCCTATTGGTGCCTTGACCGACTTTCTGTATGAATCATGAGCCAGCATGTGTAATAAGTATACGAATTCCAAAAGAAGACATTTAATATCTAGTTGTAAATTGCACTGTATCGTTCGATGATAAATTCTATTACTTTTATACTAATATCTTCTCCATTTGCTTTCTGATAATATTCACGTCTTTGTTCATATGAATATCTTATACAATTTTAACGTACCCTGACAGAAGAGGCGCCGATGTTTTAAAATGATCTTCTATCATATCCTTTAAAAGAAGTGTAATTTGGACACTAAATCATTGACTCCTAATCAAATGATTGCATCATATTATTGTGCTCTGTAATAACTACTTCTCATTTAGTATTCGTTTCTATTTTCGTACACTGTTACTCCTCGTCTGAAGATGAGTATGCTCCCAAAGCAGAGGCCAAAGATTTGGTATGTCCAGACTTTTTTCCGTGCTGGCCAGCTTCTGCTTGATTCTTTGAAGGCTTCTTTTTCAAGGTGAACGAGGACTCAATGCTCTTTCTGACAGGCTCGGTAGAGGTTTTTGTTATCAAATCCTCAACAGCTTTGGCCATCGACTTCTCTGCTGTCGCCGCCTCTTCTTTGGCTCTTTTGTCGTCTTTGCCTTCCTGAGCCCTTTTCCTATCAAATGCCCGTTTGGCGACCTCGTTGTCCTCTTGGTCATGAAGTTCCTGCTTCATGCCCTCCAACTTATTTATTTCAGACTGTAACTTTGCCTTGGCCTCACTCGCCAACACTTCGTCACCACCCTTCGCCTTGAGCTGAGAGTTTCTATAGTGTAGCTCCTCCAACTGGTCGTCGATCATCTGTTGTCGTTGTTGGTCCTGGAGCTTCTTCTCTAGGTTTTGCATCATGTCTCCGTCTCCATCCTTCAATGACTCCGATTTTTGCCAGAACGGATTCTTCTTACGCTGCTCCTTCAAGGTCTGAAACGACTGGTTCTCGTTCTCCTCCTTCTCCAACCGTTGGAGTAATTCGTCCTCGGTTTCTTGTGACTTTGGTGCTGGAGCCTTAGGTTCATAGTTCCTCACTGCACCCTCTTCTGGCGTATACCCTGCCGTCTGGGGGTTGGTCTTGAAGGTGATTTTGTTGTTGCACCTAGGGCAGGTGATGTGGAAGCGGATGATCTTGGTGCTAAGGTACTTCTCGTTGGTGACCTCCTTTCTGGCGTTGAAGGATCGCCTTTGGGCGATGTACTCGTTGCACTTGAGACATCTCATGGAGTATGGCGCCATCATCCGGATTTTGATGTCTGGAGTACCAGTGCCTGTTTTGCGTTTCTTCTTGACCTGACTGGGATCATAGTCGGGCGGGTAGTACTTGTTGATGGCTTTTCTTTCAGACATTGGGTCACTGGATTGCTGGGTGTATTTGGAACATAGATAAGCGGATGTTCACCTCTTGGGAGTGAGAATGTTTAGATGAGACAGATTATGTTTCGTTAGTAGATTGGAATTAAAACTGAGAGATATGGAGGAAAAACCTCAACAGATTGATTTTTGAGGGTGGCTAGAGTTGTGATCTAGTAGATTAATGCTGCACCAGGTACTGGTAGTATCAATAAATGGTACTTCCACTAAATGTAATACGAATATTAACTGATACTTAATGAAGTAATGATCCGTGCGATGGCCAAGCCCAACAGAGCACACCACATCCATACGGCCATGACAACTACCAATTAATCCCTCTACAAGCTACGACCATATAATACACATAAAGTTTTATTAAGATGCATCCCAACACTAACTGCTACTACACTCCACAAGTATAATCAAAATATAGTAGAGCTTACGAAGTTGTTTATTCAGCGTTTCTCTTAGCAGCTCTCTTGGCGGCACGCTTTTGAGTACCAAAGATCTTCTTGTCTCTGTTCTTCTTTTGCTTTCTTTGTTGTCTACCAGCCTTGTCAACCTTGGAAGCCAAACCGTATCTGACCAATCTGTAGTTTGGTTCGAACTTCTTGGCGTCGGCAACGGATTGGTAGATCAAACCGAAACCAGTGGACTTACCACCACCGAATTGGGTTCTGAAGTCGAAGACGGAAACAGCATCCTTTTCAGCCTTGTAGATTTCAGCCAACTTTTCACGTAATTCGTCCTTGGAGACGTTGGCTCTGTTTGGGTGCAAGACGTCGATGACGAATTGTCTTCTGGCCAACAATGGGTTGGAAATAACCTTACGAGTTCTGATGGTAATGGCGTCACTCTAAAATGTTAGTATTGCTCCGGGATGCGAGCCGTCGACGTTGCCACGCTGCTGGCACAGGGTGTCTGCTGGTTTCTGGATGATGTGTGGCTTCTCTTGGTGATTGCTTGCTCAGGCTTCGTCTGTGAGGTTGATTATCTCCATCGTTCTTGATTGGACATCGACAGGCCCATTTCTCTGATTGGTATGCTCTGGTTTGCTTGACGCGGGTTCGCTATGACGGCTCTGGATCTTCACGTTCGGTGAACGTATTCATTTAACATACCATTTTGCTGATATCAAATATGGTCTAGTATCTGAAAAATCGTAGGAAAACTTTTTATGAAAAACTTTTAACGGTATGGTTCCTCAGAGCGGTGCGCGATAGTTGGGGCTTCTACGCAGGACCAGGGTACAGTGCGGATGGTGGGGTGCGGTGTGGATGTTAGGAGGTCGTGCAAACATACCATACGGACTGCATACATGTGGAGAGGACTGAGGGCTCAAGCCCTAACCAAAAGAGAGCACGTGAATTATGAAGGACTTGGCTGCGAAACTAGCAAGGTGCTACAGATGTGAGCCACCTGTTGTTACGACGTATTTTGAAGACACAATCATAGCTGACTAGGTTTGTTAAAGCCACTTAAGTTGAGAACTCTTCAACGGTTAGAGTGATTTTGTATCGACTTGGTGGATTGTAAAATTGGAGGGTCATTCCAAGATCAGCCGAAATAGCAGTAAATTATTTGGAACAATTATGGAACAAAAAGCACCAAACAGTTACCAACCTAAAGAGGTAGGCCGATTTAGTCACCTATATCCCATGGTCAATTAAGGTCCATTTACGACAATTTCATTAACACACCTAAAAGTAGCAGTTTGTATAATGCACATGTGGGTTTTAACTTTTTTGATTGGCTTTGAAAGCTCAATACTAGCTTAAATAGGTTACATAGGTCCCTAATGGTAGTTTCTAAAAGGATGAATTTATTCATCTTGATTTATGAATGGCTCGAAAGGTCCACATAAACAATTACAACAGGTAAATAAAGTATGACTTTTGTCAACTTATCTTAACAAAATGAGTTTAGTCCCCTTAGGAAATTTTAAGGCTGATTGCACCGGCCTAAGGTTATAAAGTTGTGCAAGGGGCTAGGCGACCGTATATACTTCCTGAGCTAAGGTACCTTTGATTCCAGACGTTCTACACTGACTACTAATCGTTTTTTCAATATCGTATATTCATGTCGTGACTCAAGTCTCGTAAATGATATCTTAATAACTTATTTTCATGGGTTAGGTCTCGTAATTGAAAGTTCTCAGCAACCTAGAATATCTCGCGACTGGGGCTATATCCTTAGACCTGTAAAGAACCGATTCTGACAGCCTTGGTTTGGGTGTAGTTGTCCAATGCTTCGACACCCAACTCTCTGCCAATACCAGAGGTGTTGAAACCACCAAATGGAACCATAGCATTGAAGTCATTGTAAGTGTTGACCCAGACAGTACCGGCATTAAGTCTCTTGGAAATGTTGAGCGCAGTGTTAAGGTTGGAGGTGTGAACACCAGCAGCCAATCCAAAGTCGGAATCGTTGGCCGATTCGACAACTTCATCAATGGTCTTGAACTTGGAGAAAGTGACAACAGGACCGAAGATTTCTTCTCTCAGGATTTGCATGTCTGGTCTGACATTGGAGAAAATAGTGGGTCTAATAAAGAAACCCTTTTCACCGTGTCTGGTACCTCCAGTAACAAGAGTGGCACCTTCGTCCATTCCGATTTCAATGTATCTCAAGATCTTTTCGAATTGAGCTTGAGAGGCTTGGGCACCCATAAATTGGCCCTCGGTGAAGGGGTCTCCAATCTTGACTTCTTCAGCAACCTTCTTGAAAGCAGCAATAATCTCGTCGTAAATACCTTCTTGAACGTAGACTCTAGAACCAGCAGAGCAGACCTCACCGGTGTTGTAGAAAATACCGTTGGTCAACGCAGAAACAGCAACATCGACGTTAGCATCATCAAAAACAATGTTGGCGGACTTACCACCCAATTCCAAAGTGACCTTCTTCAAGTTAGTTTCAGCAGCAATCTTCATGATTTCTCTACCAACCGGGGTAGAACCGGTAAAGGCGACCTTCTTGATCTTGTTGTGTCTGGCAATGGCGTCACCGACAGTTTTACCGAAACCAGAAACAATGTTGATAACACCAGCAGGAATTCCAGCTTCCTTGATGAAGCTGGCCAAGTACAAAGCAGAGAGAGGAGTAGATTCAGCGGTTTTCAACACGGTGGTGCAGCCAGTGGCCAACACAGGGCCCAATTTCCAGGCAGCCATCAAGAGAGGAAAGTTCCATGGGATGATTTGACCACAAACCCCAATTGGCTCTCTGCGTGTATAGTTGAAGTGAGAGTCGCCTGTTTCGATGACATTCCCGAGAATCTTGTCGGTCCAGCCGGCACAGGAACGTAAGTATTTCACCACAAGCTCGACATCACCTCTGGAGTTGGCCAAAGACTTACCGTTGTCGAGAGACTCGATGTGAGCAAACGTTTCAGCGTTTTGCTCCACCAAGTCAGCCAACTTGTTGATGGCCAACGAACGGTCGAGGGGGTCGCCCTTGAACCATTCGCTCTGGAAGGCCTTGGAAGCAGCCTCGACTGCAATGTCGACGTCCTCCTTGTCACCTTCGTAGACGTGGGAGATTTCCTCCTCGGTGGATGGGGACAACACCTGGAAGGTCTTGGCCAGCTTAGACTTGACAAACTCGTTGTTGATGAACAAACCGGTGGGCTGCTCGTAGGTTGTGCCGTTTGGAAGTGTGATTGGCACGGACAATGGCAACGAGGAGTACATTCTCAGCGAAACATTGTAGGATGCGCGGGCAAGGACTCTTGCGGTGGTAGAGGCTCTGTTCATGGCGAAGCAGGATGATGAGGAGATGGTTGAAGAGCGAAAGGCCCCAGCTTTATAGTGCTCCAGACGTTAGGGAGGATGGGGCTTTTAGGCGTTATGATGAGGGGTATGGGGTTGGGTCCCGATGAGAGGGCCCCACAAATGCTAAAGTCCGGGAGTGTGTACGGACCCTGGGGGTTTCTCGGCTGGCAAGGCCTTTGTCTTCGCTCGGATGCGCATGGTTGCGAGCGTGAGGCGCTGCGGAGATTGACTGACTCGGGGTTATGACAAACAGGCCTGCTAATCGCCGAGGGGTGTCATCCGGGGTGTTCCTGGTTCTACCGGAGCAGTGCCGGAGCTTAGGCATCTAATGCCTTTTTGATCGCGCTGGTAGTGTCGTCGTAACACCGACCCAATTGCGCCTGGGTGATGCCCAACTCCTCGCAGAGCCTGGCGCGAATTTTTGCATCCACCTCCGCAGGTGTCGGCGTGGAGCCTCCACCGGACTTTGCTCCGCCAGCCACCATCTTCTGTAAGAGGTCTCCCAATCTGGGGGAGTCTGTCGAGGGCGGCTTCTCGTCCATCTCGAAGAGCTGGTAGAGCCGCTTTTCCATGATGGGGAGCTCGTCTCCCGGCATCGCCTCCGCCAAGTTCTTCTTGCGGTCGGGAATGAGGTGTTGGTAGAGCCAGTCACAGTAGCGGTCGATTTTTGCCGGCGACCAGTCGATGAGCTCTCTGTTATCGGATATAAGAAACGAGGGCGAGTGGTTTTCCTGGTAGTCCTGCAAGGTCGCAAGCCAGGACGCTGCATCTACTGGCTCCCCCGCCACTTGGTGGAAGAAATGGGCTCGCACCACGAAGAGCACCAACGCGGCCAACTGGAGCTCGGGAAATGCCCGGCTAGCACCGGCGTAGTGCACCACCATGGTGCGGCCCCGCCCCACAAACTGGTTGAGGTCCACGAGCAAGCCGAAAATGCGCAACGCGTTGGGGAGCATGAGGCCCTCCGCTACCACCGTGAGCATGTACGGGTAGTAGAAGTTGGTGGGCACTGAGAAGTTTGCGGCGAGACCCAAGCGTCGGAGGTTGAGCTGTACGTAGTCATAGAACTCGCCCTTCACCGGGAGGGTGGTGGGCTGGAGGATGCGGTGGTACGACATCTGGAGCCGGTCGAGCATCGATTTCGGAATGAGGTGCAAACACCGGATATAGGGGATCTCGTTGGTGCGGATGCCCTCGAGCATCTGGTTGGCGTAGAGCGGGTGCAACCGGAGCTGGAGCGCAGTGATGTAGATTAGCGCCAACACGTCCAAGGTGGCCACCTGTGTGTGTCTGCGGGAGGCGGCGGGTTTGTCGGCGTCGTCGGGGTGGTCAGCTTCATCGTCGTGGTTGTCTTTGGCATCGGCTTCGTCGTTATCGTCGTCGGAGCGTTCGACGTACGGCGCGATGATCCGCATCCAGTTGGCCTTGAGGAGCAAGAGCATGTCGGGGTTGGCACTCTCGGTGAAGTATGTGTCCAAAATGATCTCAAACTCCCTCTTCAAGAGCACCTGAAGGCATCGGTAATATAACCGACGCCCCTCCTTTCCGTAGAGACGGCGGTTCCTCTTGCCGGCACTGGCCTGTGAAGGCATGCCGCTAGTGAAGCCTCCACGAGCGTCCACCGTCACTGCGTTCAATCTGCGCGTGGGAATGGCCACCGTATCCTGGTCGTCGTCGATCTCAATGTTACCTTCCATGACATGTCCGTACTGGCAGATGGTGAGACCGTCGCTGGACCGGTATCTCCGGGACGGACAATTGTCGGTGCCACATACTGGGCCCTTGAACCATCCCGTTGGCATGGTGTGATGTGGTTGTTGATGGTGGTGGTGAAGTAGTTGATGTCTGAGATGCGATGGACTGAGACTGCATGCAGGCATTACCAACCCCAGTATCTCCACAACAACAACGGATTTGTCGGACACCCGTGCTATCACTGTTGCTGCCTCGCTATACGCCACGTTGTCGACATATTCAAGCGATTTCCAGTGTATTTCCAGCTACTTTCAGCAACTTCCAGCTCCCCTGCTGGCACTCCTTACTCTTTGCAACTCTCGCAGTTGAATCAAGACGCGAACATAAACATCACCAAACCGCCATGAGCACCCCCCACCAGACCTCCCCTGAGCCTAACGAAGGTCCCAGCGATCATCGTAGCCCTTCTCGTGGATCTTCCAGCCAAAGTCCTTCCCCACAGGACATAAATGGCCCTTCAGTGCCACCTTCGCCCGACAAGCGCCTTCATGACGAGATCGATGGGAGTGACGACGACGACTACGACCCCACACAGGTAATGAAGAAGACTTCGAAGCGCATCCCTGGGAAGGTCATTGACAGGTTCTGGGAGCCTCTCGATCGAGGCAATTTGGCGTCGTTGGACCGCATTCTCAACATCTGCCTCACAAAGGCCATGGAACGCTACGAGGGAAGCAAACTAACAGCCGCCCAACGCATCCTCACCCACACCTGGACAAGCGATAACCCTCGATCGTTCAAATCGAGGCTCAACACTACCAAAGTGCCTCTCACAACCACCTTGGGGAAGGTGGACGACCCGTTGAGTCTTGATCAGGTGTTGAGAAGAAAGACGTTCTTGGAGACATACCTACTGGCGGAATTGAAGCAACTATCTGAGCTTCAGAAGCACTACCAGGAGCAAGAAATTGCCTACAAGCTGGACTTGGATTACTTGGAGGAGCTCCGCAAAACTACTTCTATACACCAGATGAAAATGGACAAGGATACAAAGCCGTTGGACCTTGAACCGGTCAAAGAGAATATCGGTCTAGCATCTACAGAAAATCCCAAGGTATTTGATCCTGACACTGATGAAGACACCAAAAGAATTCTTGACTCCTTGAGCAAGCATTTCAAAAGCATTAAGAAAAATACAGAGCAATTGACCCTGTTCAATGACAGGTTGGAGGTGGTGTACAATATTCTTGACGTGTTATGATTATCTGACGTATAACCAGTAGACAGAAAGCATAGTGATGATGGGTTTGGGTCCGGATTGCTGAGGCTTCTTCTCGGATTTGAAAGGTGTCGGAATGGAGGAAGTGGACTTTTTCGACCCGGAGGAGCTTGGCCTCTTGGGTATCTCTGGTGACGTTTTTGGGGATTCTATCAAAATGTCACTAGGAGAGTCTTCAATGGCCTTCAACTCATTCTCCTCTTCTTCTGGGACTACCGAAACAATTTCCAGAGACAATTCTGTATTTGCGGATTCCAAAGCATTTCCTTCTGATTCTTGTGATACTTTGCCTGCTTCTTTGTCATCTTCAAGTGCCTCCTGTGCAATCTTTGGTACAACTGGTGACTCCGTGTTAGGTTTTGAAGTCAACTCGTCCGTTGCACCAGCTACGGATGGGACCGGTTCCTTGGATTGATCTGCAGCGTGTGATGGCTCTTCCAAAGCTACATCTGAACTCTTTTCTGAGGCAGGCTCTTCCTTTGGCTCTTCGGGTTTCTCCTTGACGAAATCACCAATCTGAAGATTTATGTGTCCGTCTCTTTCACTGTCCCAAATGGCCCCGAACTTGGTGTTTAATCCAATGTCGCCCAATTGCTGTACATCTGTGGATTGGACCAAGAATTTGTATTTTGAAGACTTGGCTTGGAGCTTCTCAAGCACTTCCTGGTTTCGTTTACCCGAGTCAATTGGCCCCAACTGTTGGACCAATTCAACCAACCATTGTGCGCTGATGGGCGCCTCCTTCGAAATGCTTGATGAGGTAATACTGACAGACATTGCGCTGTGAATTGTGGGGTCTAATGGCCGGTGGTGTCGCGGGTCACTTCCTGATACTTCCGTTCCGAAACACGTCGTGTCCGTTTACTTAATCCAACGCGCACCTGAAATCTTTACCTTCCCTGCATCGGATGCAAAGTGTGGTCGATATAAAGTAAACAGCACCCGTTCAGTAAGAAGCCTTCTTCTCACGCCCAACCCAAAATACTCACATGCGGTTCTTTGGAGGAAAAGACAAGTCACTGGAATCACCTGCCACTCCAGACTCGGCACTGGTGAGCTCCAAAACCACATCGGGCCTGCAACCCAGCAAAAAGGGTCTTATTACATGCCATGTCCCCTTCGAAACCCCAGTCAACCCGATAAAGGCGCCAGTGTTTGACTTGACCAGCGAGCAGCAGGAAAAGTACGACCTTGTGGTGGCCCAGATCGGGGAGTACGTCCAAAAGGACATTCCTGTCAACGACCTGAAGGATGCACCACTACACCCTGTCCTCGAGGAAGAGTTGGCATGGCTTACCAAGGAATGCTTCTTGCGGTACTTGAGAGCTACCAAGTGGAAGGTAAATGATGCCATTACTAGAATCACCGACTCTATCGTGTGGAGAAGAACATTTGGGGTTGTTAACGTTCCGGGCCACACTGATCCAAAGAAGCTCGTCACTCCCGAGTTGGTGGAACCTGAAAACTTGACCGGAAAGCACCTTATTGTCGGGTACGATAACGACAACAGACCATGTCTATACTTGAGAAACGGATACCAAAACACCGCTGCCTCGATCAAACAGGTGCAATTTTTAGTATTCATGTTGGAGAGAGTTATCCAGTTCATGCCTCCTGGCCAAGACACATTAGCATTATTGATCGATTTCAAGGCCGCTCCTGCGCATTTGAACCTTTCATCGAGATTCCCATCTCTTTCCATTTCCAAACATGTTTTGCATATTCTCCAGAACCACTATCCAGAGAGATTGGGTAGAGGCTTGTTCACCAACATTCCCTGGATCGGATACACATTCTTCAAGGTGGTTGGCCCATTCATTGATCCATACACCCGCCTGAAGACCATCTACGATCAACCATTCGAGAACTTTGTACCCAAAGAACAGTTGGATAAGGAGTTCAACGGTATGTTGGATTTTGAGTACATTCATAAAGTCTATTGGGAGGCTATGAACTCCATGGCTGATGAGAAACATGCACATTACATGAAAAACTTCAGGAGACTCGGAGGCAAGATCGGATTGAGTGAGTATGATATCAGAAGAAACTTAGACGAAGAGGAAGAATCCAAGCCAGCAGAAAATGAGCCAGAAGTTGGTTCCAAATAGAGAAATTAAATTATAGTGGCTCACTAGAAGATCCTTAGACGACTCGCGTCGTCGTTCAAACGGTGAGATAGACGGTAGACAGATACACAAGAATTATATGATACATAATACATTATTTATTTTGAACAAATCCCATTTAAAATGGATTAACCAAATAATGTATTTAAAGGCGGTATGTTATTGTTTATACCTCTTAGCGGATCTCATCCCAATACCGCAAGAATCCTCTACTCTTTCTCTGCGCGAAAATTCACATTCTCATCGAAAAACGTTAGGTGTAGAGAGAGTTGGTTTTCAAGTAGAAAACAGTGGGGTCAAACTAGTTCGTCGAAGAACTGAATCAGATTGGAAAGTTGGAATAGGAAACGAACCAACCTCCAAGCGGTGAAGGGTGTAGTTGTCAAACTCGTATACTCATAGTTCGTGAAGTCAGACAATGTATGAATAAATAAAACATCATAATACGAGATGAAGGTGCAAATCATTTTTTGCGGCAATTGTCCTGCCGTACAAGAAAAAGACCTGTACTGCTAAAATCCGGGACGGTGTGGAAAAATACTCCAAAATCAAGGACCATTCTTGACTGATTGCCCTTTCTCTCCCACTTGCACAGTTATTGCTCCTCCATCAGCACTGACCAATACTATGCCAGATCGTGCCCCAACCGACATCGATGTTCTGGGAATCACGTGGTGACTCGTTTCTAGTTGTTGATACACCAACCTTAGTCCCCATCCTCCATTATGTCTGAATACGTGATAACAGTCATCGCCCACGGTCCTGCCCTCTCCGTGGAACTCGTGGACTCCTTTGAGTCCGAATTCATCTCTAGAATCGGCTCCTTCACCTCGAAGAAGCTCTCGCCAAGAGCCATCGACTACTACGTCAATCCCCAAGACCCCCAAGAAGCGGCTGATTCGATCAAAAGGGACCTCTTGACAAAGTCCCCCAAGTATGACGTGATATTCCAGCGGTCTGATGCCAGAAAGGACAAGAAGTTGTTCATTTTCGACATGGACTCTACCTTGATCTACCAAGAAGTGATAGAATTGATCGCTGCCTACGCCAACATCGAGGACAAAGTGGCTGAGATAACCGAGAGGGCCATGAACGGCGAGTTAGACTTCAACGAGTCTCTCGAGCAGAGAGTTCTTCTCTTGAAGGGCATTGACGCGTCCACCATCTGGGAAGAGTTGAAGCACAAGATCAAGATCACCAACGGGGCCAAGGAGTTGTGTAAGGCCCTCTCCAAGTTGGGGGTAGTTATGGGTGTGTGTTCGGGTGGTTTTATCCCGTTGGCTGAATACGTCAAGGGCGAGTTGGGCTTGCACTATGCCTACGCCAACCAGTTGGGGGTGGACTCCAACCAGGCATTGGATGGGACTACGTTTGGGCCAATTGTGAATGGAGACAAGAAGGCAGAATTATTGCTTGAAATTGCTTCGAACCACGGAATTGACCCTGCCAAAGCAGTGGCTGTGGGTGACGGTGCCAACGACTTGAAGATGATGGGAGTTGCAGGGTTCGGAGTGGCCTGGAATGCTAAACCTAACGTACAGAAGCAGGCTCCATGTTGTTTGAACTCGGATTCTTTGCAGGACATTTTGTATATTATGGGTTACGACGATGAAGAAATAAGCAGACTTATCAGCGAATAGCCAGCAGAGCTGGAGGTGGTTGGTAGTTAATTGATAGAGTGACTAAATTAGTGTAGACAATCACATAATGAACACAATTCACAGCTAATAGGTAGATGTAGACAATAACATAAAGAAATCAATTGATAGATCTATGAGGTTCTGAACTGCTTCTGTCTGCCCATTGCCGTTCGTGTCCTGAAATGGAAGTCTGACAGTTAGATATATTAGGTTCCTAGTTCAGTTAGAGTACGGCATAACCCATCGTCCTCTGAGATTACCGACTTCTAATACTCGGTCTAGCCCTTGTGCTAGACTTCTCCAATGACCTTGGCCCGTACCACTCCCATGATTCCGTTGAACAACAAGATCTCGGCTCCAGGCTCGAGGTCAGCCATGAATATAGTTTCCTCCTGGATGAAGTTCTTTCTCAACAAAAAGTGTCTGGTAACTCCACAGAGACACCCTGAGCTCAATTGAGGAGTCACCCAGACCCCATCGGACTTGCGTTTGACTGCAACGTTAGTGATAGTCCCTTCCATTAAGTGGCCATGGCTATTCTTCAACAATATCTCTTCGTGGCCAGGTCGTTTTGCCGGCAAAAAGGCCCTGGCATCGGAGTATACTTTTCTGTTGGTAGTTTTGAATGAGGTGAATGGAGATATCAAGATGGGGTCTCTCTTCACGTACACATCCCACTGAGGCTCGGTTGTGTCTAGCAATCCGTCCAACAAGTTGGCTCTTGGGGGGGTGTCATGGACCTCTATGGCTACTGAAGAGTCGAGTTTGACCAAAAGCCTGAGTTTGTATGGCTGGGTGGTGGGTTTGTCGGACTTGACAATCGCTTCCGTCAACTTCTCCAATAAGAACAGTGAGGTGATCTCGAAAGGGTACTCGGTGGTGCCGTGAAATTGGAGGTAGAAGTACTTCAACGCAAACGACAACCGATTGTAGTGCTCATCATAGAGAAAGAAGTGGTCCTTTGAGATGGTGGCAGTTTGCGTCAAGCTGGGGTCGTATCTGATCGTGGAAAGGATCTCAAAGCTGAGCGGATCCTTAGGGAATGCCTGACTGGTGTACTTGTCCTCTAGCTGCTCGAGAAGGTCGGCATAAGGATCAATTGTAGGAGTTGTAATGGGCATTGTGTGTGTTCACTTATGGTGGGATTAATTGTCATCGATCGAAATAATCATTCGCATTCACTATCAGGTTATGGGTGGTGCGAAGTGATGATAGTACTAGAGCGGGAAAGGATGAGAGTAGATAGTGAAAATCAAAGCAAGAATATCGATGGCGCTAGGAGGAACAAAAGCAGACTGGCAGTGTGTGGCATCGTCAATAGCTACTTATGGCTTACGAACAGCAAATAGTCGTTTGGATGATTAGAGGATTGCAACCACTCATTTTCTATGCAATTCTGTTAATCAGAAAATTACTCTGGAAATGCAGCCCAACCAGAAAGAGATGGCAATTTTGGCATTACGGGAAGTAAGACAATGATTGGACCGCTGGAAAGGAATACGATCCAAGGTTTATTTGGCATAAAATGATTATAAGATTCTAAAGTAGTTGGTCGATTAGTGGCCCAAGGGCCAGTTGAATTTGGCACTTAATTTTACATTGTTGCCCTTGTAAGGAAGTAATATTTTTCGCATTTCAATGTCCCTATTGTTAAGATTCAAATTACAACATACGATTTGACTAATCTATTAATATACACTACTAGTATGGCCTGAACCTCTTCTTCTCCCTCATAACTCTCACCTTGTCCTGGTCGGCCTTGAACTTCTGCAACAAGTCGTTCATCTCCTCCTTCTTCCTCTGTCTCAACTGGAAACGGTAAAAGTCCTCCTTCTCCTTCTTCTTCATCTTGGCCTGGGCCTTGGCAAGCTCGGCTGAGTTGGTCAACTGCTGCTTGCCCAACACACCTGCCTTGGTCTTTCTATGTGATCCCACCACCAACGTAAACCCATCCTCGTCCACTAATTGTGTCTGTTGCTGGAGCGCCTCGTAGGACTCCTGCTCCGCCTTTTCGAAGTCTACCAACGACTGGGCCACTGCAAGTGACAACTGAGCGGTGTCCAAGATCTGGTTTCTGTATTTGGTGGCGTAGTGGACCGATGCAGAGGTGGAAAGGGGAGCCGGCCACTGCGAGGTCTTTTCGCTAGAAGCAAGCTTCTTCAATGCTGAGTACGCCAACTGGCATGCAGATTTGTCCACGAAGGTGACGATGCCACAGTTCTTGGGTAATTTGGACGCCCCAGACTCTTCGAGGTGAGCCATCTCAGGGTTGACTTCCAAGTCGGACGTGAGTTTGGTCAAATTGACCCAGATGTCTTCAGGGTAATCTGTCAACAAGCTGGGCACGAACTCTTCCACGGTGGCCCCTATGGCGGTTTCTTGAAAGTATTTCCTTACTGCTGAGATCTCGGTTTCTATGGGGACGTTGCAAATGAACAAGGACCGGTTGTCGGTTGAGCCTTTGGAGTCGTGCTTCTTGACGTAAATGTAATGGGTGGGTGCCTCTGGAGCCTTGTCCCCGCCTATCACGATAGGCAAGACGGTGAACCCTTTGATATCCTTTGGCATGGTGTAGTCTGTATTCGTCCTGAGATTTGAATTTGCGATGGATTGATGGATTGAAAAGTGCGCGGAAATCAAAGAAAAGTGGTGAACTAGCTACCACGATGCTTATGAAGAGCAAGGGCAAGGGTGAGGGTGCAAATACATGTACAGCAGACATCCTGGCGAGTCACACGGAGTCAGAAGGGTGGCTGTAACACAGCTGGTAGGAGCTTTCTCCACTGCCAGCTTGTAGATGGGTTTTCGTGGTACCGGTGTTTTTCTCATAGCAGGGCTGGACACAGAAACATTGAAAAGATTGCTATGGTCATTTTGTCAGAAACTGGGAGAAATCATCCTTACAAACCCGAAACTTGGTGTTTCTGGGCATTTGATGGCAGACCTGGGTGATATCTAGTTTTTTCAGTTCGCGGGGGCTACAAGTGGTTATGAATTCCATAACTGACCAAATTGCAAGCAAATGCTGCAAGCAACTATGCAAACTGTTGTTACAGCAGGAACTATGAATTTTATTGAGAAGTTACCATACTTGAGAAAGAAATTAAACATCCTTTAAAAGATCCTGGTTATCTCTTATTATTGCTTTTTTTCTTTTGCTAATGGGAAGTAGAGTATAATCTAATCTCTAGATAACCATATACCTACTCCAATGAAATATGCACAATTGTGGTCAAAGATTCAATAAGAACCAAGTTGCTAGCTAAATATTTTCTTTTTCCCGTTTTTCTTCAACCTATTGAATCTGGTTGCACAAAATCCGAAATTTATCCTTAATAAACCTAGAAGTATCTCATCATAACATAATACAAGCAAGATATCGTTCAAAAAGCAAGGTTTTCGACTTTTCTAAGTATCGTTTTTATGCTCTTATTGTTTTACCCTTTCACTCACCTCATTCAAGTGCCGGTCTCGTATAGTGGTTAGTACAGTTCGTTGTGGCCGAACAAACCCAGGTTCGATTCCTGGGACCGGCAGTGATCTTTTTTTACTTTTGCACATTATACCTAGCTACCTACACTTACCTTTTGAGCCTGTTCTTTCTTGTGGTTTACCATCCAACTGTAAGATGGTCCATCGAGGTCACCTGACCAGCCCTAAGGGTTACCCGGACTTTGGATCGCGAGAAATTTTCACTATAAATAAAATGCGTTACTATGACAAGAACTAGTATTGAACACTCAAGAGCTTTACATACAATGGCTTGAGTTTAAATGAAACAGTATGTTGAATTATTACATCTTGTTTTGGTGATGATACAATTTGTGACGCGAGATCTAACGATCGGTGTGTGCACATGATTTCTCAATAGACTACAACGGTATCTGATACAACAAGCTTCTAATTAATGAACTATACTAACAGTCCAGACTGCCCACTTAAAATGAAAGGTGGTAAAACTAGTAGAAAAGTATTGAATGAGCTTTATGCGCGGCCCCTTCCTTTGGTGTTATCATCCGAAGCGTACAATGTAACCATCCCTAATGTTTTCCCACACAACCCCATTTCCTGGATTTACCTTGTGTGGAAAATCGTTCAAATCAATACTCTTAATCGGGTTCCCCAATCCCAGATACCTGCTCTCACCGTCCAATTGGAAGAGTCAATCTTCAAGGTCGCAGATGAAGCTGACTTCATCACCCTTTGGAGATGTGGATTTTTCGGTAAAGGTGTTTTGTCAAGATCGGAACCTACATGGAAGGAAAGATCAATCAAAAGGTTCAATACGGTCCAGAATGACAAGCAGTTCTCTATGGAAGAGTTGACAAAAAAGAGACGTGATGAGCGTAAGAAATTCAAAGCCGAGAGAGCAAAACTACAAGAATTGGAATTGAAACAAAGGAAGGAGGAATTGAGTTCTGAAGATGCTGCTTCTCTTGAGGGACTAAAAATTTTACTTTCAAAAATGAGAATGAACCCTTCCATCAAAAATATCAGCACCGACGATTTGAAGGTGGAAACTGAGGAGTCCGAATTGGCAGATATTATTGACTTAGAATACCTCCAGCTACAGGCGATTGAGACTTTTTATCTCAAATTCGCACTCAATGTGATAAATGTTTATGAATCCCATCTACTTTCAACTCTGCAGTTATTTGATAGATGTTGCCGTCTTTCCCAGGGTGAGGGACCCAACAACACATTCATTATTGAATATTCGGTGTATCACTACTTCCGCTCCTTAGGATGGTGTGTCCGGTCGGGAATTAAATTCGGCTGCGATATGTTGTTATACAAAAGGGGACCACCCTTCACTCACGCTGAGTTTGCAGTTATGATCATACCGGGTGATGAGAAGCTGTGCCGTGATTGGTTTGACATGGCGGCAATTGCAAGGGTGATAGGCACAGTAAAAAAGACCTTGGTATTGGCGTTTGTGGAGTATCCTAATCGAGAAACTTATGACCAAATACTACTGTCCGAATTTGAAGACGAAAAGGAGAAATTCACCCAATTATTGGGGAAGTACAGGGTCACTGAAATTCTCTATAGACGGTGGGCACCTGGTAGAACCCGGGATTAGTGGTGGGCCTTAACACAATCCAATCATGTCGTAATGAACGAGAACGCAAATTGATTTTGCATCATTATTCTTCAATTCGCCGTAGAACGAAGTAGACTTCTCTCAAAAATGTGGAGTCAATACGCGTGATAACCCCCCCTTTATCGCTAATTTGTACTTCGTTTGGCTCAGGCAACTTCTAATTTAAGGAGAGTGTTTCACAGCAATTGATACTAGTAACCATGTATTGTGCAAAATTGGTTAGCTACATCAAGCCCAATACCTGTACCATCCCGTAGTTACTTACACGCATAATTGCAACAATAAAATATGACAAGCGAGTGAATGACTTAGACTTAGGCTGCAACATTCTGCTCAAAATGATGTCATCCCGAGAAACGAGTTGCTACTGTTTCAGGAGTTCTTCGCGACGAATTTCTCTCCCCAGCCAAACCCCAGGATCTCAAAACCGGGGCATGTCGAACTCTCGCTTATTGTTCCAACATGCAAGCATTTTTTATAAACGATGATCTGATAACAGGTTGCATCGCATTGATTTAGGCGCCTGGCATCAGGAACAGTCAGGCCCCTTCTCTGGTGGGGGACAACGTGACGTCCAATGCACAATCGACGTCATAGCATTTCCCAGCTAAAGTCCGTTGGCCACTCAAGAAGGCCACCGCAATTTTATTCATGACTTGAGAGTAAATTTATCCGAGTTCGCGACATTGATGACCGTTAGTATACTTCGGAATTTCTGAACCGCCCAAAATAGAATCATTCCCAGCAACACTAAACAGAAATGAAATTAGGTTGTATCGCGGGGTAGTAGAACTATTATTTGCGTAGGATTACGTCATTACGTCATCGCGCGTTTTGGAATTTCAATATGATGAGCATCGACATTCGAAAACGAAATATTATGACATCGATATGTAGGCGAAGGTCTCCTATATTCTATTTTTATCTTCCTGGTATAAACTCACCTTTCCATCATAAGGTATAAATACAACTGTGATTCTCCAGATTAATTCAATCATCAAACAACTCAACAAGTTATCAAACAATCAAATATGCAATTCTCCTCCATTTTCTCCATCGCTGCTCTTGCTGCTATTGCCACTGCATCTCCAATCTTCAAGGTTATTACCATTAGATCTGGCTCTGAATTCCAATACCAAAACATCATTCAAAAGGATGGACAGTTATACGTCTCTGCTCAAGACTCGCCAGTGACTCTTATCTTGGACACTTCTGATGGAACTTTGAGCGACAGTACCACCCGTGAATACATCCAAGTCCTTGACACCCTCTTCTACGAAACCAACAGAAAGGATGCAACTAAGGGTTTCGCTATCAAGGACGGTTATTTGACTCTCAACGACGAGGCCTTCTATGCATGTGGTGCTGGTCACAACGAGTACAAGTTGACCACTGCTTGCTCAACTGATGAGCCTCTTGCCCTCAAGGTTGTTGACCAATCTGACACCAACTAAATTAGTTTGCATTGAAAGTATAAAATTATATACTACGAATATATCATGATTGAAATTTTTCTGAGCTTGAATTACAGCGGTAAACGTAGTCCGCACGTAAAATAGATTATATTTGAAGAATAAGGAAGTTGTGGCAAGCGCTAGAACTATGATTGTTCTATTTGGATCTGGCAAGACCTCCAAAGAGCCTCAATTCTGGGAGACTATGTGAGGTTCTTTTTCTTTTATCTACAATGATTTTTCCTCTCATGTGTGGGAAAATATATAGTTATCCGCGGGCACGTTAGGTGAATAATTCTTTGAAGTAAAGATTTCATTAATTCGAATTTCGAAAATTTTTACAAATGTTTCAAAAAAACAAAAAAGAATTCTAGAACAGCAAATCACATTCTAATAAATGATACAGCACTGAATTACAAAGAATCTGTCTTACTATGGTTGAACAAAGCGATTTTGATGCATTTTTCACTGTCTGATCGATCCAAGAAAATCATCAACCAAAATTCAAAATCAAAAATTAGCCTCTATGGCCAAGTTGGTAAGGCACCTCACTAGTAATGAGGAGATCGTCAGTTCGAATCTGGCTGGAGGCATTCTTTTTTGGTTCCGCCCAGCGACCACGTGGGGTTCGAGGCCACATGTGCATGCTCCAGTAGACGTCTGGAAGGGCTTCTCCCAACACTACATTGCGGAACGCTCGTGGCCCACTATCTAGCCCCTGGCTTTATCGCGGATGGGTCCGCGTCACCGACATGCGATGCAGCAAACCGAGGCGCGCACGCCCGATTGGATTCTGGAATAAACGATGCGGTTATTTAAATAGTCAGAAAATCCCAAGAAAAGGAAATCGCAAGACAATCATTTGGCCCCCACACGACACAATACGAACTCCCAGGATCCGATTACATAAGGCGCGATGTCGAACCTTAGTCAGCTAATAAACCACGACGATGACTACAGCTACAACTACACAGGCAAGACGACGGTGAAGGTGAAGCCGGAGGCAGAGCTGGAGGGCGAGCCCCAGCCCTCGTCCGAGCCTATTGATGGCGCGAGTGAGGATTCCGGAGTCCCCCAGCACACTATTCTCCTGAGCTTCGAAAGAATAAAGACCCATTTTCCGGCAGCTAGAATCAAGAAGATCATGCAGAGCGACGACGAAATAGGAAAGGTGGCTCAGGCAACGCCCATCATTGTGGGGCGGGCGTTGGAGATCTTCATGGCCAACCTCGTGGAGGCCTCCATCATCGAGGCCAAGAAGCAGGGCGTCAAGCGCATAGGCGCATCCCACATACGGGCAGCGGTGGAGAACACCGAGCAGTTTGATTTTTTGGTGGAAGCGGTGGAAAAGTATCCCCCCGTGAAAAACTAACGGTGTTACGTGTATACTAATAATGTACAATAGGCAGTAGCCACAGGATAATCGGCGCGGGTGTATCAGATTTTATGACATTCTTGAACTAGGATGAACAACCAATTGTGCTCAATTGCAATATGGGTGAATTATAGAATATCACTACCATGGTGTTGTTGATCTTACTACGGACGAATTATAGAATATCACTACATAGGCTCAATCGCACTATGGACGATCCCCAGAATCACAACAATAGTGCTGCACTTCTATTATTCAGATAACACCAGAAATGTCAGATCCACAATGTAATTTGTTACAACCGTAATTTTCATCAATCCAGTCCGACCACGGCTAAAGCTCGTTATCTCCACGAGTTCGGAGGGATAAATTCCTGATTTTCCCACCAGAGTTGGCACCGCAGTGCTAAATGCTCAGTTTTCATATTATCGAGTTTGCCGGGGCTAATGCTTGATCTTCATAATCTCGAGTCCGGCAGAAATGCCCAATTTTCATATTCCGGAGCCTGCCAGGCTATCTTTAGCCCGTCAACATCCATCGGCTGGTCTTTCGGCACAATAGTGTCCGCCTTCATCGGCTGGTCTTTCTACATGTGTCCGCCTCAAGGGCTCATTCACGCTCCAGACACTACCCCATGTTTGCCCTGCACACAGCCACCTATAGTTGCGGTCAAACACGATGACAGGTATAAATAGCTTGCTTCACCCCGTTGTTCCGATTCTCCTACTCCGAACCTCAATTGACTTCTCCCCCCCAAAATGGCCCCACCATACGGAGGAAGATCCGCTACCAATCTTTCAACCAGAAAGTCCTCGTTCTTCAATACCCCAGTTGCTCCCCCCCACCCAGACGTGTATTACGTGGGGGTGGACGTGGGAACTGGGTCTGCCAGGGCGTGTATCATCGACACCAACGGTATCATCTTGGGATTGGCCGAAAGACCCATCACCAGACATGAATTGCGCCCCAACTACATCACCCAGAACTCGACCGAGATCTGGAACGCCATCTGCTTCTGCGTTAAGGCATGCTTGCGGGACTCGGGAGTGGACCCAGCCGAGGTGTACGGGATCGGCTTCGACGCCACCTGCTCGTTAGTGGCCATCAGTGAGTCCACGGACGAGCCACTCGGCGTGGGCCCCGACTTCTCCAATACCACCGAGAACATCATCTTGTGGATGGACCACCGTGCCGAGGAAGAGACCAACGCCATCAACGCCACGGGTGATACCTGTTTGAAGTACGTGGGTGGCCAGATGTCCATTGAGATGGAATTGCCCAAGATCAAGTGGTTGAAGCACCACATGCCGGGTGGAATCAAGGATGTAAAGTTTTACGACTTGCCAGACTTCTTGACCCACAAGGCCACGGGCTCTGAGGCCCGTTCCTTCAACTCGGCAGTGTGCAAGCAGGGTTTCGTGCCATTGGGCGTCGAAAACTCGGAAACGGGCTGGTCTCGCCAGTTCTTGGAGTCCATCGACTTGCCCGAGTTGATCGAGGATGACTTTAGACGTTTGGGAGGAACCCCTGCCAAGTCCGGTACCTTCTTGAGTGCTGGTGATGTGGTGGGAAAATTGACCGTCAAGGCTGCCGAGGAATTGGGCTTGACCACCGAGTGTATTGTGGGCTCGGCTGTTATCGATGCCTACGCCGGCTGGGTCGGTACCGTGGCCGGCAAGGTCGAGGTGCCTCATTTACAGGAGTCTGCAGAAAAGTCCGAAGGGTCCATTGCTACCTCTTGTGGCAGATTGGCTGCAGTTGCTGGTACTTCTACATGCCACATTGCCATGACCAGAGATCCGTGTTTCGTGCAAGGTGTGTGGGGTCCCTACAAGGACGTGATGGCTCCGGGATACTGGTTGGCTGAAGGTGGCCAATCTTGTACCGGTGCGTTGTTGGCGCATGTGCTTGCCATCCACCCAGCCCTGCAAGAGTTGTCGCACTTGGCAGAAACCTCCAGTGTATCAAAATTCGATTACTTGAACTTGACATTGGAAAACTTGGTAAGCCAGAACAAGGTCCGTTCCGTGGTCAGCTTGGCCAAACACATTTTCTTCTATGGTGATTTCCACGGAAACAGATCGCCAATCGCCGACCCCAAGATGAGAGCCAGCATCATCGGCCAATCGATGGACTCCTCGGTCAATGATTTGGCCGTCCAGTACTTTGCTGCCTGCGAGTTCATTGCCCAGCAAACCAGACAGATCGTGGAGGAAATGGAAAAGGGTGGCCACCAGATCTCCACTATTTTCATGAGTGGTGGCCAGTGCAGAAACGGTTTATTGATGAGGTTGTTGGCCGACTGCACTGGTAAGCCCATCGTGATTCCAAGATACATCGACGCAGCTGTCGTATTTGGCTCTGCCATCTTGGGTGCAGTTGCCTCGGAAGAATCAGTCAACGAACATATCGCCACCAAAGGTAGATCTAGAAGATCTTCCATCTTGTCTACTCAAAAGTCCCAGACCAGCTTGAACCAACAGGGCCATCATAGTCACCCTGGCGAGCCACACTCGCCCTACACAGCACCCTCGGCAACCGCCAGCACCACCAATATGTCCACCTTGGTATACTCGCATGGAAATGCCGGTTCCCACCACCAATTCGGATCGATGACGCCAATGCAGGAAGAGAATACCGATTATTTCAACCAACCCACAGCTGGATCCAAGGCTGTCATTTCAGAGGATGAAGACACCGAAGATGACGAACAGACATTGTCCTTCGGCTCCAAGCAAAACGTGCAAAAGGGCTTGTCTCAAAAGATGCATCGGTTGGACTTGAAGCCATTATCGGCCATCAAAAAGGTTACCAGCAAGGACAGTGTTCAAGCCAACTCTGGCGACAAATTGTGGAGAGTCATGGAGAAGATGACCGGTCCTGGTAAGGTTATCATGCCATCTGATAAGTCGCATCCTGATCGCAAGTTATTGAATGCCAAGTACGCCATCTTCTTGGAACAGTGCTACAAGCAACAAGAATACAGAAGGGCCGTGGACTTGGTTGAGAGCGAGAATTTAAATGCTTTGAAGTTGCACTAGATAGACAGAGATATATGTGGATCCGCACTTGTGTAGAAGCTCACAATGAATGTTGTGGTGATTGTTTAGGTAACCTTGATAAATTGAGAATCACACACCGTAACCTTGAATACACTGTAAGATCAGAGCGTCACATTTGGGTCCTCCATGACTCGCCCGGGCGACCTACTCACCCCATTTCAGCGTGAAAATTGGAAACACATTCTATGCTTCAATTATGCATGTCACAATTATCTTATCCATCTATGGATGCACGTGACACGTGGTCGATGGTGCAAATTGCACCCACTTTCACTTTCCTGCCTGACAAGCTTCTGTCTACGGCGATATATCCAATAGCAGAATGCGTCAGATCTGTCGCTTAAATAGCCTCAGATCTTCCGTAGAAGCTTCCTCCACATATTCTTTGCATTCCAGGGCCCATACAGGAACGCAAAACTGTGGCGCGCTCCGGCACAACGGTTTCAACGGTTCTGGATTAGTCTAGGCACGGCTGTACTGTGGAGACTTTGACAGGGTCCGTTCAAAGAATGCAGCGTCCATAAGCGTGAAGTTTCGACTGCCTATCCTGTCACCTTTGCTAGATCGCAGTATAGGTGTATCACATGGGAAATCACGTGCGCCGGTACCTGAATCCACCTAAGGAATTTGGCAAGCAGGAACTGAAACTTGCCAAGTCTACCAGACCCTGAAATCTTCCTCCATCTCGTTGAGGTCAGCTCGGGCAGGATCAATGGGGGGGCTTGTTCTACGCACCCGCCTGAGTAATATTCGTAAAAGTGTATTGTGGTGTCGTATTCTTAATTATTGTTTATTCGAAGCGGCGTAGGTGACGGCACTATGTCTCTGGCACCCCCCAGATTACTCATATTCGAGGCTTATTGGTCCATGGTCTAGAGGGGAAATTAATCGCCGTCTGGTGCTGGGAGGACATTCGGGTGCCCGGATTAATCCCCGGCAGGCGGATACACGTGACAAGTCGCGATAGCCAGAGTAGGGGTGGTTTGAAGGTGGTTGAATGGGGCTGCTGTTGCCACGTTGTCCACTACCACAACTGCAGCACCATGGCAGCTGCTAGCACCCTTGCTCCCCCTTGGACAGCCACCACGGCTTGTTGCCGGCATTCGAGGACCCTGATTGCAGACGGCAATTACGCAGGCCGGAATCACAAAAAGCAATTGATTTCCATCACATCACGTGGAAGTGTCAAATTGTGGAGTTATTGCAACATCAGTAATAGTTAATAACAATATCGTTTAATATGCCCAGTTATTGCCACAATTGGTGCATATCTGTGACAGTGTATTTTGGAATCTCTTCCCTCAGAAAAGCTTATTCCAGCCGGGTTACCTTTCCAACAAGGAGGCGGCATTAATCTGATAGAATTTGCAATCGATTATTTTTTGAGGCAGTACCAAGCGGCTAGTCTAGGTGTATTCAACAGGTATATATATCCTTCCCCATCCCCACATTAGACCTCCAAAACCAACAGATGTCGGAGATTATTCACCACTTGAACAGCAATAATCCCCCTCAGTCCGAGATCCCTGAGTGGCCGGAACACGGGGAACTCTCTCCTGTCCGTACCAATAAGACCTCCCACCAGTTTGGCCATGACTACCTGCCACAGGCCAACCACGACACGGTGGTGCCCGAGTACCTTGAGCACGATGTGACTGTGGTCGACTGGGGTAGAAAGGTTGTGGGTAACCCTGTGCAGAAGGCCATCCACTACTTGGTGTCGTTGTTCCCCATTGCCCAGTGGATCTTGCACTATAATTACAAGTGGTTGTACGGTGACTTGGTTGCCGGAATCACCGTTGGTGTCGTTCTTGTCCCTCAGTCAATGTCGTACGCCCAGTTGGCTGCGTTGCCTGCGCAGTACGGGTTGTACTCGTCGTTCGTGGGTGTGTTTATCTATTCGTTTTTTGCCACTTCCAAGGATGTGTCCATTGGCCCAGTTGCGGTGATGTCGTTGCAGGTGTCCAAGGTCATCTACCGGGTGCAACAGAAAGCTGGCGAGCAGTTCAGTGCTCCTGAAATCGCCACATTCTTGTCGCTTATCTGTGGTGGTATTGCTGCTGGTATCGGTATTTTGAGATTGGGTTTCATCTTGGAGTTCATCTCCAGTCCTGCTGTTATGGGATTCATGTCTGGGTCTGCCTTCAGTATCATTGTTGGTCAAGTTCCAGGCTTGATGGGATTTAACTCCAAGGTCAACACTAGAACTGCCACTTACCTCGTGGTGGTCAACACCCTCAAGAACTTGAAGCACACCAATGTCGATGCTGCCTTTGGCTTGGTTCCTTTGTTCATTTTGTACGTGTGGAAGTTTGGTTGTGACTATGGCCAAAAGAGAGCCCCCAAGTTGAAATGGTACTTCTTCTACGTGCAACAGTTGAGAAATGCCATTGTGATCATTGTGGCCACTGCCATCAGTTGGGGTGTCGTGCATCCCAAGAAGGTCAGCTTCAAAGGTCCCCTGAAGAAGTTCAAGCCTCCAATCAGTATTATCGGTGTTGTTCCAAAGGGTTTGCAACACGTTGGAGTCATGACTATTCCTAAAGGCATTATTGGTTACATGGCTTCTGAAATCCCTGTTTCTACCATCATTTTGTTGTTGGAACATATTGCTATTTCCAAGTCTTTCGGTAGAGTCAATGACTATAAGGTTATTCCTGATCAAGAAGTCATTGCAATTGGTGTTAACAACTTGATTGGTACTTTCTTCAACGCATACCCATCTACTGGGTCCTTCTCCAGATCTGCCTTGAAGGCCAAGTGTGGTGTCAGAACTCCATTTGCTGGTATTTTCACTGGATGTGTTGTCTTGTTGGCCTTGTACGCTTTGACTGCCACCTTCTACTACATTCCAAAGGCCACCTTGTGTGCTGTCATCATCCACGCTGTGTCTGACTTGATTGCCGACTACAAGGTTACCTTGAACTTTTGGAACATCTCGCCTTTGGACGCTGGTATTTTCATCATTGCCGTCATTATCACTGTTTTTGCCTCCATCGAAGATGGTGTTTACTTCGCCATCTGTGCCTCCGTTGCCGTGGTTTTGTTCAGATTGGCCATTCCAAAGGGACAGTTCTTGGGTAGAATCCAAGTAGCTGAAGTTATCAATCCAACCATCGATGCATTGGAAAGCGACCAGTACTCCATCAAGCAAGAGGAAGACAATCATTCCGGCTCGTCACGCAGCTCCTCCGATAACGTTGAGATCCACCAAGTCATTAACAACGGTCCCAACGCAGGCTATAAACTTAAGAAGGAAGACTCCACCAAGGACTCTACCCATATTACTACCAGGGCATTGTTACAGAAGAATCCAAAGCTTAAGTTCCACACTAGATGGGTTCCATTGACTAAGGAAAACATCAACGGCCACCTCAAGGTCCAGCCTCCTCCACCGGGAGTGATTGTGTTCAAGCCTGTTGAAGCATTCATTTACCCTAACTCTTCTAGACAGATTGACCGTGTTTCCGACGAGGCCAAGAGATTGACCAAGCGTGGTAAGCCATACAACTACACTGATACCGGCTCCAGACCATGGAACGACCCTGGTCCATTGAGATGGAGACTCCCATTCTGGAAAGAGAAGTTTGCCTCCCAGGATGAGGGAGAAGTTGAAGACACCAGACCAGTTTTGACCACCGTACATTTCGACTTCTCGTCGGTGACTTCCATCGACGTCACTTCCATCCATGCCTTGGTTGATTTGAGGAAGGCTCTCAACAAATACGCAGACCGTGAGATTGAATTCCACTTCTCGGGTATCTTGAGTCCTTGGATCAGAAGAGGTTTGCTCAACGCTGGATTCGGTACCTATGCCGAGGACGGTTTGGTAAGTACCACCACCTACGTCAACATTGCCACTGGCTCCGATGAGTTGGAGACTGGTATTGACGGGCAATATTACGCTGCCGTTGCCACGAACACGCCATTCCTTCACCTTGATATTCCAGATTATAGATAGTCCCGAATCTCCGGTGTTTGGGATGATTTACTTCGTTATAATTTCTTCAATTCTGACTGAAACTCGTTTTTTAATAAAGGTTTATGCCAGCAACTCTGGCTAAGTGAACGTGCATAATGTAGACATAGTTTAAATATTTCCTGTATTGGTGCTCAGAATCAGTATGAAACTTTCCTCCTTTTTGGTGGCTTCAAAATCCTGGCGATTTTGGAGGTGCGAACTGATACTATACCACCAGGAATTGTGGTAGCAATAGACTCGGATGAGCCACACCATGGGCACAAGTTAGTGGTCACTATTCCACTAGAGGGGTTCAATAAACTTCTTGATGAGCCACGATGCGAGATGAAAGGACATATCCAGGAGAATGAATTCTCAATGCCACCATTTCACTCTGGAGCTATCTTTTAAGCCTCTGTAATATAGCGAGACGCTGGTTGGCCCCTCCCTAAATCTGGGTGAACTTTTTCGTTGTATCGCAGAACTTTACTGGGAATGTTCGCTAACGCAGTACGCACAATTTTCCCCATTGCGAAATGGAGCTTTCCACATATGCTCGCTCTATCACTACATCGAACGCGTACGCGTATTGAAAACTTTTAACACAACATGGACCAAACAGTCATGATAGTCGAGGAAGACACACCCGAGAAGAGAAAGAGTCCTGACGCACAGGATGAGGAATCTCCAAACAAGAAGCACAAGGTCGAAGAGGTGCTGGATTCACCAAAATTGACCAAGAAGGAGTTGAACCGCATAGAGAAGCAGAGACAACGAGAATTGGAGAAGATTGAGAAGGAGAAGCAAAAGGAAGCTGATAGGCTAGAGAAAGAGAAACAGAAAGAATTAGAGCGTCAAGAGAAAGAACGCAAGAAGGAAGAGGACCGTCTTGAGCGTGAGAAACGCAAGGAAGAGGAGAAGAAGGCCAAGGAATTGGAAAGAGAATTAAAGCGCAAGAAATTGGTGGAAGAGAAGCTTGAAAGAGAAAAGAAGAAGGAGGAGGAGAAGGAGAAGAAGCAAGCAGAAAGAGAGAAATTGAAGCTTGAGAAGAAACGTAAGTTGGAGGAAGAAAAGGAGCGCAAAGAAGCATCCAAGAAAAAGGCCGAGGAAGAGAAGCAACGGAGCCAAATGAAGATCTCTAGCTTCTTCCAGGTAGGACCCAAAAAGGAAGCAACTAGTTCCCCTACCAAAACCAAGTCCGATGACAACGTGTCCGAATATGATAAGGAATTCCTTCCGTTTTTCGTTCAAAAGAATGTTCTTATGCCACCGTCTGGCCAATTGACGGCTGTCGAGCTCCAACAATCAAAAGAAAAATTCGATCAACTATTAAGTCAGAATCAGGAGGCTCCTATACTACCTATCGAAATTACTAATCAATCATCCCAACTGAAACCTTACTCATCAGTTACTCCAATCGAAATAGTCACTGCATTAAATTTATCCAACACCACCGAATCCCAAATTTATGAGATGTTACAGCAAATTCCACCATTAAAGTACATCAGCTTCTACGAAAATTCCAAGCCTCCATACATAGGAACATGGTGCTCTGAAAAGCATCAAAAGATCAAAATACCAGTATCGAACCCGATAGACACTTCTTTAACTGGCCTCGACTATGAGTACGATTCAGATCTCGAGTGGGATAAGGAGGATGACGAAGGCGAAGATCTAGAGAACGATGAAGATGAAGAGGACGATGAAATGATGAACGAAGACGACGATATCGATGATTTCGTCGAGAATAACCAAGAAGGCACGGTTTCTCGAAAATTCCACTCCTTGGTGATAGTCAACAAGTGGAACGACGGTACCAACAATGAGTTTTTTGACCAATTCACCACATCGTTGTGTGCAGAAGTTACTATACCATTGAACCCATCCACCGAACCCGCAAAGGAGTTGGAATTAAGGAGTGAAACCACCACATTAGTCCCTCAAGCTTCTGCCATTCCAACCAATGTATTGACACCACAAAAGAAAACCATCAAAGATGCCAAAGTAATAGCGGGATTAATTGAATTTGTGGAGAAGAACCAGGACTTTACCATCGGGACGTTGGTTGAGCTTTCCAAGAAGGAGTTTAAAGACTTTACCAAGGCTCTCTTGAAGAATACCATTCAAGATATAGCTGTATATAACAAAAAGAACTCGATATGGGATATCAAGTCAGAGGTTAAGGAGAAGTATCAGGCTCACATAGACCAAAGCACAAATGAGTCCAGCGGCCAAGAGGCCAACGACCCGATCCAAGTTTAACAAATCTTCCCTGGTGCTAGTCGATCTCGGTCACCTTAACGAACGCTGCAATGAATTAATAATATTAAGAATACCTACTGTAGGCACCATAGCGCAGCAAGGACTGGTGTGCGCAAAAGTATGGCAATCATGCTTGACATTGAATTTAGTCAATTGGCTGGTGGAAAGTACTCGTCCTAGACTGCTAGGTAAACTTCGTGTTTTCTCCCTGTACTCGCGCTAATTGTCCTGTAGTCCTGAGCAGCGCTCCCCTAAGTTTTTGTAGGTTTCTCGCTAGACTCACATTTGTTCGCGGTACCCTCAGTGTGATGATCGCGAAGCATCCCTTAACTGCTATTCGCAGCTCATAATCCCTCCTTGAGTAGCTACCAAATCCCACAATATCCATGTCGACCGGACAGCCTATACGACGGAATGAATCAGATGAGCAGCTTTACTTTATTTCCACCCAAATGCAGGCGAGACATGAGGAAACAGTCGATCAAGAGAATCAACAGCACTTCACGAATAGTAAGCTTGAGTTCCTACGCAGCTTCAAGAACGAAGACGAACTAATCACGATACTGGAAAGCATAACTCCGTCCCCAATTCCTGCTAAGCCAAAAAGCAAGTCTTCGTCAAAGCCAAAAACCCCAAGGCTTAAGGCTGCCAAATCGACCAAGAACCAATCGATGAACAGTTTGGTAAGAAACCACTACACTGATCGACTCAGCTACTTCTCCGGGGACCAGCGGAAGATCGATGACTTCTTGAAGGGCATCAAGAATACCAGAGACTTGAGCAAGATCAACAAGACCTCCCTGCTCCTTTATACTCGAGGAGAATGGACCTACATTCTTCGGAACATAAAGATGAAGTTCCCTGATTTATCTTCTGGGCGAAAGATGAACTTGAAGGCAATCACAAGTAAAATCAACGGAATGAAAGAAGCGGATACAGGCAATAGCTTATGGGAAAAGGCATCTAGATCGTGCTCAATGACAGAGGAGGATTTTAGATGGTTGTACGATCTCAGTGATGAGCAAATGAACGGAACATTTGTTGAGGAGGAGTACTGCGAAGATTCGCAAGATGATAGGAGATACGTGTTGACGTTATCGCAAAACATGGAACAGATTGATCATCCATTCGACGAAGAATCGGAGTACGAAGAAGTGGAGGCAACTGATGACGATGAGCTTCTAGTACTCGACGAAATGGATGTGCTTAGATGTAAAGTGGATCAAGATCAGGACTCAGATGTTATTCTGGATTCGGAGTTCGAGAATGATATTTTGCTACGGTTTTCACCAAATTAGGGACAGAGTGTACGCGTAATACTTCATTTGGTTGGGTTTAATTTATAGAAGTCAGTAATGGCAATAACGATTGTTTTGGAGACTAAGGTAAAATTGTAATGACAATAATCATGGGGATCCAGATTGCAGTGTTTGAAAAGACTTACAAGCAGCTGAATACTAAAAGCTGACTCTAGTGAGTTTGACTCATAAACCAAACTTCGGCAAGCGGACACCAGTATATAATTTCAGCAAACTTGGGAAATATATCACTACTATCTGCCAGTATTCATCACGTGATGAGACATCTGCCTCCGGTTCTGACGCGTATAGAGATTGACCATACCAGTGCATTTGAGCTCCAATTCGCCACTTGTGCCAGTTAGACAGTCCTTACAGCTGCAACCACCAAATATATTACTCTGGATTGTTTTTGGTTTCATGGTTAGCTTGAAAAGTTTTACGAAGCAGTCTCTACAATGTCAAAGAGAGGTATAGACCAGGTGTATGAGACTATTGATAGTGCCAGCTCTGCAGAGGCTACGCCACGAAAGCCACAACCAGGATTCATTTTACTATCTGGGTCAGATCTTCTAGTCGAAGACTCGCCTGACAAGGAAAAGATAGACCTTAGCCCGTTCAAAACCCCCACCAGAAAGGAAAGGGTACACACCTTTGGCTCACCTTTGGATGGCAGGCATGTCGATAAAGAAAAGACATCCACTAGTAGCCCAATGGGAATTATAGAAAGCTTGATAGCAGACCTGGCTCGGGAAGAAGAGATTGTAATATCTTCTGAAGATGAAAGTATCTACTCTACTGCTCGATCAGTAATTCCCCTGCAGCAATTTTCGATTCCACTGTCGATACCATATGGAGTGAAACAAGACAGAAAGATACGACGGACCTCACGGATTGAGATTCGGGATGGCCTCACGGTGCCTGATCGCAAACTGGGAGGGGTAGAGATCCGGAATTTAGGCCCCAAGAAGGACCCTATCGATTTGGAGAATGAGGTGCCTGATTCAGAAGACGACGAACACGATTGCAGCATTATAGAAATCACTGTTGAGGAGGACGAACAGGAACAGGAGTTGGCGTTCGGTGCTATTGCTGGAAACAAAAACGAAGAGTACACCGAAGCAAACACCTCGGTGTTACAGGTACCATCGAGTCCTTCGCTTCGAGAGGGAGATTCTTTCAGTCTTCCAAATCCGTTTGTGGAACAAGAGCGTATATTACCAGATGTTGCTTCGTTCTCGATCAAAGAATTGAGAGCCATATTTGAACTCTGGGATATGAAGACCCCTAGAAGCAAACAGAAAATGATAGAAATAATAACGGAGACTGGGAAGCTTGTGAGTCCAGATGTAGAATGGAAAGCCACAGACCCTTCAGGAGCCAGCGTTGCCATCACATCCATCCACCAGAATATTACTAGATTGATTCAGCTGAACCAACTTTGGCACGACAGAATTATCAGCTTCCAGCCGATTCTCATAGAGCAATTACAACAGTGGTTGCAGTCCATGGGGTATAATTTAGAATTGGACTTGTTGGAGAAATATTGCTGGAAACAAGGAATTACATCTACGAACCAGCGGACATAGACTCAGCAATGGGTAGTCATGGAGGTTCAAGGACATGTACTTGTGTATTGACGAATTTACGAATGTAACACTGATGGTAGGAGCACCTGTATCATTGCCTGTAGCGACATTGAGATGGGGGGGTGTGTATTTTTGGCTTCACTATAGTGCTGGATAGGAACTGTGATCGGAAGAGCTTGATAGAATAGGGATTCGAGTCAAATGGGGAATGTACCCTCCTGTAGCCGTTTGGATGGATAGACCAATGTTGAAGCAAGTTGTCCCAGAGTGGGTACATTCGGTTTAAATGTACTTCTTGTGGTCAGAATCGATTTTGTCCTCGACCAACTTGGTGTTGATGTAAGAGACGATCTTGGTGCTTACCCCCGTGTTGGCGATCAAGGTACCAGGGCCAAAGATCAAGTTGTTCAAGAAGCTACCATAAGGTCTGTTGATCATGACCTTGACTGCCCACACGGTGTGGTAAGCCCACATGACTACCAACAACAACGTAAGGACAGTGAGGATGGACGCGTTCAACGCCCTGGACTTGGACACTCTCTCTTGGGGCTTGTAGGCCGGCTTACGGGACAGCATTTTGAATAGTGGACTTATGAAGGCGACATCTGATCAGTGGTGCAGGTCGTGCAGGGAGAATTCCTCTCCATTTTGCAACTGGATCTAGCGAGAGATGTCAAGTAGGACGGGCAAACGGACAGCAAGGACTTACCAGCCCTAGGGAGTATTAGCCAGCGTCTCTAACCTACAAATAGAATTTTGATCCTCTAGGAGTGTGGAAAAGGCTCTCTTACATAATCAGATCTCACTCCCTCTGTTGGTAGGTATCAGCAACTCTGCACTGCCGCTGAGTAGTCGCGCTAGCCTATTCTTATCTTCCCCTGCAAAGTCGCACTAGCACCCAAACTTTCCCACTAGTTTCAGTGTTCTAGCACGATTCGCTTTCGCACCTTCTCCCTACCAGCGCTTGCAATGTGCAATGCCGATCGCGAAAAATGAAAATGGATGATCAGCCCATAGTATCTCAACCTTTAACCCCATTACTTGACAAAAGCCAGCACAGCCAGTGACACCTACAATCACTTCCTCTGTACCCGAGCCCTTTAACAACCGGCTTGATACGAAGAGCTGACCAACAAATATAGCTGACTGCGATTGAATCCCTTAGACGACCAGATAGCCAGCACAGGCGCCCAATTAGCCATAGTGTCCGTCACAGATAGTGAAGACCCCAATTGAGCTCCTTGAATTGATCGAATCGCCACCGACAAAGGTATACACGCCTCAAGATGCCCAAATACTCGCACGACCCCAACTTGGTGATTGAGCCCCACCATTACAGTGGGGGAATCCCGGTGTTCCAGCCGTCAATGGCTGAGTTTGAAGACTTCTACAAGTTCAACAAGGCCATTAATAAATATGGTATGAAATCAGGAATTGTCAAGATCGTTCCCCCAAAAGAATGGTCCAGACAGGTGAGTACTTGCTATACCAAAGAATCCTTGGAGCTGGTCAAGATTAAGAATCCCATTGTACAGCAAATTAACTCCACCTGCCCGGGAGTCTTCTCGCTGCAGAATATAGAAAAGTTAAGAACATTCAACATGTTTCAGTGGAAGGAAGTCTCAGAGAAGACCAACTACCAACCTCCAGCCCCCAAGGGCAAGTCAAGGCAATCAGTAGTATCCAGCAAACCATCAGTTGATGATATATGTCGAGTGGATACCTCTGAGTTTACTCCGGAACGTTGTGAAGAATTAGAGAAAAATTATTGGAGAACATTGACCTATGCAGAGCCGATGTATGGAGCCGATCTGATGGGCTCTTTGTTCTCCAGTTCAATAAAGAGCTGGAACGTCGCTCACCTACCAAACATCTTAGATCTTATGGACGTGAAGTTGCCAGGTGTGAACGAAGCTTACCTCTATGCTGGACTCTGGAAAGCAAGCTTTGCATGGCACTTGGAGGACCAGGATCTTTACTCAATTAACTACTTGCATTTCGGGGCCCCTAAGCAGTGGTACCTGATTCCTCAGGATGAAGCTCCCAAATTCTTTGAGTTAATGAAAGATACTTTCAATGATGAATATAATGTTTGTCACGAGTTCTTAAGACATAAGACGTTCTTAGTATCCCCACAGTTCTTGGATAAACATGATGTCAAATACAATAAAATAGTCCATAATGAGGGTGAGTTTATAATTACTTACCCTTATGGATACCATGCCGGATTTAACTATGGATACAACCTCGCTGAGTCAGTGAATTTCGCATTAGATGACTGGTTTCCTATTGGCCAAATCACGAAGAAATGTGAGTGTATTCATGATTCTGTGGGAATTAATGTGAAGCAAATCATATGCAAATTCCATGGCATACCTTACACCGATGATGTACTGAGCGAGGCGACTCCAGTACCTGTGATGCCTACAGAAACTCCGAAGAGGAGAATTCTGAATCCACAGAAAAACGCACAGAAAAAGAAGCAAAGAGTTGCAGAAGATTTCACGGAAGCTCCTCTGGAAAGTGAATGTTACTTGTGTCCCAACTCTTATGCCCAGTCTGCAATTGGAAAACACCCGTTCTTTGAGTTGTACCAAACAGACTTGTTGGACAAGGAAGGATCTCCGTATCGGGTACATAAGATATGTGTCAGCATGTTTCCTGACCAGTTGCGGGCCTCACGAAATGGAGATGGCTCTGTTTTAGTGACGGGGGTTGGCAAAATTTCCAAGAATCAGAAGAAATTGAAGTGTTTGGTATGCAGAAGGGGCTCATCTAAAGGTAATGTACACGATTCAGGAGCATGCTTCCAATGCACACACCCCAAGTGTACCAGGTCCTTCCATGGAACGTGTGGCATTAGCGGTGGAGTGTCTTTGAACTTCGAAGAATCCAGATTTTTGTGCAGATTTCATAGACCAAAGTCCAGTGAGTCGCTTGAGCAAGACATGATGAGAATACCTATGCATTCATGGATTCAATTTGCTTTCAACAACAATTTGTATTCGGGCATTGTTTTGAGCAACAACAGCAGTGAGAGTACGTTCAAAGTGATGATCTATCCTTCTTTCACAGATGTATTGGAGATTCCGTACCAATCTGTCTTTCCAGGGGTGGTTCCAGTCAACACCCTTCACATGGACGAGAGAATTTTGGATCCAGTCAGAAAGAGAGCTTCTGATTCGGCCATATCTTACACAAACTTGCCACAGACACAAGAGCACGGGCCCAAGGGTAACTACACAGCGTCGATGACCAACCGGCCAGAAGCTCCAGTGTACCCAAAAATGGGTATTTTCAGGGAACTGCGTGTAATCCACCCCACCAGAAAAGTTAACGTGCCGATTGGAGACAAGAACAGCCTCACTGTAAATAACGAGCTCTCCGGACTTACATCTGGTGGTCGTTGAAGCGGCCCACCCCAGGTATATTTATGCTAATGACTAACGAACCATTATTCGATCTGTAGATGGTGAACCATAATTTTGTAATATTTCAAAGCTACTTTTCAGCTGAAAGTCATAAAAGGGACTATCCTCTTTTGGTATCGATTTATGTGAATTGAATATATTCCAGGCTTTGGCAGAACAATACTCTAGATAAATGTCTTCAAAATAAAATAATTTGGGGTGGGTACTGCAGTATTAGGGAACTATCTAGGAAATAATTCAATTTCGATTTTGAACCGCTGTTACTGCTCATACCAGAGCAATTATTGCAACTTTTGCAAGAAAGCTAGAAATCACCAAATCTCAAGTTTATAGCATTGTAGTGGACTACAGGGTGATTAGGGAGTCCCCTACATGAGTCCAAACTATACAATTAAATCGTATGAACTCCTTGTACCCTTGAAACCACCATGCTTGGTATCGCTTCTGCCGCGCACGCGACTACCTTCATCACTTTTAGCTCCAATGCTAAATCTACATCAACGACAAATGAGCAAGAATAAGGCCAATGTGGTGGTAATTGATTCAGAACTATCAGAAGATGACGACCATGACTCGTTGGAGGACTCCGCAGAGTCGGACGATGCAATTATGATGCACTCGAAACCGAGGAGTGCTCCAAATTCACCACCACCCAAACGAAGAAGAGCTGCTCCAGTACGAAAGAAGTCCAATGGTGTGACAAGCTTTGGAGCGACTATAGATTCTCCTTCGTTCACACGCCCTATGCCCAAAAGCGGTGATCATGCTACCTCAAATCAATGGATAGACCAGTACCACCCCAACACGTCTCGTGAACTAAGCATTAATCCCCAGAAACTCACACAGGTTCGGAAGTCGCTAGAAGGCATGCTCAGTGGAACAACACAGACTCGTCTATTGATCTTGACGGGTCCAGCTGGAAGCTCAAAATCGACTACGGTGAAAGTGCTAGCGGATGAGTTGGTTCCTAAGTATAGAAACGCATCTGGAACTTATGGACTCAGCATAGCACAAGACGAAAACTGCTGGATAGAATACTTGGATAACAATAGTGTGATGGGTACCCATCAGTCCGACCAGTTTGAGGAGTTCTTGAACGATTCCAAGTACAAGGTGGGCAACAACTTGGGTGTGTTAGTAATAGAGGATTTACCCAACATCTTCCACGAACAGACCCTCCTTAACTTCAGAAACGCTATACGACAATGGTTGCATACTGAAGATACGCGCTTACCTCCACTAGTATTGTGCTTGACTGAGATTGAATACAACGGAGGAGAGGCAAAGCAGTACTCCTACAATGTAGAAAATAGCTTATCGGCAGATACTCTACTTGGAAAAGCATTGCTTGGTCACCCTTGTGTTGAAAACATCAAATTCAATGCTATTGCTAACAAATTTATCAGGAAGACCATTAGTGAGGTTATCCGCAAGGAGCGAGAAGTATTTCGAATGATACCCCAAGGTACGCTCAACTCCTTCTTGGACGATATTGTCAAGATTGGTGATATCAGATCAGCCCTATTCAATCTACAAATGTGGAGTACTCATTATGCCAGAGTAATCAAAAAACTCAACAACAATCAAAGCCCACAAGTAATCCGAGAACAAGAACTCTTGGACCCTTCCAAAATGCTTGGACTCTCTTACCAGCGAGAAAATCAAGTGAATTTGTTCCATGCCATTGGAAAGGTGATCTACTCGAGTTCAGAATTCGAGAAGCTCGGCGACGAGGAGTCCGATTACTATTCGATTGAAAAAGTGTTGAGTACATTCAACAGCAACAACTTCTCCTTATTGAACCTTTCGATATTGGAGAACTACCACATTTACAAAGACTCCAATTACTCGTTGCAAGTTGCTAGCAATATTGTCAATGACTTAAGTATCGGTGATACTATGTCCACTTTTGAAGCAGCCCGAGATATCGGGATCAGATCTACAAGAAACCATTTAAGAAAAGCCCAACCTTTGACTCCGACCGGAGGTTCAAAAAGTTACACGCAAAAGCAAAAGATCAAGTTTCCTAGACAGTTCAAAATGATCAGACAGTACAACAAAACATACAAGCAAGTACGGAGTTACCAAAGATATATTGATCAGCGAAGTTCCTTCGACGACTTGAATTTGATCGACGGGTATTATCTTCCAATAATTTATAATAAGAAGTACAAGAAACGCTACACATACAACCGGTTGGGTGGTCGATTCCTAGAGGTATATGCAGACGAGTCGTTGCCAGTGGTAGAAGAAGGGGAAGGGGAGGAAAATGTGGTATCAACCAGCTATGATCTTGATCAATTCCAAGTTGACATCATGAAAAAGGCATCGGGGGAAAACGATGCGGACGAAGATTACGAGGATGGAGAATTAAGCGACCCCATTGACGAGAGTGACGAAGAGTTGGACTCGGATGATGGGTTTCTGTCTGATCCGGAATTGGACGTTTTGATTTCGCAAGGAAGAGTGTAATGCTCTTAGTACTAATACAAAGTTAGGTTTCTATTATTTAGATAAAAGGAAGTTTATAGACATTGACGGATCACGCCGCCCCAGTTAATAGATATATTAATACGCAGATGGAAAAAATTACAAGGACATCGACAGTGACTACCACTAGGCAGCCTTAATGGCGTTCTCGAAAAAACTTTCGTCTTCCTCAATACTCTCCTTGATGATATCCAACCCACCCTGGAATTCTCCATTAATATACAATTGAGGGAAAGTGGGCCAGTCACTGAATTTCTTGAGACCCTGTCTGACTGAGTCATCCTTCAATATGTCGAAGAAACCGAATCTGACCTGGTGCTCTCTCAAGATCGCCACCAATTGTCTGGAGAACCCACACTGTGGGGATGATGGAGAACCCTTCATGAACAACATGATAGGAGCAGCGGTGGTCAACTTGGTCAACCTTTGGTTGAGAGCCTCTTCGGACTCCTCTTCAGGAGCAGAAGGTTCAGGAGCAGCTGCAGGAGCAACGGCAGGGGCTGCTTGGGTCTGTGGAGATGAAAATTGATTGAGGGCGTTTATGAATTCCTTTGGATCGGCTCCAGACAATTCCTTCAAGATGGTGGAGTTACGAATGAGGATGAAGTATGGCACAGCACTGACCTCAAAGAGCTCGCTGATTTCGGACAACTCGTCTGCGTTTATGCTGAGGAACAACACGTTGGGGTCGCTGGCCTTGGATTCGGCAAGTGTCTTGAACACACTGTTCATGGTCTTACAAGGTCCAGCCCATGGGGTGTGGAAGTAAAGTGCGATGAGCTTGGAAGGGTCCAAGTTGGTCAACTCTGAGAACTGAGTCTCTGACTCGATTTCAATAACGGTGCCACCCATGATGCAAGAAGTAGGTGATAGTGTCTGATGAGTAAAAGGATTGTCAGGATTATTAACGGCCACAGTAGTTGGTCACGTGCGTGCGACAATAATGGTTGTAGTAGTATGGGAGCTGGTATGGATAGAAGGGTCGCTATTCGCCTCCTTCTGGTGCTGGTGGTGTTGCGCTGGTTTGACATGGCATTTAGGATTAGAGGGTGGTAGTGTGGTGATGGAGGAGTGGATTGTCGCCATATCCCAAGTTTTGCTGTGGATGCGATCAATGATTGCTCTTTTGCAGCCAACAATCAAGAGAAGGGAATGCTACGACGAGAGCAAAAGAACTGCTTGGATTGATGATTGGATACATAGATTACTGCCTCAACCATGAATAGCTGTATACCGATCATTCTAGACATCAGCGGTGGAACAGAACTAGGCGTACAATTAGCATTTTGGTGAATGAAGATGGAATACTGGTTACAACAGAACTCATAGCGTACTATCAAACTCAGTGAGTACTAGTAACTGCTGTTCTTCGTCTCGAAAGTGCTCTTGAAATTGTTGGTATCGTCTTGAAGTGCCCACTTGTTTGGCTCGTACTGTCTTCTAACAGCCCTTTCGGACACGGTTGGAGTTTAGAGGGGCAAGTTATTCACTAGACAGCCTTCCTCCTGCGTCAGGTATGATGGCCACTGGCGAGGCTCGTATGGATGGCTACTGTGGACAAATACCGACGCGGCACCCAATATATTACCGAGGAAGCTCACAGGACAGAAAAGGTCCACATTGGGCAATTAAATGGCCGCAAGTGGATGGCACACAACCAACCCTACATGCAACCCTACATGGTGAACTGCGGGAGAAGGGCGAGCTTGGGTGTAGGATACAAAGCTAGCTGAGGATACAAATAGTGAGCCCCAGTCCGTAATTTATACCGCTGGGGAGTACCGCCACATCTACCTGACACAATAGGCCATGCATGCAGCATGCTCGGGGTCTCCTGGGACCGTTTCCAAGCTGGTGACAGGCAGTTCGTCCGAAATGCGCATGCGCAAGTGCCTTATTTGAGGATGTATTGCTGAGTAAGTATGTTTTCTGTCTGCGACAGTGTCACGAGGCAGCCAGAAAGACAACTCCAGGACTGGCTGGCGAGAGCGAACCCCCTCCGCCAGACCATGGCCACATGGCATGCCACGGCTCACCCCACCACCTTGTTGTCAATCCATTGACGTAGCCCGCTTTTCATCTAACCGTGGAACACACCGTTACGAGCTATCGTGCCCGACACAAGTGGGGTAAATCTGGTTGGACGTTACATCCCTGGAATTGGGGCATTCTCGGGGTACCCCACAAATCTCACGAGGGGCTTTGCCGATACTGCCGTAGTCATTTGTCAATGCCTAGACTTGAGAGTCATTCCAAACCAAAATGTTGGTTCGTGGTCTCGGGGCCAACTCCGAAGGCTCCTCACTCGGGTGGGCCCATCGCTGGACTTCTGGTGGCTTTCAGGGCCTCGAAGTTGTGATCTGGCCTGGATGATCTATTGTGTAGCCCGGCATTATCGAAACCATGCCCCAACAATGCCACCAGGGGCTGGTTCTCGGTACGACAGCCAGTTTAGTCCTAATCCAGTAGTGCAGGAGCCCACCCACGCCCGAAAGATGGATTGGGACATCAAGTGCGCAGCGGAAGGCACCAATCGGCAACAGAACGCATAATTGCACTAATCTCGCAGATTCTCTTGTGTGTGATTTTCTCACAAATTGTTGTGGTCCACCATTAATAAAGACTACTTTCTTCTGCAAACCCCATTCGATACCTACCCTCGAGTAACAACTGTGTGTTACTCTTCTTTTCTACCACTAGAACTTCGCCCAGCGCTTGTTCTCACGTTCTCGATCTCGAGACGTACCCCAGATTTCGAAAAAACCGCAGAATCGGCCCCAACCTAGCTCTGGTCACCATTTCAGAGTCCACAGTTGCCGGAAGCGCCCTATACTCTGCTGAACTCAAGTTCTGGGCCCTAGCTGACCTTAACATCGTCATTTCGTGCTTGGGAACCCATTTTTTGGGGATTCATACCGTTTCTCGGGGATAACGTGCATACAGCCGTAAGCACATTTTGCCATCCGGAAACACCTCAGCACCACCAGCTGGACTGACATATACACCGTCGGGAAACCCTCTCGGAACACTACATTCTTGGCCCCATCCGTTACGACGGCCATACACCACTTGAAGCTTACCCACAGCTTTCTCGCGGGAACTTTGTGTAATTCCTTTTGTGTCACTCCCCCACAAATTCAACATTTCAGTCATTGCTGGCCTATGCTTTCTCAAACAACATACCAAAACTCGTTTTCAATCGATAACCCCTACGGATCACGTGGCAGCATTATGTCTACTGATGGAGTCAGGCTAGGCGGTGCAAGCAACGATAACAACCAATCCAACCCTAATATGAACCCTTCTGCTCCTGGTGGCGTTTCCTCGAATAAAGGAGTGCCGTATGAGTTCACCGCAAATGGTACCACACCCTCGGGAAAACCAAGACTCTTTGTGTGTCAGGTATGTACGCGAGCCTTTGCAAGGCTCGAGCATCTTCGGAGACACGAACGCTCCCATACCAAAGAAAAGCCCTTCAGCTGTGGTGTATGCCAGAGAAAGTTCTCCAGAAGAGACTTGCTTTTGAGGCATGCCCAGAAGCTACATGCTGGTTGTTCGGATGCCATAACGAGGCTTCGCCGGAAGTCCATCAAGCGGTCCAACAGCACCAGTACCAACGCGAGCAACAATGAGGACGTCGATGAAGACGATGAAGATATGGATATCGAAGTCGAGGAAACACCCAAGAAGAGGATGGACCCGGTACATTTCAACCTTGCCCTGTTCGATTCAACCAGGGGTTCCGCTTCTTCCCCACAGCGGAAGAACTCAGAGTCTAATACCCCGTTGCGGCTGGTGTTGGACCACCGTAAAAAGTTCATTGGCAATAGAAGCAAGAGAGGTGCATCATTTTCGGCGCAATCCGGTGCTAACTACTCCATCGGCCAGTCACAGTTTAGTGATATCTATCCTAACCCTGAAAACGTCGAGTTCTCTACTCCACAGATGCTTCCGTCCTCGATGAATGATGAAATTAGCTGGTTGAACAACTTGTCTACTATTCCTGGCATGACAGGTGTTGACAGTTCAGGAACTAGTGGTATCATGGGTAACACTTCCAATCCAGCAATTTCTAATGCAAAGTTCATACCTCAGAATTTTTATGATATTCGTCAGAATTCAATTTCCACAGTGCTCGAAGGCACCAACCCTCCAGCAAACGTGAGTCATCATGGCTCATTTTCTAACAAACTTCCAGGCTCTGGAATGGAATCCATGGGCTACATGATGCCAACAGCTACTATTACCAACCATGAATTACAACAAGGAATGTCGAAGGAACCAAGCATCAAAGAGGAGAAAGACTATGGATACTCATTTTATGATATTCCTGAATCAATGTTGTCAGGAAGATCCTTGGATTCTGTCACAACAGGTATGGATATGCCTCACCACCCCCCTCAACAAACTCATTTCAAGGTGTTGACCCCAATCAAGCAGGAAGAAGAAGACAGTATAAGTCATCAGAATGGAAATAAGAATGTTGACTTCAACTTCCTTAATGATATCGACGAATTGACCAGTGGATATGATATGAACTCTAAGTTTTTACCTAATGGTTATTCATTCTACGGCGATAACCCTTCTGTGTCTTCTTCGGGAGTTGAAGCTCATTCCCCTTCGATATTATCACCTTCCTTAAATTTGAATAACCCTGGCGGTTTGCTTAATGATACTTTGGATCAAAGCCAATTGTTGGATCTCGACCAACATACAAATCATAACACAGGCTTGGGAAATCCTGGACGTCGTGGAAATTTCTCAAGAAATAAGCTCTTTACTAATTCACTTCGTCATCTTCTTCATCGTGCTCTTTCGAAATACCCGATCAGTGGTATTGTCAACCCAACCATTCCCTCTAACGAAAAGTTGGAGTATTACCTTTCAAAGTTTGTTCATGACTTCTTGAGTTACTTACCGTTTATCCACCTCTCTAAATTGAATGAATTTGAAATGATGAACATGACTCTGAGTGAAGACTGGAGCAATGAAAGTGCTAGAGTGTGTCTCCCATTGTTAATAGCCACCATTGGTGCATTATTTGCAAACAATAAGAGAGATGCTGAACATCTTTATGAAGCATCCAGAAGAACAATCCACATTTATTTGGAAAGTAGAAAGAATTCTTCAGAGAAAGAAAAAGAAAAGGATGGTGCTAATATCAATCCACTTTGGCTTATTCAATCATTGATGTTGTCGGTTATCTACGGTTTATTCTCTGATAACGAAAATAATGTGTACATTGTCATCAGACAGTTAAGCGCATTGAATTCTTTGGTCAAAACTTCAATCAAGAGTAAGAGACCTTTATTGTTTTCCATTAGTGGTGAAGATGAAGAGTGTTACAACAAGTTAAACGGAAGCTCAGGTGATGCAAAAAATCCAGAGTCTTCGTTGTTTAATAATAACTTCGATCAAGAAATGAAGTTCAAGAATAATATCAACCTTCAATCACAGACAAGAATTGTCATCACCATTTATAGATTGACTAACTTCCTTTTGATGATGTACAATGTTCCTCTAACTTTAAGCATTAATGACTTGGTTGGTATAGAGGTTCCTAATAGAGACGATGAGCTTTTATGGGGCTTCAAAAGCTACCAAGACTTTCAAGAATGGAAATCAAGATCAGGTGGAACAAGCTTCAATATTGAGGATCATCTCAATGGCCCAAAGATTGGCTATAAGGATATCATCGTTAGCTTGACCAAGTTAAGCAAGAACGACCCCAATGACTTCAACAATCAAGAGTTGTTCAAGGTATTGAGTCAAATGAGCAGGTTTGGATTTAATGGTGTAGTTCAAGGGTTATTTGAAATAATACAATACCTCGAACTGAAGCAAGTGGATATATTCGTTGTCATAGATACCTTGGCTAAATTTTATCCAAATGAACCATTCGTCGGCCAGTCACAATCTAGAATGAACCAAGACTTCGAAAAGCTTGAATTTATATTAAGTTCAAACTATACGAAGATTTCGTCCTTAATTGACTTCAAATTAGTGAAAGAACAGAGTTGGTTAAGAAACTATGAGGAATTGGCAAAGAACTACAACGGTTTATTGAATGACAACAATCCTGATAATAAGAGTCCTGTCAGTGATTACGATTATGTTCGGATTGTCGATTGTTGCTTGATGATTATCAAGGTCATATTGTTCAAGTCTGAAGATGACTATAGCAAGAGTCTGAGCTCCCGTACTGAAGGATCCGGACCTAGTGAATCTTCTGGGTTTACAACCGACTTCTCTTTCTTGAACGCCGAGTTTCCAAGCACATTTAATGGAAACCAATTCCAGGATTTGAACACACTCTTATCTGATGATTACCAAAAAATGGGTACAACAGGAACTCTTGGTGAAGAAAATACCGTTCTGCAATTCGAGAAAGCTGTTAACTTGAGAATTTTTGAAGAATTTGATATTGCTACTGTTTCGTTGCATTCTCAGATGTTGTTCCATGTTTTTACCATCTTATCAGCATTTTCGATTTATGTTGCACGCAAGAACAACCCTGTCAATGTGCAAGATAACAGCACAAGCCAGCATTTGCTTTTCGAATTGAACCATAGATTCAGCATGACATTGAAATTGTTGGACAAAGTAGAAAGCTTTTTGAAAGTGAAGTACCAGCAAGGTGAAGGGATCAAAAGTGAGGTCCTTGACCAGTTTTTCTCCAATTTATACTTATACAATGGAGAGAGGAAGGACAACGAAAACTATACTTTAGAAAAGACACTTTATATTTTGAAGATCGGAGAGGTCGTGTTAAATTATGTCTTCGATAGCAATATCAAGGTGTCTATATTTAAAAAGTTGAGTGGGAGCTTGGCTCAGATACGGAAGTGGTTGATTGATAATGATGTTGCGCGATAAGATATCAAAATCGGGTCTTGTTCCAAAACAAATTCATCATACATTCAAATTGTAATATCCGAATGATTATGTTGATTAATTTATTATATTTATTCTGTCAGTATTTATTGCCTGCTAGAAAGGGCCCACGAAGTTATGATACTATTTATAAAAGCATGTAGACCTTTATACTCCAAACACAAGTATCCTGCGTCCACTAATCTACATATTACCGCGGTTGCTTCTGCAGACGAAGCATGGGATTAATGGCTCATGGGAGTGTTTTTGTTTGTAACATGTCCAAAGCTGCCCGATTTCTCGGTAGGCTATGCTCACCCTTCAAAGCACTTGATTTTGGGCACCATAGGCAACGCGGTAGTACATTTCAGCACATCATGATCACTCGAGTAGCCGTCTATAGTTTACCATAAGTATCGAATCACATGGCTAAAACACAATAAATACCCGAAATGCATTGTTAGTTTCACCTTCGGGGCCGTAGAATACTGGAAACCCACGGTGGTGGCAAGTGGATTACTGTTAAGCCCAAACACATTCGCATATCCATTCAGTGGCGTTGCCTATGCGTTGAATTCACAGAAAACTCCAAATCAACTTTTAAGTTGAGTGAAAAGTTGATCGCCGGCATGCGAAGCAAAGACCGAATTAACAGAACTGTGCCCAACTCAAGTATCCTCAGTAGTAAGGATATTTAAGGAACGGTGCATTTTGGGGCGTTTAGCTACATGTCCCCAGGGGTGAGACATTTGAATCCCCCACTTTTGCAATGTTTTACGATCATATGATTCATTGAGGGCCAAAGCAACTATTGTTCTTGGAGCTTTAGACCCCCGCATAGTCTGGCTTATGCTACATCAATAGGCTACAGTAACTGGTAAACCATTATCATCCACCTTATATTACATTAGAGATTATTATCGAACAAGATATCACTTGTTCCTATATTGTACAGATGCGGATCAACATTTTCGTTATTCGTTCTCGAAGTTTCGGAACTTTCATCTGAAGAGTTTTTGTTATTATTAGAGCCGCTTGGCACAAAGAACAGTTGGAAATCCATCAAGCTCTCCAAGTCTGCAGAGGCATGTGGAAGGTTAGAACTGTTGGCACTTGGTGGGTAGTTGTGCGAAACATTATGCTGGTTGGCTGTTGTTGTGGTGCTGACAGGAATAGGTGATATCTTTCCACCCCCTATGGACGATCTTGGAGTGTCATAGCTCACACTACCCAAGTCACTTGCATCTTCGGTATGAGCGCTGGCTTCGGGTGATAATGGAACGGCAGTATTTTCCTTTAAATCATCACCAAATGCATCTTCCAACGAGTTGATCATTTTGCTGGCGATAACACTGAATCTATGAGCAGTGACACTGATTGGTCCAAGCAAGTTCAAAATATTTCTTGCAGTGACTAATTTCTCCATCAAGGTAACAATACTATATTCATCCTGAAACCCTTGAGAGGTTTTTCTATGAAGAATAGATAAACCGAGAATAAGCGCGGCCATAAAACAGCAATTCACTGCAGGATACAGCTCGACTCTCTCTGAATACTGTTGAATATAATAATTGATGAGGGTGATAGTTAAGACTGAAGATTTCACACTAGCCTTGCAAAAATGGATCATAGTGTTATGATGCTTCACTTTCTTTGGACGTGTCAAGTCAGTATCACTCTTAAATGCAAGATACATGAAGAATGGACGACACAATAACATAATCCCGTATAATTGTGAAAGGTGCACCGCAAATACCAGGAAGTTATCCTGTGCAACATTTTCTGGTGCTCCTTCGCTTTCCACTGCACTTTGCCAACGTAAAATTTTATCAATTTGAAGATCCGGATCAAGATTAATGGACCAAATTTTGAAATCAATTGCTAACTTTTCTGCACGTACTGGGTCAATGGTGCCACTTAAATAAAAGTTTTGGACGATCTTACCATTTAAAACTGCAACCTTGGCAATTTCGATCAAGCATTTGATATTGAGTGCATTCTTGGGTTCACTTTGGACCAACTCTTCCGAATTATCAAAGTCGTCCCAATCGTAATCAGCAATCAATAACGGCCTTCCGAGCAAGATCGAGGATATTCTGTCACAAACGTAGAGACTGACCCATAATTTACGTCTATGGTAGACGTAACTTCTGTCTTTGTAGGATTCGTTGATAAATTTTCGATGTAAACCCAATGCTTGGGCATTTCTGATAGCAGTACCCAACATCAACCACGAGGTACTTCTATTACAATTAGTTTGGTAGTAGAAATAAATAAGGAAATAAGCTTCGGTCAACCACAACTTGCCGTCATCAACAGTACTTCTTATAAGGTTGAACCCACTTTCAAAATAGGCCACTGAAGTACTGTTTGGCGCAAGTTCCTGAATTAGCGGAGACCTGGATATTTCGGCAAAAAGAAGGCCCAAAGATATTACCAAATGGAGCAACGCCAACTTTTCAGGCAGGGCTTTCACTGGATCCCTGTAGACATGATCGATGACGTTTCTGGTGAAGTAGCTCATGTTGAATATGTACCAACTTTGGTTGACGTTGTTTTGGAAGAATACCAACAATTTATCACAATGTTCTCTCGCAGGAAGGTCGATGGCCTTTCCTGGCCTCAATTGTATGGGCTCATCCAACATGTTGATGCCTTGGTCGTCGGAGGAAAAATCTGATACTCCAAGCTTGTCCATGAAGATATTTCTTGCTTCGAATAGAAGCGACAACGGACTACTTTCGCCAATGTATCTGGTTGAGGTAGCCGAATCGAAAAGAATCCTAGGGACCTTTTGATCGTCGCTGAGCTCACCACTGCTGCTGTCTTCCATTTTGACGTCGTCTTGCTTTGGGGTCACGCTGGGAAGAACCACAGGTTTTGGCTCGGATTCTTCTTCCTTGTAGGCGTTCAACGGGAAGGACAAGAGGGGCTGCAAGCTTTTGGGAATGTAGGTTGACCGTAACAACTTGGAGGCGGGGGGAAGCTTGTTGATGGAGCCGTGGTCCGGGTACGTGCTGAAGGTGTTGATTTGGGGGATAGATAACTCGGAGGACTTTTGGGGGAAATGGTGGTACTGGTATAAGTTGTTTGGCGGAGGGTTTGGGGGAATGGAGGCCAGTGCCGGCGAGAGGTAGTTGGGGTAGTTGGGCACGATGGGGCCCGAGCTGGGCCCTATGGCGTAGGAGGATTCGGGGACGTGGGGGGTGGAGGCGACCGGGCTGTTGGGCGAGGACTTGGATGGGTTGGCCAAAATCTTCTTGATGCCCTTGGTGGTTCTGCGATCGACGATGGAAAACTGGCACACGATGTTCTTCTTCTTGCACAACTCACATGGTGACTTGCCGATGCACTTGTACTTACGCTTCTTGCAGTAGTCACACGCCTGGGTCACCTTCTTGCGCCGCTCTGTGGGAAACGACACCATCTTGCGATCCTCCATGGTTTTTTGGTGGTGGTTGGGTGGTGGTGGTTTAGGTGGAGAGGAGATGGATCAACAAAAACGCGAGGCAAAGCTCGGGAGTGGGGGCGGAGCGGAGGACGATTAGGGTGTCCAAACTGGGGCGGACGGTTGGCTGTAAAAGGTGTAAGGAAACGGTTTTTTGCGAGAATTGTTGGAACCGCTGCCTGAGGGACCATGCGGTGACAGACGAACAAAACCAGCACGGGAATGCAACAAAAGAGGTAGGGCGACAAAAGCTAACCCGAGCGACAAACACCAGTAGCGAACACACACAAAGTGGCAGGAACTGGCCAAGGACGTTGCGACGGGTCAAACTACCAGCAGGAGTCAAATAAGCCGGAAGGTGGGGAACCGATGGAATTTAAGCCGTGACAATGTGATGACTTACACACTGGGAGTTCAAAGCCGGTAGGGTTCGGACGGATTAGAGGCGGCGGGGGGAGTGCGAACTGGGCGGGCTGGGGTGCCGTGGCAGTTAGCGGACCCTGGAGATCTTGGAGCCTCCTTTACGGCGGGGCCAGGGCCTCCACTGGGCCATGGTTGCAGTGGCGAGCGGGTCCCCATGGGCCCAAGGCTATGGGCCTGGCAGGCAGTTTCTTGGGAAGTGGGCCGGTTAATAGCGTGGGTCCGAGAGGCGAACAAAGACGGCCACGCGGCTATCGGCACATGTGCAAACCTGGCGGTGGGAGCCACCACTGGCGGGCGCAGGGCCATGCGGCGGACCCATAGTGCTAGGAAGGGGGCCCGCCTGTCAACTGGTGCAGTTTCCCGTCGGATTTCGGTGACTCGCGCCTTTTGCATGAGGTGCCCTCAAGCTGGTGGTTAGATGCCAATAACCGTTTCATCGAGCACCTGGCACGTATCTGCACTGACGCGTATCTCGCCTCAAACCTTGTTTCAGCCTTTCCCCCAACTTCCCCGGGCACTACCGCCAGATGCAACTTCCGTACAACCAGTTCGTGTATTAGACGTCTATAAAATATCCCGGGGGTTGCATGCGGAAATGTCACCAACAATAGTGGCGGCAAATCCAATTAGAATAGCCACCTGCAACCATGTGAAATACCACCAGCTGCACTCCACCACTCGTGCGGCGGCCTCGAGCTCGTCGCTGCACCGGCCGGGATCCCACGAGCATGCCCATGTTTGTGGAACTGGGGTTGGCGAGTGCATACTTCCATGTCCCGCCCTGGCACTTTTGCTGCTGCCACCGAGTTGCGAACGGTACCGCATAACCGCTGGCTGCGTCCTTCCTCCTACTACAACCAGTGGCTTAGTACATATAGGGGAAATAGGGGTTTGGAGAAATGTTGCTTGGCGATTACCACTACTCTCCCTATTTTGTTTTCGCGGTTCCACGTCTAATTCCATTTTAGGGTATATGGCACTTTTTTTTCTGTCCTTGCATGCATCTTCGGTTTCGTACTGTCCACTCTGGCTTTGTTCTTCGGGGATTCGCCTCCTCCTCCTGAGTCCGTGTCGTATCCTCAGCGCTCGTCTTTTGATTAGCCTTATCGTGACGCTGATGGTCCGAGCCCGCGAGCCTTTGGGCCCATTCGTGCATGCCAGGAGCATGTTCGATGATTGGGCTTTCTGGATCCTGGAACTGGTGGCGTCACTCGGTATTTAACTCTGAATCACTTGCTAGATCATTGCCACAGCAATCGCCCTTATCTCGACTCCCGGGTTGCTACAGTAACAATAGATGCTAATATCAACGAGTCCTTGTATTCCAAGGATTAGGCAATAGCGAGTGCACCGGTCCGAAAGCCCCTGGATTGCCCTTCGCAACTGTCATAGCCGTTCCTATGTCACTTTTGACACCTTCATGTGGCCCGAATTTTATTTCCCGCAGCTTCAGAATTTCAATTTCAAATGCGTGGCTCATGCCGAACGACAGGTTAATTTTACGGTTCTAGCCTTTTATCTCAAGCTTTCGCTCGCAATTAACAAGTAAATCCCAACCAGATAACTATGCCACCGGTTCACGTATCCTTACTCTTGCTGGGACCATTGTGGCCTACGAGTATTACAAATGCATAGCGGCTTGGCACTTTGTGAAATATAGTTTAGTCTAACTCGATGCTTGGCCAATTAAACCTATGTACCATTTTCGGTGAAATAAGGAAGCATGTGCCTGGGGTAATGAAACAGCAATGTGGGGGATCCTCTACCGCCACACCTGCCCCAGACCCAACCCAATTCAGGTCCTTCCTTCTAGAATCCGTCTATTGTTAATTAACTCCGTCCAATAAGCCATATTGAATATAAAATTATGAGCTGATCTATGGGGAATTTCCGGACAAGTGGTGCGATTTGAATGATATCCAGATAACAAATTCGATCTCAACCATGGGCTAATATCAACTGCATATGTAGCGCGCTGTTATTATGATGCGCCTTTTTCCAGTTTGGAATGCCTCCCGTCTCTTTTTACCACCCTTGTTGTTGGCTGCGAAACGCATAGCCCCTCATTTCAACAATAGCATAAGGTTTTTAAGCCATGTTGTCTCAAGGATGAAGTCATTCTGGAGAATTCCGACTTCAGGATTATCCGAAAAGTTTAAATGGCCATATACGAACACCCCTAATAGTTCAATTTGTCAATTTGTTATAGTAGTGTGCTACAGTTGGAACATTATTGTTCAGTGCAGGGTGGAATTCTGTTTTTAGTGCTGTATGTGACGCAGTCTCAAGGAAATTTAGTAAAGCCTTGGAGATTCAAGGCTCAAAAAGCCAGTAGTTACTAAACATTTGAGTTTATCACCTAGGGGCTAAGAAGCCAGGTTGAGGGCTAGGTTGAGGGCTTTTTTGGTTCTTTCCAAATGCCTGATGCAAATAAACGCAATGGCTAAATTTGCTTTTCTTTGGTTGGAAGGATACAGTGTATGGTTCAAATCCCATAACTTGGCCCTAGAAGAAGAGAGCTCGTTCATTTCGTGTAATTGTAGGTATATCTTCTAAGTTTAGTTTAGCGAAAATGAAAATCTGGAAAAATGAGGAAAAATAATAGGAAATTCGGGCACTTATTTTTTTGATGCAGATGTAAAAAGTTCACCTACTTCCAGCCTATCCTTCAAAATCGGGTTGATTTTGCTTTCGGAGGCGGAGTAGTGTAACTGAGCGAGAAATAGATACAAAGAGTACGTTTACTGCTACTTACACACGGTTACATAAGCAGATAAAAGTGTGTATGTGTGAACATTAAAATGTGGTATTTTACAAGTATCAGCCAGTGACAAGCATAAGCAAGTAATAGCAAACGGGGAAGAAATAAGTATTTGATAAGCACATGTCCCAGTAGTTGAGATGATAGTAGAGAAAGGGGACGTTTATTAACGGTCCGCCTTCAACATAAGTGCTTTAAAAATCTATTCTACTGCTTAAACTACAGAGTGGACCAATTACAGTGTGTGTTTGGGATGTTTTCTGTCATGCTGTTGATCTAAATATTCTGAAACTAGTTGAATTTGACTCAAAAATCCGGAAGTAAATCATAATCTACTCTATGGATAACATTATACCTTTTGCCATGGGAAACTACAGTTCATGCCAGAAAGTTTTGCAAATGTGAAGCTTAGTTTTTAATTTAATCACTACCAATTTTGTGTCTGGAATCTTTCGATATCCTAACATGGGTGTTGAAAGGAAACTTTAGTAGTTGTGAGAGTTTCATAAATAAGAGGTATGGTAGGAAACTGTATTCTTCAAATAGGATTTGCCACGGTAATAATATTTCACTCTTCATTCTAGATGAACTGGTTGATACCTTACTGTCAGTTCTACCGGAATAAAAGTGGCATCTTTTCCGATGGACCACTAGTTACTGTTTTTCAAAAATGAATTTCTCAATAATAAATATATTTGAAAGCTAAGTATACTAAATCTTATATAGACCAGTCGTAAAATGCCAAGAGAATACCATCCTGGTTCCAGAAATCGCCTACTATGCGTTTTGGCATGGGAAACTTTTGTGCAGAAATTCTATGTCTCCAGGGCTATCCTCATTCATACACGGTAAATTTCACGCCCCTTTAGCTTAGTGGTAGAGCGTTGCACTTGTAATGCAAAGGTCGCTAGTTCAATTCTGGCAGGGGGCATTGTAATTATTTTTTTAGGCGAAATACCCAACTTTGGGTAAGCAGTACGACACAACCCACACCTGGAAACACATTTCTAAGGGCCGGCCACACAGGACATGGTTTCCTTATTCCAGTCTCTACGCCTTCATGTTGCAACCTCCTGACTATTCCTCGCCCCTCTATGGTCCATATGCAGTCCGGTTGCCACTACCAATAAACACCATCAGACAATTTGCATGATCTACACACGATGAAAGCACTCTCAGGACCATCACCGTTTATGAGAGGCTTCCTATTCAAACTAGGGCGAAGCCTAGGTCCGTCCACCGGGGTCACCCCTTCGACCCTTCTCAGAAGAAATGCAGTCAGTGGAGGAGGGCTCACCAAGGAGTTCTCGGTCTTGTGTCCTAGAAGAGGTCAGGACATTTTAAGGAAAACCACAATCGCCAAGCGTCCTCTTGAGTTCCACAGAAACCTCGGTTTTATCAAGATAATTGCCCGTGCTACCAAGATCCCTGTGTATATAGGCGGGACTTTTGCCGCTGGTGGATCGTACGTTGCTTACAAGGTGGACCAAGCATCGACCTATACCAGTGACAAATTGAACGCTTTGAAGGATTTTTCAGATGGTTTCTTTGATAAGACGGGTGAATTTTTCAAGAACATAGGCAGCTCTGGCAGTGAGAGCGGCGGCAGTGGCGGCGGCAGCGGAAATGGTGACACAGCAACAGCAGTTGGCGCCACTGCTGCAGCCGTGGGGTTTGCTCCAGAGGAAGACGAAGACAATACGGAAGACGAAGACGATGAAGAGACCTTAATAGATGATGACGATGACGATGATTTGGAAAATGACGAGACCGATGATGAAATGATGAATTTAACCAGACAAATGATCGAAATAAGGAACTTGCTTGCCAGCATTGACCACGACACCATCAAGCTTCCATCTATCGTGGTCATTGGTTCCCAATCAAGTGGTAAGTCTTCAGTGTTGGAGTCTATCGTGGGCCAGGAATTTTTACCCAAGGGTTCGAACATGGTGACAAGAAGACCAATTGAATTGACCTTGATCAACACTCCGGATGCGGCTGCCGATGTGGCTGAATTCCCAGCCTTGAAAATGCACAATCTTACCGACTTTCAACAGGTTCAAAAGATTTTGTTTGATTTGAATATGGCGGTACCAGAGCATGAATGTATATCAAACGACCCTATCCAGATCACTGTGCGGTCACCAAGAGTCCCTGATTTGTCCTTAGTTGATTTGCCTGGGTACATTCAAGTTGAAGCCGCAGACCAACCAATTGAATTGAAGCAAAAAATCAGACAGTTGTGCAACAGATACCTTGAGGCACCTAATATTATTTTGGCAATCTCAGCTGCTGATGTCGATCTCGCTAATTCTGCCGCTCTTAGAGCTTCCAGGGTTGCTGATCCAAGGGGTGAAAGAACTATCGGTGTAGTAACTAAGGTGGATTTAGTACAGCCAGAATTAGCAACCGCTATTCTTACCAATAGAAAGTATCCTCTCAAAATGGGATATGTTGGGGTAATAACGAAAATTCCAACTGCCAACAAGACGAGTGGAAGTTTATTTTCAAGAAAGACAGTTTCAGGATATCAAGCATACGTTGCTCAGCAAAACTTTGAATACAATTATTTCAAAGAAAATAAGGAAGAGTTTACTGGAACTACTACGGGAACAAGAAATTTGAAGAAAAAGTTGATGAAGGTGCTCGAAAAATCAATGACTGCTTCTCTTAGGCCAACCCATTTTGCAATCCAACAAGAATTGGAAGAAACCTCTTATCAATTCAAGGTGGAATTTAACGACAGACCATTGACCCCGCAAATGTACTTGGCTAACAATATTGATGCTTTGAAATTAGCTACGAAAGAATTAAGTCATCATTTCTCTCGGGCTGAATTGAAGTCATTACTCAAGAATGAATTGGATCAGAAGGTATTGAATTTATTAGCTGAAAGGTACTGGAACAAACCTTTTAGCTTGAAGAACTCGAATGTTGTTGTGGAACCAGACTTGAGAGAATTATCCCAAATATCGAACATCGATGATGATACCTATTGGCATAAGAAATTGGATTTAACGACAAGCTCATTGACTAAATTGGGTGTCGGAAGATTGTCCACTAGTTTAATAACGAACGCTTTGGTAGCTGAAGTCGAGAATCTCGTGGACATCACTCAACTTAGAAATCATCCTATGGCTAAGGCAGCGGTGAAAGACGCCGCTAAATCTGTTTTGGGGGCAAAGTACTACTCGACCGCCGATCAGGTGGAGAATTGTATCAAACCCTACAAGTATGAGATCGAAATCGAGGACAGAGAATGGCAAACAAGCAAAGAGAATGCCGTCAAGTTACTCAAAGAAGAATTGAGACAAGCCGATGATGTTTACAACTATCTCAAAAAGCTGATTGGAGGTAGAAAGTTGCAACAGGTCGTCACATACTTAGAAAAGTTGAACCAGAACCAATCCTTAGATCTTGATTTGAATTCAAAGGAAGCGCTTGGATTCTCCCCACAACTTATCGAAAAAGGAAAGGAAGCTATCTTTTTAAAGGATAGAATTTCGTTATTGAAGATGAGATATCTGTTTGTCAAGAATTCGAAGAAATGCAAGAAGAAGGAGAATAAGTATCAATGTCCAGAAATCTTTTTAGATGCTGTATCATCCAAAATCGCTTCCACTTCTATCTTGTTCTTGAACGTCGAACTCTTGAGTGATTTTTACTACAACTTTCCAAGAGAACTTGATTTGAAGTTCTTTACTAACCTTACAAAGGAGGAGATTGAAAGATTTGCAAAGGAAGATCCGAAGATTAAGAAGCACATCGAATTACAAGAGAGAAAGGACCTCTTAGAGAATGCCATGAGTAAGATTGAAGGTGTTCTTGCAATCCAACGCACAAAGAAGACCGGCAATGATTCAGGTAATAAGTCGATTTTCAGCTGGGGATCTTAGTCTTCCCACATTTCAGTCTGTTGTAAGGCTCATTGAATCTTGCAGCACATTTACTGGACTATTTTCTTGTATAAATTTATAAGCGACACAATTCTGTGAGTATTTTCTAAAGATCACCATCAATGTAGAATTGCATTTTTTTTGAACGATGTTAGAATATATTATGTAACCACTACAGACGTTATCCGATTGCTTTTACTAGCCTATATATACACTATATCGTAATCATCGATTACTTTATAACCTTGATAATTCTATCAAACAAGGTCTCGATTTGGATACCTTCAACGTTTTCGAAAATTGGCTGGAAAGTATTGAGATCAAGACTTCTATTAAATTCAACGTCATCTAATTTTTCATTGTGACCATTGATGCCACTCAGTTTGATTTGAACATTTCTATTATTTATGACATCAGCAGTTGCTTGGGCATTTATCAACATATTGTTCATGTCGGATGTCAAATCGAAGGTTTCCTCTTGTTCCGTTTCAGTGACATTTGAAGGTTGTACAACCCCGACTCTAGAGTCCAAATCAACAAAAATAAATGACGAATTGAAATGCCTGATAGAAGAAATACCCTGGTTGTGGACAGACGAATAAATTGGTTTAATTTGATTAGGATTGAAAATCAAAATCTTGGACTTGATGGAGAAATCTGGTTCAGTGTTGTAATAGTTGAGTGCTAAACATACCAATTTGTTGAGTGGGTCAATAGTGATTAAGTTTCTTCCACCACTCGTGGTGTTAACTTTAGCATATAATTCATTCATTTCACCAGTCAAGAGATTGAATGAACAAAGTCTGGTCTTGGATAACACGATAAGATTGTTGTCCAAGATGGACAATGACCTAATAGGAGATCCCGAGATGGCTGGAATGTTGAATTTGACCGGTTCGAAGGTTTGAACGTTAATGACAGAAATTGAGGATTCATGCCCTAAAATGAGTAATGATCCATCATCAGACCAACAGATATCAATTGAACTTGAAGCCAAAGAACCTCCAAGTTTCGATTTTCTCAAGGTCCATGCAGTTTGAGTCAGTCTTTCAGCCTTAGCAGTGAACTCCTTAGTAGTTCTTGGTCTCCACAACCTTAAGGATCCTTTGCTATCTACAGTCACAAATGCTTGACCATTGTAGTAGGACACTGGTGAAGGAATGATGGAAATGATTGGGTTTGATCCATGAGGGTCAATAATCTTGGTGGTTAGCTCCCAGTTACCGTTTGCTGTAGACTTAACATTAGATGAACCTTTTGGTTCCACATATTTCCAGAATTTCAAAGCATACTGTTTGTCACCCTTGGATAATAAGTTGTCGAAGTCCGAGGTTAAAATACTGTCAAAGGTACACATCCATTCACCATCCTTAGTGAAACTAATGCTAGTGATCTCAGGGTCTGCCAATTTAGTTTCGGATTTGACTTTTCCTGTAGAAACTGTAGAAGCTGCATTTTGGATAAAGCTTTGCTCGTTCTTGACCAAATCATACGCTTGCACAATTGAGGAGTTTGGGAAATATAAGTTCTTTGATTTGGGATGGACCTCGAAAATACTGGAGTAATCATACCTGAGTTTGGAAACATCAAATTGTGCCTTGGAAAACTTCTTCTTCGATTTGGACAAAGTGGACTTTATCGAATTGGTGAACTTTGGTCTAATGCTGTTAACGGATAATCTGGAAACCAAATCCACCGCCGACAAGACTAAAACTTCGTAAGTATTTTCCTGTTCCTCCTCATCGCCAGAAACCTTCAAGAGTAATTCGTAATAGTCAGGCTTCACATTGTCAATGGAAATTTTATCTATGGTACCGTTCAATCTTGGTAAGAACTGGGTCTTTTCAGTCTCTAATTGCCAGAATACTAAAACCTTTTCTAAACCACCCGACAACAAGTAAGCATTATCAGGAGTGAACTGCAAAGATTTGACTTGATCATTATGCCATTTGAAAAGACGTTGAGGCTTATCAACAATAAGTCCCCCGTATAATAATTGGATTGTTCCACTGACAGTACCGAGAGCTATTATGGAGTCATTGGACACGGCCATGGATGTGACTGGTGCTTTGAATGGAAATTTGATACGTTCGGTGGTTAAATTGATCGACGCAAGTGAATTTTCAGCTTCGACAAGCTCAAAATTCACAAGATAAATTTCATGCTCCTCATTCACAAACGCAATCTTGCTTCCATCTAAGGATATGCTAAATCTGGTGGAGTTTTCAATTTCTTTCAATGGAGTTATTTCCAAGGAGTTACGGTCAATCTTGTGAATGCTTCTGTTCTGCGCAGTTCCCTTCTTGTCCTTCTTACCGTTGACAGTATAAAATGCATCTTCGGTCACCTGAATCACACTAAGTATAGGAGCTTCAACTTCTAAGTCAAGTTTTCCAACTATTGGCACTGTTATCTTGTCTCTCCAATTGACCATTACGACCTCGCCGTAACCTTTAAAAAGAAGAACACGGTGATTGTGAGTGGTGTCGAGCTTGAAATCCACTACATCGGTGGCATCACATTCTATGGCTCTAATGCACTGACGGGTAGAAATGAAGTAGACTCGAAGTTGATGAGATAGGAGAACGATGCAATGGCGGCCATCGGCCGAGAACACGGTGGAGGCAGCACGGGAGTTTGGGAGAAATGCTGGCTTTCCACCGGAAACCAAGGATGTAGTCCAGTCTGTAGATCCGCTCATGGTTGCCAAAGACGATCTAGTGGGACCAAAAGTTTTCAAGATGAGATGAACAAAAATCATATACACGTGACCATAAAAACACGTGACCCGCAGTTACCATTCATCCCATCTCGCTGAAAACTTTGATTACCATCACAATCAGACACCAGCCATGATCATTCCTATTCGTTGTTTCTCCTGTGGTAAAGTTGTGGGTGACAAGTGGGAAGCCTACTTGGAGTTGTTACAAGATGAATCCATGACCGAAGGTGACGCTTTGGATGCCTTGAAATTGTCCAGATACTGTTGTAGAAGAATGGTGTTGACCCATGTTGATTTAATCGAGAAGTTCTTGAGATACAATCCATTGGAGAAGAAGGAGATAAGTTAATGGTCCTGCTGAGAGCTGACTGTTCTTCAAAGTCCACGAGAATAATTATAATGAGTGGGTAGTTACCGAGCCTTTACATGGGCAATCACAGTGGCTACCTGAGATGGTAAGGGGCTAAAGGCTTCATACATCTCAAGAAATGGCGGCTTGGCTCGTCTTGCCAATACCTGTGGTATTCTGTATTTTAGATAATAAAAGATAAAGTGAATTTAGTGTTGTAGGCCGAGGAAATATCCGATGTCTGGGCGTATATGATGGCATGACATTGTCTTTCCGTCCCTCTGCTATATTTTCCAAGCGGAGAATGGTAGATGGTAGTCTGGTATTGGTATTCTACTGCTCGGTTAGAATTAGCACCAGTATGAGAGGAGCAAAAAATAGCCGATATCGCAAACCATGCGATCCTAAGTCGACTGATATTACTCAGCTTACTGTAACCAGATTATATAGGATATAAATCTTGTTTCTACAATGGTAGACACCCGTAGCTTAACTAGCAGTACTCTACAAGTGTCGTCGATATGTAGGAATTTCGGGTTAAATAAAGCGAAATCAAAGCTAATGCAGATGGTTTGACTAGCCATGAAGAAAATTGCCGTTATTTATTCGAATCACACTATAAATAAAGAAGATCGGAACCAATAAACTGGTTAATACGCTTATCCTGCCTTGCTGGTATCAACGGCTTGGATATACTCGTAGAAGAAAGCGTGAAGCTGCAAGTGAGCGTCAAACAAGATCTTTTCATCCACACTATGGATTCCTCCATCAACTAAAACATTAAAGAAGTATGGCGAGGATCTGTAGATGTGTTTGGTCAAGTTCCAGTAGTGCTTGGTGTCGGTATTACCAGGCATGATAATAGGAGCAGTAACGATAGGGTAAGGGTAATCAGGGAAGACCAATTCTTCAAAAACATGTCTAACAACACCAGCAAAGTACTCGTACACACTGCCAGAAGTAGGGGTCAAAGGAGCAATTTCCAATGGAGTGCCAAAGGCATCGACCCTGATAACACCCTTGGAATCCTTAGGCGAATAGACAGTTTCTCCAAAAGCAACAACTTCCAAGTTGTGATTCTTGGCAACCTTGATCACTCTAGAGGTAAAGTGATGCTTCAATTCACTAGTGTTAGATTCAATGGCAATTCTGTGGTTTACAACAGCACTGGCAGATTCCGGTAAAGCATTGGCCTTTTCACCACCGCTAATTAAGTCGATGGCTTGGGTAGTCCGGATCAACGAACTAATAACCTTGTTCTGTAAGAGTGACTTAACAACCTTGGAATTGGCAACCTTGTTGTAACCGGCTTGAAGAATGGCCTTTTTAGCGAGCTTACCAAGCTTTTTCTTTGGGTCGTGAACAGCCATGCACTGGACGTAGTCCAAGAGTGGACTCTTCTTGGTGAAAACTGGCTCATAAGGGTCCTGTTCGATAACGTAATTAAGTTCCGAGAGTATTCCAATGGAAGTGTGATCAGGAGGAGTTGAGGAATGTCCACCTTTGGTCCTGACTTGGACCTCGATGTCCATGTAGCCCTTTTCTGCCACTGCTGGAGGAGCGACGATAGTATCGGTGAGGCCGTCAAGAAGTAATCCTGGACCTTCATCAATGATAGCGTAGACTGAATTGTGGCCAAAACGCTCTTCCAAGTAAGTAGCAATACTAGAGGCACCGTGTCTTCCAGAAGCTTCTTCATCAAAACCAAAAGCAGCAAGAATTGGTCTCTGGGGCTTGAAACCCTTGTGCAAAAGCAATTCCAAGGATTCCAAAATAGCAATCACCACATTTTTGCAATCGACGGAACCTCTGCCGTAGAGGAACTCTCCATCATAGTGGGCATCGTATGGTGGGTAAGTCCAATCACCAATGGAGTCCTTTTGGATAGGAACCGTGTCGAGATGTCCAGTCAACATAAGCGGCTTGAGGTCCTCAGAACCTTTCCAGTAGAACACAAGGCCATAAGTGTTCACTTTCTGGACCTCGAGGTTGGCGTACACCAATGGGAAAGCTTCCTCGAGGTAGTCGTGAATCTTTTGGAACTTGGCCCAGATTTCGGGAGCCTCATCCACATCTGGTTGGTTGTCCACAATGGTGGTATCAATCTTGACCGCACCCTGGAGCTTCTTAACACTTTGCTTTCTGTACTTCTTGTCGTAGAGAATGTCGAGAACAGTGGCATTGTCCTTGTGGAAGGAAGCTGGGGCAATTGGGTCATAGAGTGGGCAGATATCCTTATCAACGGGAGCAGCAACAATTCTCAAGTAGCCAACGAGGTTGGTGGTGGTTAACACGATGATGGTCACGAGAACACCTACAGCGATGGCATAGAAACCATGTCTTCTGCGACGTTCTCTGGGGTCAGTGGGGTCCAATGGGAGGCCAATCATTTTGTCAATTGCCAGCAATTGGGGAAAAAGGGTCGTTTTAACTGAACCCTTGAGGTTATCACGGGGCTGGGCCACACACTGGCATGGCGCCGGATTGGTGGAGAATCCCGGGCCTGGAGCGGAGAGTCCAGCAACCTCACGTGCGCATGGTTATCAGTTGCTATCGTCACGTGAGTATTGGTGGAAGTGGTAATTCAGAGTCGTGTGCGAGTCCTTGCAAATGATCATGTGAGTGGTCATGTGACGTCATGTGTGTGCTCATGTGAGATCAATCACGACCACGCCGTTGCGTCGCGCCCCTGCAGCTAAATTAGGGCGTCGTTCGTGTTGTTTTCACATTCTCGGCGCGTTTCACTTTACATACCGACGCCTCTGTCAAATACTCGGCGTTGGAAGGCGCCCCTCATTCCCCACGTGATGTGTTTCAAACTGTCGCTTCGGCATATTTGTCCCTCGCTATGTGAAGGGGGTGTTTATTTACATTTACGTCTGCAACGACGCGACACCTCCTTTCACTATATATTTAATGGGTCCGCCAATTTTTCATAACTTCAACCAAAACCTCTTCTGCTAGCACCTTTGCGTATCTAATCGCGTCCACTCATTTCTAGCCAGCCGATTTCGTTCGTTTGTTCATCAACTCCCATCCAATGCGTTTCACCTCAATTGCTGCCATTTTGGCCATTTCCAGCGCTGTCTCCGCTGTTCCTTTCAAGAGATACGACAACTCTACCCAGCCTTCAGCTGCTGGTGCCAAGGCGGCCGTGCCATCCTCTTCCTACGCGTCCGTTGACCCTGACACCACCGTCATTGTCGATGAGTACGAGACTGTCACCTTGCCAGGCACCACTGCCACGTTTGCAGCCTCTGCCACCAGTGCCATCGCGTCAGCCAAGTCGGTTGCCTCCCAGGCCTCCCAGTCCTCGGTTGCTGCCCAAGCCTCCCAGGATGGCCTGAGTGCAACCACCACCTCCACCATCACTTCGGTCATCACTGTCACCAGTGATGCTACCGTGTTCGTGACCACCTCCACCAGTGCCTCCACTGGTTTGGCCAAGGAGACCAAGGATGCCACTGAAGCCAAGGCTGCTGCTGTCACCGATGCTCCAAGCTCCAATGGCCAATGTGTGCCTGCTACTGTCACTGTCACCGTGACTGCCAACCCTTCCAAGGCTGCTGCTGCTGCCAGCGGTGCTGACGACGAGGATGTTACCCAAACCCTCACCGTGACCTCCACCCAGACCACCTCATACCCGGTGACTGCCGAGTTCACCCACTCTGACAGCACCACCACCATCACCTCCTACGTGCAAGTGACCTCCACCGGCACTTACACCACCACCACCGCGGTTCCAAAGAACTCAGTGAAGGCTGAAGCCGCCACTGGTTCGTCCACTGTTGCCGCCGAGTCGACTGCCGCAAAGGCGGTCGCTCCTGCCCCCACCTCTGGTGCCAACTCCACCGCCCCTGCCCCAAGCAATGGTACTGTGTACTCAGCTGCTTCGGCCCCTTCGTGGATCCACACCGACGATGCGCCTAACGCCAAGAGAGCCTCTGGCTTCTTCAAGTTTCTTCTTTAGGTAGACTGTTCTACAATTTTAGTTAGGGTATATTTATGGTTATTTGTGACGATTGTAGTGCGAGATTAATGACTTGCAGTTATCAAATATGATTGAATGTGGAGGAAGACTCAAAAATATTGAATGCATTATTGGCGTGATTGAAATGAAGGACCACTAATCATTCGGGTTTGACCAAGGGCTCCAAGCCACAGTGGCTGCAGGTTAGTTTTCAGGAACAAATGCAAACTGGTCAATTACGAAAATGCACCGTACAAATCTTAGTTTCAGCGTCGCAATAGAGAGGTCCTCCATTCATTTAGTTCTAATCATAGAAATGGATAGGTGCTATAAATTTTACTCAATAATCTTCCACCAATTTAATGAGTATAATAAATATTTCTCATGGTAGAAAGGATCACCTGTGCTAGTGAACTAGCCATTGATGGAAGATACTGGTCCATTTAGCCCGAGTAATGCAGCAGAGTACTGAGAGATCCAGTAGTGAGACTCTAGTAAGGAAGAATACTCCCTTGACTATTAAAGGCCAGGATCAAATTCATTATGTTTTCGCCCAAAGAGTTTGTGTGTACTAATATTATAATAATATATATGTTGTTTTCGTTCACTGTCTTCTATCAACTTCATATCCAGGGCTGGCCCGGGACCAATAAAGTTGGTGAAGCGTAAAATGGACTAGCAATGCATTTCTGCAAAGTCTATTTCGAAAATCTACTTTGCCTATCACCAGTGTTTTTTGCAACCACTGGCTGGGCCGCGCACGCCTACCACCAGAGGCGTGTCCCAGCCGGCCACCGCGTTTTGTTGATCTTCACTATCGATCCTGGTGAACCATCAACATCCAGTACAACTCTGTTTCTCCACACGAATCCACCATGAGTTCTCCCATACATGGCGGTGGCCGCTTGCCGGCACACGATGACACGTTTTCCCCTGTCAAGCTTCCTACCACCACAACGCCTGGTGCAGCTACCCTCATGGTTCATCCCCATGGGTTGACTGCCAAACACAGGCGAAGAAACACCATCCACGCCACCCAGAGGCGCTCGCTAGTGGACACCCCGTTAAGTGTGCTGCCATCAGTGCTGCCCTCGCGAGACCACTTGGCAGTGTCCACCGCAAGCAACCCTCACCCCAAGTATCCCTTAACATCCCCACGCGCCAACAGCAAGAAGTTCAACTTGGAGAGCATCAAGCGCTCTAAGGCCAAGCTCGACTCCAAGTTGGGACTCCAGCCCTTAGACGGCAAGGAAAACCGTCCTGTGAACCTTTCCCCCGAAAAGGACGAGTCGGAGGACCAGATCAGCTCCCCTATCAAGAGAAATAGGTCTGCGGGGGGTAACGCACGCAAGATCGCCAAAGTGGTGACCAGTGCTGAGACTGGCGCTGACTCCTCCGACCACCTGGTCCAGATCAACGAGTTATTCTACAAGGACGACTTGGTGGCCCAGCTAAGCTCAGCCAAATCGTCGCCAGCCAAGCCTCTCATCCAGGACGTCCCCACCGTCATAGACAACGACAGCGACAGCGACCCTGAAGACTATGGCCGCATCGAAAACACCATTAGCCAGACCCTCATTCCCAACACATCCACCAATTTCAATAATACTCAGCTCAGCAAGATCATTCGAATGGACGCCAAGTCGGATGAGTACATCACTCCACAAAGACCCACTGAACCGGTTGCAAGGAGTCCCGCTACAAACCAGCAGGTGAGAATCAACGAGAATATCTTACTAAACGACGACTTTGATGAGGATGCACACAGTGTCGATAAGTCAGATATGAAGGATGTGACTAGTCCATTAAAGAACCACAACTACAAGCCATCTGAAGAAAAGAGTGCCCTAGAGATACCCGAAATTGGTGAAGACCTCGAGGTGCTTGACGAAAACGACGAAAATATGATACCCGAGGCTCAGAAGCTTGAGGATGAACTCACTATCAATTTTCTCATGTCCCCAAACTCGAAGCCTGTTTTCTCAATGTATCAAGTCAACAAAATCCAAACTGAAGATAAGGAGAAGATCTCTAGCTTGAGAGAAAAAATTAAGGCCAAGGAAGATATCCTTTTACAGGTGAGACAGCAATTATCTGATGCTCACAAAGATTTGACCAAGAAAGAACAAGCATTGGAGGAGCTAAATGAGTTGAAAGAGTCTCAAGAAAGAAATATCGACTTCATCTCTATACAATTGAAACACAATGAGCGCGAGTTGGCATCTATTACTAAAAATTTTAAGATTAAAGAAAGCATTGTTGCTAGCTTGAAAACAAAATTAAATGAAACGCTTGCGCAAAAGGAAGATGCGTTGGCCTTAGTCAAAGAACTTACCAGTCAAGTGGACGAATTAACATCTTCAAACATTGATCATGCTTATAAGGCCGAGTCATTAGTTGCAGAAAAGGACAAATTGTTAAAGAGTCAGCAGCAAATTGAACACACGAACAAAGAGTTGACTTCAGAAATTTCTAACCTTAAGGATATCAATAATAAGCAAGAAGAATTGTTGAAAGAATTGGACAATTTGGAGCATTTGGCAAATGACAAGATTTACAGTTTGGAGAAGAAAATTCAAGACCAAACCCAAGAACTCAACGAAAAGTCCACTCAATTTGGCCAAGAAAAGGCAAATTTAATTAAGGAACACCAGGAAAGAGAATTGCAACTTGAAGAAGAATTATCAAACGAAAAGGAACAGCGGGTTCAAGTTTCTGATCAATTAAAGGATACCAATAATTTGAATAAGAAATTGAACCTCAAGATTGAGGATTTGGAATTGGAGATTGAGAGAAGTCAACAGAACCATGTAGACAGAACCAAGGAATTACAGGAAAAGATTGATCAAAAAGAATCGATCATCAATGAGGATGTGGCCAAGCTTAACGAATTGGTGGAAGCGATAGAGAAAAAGAAAAAGACTTACGAAGACATGATCGCTCAGTACAAGGCTGAAATCGAGGTGTTGCAGCAGGAATCGGGACAAGAAAAGGAATTGAAGAAGGAAGTAGAGTTTTTACAGAACCAACTCAAGCATCAAGAGTACGAGTCCCAGAAAAAAATCGACGAGGTAGCTGCCTTCCTCCATAAGCAATATGCCGAGAAACATACGCGTAAGTTGGGTGAAGTCAGGGATCAATATGAAAAGGAATTATCGGGGGCCAGTTTCGAAAAGAAGAACTTATTGCGAGAAGTCGATCTGTTAAAACGAAAATTGAACCGGGCTCTCGAAGAAAACCAAAAGGTGGCAGAGTTTGTACATGTACATAAGTTGAAGTATCCAGCCTCCAACATGGCCTCGTCAGAGGGAAGCCCAAGGAGAGGCGGTCGGACTTCTAGATACTAGTTAAATATAATAGTGCCACCAGCGTGCGATTATTGGGGTCACACGATGCAGGCCACGTGATGCGGTCTCACCATGAAAAGTCAAATGACTATTGTAAGCAGTTCACCACTTCTAGGCGCCCCCAATCTATCCATAACTCCAAAACCATCATCCATATTTCCTGTTATATAGTGTGTCTCCATGTCCAATAAAGAAGCTATCAAATTGTACGAGACCGTCATCGAGGAGGTGATCAGCGACTCCAGACAAGACTTTGAGAATAATGGTATCGACGAGTCAACTTTACAAGACTTGAGAAGAATATGGTGTGAAAAGTTGTCACAGTCGCAAGTGGCCAAGTTCTCGTGGGATGAGGAAGAATCCTATGAGGGTCCAAACTCACTTGCTGCCCATGCCAGAAGTTTGGCCACCGGAAGACTTCCTGTCACAAACACCTTGAGACAGCTGGGATTGGACCACTCCATAGCTACAGGTGCAGGACTCGAATTGCCCAATGTTGCCAGCGGGAATGAATTGTCATATGGAGCCGTTGCCACCGGAACGAACAACATTGGGATCGAGCTTCCTCACATACAAAGCGATGAAGAAGACCATGGAACCGGATTGATGTTACCTAACATCAACCAGGCAGACGGGACTTTTGAGATGACTGTGTACACCGACAAGGCCCCTGAGTTCATAGAGTCCTTGAAGGCGGGAAAAAAGATAAAGCAAGCAGATGGGACCCTTGATGACGACGACGACGATGAGGGTATCTTCAACGACTCGGACGATATCAATTCCGATCTCGACGATGGACTTGAGAGCGAAAAGCTGGACGACGAGGACGGAGACCAAGAGGGCCAGATCATGTTGTGCTTGTATGAGAAGGTGCAAAGAATCAAGAACAAATGGAAGTCTACATTGAAGGAAGGAGTGGCCAATATCAATGGCAGGGACTATGTATTCCAGAAGGCCACTGGGGAGTGTGAGTGGTGATCTATACAAATAGAGCTTAGTAATGGCCTCTGCCACCACGCTTTTTCATGGCACTCTCAAGCTTATTGGCAACGATGGCTCCAACTAGGCCCCCCCCAATTTTGCCGAGCCCGTTGTGGAAAAGCTTCCCACCTGCGTAAGCTCCGGCAGCTCCACCTCCCATGGTGGCTAGAAGGCCTTTCTCTTGAGTTTGACCGTTTTGAAATTGACCATTTTGGGGGTTTTGATTGTATTGGCCGTTGTGGGGATTTTGATTGTATTGGCCTTGGTTAGGATTGTAGTAGCCTCGGTCACCCGAGTTATAGAATTCGTTGGCAGACATGCTGATAGTGTTCAATAAATGTACAGTAATCTTCTTTATATACTCCACCAGTGGGCGGAGGGAGTCACTGCTTTAAAGTGGACCTCGTAATCAGCGAAGGGCTGTTTCTTACGAATGGGTGACGATAGCCAAAGCACGGTTTACCAAGTCACTGCCAAGCCATGTTACAATAGCTAGATGGAGCAGCGCCGGCCCGAGATTTGGGTCATTTTTAAGGCTGTGCGATATCGCGGGGCCATTCTGGACTACCAACACTATACCAGTGACCACCAGATATCTAAGCCCTGGTGCAGGATCTAGTCTGCGGATCCGGGGAAAACCAAATAAGGACAAAGTACGGAGATGTATAGGGGCGGAGTGAAGAATTGCCTGAAACTACAAAGACAAGAGAAAAGAACACGATGGAATGAGTAGCTTTGACCGGAATGAACACAATAGAGCCAGTAACTAATTTTGGGACAGAGGAGGGAATGAACACAATAGACCAAGTGAGTAAAATTACCCACTGGAACGCATTACGTTGAAGAATAGCCAATAATACTGAATGTTCAATTACTCTAGCGAGCTCTGCAAATACGAAAGATGTTGCTAAATATAAATACACAATAAGCCTGATGAATTGGTTTTCGGAGATAACTTCCGAGTTGGGGCATTCATCTATTACTCTCGGAAATATGGGTCAGATCAGTAGTTTCGAAGAGAAACCCACAGTCAATACCATCATTGGTCATGTCCACGAGTAGTAGAGTTTAGGATTGCAAACTCGGGTAACTGTTCAGAGTTCGAAGGTCATCGCTAGTCCAATAGTCATATTTTAACCAAAGTAAACTCCTTACTTCTGGACCAATTCAAGAAATTCATAAACGGTGGAAAGAGGACCGCAGTATTGTTTTTGGCCAACCAATGGAGTAGGAATTCACATCACCCTATCACTAGTTGGCATAGTCCAACATTATATGGTTGCACTAGTATTCGAGGTGAAGCCGCAAAATAAACCTCGTATTACACACCTACAGTGAATTACACAGATTGAATGTTGAAGCTAGTAGAGCAACCCCTTCTATAAGTCACCATGTTAAGATTCGTCAGTGTCTAGCTATTTATAGTTGATACTATTAGAAGTTAGGGATATGTAAATCCAAGACCTCTCTCTTGTTATCCTCCAAAGGCATACCACCCTCAAAAATGCATTCAAAATCAACCAAAAATGTGCTCAAGACCTCCAACGAAATGTTCAAAGTAGGAACAAACACTATACACACATTTCTCAAGTTCATTCTATTGTTTTGGCTTTGGGCAATGATCTGCCTCAAAAACTTGAAGATCACATAGCAGAGATCAAAATGTACCCGGTCCACGTTATCATGAAGGAAATCTCTGAATATCTTTGCTATTGATGATGCAGGTATACTCTTGCTATTTTGTAGTATAACTTGATTTAAGTGGTTATAAGCATGGATTCCTGTTATGGGGTTGGGTAATTCTCTCAAGTATGCTTTGAATAATCCTGCCACAGTGTGCATGTCGGGTTTGAGCGGTGTCTCAAATAAGTCAATATCAAACCGTAAATTGAACTGGTCCTTCAACTGCCTGATGGTAGAAGCAGACCCACTTAGTCTGAAGATACCTTCTTCATAAATTGCACCAGTCTTCATGAGGTAATCCAAGCATCTGAAAACAATACTGGGAATGCTCCTTCCAAAATATTCATGATTGGAAAGATCGTAGCACTCTTGGACATCTCTTCCAAAAATCGATTTAGTGACTCCATCATCCAAGTTTAATTGATCGAGGTACGCTTTCATCTCAGACGCCAGAGCAGGAGTACCAGGAGTGGGAGGTCCAAATGCACCGTTAACTCCTGTTTGTATCGAGAGATCTTTGTGAAGTGATTGGTTCACTATCTGCCCTGGATGTAAATCGTCATTTCTCCGGAAAGGGAAGTATCTTTTTTTCATTTTCTTAGCGTGATCGACGCCTAGTTCGTCAGAATGTGCTGATAATTGATCATTGATCAGTACTGGCAATTCGTCGACATACTCGTTTCTGCTGCTTGGGGATTCAAGGCTTTGTCCCTCCACTTCTAAGCTTGGTTGTGGCATCTCATTGTGGTCGAGTAAAATATCCACCCATTCGTCTCTTTCTTCATCATTCTCAGCACAAAAGAAATGTTTTGGGTATGAACTTGATAATTTGGTCTTTTGGGATTCCATAACCAAAAATGCATGCCTATAACCCTTGTCTTCAGCAACCGAGTCACTTGATTGTCTACCAATTTGACAGTTTTTCAATCTAATCTGCTCCACTAAAGGTCCCCCAGGTACCTCATATATTTCCAATGAAGGCCCGTCCACCTGACACCATCTGATTTTCCAGCTAGTACCCAATCCCTTGTACCTTCTGATCAAGAATCCTTCCTTCTTGGCCCCACTCTTATAATCATCCAATGGATTGACAAAATCGAGCGAAAGATAGCGACATATCCTATGCAATACCATATGAGGGATATGTGGCATCAAGAAGATGGTGTTGAAATAATTTTGCAATCCTACTCTTCTTTGATCTATCTTAACTGGGGAAGTAGACAAGAATAATGTCTTATCGGGAAGAGTAGGCAATCCAAAGTATTCTACTATCGGCCTTATTTCATTATCAAAAGCCAAAAGCTGGGAGTAAGTCTTCCGGATTCTCCACATTTCTTTGGCAGATTCTCTATCTTTGATAACAATAGTGACATTTGGTTCGTCCGAACGTTTGGAGTTAGTAGTAGGCATTGTTATAGTACTTTGAACAATTATGTCAATAGTCTGAAAGTCCTTGGGCTTAATAAATAAGTTTGAATCGTCATCATCCTGTTTCGGAGTGTGAAGTACTTGGAACGAGCTTTTCGATCCGGATGCCGAGCCCACACTGGTGGCAGTTCCTGAAGTGAGACTAACAGAGGTACCAGAGCCCAAAGTCTGCAAGCCTGGCCGAGAGTCAGTTGGGTGTATGTTGGGTGTTTTCAATAAATCATCGTTCTTTACTTCATTTCCTTTCACAAATCCATCTGGAGTCATAGGCATCCTATTTCTGTTGTAGTCTTCTGGAGATGCTGCTTGAAATTGAGGAACATTTTGGGTTGGAGGAGTTTCGAACCTGCCAGTCCATGTAGATGACGCCACAGAGTGTTGATCTTGAAAAGATTCGTTAAGGAGAGGAGACTTCAATGAGGATTGTAATTCTGTAGGTGTAATGCTGGAAGGAGAGTCCACGTACTCCTTCTCTCGTTTATCCTGTTGGTGTTGCAAGGAAAGAGGAAGCTTGATTCGCGATTTGTAAGATTGGAAACTACCTGTGCTTTGATTCTTCGCGGACGAGTAACCAATTTTATTGTTGGCCGTTTCATGTCCACTCTGGTTGGATCTTGTTCTACTGATATCGTGGGAAGTTCCACTTTTCATGCTCACGTAACTTTCGTTGACCGACACGTTGGGATCTGTTTCGAGGTCAGGAAGATGGCTGGGCTTGCGGGTTTCTTCAGGTTCTGCATTATCGTTAATCGAGGACACGATGGACACCGACTTGGAGAGGCTACTCATTTGGGAGGTGGAGTTTGGGAGTGGGGTTTCTGAGTCTGGTGGTGGAGGCGAGTTTCGTCTTCTTCTTGCCGAGCGCAAGGGAATCTCCACCTCTTCCTTAGTTGGAATGTGTACTGTGAGGGGAGCACGGCTTGGAACTGGCAGAGCTGGCTTTGCTTGCTCTTGTGGGGAGGGAAGATCTGTCTTGTTGAAACTACCGGCAAGGAGGTCAGTGTGTTTGTCTAACACGGCCCTAAGTTCCTTGATCTCAAAAAGCAAGAGCTCAATGTAATCTTTATCGGTCAAGCCGTCTCTGTTGAAGCTCGGGTGTGAAGGCGGTAGGTCCAGGGTTTGCCTTGCCCGTGAGGGGGATTCTTCAGTGGTCCCAACAACAGCATCGACGCTGACAGCGCCAGCATCGCCCAAGTTGATGTCTGGAGACGGAAAGTCGCCTGATTCGTAGGCCAGGGTTTGACCACGATGGCCGTAGCCGTGTGAGAACTCGCTCGTTTCAGGGTTCACTCTTACTCCAGTGGTGATATTCATGGTCTCTGAGTCAAGACTGAGCGGTGGTCTCTTCTGGTGGGGTCCACGTTGTGCTGGTATGCGGTCGGTAGTTGGGCTATCTCGTCTAGAGGTTTTGTGTAGTCGATAGGATCTGTTTGATTTAGACACTTGTGTGGAATTCTCCACGCGTTTGGTGCGTTTGGTTATGTTGCGCGGAGCATGCAATGAGCCATGGACGACCTGGAGAACGAGATCAAGTGGGGCTAAACGGACTACACCCGGAATGTTACGTAATCTATATTCTTGTTGAAGGCGGGCCTGCCTGGAGAGAGTATGTTGGTCACTTGGAAATCTTCTTGAAGTAGGAGCGGGTGTGGCGCAACACCTTTCTGTCGTCTTCAGGGTCTTTCATGGGGCTCTTGATGGGAGGCGCCTTCTCCTCGGGGGGTTGCGACTGGTAAATGTAGTTTGCAGGAAGAATTGCATTGGGCATCATCGATCGAGCGAGCTTGATCACCTCGTTTGCCCAGATGGTTATGTCGCTCTGAGGCTTCTTGTAGGGAACCCAGTTTTTCTTGCATCCCTTGACAAGCTCTTTCATCACCTGCTCGGTGCCCCAGGTCTGATTCCACAAGAACTCATCGTCGTTGTTAAGGCCTATCAAATGGGAGAAGATCCCGGTGGATAACGCACCATCAGAATAACCTCCCTCTAAGAACGAAACCACCTTACCTCCAGTATGAATCTTGGCCAACTTCACCACATCCTTGGTAAATGTAGCGTAGAACGAAGTTGGCACGTTTATTCCATGTCTTTGCATATGTGGGCTTTCATATTCAGATGCATCAAAGCCCGCTGAAATTGCTATCAATGGCTTGAATGGTGGTGGAGCCACGGGCTTTTCTATAGGTTGGTTGTATAAATGAGGCTTCAAAAGATATTTGTTATACTTGGCTGAGTTGGCCAAGTACTCCTGATATTCCTGTTCGTATTGTTTCTTAGCCTGGTTTAAAAATTGGTTGGCCCGATTAAGAATTTGCACATACTTGGTTTGATAATGCTTGTAAAATTCTTCCTCGTTCTTCCAATCTTGTAAATGAACATTCCAAATGTTTAGGTCGTGGTCCATGATACAGGTTGAAGCATTTTTGATATTTTCCCGGGTAGCATAGCCCAATTCAGTGGGATATGATTTGATATCATGCAATGAAAAGTATCCAACTTTGGGGTACTTGGCAAACCTTTTACCATATTCATCCCGGGGAGTAGGCTCTAACTCATCATCTTCTTCTTGACCGTAGTCTCCTTGAAATCCTGCTCTTTCCCAACAGATATCCTGACTACCATCACCATGGTGTAAATCAATATCCAATATTGCACAATGAGTGACTTGATATTTTTCAAATGCATATTCGATACCAACATGTACGTTATTCAAGAGACAAAATCCACTAGGTAAACAGGCGTGTGAATGGTGACCTGGCGGACGGATCATCACAAAGACCAAATTATGACTTTGCTCGCCCTTACCATAAAGAGAATCAATTGACGTTTCAATGGTTCCAAGAACACCCTCTATAGCATTGATGGTTTTTGGAGTCAAATAAATATCACCGGTGTTCCAATCACCAGGAACTTCAATGTTATCGTTGTCAAGCTTGTCGGCTGATTCAAGACATAATTCAATCAACTTCTTGGGCCAGTTTTTGCCATGGACTTTCATGACATGACTGGATAATGCAGATGATCTCTTGGTGGAATTGAATACTTCGTAGAAGAAAGGAAACATGGTCACAGCCGCAGATACTCCGATGCATGCAGCCAAAAGTCTTTGGGGTCTTTCGAAAATTGTAGACAAGTATGATCGGGTCACCCACTTTCTTCCAAATGCGTGTTCAGCAGAATACGGGGACAAGAGGATCAAAGTTTTGTCGGTAGAATCAACAAATCTTGGGGACTCGGTCTGAATATGAGGGTTGGAGCCCAAGAATTCCTGGAAAGTCTTTGTGAAACGAGTCAACTGGTAATCGATCAACGGAGATGGCTCGAGTAGATGGCGGTACGTTTCCAATGGATCAGGGCTTGGGGATTTTGGGGTAGGCGTGGGGGACTTTGATCCGGGTTTCGACGAGGTTGCGGAGGTGACTCTGTCTTTGTGGGGTGCCTTGATCCGGTATGCTTTTTCCTTTGTGAGTTTCTCTGTAGGCTGGAGGCTGTAGCGTCTTCTGGACTTGAACTGGGGGATCTGCTCGTCACGGATCTCGTTCTCCTCGAGTTCCTCGATGTCCACCACGCTGTGGTCACGGGTGTAGTTCACAGTGGTATTGTGGAGCACGGTATGGTCAATGGAAATGTCGTTGTCCTCGTCCACATCGTTGGACGACGGCCTGATGGTGAGGGTGGTCTCGAATTGCGAAATCAACGACTCCTCGCTATCATTTTTGGGGATTACCACTGCCATGTCGTGGTGGTCTGGTGAGATGGAGATGGCCAGCGTTCAACTACTAGCAGCAAGGTTTGGAAGTTATTGTTATGATCACGTGTGGAAGGGGTTATGATTTGCTGCAAAAACGCGCGCAAGTGGTGGTGGTGTATTCTGGCGGAAGTAGAGCAATAACACCACCAACGGCTGGTCCACTGACCGCAGTAGCCAGGCCCGTACCACATTCCACCACGGTGTGTGTACCAACGTTGCGGTTTTTTACCGGCGAAGTGTGGCCATGCGAAGTGCCTTCTATTTGAAACATGGCTTGTTTGGGCGGTGTCTCAGACCCGGGAATGTCAGCCAAGCCACGAGGGCCCAGGACTAGCCAGTGTCACCATTCAGCTTATCGGTGATTTCAACAGAAGGTGGGCCCTCACGTCTCGTCAAAGCCCTTTGGACAAAGGTGTCGCTCATTCGCGTAAATAGCCGCCTGTTGCAAATCCCAAACATGCTGGAAGGCCGCATTTCTGGATCAAATAGTGCCACTGGAGCTGAGAGGCGCGAGTCGCATACCACGATGCTCCTCGTGTCTACCTCGCCCTCTGAAAGACCATCTAGACCTGGTGGTTTGTTCCTTCGATGCTGGTGGAATGGGTTAAGGATATTTTCAAATGCGTGGGTTGAAACTCGCACTGACAAGGCCTAGCCTACGTCTGGGGAACCATTCACACTTCGTCTAAATGGACTCGGAACATGAGTAATGGGTTACTCGGTGCAAAAACTACAATTCCATGAAAGAATAGACTACCTCGGACATAAGTGCATAATATGGGCATAGGACCTCGCTTGCGTAGATGTCTTTCGTGTATGTATGTATAGATGATATATTAGGGCCTCTAGCGGGATTATCAGGACAAGATGCTAACAGGTATGAGAGTGCAGAGCAATTCTAGATGAAGGCATTGCCGCAGTACCTAAACAACTACTGTCAGTGGATACAATGGATGTCTCCCAATCAATCCAAATGATCAAGTCGCATACTTGATTGTTAGTGTTGACACCAATCTAATCTCTAATCAGCTTGGTACTGTTGAACAAGCCAGGATTGATGTCCTGAGCCAACCTTGGGGTTTCTCCCACATTGTGCCTTCTCTTTCTGATGACGTTTTCAATGAAGGCCTCGCCAGCCTTGTACGAGGATCTGACCAACGGACCACTGGCAACGTAGAGGAATCCCATTTCCAAGGCCTTGTCTCTCCAGTAATCGAACTTCTCAGGAGTGACATACTCAACCACCTTCATATGTCTCTTTGTTGGACGCATGTACTGACCAAAAGTCACCACATCACAATTGATCTCCCTTAAGTCCCTGAGGGTTTGCATGATTTGTTCATCGTTCTCACCGAATCCCAACATGATGGAGGTTTTGGTGACTAATGAAGGCTGGGCCTCCTTGGCTCTGCTCAATATACCCAATGATTGACGGTAAGTGGCACGACGGTCTCTGATGTGGGGTGTCAATGCTTCAACGGTCTCGAGGTTGTGGGCATACACATCCAAGCCCGACTTGGCCAAGACCTCTGCCATGTCAAAGTCTCCGCGGAAATCACCACTCAAGACTTCCACCAAGATCTGTGGAGCCTTCTGCTTGATTCTTCTCACGGTTTCGGCCAAGTGGTGGGCTCCTCCATCCACCAAATCGTCACGGTCCACAGTGGTCAACACCACATACCCCAAACCCCATCTGCTGATGGCTTCTGCGGTGTTTTCTGGTTCCATGGGGTCGGGAGCAGCTGGTTTACGGTCAGTCTTCACACTGCAGAATCTGCATCCTCTTGTGCATGTATCTCCTAGCAACATGATGGTGGCTGTGGCTTCAGACTTTTTTCCTCCCCAGCACTCTCCAATGTTGGGGCACTTAGCCTCTTCGCAGACTGTGGCCAACTTCAACTCACGGACATCATTCTTCAAGCTTTGAAACGACTTCCCTTTTGGAATAGGCACCTTGAGCCACGATGGTAACCTCTGGTTACTGTCCTTTCTGGCCGCCTCCAAGGGGTCCAACATGTCAGAGGCCTTTCCGCTGACGAAGTCGTCAAACGAGGGTCCCTTGTTCATGGCATCCGAGAATGTGGTCCGTCTTCTACGGATCTTGGGTTTGTCATCGCCAGACCCTTCCTTGTTGCTGGTCGCAGCAGCGGCTGCTTCAGTGGCTAACCCTCGGCAATACACGGGAGCCTGTCTTATGTGGGAGGACATGTTCGTTATAAGTCCCGGTACTCTCATCATCGTGGTGTCGTGCTGGGTGATGTCAGAATGGTATTCGGATCACTGTGGTACCAGATAACTCAGCTCAGAAAAGGCGTGCGCATTACCGGGTTGCGAATGACTCGGATTTCACGACTCGGATTTGACCCGGGGAATATGGGACCCTACGTACCACAAACGGCAGGTGTATGTTAGCGGGGAATTACAGGCTTGGGCTTACCAAGTTGAATATTTTAAATTCTACATCCATAGAGTCGGGATAATGGGATCAAACCATGATTTATATTGGTACATTAATTAAAGCAAACGGTGGATTTCATCGTCTTTGAATTGTGCTAAGCTGTCCAAGTTGGACCACCACTTGAACAAGAAGGTCTGGCAGATCAACTTGAACCATGGAGTGAACACCAATGAGTCGTCAGTGAACATGGTGTTCAATTCTTCGGCAGTCACGTACTTGTAGTCCTTGACTTCGTTGTAGTTGGCGTCGATGGTGATGTCGTTCTTTGTCTTCAAGATCAAGATGTAGTCGATTTCGTGCTCGCCCCATTGCTTGGAGTCGGCTGATGCAGACTTGTAGTGGATTCTGGTCAAGTATGTGAAGTCTGCGAGTGGAGCATCCCCGGCAGGGATACCCAACTCGTGCTCAAGCTTTCTCTGGGCAGCCACCTTGGCTCCCTGGACTGCGTTGGCCAAGCTGTTGATGTCGTCGGTAGAACCTGGCTCGCCAGAAACACCCAATTCAGAGGGAACGCACAAAGGATGCGAACAACAGGTGTTGGTCCACATGGCGGGGAAAGTGATCTTCTCGTCAGCTCTTTGCTGCAATAACAACTTGCCATCTTCGTTGAAGAGGAACACCGAGAATGCTCTGTGTAAGAGGCCCTCGTTGATATTACTCAACAAGTGGCACGTCTTCTTAGTGCCGGCACCCACGGGCCTGTCGTCGTTGTCCAAGACTATGCAAAGTTCATCCATCAACTTGATCTGTTCCGAATCGTGTCCGCTCAAGGCATCATCATCGCCCGATGACTCAGACGACGATGAGGTAGGAATGCCCGAGATCTTCTTCATGGGCGTCACGGGCCATTTTTGTAAAATGTCGGCGGCACTGAGGCTGGCCACGAGCTTGGCGTAATCGGACATCGTTGCTGGTGCTGGAGTTGTCTGTTCTGATCTATCAACTGAGTTCGTACAATTTTTTTGCATGCTCGTATATAACCCGATACACACACTACCACTATCGGGTACGCGTCGCTTGGCAGAGCACATCCAGAACGGAAACTCCACACCCACAACGGATACTGGCCCTCGCTAGTGGGAGGCTCTGCGCGATTCCGACAAGTAGACCTTTGGATGGATCGTTGTGTTGGAATTGCCTCCATGAGCCATATCCTGCCGCACCGATTAGCGAGCCTCGACCCGCACACAAAAGCAAGTTTCAGCTATCAAACGAGCCGCCTACAACTGGTAGAGGCACGGGACGATCTCCCCAGCTCTCCACAGGCTAGCGACAACGGTGGGACTGCGCCAGTTTAGCCAGTTTGAGCATGCGCGTTCCGAACGGCTTGAAAAGGTAAGTCTTGTTGCAGAAACTCCCGTAATACTCGTACCACACCCACACAGCGTAATGGCGCCTTGCGGGAGACACGCATGGCGCTGCCTGCCACCAATCGGTGGCGGTGGTGGACTTGGAGTGCCTGGTGGTATACGGAGTTCTCGCACCTTATCTTGGAGCCTCGCACGCCCCGAAGAATTTTTCACTTAGGTGGCACTTTTTACCAAATCAACGTCGTTACATACACACTACCATTTCTGACCTTAACCATGGCCGAAACTTCCACCACCACCAACTTCAATGGTAACTCCAACAGACGCTTTATCAAGCGTCCCGATGACTCTGCCGTCAACAAGCAGGTTGACGCTCTCAGAGCCGAAATCAAGAAGTTGGACTTGACTTCCAACGAGCTTGCCAACCAGATCAAGAAGGTCCAAGTGGACCAAAAGGTCTACGACAAGCGTAATGCTTTGCAAGCCCAATTGAAGACTATCATTGCCAAGCAGTCCACCTTGAAGAACGAAAGAAACACCATCAACGAACAAATCAAGGGTATCGACCAACAAATGAAGAAGAAGATCACCGAGATCCAGCACGCCACTTCCAAGCATTCCTTCAAGAACGTCCACGAAATTGACCAGCGTATTGCTTCCTTGGACAAGTTGGTTGACAACGGTGACTTGAAGTTGGCCGAAGAAAGAAGATACGTTAAAGAAATGTCCTCTTTGCGTAAGTTGAGAAAGGATTTCGAAGGTGTCGAGAAAATCCAGGCCCTTATCGATGCTGATAAGACCAAGATTGCTGACTTGAAGGCCAAGATCTCCAAGCTTCAAAACAAGCAGATTCAAGAAGAATTTGAAACCATCCAAAAGGAATTGGATGAAATCAACTCCAAGAACAAGACCACCCTTACCAAGAAGACCGAATTAATCAACAAGAGAGACTCTATTAGAGCCGAAAAGAAGGAAAAGTACGATGAAATCAACAAGTTGAGAAGCGACTTGGATGCTCAATTTGCCAAGTTCAAGCAAGCCATGGCTGACGAGCAAAAGAAGAGAGATGAAGAATACAAAAACAAGCGTGCCGAAGACAAGAAGAGAGAATTGAAGGAGCTTGCCGACAAGCAATTGGCCGATGCTGCCATTCCTGCATTCAGTGAAGAAATAAGTACTATCCACAACTTGTTGGCATACTTTGATCCTAGCTACGTGAAGCCAGCTCCAAAGACTGGTTTGAACAACGGCAGCAAGCTCACCGCCAACCACAACATCAGAACCGTGGAAATGCCAAGTGACGTTGTCATTATCAAGAAGGAACAAGAAGATTTCTTTGCTGGTTCCAGAGGAAAGAAGGCCACCAAGGGTAAGAAGTCCAAGGCCAAGAAGTTCACTGTTGACCCAGAAATCATCATTTCCTTGAGCGACTTGAGTATTCCATTCCCACCAACTGAAGAAGATGTTCCAGAAACCGTCAAGATCTTGAAGGAAACCTTGACTGCCTTGGAAGACAAGCAAGAAGAACAAACCAAGATCAACATTGAAAAGGCCAAGGCCAGAGTTGAAAAATTGAAGGAGCAAGCATCTGAGGAGGAATCTGATGAAGAGTAATTCTGACCGTATTATACCTGCCTAATAAACTAGATCGTAAATGTATATACTTTTAATATAGGAAGTAGAATACTGGTGGTAAAGGTACATTGTAGTAAGTCGAAGATGTGTTCTGGTGTATTTTCGGCCCGTGGAAGATGCATGCAGAAACTAGAATTGAGAGGGCGTATTTTGAAACAAAGAACAGGAAATAGCAGGTTGCTGATAAAGTGTTCATTTCAGAAAAAGTAAGGTAGCATTGAAGAAACCAATTAATTTAGCAATCTAAGAGCCTATCAATCATTATGTCTGCTATCATACGAAGTAGTGGACTCTGTACTACTTAACGCCTACCTTGTGAGAAAGACATTTGCACCCATGCTAGATGCAGTACTCGCACGACCTTCTCGATGAGTAAAATTTACTAGGATTCTTCACCACAACGTATTCAAGACAGAGCTATACGATGGCAAAGAGAACTGCCGAAGAGCCCCAGCGGCCAACCAAAAAGCCTACAAAGACCCCTTCTAAAGTTCTGGTGTCTATCTGCATTCCTTCGACCGTGATATCCTCCAAAAATGCCTACAATTTGGAGCAAATCACCAATATAGCCTACCAGATCGCTAAGGCAGCCACCATATACAACGTAACAGAAATTGTGATATTGGATGTACCTGATCAGCAGGAAATTGACGAGAAAGTAGTTCAAATGGCCGGCTCTAAGGGAGGTAAGAAAATGAAGTTCAACTTTAGCGATGAGGACATTGTCAACGAAGAAACCCCGGATATAGAGACCAAGGAGAAGAAGGAGTCGGACGATGCCTATTTGTTGGCCAGTTTATTGCAATTCTTCGTCACCCCTCCTTACCTTGTCAAGAGCATATTTCCTCCCGAACTCAAGATCAATAAGAACATATTGAAAAAGCTCCATTACGCCTATAAGTTGCCTAAGATGACCACATTACCATTCATGGGTAACAACGACGTTTTCAAACACTTCAAGGAGGGCATGACAATTGCCCGTGAGACCCCCAAGGTCATGAACAAAAAGACCAAAGTCAAGGCTGCCAAGAAGATCTCAGTGACCAAGTTCGTCAACATCGGAGAGGCCGAGCCATTGGAATTGAACATCAAAAGAGAAGTACCTGTCAACTCTAGAGTCACCGTCGACATCAAGAACAAGACGATTGTTTCACCAGCAGAAGCATATGGAGTGGTGGGTAACAAGTCCTCGTTCGGTTACTATATACGTATGTGCAAGCGTTTCAGCCAGATTTTTACCGAGAGTTCAGTGCCTGAAGGGTACAGCTCCAGTGTGTACGTCAACTGTGATGACTACCACTTGTCCAACAAGAAGATCGGCGATTTCTCCGAAATCAGGCCAATTTCAAAGGTCGAAGGAAACGTATTGTTGGTACTTGGAAATTTCAAGGATTTGCAAAACAGTTTCGAACAGGACAAGAGCAACTTGGAGGGTGTAGACAGCGTGGGGCAGATGTTCGACGGAAGCATGGAAGTACCCAAGGGGGTAAGAGCTGAGGACGGATTATTGGTGGCCTTGACCAAGGTGGATAGCCTTGCTAGTTAGATGGCATTTAGTGCATGTACAATAGTCTCACAAACTGTAGGCGCTGTTTTTGGTGTTCTCGTACCGAAGTAGAAACACCTAGGAGTTCTCTCCTGGCAATTGACGGAATCACTGAATACACACCTTCCTCTACTCTACATTTTTCAAGGACTTTAAAAATATCCGGGAGGTGGCCGCAATGACTGACCTCAAAGTCAGTCTTATTGATTTGGTACTTGTAAGGGGGTACTCTCTGGGCCTGGGTATTTCTAAATTATGCTAGAATGGAACCCATGCGAGTAAGTACTTTGATAGTAGGGAAAACCCTTAGGTCAGCCTTTTCTGTGTCCAGTCCAATGCACATCTCCAAAAAGGCCAATTCAGTGTTTTCTCTTCACGTCATCAAGTCACAAGTCCATTCACGACCCAACATATGCGGTTGGAATTGTCAAACTCAAATCTCCCATTTTGACGTTTGACAGGATCTGGACTTTTTCGGCTGTGGAAAAAGAAATATGGCCCGATTGGAGGAACGGACAAAACTGCAAATATGGGTCAACCTCAGCGAAGGGGTGGATAGTGAGCAAAAAGCGGACGAGCCGTGCGCTGATGGAGGTGCTAGTGGTCTACCTGCTTCGTGTGCTTCCATCATCTCTACGAAGCTCGTTGGTCCTAGCCGTCCGCCCCCGTGGGGCAAAACATGCTTACTTCCTAACTGGGCTGGGGTCTGGCGAGCCGCACCAGCACTTTACAGGTTGCGACGAGGAGTATCTGATGACAAACTGTGGAAATTTGTGATTTGAGAGCGGATTTATCGCTATCCGCGGCGGAAACTCCCGCTAGCCTCCCGCGAAAAGTACCTACCGGCAACAACGCCACGCCAACGCGGTCTTCGCCTGCCACAGATCCTCGGAGTGGGACCCCAGGTCACCGGCTATCCACTAACCAACAGTGAAAATCGACGGCCAAAGGTTTAATAAGCATGGTTGCCAAAGGAAGTCCATCACGTGAGGGCTCGCAACCATTTTTCGATGGAGCCATAACACGGCCGTATCACCGATATCTACTCCGCGTCATTAGTAATGCCCCAGTATATAAGAACGATGACTGCCGGCGTCGTCACCAGCATCAGTTCTCCACATTACCATGTCGCAACCCATTGAAATCACCCCATTGAAGGACACTCCCTTGTTCTCCCCCATCAAGGTGGGCCAGAACGAGTTACTCAACAGAGTGGTGTACCCACCAACCACCAGAAAGCGGTCCTTGAAAGACTGCACCCCATCCGACTTGAACGTCGAGTACTACGACGCCAGATCCAAGACCAAGGGCTCGCTCCTCATCGCTGAGGCCACCTACGTGGGTCCCCAAACCATTGGAATTCTCGACACCCCAGGCATCTTCACCGACCGCCACGTCAAGGCCTGGAAGGCTGTCACCGACAAGGTGCATGCCAATGGGTCTTTCATCGGAGTCCAAGGGTGGGCCTTGGGCAGAATTGCCAGCCCCTCGGTGTTGAAGGAGGCAGGCATCGATCTCCACGGTCCTTCTGCCATCTACCCAGATGAGGAATACGAAAAGGCTGCCATTGCGGCTGGAAACCCTATCAAGGCGTTGACTGAGCAAGAAATCCACGACTACATCTACAAGACGTTCTCCAGCGCTGCCAAGAACGCCATAGCTGCCGGTTTCGACTACTTCGAGATCCATGGTGCCCATGGCTACCTTGTGGACACCTTCCTTCACCCTTCCAGTAACCAGAGAACTGATAAGTACGGTGGCTCCATCGAGAACAGAGCTAGATTCGTGTTGGAGCTCGTGGACCACTTGAGTGAGGTCATTGGTGCTGACAAGCTTGCCATCAGACTTTCGCCATGGGCCAAGCACCAGGGTATTAAGGCCGAGCTCGAGGAAGTCCACCCCATCACCACCATCAGTTACTTGTTGCACGAGTTCCAGAAGAGAGCTGATGCTGGCAAACAATTGGCCTACATTTCCATCGTGGAGCCTAGAGTCAGTGGTAACAAGAGTGTTGCCGTTGAAGACCAGACTGGTAGCAACACCTTTGTGGGAGACATATGGAAGGGTGTGATCCTCAAGAGTGGTAACTACTCATACGATGCACCAACCTTCAACACCTTGAAGAAAGACGTGGCCGACAACCGTACCTTGGTTGGGTTCTCCAGATACTACACCTCCAACCCCGACTTGGTTGACAGATTGTACCATGGCCACAGCTTGGAACCATACGACAGACCTACTTTTTACACCAACAACAACTGGCGTTACAACACCTACACCAACCACGGTGAAGAGAACACTCACGATCAAGAAGTAGAGGAGAAGAGAACTGTGAAGGAGATTTCCGTCACTGCATAAGTTTAGCGAGTATAGACGAATAGAATAACGAAATAGTTCGATGTAGCCTGACAAGAAGGATTAGAGAGATACATCTCGGGGATTATTAATAGATGAGTAAGTCACTAACTTCTACAGCTTCTAAAAACTATTGAAAAATCAGAGTGTTACCTAACATTCTCCTGCCGGGACTAACGGATGTTAACCATACTATCTGTTAGTTCTCAAGACAATATCACTTAATACTCTCCAGCTTCAAAAAAACGAATGCTAACATATTATAATTTAACTTAATATTGTCTAGTTTGACTACCGGTTAGGTCTCCAGTAATCCAAGAATTTATGTTATGTGACCAACGCTACACATCCAACACAACTGACGTCATAGTTCTTGCCTGTGCTGGACCACACTCACGGTACAGTATTTATTGTCGCTATCCCATGCTGGCAGCTCTGTAGTCCCCATACATGTTGTCAAAATGGCAAGAGGGGCAAAGAACATTTTCGAAGGCATTAGCAGCTCAGCTGTCTCGGTAATTTGGTACCTCTCACCACGATGCTCGCTAAACCGGACACACCGCGCAGCTCAATGTGGTACTACTACCGCGGCCGACTCATAAAATAGTGCGCCAGCCCAGGTGAAAATAGTGCGACAGCCCATCCTGTCACTAATTACTGGCATCGGTCTTCCGAATTGTACGTCCGCACCAGAACTACGCCCCTGTATGTGCACGACCCCACTCAATTATGGGTTCCTGCTTCCGACGCAAAATTGCCTATTTGGGAATAGACCCTTCCAATTGGCCGTCTCCGGTCGCCGTCAAACACCGAAAAAACAGCTGTTCTTCGAGGACTTGGGCCCGACATCCCACAGCTTCCCCATGGCACCCCTCCCTCGCTTTCCTGACGTCTTGAGATGCCGCTCTGGCCACGGTTCGTGGTCCCACTCTAAAAATAGCGTTCTAGAACAAACAAAAACACTCCACAAAAAAATTCCACCCTCGGATCTCGCGCAATTCCACCCCCGGTGCTGCTCCTGGTTGGCGATCATATATATCCACTTTCACACCGGCTATACCTCTTCTTCTCAACCCATCCACTCGTTACGATGCAAATTAAATACTTAACTGCCATCGCTGCCTTCGCTGGTTCAGCTGCCGCCATCGGTGACGTATGTGTGCCTTTTTTCCCCATCCCCTTGCTCTCCTACTAACTTTCTAGCTTGCCTTCAACTTAGGTGTTAAAGACAACAACGGTAACTGTAAGTCCACCCAAGAGTACGAAAACGACTTCAAGAACTTAGAATCCTACTCCAAGATCATCAAGACCTACGCTGTCTCCGACTGTAACACCTTGCAAAACTTGGGCCCAGCTGCTGAAGAAGCTGGTTTCCAAATCATGCTTGGTATCTGGCCAAACGACGACGCCCACTTCCAAGCTGAACAAGATGCTTTGACCACCTACTTGCCAAAGATCTCCGTTGACACCATCAAGGTCTTCACTGTTGGTTCCGAAGCTCTTTACAGAGACGACTTGACTGCCTCCGAATTGGCCGACAAGATCAGCACCATCAAGGACCTCTTGAAGGACATCAAGGACAAGGACGGTAAGTCCTACGGTGGCGTCGAGGTCGGTTTCGTCGACTCCTGGAACGTCTTGGTTGACGGTGCTGCTCAACCAGCCATCAAGGCCGCTGACTTTGTTTTCGCCAACGCTTTCTCTTACTGGCAAGGACAAACCATGAAGAACTCCTCCTACTCCTTCTTCGATGACATCATGCAAGCTTTGCAAACCATCCAAACCGTCAAGGGCTCCACCGACATCAACTTCTGGGTTGGTGAAACCGGATGGCCAACTGATGGTACTGCTTTCGAATCTTCTCAACCATCTGTCAACAATGCCAAGCAATACTGGCAACAAGCCATCTGTGCCATCAGAGCTTGGGGTGTTAACGTTGCTGTTTTCGAAGCTGTCGATGAAGCCTGGAAGCCAAACACCTCCGGTACCTCCGACGTTGAAAAGCACTGGGGTGTCTGGGATGCCAACAACAACTTGAAGTTCCCATTAGGATGTGACTTTTAGATTTGTTTTAGTGATTCTCCCAAATTTTCATTTCCTGATTAAAAATACCCATTAAAAATATGATTTGCACATTATTGAAATTATTTGGTTTGAAGCATCTATGTTGACCTAAAAAGTTAAGTAGCTAGAAAACTTTGGCATGTCAGTCGATGTGCTTGATTTGACCTTCTCTCATCCACGATACAGTTATTTGTTAATCATACTCTATTCCTACTATGATTATCTGAATACAACTTGGTTTATTCGTCTGTACGAAATTTTGTAGACACTAACTAGGCGAATGTCGTTACTAGCAAGATGTACGACTTTCAACCTCTTTATGCTACTCGCCAAGATCGGTCGTAAATATACTCGATCACAGAGCATTTTGTAATCTACTTCCATCCTGCATAATCTTCAGTTAACAGAGTTGGACAATTATCTCACATTCAAGAATGCTCCGAGGTCTTCTTTACAGTCTTCTTGGTTGCCTCATACCAGCATAAATAAAAAAATGTTCCTATTTTATTAACTATATGAATTTTCTTTAAATTTCCTTTCCAATCCTCTTCACCCATTTCTTTAACATATTATGATCCTATAGGATCTCATAACTATTTACAGTGATTAATTATTTGTGGTTAATGCTCCTAAGTTGTAGTTTGATTTTTAGCTTCGTCTTTCTCAGCGAGAGATGAATCACTGGCTTCCTTACTGACGTTACTTTCGTTTTCAACAGCAGGATCTAAGATTTCGTTGGGGGCAGTTTCGGTCTGTGCATTTGCAGCAACTTCCTTTGCTTCCCGGATTTGTTGTTCAGCTGTTGGAAGTCTCTTGTTAGTGATGAACAAACTTCCTATAAGAGAAATCGCAGCAAGTCCAATACCCATGTAGAAAACATTTCTGATTGCTTTCATGATTTGACTCTTGACAAAGTGCTGGGCTTCAGGTGATAACCTTGAAATGAAACTGTTGTCAGATCTCAACATCTTTGGAGTGATATTTGCCAATTCTGTTAAAATATCTTGGTTAGTCTCACTTCTAACAGCTTCTGCATATATCTTCTGCAAAGAGGATGAATATACTGTATCAGCCAAGTCTGCAGCAATAGAACTGCTCAAAGATCTGAAGAAGTTGACAAGACTGATTGTCAAGATAGTACTTCCAGGAGTTTTGGGGGCACTGACTTGAGCTCCAATAACCGATGGTTGCATGTTAAGACCAGTTGAAATACCCACGATAATTAAGAGACCGATTTGAGCCGATTTACTCGAATCCACCTGGAGCAAACAGAGTAACCCAATACCGATTGGACCCAAAACACTTCCAACGAGAGCAACTATTTTGATATATCTGGTTTTCTGGATGAAAATACCAGAAGCTGCGGATGAAATAACAACTGCTATAACTGTAGGAAGTAAATGAAGACCCGAGCTCAAAGCACTCTTCTCTTGGATGACTTGAAAGTAAACCGGCAAGTAGATCATAGATGCTATGAAGAAAGCAAACACACCTGACGCGGTAACGAAACAAGCCACCAACTGAGGGGTGCAAATGATGTCGTATGGAATAAGTGGGTTTTTCGAAAATTTAAAATTCCACACACAGAATACCACGATCATAAGGAACCCGAGGACAAAGCAAAGAATCACAGCAGCCGAGTTCCACGCGTAATCATTGCCTCCAAAAGTCAAGGCCAACAAAAAGACCACAATTCCTGAGGTCATAAAGAAAGTACCAAGATAATCATAGGTCTTCAATTTTTCCAAAATGCTTCCCTCAGGGAATGGAGGCCTAAAGGAGTAGATAAAGAAGACCATAGCGACTCCTCCAATAGGAAGGTTGATATAGAAGGCCCATCTCCAACTGACGTGAGTGGTGAAGGCACCGCCTATGACTGGACCTAAAACGGATGCGACGGCAAAAGTAGCTGAGAGCACAGCCATACCCACGGGTCTCTTGTGAATAGGAAGGATTTCGGACACGATCACGAAGGTCATACCTTGAATACCGGAAGCTCCAATACCTGCCAAAACTCTTCCACCAATTAAGACATTCATGGTAGGAGCAAGTGCACACAACAAGGAGCCTGCTTCAAATAACACAATACCCAAGATCATGGTGTGCTTTCTACCTAGAATGATGGAAAGCTTAGCGAAGGGCTGGATGAACACCGCCATGGTTAACAAGAAACCGGACGCCAACCATCCCACCTTCTCGAAAGCATGGAACTTGTTTCCAACTGTGGAGACAATAGTGGTGACAATGGTCTGGTCCAATGCCACCAAGAACATGCAAAGGAACACAGAAAAGAAACATAACATCAATTGGACACCATGGATGTACTGATCTTCTCTTTTGGTTCCATCTCCAGCATCACTTTCAAAGAACTTCTTAGCATCTGCCACGGGAGCTTGCAGCTCCTGTTCAATATTCGACATTTTGTGCTTGACAGTGGTTAATGATAATTTGATTTCATGCTGGTAACCCACCTAGTTTATATCATCTGTGTCAGCCTTGCGTGGTGGGGGCACCGTTAAAAGCGGCTATTGCCGTTCCACGCGGTGGGTCCCCAGCTAATTCCGTGCGTGCTCCCGCCGTCTCGCGGAAATAACCACCTGCTTGTGGCAAGCATTAGTAATGCAGCTTCGTATTCTTTACTATGCACATGAACTAAACACCTTCGGATTTGTCAACTAGGGGTCATTGCTAGAGGCCCTTCAGTCAAGGGTCCGTTTATGTCCGTGTGCAGTTCGAGGGTCTACACATATGCATAACCATGTCTGATTGTGTGGATCTCGAGACCGCTAATCCTGCCTGTAGGGTCTGGTGGAAATGACAGTTCGCACCAGTAGCCAGACTGCGCCCTAGTGAGAAATACAACTACAATGGAAGGGATGAAGGGACTTTGCCACCAGGGCAGTTCCTAACCCTGAGTCAGTCACCCTTGAAACTTGATAGGGGATAGGGTCTTTATCATATGGCAAAACCGTAAGCGATTTCGGCAAATCACAATACCAGAGGTGCAGATCACAATAACGGTTATGCGTCTTTGGCATATCTACAGTTGCAGCCGTGGCGCGCGCGGCAAATTAACCACCAATATGTTGGGCCCAACATAGCCTCGATTCAACACACTTGTACCCGTGATGATATTGTGATAGAATTGCAAGGAATAGTAATGTTAATTGAGGATTGTGATTCAGACAAGCTAAAGTATAATTCGTAAAAAGATCAACTTTGTGCGAAAAAAATTCAAATATGTGACTGATGAGAAAGTCCCGGTACTAAAATTTCAAATTTTTTTCAATATGGATTGTGAACTTGTTTCGTATTCACGCGCTATTCAGCACATTTGGCCACAATTAATTGTTTCATGAGCTAGATAAGACCGTAGGTACCTTTAATATCCTCATATCCATTATCCTTGAGGGATTCAGGCAATGAGGTAAGTGATCGAAAAGTTTTCGAACAAGAGTGGATAAAGTTGAAACTAGAGAAAAATTTAGTCTAGATCTTAGCGGCTAGTTCATAATATCTATCTCGGCTGCATATAAAATCATCTTCATTGGTAAACAGGAGCAGACATGCACTCAAAATGATATTAACGTTAACTAATTCATTTTTTCCAAGTCACGGAGAGGTGTAACCAGTAATAAATTCAAAGCTTCGACCATTTCCTATCATAAGTTCATCTTATGAGCTGGAAAAAGCCACTTCGATGAAGAACATAAATAGCTTCCTCTCTTATTCACCTAGGTAAAGTCGGTTTCCTATTGTTATTTCTTTCAATAAGGAGTTGGAGCTAGTCAATTAATCTTCTCGTTTCATAATAGGTATAACGTACTGGTATATCGGGCGAAAATAATTTTATCGCAGAGGAAAAGAGAAGCCTCAGGATGAATAAGTGTTCAGAGAGAAAGATATGGAACGTATTACGAGAGAAATGAGGAATATGAATACTGTAAGACAAAGCAATGTAAAAGAGTGCCTTGGACTTTCAGAAAAACAGAACAGAATTCTGTGCGAGGATAAAAGAGTCTGTAGTTAGCTAGTCTTAGGCCCATGCTATTAGATGCGGAAAAGAACCATGATTTCACATAGAGAGATGGTATTAAAAGCTTAGAAGGAATGAGGTAATAAGAAGGAGATTAAGCGTAATCAAAGATGCTTCCAATGTGCAACTTCTAGGAGATAACATTTCTCTCTCAAGAACACAATCAAAGAGAAATCTTTGCTTATACGAAGTGTATTATAGTCCCCTATCAATGTAGGATAATGATTTTTGTTCATAGGAAGTATTTTTTTTCTCTATTGCTAGCGAGAAGTATATTATATTTTACGGACTGTACCTATGGCAATGGATAAAAAACCATTATGTGATCTTTTTTTTTTAAGAATTTCTATTCAAAATATTAGTAAAGGATTATTAATATGTAGTTTCGTACAGATTAGGAAAGTTTGATTATCTCCAAACCATAAGAAATGACTTCGTGGCCAAGCTGGTTAAGGCGTAAGACTGTTAATCTTGAGATCGTGAGTTCGACCCTCACCGAGGTCGCTTTTTTTTGATGAACCTAATTCGTAGAAAAATACCAGAAGTTCAACTTCGCCAATGTTACTTCCCGCATCGAGTAACAATAAACGGAAGGCAATTTACCTAGTCCATTAACTTTGCCTGTGTGCATCAACCCTGGTCTGGTGTTTCTATTTTCGCAGAGGATGTAGATTGTTTAGAATTTGCGAACATATAGACTACTTTCATACATCAACAGTTGATGGTTAGTTGAGAATTCCATGAACTAATCTCTGGAGGACATCAGAATCCTCAATCAGATATTGAACTCTTCCATTCAGGAAGGTACAGTCAAGAGAGCGACAATGTCCTAAGTGAATTCAAAAAGAGACACAGAAAGTTTGGAATATGAAACTATAGGAAAAGAGGTAGTTGTCAGCGTTGGGCTGAAACCCGATTATTAGCAGGAAGAATAAAATTGAAGACAAAACTGACACAACAACTCAGAAATGAAGCCTAGTCCTTTAAAATTCATTAATATTCTCCAGTTACTTAGCATTGTACGAGACGGAAAATATTTATTTTCTCGCAATTTGTAAGTTAAGTTTTCTTTCTGAATCTTTGGAAGACGGGTTCAAGCCACACGCTTATCATGGTAGTTTACATGATAAAATAAGGGATTCATACTTAATACTTGTTAGGTGGACTGAATTCATTTCCAAAGCAGTAGTTCAATAAAGATTACAAAACAACAAATATATCACTGACGAATTTAGATGATTGAATGCTATAAAGAGAAATGAAGTGCCTAACTGGAGGCAGGATGCACTATTTAGAAGTAAGTTAAAGATTATACGAAAAGCATTGAAATGAAAATCACCACGAATGTCAACAAGGAGCCATTAGCCACTGTAGAGTCACCAAAGTTTGAGCTTGATTTGGCAAAAGTCTGTACAGGGTTCTGGAATGAGGAGTAATCGGAAGCAGCACCAGTAATGGGGTGATTTAAATAGCTTGGAACAGGTCCTGGTTGGGTTATTCCTGTTAATGCAGTATTGAGGGTGCTGTAAGTATGGGAATTGGTTGTTGATGAGTTATCAGCAGTTTTGATGAAAACAGAGGGAAAAGTGGACCTTGTATCAGGACTTGAACCAGAGGAGGATGCAGAACCTGCACGAGTCAAAGTTCTTTGATCGCCAGGGTTGATGGTGATAGCTCCGATGGTCAAAGTTGGATATGGAGAGTGGCCACCACTGGAAAGACTTTCAGTTGGGCCCGCAGTGGCCAACATGGTAGGCTTGTTGACTGAGGTTTGGGAAACCGGATTAAAATCGCCAGAAACAGATCCCCCGGCTTCCAAAGTTTTGAACTCGTCGTGAGCTTCCTGCTCTCTTCCATCAATTTCACCTCCATCAGATTCGATGGAGGTCCACTTTCCGCTGTTATCTTCGTAGGAGTAGGCCTTTCCTGATGAGTAGTCTGAAACAAGGACAGACTTAATATGCATGGAGAATGGAGCAGCGGTGTAGTTTGTTTCACCACCGGCCCAATCAATGGTTCCTTGGGCGTTGGAAGGGTCGCCTCCTGCCCAAACCCCCGCGATGACTTGCATTGGGGTCTGAGGAAAGCCCAGAGGGTCGTTACTTTGTAAAATTCTGACAGGGGTGCCGTCCAAGTACCACGTCAAAGCGGCGGGGGTCCAGTCGATGGTGTATGTGTGGTAGTTTTTCAAGGGGTTGGACGAAACCGGGTGGTAACCTCCTCTGTTGTACAAAGTGGTGTCACCCTTGACGAAAAAGTTGGACTGGAACTCGTAGGGATCGCCACCAAAGAGCTCGATATCGATTTCATCCAATGCATCAGACTGGAGATAGAAGCTGGACACGATTCCCTGGCCCTGGGCTGCCTGCATCACCACCTCGACACGTCCGAACATGATGTAGAAGTTGGACTTGATGGTGGGGTTGTCGAAGCGGTTTTTGATTGTCAAGGTAACTCCGTCATCACCAAAGGTGACGTCGCCCTTGTTCTTCAACACCGTGAAGTAGGGTGTGCTGGACGAGTTGAAGGACTCCTTGAAGGTGGTGGCAAGCGCAGGGTTGGGCGAGCACCCCTGGGACTCCAACGGGTTGCAGGCGGCAAGCGCATGGGATATGAGCGGCAATAAAGTAAGCAATCCTTTCATGGTGGCGATGACGGTGATCTGGGACCTGGTGCCTGAATCAAGAGCCCGATTGGGAGGGAAATCTGGTGCATTTATACCGATCGTGGGGTATTTGCAGCTGCAGTGAATTTTGCAATTTGTTCGTCACAAGTGGGTGCGAAGGCTGGTGGGTGTCCGAAAACGTCAAGTCGCGCGGTGCGTTCAGACACCAGACGCGACTTGGCTCCCAGTGCTGGCTAGTTGCAATGGTATACGGAGGCGTGGCTATTGTGTGGTGGAGTGAGATCGAGGGCCAAGGGTCCAGCGAGGCTCGGGCAGTAGGTGGAACAATCGGTGGGACAGTAGGTGGGACAGTGGGTGGAACAGGCAGAGGCTGGTGAAAACCAGTGCTGGGCCGACCAGTGCTGGACCGACCAGTGTCGGACCGACCAGTGTCGGACCGACCAGTGTCAGGACGCACCGCGAGTGTCTGCAGTGACAGCCTCCCCAAGCATGTGTCTAGGTTGTCACCAGGACGATGGGCCGGATTCTGCAGATTGATAGCATATTTCAGCCACCCCAGACGAGCACAGTGGTGTGCATATACCTGCGATGGCGTGGGCTTTGGTGCTGTCTATGTAGGTCCTTACGTCCTGCCCATTATGGGCACAGCTCCCGCTGCAGCAAACAGCCAGCAGCCAGCAGCCACCACCCTGAGCCTCCAGCAACCACCCCAGTGGCTCCAGCGTGCCCGTGTCGGACCCGTCCTCAGCAGGCGCCCTCAGCCATTGCCACCACCGTGGCACGTGATGCTCTGCCAAGGGAGTGATAACAATTTAATCACCAACGATCCTATCCCGCTAACCATCGGTGCCACCTCAACACATCTGCATCTCTCAGGCACCCGTACATCCACATACCCCAACCATGCGGTACCTTTCCTTATTATCCTTGACGCTACTACTGAGCGGCGATGCATTCCCGATAGCACTATCCAAGCGAGACACCCAAGGCCAGGAGGGGACGTTTCAGCAAGAGCTGGACTCCGTGTTGTTGGCCATGGTGCTAATATCGTCGATCGGCGGATTCCTCGTGTTCGTGAGCTTGTTGCTCTGGTGCGTCGTACGCCGTCGGCTCCGTTTGAGTGAAGATGAACTCATACGAGAAGAAGAGAACCAGGCATATCTCGAGCTCAACTCGGACGAGCAGGAGTTATACTTCCAGAGCAAGGACTATCTCTCACAGAACCCGTTCTTGAGGGGTGAGATGACGTTATCGCAGAGTTTGGCCATCCAGGAGAAGGGAGTGGCGGCCTACGAGTTCCAGAAGGACCCCATGTTGACCAACAACGACCTCATGATCTTGAACAAGTACGAGCTCAACTTCTTCAAGAAATTCGAGTGCTGCAGCATCACCAACTTGCCTATGAACAACAAAAATGAGGTATACTACTTTGAGAGCAAGATCTACTCGTTACCCGACCCCGAAAACACCTTGATATCTTTCGGGCTCGGAATCAAGCCCTACCCGTGGTTCAGACTTCCAGGGAGACACGTGCACTCCATCAGCTATGATTCCACGGGCTACAGGAGGCACAACCAACCGTTCAAGTTTAGCTACGAGCCTCCGTTTCCCAAATGCATCGAAGGCGACGTCATAGGTATCGGGTACCGCACCAGGAGCGGCACCGTCTTCTTCACCCGCAACGGCAAGAAGGTGAACGAGTTCAAGGTGGGAGGACATGTCAAGAATTTCAGGCCAGGCATCACGGGACAGTTGTACCCTATCATCGGGGCCAATAACTTGTGTTCGGTGCACGTGAACCTTGGCCAGGCTGGGTTCGTTTTCATCGAGGGAAATGTCAAGAAATGGGGATATGCTCCTCGTGAAGGAACAGGGCCTGCACCTCCCGCATATAACAAGTTCAACAGCGACATTTTGTTAGAAAGATCGGAGATAGACGAAGACGAATTGAGTGAGCGCGAGGACGACTTTCCCCCCGACTTCTGGGAGATCCACAACGGTGCCGAGGCCAAGGGCGACAAGTACAGCTACAATGCCTACAGCGAGGTGGACTCGGTAGATGAACGCATCAGCTTGAATAGCATCTTGCCCCAGCGGCCACCTTCGTACGACGAGAATGGCGACGAAGTCCAGGAGGGAAGCCCTGGCGACCTGGACGAGGACGCCATATTGGAATCCAGTAGTGTGTTGCGCGATCAGCCATTACCGGAGCACGACCACGACCAGGAGTCAGAGGGGTTGGTGGAGGGACTGGAGGGGGAAGAGCCACGCCTGGCCGAGGATGCCACATACCACAACGAGACAGGTGCTCGAGACAGCGACGCCTAGGCTAATAGGGCTCCCAGTAAGGCTAGTGTGGGCCCACCAGGATGTGGTCACGCCCCTAAGTTCTCGGTGCATCTGCTCCAGTGCCACTGTTGTCTGGCGTGGTGCCATTTTTGGCCCAACATCCTGGCCGTAGTGCCACCAGTTTCCAGATCATCGCATCGATCATACCCCACAATTTCATTTCTATAATTACTTTTACGAGCGGCGTGTCAACAATATTTCAAATTCGCAGATCGTTGTAGATGTTCTTTGGCAGGGCGGCATGGGTGGCCACGCACACGGAATGACTTCTGGGGAGGGGGAGCTGACTCGTTAATTTCATGAAAGATCACCCATCAGTTGGTGCAATTCCAAGCCATTAATTGGTAAAACTTCAAGCTCTACAATGCACGAACAAGCAGCAATTCGCCATTTGCCCCAGAGTGTTTCCTTCTGCCACGGCAGCCCAAACATGGCACTTTTTGGCCCTGCGCTCCAATGTTGGTAATGTGCCCAACGCGTGATGGCCTTCAAAATAGGGGCTACCTGCATACACCCGTGTGTGGGGCATGGCGATCGTGCCACGAACCCTGGCCAAGACAAACTGTTGGGAGCGGCCCACCTCACGGCGTTGTTTCGGCCCGCAGGCCCCAAAAACCTCCAAATGCCTCACGGTTTTGGAATATATAAAAGTGGCCATCCTTATCTTTTGTTATCAGACCAATAAAATAATACAACCAGGATGATCCAGAAATTTGTGTGTGTGCCTAAATCTGACTACGACGTCATCGTTATCTCCAACGGGACCATACAGCAGATCGAAGCCGGTTTAGCCAACTTAAACGAGAGCACAAACAATGAAATCCCCTTAAACGGCCACATCACCTACCTTGACACATTTGACCAGTTAGCCAACCACTTGAAGGCGTTGAACAAGGCAGCTGCCCCCGGGTCACGTGGCTTTTCCGGTAAGGTGTTATTCATGTTCTTTAACGGGTTGGACTACGTGCAAGACTTTTTGTCCAGCTTGATTGACTACTACAACAAGTGCACCTTCCTCGACTCGTTCCAGTACCACACCTTCAACCAGTACACTAGCCTTCCCAAGGCCCGCGACGCGGCCCCCATTTACGACACCATCGAGAACGCATACTTCTACATTGACTCCTCCACCGTGGTGGAGAAGTTCAACCACTCTCGTGGGTTCATGGACTTTGCCCCAGGCTTTGAGTCCGGACCCACCTTCAACACAATTGTAAGCATTACCAATGACATTCTCAAGAAAATGACCTTTATGTTGGGTAGAGTCAGAGGCTTATACATAGACGACACCCAGCTTGCAGGTGAAAAGTCGTACCCATTAAGATGCCTTGCCAGAAACTTTCCTAATGTCGAAAGAATCGAGTTGGCTAGCCGTCCAAACCTCTTATTTAATGCCATAGTTTAATTAGTTTAATGATAATGATAGAAAAGTGATTTGTTTAGCTTGTGTATGATAGTACTATCAATCACACTGGTAGCGGATCAAATTTACAAAGTTAATCAGCTGGTTGTGTCTTGTGTTTTGCCGACGGAGAACGAGTCCCGTAGTAGAGCAAGCCATAGTACTAATCGAGCGAGCAGCCGTTACACATGCCTCTCCACAAACTATGAAGGCGTGTAACTCGCAGCACGTTTCCAACCTCTTAAGTAGTTGGATTTTGACGTGCTGCAATACTTCAAACTGTGCACCATACTAATGCGTAGTTGACAGAGAGAGTTCTGCAACTGAAAGAGTGGTTTTCGTGCTAGTCATACAGCAATACAGCCTTCCTCGTGCATCTGTCTCACCTAACAGTTGCAATTCACCAGTGCAAAAGTAGTGTTACTCCGAACTGAAACGGTTACTACTAAGCCCTGTTTTGTTATTTGACTGTCACTTCATGTAACACTATTTCCAGAAAGAGCAGCATGCTTGAGAATTCCGTGCAGAGTCGCATACTCCTGGGCCCTCTGGTACCACCAGCAGTTGGCCGGTACTTGGCCAAAAACGACCCACATACAGCGAGTGCATAACTCAGCATGCCCACTGAAGTATAGCAGTCCTTTTCTGGGCCAAAAGAGCGTAGTAATCAGTCCTTGAGCAAGGTAGTGACTGGATAGACTTTCTCACTAGCGGCTGCGAGCCGCCGCTTATGAGCGGTTTGTGCCACAATCGCGCGTATTCACCATGCGGAGTACCCCTTATCGTGGCCCGTTATCTATATAAAATGGTAGCACGGTCGCAACATAATGCTTGGCTATTCGCAGCTTTATTTCTGAACTCTTTTGCAACAATCCGCGCCATGCCGAGCAGTACAGTTTTGAACATCCTTTTGGGAGTCTTCTTGGTGGTAGTGGTAGCATACTTTGAGTGGAAAAGGAACCAAAAAAGCGTCCCTTCTCCTGCTGCGATTGCTGCTGATAAGATTTCTCCAGTTGATCCGCTGTGGAAATGGGACCTGGCACCTCCGTTTCCCATAAGGCCATTTGTCAACAAGAGGAACTTCAACATATCCATGGGGATCAGAAATCTTTCGAAGACCCCTGAAGAGTGGCTTCTTATCGAGGATACTTATTTGGAGCAAACCAGATTGAGGAAAAAATACTCGAAGGAGTACCCCGACAAAACTACTCTTGCGTACAATAACTCCATTACTACACTGGCCATTCGTGAATTTTACGACATAGTCATCAACTTTCTTTTGAAAAGATACCCACAGTACTTTGTGGCTACCAAGCTGGGTGGGGTCCAGAATGCCATCTCTGGAGAAAGCTTCCCTAGGTCCTCCAACAACCAATCACCCCAAGACTTGGTGAAGTACCTTGCCTACCTCATAGAAGAAGATTTTTTGATTCTTATTAAGGATGAGCCCACAAACCCCGAAGCTGAGTATATTCTTCGTGCCTCGGTGACTGGGTTTCCTGCTGGGTTCGATCCTAGTGTCAACCACAATCAACCAATCTCTTTCATCCATGAGCCAGTGCCCCAGTATGAAAATAGATTGAAGAGCCTGATGCACAATTTCTTTAATAAATTGCAACCCAAAGACCTTTGGGTAAGGCACAATTGGTCTATACAGACCCACAAGTCATACTTCTCGCTTGGATCTAATCACGGCAGAGAAGGTGAGATAATCAAAGAATTAGAATTCTCAGAGATCGACTTTGAGAATGCATGTTTCTTGAGAGTCGAGAGGCAATGCTTGACCAGATTGCCTCGTCTGAGAGCTGATATCATGACTGTCAGAACTTACTTAACTCCCCTTGCTAAGGTCAAAGAGGAGGGATTGGGACCAGAATTGATCAAGGCCATTGATCTGTTACCAGATTATTTGGCGTTTTACAAGAAAAGAGGTGCGTGGGGTAAAGCTGTCAAGCAATATTTATCCGAATAATCTTGCTTTTCTGATACACGGACACATTTTCGAGAGTCTACTTCTTGCAATTTAAACTTTTATTTATCGTAATTCTGCTACACATATTCTCTTATTCGTTTAATTTAACGTAGTTGGCTGGGAACAATCCAACTTCGCCACTCTTCGAGTGCTTGCCGGACCACCAGTCTTCGTCGACAAACTCAATGTCCACTATTTCGTCACCCTCGGCAAACTCAATCTCGTTGTCTTCATCCCTTTCGTAATCGTATTCTGCAATGGCAGAAGGGCCCTTGGAGGAAGCTGGAGCAGCAGCTGGAGTAGGGTTAGCGGTGGCTGGAGAGGATACAGGCTTAGCGTCAGAGTCTTGTTCCTTAATGACCACATATGCAGCTGGGAACAAACCAACTTCTCCAGTCTTTTCATGCTTACCTGACCACCATTCTTCATCAGCAAACTCAATATCCACAATTAAGTCACCTTCCGAGAAGCCAATTTCATTGTCTTCATCCTTTTCATAATCGTACTCAGCAACCGCAGTCACGGACTTCTTAGATTGTTTAGGAGCAGCAACGGGCTCAGGTTCAGGTTCAGCAACTGGCTCAGGAGCAACTGGGGCAACATTTCTAACTGGAGGAGGAGGCAAGTTACGAGCTGGCAATGATGGAGCTGGTGCTTCTTTTTTCTCTTCAGGTTCGGCCACGTTTCTAACTGGTGGAGGGGGTAAGTTACGTGCTGGCAAGGATGGAACTGGAGTGGCCGGTTTTTCTTCTTCTTGTTTATCTTCTTGATCTTCTTCTTCTTCCTCTTGTGGCTCTTCCTCCTCTTCTTCGTCTTCAGGTTGAGATCTCACTGGAGGAGGAGGCAAGTTGCGAGCTGGTAAAGGAGTTGGAGTTGGCTTTTCTTCAGAGGCAGGAGGAATCGACCTCTTTGGAGGAGCGGGAAATCCACCAGACGAAGGCTTGACCAACTGTGCAGGTTCATCATCCACCGATTGCTCACTGAGCTTCTCAGTAACATTAGCGACTTCGTCTTCATCGGGAGAAACCGACTTATACTGGCCCCTCTTCTCAGCCCAGATCTGAGCTGGAGTCTTACCTCCTTGGGCAGCAAAGTTTCTTGATGCACCACCAACCAATTTGTCCTTACTGTTATCTATAGATTGGGATCCGAATTTGGGCTTGGCACCAAAGGTTGGGGCACCGGAGCTTGGAGTCTCGTTGTTCGGAGTAAATCTTGAGGCAACGGAGTTGGAGATTTTTGGTTTTGGAAGAGAAGTGATTCTACCATCATCAGCGTAAGCACCGATTCTCTCGGAGATAGGCTTGGCAGTTTCGGATTTTCCGTTTTTCTCCAGTTGATCTTGGTTAAGGATGTTTGGCTTTGGCTGAGAAGAAATGGTAGAGGACTTCTGCTTTCTCAACTCAGCCATGTTAACCTTGGTGGGCTTGTATGCAGAAGGAACATCTTCCAATGGGTTTTTGTCGAAGTCTCTCTCATGGATTTCCTTTTCACCACCCCACTCTTCGTCGTCATCTTGCTTCCCATTGACAGGTTTGTCTGAGACAGTGACAATTGGCTTTCCGGTAGACTTAGGCACAAAAGAGCTTGGCTTTGAGGTTGGCTTGGATACAGTAGGCTTTGGTACAATTGGCTTGGACACAGCAGGCTTGGAAACAACAGGCTTTGCAGCGGTTGAGTTCACCTTGCCAGACTGTATCGAGTATCTTGCACCAGCAGCAGCACTGACCTTGTTCAAGAATTCATCAACATCCAAGTCGTCTTGATCCCTGGCAGTGATTTGGACGTGGTAACCGCTCAAGATTTTGGAAACTTCAGCGAAGTTGGTGGCAAAAGACAATCTCAGCTTGGCAGGAGAGTTATCGGGACACCATCCCAATAATAAGTTCTTGGAAACATCGGATCCTGGAACCGTGACTCTAGCCAAACCGAACTGGACCTGACCATCGGTGAAGTTCTCCACAAATTCGTCCAACGAGCCGTTGCTGACTTCGGTGACTTCCAAAGTGCCGTGGTCAACGGTGTATACAACGTAGCTAGCGGACGCGTCTCCTCTGACCACCTTGTCGTAGGCGTCTTGGATAGCACGTGAGTTGGTAGATAAATCAATCTTCTCCATGGTTGATTGGGGGTCAATTGATGAGGTTGGCCAAGGATCTACGTGGTGGAATTGCTTGTGGCGGAGGGTATGGGCGAGGAGCCCCCACGTGACCGAGATTTGTGACCATGACGTAGTACTGAGCATGGCTGGTGTACCAATGTGTAAGAGCATATACACTCCACGGACTGTTTATTGAGTAGATCTGCCACAGGTGGCCGGACTCTTAGAAGACTTGCACCATCGCAATGGCTTGCAATTTCCTTTATATAGACATATCTACTATTCATGTATCCATTGAAATTTCGACACTGACATGTTGGAATCTTGGAACTGGGTGGGTTTGTCCGATTCCTGGCTAGAGCTCGACCAGGAAACGGCAGAATCGGAGTATTTTGGGTCCAGCAAAGCACTTCGGACAGGCAGCATCAGCCGAGTGCAAAGGAAGCCCTCAATTTGCTATAGTAGTCGATTCTTTCAAAGTATTAGCTCACGATAGCGTAAACCAAACACCACATCATCACAAACCCAGGAACATTTTCAACAACTCCCTCGAGCAAGAGTTCTCTCTTTGGTGATACGAAGAACTTGCTGGGCTCGCTTCCGCAGCATATCCATATGAATAACAAGTTGGTAAGGGTGGTTCCCACAATGTAGAACCCAAAGCCCACCAAGGACTCCAAGGCCAAGATCCCGCAACCAACGCCCAAAGCCAAGCTTGAAATGTCCCTGACACGGCCCAACTTCTGCTTGTTTGATTGGATGCTTCCGTTATAGTAGATTGTCTCCTTCATGGCTGGGTGGGTATGCTAGCCCTACTGGCTCGCGACATATAAAGCTCTGCTTACATAAGCGATGACTAAGCAGTTAGCAAGTTCCTCTGGGTCCAGCACCCATGAATGGAGGCAATTGGGCACTATAATACTAAGCCAAGCTATACCACCCAGCTAGCAGTTGATTTTCTGAGGGATCATGCATGCTTGCATTGCAAGGGCGGTTATCCACTAATATTTGATGCATACACAAGCTCACACAAGGAGCAGACAGTTACCGTGTGGCTGCTTATGAAAAGTGTCTGAATGTGTCTAATACTCTCGGAAAGTACAACGGCCCTGTATTTTCGTCTGTTAGCTTGTGATGACGTTGGAATTCCAAAATCTGATTTCGCCCCCATCTGCCGTATCGACTCGCACGCGAATTATAAGTGGCAATAATCATCACCACTATTACAAGGTCCAAATGTCCACCAGTGACGCGGATACGCCAGCACAGCGGCTCAAGCGATTCCTATTCCTTCTTCCCAAGACTAGTGAGTTCGACTTCTCCAACAATGTTAAAAAAGAGCTCAGAAAACAACTCTTTCTAAGTTCCACTAATGAAGGTCAGTACCTCGATTGGCTCTTCCCAAAGATATTCAAAGAAAACAGCCCCAAAGATCAGTTATTCGAATCTATTGATGAAAAGCTCGAATGGAAGTTCTCAGAGTACTACAAGTACAGTATCAAGGATGCTGCCCACCAGGTCCACAATCACCATGCCTTTCATCCCAACCTGGCTTGTGCACGTATTTTCCGTAAAGGTGAGCCTATATACCGGTGCCTTACATGTGGATTCGATGAAACATGTGCTTTGTGCTCAGATTGCTACGATCCAGAAGTGCACAAGGGCCACAAAGTGCATATCATCATATGCTTGAGAGAGAACGGTGGAGTCTGTGACTGTGGAGACCCTGAAGCTTGGCTAAACGACTTCGACTGTTTCTACCGGCCACAAGACCAAGAATCACGTGACAATTCCGATAAACTAGGGCTGGCATTACCTCCTGGCTTTGCCGACTCTTTCATGCGTACTATGGAGATCATATTAGACTTTGTCATTGATGTACTTAGTCACAGCGACCTTCAGTACGAAGATCCCAACGAGACCACCACCACCAAAATAGAAAAAAATTCCATAAACAGCACTTTGGATCCCCAGAAGTATGGATTCAATCTGAATGAAACTATTGACAGCACAAGTGATAAATTCTTTTTAATGGTTTATAATGATCAGATCAGGCACTATAGGGATGCCGTCCAGCGAATTCATTTAGTCAGCAGGAAAGTCAAACAGTTCGCAATCATGGTTACCAACAAAGTTCAGTCCTATGGAAAAGCTAAAGTTATTAGCTCCAAGAACCTTAATCTTTTGATTGAACGCCAAAAACTTCTCAGTTCTACTGGTTTGGCTTCTTGCATTCGAAATCACCGTGATATATTTCGTGAAGATATGTGCGATGAAATCTTGAGATGGTTGAGTGAGTTCACCGAAAGTGAATTATTCAAAATTAATAACGACATTAAAAATTTATTCTGTCAAGCATTCTGTAGTAAGTGGAATGCAGGATTATTGAGATTGAAAAATTTGAACGATGACTACGAGTATAAGGTAGGAACCTTGGACAATTTGAGAATACCCAAAGTTACCTCAAAGAAGACCACATCCCCGACGTCTTGCAGATATTCAAGCTCGTGTTCTTCAATTTCATCGATGGCCCCATGCAATTCCCCAATTACCATGCCACCTTCTAACTCTTGCAGGCCATCTCATTGGCTGTTTACTCCCTCAAAATGGGACTTACCAGAGGATATTTGCAATAAGTGTCAATACAATCTTAACATTGACGAGTATGATACTTTGAAGTCTCACTTTGGTTCTAGATTCCAATACTTAGTGTATTTTGATGTTCGTTTTTGGAAATCAATAAGGGCAATACTTCATGATATGTACTCGACATCATTGATCACAAACTTAGAGTACAAATACATCATCTCCTGCCAATATGTGGATATTTATCCAACAATTGCGAATATGTTCTTACTAATGGATCGGGAACCCGAAATTAATGTCATGTGTACATTATCAACACAGTTATTTACTTGTCCGTCAAATTCCACTTCCATAGTTCAACATGGTGATCTATCAAGAATTTTTGCGACTATTTATGGGTTTTTGACAACTGAAGAAATCAAGACCCCTGATACTATACAAATTACTAACCAAATACTAATGAAAAGTCTTAAGAACAGAAGATGGGGCCAGATATTTTTTGACGTCGGCTATATTTTGAGTAGGTCTCGAGATTCAAGTTTTATTTTAACGTCCGGGATAATACCCATGTCTTGCGATATTTTGTCATTATTTCAGGGGAAGCCTGCAATCAAACGTGAGAAGGAGTCACATATTGAATTTGAGAATTCAGATTATACTTCATTTTTCCATGCTATTCTGGTGATTTATCAGTTTGGTGAATCCATATCCCAATGTTTGAGTAACTTGAAGGATTTCGAAGTCAAGAAAAGCTTGTCGAAGAACGCAATAATTTATGTTATAAGGTATCTATTACAATTGGAAAAATTAGGCATGCTAGAAGATTCTGGAACTAGAGATTTGGATTCAGATAGCTCGCAAAGGCTAGAAGACTCTGAAATTTTGGGTTCCATCTCCACGAATCCTGAAAACCGAGACTCTGTAGCGGATGAAATAGAAATGGAAATTGATTCATCTACTCACAATACTATACAAGGTGGGGATTACAAGGTGGAAAAGTCAAGTATTAACCAAAAGGTATTGAAGGAATTCATCAGTGGTAACATCATACAGGACTTCCGAATAGATGAGGAGAAGGTCAGTTTTCTCCACCCTCTTCACTCGTTTTTGAGTTGGTTAATTGAAGTTTCGAACTTCGATAACTTGGGACAATTGGCAGAAGTATTAGACTATGCAACATCTTCCGAGTTCCCAAGGTCGGGGGTAATCCAATCAGGTGAATTACCAAATCCATTAACAACCATTTTTGACTATCCTATCCGAACTATAGTGCTAATGAGTCAAATAAAATCCGGTTTTTGGGTGAGGAACGGGTTCAGCATTAGAAATCAACTACAGTTATACAGAAACTCAGGTTTGAGAGAAAATGGATACATGAGGGATCTTTTCATGACGCAAGTATTTATAAACTCCAATTCTCCTAATTTGACTTGTTTCTTAATTTTCAGCAGATGGTTACTCATGGATGGCTGGATAACAGAGAAGACGAAGTCCCTTGAAAGTTTTGATAATCAGAATGACATGAACAGTGAGAATATTAACTTCATTGAGGGTTCCACAGATGCATGTCCTTACGATGCTAAGACTTTGCCTTACATTGTTGAGGAATGTATTAACTTCTTCATAAATATACTTACCGAACACTTGTATCTTCAGGGTTTTAAGGAAATGAAGATAAAGGAAATTAGAATCAAGAATGAAATTCTTCATAATCTTTGCTTTGAACCAATGAACTACACCAAATTGTGTTCTCAAATTCCAGATCATATTACTTCGGATAAACGTTTTGACTTGATCTTGGAGGAAGTAACTACATTCAAAGCCCCCCAAACTGCTAATGATATTGGTATTTACCAATTGAAGGATGAATACGTTGAACAGATCAATCCATATTACTTCAATTATTCCACGAACACCAAAGATGATGCTATCAAGTTCATTAAGGATCAGATACATAAGACAACAAAAAGGCCGATGAATGACATTGTTATTGAGCCGAAGAAAGTTCAAATTCAAAATTTAGGGATTTATAGATACATTGGGAATTTTTCGGTTTCAGCGTATTTCTCTGATTTCATTATTAGGACGTTGAGATTTGTCATTAGGGAGGGTCTTGATGCTCTTGAAAACCTTCTAGAAACATTACTTCACTTGATCCATTTATGCTCTTTGGAGCAACTCATTGATAGCAACAGATATGGGTCATTTTATGATCGATTTGTTAATATTTCCGATCATTATGGCTGTTCTGTTGCTTTTCTATTGTATCAAATTCTTCTGGATGAAAAATTCAAAAGTCATCATGCAAAGGTCAGGGCGATTTATCGGGTATTTGAAGAGAAATATCAGAATCTTGCTGATATATTGAACGACCAGGTGGTAGGATTTGATTGTATGCTCTTAGATTTTAATGCTTCAACCACGAAGGATTTGATCGAAGAAGAGAACAAAAAAAGACTAGTTCAGGAAAGAAAGAAGAAGTTGATGGCAAAATTCAAGAAACAACAATCTCTGTTCATGAAAAACTTTAAATGTGAAAGTGATATAGAAATGGAAGACAACGAAAGAGATAAAGGGGAAGGAACGTATTTGAATTCAAGTGAAGATGATGGCGACCAAGAGCTCTGGAAGTTCCCCGAACCTCATTGCATATTATGTCAAAATACTTCCGAAGATAGTGGACCTTTTGGTATCATCAGCTATATTAGCAAGAGCTCCGAATTTAGAACAGTGCCATTCGATGACAGATATTGGTTTTTAAAGGCTTTCTCCGATGGGCCTAATCTTGACAATAACGAGGATGAATTGGAAGTGGCAATGGATACTGATCATCACAATTGTCAAGCACACCATGAGGCAACCTGTGGAACCCGTGGGGATCATATGGTGACTACTGCAAACTACGAAACGTTTATGACGAATATTAAACAAAATAATGTCATAGGGCCAGGTTTTAAGAGTAGAGGTAATGTTGACAGTAAACTTGTTTCACTGAGCTGTGGCCATGGAATGCATTTTCAATGCTATATGAATTTCTTGATTTCAAATAAGAACAAGTTAAATCAAATAACGCGGAATGCTCCTGAAAACATTGATCACAAAGAGTTTTTGTGCCCATTGTGTAAATCGATCAACAACATGTTTATTCCAATTATGTGGTCATATAATAACAGGAAGTTAGAGGACTTTTTGTCTCCTACTATTGACAATCGGGGTCAAGGAGTGCTTAATCCATTTGAATTTTTATCGTCAGATCAGATTTATAACAGGGAATGGTACCAGGAATTCACCAATGCTGCTGACAATGATATTGAAGCTTTGTCCATAGTAAGTCCTTCATCCAAAGAAATGATTGCTCCGAACCCAGCATCTGAATTAACGTTAGTTCAGCAACAATTCAGAATCCTTTTGAGCAATATGTTTCAGACTATATCGTTCTTCTCATTTCCTCAGGTTCTTAAGGCCGATAGTACTTACTTCCTAACAAATACTATCAAGTCAGTCGAAATATCGCTTCGAGGAGTCAGTTCAAAGTCATCTTTAATTATCAACCAGCTTTCCAATAACTCACTCACGAATATGCGAATTCTTTGTGAATTTAGAAATACTAGTGTACTAATGAAAATCAAGGATTGGATTCATTTGCCAATTCGAAAGGGTGATGCATATACGAAAATGTTGTCTACTTTATTCTCATTAGCGAAAGGTACCATGAGCGATACCATCTTAGAGGGTGACTTTTTCGAGATTCTAGTTAATTCCTTGCCTATTAAATCAATGGGATTTTCATTCAACGCCATTTTGTCGACATGCTTTATGGGTCATATCTTACAAGTTTTCAATACGTTGGTTGGAGAATTGAGTGGCCATAACTATTATATGTCAGAAGATTTCAGCGTGTACGATGTACCCATTATTTCAGGATTGTCGAAAGAAATCAAACAGAACATTTTGGAATTATTCTCCCGCTTTACCAATGGTGATGCGACATCAATTCCGAATAATGAGAGATTGGGAGATGTTTTGTCGTCTATGCTAATCAAGGCGTGCACTCCATTTTTAAGAAGGGCCGCCATTTTACTGGTAGTATTGTGTGCCAAGTTTGATTTGAGTGAATATGAAAATTTCAGAATCGAGGAACTTGAAGCAGATAGATTATGTTCCTTCTTGAACCTCAATAGCATCTCACAGTACTTGTCAAAGTTTGTGAACTTAGATGACTCAACAACATACGAGTATTCTACACTCAGTGACTTTTTAATTCATATCAAAACTCGAAGTTCTTCTGCCGATCAGTTAGAAATGAGGAAACAACTTGAGTATCCAGGAATCATTAAATTGGTTGCATTGCCTGAACGATTGGACTTGTTTTTCAGCAACTACTACTATTCGGATATGTACAATAGTCCTCACGTTACAATTGAAGATCCTGCTATATGCTTGTTCTGTGCTGAGGTTGTGGATGCGCAAAAGGCTGCTATTGGATGCGAAGAAGGTCAATGCACAACTCATTTCCTTCGTGAGTGTGCAAACGAAATAGGAATTTTCTTATTGGCAAAAGATAGAAGTCTATTGCTCTTGCATAAAAATGGTGGATCATTCCAGCATGCTCCGTTCTTGGATCATCATGGCGAACTACCCGGTGAAACACGAAAGTCGAAACCATTGTATCTAATGAAGCTGAGATACGATGATTTCATTAGAAACTTTTGGCTTCAGCACAATATTCCCAACTTTATTGCTCGGAGTCTCGATGGTGTATTGGATGGGGGAGGTTGGGATACCTTATAGAGTAGATAGCCACAATAACAGGAACCAAGTATTTATGTATAGGAAATGGGCAGGAGCATTTATTGTATGTACAAACGGTAGTCAATTAACAATAGACAGATAGTGCTAATACAGAGCTAGAATTCGGTAATTATATTATGGGATGCAATTTTCGAGCCTAGTAAAGACCATTATCCCTAGCAAACTCGAAAAATTCGTTTGAATGCGTGAAATCCATACCTTCGATGTATTCATCATAAGAATACCCATTAGGAACATCCGCATTGTCACTGTCATCATCGAATTCGGCATCATCGAAATGTGCATCATCGAAATGGTCTTCATCGTCACCATCTTCATCGTCGTCATCTTCATCCTCATCCTCATCGGGATCTTGCCCGAAATTGAAATTCATTGCATCTGTGTTCGTTCTTGCTCCGAATATGCTTCTGGTGACAAATGCGTACAAACCTTGATTAAGCCACATCTTATTCAACGTGTCATAACGGAATTGATTCAATGTTGCGGCGCCCGGAGTTCTTGGTCGTTTAATCTCCCCGTGCTTGGTAAGATATGGCCCAGGAATATCAATGCTGATTGGAGGACTGTTGCCAATATGAATGCAAATTCTAAGCAGGTTACTTCGAGGAAGGAAGAAAATTCCAATACCACTTGCACAGGCAGCCATGTGACCAGTGCCAGTAGAGCTTTTTTCCATACGACCACAATGCAAGCATGTCATCTGTTCATAAGAGTGGCTTCGATCTTGGACTATGCAGGTATTGAATTGTGTTGGTAAATCAATCAAGCGGATAATTCCTGGATAATCAAGGGTTAAAATGCCTGATTCCAAATACTTGGGGATCTTTGCATTCAATACGATATCAAAAACAGAGCTTTCAAAGGCAAAGTCATCATTTGCATCTGCCACTCCCATAATAACTTCATCATACGATGGAAGATTTAGGGCTCTTGTGAGTGCTTGTGAAGAATCGACATACTTTTGGCTTCTTATCTGATCTGTTAAGTTGTGCAAACTTCCAGTACTTTTAAATGAATTTTCACCTTGTGATTCACAGGTTAAGATATCCTTGAAGATGATCAATTGTCTTAAAAAAGGCAATAATAGTCTTTCCACAGCATAGTAACAATCAACAACAAACCTATCAGTTGGGATTTCACCGTCTATTTGAGAAGCCACAGTATTGAAGATAGAGCGAAATGAAGATAAAACTGGTTCAGAAATGTCAGTTGTTTTGTTATGGCCCATCAAATCCATTTTGTTGTTCGGTCTCATCAATAATGAGTAAATAGAATTCACAATCATTTTCGTCATACCCAATCTTGCCAAAGTTCTCAATGATTCGTCAGTTTGAAAGTAAAGCACTATTGTTTCATTGAACACTCCATCTACATGCAATGACACCGAATCCCACAAGCCATTAATTTCTCTTGAAAAATCATAATCATTTCCTAGAAGAATGGGTGACTTGCGGTCGGTATACAATAGTGCTCGAGATTGAGCTAAAGACCTTAATAATGTTTTGACCGAACCAGGAATTTGTTCCAAAAATGTAGAGCAACTCGCCTCCCCACCAATTCTAGTGGATATTTCATTCATTCTGATAGTGTCCGCTAGGATAGTCGAAACCTTTAAGAGAGAAGAGAAATATTTGGAATTGCAATTATTTCGATTAGATATTGATGACTCTTCAAGCAGGTCAAGTAATTCTGTTGTCAATATCCTCTGGAATGGCTTGAAGTCCTTAGACTCGTACGTCTTATCAACTAATGCATTTTTTAACATAGGGTTTTTAGTCGAACCAGTAGAGTTGAAAATTTGGTTATATTTTTGCAACTTAGGGTCATAGTCAAGTTCAACAAGATTTTCCTCGCCATTGACACTTTTTGGATCTCTAAATGAAGGAATGAATACATTATGCAAATTGCGACATAATGGACATGGATAATGTCTATTCAAGCCAATAGCGTTTTTAAAACACCTGTGATGAATAAAATGTCCACAGGTTGATAAAACTTGAGCCTCTTCAAAGTCACTTGGGAACATAGCATCACCTCTACCATAATAGTAGCCCCGTTTGTAGAATGACTTAGTCTCAACAGTCGTGTGTTGTAGATCAAATGGCTTAAAGGACCTATTCATATGATCACTTTGGCCTATGGGTAATTTCCAGAAACAAGATGCCTTCGTCTTGCTAGCCAACAATCCAAGAGATTCATTCAAGGTTTCTGCTTCACCGCACAATACGCAAGTCCTATCCTGGCTCACATATTCAGTACTTTGAGACTCGGATTCTGGTTGCTCAAATTCCTTATTCATAGACAAAAACTTCTTTCTTTGATTTTCGAACTTTTTCATTACTTTTGATTGTCTCTCCTTGTTTTTGCGCTTTTGTTTTTCTAGATCAGATTCAAATAAGCCTGTTTTTTTCTTTTTGTATTCGTTGATGTAGTTCTCTCCAAAACAGTCGATAAGGTTTTCAACAATACGTTGATCCTTTTCAATGAATCTTTCAACCAAAAAATCAGCCTTTTGGACAACTCTTGGAGACATTTTGGACTCAACTATCATCAATAACAAATCGCTAATGGGAATGTTCACAAAATGATCATTAAGATAAGCTTTCCCATGAAGAATTTCATCATCGATCAAGATAGCATGGATTAAATGTAACAATTGGGGTAAGTAAGTCTCATCTGAAGTATCAATTGCCACCTGTAGAAATTTGTAGATTAATTTAGCAAATTCTTTTGTCTTGGTAAATCTACCAAGATTTTGACCGACAATTGTTGGAACCTTTTCATCTTGCACTAACTTTGGGATCAAGATAATGTCATGGTCCTTTTTTTTGGTAGTCTGTGATGCTTGTTTGACCAATGATTCTGAAATTTCCTGGTACTTGGAAGAATCGAAGTAAAAGCTCAATGGGTCCATAGTCTTGTAAACTTCGGTCTTCAACCTGAACATTCCTGAATCACCGATTGCACTAGGGGGTTGATAATCTGCTAATTCGTAGAGTATGTCGTCGAAGTTTGTTAAGTCCTGTAATTCAGTTGAAACATCCTCCTTAATAGCACTATATGGTCTAGGCTCTCCGCATAAAATATATGCAATTGTTTTCTTGACCATCAATTCGTACCTTTTATTTGAGGAAAGACTCAAAAAAGCCACTCTTTCAACCAAGAGGTTATATAAAAAGAGAATAAACTTCTCGGAAATTGAGAAAAATCTATCCTCATAATCAGTTTTGTCATATTTTACATCATTCAAGTACCACGACAATAGGTCCCACCTCTCTAGAAAATTGAATAACGTGGATTTGGGGTCATCGATGATACAAGTGATCTGATTTATGTGAAAATCCCTGAAAAAGGTCACGTCATTCATAATTGACTCGAAGTATAATGATCCTTGTCGACTTGTGGAGAACCCGTTTCTAATCCAATATCCAATTTTGATTTGATTTGCCAATACAATGCTTCGTAACGAAATATCAGATATGTTGAGGAATGATTTGTTCATATTGAGGAGGATATCTTGAAATTTGGAGATACCATTGGTTTGGATCATGTATGACAACATCGCATTTAATGGGTTAATCAAGGAAACAAATTCATTGGTAACTTTGAAATCAATGATACCATCTTCCTTGGTTCTCAAGGTTCTGAGTTGCAAATAGTCGATCAAAAATAATGCATTCTTTCTGACGCTTTCAAGCGTATATTCACTTGTACCGATAGATTTTGCGATGTTCAAAACTGGTATTGAATATTCAATATGGACAACAAAATCATATATTTCTCGCTCGACGTGATCTCCATACTTCTTTTTCATTGGCCAGTATTCCTGAAAACATCTCAATAACAATATGGACAATTCAAAATTCTTAGGATCAGTGAAAATACTATTGTTAGAGTGCTTTGAAGACAAAGATTTCAAATCACTTATACCTCTAATGATTGCAGTCTTAAGTCTTTTGTAAGTCAAGGGATGATCTTTTGAAATATCAACAACTGTGGGATATCCCGAATCTTTGTTCCACTTACTAGCCAGTTCTTCTATAAGTGTAATTAATGAGCTAATAACGGTCTCATATCCACCCTCAGTCAACATTTGGCCTACACATTTTGGACAGGTAAAGATTTGGGAGTTCACTTCCAACAAAATATTGAGATGATCTTCACGATCCACATAGGCCAAGTTGTGCAATAGCAAAGGATAAACCTCCATTAGTTGTTTCGAAAATATAGATTTGTTGGCCATATCAGATACGAGAGGAGGCATGAGTAATGCAGGCAACGCCATCCTTGTAGGTTTGTCAAGTCTACTCTCATACAGCAACAACATCTGAATTCTAGACAAGTTGATTGTTTGACTCTCTGAGGTAGACTTAATGGACTTAAACGTGGTGACTAAATCTTGAGCAGTAAGATCTGTTGATAAGCTCGAGGATACCTTGTGATAGGTATTACTGATAAATAAGCCATTCAAGACCTTCTTGAAGTTTTTCTTATTTATGTCGCTTAACAGATCGGCCCACTCATGAATGGGCAATGAACTGTGAATGGATGCAGGTTCCAATAATATTTGCGATAGCAAAGACTTGCTGAGGTTTCTGAACAGGTCATTGGAGTACAGCTCAATAATATCGCTCATCCAGTTAAACATGGCACCGATAATCTCGAATCTCATGTAGTCTCTGGCGGAAACAATCGATGCCAGCAAGCCACTTCTCGTTATGATTTGATGGGCTTCACGCAACCACTTAGGGTCCGCAGCCTGGTTGAAAACACATTTACCATTGTGGTCGATCTCCTTCACCATAATATTAGCCTTCGCGGTGGGCAGACCAGCGTCCTTTAACGCACTCAATGCCTCGTCTCTGTTATGAAGTTCATCGTTCCAGACAACCAAATTCCACATATTATGGGAGTTGGTGTCATCTGCCATGCCGTATTCTCTCGCAGGTAACGAGGATAAATCGCTGAGGTACCGGGAGGTCAATGTTAAGCCCAGAAGGGGGTCGTCCATGTGGCTTTCCAACACAGGAAGAGTGTTGATGTTAAAATGCAAAACATTGAGGATGTAGTCAAGACATACCTCGAGGGTGAGACGCAAGGCATCTCTGATTGCTTGTGGGACCTCCACATTGTCCTCCTCGTGCAGGAAACATTTGCAATTCAAGTTTTTGAAGGCTTCGGGGTCTCCACAGTCACAAATTCCGCTGCTGCCCGTGGTGCTGTATACTGAGACGTTGTGATCGATATGGTCTTGGGGATTGAAGCAAAATACACATAAGACGCATGAATCATCGAACCCACACTCTGCACATCTGTAGACTGGCTCTCCTGGTTTGAGTGTTCGAGCACATGCTTTATCTGGGGGATGTGTGTAGTTAGTGTCCCTGGGCTTGCGCAGGTAGAATGGTCGCTTCTGGTTGGTCTTAAGGACCACCCGTTTGTGCAAGCTCATGAGCTCTTTGGGACCAATGTCAGGGAAGAGGACGTCGATGTGGCGTCCATTAGCGGTACAGGCGTAGTAGAGCGCACGGTACACGTTCTGGCGTACGAGATCAACTTCGGTGTACTGGAGCTTCCGGGGCAACTCCACTAAAAACCGCTTCAATGGGAGGAATGTCTGGAGGTGTGGTGGAAGGGCCAGATCTGCAGCACGAGCCCGTTCGCTGGCATTGGCCAGCGCGGCCAAGTCTGCTTGACTCTCGGAGTCGGTGCCATACGGCGAGTGGTACATTTCGATATCGGAACCGGAGTCGTATGACATCTTGATGTAGTGAACAGCAGGTTAATTGCTAGTACTAGCTATGATTAGTGAGAAAGTCGTGCTGTGGACGATCGTCTGCCACCACTGGCACCAGTGCACAGTGCGAAACCGATAGCGACAATTAAATTTTTCGGAACTCTCCAGCATCACCAAATCTGACTGGCATGTCTGTGACCACCGATCCTACTGAACAGTACAACCTCATCACCAAGGGCTTGCAAGAGACCTTGAACGGTGCTATCATCAAGGATGTCTTGGAAAACCAAAAGAGACCACTCAAGGTCTACTGGGGCACTGCTCCCACCGGAAAGCCCCACTGTGGATACTTTGTGCCCATGATCAAGTTGGCCCACTTCTTGAAGGCTGGATGTGAAGTCACCGTGCTCTTGGCAGACTTGCATGCCTTCTTGGACAACATGAAGGCCACCTTGGAAGTGGTTCAGTACAGAGCCAAGTACTACGAATTGATTGTCAAGTCCATTTTGAAATCCATCAATGTTCCCATCGAAAAATTGAAGTTCGTGGTGGGTTCTTCCTACCAGTTGAGTGCCGAGTACACCATGGATATCTTCAAGTTGTCCAACATCGTCTCCCAAAACGGAGCCAAGAGAGCTGGTGCCGATGTCGTCAAGCAAGTTGATAACCCATTGTTGTCCGGTTTGATCTACCCTCTCATGCAGGCCCTTGACGAAGAGCATTTGGGTGTGGATGCCCAGTTCGGTGGTGTCGACCAAAGAAAGATCTTTGTTTTGGCTGAAGAAAACTTGCCATCCATTGGCTACAAGAAGAGAGCCCATTTGATGAACCCTATGGTTCCAGGATTGGGTCAAGGTGGAAAGATGAGTGCGTCTGATCCAAACTCCAAGATTGACATCATCGAAGAACCAAAGATTGTCAGAAAGAAGGTCAACAGTGCTTACTGTGCCCCAGGTGAAGTGAAGGACAACGGATTGTTGGCTTTCTTGGAACACGTCGTTGCTCCAATCCAAGAGTTGAAGGCAGAAAAAGAAGGTGTTTTCAAGTTGGACATCGACAGACCAGAGAAGTACGGTGGCCCCATTTCTTACACTTCTCTTGACGAACTTAAGGCTGATTTCGAGTCTGGTAAATTGTCTCCAGTTGATTTGAAATCAGGTGTTGCTGACAGAATCGTCGAATTATTGGCCCCAATCAAGGCTGAATTCGAAGCCAACCCAGAGTTCCAAGCTGCTCAAGCCAACGGTTACCCTGTTGAACAACCTAAGCAAAAGGTGAAAAAGGAAAAGAAGAACAAGGGTTCAAAATACCCAGGTGCAGGTAAGTCTTCTAGTCCAGCTCCATTAAGTGCAGACGCCACTGTTGAACAAACTGCTGATGCCTTGAAAGAAGCTGCCATTAACTAGAATTTATAGGAATAATATCAAGTAGAACATAGTATAAATCACGTGATCTATACACGAGTTTTTGTGCACGTGATGCATTGTAGCCAATCATTTGCGACTGAAAATTAATCACCAAAAAATCATTCTGCTATACATAAACCACATCGACAATGGTAAGTACCAAATTGGACGGTAGTCGATAATGATATGAGCATAATGGTTTGTGAATGAAATCAAGAATCATTCTTTTGGTAACGAACGGTAGTTCGTGAACGTTGAATTGATTAGTGGTATCACCCCGTCAAATGTATACAACAAGCTGGAAATACAAGAAAAGCTATATTAGAAGTGGAAGCTTCCCATATCGGTTCGAGGCATATTAATTTAGAGTATAGCTGAAGTGTTTTATTTGGACTGGGTTTATTTCATTACCCGATAGCTGCAAGTCAACATCCACAGAACGAACCAGAAGTATGGCAACTCTCAGCCATACGTGACATATCCATTACAGCACTCCGAAATCATCCACAGTTCAAGGCTGAACTCTATTTCTAGCACATACTAACGTCTAGTCTTTATTATCTTTAGTTACTAAGAGAAACTCGGTTTACGTTGCTACCATTTTCGGAGGTGCTTTCGCCTTCCAAGGTTTCTTCGACTACGCTGTTACCAGCTGGTACGAAAACCACAACAAGGGTAAGTTGTGGAAGGACGTCAAGCTCAAGTTCGTCGAAGGTGGTGACGAAGAAGACGACGAATAGATGGTGCCGCTAGGCTCATAAATGCATGCTTTAGTGGCTAGTCCAAGCAACTAGCTATATCTGTCTATAATATATCATAATGATAAGTGTTAAAAGAAGTGTAGATAAAACTAGGGCAGCTTCCCTTCACGGGTCACAATTTAGGAGTCATAGAACATACTTTTACTTAAAGATCCGTACCTGACAGAGCTGTTCAGTACCACGAAAGTACTTCCGAAATTAGTTGATCCCTATGACAATACCCCGAACAGTAAGGAAGATTTGAAAGTATAAAAACTACTATAAGCTAAAGTCCAATTTTTGATCCAATAACTAGCCCAAACACATTGTAGTAAGGCAAAAGAAAACATATCAAATTACAATGCTTCACAATAACTGAGTTGTGCTCTTGAGAATTAATAGTAAACATATAGTTGTTTTCTGATTGAAACACCCAACACATAAATCAACCCGTGGATTGGTCGCAATTCTCTATGTCCTGAGCATTTTCCAATCAGGAGGCAGTCAAGAATAGAAACAAATAGGTGACGTGGCTTGGAAAGCTAGAGTTGAATATGTGGTGCATGCCGTGTAGTACCCCTCTTAACTCGTGAGCAATCGTCGTACTTTCAGCATTAATTAACTTCTCTAATGGTTGGTAGCTTTGATCAGGCGCACTATTTCTGTCACATATTTATCACTACAATTTGCACTCATCACTATCAAGCATGGGAGTAATTAATCAACCAAACTCTCAAATTAGGCTTACCAACGTGTCGTTGGTTCGCATGAAGAAAGGAAAGAAGAGATTCGAGATTGCATGCTACCAGAATAAGGTCCAAGATTGGAGGTCTAAGATCGAGAAGGATCTCGATGAGGTATTACAAATACCACAAGTGTTCCAAAATGTGTCCAAAGGACAAGTTGCCAATAATGAGGACTTGATGGCCAGCTTTGGTACTACCAACCAGGATGAAATCATCTTGGAGATCTTGACCAAAGGAGAAATCCAATTGAATGAAAAAGAAAGAAACGCCAACTTACAACAGAAGCAGAACGAGTTCTTGAATATCATATCCACCAAGTGTATCAACCCCAAGTCTAAGAAGAGATATCCACCTTCGATGCTCCAAAAGGCCTTGGATCAATTGAAGTTTCACTTGAACCCCACAAAATCCACCAAATTGCAAGCTCTTGATGCCATCAAGTTGTTGGTAGAAAAGCAGGTGTTCCCGATTGCGAGAGCGCAAATGAAGGTCAAGGTGGTGTTAACAAAAAAGGCCTATGCCAAGGTGTTCGAGGAGATCAAAGGAAATATCGATAGTATCGAAGATGAAAGCAAAGATGCAAAAGGTGTCGAAATCGTTTGCATCATCGATCCTATCAACTACAGAACAATTTTGGACGTGTTAGAAGGTGTCGAGGGACAAGGTTCTGTGGAAGTGTTAGACATGATGGCCTTGCTGGGCTAAGGAAAGCTAGCATCAAATCATACATAATAAATAGAGACAAAAATATTACTTCCCATGCCATACTTGGCTATCGGAATCTTCGTTACTGTCTTCCGGATCACTATACGTAAGGCTTCCAAATCAATTTTAACCCGTGCTCTTGGTGTAGAACCACAATTCCCTTACAATGATTAAGAAGGACACACTGTAAAGAAATCAACTGAGAGCACTGAAATTATTCGATCTACTTCTGGGCTCTAGCATCTTCGTAACTGCCTTATACACCTTCAGTGCTTTAGAAAGCACCCCCTCTGTCCGTTATCTCACTCCATGTCTGAACTCCCCATCCCCTGGAATCTGCGCGTAACTTGCAGTACGCACTCTTCTTCACAAAAATTTTTCAATTACATCTCTATCATACCCTAGCATGTCTATCGTATTGCCATCCACCAGCTCCAGCGAAGCTTTCAAGGCTTCCTCCAAATACACCGCCGCTGTGCGTCGTCCAATTGAACCAGTTGGTCGTTACTTTCTTGCCCACGCTTCTAGAACCTTGAGAGGCCACACCTGGTCCGAGTATGAAAAGATAGAGGCAGAGAAGAACGTTCAACAAATCGAAGAAAACGTTGACGATGACCTCGGAGACGAAGAGCAAAGCGAAGACTTGTTGGCCCATGACCCAAGAGAATGGAAGTCTGCCGACTTATACGCTGTTTTGGGATTGTCCCACTTAAGATACAAGGCCACTGAAGATCAAATCAGAAGAGCCCACAGAAAGCAAGTCTTGAAGCATCACCCAGACAAGAAGTCTGCTTCTGGAGGTTTGGAACAAGACGGTTTCTTCAAGATCATTCAAAAGGCCTTGGAAATCATGTTGGATTCCAACAAGAGACAACAGTACGACAGTGTTGACACCAACGCTGACGTCAAGCCACCAGCACCAAAGTCCAAGTACGACTTCTTCGAAGCTTGGGGCCCAGTTTTCGAATCTGAAGCCAGATTCAGCAAGAAGCAACCAGTTCCATCCTTAGGAAACTTGGAATCTTCAAAGGAACAAGTTGACGAGTTCTACAGTTTCTGGGGTAAGTTTGACTCTTGGAAGACTTTCGAATTCAAGGATGAAGATGTTCCAGATGACACTGCCAACAGAGACCACAAGCGTTACATCGAAAGAAAGAATGTTGCTACCAGAAAGAAGTTGAAGCAAGAAGACAACAAGAGAGTCATAGAAATAGTCGAAAGAGCACATGCTGAAGATCCAAGAATCAAGATGTTCAAGGATGCTGCCAAGAAGGAGAAGGAAAGAAAGAAGTGGGAAAGAGAGGCCGGCTCCAGAAAGGAAGCTGAAGAAGCTGCTGCTAAGAAGGCTGCTGAAGAGGAAGCTGCTAAGAAGGCTGCCGAAGAAGCTGCTGCTGGCAAGGCCAACTCCAAGAAGGCCAAGGAAGCTGCTAAGGCTGCTAAGAAGAAGAACAAGAGAGCTATCAGAGGTTCTGCTAAGGATGTTGACTACTTCGGTGATGCCTCCAAGTCTGCCGACATTGAGGCCGATATTGACTTGTTGCTTGAAAAGTTTGATGATGCTCAATTATCCACTATTGCTGGTAAGCTCAAGGATGCCAACGCTGACACTACCAAGGCCACTATTTTGGGAGCTGTGGAAGAGTTGAAGAACGCTGGTACCCTCGAAGTTTCTTACTTGAAGTACTTCTCATAGATACAATAGATTTCGACTTATAGTTGTGCTTATTGATGCCGTCAGGCCACTTTGTAATAATTAACCTAATTTATTTATCATTATTCCTCGGAATCTAAGGTACCATGCTCAGCAGCTGCTGCAATGTTATTTTTCAAGGCCTTTCCTTTCATGTGGTAATGAGCTTTTCTCATTTCTTCGAACTTGTGGTGTCTTTCTTCAGCAGTGAGTTGGGGAGCCTCTTCCTCTTCGTCTTCGTCTTCGTAGTCTTCGTCGTCTCTCTTCAACACTTCACCCCCATTCAAGGAGCCCACGACTCCGTTAACCCCGTCATTCTCTCCCTCTCCTAACTCAAATACTGGGATATCTTCTTCATTGTCCTCCCGGTAGTACTCGCCATTAGGGTCAAACCCTCCTTCGTAAGGGGTCTTGGGTTCATCAATTTTCATGGTCGAATTCTTCTCTTGTTCTGTCTTGTATAGGTTCAATTCATCCCACTTCAAGTGCTCGCCTTCCTTTTGCTCGTGGTCTGACTTGGCTGCTATCTGAGCTCTAATTTTATCGCCCTCTGAACTGTCAGCCAAAGCTTGGGCGTTGAGACGTGTGTTCTTAATGACCTCTTGACGATCCAATTCCTGGGAAGAAGGGGTCTTGTGTCCCTCAGATACGGACTTGTTACGTAATATACCTCTTGGTTGTTCTGACATGGTTGGTGGATGATAGTTGTTGATCACTTGCTGAGAAGAAGTCATCTGTCACGTGTATACCTCGACCCTGGGTGTAAAATCCGGAGAAGGTCATGAGCCGATGTTGGAGGCGATAATCACGTGAGTGCCTGACGCGAGTGCCCAAGTTCCGAACAGGTATAACAATTGTAATCAAATCCGTCACTGGTATTTACAGGTATCAGATAGCAAGGCAACTCTATAACTGACTTACACACATAATGGGGCAAGTGTTCAGCTTCACCAACATCTTCGGCAAGTTGTGGGGAATAGATAAGGAAATCCGTATCCTTATCTTGGGTTTGGATGGTGCCGGTAAGACTACCATCTTATATAGGTTGCAAATGGGAGAAGTGGTGACTACCAAGCCTACCATTGGATTCAACGTCGAGACCTTGAAGTACAAGAATTTAACCTTAAACATATGGGACTTGGGTGGACAAACATCCATAAGACCTTATTGGAGATGCTATTATAGTAATACGGCAGCCGTGATATTCGTTGTCGACTCCACCGACAAAGACCGTATTGATATTGCCAGCAAAGAGTTACACACCATGTTGAAAGAAGAGGAGTTGCTGGATAGTGCATTATTGGTGTTTGCCAATAAACAGGATCAGCCTGGAGCCATGACTGCAGCTGCAGTTTCACAGGCGCTCAACTTAACAGATTTAAAGGATAGAAGCTGGAGTATTGTTGCTTCAAGTGCTATCAAAGGTGAAGGTTTGACCGAAGGTTTGGATTGGTTGATGGACGTTATCAAGGATGAGCAGTTGTGATGGAGCAGAAATTCAGCAAATAGAAAAGTTTTACTACCCCTCGTGATTGTTACCAACCCAAGGCCATCGGACAAGTTATCTAAGTTATTTGGTTTATTGGTTTATAATCTATAATAGAATTGCACATAGTTAGACTTGTAGAGTTTGGTTACTCAAGGGTCCTCTCTCGTAGCTTAGTCATCTCAATTCGGATAAAGTCTCGAGATTCCCTATGATTCTCTTTCGCTCACCCTTTCCAATATCACCTTGATCATTTCATTTCCGATAGCATTTGCTTCCGGCAACATGTGTTCGAAGAATCGTTGGTTTCTTTCAAACTCTTGTTTGTAAAGCTCAAAGTTTCCAAAGGAAACGATACTCGACCAGTTTCTAGCTGCTATCGAAAATTCCAAGTCCTCGTGTCTGAACATGTCTTGGTTTATCGCCACATCAATGCATTCGTCCAACAAACCGGGTGTGCAGAACAAATACTCGGTGACACCCAAAAATATTCTGAACAAAGGTGTAGAACAAATGATATGGTCATAAGGCACAATATCCAAATTATACCAACTGTCAACAATTGCAAGCAAAGACAAGTGTGAATTTGGTTGTCTTCCACCAGGAGGGTCTTTACTAAGACTAAATTTTTGTAAAATGTCATCATCCAACAAAAGATCATGGTCAGATATGTGACGGAAAACAAATTCTTTAGCCTTCAATAATCGTTCTCTCAACTCCTTCTTCTTCCCTTCGAGAATTAACACGAATAGCGCTGTGGTTGATTTGGAATATTGCAAAATTTGATCGTGAGCAGAAGGATTCGTAATTGCCAACCCTGCGTAAACATGCCATTTATTTGAGAAAATTCTCAAGGATATATTGATCTTGGCATTCTCTATGCCTCCTATCCATTTTGGAGTTTCCCAAGGGTATTGATCGGAACATCTCCATGCCAGCCCCATAGATAAAAATGCTGCATGAGTGACAGCTTGAGTATCAGCAGTGATCTTGTCGTGTTCTTTGGCAGATAAGAACACTACCTTCGACTTAAGACATGACACTAAACATTGGATGAATTGGAAGTTATTACCTGTCGATCTATGATTAATTAACACTAACGGTTGGCCAGTAGTGCTGATCTTGGGCCCATGAAGAGAGTGAAGTGTTATGATGTCGACATCATCTGGGAGAATACTTTCAAAAGCATTGATTTCAGGTTCTTTGCACGATGTTTGGCCCCCAACTATCGCTCCCAACTTAGTGGATGGTCCATACAATGAAACAATTTTATGGATGTTCTCGGCCTCGACACTGTATATGATGTAGTCAGATATTCTGGAGACGAAATGCCCATTCTTCATGATTTGAAACTTGTCATTCTTGAATGTTTCCTTCGTTTGCTCGAACACATCTTCCCTGTCACAGGCCACAACCTTCCACCCAGCTTCACTAAAGCGCCTAGCATATAGGTAGCCCATATCTCCCAAACCAATGATACCAATAGTCTTAGTGGCCTGGAAGGCCTTGGTGGCTTCCGGTGTTACCTCCATGCTTGATGTCCTCAAGTTTTAATATTCTATTCAAGTCGGTCAATGTCGCGCTAGCGAAATTGGTTTTGCGACCAAACCTTCATTTAGACGCTAGGCCAAAGCTAAAACTGCTGGAATGGTCGATTAAAAGAAAGCAAAATTACATTTCAAAATTCAGCGAGTTGGCTTCTTCATTCAAATAGACTGAAGCAATACTTGCCTAATATTGCGCTATGGTCTTCGTATATTTTGTAAAAATTGTGTAAAACATTTGTAAAATGTTGGAACGATACACCGAAGATTTTTTGTACAAATATATCAAGTCACCAGGCTGAATGTTTGAGTTGTAAGTCGTAGTTCACAAATACCTATTTTTTCTATATTGGTATCGTTGACAATTTTAGCCTGTACCATTAGGATTAATGGTTTAAATTAAGGGGTTGCTGACTGAGATTCAAAATCCATCAAATACTACTATTGCTTTACAAGCTGTAAAATCCCCGAAGAACGCTGACTCAGTACGCTAGCACGCTACTTTCAAGATCGTTATGATTAGGTAGATTAAAGTAAGTATCTAGAACTGAACAATAAGAACATACAAATAATATAGGGAAAACTCAAGTCATCTAAATTAAAATACGGGGTGTCATTAACATCTTAAAGCCCATTACTGACACAACTAAATGCTTTTCCATACACATCGTCTTCATATGAAATGACAATACTTTTAATGGTAGCATACAATCCTGGACCCAAAATGTAAAGACCAATAATGATCAACAAACCACAAAATAAGAGCTGGATCTTCGTCCAAAGTCCTTCTCTTTTAAAAACTTCAAAAAGGGATATGTCGGCAATCCCTTCATTTTTGGTATAGTGGAGCTTTTTCAATTTGAAGTAAGCCACTGCCCAGAAGATGAAGCCAAACCAACAATCGAAAAGCGAAGACATCAAACCCAACAAATCTGAGAAGAAAGGAATAACTTCTGCGATAATAAATGCGAGGGCCCATAAGAGAAAGTTCAATCCAGCCCAGACCAACCAGCCCTTCACGGTGTGCTCATTTCTGTGTTTAGAGCCCTTCTGGAAGATCTTAAGGAAGAGGAATTGCGATGAAACATTTCCATAAAGTGAACCCAAGAAGAGCACAGTTGGTAAAGCAAAGGAAAAGGCGATCTTCTTGTAGTTTCCATCAAGAGATCCGAAGGCAGGGGCGGTAATGTAAGCATTTCCAACGTACACGTAGACAATCGAGCCCGCTAACGCAAAGGTAATCAACTCGCATACAGTCACAATGTAGAGGGCCTTCTTGAAGTCCTTTGGCTGCTTCATTTGAGAAATGAACGATGGGTAAGTGATTTGACCCACAAAGGTATACACAATGTTCAACACTGCAGACATAATCTGGACGTAGGTGGCATCTGGAGCTGGCCAAACTGTATAGTGGACAGGCTTTTGAAGCTTAGCATATCCTGCGGGATGGTCCTGAATTCCAGCGAAAATCATTGACAAAATCACGGCAATGAACATGGTAATGGCTGAAAAATATGCCACGCCAGACATGTGGGAAAAAGTTCTTGGAAGGGAAAACAAGAAACAAATAATCATGGTGACAACACCAAACACAATGGAACAGATAGTGGTATTGTCGGAGATGGTGTTGAAGTACTTTGCACCCACCAAGACGTGCAAAGCCTGAATCAAGGTGTTATTCAAAAGGAAACAGACAGCAGTGGCGTACCAGACCCACTGCTTGCCCCAAAACAAGTGACGGCCAATATCACACACATCAGTCAAATGAGGGTAGGCGGCACAGTAGTCAACAATGATCAATCCGGTGTAAAGCACAATTAACGAAACGATCACCGTGACAATCAAGCCGAGCCCGAGTCCCAACACCGAGTAGGACCATGGGAACGACATGATTGCAAGACAGATATATTCGGAAAAGAGTAACCCCGCTGTTCTCTGCCAAGAACAATTACGGTAGTTGATGTTGTGACCGGCTTCCTCTTCCACCAATTTCTGGAGCAAGGAGTCTGGGTCAAACGAGTGAGTGGAGGTGGTATCATCGCTGATTTCCTTGAAGTCTTTGACATCGGCACCTTTGCCGGCTTCTAGTGATGACGGTGACATCGTTTATGCTCCGAAATATGTGCGAGTCGCAGCCAACTTAAATACCTTGTTCGGCCGGAGAGATTGCACCCATTATTAGCAATCAAAAGTAATAATTTTGTGCATATATTTTAACGGCGTCCCTGCAGGGAAAGTGATGAGATATGTACAAGGCGGGCAGCGGCCGAGGACCTGGAACTCCAGAATGCAGGTCATTTTGTTGGTGGCAAAGGGCACTCTGTTCGGCTGCGCCAATGCGCGAGTACCTGTAAGACATGTCCTGGTACATACTTAAGGTGCTGTTAACCAGGTGGAGGGCTTCTCGCAGCCGAAACGCAGAGAAGCTCGTTAAGGTGGATCTCTCGTTATCAGGGCGTTGAGATCCCGATTACTTTAATTGTGGCATACTGACGTCAAAAACAAGCTTTACACGTGATGGGTACTAGTAAAGTATACCGACTTCAGTGGTTTTTCAGGACCGGGAAGCTTAATTTCATGTGAAATGCCGATCACGTGCTTTTATGTGGGGAACATGCAGGGAAAAGGCTAGGGGACCCTGAAGTTGTGATGCCTTCCGCCAGTGGCAGCTTCGACTGCCACATAGCAAAACGCCGTGTTGGCGTGATTGCACCTAATATACGATGAAGGGGTGAACGGATCTTACATGGAGTTCGGTTCCACTGTACATGAGCTATGTAGAGACTGTTGACTGAATCGGCAATTGCCGGTGATCTATTATGGTAGAGGAAACAAATGAAAATGGTAGATGGAAGAAGTGAATGTTGTGAGACGCACAAAGTAGTTCCATGAGAGCCAACAATGTGAAAGCCGGACACTTCTAATGTCATACGTCTGATGAATTGGTGAACTTTTACAAATCCGTATTGTTCCATCTATCTTCTATTACAGCAATTTTTTCTGGAGAGAATATCGGGAGAAGTGCATCGGAGGTTCAGCCTGTCGCGACGATTGCACTCACAGCCACTAACACCGCCCCCATCACAATCCACACATATTTGATGTTGTCAATGTCAAATCTTTCAATGGGGTCCAGCTCTATTTCATGGAAAGTTCTGGGGCTATGTTCTTGTAGTCTAGGTGAGCCACCGCTGTGGTATTTTGTAATCCTCAACAAACCGTATCTTTGAACCACCAAGATGGTAATGACTGTAATACCCAACCAGATTAACCACCGCCGTATCTCTTGGTAGCCAGACTGGGTCAGCTGGTTCTTCTCAACTCCATTGACCCTGTTTTCCTCGTGGTCGTGAGAGCCTCCATCGGTCTGCCTGCCATACTCTGCCATCGCTGTTCATTTAACTTATCTCGTGACAATCTTTATTGATCAATTCAGAAGAGCGTGCAGGAACCAATTAGCCCGCGATAAGTCCAAAATATCAGCACGTGACTACAACTGGTTCAGTAATCCGATCGTGTGTATCACCGAATGGCACATAGTTCAGATTCATGTTAATGTCGAAGAGTCTTGTTCAGTCCAGCAAGTAGCCAAATTCTGTTACCAAACTAAAGTGATCAGTGATAGATTCAAACTATGGACGACAGGAGGGAAACAGATGAGTCGCTTGTACGAAAGCATGCTCCAATGAGTCCAAGAAAGAGAATAAGAATAGACGGGGGGTTGGAAAAAGCAGACACAAATAACCCAAGAGAATCTCATTCAACTCAGGTGATCGCGGCTCCTTTTGTTATTGCCAAGGCACAGTCTGTATCATATGATACTGCGGCTCCAGCAGACGAAAGATTCAACATTGAAGATACGGAGCCATACTTGCACGATTCAAATCCTACAACGCCATTACATCCTTTCCTCAAGATTCCTACAGATATTTTACAAGTAATCATTAAACTCATCGATCCAAATGATCTGATAAATCTCTCTACTACCAGCAAAGAATTTCGACAATTCCTTCTACCATACATTTTCAACCGTATCCGTATTGAATGGCTGCAAATAGATGATGATTTTAAGTACTGCTATCTTGTTAAGCAGCTAAGAATTGTTGATTGCAATTCCTATGGGGAATGGCATGTGGACGTATTTGACAAACTAGACAGATTTAGTCAACTTCAGCATTTTCTCATAAACTCTTCAAATTCATCAAACTGGCTAAAGTACAGAAGTAATCAATGCATGAAGGCATTGACCCTCTATTATGACAAAACACAAACTCTGATTGTTAGAGGGGGTAGCGTGGTCAGAAATAATGGTGCCGGCGCCGTTGTAAATTCTCACACCTATGCCATTCCTGGAGATTCTGTTCATGTTGGGGGGCACTTGACTGGAAACACTTCTGGAAGCCCCAGAATCTTCAGTCTAGGACATGTACATCAATTTCTGGTCACCAGTTTGACCTTATACAATTATCATTTTAATTGGGAACCTCAAGATCCTATCACGAGCAATGTTGTAAATTTGACTATTCATGACTGCACATGGGAGTACCCATTTACCATATCTCAGTTCAATCTGGGTCAGCATCTCAAGACTTTGGACCTATGCTATAGCACTAATAACTCGTTTATTTTGTCGGAAAGATTCAACAAATTTTTGTTGAATGATGATGAAAGTACACTTGGAAATTTTGACAGTCTCGACTCTTTGTCAATTGTATTTCTCACTCGAAAAAATTCGTGGGATAAGGTTCTATCTTTGAAGCAGCTACTGGTGTTCCTTTCTAAATACCCCAGCTTGACGAGTCTCAAGTTGCGTGGGTGGAGTGTGAACACATTGTCCCTAATGCTTATTTTCCGGAATTTCAAGGAGCATAAGCTCAAGATGCTTGATTTGGAATTGCTCGTTCCTAAGAATCACAATAGAAGAGAGGTAGAGGACACCAAATTGATGTTGAAAACTCTATACCCATGGACCAAGGTGAAATTGAAAGCCATTGAGAGTTAACAAACTATAAAATAATTAGCTCTTGTAATCTGCATGTTATTTAGCTGGAACGGTATATTTATATAAGAGGTCAATACAATTAGCATTTATGAACTATAGGCGTAGGTAAGGCTATCAACCACTAATAGGTATGATATTCTCTAAGAACCTTTAATTTGAACAAGGCCATGACTGGCCAATTGCAATTTTTCAGCATGGTATTTCATTTTTGACACCAAGATTTCTTAGTGTTGTTGGTGCTTTCTCTATGAAAAGAATTTCTCATCATTGACGGTTTAATAATATGTTGGGCTATGTATTCAATCCATTTTATAATGTCATCGTCTTCATTTAATGCGTGTTTCGAATTCAGTAATTTTGACGTTGAATGCCTTACCATTTTAGAAAGATCTAGTCCAACTTATTCTATGAATAAGTTGCTTAATTCTTTAAAGATCTCCAGGAAAAGCCTTCTGTCACTCAAATCTTCGTGATCTCTAATAGGTTTCTTTTTTTGAATTTCCTTCACTATTGGGGGACAGACAAATGGCATCATAGGTTACATGCTTTGGCTCAAAGGCAAGCAGTTGATGTTATGAGAGGTAATTTGACTTATTTATTCATATTAACTAGAAATTGGTTTGAAGCTGAAAGTGATGAGTGTTCCGACTTCGAAGAGTTTGGAGTAGACTAATTTTCATCATCTGATTGTAGCTTTTTACGTGACAAACAGCATTTCATGTGATATTACAGTACTACCAGCCACGCTGTTTTTATGTGGTTGGTCAAGAGATTATTTTCGTCTTGAATGCCAGTTTGCTAGTTGGTTCCAAGACCCTCTTGCTGCAAATTAAACCAATTGATCGGTCGGAAAATTCCAAATGCATATTACTTCAACTAATCTTGTACGCAGAACACATTTACACCGTAATTAACTCAATTCGTTATACGCAACTTCTGATCTATTCTCGCCGGTATGATCAGTTTTGCCTTGTCTCTCTATAACCGACCATGTCCGTGTTCGTACCAATAGTGGTGTGTTCCAGCGACTACTCGTGTGCAGGCACGAATACGCACTCATCTCGGAAGCATTGATAGAATAGAGGGCAATGCTTCCGTTACTCTCATTGACGATCGGTATCCTCGTGCTCCTCGGCCAATGTATGGCCAATACAGAGACGTATTTGATGCGAGTACCCTTGTACTTCAACATTCCACCTCATCTAGGTCCAGTCTCCGCTGATGCTCGTCTCAATCGCGATCTCCACCATATCAATCATACACATGCATTGCTCACCGACTATCCGATAGGCCACATCGGGGGCATTCAAGAGCCAATCTCGAACATCATCGAAGTCCCGTATGATACTTTGGCTGGCTTTTCGTCCAAAAAGTCGCCTTGGAACACATTATTGGTCCGCATTAATAACTACCAAGACTCGAGCTACAGCCCACGTGACCTTCTCTCCGTCAAGGTGTGTTGGCCCACCACCTATCCTTACGACTTCACGATCAGCCACCGGTTTCTCAAAGACAGCGAGTTAGGCTTATCATCAGACGATAAACAGCTAGCTTTGTACGTTCAGGTGGATTTCCAATTCCGCGGCCAGACTTTCGACCCTACTTTCTTGAGTGCAGATGACTCGGTGGTGTTCCAATTGTACGTCAATCGCCTCCCATCCCGTTACATCCCGATCCCCCTCGAGCTCTACCCGTTTATAGTTTACTTCGTGGACTTGATCATTCTCTTGGTCCAGATTGTTCCGGTAGTGGCCCAGCTTATCTGGTAAGGCTGGCCACCCCCTCCTTGCACGTGATGCCAACGCATCTGAAAATTAATGACTCAGCAACTGAAAACGTTTCCTATCTATAGTTTAACCAACCGTTTCAATTATGTCTTTACACGAGGATGATCCATTGGGGCCACCCAAGAACACCCAGAATTTGGACTTGTCCAAATTGTCACCTCAAGAATTGAGAATTTATAAGATGTATGGGAAGTTACCCACCACCCAACAAATCTTGACCTCCAAGTTCCAAGATAAGAAGTACTTTGACAGCGGGGACTATGCCATGCAGAAACAGATGGGAGGCGGCAGAACTGCCCTTGCTGGTGGTGTGCCATTGGGCCACCCTAATGCTGAGAAGGTCAAGGAGATTTATAACAGAAACTCGATAAGTGGTAGTAACTCCGGAATCTTGTACAATGGAAAGTCTGGTTTATTGAATGAGTCTACGCCACAAGGTGCTGGCACTGAGGAGGAAGAATCATAAGCAAGCTCAACAGAGGATATTACAATCAATTGTGCCACCAAGTGAGCCTGGCTCCATTGCCTTTGAGGTTCCGGGTCGACGTGCCAAATACCAAGATGAAGTGCAGCGAATTTGCTACGCATGATAGTGCACGCAATCCCGGTCGAGCCATATGCATTTATAGCTAATATATAACGAAAGCAGGATTCATGTAGGAAGTGATTTGACCATTCGATTACTTCTATTTAGTCAATTACAGCATGCAATTTAGAGATACAATTTGAAAGGAATTGTAGTAAGTAAATGCTAGTTGACATGTCCCATCGTCCTAGCTTCCCCACTATAGGTCCCTACCACTGCAGCATTTAGGTGCACGAGCTGATGCTAGTGCACGATCTGCTTATCTAATCTACCTATTTCTACAACAGTCAATCTTTTCTCTTACTCTACCACTAGCAATTGAAATCTGTTCCCGTTAGGTTACTTGGCTTATCTCAAGTTTCCAGTTGGTCTTCGCATGGGACCTATCACAAATGTACAGTTTGAGGATTATTTGGAGAGGTTCAATTCCGATTTAATCGAGAGCCTCCAGCTAGTGCAAACAAGTACACAGCCATGGTCCGAGTTTCGGATTCTTAGCAATTACACCAAAACCCTGCCACGCAAGTACTTCTTGTGTAGCCTTAAGTTGATAGGAGATGTCGATTTGAGTATAACGTTTACAGTCTCGTACGATGAGTTCTACCAGGTGCCTGTGTGCAACTTCAGAGTTAACAAGTATCAGGGGGAGCAAGAGCAGGCATTGACAAATTTGTGTGAAATTGACTGCAACGGACACTTGGTCAAGTTGGATAGCCACCCCATTTTTGACACTCCGTGGTTCTCGATCCATCCATGCGAAACACTACAAGTCGTAGACGAGTTCATGGGACCAGAAACCGGTGTTTTGGAGTACTTGAAGTGCTGGTTTGGCCTCTATGGGCTTCCCAGTGTTTTCCCCATGCTTCAGACCCGTTACATTTGAAGTAATTTCGTTATTCAGGTAAAGCTGTGACTCTAACGGTATGGTAGATAGAAAATGATTCCAACATAGTTCCCAATTCCAGCTATACTACAGGCTACATTGGTGGTGCTCGTAAGTTGTAAATTTAAGCAACTGTCTTGACAGTCTATTATATGAATATGCAATGATTATTGGGTGGCTTGAGGCTTCTTTTCAGTGAAAATACGGCATGGGTATTGCTCAGTGTACATACCATGTTCCGGTTCTTGTAATATAGTCCATTCAAACTTGTTCAAAGATGGGGCCACTATGGGTTCACCTTGAGCTCCCAACAATTCTCCCTTGACAACATTGGCTGGAACACCGGCCAAGGTGGTAGCTAAGCTCACTGGTTCGGCAGATTCGATGAATACAGACAATTCTTTGGTACCCTTGTCACCGATGGAAATTCTTGGCTTGTCAGCGGAACCCAACTTCAATAATCCAGAAACCTTGGTTTGGTTGAAACCATGTACTTGTGGGAAATTTCTTCTGTAGTCTCTCTTATAGTATGGGTTACCTTGGATGTCAGCTGCTGGCAAGGTTACTGGGTCCACATACTTCTTGGCGTCTTTGATTCTGTCACCTGGAGGAGATTGACGGAAGAGCGAAACGATAGGGTTACCGGAGGATCTGTTTGGGACTAATGAAAGGATTTGACGGACCTTCTCCCAGATACCGGTTGACTGGGTGGTGTATTTCTTCCAAACTGGAACTGGACCTCCAGACATGATTAAGTAATGTATTGGTACTTGGATAATGAAATTTCTGTTGATCAATTGGATAGTTTAGTCGTGCGAAGGGTCGGAAGCCAGCCAATCAACAGGAAAGAAAATGCGATTGAGAACGCGCACGTGATCTCACTCACGTGTACCGGTATGGAGGTTCCACATGATCATGGTTGTCGTTCATTCACATAAAGTCTATATAGTCTATTTGCAACCAAACAACCCTCTTCCGATCTTTCCGAAGATGATGATCCCGCAGAAGAAGAAGCTGCCAATCCAGAGACAAAGGGCAATCGAATCGTCGTACTGTGTCGATGCGTAATGCTTTATAAATGAGTAGTTTTCAAAGTACACTGAGGCACAGGCCACTGTGGAGGCCGCCAAACTTGCAAGAAGTCCAGAAATGGTACCATCAAGTAACAACCATAATCCCGGGTTCAAAAGGGACCAGATGATGGAAACTTGGAGGAAGGAGGCCCATTCGATTTTTCTGGTAGCATAGCTGATACCCAAGAAGGTGATAGAGGCTCTCAATAAATCGTTGAAAAGGTTAGAGTAGCTGCGTTGCTGGTTGGGGTTTGGATTGGAGGACAACAAGCGCACCGACAATTTGGAAGGAAGCACGGCGTCCAAGATAGGGTGCACTAAAGCCATACACATGCCCTGTACCGTCAAGGCAAAAATGGCGTCGGCACGCTTGGCCCAGAGGTGGTCCAAGGTAATGTACGAGCCAACCTTGAGCTTTTCGAATATGCTGAAGATGATGGCGTTGGTCACGGAGACAGGCACGTTGGATAAGCCATTGGAGCCGAGGTGATTGTAGTGAAGGTGCTTGGTGATTTCGTTGTAGATGAAAGCACACCCTGCCAATACCGCCACTTTGATGGGAATGGGCACTTTGGTGTGGTGGGAGATCGTGACGGCCGCAGCGGTCTCGGATGGTCTGCGATCCTTGGATGCGGGTATTTCGATGGCCAGGTCGTCTGCCCCGGCTCCCGTGCTCAAGTTCAAGTATGAGTCCTCGCGGTAGATCCCATACAACGACGGTTTGGTGAGGTTGAGCACCGAGTCTGTCTTCTGCATGCTGTTCACCGATGTGGACGAGCCGTGTACTGATACTGGCGTGGAGTCCAATCTCTTGAGATTGGTGTTGGAGAATGCTCTCTTTCTCAAGTCTTCCATTATGTGCTGGGGGTGCTGATCTGGGAATGTGTTGTGCTCAAACTGGAAACACTCCACTTATATACTAGCATAAACATTGTTCGCCAGCGAGGGCAGTAAAAAAAGCAAATCCTAAGAGAGCGTGACTTGGGGGTTAACGGTTGCGGACCAGAAGGGACAACCGCCAGCACAGCAACGGTACCAAACTTGGTACGAGCTCTGGATGTCGCGAGCACCAAGCCGTGGTCCATCTGGACCACGTCTTGGGGCCAGAAAACGTCGACGGGACGTGAACATTCCTGGTTAACTTTTTGGAGGGAGGTGCTGGACCTGCATACACCGCAGGTATTTACCCCCAGCATCCTGTGGGTAAACACCCACATCCCACGATGTCTGCCAATGTATTCGAGACGGACGAAGGCAACAGCGCCGTGAACGACAAGAACCAGGTGCTGGTGGCCGGCGACGATCCCATTGACTCGGATGACGAGTTGGATCAACTCATGGAAGATTTTGAGATGAGCGAGAGCGACGACGAGGACGACGGCGAGCAGGAAGAGAAGCTCTTCCTCTCATCCTCGGAAGAAGAGTACGACGAGGACGGCATCCCCATAGAGGATGACTATGGTGACAACTACGACTTCAGAGATGCTCTTCGAAGTGCTGGTAACTTTCGAGTCAAAAACAAGTCCAAGACCATCACCAAGAGCACCAAGTCCTACTGGAAGCGGAAGATGATGCGGAGCACCAATAGGGAACTCGACCCGGAAGTAAGGCAGAACCTTTCTCTTGCCAACGAAGCGTTCGTCAGAAACGATTTCCAGGTGGCCATGAACTTGTACTTGGAGGTGATCAAGAAAGATCCTAAGAACTTCAGTGCCTACAAAACTTTGGGTGAAATATACAAGCAGGAAGGACGCTTGAATAAGTGTTGTAATTACTGGTTGCTTGCAGCCAATATCCACCCCTGGGACTCTCAGTTCTGGTCTAACGTGGCCGAATTGAGTACCGAATTGGGCCACATCGACCAAGCAATTTACTGTTACTCCAGAGCAATCAATTCCAACACCTCCAAAAGCTCTAGATATATCCTCGAAAGAGCAATCTTGTATCGTGAAAAGAAACAGTACGGAAGGGCTTTGGAAGGGTTCCAAAGAGTGCGTCAATTATATCCTACAGATTCAAACATTGTTAAGAACTTGGCAAGTGTGTATGTTGAACAAAAGAGAATCAATGATGCAATCAACTTATACATGAAAATATTGGATTACAACATCAATCCTTCGAACACTAACCAAGCTGGTACCCCTCAACAGAAACAGCCTAAGTTCGGGTGGGCAGAGTTGAACATCTTACTTGAATTGTACATACAACAACACTCATGGAGAAATGGTATCAAAGTCACCAAAATTGTTGCCAGATGGATTCAAGATAGAACCGACGAAAAGTGGTGGGATGACAATGATGATGATTCAGAATTCGACCAAAAGAGAAGGTTTGAATTCATCGATAAGTTATCTGACCCTAAAACTAGAGAGGTTGCTATCAAAAAATTTTATGATCTACCTATCGATATCAGATTTAAAATTGGTACTTTGAGGCTTGGATTAGGCCATAAAGACGAGGCCATGAGGCATTTTGAATTTTTGTTGGACGAAACAGATGATATAAGTGATTTGTATTTTGAAACCGGAAAAATCTTAGAAGAGAATGGTTACTTCGAAGATGCTTTACAATTCTTGATAAAAGCAGCCCAAAATGAAGAATTCGAAGGGTCCACAGAATTAATTATCTTGCTAGGTAAATGTTTCCTTGAAACAGAAGATTATGTCCAAGCAAAGCAAGCATATGAATCATTGTTGTCCATTGATAAGGATAATTTGGATTACAAAATTTCCTTAGCAGAAGCGGAATACCATCTTGGGAATACCGAACATGCGAGAATATTATTGGTTGAGGTCGCTGCAAAAAGAGGCAAAGAGGATAGAGCCAAATCAGATAAAGGCGACGCGGAATCTGAAGGCGAAGATCATATTATGGATGGTGATCATGATGACATTTTGAACAATTCTTCCCTTATTCGAAATGAGAAACTCACAGCTAGATCTAAGAAACTTACAGACCAGGAGAGATTTGAATTCGAAAATAATGCAAAAAAGAAAGTACTTGAGAAGTACAGAAGTATGAAGAGGCTAGAAGAATCCATTAATAGTGAAGCAGACGAAAAGATTGCGATAAAGACTTGGATTCAATTGGCATATCAACTTTTGGAAATTTTCATTGGAGTCAAAAGCTTTTTTCCCAGAGACAAGAATAGACAGTTCAAAGGTATTATTCTTTACAGAAGGAAACAAGATTTGGGTATAGATGAAAAGTTAGCGAGAGTTTACAATCTTTACGCAGGAATTGGTAATGATGGAAATGAAAATTACTCTCGTCAATTCTTAACATCCAAAGTTGAGTACAGAGGTATTTCATACGATGAATGGTTTAAGATATTTACGCAATATGCTATTCTAGTCTTGAACTATGATCATGATTATGAAAATGCTAATCAAATGATTGAAATATCAATGAATGTTAGTGTATTCATTCAAGACAAGGTTAAAGAATCAATGTTGAGACTTGTCAAGCTTATTATTGGGTTAAAAAAGAATGACATGAATATTATCACTACATTCATACGTTACTTTTTAATTACCAACCAATTTTCTCCTTTCATCTATAAATTTTTCATGTGTTGCTTCTCGTCAGGAATGGTTTCGTGGGAGCATTTCACAAATTACAACCACCAGAAGTTCTTTTTAAGACAACTTAAAGCGTTCGACTCGATTATAACTGGGAAAAAGATCGTTGGTATGGCTACAATCACTTCTGATGTCAAGGATATTTCGTTTAAGAATGATCATATTGATTTACTTTATGTCTATGCGAACCTTTTGGGAGGAAGTAGAAGTTATATTTCATCTATCGTCTATTTAAATCGTGCCTACAAGGAATATAATCAGGACCCAATGGTTTGTCTTATGTTGGGATTGGCTCATGTGCACAGGTCAATGCAGAGGCTTTCTACAAATAGACATTTGCAGTTACTTCAGGGTGTTAGCTATCTTTTGGAATACAAGGAAGCCACCGAGAAAGAAGCTACTGATTATGAATTACAAGAAGTTCAGTACAATTTTGGAAGATTCTTTCATATGATTGGATTAACTTCACTAGCTGTTGATTTCTACGAGAAAGTGTTGGAGTTCAATGGCAAGATCGATGTTGCCTACGATTTGTCAGTTGAAGCAGCATATAACTTGGCCTTGATCTACAACATAAATGGAAATTCCTTATTGGCCAGAGACTTGACAGAAAAATATTTAACTATCTGAGGCCGTCCACTTGGTACCCACAAGTCTTGTGTATGTAATATTAATGTATAATAGTTTGTTAGAAACGTAGATCACGTGAACAAAGTCACGCGGGCATCCATCAAATGTCCTCATCAGAACAATCTCAAGCAATACTACACTACATCCGGACACCATGGTCAGATTGAAACAGAGGTACATTCTCTTTGACATATTGTACCCCCCTTCAGAGGAACCTGATAAGACTCTGACTGAAGACTTTCATAATTTCAGTAGGTCCCAAAATGACGCCTTGCTCAGTTTACACCAATCATCACCAGCATCTATAAGTCAGAAAACGCTCACAAACGCCCTACGGAAAACAATCCAAGAGGTTTATGGGGATTTTGGGTCAGGAACTGCTGCAATGCAGCTTACAGTAAAATATTTCAGTAATAAAACATCAACAGGAATAATACGATGTGGAAGACAGTCACATCGAGTGGTCGTGGCCGCATTATCTATGATCAACACGGTTGAAGGAAACAGCGTGATTATCAGATGTACGAGAGTAAGTGGTACAATCAAAAAGTGTGAACAATACTCAATTGCAAGGACCCGGGAGTTAATGAACTTGGTGGGTAAGAATGATTCCATGGATTTGGATAACCTCATGTCTTCCTTCAAGGAAACCCAAAGTGATGGGGAATCATGATAGGAAGATTAGCGCCTATTCCACTCATTATTAAGTACTGATGGCCATATTACAAATGTCACAAAAGAGGGCCCAGTATTCCCAACAAAAGCAAATTCGAATCCTATCAAGTAGCATAGTTTAAAGCACAATATCTAGATTGATCTGTGCGGTTAGACAGTGGGCTGAATTTATAGAAATAATAGATATAATAATAACGCTAAAAAAGAGATTTCGATCTGAACAATTAACCTTGCTAATCAATCGAGTATGATGAATCTAGTACTCTAGGAGTATGTATCCTTGTCTATGAATCCATTACGCTGATCATTTACTGGCTATCTGTCAACTTTTGTAGTTGTACAAGGCCTGCAAGTTAGTCGCATAAAGTATGCGATTACAAGGATCAGAACCACTCTCTCACTATATAATACAAAATGTACGAACTGGTTTAGGTCAACATGACTGATTACTCGCTTTACTTGGTGACTGACTCCACTATGATCCCGGAATCCTCGACCTTCTTGAAACAGGTCGAGGATTCTATTGAGAATGGTGCTACAATTGTACAATTGCGTGAAAAGTCCATTCTGACCCTTGATTTCATCACCAGAGCCAAGCAGGTCCACAAATTGACAAAAAGGAAAGGAATCCCCTTGATTATTAATGACAGGGTTGATGTGGCCTTGGCAATAGATGCCGAGGGCGTTCACGTTGGGCAAGATGATATGCCGGCTACCCTTGTGAGGAAGCTTATTGGGAATGACAAGATACTCGGAGTGACTTGTTCCAACCCCGAAGAAGTTGATGCAGTTTGCAAGGATGCCATTGCAGATTACGTGGGCCTTGGAACTGTGTATGCTACTGCCACCAAAAAAGATGTGAAGACTCCAGGGGGCACTGGTCCCATTGGGCTCAGACGAATGTTGCAGCGACTCTACAGTCACAATAAGAATAGTACCCGCAAAATATCTTCTGTTGCCATCGGTGGTATCAATCATTCAAACGCTGCTAAAGTCTTGTATCAATGCGCCATTCCAGGCCAGAGTCTCGATGGGGTGGCAGTAGTATCTTGTATCATGGCCAGCGTGGACGCAGGAAATGCAACCAATAGATTGGCTGAAATTATCAACGCACCTACTAATTTTGCTAAAGAGGATAGCTTTGCCCCTACAAATGCTGACCTCACCCAAAAGAAAATCTCTGTCCTTAAGAATAAGCCATTAGTTCATCACATTACCAACAACGTGGTGAAGAATTTCAGTGCTAATGTGTCACTCGCTATTGGAGCTTCACCAGCCATGTCTGAACTTCCGGAAGAGTATGAGGAATTTGCCTCGGTGCCTAAGGTGGCATTGGTAGCGAATGTCGGTACTCCAACCTCTGAATTATTGCAGGTTTTCATTAGGGCATTTCATGCTTATAACAAAGCAGGAAAGCATATTATTTACGATCCAGTGGCTGCAGGTGCAACAAAGGCTAGATTGGAAGCATCCAAGTTATTATTGAATGCTGGTCAAGTGTCAGTAATTAAGGGTAACGTGGGTGAAATTCTGGCTATATACAAGTTGACCAGCACCTACCAGGATGATTCTTCCGAGGGAGTATTGATGAGAGGGGTTGATTCAATTGCAGACGTTAAGGAAGAGCAAATTATCAAAATGGGAGAAGAGGTATCGATCGATTTTAAGACAATTGTCGTGATTACTGGTGCCGTCAACTATGTCATAGAAGGCAGAAACCACCGTAAAATTCCGGGAGGGCATGAATTGATGGGTTCCATCACTGGAACTGGATGCTCGTTGGGTAGTGTTATTGCAGCATTCGCTGCCTCAAAGGAATCCCAGTTTAACTTGTTTGAGGCTGTATTCGGTGCAGTTGAGCTCTATAACATTTGCGGGAAATTAGCAGGGGAAAATTCGAGAACTCCGGGGACTTTCATGATCAATTTTATCGACAAGCTCTACGAGTTTACCCATTAATATGTCACTGAGATGTCCTCCTGACATTACATTCTGCGAATACTAGTAAATATACGTTATTGCTTTATAGAATGGGGTGCATTAAAAGCACGTACTGGTAAATTCATAGAACAAAGTCCAAATACTCTACCAAATTGCAATAATTTCCACATCCTAGAGCTAAGTTGCAGCCGTGGCACGTGCATTTGCTGGGGTTAACTTGCAATCATCGCGCGCAGGGAAACATGTACAATATATCACAAGTGGGGGTAATCTAAGAACTAGAACCCCACTCTTACATGACTAGGTTGTTATGCAATGGTTCGTCCCGCAAACACCTCTAAAGAAAGCAGGAGAAAGAAGAATCCTCCACAACCAGAAAAACCCTCCCCCGTATCAAGTATTTCCAGAATAGGATCCTTGAAGCGATATCCGGATAAAGACTATGCTAATTCACTATTACATCAAGTGGCCAAGCTCGTGGCTCCCATAATTCATGAGAACAACTTCAAGGTGGGAAACCTTTGCGAGATGTTTCCGAAGAACCCGAACCTTCTTGGCTTGAATGTGAACCGAGGGCAGAAGATATTGATACGGCTCAGATACCATTCCAACGACCGACTGTTTTACCCCCTTGGTGATATCATTGGCACATTCCTACACGAGCTCACCCATAACTTATATGGAGCACACGATGAGAAGTTCTACAAGTTTTTGGACGGGTTGAAGACGCGGTTTGAGGAGATTCAAAGTGGTCAGACAACAACATCTGGATATAGATGCGAAGAAGAGAAGTTGGGAAGTGGATATAACCCTTCTGGCGGATATGTCTCGGTGAAGGAGAAAAGAATAAAGGAGTTGAGTAAGTTGAAGTACAAAGCAGAGGTTAGAAAGTTAGGCGGAGATGGTAGAATCAGCAAGACTACGGACCCCAGAAAACTTCGCGAGGCGATGCTCCAGGCAGCTGAAAGAAGACTAAAGGATAACAAATGGTGCCATAGTAATAGCGAAGTTACTGAGGCAGAGCCATCTCGGGAAGAGCTTGATATAGAAGAAGTTGAAGTTACAGCAGGTCCTGGCAATCAACTGGCACAACTGAAAGATGTGAAAGATCCAGGAAAACAAAGCTCGCCATCAAAATTTCAAGAATTCAAGGAAGTCATAGATTTAACCAATGAGGAAATGGGTGCACCCTTTCAACCCGACCATGAAGTTATTGTAATTGATGCTTGTGAAGATGAGAAGCCCTTGGATTTGCCCAAATCAATTATGAGACAAGGTGCAAATTTGAGGGACGCCAGACGAGTACAATTCTCAGGATTACTCCCATCATTTGATGCTGATCAAATATCGACCGGACCCACCGGATTGGATGATGAAAAGATAGTACATCCCGAGGATTCTGAAGATGAAGGGATTATAAAGTATACGTCTTCCTCATCACCCAGGTCCTATTTTGGAAATGACAACCTATACCCGAGGCGCAAATTAGTGGCAGATTTGAATTTTGATCAGATAATTAGAAAGAGCAAGAAGGTTCAGATAGAAGAATTCACGATTCAAACACAAAGCACACTCAAGAAACCCTCTAAGAAATCCACCACCAAAAGCACAACTGAAAAAGTGAAGACGGCTAAGAAAGAGAGAGCAGAGAAGATTCCCAAGAGAAAAAAGACGAAAGTCAAGCCTTCCCAACGAAACACGGAAACCCAAAAAGTAACTCGTATCAAGAAGACTGTTAGATCAATAAGCTTTGAAGACTTGTTATAGCCGCTTTTTCTGGATGACTCAGAAGAGTCAACAGGCAACTTGCCCACTCTTGTCCTATGGTGTCGCTGGAAAGATAACAATATGACAATTTGCCCTTATACAATTTCTAGCATGCATTATTACCATTTATATATGTACTAAATACCTCTCTTGAGAATATAAGCACCCACATTCAGTGGTGCCAATGTACTTCGCCCCATACCAAGACCCGAACTTTCGCTCACGTGACTGGACACACATATCCTGACAATGATGTCTTCGTACACGTCAATCCTATCAGCTCCATGTTTTTCTCGTGGTTGTTGCTACCTTGGCTCTTTGCCAATGTGGCACTAGGAAATGGTCAAACCCCAAATGAATTGTCTGTTGAGTTGCACTCACAATGGGGGCCTGCCAGTTTCGAACTCAACTTACTTGAAAGTATCACTGAATATGATCCAGACCTTTACATACCAACCATCCTTGAACTATTAGGATTGAATGATGAAGGAGACGAAGAGCCACTTCTGCCAGAAAGCACTAATTCAGAAAAGTACAATCATATCATGTCATCAAAATTGTTGAGCCTTGGTACCAAAACCAAAGCATTCATCAACTACAATTTCGTCAATAAGATAAATTATCCTCGCGTGCAAGCTCATCACGACTTCTACAAGTCAATTGTTCAGCCTGAATTTGGTGAACGGATTGTTAAGGAATGTTCGGTGGATTCCTTTGGCAATAAAGTGAAAAGAGGACCAAATCAACCATGGGTCTTGTACAATAACAAGTTGTACTGCTCTTCAGATGATTTGTATGCATTGCAGACCGATAAGGCTACTAAGTTCAAACCTCGGCCATTTGATAGAGTGATTGGTGATAATTACAAGGCCCCCCTTCTAATTCTCTACGGCGACATAAACGCACCTTCCTTTGCCGATATGTTCAGTAATTTATACGAAAGTGCAAAGACAGGAAAGATCAGATTTATTTGGAGGTATACACCTAGCACAAATAGCAAAAAGAGTGTCGACACTTTGAGTGGTTTTGGTGTAGATGTTTCATTGAAAAGAAATGACTACGTAGTCATTGATGACAGGGATATCAAGAATAAAAAGGGCACACAAAAAGGAAAACCATCAAAACCTTTGAATATTAATAAGGATTTGTGGAAGATTTTACAAACTTCGGAGTTAAAACCTGTCTCAAAGCAGAATTTCAATGAATTATCCTCTAAATTAACTTCGTTGGTCTTGCTGAAGCAATACAATAATATAACTGAGTACGACTTATTGAACTTGATACTTTCTGAATTTCCTAAACTAGCTTCCTACATAGGTGAAGCAACCAATTTGAGACATTTGAAGGATATTGAGGACCAATTTGTGAGGAATCGAAATGCCGGTTTGTCGGATGATTCTTACGGTCTTTATATTAATGGAGCGCCTCTTCACAGCTTGGAACTCGACTCGTTAAATTTGATGGAAAAGATAGAGGATGAACTTAGCATCATTCACGATCTCAAATCCCTCGGATTAACTCCACGTCAGGCTAAATTTTTAATCAAGAAATTTGCCCTTTTGTCGGCTGTAAAACAGACCCAATTCAGAAACGGTAATACCGTTATGGGTCATAATGAGAATCGATTCAGAGTGTATGAAAATGTCTTTACTGCTGGTGGATTCAAGAGAAAGAGAGGTGTTGTTTTTCTCAATGACATCGAAAAGGATAATACTTATGAGGAATACTCCAAAGATAGAAAAGAGGTTTACCTTGGGCCAGTAGCACAGAGGTTAAAACCAAACCAACTTCCTCCGTTGAAAGAGAATGTTCATGATCTCATTTTTGCTTTGAATTTCAATAACAAAGAACAATTAAAAGTTCTTTTCACCTTATCGAAGATGATCTTAGATAGTGGAATACCTCAGCAGGTAGGAATTATTGCTATTGATGGAGGCAATGAATTGGACCGTGTTTTGGCCGAGAAGTTTTACTTTATCGCAGATACATCTAACTCACAGGAGGCACTTGCATTCTTATATAAGTATCTTGAATCTAAGGATTCACTGGAACTTTCCGACCTATTGGAAACAATTCGTGTTCCGGAGGACTATGGCTTCGATCATGCTATCTACCAGAATACCCTTGAAAAGTTTTCAATTGTCAACCCCTCAATCATTTTCAATGGTGTGATTTACGAATTGACGTCTCCAAATTGGCAAATTGCCATGGGAAAACAGCTTTCGCAGGATATTGTATTATTGAAGCAGCATATTAGCAGTGGGAAAGCTGATGGTAAATCTTTGAAGAGTATTCTTTATCAAGGATCCAAATCTACCAGAAATTTGAGAATCATTCCAGCTGACCCAGCAGATGTGATGTACAAATTTGTTGATTCTCAATTAATTGATGCATCCGTTGCTCTTAAGCCCCATAGACATGACCGGAAAGGCGGTGTTTCGGGGACATTCTGGCTTATTGGTGATTTTAACAAGCAGATAATGATCGATCAGCTTAAAAGCATCTTGTCGGTTATGAAATGGTCAAAGGAAACGTTGCAAGTGAGAATTTTGAATACTGGACATACTGTTAAAGAAATTGAAAAATTAGCAAAACAAGTGAACTTGCACGAACTTACTGGCAATGACATTGATTGGATCCTTACTAAGCTTAATACTATTCAAAATGCTGATGCCAAATTAGAGCTCAATTTGACGATTGCAAAATTGTTGGAGACAAAGAAGTTGCCGGTGCATCATGAGTTTTTGTTATTCAACTCTAGGTATTTTAGACTTGACAGAATATTAGCTGAGACAGACTTGGAGCTTTTGGTTGAATACGAATATAATCAGCGGTTCCTGATCTTCAATGACCTTATTAATGCCTATCCTGAAGAGTTTAATTACAAGGTTCTAGATGAGCTTAATCCGCTTCTTCACGATAATTTGGATTGGTTCGATTTATTGGCATCCGTCGTAACTAGATCATTCTATGACGATAAATTCTATGTGAATGATGTCGGAAGATTTGATTTCAGCACAATCAACATGGAGTACTCGTTGAACATCACAAATCAAGACTCTAAGATGTTGGAACCTGAGCTTGAATTCTTATTAATTATCGATCCCCTTGACGATTATTCTCAAAAAGTGGTCTCTATCATCAATTCTGTTAAAGACTTTCCTTTTGTGAGCACCAGAATCTTGCTTCAACCAAGAGAGGACGAAAATGAATCCGTAAGAATAAAGAGGTTCTACAAGGGTGTGTACCCTCGTGCTATTCCAGAGTTTGATGATAAAGGCAAATGGATTTCAGAAAATACGGCACAATTTTTCAACTTACCTACATCTGAGATTTTTACTGTCGAATTAGATACCCCGCAAAAATGGATTACGGTAACCAAGGACAGTCCAGAGGGAGTGGATTTGGATAATATCAAGTTTGACAATCTTGACGAAAGTTTGATTCATGGAGTTTATGAATTGAAGAATATCTTGATCGAAGGATATGCTAGAGATGTCAAAACCGCGGCGCCATCCACTGGTGTGGCGTTGGAAATTTCTCAAGGTGATGCAGTTGCGGACACTCAGGTGATGTCTAGCATGGGTTACTTTCAGTTGCCCAGTGGTCCAGGAACTTGGAGATTCAGAATCAAGAATGGGGGTGTCGGAGATCAATTTGAGTTGCTCTCTGCCACCGAGAGTAAGTTCGTAATGAACAATGTTGGATTAGAGAGTGTCAATATATCGGTGTTTGACCTTAAGGGGAAGACGATTTACCCCAGATTGCAAAAGACGGAAAAGAAAGTCAACCGCGAAAGTACCAACAATAAGAAGCACGCCGATATTAATATTTTCACCATAGCCAGTGGACATCTCTACGAGAGATTCCTCTCCATCATGACCGCGTCGGTGAGAAAACACACCGACCACCTGGTGAAGTTTTGGATTATTGAAAACTTCATCTCCGCCAATTTGAAGCAGCTGTTGCCACACTTGGCCGAAAAGTACCAATTTGAGTATGAGCTTATCACCTACAAATGGCCCTCGTTCTTGAGGGCTCAGCGAGAAAAGCAGAGGACCATATGGGGGTACAAGATGCTCTTTTTGGACGTGTTGTTTCCCCAGGACTTGGATAAAGTGATCTTTGTGGACGCTGATCAGATCGTGCGTACCGACATGATGGAATTGGTCACAATGGACTTGGAGGGGGCGCCGTACGGGTTCACCCCCATGTGTGACTCCCGCGACGAGATGGATGGGTTCCGGTTCTGGAAGCAGGGCTACTGGTCAGAGGTGTTGGGCAGCGATCTCAAGTATCACATCAGTGCATTGTACGTGGTGGATTTGCGCAGGTTCCGCGAGATCAATGCGGGCGATCTGCTCCGGTCCCACTACCAGAAGTTGTCGCTCGACCCCAACTCGTTGGCCAACTTGGACCAGGACTTGCCCAACAATCTCCAGCGAAAAATTCCCATCTTCAGTCTCCCGCAGGACTGGCTATGGTGTGAGACCTGGTGCTCCGATGCCACCATGGCCACTGCTAAGACCATAGACTTGTGCAACAACCCATTGACCAAAGAAAACAAGTTGGAGAGAGCGCGACGCTTGATTCCCGAGTGGGAGGCCTACGATGCCGAAATCGCCCAGGTGCTCGCCTACAAGGCCCAGCTTGACCATGACCAGGCCCAGCTCGACCAGGACCTGATCGACTACATTTCGGAGGACGAGACTGAGCCTGCACACGATACGTGGGATGAGGATCCATTTGAGCACGACGAGTTGTGATCCGAATATATAGTAGAAAGCTTCGTTGCCCGTTCCCTAGAGTACGACATATGTAGTGAGGCGCCAAGATGCCCCGCCAGCCTCAGTGGAGTAGCCCAGTGGAGTAACCCGGCTTAGTAGCCCGGCCCCAGCGTTGTCAGGTGTCTGGCGGTCGGAGGTTGCGCACTAACGCATGCGGTAACGGCCGCTGGGGCGGCTCAGCTTAATTGTCGGGCCCGCTGACACCAAGACACGTGAGCTGAGACAACCTGGTGCCAGAGCCAGAGCCCGATGGCCCCTATATGGAAGAACCAGGCGTGGCAACGGACGCCAACAAGGCCATTCAGCGCCAGCTAGCACCCACGTCCCCACTTCCCTCGCTTGCCACCTAGCGGTCGCTGGCCACTGTCGCGCTCCTCGCTTCTGGCTGGTGTTCAACCCTGTGCTTCTCCGCATGACTCACATGCTAGAGCGATACCGGATCACCACGTTGGGATTTTTTGGGCGCCAGGTGCGCATAGTGACGGATAAGATACCGGGGTTTAAATATCGTCAATTGTCCTGATCTGAAAACCTCCACCAAGATGCGAATTTCCCAAAAGTTGGCCCAGGCCCACTCCTCGCCCAACCCTCCTCCGGCAACCTTCTCGTTCGAGTTCTTTGTCCCCAAAACATCGCAGGGTGTGCAAAACCTCTACGATCGTATGGACAGAATGTACGACCTCAACCCCATCTTCATCGATATCACCTGGAACGCCGGAGGCAGGTCGTCCAGCTTGACCAACGACATGGTCTACACCGCCCAGTCCACCTTGGGTTTGGAGACCTGTATGCACTTGACCTGCACCAACATGAAGGTCGAGCTCATCGACGAAGCCTTGCAGAAAGCCTACGCTTCCGGGTGCGAGAACATCTTGGCCTTGAGAGGCGACCCACCATTGGACGGTAGCGAGTCCACCGGTGACTTCAAGTACGCCAAAGACTTGATCGCCTACATCCGTAAGAACTACGGCGACCACTTCAACATCGGCGTGGCAGCCTATCCCGAGGGCCACCCTGAAGAGGACCTGGACGACTTGATCTTGGAGTACTTGAAGGAAAAGTGCGATGTCGGTGCTGATTTCATCATTACCCAAATGTTCTATGACGCCGACAACTTCATCCTGTGGTGCGACAGGCTCAGAAAGATCGGAATCACCATCCCCATCATTCCCGGGATCATGCCTATTTCCACCTATGCTGCGTTCATGAGAAGAGCCAAGTGGTCGGAAATTGCCATTCCCCAGCACTTCTTGGATGCGTTGGAACCCATCAAAGATGACGATTTTGCCGTCAGACAAAAGGGTACCGAGTTGGTAAGTGAAATGTGCCAGAAGTTGATCGATTCGGGCCACATCAAGCACTTGCACTTCTACACCATGAACTTGGAAAGATCCACCATCATGGTCTTGGAAAGATTGAATTTGATCGAGCCTGCCAAATCGCATGAAATCGTTGGCGGCGCCGAATTGCCTTGGAGAAAGTCACTCCATCCTTCCAGATCAAAGGAATCTATAAGACCTATTTTCTGGCAAAACAGAAAGTTTTCTTACATCACCAGAACCGCCACTTGGGATGAATTTCCAAACGGTAGATGGGGTGATTCCAGATCACCTGCTTTCGGAGATATTGATTTGTGTGCCACTGAATTGTTGAGACAATCACCTAAGAAGGCTTACGACTTGTGGGGTTCTCCCAAATCTTTACAAGACTTCTCCAAGATCATCATTCTGTACTTGCAAGGAGACTTGAAATCATTGCCTTGGTCAGATGGTCCCATTGGCGACGACTCTGCTGCGATTATCGATAACTTGATTTCGTTAAACAAAAAAGGTTTCTTCACCATGAACTCCCAGCCATCTTTGAATGCGGTTGAATCTTCTAACAAGATCTACGGTTGGGGTCCTAAGAATGGATATGTGTACCAAAAGCAATACCTCGAATTCTTGTGTCATAAAGACACTCTTGCCAAGTTGTTGGACCAAATTGATACCTTCAACAACCTGAAAGGAGATAACACTTCTTCAGTCATCAGTTATTATGCCGTTGACAAGCTTGGGAGCTTAACAACCAACTGCGAGGAAGATGAAATTAATGCCGTTACTTGGGGTGTTTTCCCCGGTGAAGAGATCTTGCAACCCACCATAGTTGAAAGAACTTCATTCTTGGCTTGGAAGGACGAAGTTTACCGTTTATTCACCGAATGGGTAAAGATTTTCCAAAGTAACATTCTTGAAATTGAAAAATCTGAAGCTGATGAGTTTGTAAACTTCATTACCAAGTTTAGTGATGACTTTGTTTTGTGTAACTTGGTCAGCAACAATTTTATCGATGAGAATCAAACAATCTTCAAATTGATTGATGCGTTAGAGACCCCTGACTTATAGGCGTCTCTCACTGGTCCTTTATTGATTTGCATTTTTAATGGCTTTCTTGGCTATTTACGAATCTTGTTCACTTGAATTTTTGTTCCCTTTCTTGCCTCACAAAAATACCTAAATTTTCTAATTCACTTAAGCAGGATATTTAATTAGAGTACTCAACATACTCTGAGAGTTCAGAATTGCTTCAACACTTATTTTGCAACTCCAATGTTCATCCTATAATACGCAACCTGACGCAATGACAATTATGGTCGCGGTTATTATGCTTGCATTTAAAAAAAGTACTAAGGTGATGTTTCATCTTCTGGTTTTCTTCAATTCATTTCAACAATAGTTATTGTTCATTTTAAAGTCCACATTCAGGCTAAAAGTCTCCTGTGTATAGTGACATCCTCAACGGTATGGTTATAAAGTATAAAGTAATTTTATCTATCAACGTGTAGCCATCTGTATGTTCAATACAGAGTCCTTGGTATTATGGTGGTACATAACCATATTCAACCTAACATTCATTGGCATCCCTTCAAGAACTAAAATTGTTAAAATAGTAGTAATATTTTCTAAGCATTCTTTGGTTGCAAAATTTCTCTCAATGTTGGGAATCAAAAGAAACAATTACAGTAGAACGCATTAAAGTTGGCATTTGAGATATTGAGAATCCATTATCACCAAAATTACATTTCTTGAAGAATTAATACTTTGAACCGTACTTAAGCCCAAGGCATTATTATATGTATAAAAATACATCCAAAAATGGCTGCGAAAATGAACTGAAGCTTTGCTACCAGGGCAAATGAAATACAACCAGCTGGTTGAGAGAAAATACGTTATCACAGCAACAACGTCACATATTATGAAACCTTTGAAGCTGTGACAATGCAAATAGTGATGGAAAAGCAAATTTCCATTCTCGAAATGTAGGAATCTGTCTGAGGACAAATTCAAGAAATGCTAAAATTAGAATAAGGAAAAGAGGACTGCAAAGATAAATCCAGCAATACCGGAGGTATTCAATTTGTTAACAACACCTGCGCCAGTTGAAGAGACAACGGCGATAGTTGGAACAGCGGCTATTTGTGAGATTGATGAAGTAATGAAAGTGGAGGCTTCAGCAACACTTGACCCAACAGTAGTAGAGGATATGGTGACAGTAGAAGTGACATTAATATCTGTGGTAGAGTCCACAGTAGATTGAGGAGTAGAAGTGGAAGTAGCAGCGGAGGTAGATGCATTTGGTACTGCTGATGAGGTAGGAACTGGTGCTGGTGCTGGTGCTGGTGTCACAGATGAGGATGTAACTGGAACTGGAACTGGGGATGTTGAGCTCTTGGCTGGGGTGGAAGAGGTGACAGCTGGAGCAACAGAAGAGGAGGAAGCAACTGGAACAACAGAAGAGGAAGTCTTAGCTGGTGCAAGGGAAGATGGGGTACTCTCTGAAACAGATGTGTGCTTTTCTGTGCTCAAGGGACAGTAGGTTGTGTATACAGTGTTCAAGACAGTATCAGTGACGACAGTGACACCAGTAGTTTGAGGAACAGCAGTGCACTTATTGTCGGCACAGGAGGTGATAGTTACCACAGTGGTTCCAATAGTAGCCGTGACTGTTTTTGTTTCAGTTGATGAAGCGATGGTGGTCTTTGAATTGGCAACAGAAGAAAAACCAGCAGCAACAGAAGTAGATGGGGCAACCTTGCTAGAGACTGTGGAAGTGGAGGCAGCATCCTTGCTAGAGACTGTGGAAGTGGAGGCAGCATCCACAGAACTAGAAGCACCAGAAGTTGAAGCAGCATCAACAGAGCTAGAAGCACCAGAAGGAGATGCAAGAGGCACAGAGGAAGATGAAGGGATTGAGCTTCTTGTCGCTTCTGTGGACGATGATCCAGTAGAACTTGAGGTAGAGGTAACTCTTGAGGAAGTGACTTTAGATGATGCTGCAGCAGAACTAGAAGCTATAGCAATAGAGGAAGATGACACCGCCCTGGAAGATGGTGTAACAGAGCTGGAAGCAACAATAGATGATGGGGCAGAGCTGGAAGCATGAGCGACTGAACTGGATGGGGCTGCTCTGGAAGAGGTGGAGCTGGAAGAAGCAGTAGATGATGTGGAAGTGCTGGAAGCATGAGCCACCGAACTGGATGGAACAGTACTGGTATTTGCGACTGAACTGGATGGAACAGTTCTGGTATTAGCGACTGAACTGGGTGGGGCAGAGCTGGACGAATCAACGTTAGATGAGAGCGCAGAGCTGGAAGTATGAGCGACTGGACTCGATGAAACAGTACTCAAAGTATGGACGACTGAGCTGGATGGACCAATACTTGAAGTATGAGCGACTGAGCTGGATGAAGCAGAGCTCAAATTATTAACTGAACTAGATGGAATAGTTCTCGAAGCAGAAGATACACCGGATACAACCGCACTAGATGCACTAGAAGATGCAATAGTTGTGCTGGCCGACGTCAATGGACAGAAAGTAGTCACCACCGTGGTGGTGTCCTTCTCGGTGACTGTAATGACTGTGACACCTGTAGGAACCACCGAAGTGGCACAGGACTTGTCACCGCAGTTGGTGACAGTCACAAACGTTGTGGTCTGGTCGGTAACGGTAGTGTATGAAGCAGAAGGGCCACTGGTAGGAGAAGGAGATGGAGATGGAGCAGGCGCGGGAGCGGGTCTGTCTTCACCAAGATGGATCCCTAGCCCTAGGCCAAGGCCAAGGTCGATTCCGAAGCTGGCGCGGGCGATGGAAACTAAGGTAGCGAATGTAAGGGCTCTTTCCAACTTCATGTTAGGCTGTTGTCTGATGGTAGGAATGTGGACGGCCCCGACGCCCTATATATAGTGTTTGGAGATGGTTAGGATGGAGGAGGTCGTAGTCTGGCCATCGTTTAGTTGAAACATGTTGCAAAAATATCAGTTCACGTTTAGACGAGGTTGCATAATTCCCCTAATCTAGGATATTTTAGGGCCCTCGCGCAAACCTGAAGCATTGTTGAGGCACGCTGCAGGAGGAGGGTGTCCCTCTAATGGATGCACTCCACTAGAGTGAGATGGTGGCACCACAGCCGTTAGCCAGATCGTTTGCCAGGGCTGCTTTTCCGAGGCGTTGGGATACTGGGCTGATGCTATGGGTGGTCCACACCACTGTCGATCGAACTCCCAGGAATATGCCACGGCACATACCCCAATCCAACTGAAAGATTGTCAAACATTCTGAAGTCTTGAAGGTGCGCATAGGCCGCAGGCAACTGCAGCCGGCTACAGGGCCCAATGAACCATCGACGCGCTCGTCAACTGGTTTTGGTTAAATCTTACTGGCATTTTGTAATTAGCCTAACAATGGCCGCAATGTGCGTCACCTAACCAACCTATTATTTGCGCACACCACTAATAGCCAAGCGTCTCGATGATCACAAACAATAAGGAGTTACGACTGGCTCGTCGCTGCTCGTGTATACATTCCTGGTGTGGGGACCCGTTTTAGATCCGTTCATGTCTCACAGTGGCATTGTTCCTCGAGCTCCAACATCCTGACAAAGTGGCAATTTACCCGTATTGGTGGGGCCTGACTATTGTAGTTCACGCGGACATAGAGTTTACACCACTGTGGGAATACATTAAATCGATGTAGTATTATACTATTGTGGATCAATTGTCAGTCAGACTAAATCCAACTAGAGCTACTCCTCTTTGTGGAGCCTGGTTGTTATTTACGACTATTTGTACTATAAGATCAATCAAATCAGTACCCTTGCAAACCCTCACGGCACAATCTCTACCGAAGAATATTCACCATCCTAGATTAACCCGAGTTGCACCGTGCCTATTTGGTCAGTCAGCGGTCCCCCGTTTCCATCTTGGCACTTCAAGTAATTTTGGCTCGAGTTGGGAATGGATGTTCTTCCCTGTTGATCGGTGTCGCTTATTCCAAGGTCCCCACCCTCCAAACCTCGAGGCCCATAATCTTGAATTTGCCCACCTTGGCACCAGGATCCGTTTCGCTCAATACCTCGTTGCCGAAGGTGTCACATACGCAGCTCACCCCCAGATACAACGATTGGTCGATCCACAACCCATTGTGTCCCCCAGAGGACCCCACCGAAATGAAGCTACTGTTGGAATAAATGATGCTAGGATTAAGTCCGGTATACGTAAAGGCTTTGAATCGAGTATCGACCTTGTCGTTTATATGCAGTGGAGTGGAATCTTCCTGGTTCTTTTCCTGTTCCTTGTTATGGTTCAATTTGCCAGGAAAGTATTTTTCCACCTTCCAGAGAAAACATTCCCCATTTCCATAGTATCTCTTTGTATCCATCACCTTGGGGTTCTCGTTCAAGAAGCACCCAAACTTGTTGCCCTTTTCATCTCTGATCACCATCACATATCCCTGGGGTCGAGAAGTACTCTTGTCCCGTGTAGAGCTTCCCACAACCATACCCTTGATGACAGAGTCGGCAAATCCCAGTTCCGCCTTCTTCTTGCGGTGCTGCTCCAACTGGTAGACGGGGTTGCAGTTGCGATAGAGTGTCTTTAGCGAAATTCCGTGCTGTTCTAACGAGTACACCAATTCCCACTCGTCGAACAATTGTAATCTCGCTGGAAGTAGGTTTCTAATGTTGTCTGCCAATTCGCTGTCTAGGAGCCTGTGCTTGGTGGAGGGTCTATAACCTGAGAGCTCCAATGGGCTCAACGGAGGCAAGGAGCTCTCTCTAAAGCTCGATACGCCAGAGCCCGTTCTGGAGGGGGATCCTGAACTCGACCGTGCAGGCGACTCGGACCTTCTTCCCATTATTCTGCCAAAGAAAGACGTTCTTCTGGCAGGAATGGCTTCCGCCTTCACCGGGTTTTCCCCCTTCTCTTCTCCCAAGGATGTCAGACTTTCGTGTTTCGATTCATACGGCGACGACATGGTTCCAGCCAATCTCTAGCTTCTATGTGTATGATCAATTGCGTTGGGTTCTGGTCCTGTGAGCTTTTGTTCCGATGACGTTCGTGTGCCGTGAATATCAGATCATTGGTCAATGGTTCCAGCAATGATCCTCTGGGGTAGTGGTGTTTTTTTTAGTGCGGAGATGGTACGGTATACAACAGACAAGTGGGATGATGGTGAAGATAAGGCGATGCCTGGTGCTAGCTGATGGGAAGATACTCTAGAAAGTGTATATCTGGAAGGTTTCTACGGATTTTAGATAGTAAAGAGTAATAAATCAACTAGATACTTTTAAGAAGACCAGGGCACTTAGTGAAGTAAACTAAGAGTGCAATCCGAAACACATTTGACACAGGGATGAAGTCAAGTAGGCAGACTGTCAATTGGCATCGAGGGAACTACTCATTTTGGAACATTCGACAATGAAATACTTCGCCAGAGCCATCCTCATTTCTTAGCGAACCTCACCAAAGACGTCAAAAGTTCCACTCCAATCTTGCAACTGTCCACAAAAAGAACTCCAGGAAAACTGGCCGCCAACTTTTCATCCAAGCCAGCCATGCCAGCACAGCCCAACAACACGCAGTTGATGGCGTCGTCCTTATACAACTGCAACACCTCGTTGACTCTGGTTTCGATTTTTGCATATTCACTGGGGTCACTGAGACTCAACACACTGATGTCTAGAGCCTGAGTTCTTTGGAACTTGCCGAAAGGAAACACATCGGTTGGGTTTCCCACGAAGTCAGTGATTCCACGGTCTAGCAATTGCTCCCATTCGTTGAAGCTGGTCAATACAAACAGCTTCGTCACTGATGGGTTCAGCAAACTGTAAAGGAGTGTCGCCTGCATAATTCCCAAGATGGGTTTGTGAGTGTGCTTTCCCAAGGAGTGGATCAAGGGATGGTCGGAATAGCATCCAATCAAGAACCCATCATACTTGCTGAGAACGTCCTTGGATAGCAAGTCGGGCAATACCACTTGCTCGGAGAGAATGGAGGTTTCGTGCCCGCTTATCTCTTTGGGGGCATCTGCTGGCGCGGTGTAGAAATGAAACTTGACGTTGGGAGGTGCAACCAATATCTTGGCTAGGTTGGCACTAACCGACTCCGAGGAGTTGGGGTTGACTATGAGGATGTTGAGGTCAGAGGAAGACATCTTGTGGTGCTATTCTTCTCAGATCCACCGATAAGAACAGTGCGCAATCGCCTGCGCTACCTGCTCGGAAATCGCCGAACCTGGAGAGCATCCCAACTATGACTAAGTAACTAACATCCTTAAGAGCGTGTAGCAGGGCGAAAGGAAGTTGGCCATCGCAGAATACCTCGGAAGCTGGTATAAAAGGTGAAGACAAAGCTCAAATTCCCAAACTGGTGCCCCTGTCACTCCTGGTGTGCTATCCATTTACTACACTCTGGATCAAGGCTCAGCTTATGTAAGCACATCTATCGCGTGAGATGCAAATACGTCAGACCAATATCGGACTCTGACCTACAAAGCGTGTTCAGCCCCACATACACGAGCTGGAAGCACGTTTACAAGATCCCCATGTCTCGATAACCCGAGCTTTTTTCACTCCAGTCACCATGTCATTCGTAGCAGTTATCGATTCCACCAAGAACAAGCAGATCTGGTCTAAGGCAATCCACTCATTAGCATCCATTTCCGATCACATCAAGTTCGTGGTATCCACTGAAGAACTCACTTTGTCGTCCGTCAATAGTGCCCGTACCTCTCATGCCGAGATCAGATTCAAGAAGCGATTTTTCCACGAGTTCTCAGTTGATTTTACCAACATCATCAACGAAGGATATGAGGAACACGAAGACGGGTCAAATAGTTACTCATTTCTTATCAATTCGAAACATTTAGCAACCTTATTCCGAAACCTAGACGCCAATGACTTAGACTACATCTGTTTTCGGATCCATTGGGCCCATGACTCCAATTCAGCCATGAAATACAAACTCTTAATTGAAATCAAGACGCGTAAATTGATCATCAAGAAGTACCTGGCGGGCTATCAGCCCTTGTTCAGGAAGAAGGTCATCATTGCTGACATTTACAAGGACCAATTGCAGAAAAACGATGATTCCATTGACGAAAATAGAATCAACTATATAATGATCGAACAAATGGTACCCAAACAATTCCTTGACATGATTCCTTCAAGCACAGAAGATTTCAAAATTGAAATCAAGAACGACAAAATCCTGTTTAGCGGATATACCAAACAAGTTCTCAAAGATAGAGAGTACTTGAAACAGCCGATGTCATTAACCATCACTCTCAACTTGGATGAGCTTCTCAATAGCAACTTGATGATGGCGAGAGACAAAGATCCTCTCAAAAAATGTATCAACTTCAGGTTGAAGGAATTCAAGAACTTCATGAACCTCATCAGCACTTTAAACATGTCTAATTCAAACAACGAAATAGGTGAGGGGTATGTCAATTTAAATGAAAGTGAACCCAATGGGGATTGTTTTGCTATCTACTTCCGAAATCCCGGTGATCCTGTCTTGTTCGAGCTTCAGAATCATTCTATGGACATTCATTTCATTCAAATAACTACCGATGATACTAGTAATATGATGGCGAATTCGACCAATTTGACTTCAAAAGATTTGAAAAAGAACTCTGAGTTGCAGTTGCAACCATACGTTATACATAAAGTTGAAAAGCAAGAGTCGCCTGTTCGTCCAACTAAATCATCATCTGAACCTAAGCCAACAATACGTCAACCAATACCCAAAATTAAAAGAAGTCATACGGATAAGTTGGTCAAGAGAAAAGCTAAGTACTCTACACCTGAGCCTCTTAGTCAGCTCATTCCATCTTCTGCAGAAACTGAAAGTATGGTAACATATACCAGGGAAAGCAATGCAAACACGTCTTCTAGCAGCAAGCGCCACAAAACCTCCAGAAGTAACGACGATAATACCGATTACTCTGATACTGAAGAAGAATACATGGCACTGGAGGATCAAATGGGAGATTTAGAATTTGGTCCTACTCAATTGAATAATAAGCCCAAATCGATATTCGATGATCTATAATTTTGCATCTATTCATTTCTTATTTCCATCATCTAGATTATAACTATTGCCAAATTTGTCTTGGAGCTCTCCATAGCTAATCCATTGACTAAAAGGACGATCGGAATCTTTATAGTCCTCCGTAGGCAACCTGAAAGGTAATCTTAGAGGCAAAACATTGGGTTCATCAGTCGAGTCGGTAGCATATACTGGCTTCATTACTTGATCTTTCCTGGGAAACACAAGCACTCCAAGTTCATAACTTGATACAGTATACCTAGTTGGATCACTTAGATTAGTTCCGTTGTTTATTCCCCACGCTTGCTTGGATAAATTGTGGCTTCCCATCAAGGCCCATCTTATAGTTTCCCAATCATTACCGTTATCACAAATCAACATTTTAACGTGGGGAGGTACAGTCTCACGGCCCGTAACTAAATCACCACCTGAATTACTCCATCGCTTCAAGTAAGGTTTAATGTTCTGCTCATACTGATTCCTGTGGGCTGCAGATTTTGTGTAGTTGAAGTGAAGAGCTTGACCCGAAGCCCATCCAACATTACTTGCTGCGACCTCTTCCACTGTGGGATATATAATGTGCGGTTTGTAGTTATGAGCTTCTTGGTGCTTTGTGCAAGATCTGGTGCCTGGTTCTAAGATGCTAAATACTTGTGCTGACGGCGCAAAAGCCAAAGGGCACAATATATGAGTAAATACTGAGCTTGTCTCTCCTTTGCGTATTTTGAAAGGGTATGGAATCGACGAAACTTGGGATAGAATGTTGTGATGTTTGTTGGCAGTTTTTTCAACTTTTAGATTATTTCGATTCAAGATTTGTGAGAGCTTTCCATATCCATAAATTTCGGAACATTTATCATTAGTAATTTCATTGCTTCCGGGAACTGACGCTACAAGTTCAACTTCAACTGGCAGAAAGTCATACTCCCCCAATTCCATAGCTAGACTCCGCAATTCCTTTTTACCGTACTTCCTCAAATATCTCTGCAAATCCTTTTTGAACCATAAACCTACTTCTGGCTCAATTGTCGATGCTGAAAGTTTCTTGAGTCTTCCTGACCTCCATAGCATCTGGGTGAGACCTGCGAAATCAATCTTTGTCAAATTGAACGTCATTATCACCACTTCACAAGTATTGTCTTCGAAAAAGTTGATCATCATTTTTGTATGATGACTTGCAAAAGCATTAGGTAAAGATGCAGTAATATCTCTTATGTTGAATTTTTGTTTGATGAAGTCAATGTCTGGATTATCAGGATCAAGAACTGTAGATCCTGTGATAAATGTGATTCGCTTTCGATGAATGGAGACATCTTTGTGGAAATATTGAAGTATGAGGTCTAACTGGACCGTGAAGTTGAATTGATACGATTCCCTAAGGTCTTGAGAACCAATGAGGTCTGATATCTTTATCGTGTCCTTATTAACGTACTCTTCCAAATGGGACTCATAACTTGGATTATGTAGAAGATGGATAGTTGACTTCAATGCCAGTGTAGGTTCTGTGACTGCAGCTTTTTCATCTTCAGAATCTGACTTCACTTCAATCACTTCTCTTTCCGGGGCTGTCTGCTTCTCGTTTCTGGCCTTCTTGGTACCAGACCAATGGGTGGATGCTGCAAGAAACGCGGCTGATCTCTTGTTAGTAAGAGACATTGAGGGAACAACTTGTTGGAAGAGTCAATGGGCTGTACTATAGATGTTCCCTAGTTGGTACTCTAAGACTTGCTCTTGGTTCAAGGATATAGCTGTGGGACAGGGAGTGATGATCTTTTAGTGTGGATGAATCAAGGTCGTGTGACGCTGTAGAGGAATGGAGATAATACTGAGCTTCGTCGTTACTGCTAGAAGGGTCTGGCCCTTTTTAGTAAATTGTAACCAAAGTGAGTTGATTTGTGCTTGATTGTGAGTTTTTTTGAGGAAGTCTGTTTTTTTCTAAATTTTTGACATTTTTCAGAGAACTTTACGACCTCAGCCCGTCTCATAATTAATAATGCTGTTATGTATAGCCAAAGAAACGAACCATCGGGCTAATCATTCTTCTTAAATTGGTAAACAGAACCTTAAACTAAGCCGAGAGTTCGGAACTGCAACTACTATGATAGCAAGTTTAGGGTTTGGTAATTTGCAGCCACTGATGAATCTGAGAGAACGCCTGGATAAATTATAAGAACTAAAAGTTACCAAAAAAGTGTCAAGTAGCCAAGAACCTTCACTTGCCTAGCAACCTACAATCTGTATCATCTTCATTGTAACGCCTCGTTGTCTTGGCCGTTTCGCCCAATGCCATAGCCCCGTCTACTTCACGTGATCACTCCTATTGACACCAAGTGTGACAGGAGCGTCAGATTACTTCGACCACTACAAATGACAATTACATTCAATTACCAAAACAATGAGATAGTATCTTCCCCTACAGTTATTGTTAGTGGAAGTACATCCGCAATTGGCCAAGGGTTGGTGACTTTTACCAATAATGACAACAAAGTATTCCCACCCCAGACATTTGAGGTGAACCAGGGCCATTTCAAAGCTATTCTTCACGTCTCCCCAGGAGACCCTAACGTGTTCAACGTCGTTGTCTCTGACGGGTATCTTAATGGCTATGGATTCGCCGAGGCAAGGAGCAGAGAAGTCGACACTGGGTCCTTATCGTTGGTGTTCTACCCTTTGCCTCAGAATAAACCTATACACTTATGTGTTATTCTCGGCAGAGATTCAAATGGTTCATATGATATGCCAAAGTATAGACTAAATAGAGGCGAGAAAGCTGACTTACAATCAGCAATTTTGAAGTTGAAGGTCGCAGGAAGGTTGATGCAAGCGTACACGCAAGAAGAAATGAGATCAATTGGCCTCAGCAATAGGAGTTTCCAATTTGTTGAAGAAGAACAGGATTATCAGGGATTATTTGGATTTGACGTGAAGTCACCCACACCTCACACCGAAATTAAAGTACATGTTTTGAGGTCCCCCAAGACCGTTGCAGAGTTGAGAGATCCAAATATCGCCCAACAAAACCCCAATGCCTCCGATGCTGGAGGTCTATTCTCTCATGCCTTGGACCTTATAAAAAACAATCCAGAGATCTACGATAAAAGAAGGAAACACAACACTGCAGTACAGTGTGCTGTCTTATATTTGGATGCAACGTATGATCGCAGAAATGATATGATTCTAACCCACGCTGCATTGGGAGGCGGTGATGGAGATGTAAAATTGGCTATTTTTGGATCTCATGGATTGCATTCGTGGCCCATCAATTTTCCTCAAGTTACTCCCTCGTTTCTTGACGCAACCCACTTGTCTAAGAATGAAGTAGCAAATGATGCAAATGAATGTGGAACAAGCTGGGAATGCTTGAATATTACTTTGGGTGCCTTCATGCACGAGATTGGACACTTGTTAGGATGTCCACATCAAGTAGATGGTGTAATGTTGAGAGACTATGTTTGGTTTAATCGGTCTTACATGACAAGAGAGCTACAATGTTTGAGGACAAATTCTCCGGGTGCAGTTATTGGAAGGAATGGAGTATGGCCCGTTTCTTGTCATTGGAACAGATTAGATCTCATTAGATTCTTATATCATGACTCGTTCAGTTTGCCAATCGATACATTTCCAAAAGTTTATTCTACTACCTACAAGGATGACAATTCATATGAGAATAATACTGCTCCTACTTCATACAATACTCCCAAAGGTGGAGCTGTTGCAAAATCGAGTGCTGGTATTTATTTAGTAGAGTTTATTATTGAGGATTTGGCAAGACATCATATGGTTTTTTACCCTGAAAACTATGGTGGAAAGGGTCCTCAGCATGAGTTGAACTTGAATTACAACACTTGCTATGAAGAGTTGAAAAAATATGGTGATAAGGCCAGCCCAGATTTTGATGTCAAAATTTTATCGATCGGTGGTGAAATAACAATTTGGAATTTTAAGAATTGCTCATCAGGTAGCAAAGACAATATAATCAGAAGCGATTTTGGTTTAGGAAAAGGTACAATTAACGCTTACAAAAGTGCATTATTGGGAAGTTCAAAAGATCAACAGCCCCAAATTATTGGTTTCGATATTAGGAATATTTACAAGGTGAGAGTCTACCATGGTGGGGCATTGGATGGAGTCCGATTCTTTTACACTGAAGGTAAAGCCCAAGGAGACTCGAACAATGTTCCTCCAGTACCACCAAGGGATTATTCCAACAAGTTCAGCAAGATGTTCAAGAAACTACTGATAGAACCATCAGTCCAAGGTGGATCAAGAGAATCTTTGATTGGAAATGAGAAATCACACTATTCTGATTATGAGATTCGCCCCGGACAGTATATCACGAAGTTTCACTTCAGAAATGGAGCTTGGCTTGATGCAATTCAATTCGAAACAAATACTGGAGAGAAGTCCCCAATGTTTGGTAATGCAGAAGGAGGGCATTTGTCTACTCTTGAGGCGCCAGGCCCAGAGTATACAATTGTCGGAATGTATGGCTATACTGGATCATGGATGGACGGTTTGGGTATCGTATACACTGACGAGATTCGTTAAGCTATTCAGCCACGTTACCATGTGGAGATGACAAGTAATTTCAATTTGATATAGGTTAGTTCAACCAGCGATGAACGCAGCTTTTGATATTTGTATGCAATAAAATTACATTATCGAATGAAACAACTTATGCTTTGCTAAATCTGACACTTACTGGTCAAGTTGGCGCTCAGTAACTTTGTCCCTGGCCTGATTGTATTCAATTGGATACTTTTCAACCACACCCACCTTGGAGTGGTTGGTAGATCTTAAAAATGATAATGCATACGATCCCTTCTTTTGACCGTTCTTCAACCTTAGTATTCTCAGTTCAATACTCTCCAAATCCTTTGACATTTGTTCTACCTTACTGAGCTTTTGTGGCTCAGACACCAAGTTGGTCTTTAGTAGATCCTGTAATTGTTTCAAATGTTGCGAGAGTTCTTGTTTTCTTTCGATAATTTTTTGATTTTCATTGTTCAATTCTCCACTTAGTTTCGCTTGCAAAGCTAGCGACTTATCAAGCTCCAAGGAGTCGAGTGCATGAGATATAGTGTTGGAAAAATATGTAGCGTGTTCTGATAATGACGAGGTGAATCCCAAGTGCTCCGGGTTTGTAAGGATTTCATCTTCATCACTAAGCACATAATCATCATCTGTGTCTGAAAGCTCTACTGATGCCACATCAGCGGAATGGGTCCCAGGAGATGTCACCATCTGGGGATGAGCAGTGATTGTGGTAGTTCCTAAGTTGGTCTCATCCATCATGAGGAGGGAAGCTCAAAAGCATGTCGCGTTCACAACATTTGCACCCGACATTGGTTCCAAAATGCGACATAGAATAAGTGTGAACGAGTTTGGTGGGCTATCCTTAGTGCATTAAGCGGTTTGCTTCCAAGGGTATTTAGTTGCCCATTCAGTTGGAGATTTATGTAGTGCCGGTGTATCCATTACCCGTTATCATTCCTCTGATATATAAAAACTTAAGGTTCAGTGTGGCGGATACTGCCAATCTCAATTATTGTATCTCTTTCCAAACCGAAGTATGTCCATCGATGTTTTACACTGAAATACGAGGCAGCTAATTCCAAACTGGCAGTTGGTTTAGCTGTATCACCTCAACAATCAATGGTAGGTGTCCCACATTCAGGTGAAAATGTCGCAACCTGCACCGCCCAACCTGCAATCTCCCAACCGCTAAAAATGCCACGCCCAATAACTAAGACTACAACCAATGTCTTTCCAATTACAGAATTCGGAGGTGCTAGCTAGGCTAAAACCTTTCGGAATCTCCTTCGAAAAGTCACTAAGTGATCTTATCAAAGGAATCCGTTCAACCTCCAAAGATTCACCCGAATCTCTATCAGCATATCTCAACTCAGTCATTCTAGAGTGTAAGAATGAACTACAAACGACAGATATTGAGACAAAGGCGTCTGCCATTTTGAAACTCACCTATTTGGAAATGTACGGATTTGATATGTCTTGGAGTAACTTTCAAATCTTGGAAGTAATGTCCTCCAATAAGTTCCAACAGAAGCGTATAGGATATTTGGCAGCTATACAGTCGTTTAAAAACGAACAAGATTTGTTGATCTTAGCGACGAATCAATTCAAAAAGGATCTTAACTCTACCAACCACATTGAAATCGGGTTGGCTTTGAGCGGTATTGCTACGATCGTCACTCCTAACTTGTCGAAAGACATCAACGACGATGTTGTGATTAAATTGAGCCATTCTAGTCCATATATAAGAAAGAAAGCAATTCTAGCCATGTTTAAGATCTTTTTACAATATCCCGAGAGTTTGAAAATGAATTTCGATAAGGTGATTGACAAATTGGATGATCCTGACCTTGCCGTGGTGAGTGCTACCATCAATGTTATTTGCGAGATTTCAAAGAAGCAACCTAAAATTTTCATCAATTATCTTCCGAAGTTCTTTGCTATCCTTCAAGATTCAAAGAACAATTGGTTAATCATCAGAATCTTGAAGCTTTTCCAGAGTCTATCGAAGGTAGAGCCTAGAATCAAAAAGAAGATCATTCCAATCATCCTTGATTTGATGACTAAAACAAAAGCATCATCTTTGATCTATGAATGCATCAACTGTATCTCGAACGGTTCGATGCTAGACCCTGGTAGCAGCAAGGACAAGGATACTGCTAAATTTTGCATTTCAAAGTTGATGGAATTTTTTAAAACAAACGATTCAAACTTGAAGTTTGTAGGTCTCATTGCATTGATCAACTTGGTTAAAATTTTCCCCACATTCATCAAATCAATTAATGGCGTCAGTGCTGTGATAATGGACTGTTTGAATGATAACGATTTGATCATTAAGAGGAAGGCTCTAGGAATATGTCACTTCTTAGTCGACGAGAACAATTTGGTCGAGGTTGTTAAAGTATTATTGGTCCAACTTATCCCAGCTGAGAATTATTCTTTAAGCGAGACATTGCAGGAAGAAATAGTATCTAAGATTCTTGAAATCAGCAACCAGAACAACTATGATTTGATACCTAACTTCAAATGGTATATTGCAGTATTAAGGGATGTGATGAACTTAACTTTACTTGGAAACTCAAATAGAATTATAAGCGGATCGATTTTACCCGTTGCCGATTACTCCACTAGTGGATCATCCAAGATTTCTACCCAGATTGGTCAAGAGTTTAAAAATCTTGCAACAAAAGTTCCTTCCGTACGTTCTTCGGTGATTAATTCGTTCATCTTTACTTATATACAAGATATTCGTATTCTTGAAAATTGCTCACCATTGCTCAAGGATTTTTATTGGATCTTAGGAGAATATATCGATGAAATCAAAGTTGATGGTTACGAAGAAGATGTTGAAGAAGACGATGAAAGTATAGAACATGTCAATGTTGATGATTCTCAACTTAGTTTAGGTAAAAAGATCGAGATCCTTAACACCATTGTTAACGTGAAGGTTGACCAGGCATTGGGGTTGGCAAATGGGAGGTTCTTGATTTCCAAAAAGTTGTTAACTTTGGATAATCCTGAAGTATTGATTGTTTTGGTGCAAGCCTTAGTCAAGGTTTTGAACAGTATTTTTTCAGATTTGATTAAGTTCTATTCACTTGACGGGAAAACTCTTGACGCAGAACACTTCAATCAGCTTACATATTATTTGTATAAGGTCATTGAGTTTTTGGGTGCTTTGGAAAATCATACAAACTATGAGGTCCAAGAGAGATCATTAAGTTGGTTGGAATTCTTGAAGCTTTTATTGGAAGCATTAACGAATGGGGATTTAGAACAGGTAGTGAAGTTGAGAAACGAGGAAGTGGAGTATTATAAGAGCTTAGCAGCTAAAGAAAGAACAAGAGTTCGCGATGTTCTGGAAAGTGAGGAAGAACTGGAAGAACTGGAAGAAGATGACGAAGAAGATGAAGACGAAGAAGAGGATGAATATGAGGATTTGGATTCAAGCGATGAAGAAGAAGCTCAAGAGGAAGACCATGCTGAGAAATCTGAGGTAGACAGACCTTTGATAAGTCTTGAAGCAGACCTAGAACTTAAAGCCAACCCATTTTCAGAGGATATCAAAGAATCCTTGTTGGAGTCTAATGGTGTGGAAAACAAGGCCTTAGATAGTCTGAACAAAGAACTTCCAATTTTGCTTACTCATATTCTTCCCTCATTCTTCAAGTCATACCAATTGAACCCCATTGAAAAGAATGCACAGAGAAAGATTGCCATTCCGGCTAATTTAGATCTTGTTACCCAAATCAATACACCTCCAGCTCAAGATGCAAGTGACTCAGAAGATTTTGAAGACGATTATGACTTGTTCTTGTCGGATCAGGAGACAAATGTTGACAAAACCTTGTCATCTGTGCACACCAGTGACGGAGAGGAAGATTATAAAAAGAAGCAGGAGAGATTGGATAGATTGCGGGATGATCCATACTATATAACTTCTGGAAAAGAGTCTGCAAAGAAGAGCAAATTGAAATCTAAAAAGCCACTTTTGCTCAATGAATCAAGCCCAGAAGTTGGCAGTGAAAAAACATCTATTAGCTCCTTGAATCCTGAGATAAAGGAGAAGAAAACCAAAGCCAAAAAGTTGAGGAAAGAAAAAGTTGTCATTTTGTCCGAAGAAATCCTTGATGGCATCGCTGATGAGCCCGAGCAGGTGGAAGCACAGACAATTTCAAAGAAAAAGAAAAATGCATTCAAGATTGATTCGTCTAACCTTGACAACTTTGATATTAGTGCGTCCGTCGCGCCCGAAGAGACTGGCGCTGGAAAGGAGTTCGAATATGAAATTGATTTGGATGAGTTGAGGAAGAAGTTGGCTGATTCTTCGATCGAGAAAAAACCGAAGAAATCAAAGAAGGAAAAATCCAAGAAAGAGGGAAGCTCGAAGAAGGAGAAATCAAAGTCTAAAACTACGAAAAATCTAGTGGATCAATCGGTCCAGGATCCAGTTGACGAGGCAGTTAATGAGGCAGTTAATGAAGAGGGCGCACCAGGAACTACTATAGTAGCAGTCAAAAAGCCAAAGAAAACGAAGAAAAAGAAGGCAGTTATCATTGAGTGAGGAATAATGAGCCGCTTCTACATAGCACAATAGACTAGCATTATAACTTATTTGTAAAGAAGTAAATTAATCTTTGGAGACTAATGGTGTTTGTTCGGAGATAATTTCGATAGAAGTGTCAGTGTCGGTATTCACATCAGAGACATCTTCCTCATCGATTTCTTTTTGGTCGTCCTTCTCCTTTGCACCGCGGAGTTTAGCAAAGCCTACTTCTTTCATGGAGGCAAGCATGGCTTCTCTCACTTTGGCGGCGAACTCGGTGACATCTTCATTAGTCTTCAAATGCTCGGTAGACATTGGAGGTAACACATCTACTTGGATTTCTCCTCTATTGAACGTCTTGTTCTTGGCATTGAAGAGATTGGAGTAGTTGCTGAAGACAAGAGGTATAACTGGAATGCCAGCCTGCTTGGCAAGGTGGAAGGCACCCTTTTTGAATGGCAAGAAATCTAACTTTTCCAATCCTGATCTAGTTCCTTCCGGGAAGATGAACAAGGCTCTATTATCTCTCTTTAATGATGCTAATGCGGATTCTAACACCTTTCTGGCCTTTTCACCCTTGCTTCTGTCCAAGAAAAAGGTGCCAGATAAGTACATGAACCATCCCAAAAACGGGACATACTTCAAGGATTTCTTACCGGTAACCGTGTAACCCGGTTGGAAGACTTTCCCCAAAATCAAGATGTCCAATGCAGATTGATGGTTGGAGACAAATATAGCGGGGGTGTCAAGCAATCTTTCTTCATTTTTAATCTTTACTGTGATGCCCAATAGGGTGGAGAAGGAGTGATAAAAGGCCCTGGCCACTGTGTATTGAGCATACTCACCCTTTCTGACTATTCTCAATACGATGGAAGCAATAACTCCATAGAGGGCACATCCAGCCAACAACGAGCCGAATACGACCGACTTGACGAAGAATTTTATGCTTCTAAGCACGGACATTGGGGTACTGGGGATGACGAGAAGACTAGATATTCGCGCGTATATATATGGGGAGAGTCTACAAATTAGCTTAACACGACCTTTATTTTGGGTTAAGTACATACGTTGGGGAAATCTTAGTTCTTGTAGACTTCAACGGCTCTGATAGCGGTGGACTTGGCGGAGGCTGGGTTGACACCAGTGACAAACTTACCGTCGTTGACAACGAAGTCCTCGAATGGGGTTGGTGGGGCAACGTAGTTAGCACCCAACTTGGTGGCCCAGTCTTCGATACTTTGCAAGTTTCTGGCTTCCATGAGCTTGTCAACACCAGTGAGTCTTTCACCTTCATCGGTGAAACCAGTCATAGACTTGCCTTGGGCCAATGGCTTGCCGGTCTTGGAGTCCAAGAGGTTGGCCAAGATAGCAACACCGTGACAAAGAGCAGCGACGACACCTTCCTTGGCCCAGATAGCCAGGGCAATGGATTGTAAACCAGAGGCAGTTGGGAAGTCTTCCAAAGTACCGTGGCCACCAGCAGCGTAGAAAATATCGTATTCATCGGCCTTGACGTCAGCGGCCTTCTTGATGTTGCTCATAGCCTTGTTGAAGGCAGATTCCTTGTCGTGGAAGATTTCAGCAATTTCACCGTTCAAGAAGTCTGGGTTAGAAACAGAGTTTTCGTCGTAACCAAAGGTACCGGTTTCAGAAACGAAGTCAACTTCATAGCCTTCAGCTCTGAAGATTTCAAATGGCTCAATGGCTTCAGCAGCGAAGAGACCGGTTTTGGTTCCGTCTGGGTAGAACTTGTCGAAGAAAGAAGTGACTGCAATTAAGGCTTTAACCATTGTGATGTGTGATGAAGAGTAGATAGAGAATTAATTTCAAGGGAAGGCGATCGCTTTTTACAATGTGGAGTAATGCACGTTGCGGACAAGTTGCTGGTGGGGATGACAAATGATTAAGCGGCCCAAAACTGCCAAGGTGGCCAGCTCATCTCTCGTTAGTGTCCGCTAACAGTTGCTGCCCGAAAGATCACCCAATTGGGCCGTTGGGACAAGGGGCTACATACTTAAAGTTAAATTTGCATGTCTATCGTGCATGACTTCGCGAGCGATGGACGCATAAAGAATTACAATTTCTTCTATATAGACCTTCTCCCGCGCGATTGAAAAAGTGCGGAATTGGTAGGCGTGGGCGGTGATAGGAGTGCACACTATGGAAGTTTGGGTGTTGGAAGCCTACAGAATTCTTCTGCACGTTTCGGATTAAGTCCAGAGAATAAATTCATCTTAGTCAGCCCGCCTCGAGCGAAAGATAATCAGATGCGCCTTCCCAACATCCGCCCTTTGTCGCGACACTAAAATTACTAACTCAGATCTGCTGGGTGTCGCATACGACACAACCAGCCTCTGGGCCACTGGCCGATGGTAAGGTGCTTTTGGATTTATTGAATATATAATTTATGAACACCAGAGTTTACCATTGGTGACATTTCATAACGGCGTGGCTACTTCAAGACGCTGGGTGCAGGGTGTCCTGTCTAAATACCTGGCATGTAATTGGATAATGCATCATCCGCAAGCGGGTCATGGGAATCATTCACAATCTGCCGTAGTAAGGACCAGCTTTGGCCTTGATCGTCTAAGTTGAAGGTTCAATTGCTTTAGTTTCGCTAGAGTAGTGGTGCTTAACCCATCTGAAACCTTGCCCTAATTGAGCTATTTCGTTGACGAAATGACATCCAAACAACAAGTAGTTCTTTGGACTGACAGCCAATGAATATCTCATGAATACCAACGAGTAACCGATCAAGGATGCAGTCATTGGTCCACTGATCAAATCAGGATCTTTCTTCAAGTCCAACACAGCTGCGACAGGAATACCAAAGTTGGAGACTGGGCCCCAGAAATGCGTGGTGCAGACGTATCTTAACGATTGCTTGGAGAACAAAAAGTCGGTGAATTTCTTGAATCCTGACATCTTGATTGATAGTTGGATAGGCAAACTGTGGGGCTCTTGATATGGTCTCCGGCAAGTCTGGAAGATTTTTTTAGGGCTAATCCGGTGTGAGGAACTCCGGTAGGAGCGATCACACGTGACCGTCCACATGACCACTAGCGGTTAATATTTGGTAGTCGATGATTACTCTACATTTCCTCAGAGAAGCTATGGTTACATTCTATAATACTCTTATCAGAGATGGACTATAATACAAGGTAATTAGAAACTGTGAATACAGTGGGAGCCGATTTTCAAAGCCCTACTCCTGTTGACCATGGTGGGGGTTGGAATAAATCTGTTGATTATCCATTTCGTCTTGAGCACTTTTTATGGTGCTACTAGACAGAGGTTGGGATTGAACTTGCTGCAAATCTTGCGCCAAGTAGTTAGGTTGTTGATTGACATTTCCTGCTTGGAAGCCCGTTGGCTGTACAGTATTCCCAGAGGGGAATGGGGGTATTTGTTGTCCAGGGTAGGGAGGCATTTCAAAAATATAAGTGTTGGAAATAACCGGATTCTGTCCATACTGTTGCCCAGGTTGAGGTTGCAGCAATATTGGATTGATTGGTTGATGATGACTAGGTGGGTGTTGCTGCTGAGGTAACGAGCTTGATGAGGATCCACCCCAACCGGCATCATATGTGTGATTCAAACCACTCATAAATATATCATTGACATTGTTCTGGCCAACTTGTTGTTGATGGCGTTCGGGTTTTGTTTCAACTTCACTTTTGGGTTTCGAGGAAGTTTGTCCATTCTTTGACTTCCTGGTGCTGCTCTGATTCTTCGAATCGCGATTCATGTGAGATTTTGGAGTCGCTTCATCACTTGGTGAACTGAGGTAATGTGGCAAATTTTCTGGATTGGTGATCCAGAAAGGATCATTCAAGTGAAACCCATAGAGCTGAGTAAATTCAAAGTTGCTTTGATCATCATTGAATTGGCTATTCAAATCTAATGGTTGGGCATTCAGTTCATTGTTCCCCAACGGAATAGACATTGATTCTTCAAAGTCACGCGCATTATATTCAGGATACTGATTGTTTTCGTATTCTTCATCTTGCTTGCGTCTCTTACGGTCATTGGCCTCTTCATTGCAATTTTGTCTCTCATATATCTGGTTGATGTTTTTCAACACTTTATGCATCAAATAGGCAACATTTGAAGGCCACAATTTTGTGATGGAATTGAGAATCCCCGAGATTCTTCTGTCAAAGTTCAATAAAGAATTGAAGTTTAATTCTAATAATTTCAAGAACTCATTGTTGATCATAGTATCAGTCTTATCCTTGTTGACAACAAATTCCTGAAACTTGTAGTGCAAAAAGGTGAAGACAACGATAATGCCTTGGTAGATTGAGGAATTCAAAAATGGGAAATAGATTCTGAATAACTTTCCGAACTTAATTTTTGAGTTAGGATGCTTATAGGCTGAGCCAAGAAATGCACCAGCACCAGACCCTGAAGGTAAGTGTTGAGTGTTTGCTTCAAAATCCGTGGTTGGTATGGCTTGGGGTAAATCCAGCCCACCAACGCCTGCTGTATCTCTGAAATTCGATGTGTCGGATTGATTTTCTTCCACATTCGGTTGATTCAGTAGGACAATTGAAGGCTTTGAAGACTTCACTAGCTTCGTAACATTATCGTCGATCAGCTCACTTAAGTCTGAACCACCTAATCTAGTATGATAGTGGAAATATTTTTCAACAAACATATTCAAGAAGTTCTCGATGAAATAATTGAGCAATTCCAAGAACTTCAAAATTGAATGAATCAAGTTCTTTATGATTAAGTCATACTGATCGATTTTTTCAAATTTATTGACGAAAGGTTCGAAAAGCTTAGCCTTATTGATATGCAATACAATAAGATCCATCAAAATGTTGGTTTTGTCAATCTTGAGCAAATCGCCCTCATTATCCTTGGATTCTTCTTCATCGCTTAAATATTCATCACTAATGAACCATTCTAGCAATTCAATTTCCTGTTCGAATTTTTTGTTCAAATTTAAGAGATCATCAATTGTGAAATCAATCATAAAGTTTTCAATCAACATGGAATTGGAAAGTCTTAAACACTCACTCAAACCAATCTTTAATAGGGCTTGAGTCTTATTCTTATTCATATTGATGTTTGATTGATTACTGCTCAACGGTGAACTCTTGAGAACTATCGAGTTGACCTGAATGGATATAGGATTTGGCCTTCCTAAAATTGAACAAATTTGACCCGTCAAGCTTTTGAGCGCAAAAAATACTTTGAATCTAAATATGTCCATCTCTTCGTCATCTTCGTCATCTTCATCTTGTCCTTTTGAACTATTAGCCTTTTCTTCACCCTTCTTCAATCCTAACGAACTTAAATCATTGTTCTTGGAAGTCGAATTTATAGATCTGAATTGTCCCATAACGTGCAAACCGATAGAGTAAGCAATTCCACAACAGTGAAACATCATAGACCAACACTCTTCGTATCTTTGTTCTATGAAATACCATTCAGTGCACAAGATGTAGGCTTGAACAGTGATAATTGACTCATTGAGTAAATTATGTCTCAACTTTTCAAAACTGTGATACAAGACATTTTTTGAAAGGTAATTTTTGAACTTGTTTAAAGCTTGAATGGCAGGTTGAGGGATTAGGTTCAACTCGATAAATTCTGACGGAGTCAACTTTTGCAAAGAAAGTAGTAAGATCATATAGAAGAGTAATAAATCATCATCATTTTCCCACTCCATGTCCTTGATATCCTGATAACTGTGCAAAAATTCGAATACTTTTGTTCTAGAAATAAAAGTTTCATAGTAACGGTTATTATCAAAGAACAAGTTCACCAATTTCACTAAAACATTAAAGTTTTGTTTTTGGAGATCGGCCCAAGTTTCAGAGTCAGAACTGATATCTGGATCATCAAATCTATGCAATGCATACAATAAAGGTGGGAGACGTTTTTTAGCAAGACTCTGTTCAACCAAGTTACTCGATTTGCCTTGATGATTATGAGAGTCTTCGTTATGGGATCTTTCAAAGTCCATAGATTTAGAGTCAAAGGAGGAAGATGAATTTGCGATTAAAGAATCATAGTACTGATGCGTTTCCTTATCTTTATCCTTAGTTTCTTCTTTCTCCTTAACCAACTGTTTTTCTGGGCGCGCTTCGACGGGGGGTTGAGACTGGCTTTCTTCAGAACCAGATTTTTGTCTTTTCAATGACTCAATCATAAAGCTTGATGATTGCGGTCCATAGTACTTTTCACCTTCTTCAGTGGTTTCGCCCGAAATCTCTATACCCTTATTTGAAGATTCCTTTGTATCTTTGACAGTATTACTACCTTCCAATCGAGTGCTAAGCTTGTTTAACTCACACTGCAATTTATTATTCGATTCAATAAGTTGGAGATTGGCGACTCTGAAAAGTTCGAGTTCTTGACGCAAATTGGATGATAGGATATCTTCAGTAGCATACTCGGGTTTGCTGGAATGAGAACCATGTATATGATTGTGGTAGTGGGATGATAAATCTATGGAGTCTGCATGAGCCTTGATTTCTGTGAGAGGCCTGGACTTGGGCTCGGCGAAATTTGAGCTGATTCCGTAATCCTGAGCAAGATCATCACGCTTCAGGTCCTCGTTGTCAAATGAGGTCAAGTCATCTTCATTAATTTGGATATTCCGGAAGGTGGAAGGGAAGTGACACGGGATCGATCTTTTAATGCACTGGTTGCATGGCTTCAATTTGTTACATTTGATCTTCTTTCTTCTGCAAGAAACGCAGGAGATGGGAAGGCTGTCATTTATGGCAGAAATTGACTTCTTCTTCCTCTTATTCTTGTTCTCGTGTTGGTCAAACTCTAATTTGACATCTGGGTGATGGTGCGATGCCATTATGGGCAAATGAGGTTAATGCAAAGGTTAGTTCGATTATGGGTTGCAAATTAGGCTATAATATCCCAGAATATGGGTGATCACGACCTAGAATAAAAAAATTGTAGATGAACTCAAAGTTGTAAGGCAAATGACTGCGAATTTCAGGGATCGATACGAAGGTATGACAGGGTGGCTGTAACAATCAGTTGGAATGTAACAATAAGCCCCGTGAGGAAGTGATGCAGTCGTGGGCGGGTTCAGAGGGCACGACAATGATGCAATGGTCAAGTGCCAACTTCAACAAACTTTCATTAAAGTCAGTAGCGGAACTCGACGGGAGGAGAGCCGATATTAATATTGCCCACAAGCTACGAGTGGATTGGCGATGTGGGTACAATGGGAGATGAAAAACCGGCTACCTGATAGACACAGCGACTCTGGAGGTGGTGGAAAATTCTGGAAGTGTCTAATTGAGGTTGATTGCTGGTGAATAAAGCAAGCGCAAAGTTTGCAGGACGATGTGAATCAAGTGGATGGCAGTGTAAGCGAGGTGTCGCAGACTAACGGTAGTACTTATATTCACGACGGCAGGAAAAATGAACGACGGACTTCCTTTTGTTGTGCAAATGCAATGATGCCGTTTTGAGCAATAAGGACAGGGGAAGGGACACAAAGCCTGGCGGATGCAGATGACTTAGGCCAAAAACCTTACTAGCTGACGGACGTCCGATGGCTTACTTAATAGATAGTCACTACTGTTGGAGAGCTACGATTGCATGGTCATTTCTGTCTAGGAAAAAAATTAATAAAACGGAAGTCCGAGACAAAAACTGAGGCCCATTCTGGGGTAGCTATTGGCGAAACAAGAACATCGCCATAGCCACTGCAACAAAGGCAAATGGTGGGTGCGACGGAGGCTCAGATGCCACTGGCGTTCGCTGACGCTGTCGGTGCCGTCTGGACTTGCATTGTGGGCCGACGATGGGCTGTGAGGCACCAGATTCCAGATGATCAATGATGTCGATTGGGTCCCGGGTAGGAGCCCTTGCCGCACTGGCGACGTTTGGTTGCGCCCCTCAGGGTTTAGCCTGGCGGAGATCCGCTGGGGGTGGCAGGAGACTCACGTGCGGCCTGTGGAAGGTGCCGGGCCACCACGGCCCGGGCCTTGGTGGTAGGGAAAACGTTTCCGTGATTGTGGTTGTAGTGGTTGTGGCAGGAATTCCTGCTTCCTTCCAGAAGTATCTCCAGCTTCCATTGTATGCGCGCATTCATACCGAAACTGGTTGATCACTGCTCGCGGCATATGCATGCTCCAGCTTCGAGTCCCCTGGCGGTTCGTGCTGTGAACGACTTCTGGTGGTGCGCACTAATCGTTATCTTATCTCTTATCACTGTGGCAGGTACTTATACCAGGGACCCCCGCAAGGTTTCTGGCCATGAAGGAGCCATACTACTGCGGGAACTCGTCCGTCAAGCCACCCACCGCGCACTGCTACTCGTTGGTGCACTACGCCCTCCCGCAAATCCCGGTGGCCTCCTTCCTCCTGCCGCCTCCCTACCAGTTGGCGGCTCCGCGGTGGCAAAGATCAAACTCCATCGAGCCCTACTACGCTGGCCACCCCACGCTCGGACGCCGCTACTGGCACGCCCATGCCGACGACTGTGCTGTTGTCTCCGATGACGACGACGACTACGACGATGACGATGTACCTGCTGTCTTGGGAACGGGCCATGTTGTCGCGCCGCCTTCGCACCCGTCGATTTCCCGCAAGGTTTCCGACAACTACCACAACAGCCATTCTGACGACGAAGACAGCACCGCGTGCATAGTGGGGGACACCAGCAAGCTTGCTGCCGTGTCTGGCAGCGCCCCCCTGGCGCTGCCGCCGCACGTGCACGACCTAGCCGAGGTCAACCGGGTGCTAGTGTTGAAATCAGACAATCCCAACATCTTGATCAACCCGCACGCCAGATCGGTGTCGGCAACGTTGCGGGCCCCTCCCTACGTCAGTCACCATGTTACTGACGTATACGCAAGCGAGGTGCCCCGAACATTACGCGACGATTATGACGTCCCTTGCTCAGCATATTTGGTCTAACGGCTGGCGCCCTTTGTGACCGATTGTATTTTTATGACGTAAGCCAGTTTTTGTGTAGTCCATCCCTACAAATTTCGATGATGCTGCGATGCGAGCCACCATGGACTTTGTAAACCCTCCTCCGCCCAGGCGAACAGGCGCCCTGCAAGGGCTTCTCGACCTCCCGACTCATTTGCCCAATGACGCACCACTGACGGGACCCGAAACAGCCAGTCTGCTGGGCCCAGTGGAAGAACCAATTCGCGACGAGACCGTGGACGACGAAGAGAGCACCCACGCTACTCCTTCCTCAGAGCCAGTGTTCATTCCTGGCACCAACATCACCTTGCAGACCGAGGAGGACATCAGGAAATGGATTGAAGACAGAAAGAAAAACTGGCCGTCCAGAAAGAATATCGCCTCCAAGGAAGAAGGTAAGCAACAGAAGGCCCCTGAACCCAGAGGCAACAACAAGAGGGAAAGTGACGATCCCACCGGTAACAAGAAGAAGCCGAAGTCTCTGTGTCGGTTTTTCCTGCAGTACGGTCACTGCAAGTTTGGGAACAAGTGCAAGAACGTCCATGAAACTCCCACTACCGGGGTGACAGTTTCCAACGAACACGATGCTACCCATTACAAACGCCAAATCAATGGCATTCCCGTGCTCATTCCCAAGCTCTACTCCAAGAGACAATCTCTGGGACCAAATGGCTCTTTGTTCAAAAGTTTGGTCCAGAAAGAACTTGCCGAAAACGAAAACTCGGTGGTATTGGACTTTGTTCAATACCTAGACAAGCAGGGCTTGATAAATCATGATGTGATGAAAAATACTACAAAACCGACGAAATAGCCCGAATTTTCACTATGTACCATATACCTTATAGAGACCGTTAATAGAGGTCACCGTCATACTTTTTAGTTGCTTCCAACATAATACTGCATTGCTTGGCGATATCTCCCAACTTACCAATAACAATAGAATTTCCCTCGTAAAACCCATAGATCGAATACTTGATACCAACATCCTTGCAGAAGTTGATGACATATGGTTGTACCCGTCTAAAATTGTGCCTTGGTAAGCGTGGGAACAAATGATGAATAGCTTGGAACTGCAACCCCCCGTGGAAGAAGTCTAACCATTCTGGACAGTCGACGTCCATGGTGGTTCTTATTTGCCGGGATACGAAAGATTCGCTTACACCCAAGTCAGAAGTAGACATCGCAAAATGTGATAAAGTAATTTGGACGTGCACCATCATAGTAGTGAAATGACTGACAAGCACAAAGTTGAACCTGTTCCAACCTCCATCAATGGATCTGTAAACCACCAAGTAGAAAAACCAGAAAAAGAAGAAACTCAAGCCCACCAACTCGAAATACCTAAACCATGCTGCCTTACCCTTTTTGGGGCCGTCTCCTCTGAGCAAATGTGTCCATGACAAAACATACAAATTGAACCTTCCAAAACCCAAGATAGGATAATACAAGAAGTTTTGAATGGGAATTGTAATTTTGGCCACTGCATCAAACGCCACCAATCTCTCATAATACGTCGAATACACACTGTTGAAGAGTCTGGTACTGACTGCAAAGAACGGGAGATGCTGGATATCTGGATCGTGGACCGGATCATTGGTAATTAAGTGATGAACATTGTGGTTTCTTTTCCACCAACCTAAACTCAATCCCCCAAACCAGTCTGCAATTAACATGCCAAACAAATTGTCAAGCTGGTAATTGTGAGTAATAGATACATGACCGGCGTCGTGTGCTATGAATGTCATTTGGTGCCATGCCAATCCCATGAACACGGCACTCAAGAATAAATAATTTAATTTCAAGAACGAAAATGAATAAAGGAACAAAGAACCAATTTTGATTAGCTCCCTGCCGTAGTCCCACAAGTTACATTCATAGAAACCTAAGTCCTTGATCTGATTGTGTAATAAATTGTACTTCTGTCTTAATGTCTCTTGAGTTTCGTGGTCCAAGGGCGGTATGTCTTTCAAATCATCTTGGGCGAGCTTGTTATCGTAACGCTCCATCAACTCCTTAGGGTCTCTGATGATAGAATTAGCTTTGATGGGAAACAATATGTCTTTATTAGTGTCGGTAACGAGCTCATTTTGGGGAACCACTGGAAGCACAGCCACCTTGGGGAATCCAATTCCCTTGTACTCTATTTCGTTGATAGAGTTATCTGATGAGGAAGTGGCTTGAGCAAGCTCCTCACTGGTAGTTATCACATCTTCGGTGTCTTTGTTTTTGGTGGGTTCTGGTCTCTTAGTGTACACTGCACCCTGAATTGGCGGCAAGAGGTTCTCCCACCGGTAGTCGATGGATCCGATCTTCCACTTGGTGAAGTCTTTGATGGACTCCAAGCTGTGGTAGGCGTTCATCTCGTCAGTGGCATCACGTCCAATCATGTGGTACACTGCCTTTTCACCGCCAGGGTGTCTGGAGAGCCAAGCCGTCAAGTTCAACACATGATTCTTGTAGATAACAATGGCCTTGCCATCAGCTATCAAGTTGACGATCTGGTTCCGGGATAGAGTCTTGGACGTCATGGTGTTCCAAAGCGTCAGGAAGAATAACAGGCACTATTCACAAATCAAACTCGTTTCAACAGACGCCAGGAATAAGTTCTGCGCACCGATTTGGTAAGTGAACGAGATCGCATCTGAATCAGGCCACGGAAGGATGGCACGATCCCGTAAGTAACAAGATTCAGTGGCTTAGCATCCTGTTATGTTCTACTCGAGAGGTGCTACGGGTGTTGAAATGGAAATACAGAAATATGTTGCATTCTCTACCAGAAATTTCTAATTTCCAGTTGGCTATCCGCACTAAGAAGACTTGACGGTCAATGTAGAGAAATGAAAATTGAAACTTTCACGCATGTTTCCTCAAAGGGCGGTCTCGAATATTCAGGTGTACAGTTATCCAAATTCAGGATGTTGTTTGATTTCATAATTGTCTTTTGTAGGAGTGTAAATGTCGTTTCAAACCCCGCAAGATGTGGTACAATCACGATCTTCAAATATCTAAATGGACGGAGATATATTTTTATATAGTTCTTTTCATCCTGAAACAGAGTTACTTCTACTCTGTATTTTCTAAGTTTAATATTGTTCTTAAAATCAAGAATTAGTGCTTGAAGCACATATTCAAAACCTCATAAGCAATAGGTAATATTATTGGGACAAAGAAGTTATCGTTCAAGTCTGATGAACCCTCCAAAAGTGCGGCAATGAGAACAGACACAAAGAGGTTCTCCCAGTTGTTGTTAACAGGAACATACAGACTAGTGAGGCCACTGAGGAAAGTGTCAATTACAACAAACGATCCAAAGGTAACCACCACGAACGCAACTGAGCCCTGAACTGACTTGTCATTACCTTTCCACTTGATACTTCCAAATCTCTTTCCCACGACAGAAGCCAGGGCATCACCGAGCCCGAGACCAACTAAACCCATGTATCTGATAAGGGATAATTGGCCAGAAGTGTAATCGTACACAATTGGAATGGAGATACCCACCAACAAATAAATGTAGGACAAGTTCAAAGGTCCCTTCAAATCTTTAAAGTCTTGGAACTTAACGAGTCTATCGAACAAAAATTTGCCGATGAAGGTGAGCTGGTTAAATCTTACAATTTCCACTACCACAAATAAGATGATGGATCCAAGCATGCAAATCAAGGTGAATTCCACTTCTTCAATAAGAACCTTAGGGCTAACACACAAAACTCCCACGATAACGAGATGCCATATCTTCCTTCTGGAATTGAGGGAAAATCTGTCCACATTGTAAAATACAAAGGGGATCACAACTGCCAAAATTCCAACCCAAATCTTCAATAATGAGAGCTTTTGTTCATCTTCAAAAATATAGTTGTAGAGCCATAAAACTGCATTGTCTGCATTCAACAGGGCCTTCAATTGGTAGTTGGTCAACCAGTAGAAAACACCGCCAAACAAAGCCATAGAGACGAATCCCGGAATGAATGAGAAAATTGGGTATGTGATAAATGTCGAACTAATCAAACTTATCACCAATTTTTGGAGAATCACAAGAGGAACATGCTTATCAACCAAATCCTTGTTGAATAACAAATTGCTGAGAATCAAAGTGATCAATTGGATCTCTGATTTTCTTAAACTCTTGTTATAGTCAGCATTCGGTTCCAAGTGTTCTTTCTTGGACGATACTTCACTGTTTAAGTTTCCATCATTGATGAAGTTCAATGCATACAGAAGGATCCCATGGGTAACACTGATCTGGAGAAAATTGAACGTAGTCATGGTATTGTTCTCATTGTACATTTCGAAGAAGACAATGCTGGAAAAAGTTCTGAAAATTGGGTTCAATCTGTCAATAATGAAATAGTTCAAACAAAGGTTGACCAAAAAGAAGTCTGGGTTGTAATGCAAAACCCCCACAAATAATGGGAGCAAGACACTGTAGATGTACCCAAAGTCAGGTAACTTCTTTCTCTCCTCGGCATCGGCTCTGACGTAACTGAACCCTAAACCAATCAGCACACCAATGGCATTGAAGCCAATGATTGGCAAGAGATCCTTCAAATGCTCGAATTTTTCGTAGCTCAAGTATGAAAGTTGGATCAAATAACCAAAGACTAAGAGTTGCACGAAGTATAAAAAGTTCATATTGGCATTCAAGAAATCCTGGACTTGATAGATAATCTTGACAGGAAACGAGGCATTTGCAATATCATCGTCCTCTTCTTCTGCTAATGGTACCTGTGGGGATGTTGGAACTGGTTCAACTTGTTCCTTGAATTCTTCGCCTGGGGTTTGATCTCTGAAAACCTTGGCCATAGACTGAGTTCCTGGCGTTGATTCGGGCGAAGTTGCTCTCTCTCTACGGCCTCCTTTCTTAGCCATAATGTAGTTTTCGTCCTGTTCTTCGTATCTCGTTGATACTTATCGCTCGACAAATGATGGGAAGACCCTGAGCACATGACGTTGCACGTGACTACTGATCGAGGATGCGTCTTTGGTCTACCATACGCGTCTCAAAACTTTACCACTACCCCATCCTTTTCACAGACCGTCATGTATATCAAGCGGATTACCATCCAGGGGTTCAAGACATACAAGAACACCACAGTCATTGACTTGGTGTCGCAACACCATAATGTCGTAGTCGGAAGAAACGGATCTGGAAAGTCCAACTTTTTTGCTGCCATTCGATTTGTCTTGTCTGATGCATACACACATATGACAAGAGAAGAGAGACAAGGGTTGATCCATGAAGGGTCAGGAACTGTCATGTCTGCTTATGTGGAAATTGTTTTCGACAACAGCGACGGTAGATTTCCGTTGAGTAAGGAAGAGATATCCATCAGAAGAACGATTGGGTTGAAGAAAGATGATTACTCACTCGATGGCAGGTCGGCCACGCGTTCTGATATTATGAACTTATTGGAGAGTGCTGGGTTCTCCAGATCCAATCCTTACTATATTGTTCCCCAAGGTCGAATCACTAGTTTGACCAATTCGAAAGATGCAGAAAGACTCACTTTGTTGAAAGAGGTCAGTGGTGCTACCGTTTTCGAGAATAAATTGAAGGAATCCGTAAAGGAGATGAATAATTCAAACTACAAAAAACAAAGAATCGATGAAACTTTGGCATCTATTGATGAAAGGTTGTCAGATCTCCAAATCGAATCCGCTGATCTAAAAGAATTCCAAGCATTGGAAAAGAAAAAGAAGGTACTTGAATACAATCTATTTGACAGAGAGTTTAACGATTTACAAGAGCTGAAGGAAGACATAGAAGAGAAGTACGCCCAGTTAATGCAAGAATCACAGGATGATTTGTCTGAATTGAATAAAAGAGAAAAATTGTGTCAACAACTATTAGATACAATTAACAGTTTGAAAGTTTCCCTTAAAGTTTCTAAGTTGGAGAAAGAGCAAACTGATTTGGATTATAACCAAATATTGAAACGTATAACTGATAAAGAGATAGTATTACACGAGCTAAAGTCCAATTTGCATTCATCTCAAGAAAAGTATGGCCAACTTCAAACACTGATAGATCAGTATAAATCGTTGATTCAGAAGCACGAATCATATATCTCCAAATTCAAACCGGATTTTAACTCTTTACATGAAAAAGAAGCACAGCTTAAGGCAAATCTTACAATTTTGGTGGCCAAACAAAGAGCTTTATATTCAAAGCAAAATCGTTTCCAGAAATTCTCTAGCAAAAATCAGCGAGACTCTTGGCTTAATAAGGAGATCGCTGATGTGAAGAAGAAAATTCAATCTAAAGACTACGAGATAACTCAGATCAACCTGGATATTCGTGGTCATGAAACAACTCTTTCTGATATCAACGAGCAAATTTCGGAGTTAGATTCCGAGATTAATAACGAATCACATCGATTATCTATCGCTAAATTAAAAACTTCAATTGGTAATATGAAATCAAAACTAAACGATATTAATGACCAAAGAAAAAGTCTATGGCGTGACGAGATAAGACTTAAAGGGGTGTATGATTCCATTAATAATGATCTCACTAATGCTACTAATTTGGTTAACCAAACCATGGATCGGTCTCAGGCTCAGGGTCTTACTGCTGTTAAAGCTATTGCTGCAAAATTAAACTTGACTGAAAATGTTTACGGGCCGTTGGCTGATCTTTTCGTCGTCAATGAAAAATACAAGACTGCAACTGAAGTCATTGCAGGGAACTCTTTATTCCACATTGTTGTTGATTCCGATAGCACAGCTTCGTTGATAATGGATGAATTGGTAAGAACCAAGTCTGGTAGGGCCACATTTATGCCTCTAAACAGATTGGAGATTCAGCAGGTTGAATATCCAGATAGCAATGAACATCAATGTATACCATTGGTCAAAAAGCTTAAGTTTGATGATGCCAAGGTTGGAAAAGCGATCAGGCAAGTTTTCGGTAAGACTATTGTTTGTCATGATTTACAGAGTGGTTCCGAACTTGCAAGAGCTTACAAACTTTCAGCGATTACATTGGATGGTGACAGAGCAGATACGAGGGGTGTGATGACTGGTGGTTTCCGAGATTACAAGAAGTCTAGAATAGATGCACTCAAAAATCAAACAAAGAAGAAGAAAGATTTGCAGAAGGTTGAAACGGATCTTAAAAAGTGCACAGATGAAATCACCACTGTAAATCAAAAGATCACAGCCTTGAATAGTGAATTGCAGTTGAGCGTTCGTGATTTGGATAAGCTCGAATCTTCTCAAGAGCCAAACAAGATAAAGTTGTCTCAGTTGACCAACAAGAAGTTCAATCTTGAACAAGAATTGAGCACATTACAGTATAATGTCGAGATTGTTAGGACTGCCAAGACCAGCTTGAATTCTAACTTAAAACAACACGAAAGTGAATTGAATTCGAGTTTCACACAATCATTAACAGATGAAGAGCTTCAAAACTTACGGGACTTAAATGAGGAAGTGGGTAAGCTTGAAGCTAACTTGGACGAGACTGTTACGCAAATGTCTGAAATTGAAGCTAAATTGGTGTCTTATGAATCAGAATTGAATAGCAATTACAAACCACATTTGCAAAAGTTGGTCAACGAACAAAATTATTTAAGATCTGGCACGGCTCAGTCGCTTGATATCAAGGATTTGGAGGCAGAGTTAGCATCCTTGCACATTAATTTGGATACAGCGGAGTCAAGGAATCAGAAAGCGAGTTACGAGTTCAGTAGAATTGAAGACGAAATCAATAAGAGTGAAAGTGCATTGCAGAAGGCAAATGATCAACAAATCACGATTCTTAAGAAGTTGGAAAAGTTTTCAAAAGTATCCGAGAAGACATTGAACAAGAAATCCATATTATCGAATAGAAGTGATGAGCTTCAGAAGAAGATACGAGATTTAGGGGCGTTGCCTGAAGAGGCGTTCCAGCAATCAAACTATAATCAATATGACTCAGATCAATTGTTGAAACAATTGAATAAGGTCAACGATAAGCTCGCCAAGTACTCCCACATCAACAAGAAAGCGATGGAGCAGTTCAGCACGTTTACCAAGCAAAGGGACGAATTGGTTGGGAGAAGAGAAGAGTTGGAGAAGTCGCACGAGTCGATTGAAACGTTGATCAAGAAGTTAAAGTTGCAAAAAAATGAGGCTATACGCAAGAGTTTCAAGCAGGTCGCTAAAAGTTTCCATGACATCTTTGAGAATCTCGTGCCCCTCGGAGTGGGTAACTTGATTATGCACAAAAAGATTGAGGACAAGGAGAAGGAAGCGCTGATGGAGGAGGACGATGACATGGCTGTTAGCGACAGCGACAGCGACGCCAATGATGACGACATCGAGAACTACGTGGGAGTGTCCATTTCTGTGTCGTTCAACTCCAAGCATGACGAACAACAGCGGATCGAGCAGCTCTCGGGGGGCCAGAAGTCGTTGTGTGCCATTGCGCTCATCTTGGCCATCCAGAAGTGTGATCCGGCTCCGTTCTACCTCTTTGACGAAATAGATGCAAATTTGGACACCCAGTACCGGACTGCGGTGGCCGCCATGATCAACTCGCTCTCCACCAAGGCGCAATTCATCTGCACCACCTTCAGGCCCGAGATGTTACGGGTGGCAGATAAGTTCTACGGAGTGATGTTCAACAACAAAGTCAGTACCGTCACCGAAATCAACCGCGAGGAGGCTATGACTTTTGTGGAAGGGCAGGTGCACCACTAGGCGATGGTTATGTAACAAGTAATAATATGTCCGACTTTTACGTAATCCAGGCACCGGACCGACCAGGTGGCATATGTCGCAGCGGTGCGGCGCAGCCGGTCACGACGCTCCAGTACTGGCACTAGCCGAGCTGGGGTATTTTTGGCACCGGCCCCAGTTGACGGGCCAAGACGTGTCACTGTGCGGCACGTCTGGCGCCACGGCACTGCCTGGTGGTCTGCAACGGTCACCGTCAGGACGCTGCACGTGACGGACATACCTGTCTATTGTGCGGTGATCGTAGCATTGCGCTCGATACTGTCTTTTTTCCGTCTGGAATTGGTTAAAAATACCCTCATATAAATAAACCGGTGCTCGCAGTTTGTTGATTTTTGTACTTATCAAGAATGGTATGTATTGACCCCAGCAAGGAATTGCCAGCCGTCAGAGTCCCAGCTACCGAGGAGATGCTGCAGTGAAGTCGTTGCTAGTGCCTGCCAATCGGCCATCGCCCAAAACGCCGTCTTGACCTTCTAGACCATGAACCCAATGCAAGCTGTCATCGATGGATGATTGATCTCGTCACCGTCAACAGCGGTCTGTCCTCGAAACTGGCCCTACCGCACCACTACTGCTACTTCCTGGTCTTGGTCGCTCCAGCTGCCTATCACCCACCGTCGAGCTCTACTAACCGCAGTCCTACTACCAGCAACAACCCCAACAGGGTTACTACCAACAAGGGCCTCCTCCCCAAGGCTACTACCAACAACAACCACAACCAATGTACGTTCAACAACAGCCAGCCCGTGGTGGTGGCGGAGGCTGTTGCTCGTCCTTCTGCGGTTGTTGTGCAGCCATCATCTGTTGTTGTTGCGCCGAAGAATGTCTTGAAATGTTGTGTGTCTAATAAATAGTCGTATCCTCAACATATACAAATTCTTAGTCTGCTGTAGTGATTGGCCACCTGTCGTTGGCTTGAATTAGCTCGGCTCTGGCCCCATGCGGTCTATGTCCACCGAGGTAGGAGGCTTTGATCTTCGTCCCGACTCGGTAATAGGCGCACCTTCTCTATAATTTTCTTACGATTGACATCACAATAAAATAGGCCTATATTGAATATCCATAATACCCTACTCTAGAATCATTGAAATAGGCCCCTAGAGTGGGCACAGACTTGTAGATCGATATCCTCCACTTAATGGGCAGTGAAGCCACCAGAGGCATAGATGGTCTGGCCAGTGATCCAGGTGCCCTCGGTGGCCAAGAAGCGCACAATAGGCACAATATCTTCTACCTTGGTCAATCTGCCATCAAGGCCTACCGACTTGAAATACTTAATGTCGTCATCCGTTTCCTGGCCATACAAGAAAGGGGTGTCCATGGGGCCTGGAGCAACGGCATTGACAGTGATTCTCTTCTCTGCGAGCTCCTTGGAAGCAGCCTTGACGTAGTACTCAACACCAGCCTTGGTCCCTTGGTACAAGCCGTAGAAAGGAGTGTAGGCAGCCAACAACGAGGTCACCAACGACACGATTCTACCGTTCTGGTTCAAGTTCTTACCGGCTTCCTTGATGAAAAAAAAGGCCACCTTGTTGTTGAGAGTGTTCAAGTCGTCGAACTCTTCCTCGCTGATCTTGGTGATTGGCTTTTTCAATACCTTTCCAACGTTGTTGATGGCGATGTCAATGCCAGAGGGAAACGCCTTCTTGCCTGCCTCGAACAACTTGGCGAGGTCGTCAGCATTTGCGAGGTTGCCCTGGTAGAGCTCAACCTTGACCTTGGGGAATTCGGATTTGATCTGAGCCTGGAACTTTTCAGCTTCCTCCTTGTTGCTGTGGTAATGGAGGAACAAATTGGCTCCATACTTGGCTAATTCAGCAGCAGTGTGGGCTCCCAAATTCTTGGTGCCTCCAGTGATAAGGGCGGTTTGACCTTCGACAGATTGATTTTGACTCAAGAATGACATTTTGAATTAGTGTTTGAATTAGTGTTTAAACTGGAATGGAGTAGAAAATCGATTAACATGCCCCATTTTTATACCCCAACTGTGGCATAGAACCCTTTGCTATAATTCCGCCTCACCCAGCGATTGTGGAGTGGGGTTTCAGTTGCACCTCAAGAACAATAACGGCAACCCCCTGAATGGGATTTAACCCAGGGTGCAAATGTATGGAAGAACACAAAAGCGGAACTTTTTCAACATCCGCTCTAGTAGAGCGGATGCTAACGGATAGAAGGTGAAACTTCCGCTCTGAGGTTAGCTCTTCACAGCAAGCAAGCAGGTGGATCGTGGCTGTGGGCAGATTCTGGCCACAGTGCGCTCTTAATGCCAACTTCCGCGTCCTCAATTACAAGCCGAGTCTAGAAGGGGAACTTAGCTTGCACCACAATTGTAACGTCCACGCATTGGCACAGAACGTTTCCCTGCATGCCCCGCAGTCGCCAGATTTCACACCGGTGAATGGCCCGTTAGTCACTAGGGGCACCATATACGGCTACAGTAAGGAAGTCTAAATTGAGTGAATTTTGTGGACTATTGACCATGTAGTGGTATGCACGTATTAGCCTTGCCTAACGGCAACAAGCAGATGTGCATTGCCCTGTAACTACCACTGGCACATCCCGTACCCCTTGCAGGGGGGTTTTGGGGCAGCGTCGTCAAGGTTGGATAGATGCGGTGACATGTGGTAGACTGTCCCCATGGGTTGGTGAATTGAGTGTCTGTGCAGTTGCTGCTACGACTGGGGCACAGCTAGCACCGATCACGTGCTGGCCACTCCTCCAGCAGCAGCTCCACAGCAGAGGATGACCATGAGGTTCCCCAACAAGCCCTTATCCGAATCGTAGCAGTTTGTACCCTCGCAGCAGCCAAAGCAGGACCCGCATTCACCCCAGCAGTCTGCACATTGGCTGTCGTCGCTTTTCAAAGGCTGTGATATTTCCGACTCCTGCAACGAGTGGGACGAAGTGCTTTTGCGGAAAGCAGGTGGCGGTGTGGCCTCGTAGGCAGGAGGCAACAGTTCGCTGCTAGTAGCGTCTGGCATTGTGGTGGGCGACTATTAAGCAATGGCTGATATGCTGGTGATATATACACTTCTGTATTGTTGAAGTATGACCTTTGCTAGTTTAAGCCTCGCTCCTGCACTGAGCCCATCGCTCACACACGGCTGACTTGGAGCCATCAGTAGAGAAATGGCGATTGGGCCCAAGGAAGGCTTCACTCTATTTGTGTCCGTATCGCAATGAGTACGAGGATAGGCTTGTTGAGACAAGGTCCGTTGAAAAAGGTGGCATCGGCTGCACGATAGACCTTCCATATAAAGTGCTGGGCTCATCATGACATCCACACATCAATACTCTTCGCAAATAGAAAGTTGCAGATCAACATGTCTACACAGAGGAGAAAGCATGGAACTCCGAAAATACACGAAGCACAAAGAGCTCGACGCGTACTTCGGTCTATATGTTGCCAGGACTCAAATTAATCGTTATATTGTGTCGGTATACTATCGATCTATTAATTCTTACCAGCCTTCTTCTTGTTGGAAGTAGAGTTCTTTGGCAATTCCTTGACGTATGGGATGAATTCTGGCTCCCCTGGAATGTACTTTCTCAAGACTTCAGGCACAACCAAACCATCTTCCTTTTGGTAGTTTTCCAAAATACAGCACAAAGCTCTTTGGGTAGCAGACAAAGTAGAGTTCAAACAGTGAACATACTTCTTTTCCGATTGGTTTTGTTGCTTAATACCACATCTGATTTCCAAGTTACGGGATTGGTAGTCAGTACAGTTGGAACAAGAAACAAGCTCCTTGTATTCCTTTTGGAATGGGAACCAAGCTTCCAAATCGTACTTCTTAGCAGCAGCATTGTTAAGTTCACCGGAAACAATACCAACAACTCTGTATGGCAAACCTAAAGACTTGTAAAATTCTTCGGACAAACCAATCATTCTATCAAATTCATCCCAGGACTTTTCAGGTTCAGCCAAAACGAATTGTTCGATCTTTTCGAAAGCATGAACTCTGAAAATACCCCAAGCATCCTTACCGTGAGAACCAGCTTCTCTACGGAAACAAGAGGAGTAACCAGCGTATCTGACTGGCAATTGCTCTTGTGGAGACTCGAACCATTCACCAGCATGGTAAGCGGAGATTGGTTGTTCAGAAGTGGCAATCAAGTACTTTTCATCTTCACCGTCGATGACCTTGTACAATTCTTCGTCGAATTGAGATAATTGGGCAGTTCTAGCCATAACGTCCTTGTTCATCATAACTGGGGCTTGCAAAGGAGTGTAGTCGTTCTTGGCCAAGAAACTCAAACCATAGTTGATCAAAGCTTGGTTCAAGAAAACACCATAGTTTCTCAAGAAGTAACCACGGTGACCAACAATTCTGACACCTCTTTCTGGGTCGTAACCGTCCAATCTTAATAAGATTTCATGATGGGATAAGGAGGCTGGAGCACCGGTGGCAGAAGCGGTTTGGCTAACCTCGTAATTTTCTGGGGCCCAGGTTCTGACCAATTCGTTGTTGTCTTCATCCATGGAAACAACCACGGATTCGTGAACAATGTTACCGACTTGGTTGACCTTGAATCTCAAGTCAGCATCGGCCTTTTGTTCCTGTTCAACCAAAGTCTTCTTTTCTTCGGTTAAACGGTCCTTGGTGGCGATGAGCTCACTGGCATCTTCCTTGGCCTTGAACTTTTGTCCAATTTGCTTTTGGGTGCTGTTAATTTCCTTGTTCTTAGCATCCAAGTCAAATCTAATCTTGGTCCAGTTCTTGTAATCGTTGATGATTTCATCGACTAATTCGACCGAGGCACCTCTCTTCTTTTGAGACTCCTTGATCTTGTCTGGTTCACCACCCTTTTCGACGAGGAAAGCGTTGATATCTAACATTGTGTTGGTATTAGCGTGTTTGATGTCGTGAGTCAAAGTTTTCAAGATGGAAAAATGGCTGAGATTATGTGCAGGTCATAGGGCTAAGACAAGAGAATGACGATGCAAGAAAACGAAAACACATAAGTTCCGGCTTGATTCAAGTCAATCTTGTCCAGAAGATTGTCATGTTAGCCCTAGCCAGTTGCTCCGTCGTACCGTAGAGTAACAGTTTCATGCATTGGTCAAGAATAGTCGAAACTAATTCTCACGTGACACTGATATCTAATGTAGATTTGCACCTATAGAAACCGTCATGCAATCACTTCTTCTAGACAGGGCAGTCGGAGCTATAGGGAACGTGGAATTTGCCACGACAGTATCGGAAACATCGCTTTCTTTCCTTAAGCAGAATGCTCTTACCTCTGTGTTTCCTCACAATTGCCACCACAATGCAAGTGTGAATAGCATGTCTCTAGAAGGAGACAACCGGTTCCTTCTAAGTGGATGTGCCGACTCAAGTATCAAATTATGGGATTTACAAAGTCAGGAGCATAAAGAAGAAGTTGAACAGAAACATCATTCAGACTATGATAACTACGACTTTGACCATCCAGGGTCCACTTTCGCAAACATTGCTACCATACCGAGAAAGTCTGCTCATAATTTTGGGGTTTCAAGCATCCAATGGTGGCCCTATGATAGTGGAATGTTTGTTAGTGCATCTTTTGATCACACTGTCAAAGTCTGGGATACAAACGAATTACTGCCGGTGCATACTTTTGAGATGAATAATCGGGTCTACTCTATTGATGTGAATGGGAGCAAGACCTCAACATACTCCGTATCTGCTTTGGTAGCAGTAGGCAGTGATCAGCCATTCATTCGTCTTTTAGATCTTCGTTCTACCTCCAGTGCCCAAATGCTTACTGGCCATAAAGGAAAGACTCTATGCGTTAAATGGCATCCCCAAGATCCAAATATTCTAGCCTCAGGAGGCTATGATGGTGAGGTCAAAATATGGGATATTCGTCGTAGCAAGAGTTGTTTGGCCCGCTTGGATATGTTAAGGACAAACCTGCAATCTCTTCATTCGGACAATTTGACAAAAGCCTCTGTGAAAGCCCATCTGGGGCCGGTAAATGGCTTGCTATGGAATGAATTAGGGACAACGCTTTTTACGGCAGGTAACGATGACAAAGTTCGTGTTTGGGACATGGTTTCTTCGTTGGCACCTCCCATCAATAAATTGGTCAACTTCGGACCCTTGACAAGGAACAAGTATCCCCAATGCACACCCATGGTGCTCAACCCTGTAGCCGAAAGTGAACTACAGTATCTTCTTTTTCCTTCTGATACTGGTGATGTGTTCATGTTCAGAACTGTTGATGGAAAGATGGTATCAAGGCTTTCACGAAAGGGTACAAAAAACAACGGACGAACCACCTCAATGGTGAATGCGGGTGCATTTACTGGTACCTATTACTGTGGTACAATGGATGGAGAGATCATCACTTGGTCTCCTCACTGGGATACACCTAATCAACGTGATTTGATTCCCGAAAGCTTGGATATTGATAGTCATGAAAATCGCGATCGGTTGGCACAAGAAGCTAAAGATATTATCGACAAAGACTCTAATTTCAATTTTTAGAGTAATTAAATTTATTGATAACTTCAAAAGACAAGACCGATTATATTTCATTGGTGTGCCAGACTAATACTAAACAAAATACTCCATATTTTCTTCAATTTGCTAGCTCTATGGCAATGGTAGGCAGAGCAATTGACGAGCAAATTTGGTATTCCTGGTAGCCAGTTCTATACTGCTCTATCTGCCTTTTGCTGAGTTTTGAAAGAAAATCAATACCTCTCAATCCATCTAGTTGCCCAAGATGATATAACCGTATCAAGTGCTCAACATCAGATGCGATCCAAGGAAATTCTCTAAAATCACCACTTCGAGTTCTTTTAAATTGGTACCGGGCGTATTTAATCACGTTATCAATCTGAAACCCTATTAGGGCATTTTGAACCCTACTTTTTGATTCTCGAAATAACTTGAGAAGGATCGAATTCCCCTAAGATTGCTTCTAGTACTACACGCGGACTTTATTCGGGTTTCACATGAGGATTTAATAAGCTATTTGCTTCAAGGTTAGTCAGCTACGAGCTGTACAATAATAGTGACTTGGTATAGAACCGGTTAAATCTGGCAAGTTCCGAAAAATGTGTCAAAATAGTGCAAGATTTATACAGAACAGAAAACTTTAGTATTAAATTGAAAAACCACCAAACTACTCTCTGAAAGATCTATGTATATTCGTACCGTCCCTGCAGCAAGCCATGGATGTGTTCGTAGTTTCCTTGTGACATCGAGACACCCAACCCTGTTTCGTGAGCTTCATCCGTAGCACGTGATATCGGCATCACTATGGCTGAAAAAATGAAAACCGATTACCGCTAAATCCCTGTACTATCGATCTTATCCGATTGCTTGAGTAATCCATAATACCAATCATGGGCAAATTTAAGATACAGGCTCTACTCATTCCTGAGATCTACTTGACCTCCTCCGAGGAATCTGGTAGATCTACCTTCGGATCAACTAAACGATTCTTACACTTGGCCAATCCTAAGGACGAACTACATACTGTAATGGAAGCAATAAGTGCCCGTTTTAAGAAATTGTATCCCACAGAAGATGAATTGCAAATAGTGAAACTTCAGGATAGTCGCTTTTGTGACTTGGATCCCGACTATGTGTTAGAAGATGTGTTAGAAAGTGAAGACGTGTTGCGAGTAATTGTGAATAACACTTTCCACAGAGTACTACCAACAGCAACTCCATTGGGGAACAAATCATCAGACTTAGCCCAAAGCACACCTTTGTTGCCCTCGGCTCCTTCGCTCATTGATGACACTACCTTACCAAACAGTCGGAAGAGAACTCAAGCATATTTTGACCAAATCGACCCTCATATTCCCAGCAAATCAAGTAGAAATGCAAGTAACTTCCACTTGGAAGCTCCCAAACTCAGTGTCAAGAAGACCAGGAAGAAATCCTCGCCGGTGTATGATGCTGACGATAGCAATATCTCGTTACCGCCTCCAGAAATCGAGTCTAATCTCACTATTCCCGTCAAGCCATTCGTCCCAAACACCACTGAATCAAGTAATGGAAAGAGGAACGGCCGGATAACCTCAGGTATGTTGACCATGCCTATCCATACTCAATTAGAACATGATGACATCTTGCAATCTCCAAATAAAGAATATTCCGGTTCTCCTAGCAGTTCAATGAATTCTTTTACTAGTCTTGACGAGCTTCCTGAGCAATACACTGTCAACCCTAAGCAAAGTGGTGATCAATTATCGGGATCGTCCCTGGGCTCTAGCCCCGAGCCTCAGCAAACACAGAAACCTACTAAACCACAAAAGTCAAACCACAAGAGCAATGTCTCTGCTCAAGATGATACACTCTCGAAGCAGGAGATTCTCGATATTTTTAAGAAAGAAATTGTTAAGCCACAAGCTGAAATAAAAGGTGCCATTCATAAAAGTGCAACGAAATACAATAAGGTTCCTAAAAAATTAATTAAAAGCCTTGAAATAGACATGGTTGAAGGCAATACTGCGTTAGCTTCGATATCGGGTCCTAGAAGCAGAACTTCGAAGAGGTCGCTTTCGATTGGATCTAAGGATGCAACAAAATTGGATTCTGAAGACGATGAAGAAGATAGCGAATCTGTTTCGGACGACGACGAAGACTATGTCATTGCACCTAAGACTGGTTCAGCTAAAGCCGCTACTGTTCTTGTTCCTAAAGGCGGTAGTAGGAAGTCGAATAGATCACTTTCAACTGGATCCAAGGATGCTTCAAAAGTGGAAACTGAAGATGAGGTGGAAGATAGCGAATCCGATTCGGCAAATGAAGGCGGCAAAGAAGATTCTGTCAGTTCATCTAAGGTCGGTTCAAAGAAACCCACTGAAAATCAAATTACATCAAAAACTATTGCAGATGGAAGTTCCAAAAGTCAAGCTCCTTCTAAAACTATTGCAGATGGAGATTCTAAAGGTCAAACCCGTTCTAAAAATATTACAGAGAAAGCCACTCAAATTCAAGATTCTTCTAAGATTGTTGGAGATACAACCTCTCAACTTAGAGATCTGCCCGCTTTATTGAAAAACAATAAAGTTGCTAATACATCACAAATTCAGACAGACTCATCTGCTTCAAATAAGGTTAAACTGGCAAAGGCAGATAAGCCAAAGGCTGTCCCAAAGGAGAAAGCGGCTCCGGAGATAAATATAGACCCTGAATTAATCTCTCGTTCGTCATCTCCAATGAGTGGTGGGCAATCTTCCAATACTTCTGAGGCTGCAACTCCCTCAAAATTGAGAATGATTCATTTACTCAACAGACTTAGATCTTATGAGTCTCAGTTAAGTTCGTATAAACAAGGAAATAGTTTCACCCCAGATCTCCTTAGAAGAACGGAAGAAAAAGAGGAAGGTTTATTAGACCATACTATCAAACTAACCAGTGGAAATCTGAAAGTCCTCAAGGATGGTAAAATCGTTCAGCTGGACAAAAGTACATTGAAGTCCAATCTTTCAAGTGTCCCAAACTCCCCTTCTAAGCTGTTTTCTTCATCTAAAGGATCCAATATCATCAATTCTCCATCAAAGAGATTTGCATCGCCTTCTATTGTACCTGGCATTCAAACTTTTGATGCGGACAATTTGAAACTGCAAGCAAACAAGGAGCGAGTTGGCTTGGAAACCGGTGCTCTTGCATCTGTCAACGCTTCCAAAGTCGAAAAAGTTCAAGTAGAAAATGGTACTAGTGAGTACAAAAACATATCTTCAGCAGTGGCAGAAAAGCTCAAAAGATTCCCTACCAATGGAGCTGGAGATAGTCCATCACTCCCTAGGCTGCCCTTACCTCCCAGTAGTGTTCAAGTTCTGCCAATGATACAGTCTAGCACCTCAAATAAACCTAACCAGGGATCGAAGGAATCGACTTTGGAGCTCCAAGCTGAGCCACTTCCTCCAGCACAAGCGTTGGCTGCTAGTGTCAACACTAATAGCACTAAAAATGGTAAAGTTTTACCTTCAACAAATAAAGGAGCCGAATCAGTGCATTTACCACAAGGATCGATATCTCCCTTTTCTGCTGAAGGTAGCCCTACTCCTGCTAAAGGACTCAGCCATTTGGTTCCACTTAAAGCGCCTTCCCCTTCGAGAAATTTGAACACCAATAGCCCCATCTTGCCTAAAGAAGTGAAGGCTGTAAGCATTGATGCCAAGGGCGTTCAGAGTCCTGGTTTTCATATCACATCTAGTCAGGTACCAGCCTTGAAGGCAGCGACATTACCTCCAACTACTGTTCCATCCAACACAACAAGTCCAAGAACCTCAGAGAGCTCACAATCTAGCATTAAGAAGCTAAATAAGGTTACCCCACCAGCAAAGGCGAATGACTCACCAAAGATACTTCCAAAATCTACCCCAGTGACTTCTCAAAAATTGAAAACCCCAATAGTCCCACCGAAATCACTGTCTCCAACTGCTCCACCAAAACCAAAACAGGTTTCTCCGGCTAACAGGTTGGATGCCAAGAGAAAGTTTGATGCTTCTTCGGATGAAAGTGAATCAGACTCCTCTGATTCTTCTGATTCTGATGCAGAAGTGAGTGAAAGTAAAAGACCTCGTTTAGTTACATCAGTTCCAGCGGCAAAAAAATCACAATCACCTTTGGCTGCCAGTACTTCAAAGCCAGCTAACAAAAAGGTAACACCAACTACACCTTCAAATCTTGCGAAGTTGAAAACCCAAGCAACTACAGAGACCAAAGTTAAGCCAAGTTTACCATCAAAACAGTCACCCTCTGTCGTCACACCACCAGTTTCAAAGATTCCAGCGAAGCCATTTTCATCAAGCAAGATCAAAAAGCCAATTTTGACTTCGTTGGAAGACTTAGCATTGAGAGGAGTTCCTGAAGTTAAGGAGTCTGTTGGGAAGAATGTTCCATCCACATCTCAACAATCGAAAAAATTCAGCTTACCAGATGGTTCAAGCTCGGACGATGAAAGTGAGAGTGAAAGTGATAGTGAAAGCGATTCTAGCAGTGATAGTGATGACGACAATGAAGAGTCTGAAAAGTTCATTAGCATTAAGAAAGTTACTAATCAAACGCCCAAGAAGAAGGGCAATTTATTCAGTAGTCTTAAACGTTAGGACTAAGGATCCAGTCACCTACTGCATGAATTACTAAAAATGTATTATTAAGTAAAATTCAAACAAATTAAGCTGTAGACTTGTTCAAGTTACCTTGGGTTTCTTGAAAACCAAAGAACGACCCATAATACTAAAGGTCCAGTTGGCATAGCTAACTTCGGGAGGTAAGGTCTGAGTTATCACCTTCAATATACTTTCATAAATCTGTGCCACAAATTCTTCGGCAACTTCAGGCTGTTCTATGAACAATGCTCCCACATATGACTCAAAATAATCACCAAGAAACTCCTCTTCATAAATTCTGGTCTCCTCTGCATCTCTGTGCTCGTGTAACTCTCCAGAGAAGACATAGGTGAGGTAATCCTTTGCTATTACATCTGTGAAAACCGGATCATCCAACCCCATGTGAAGCTTGTATGCAATTGATAACTTTGAAAGTAATGTATTGGTTGCCAAAATAGTTCTTAACATCTGGTAGATGTGTGAGTGCATCCTGCTGTAGTCACCCGCAAGATACAACTGGTACAATAGCTTTGATGACTCCCGAGCCAAAAAGAAATCACCCAACCCATCAAGAAATGAAAGCTCATACCGGTAGATGCTATAATTCTTGGGGTTCAAATCATACCCGAACTCTGTCAACTGCTTGGCCACATTATGGTTTGGATTCAATAGGACGCGATAAGATTCCTTGTGCATTAACGCCTTAACGAGAAGTTCCTTGTTTCTTATTCTTGGTAATGGAGGCAAATAGATATGACTGTCCTGTGTTTCATATAAAGTAATGTACTTTGTCTCGTTATTGTATAACTTCATTTCATTAATTCCCACTGTGGCAAAGTAGTCCTTAAGTATGTTAAAAGAGTTTTCATCCTGCTCATCAAATATGCACCTTGGGTGATGTTCTAGGTATGACAACTTCTTGGATTTGATATAAATGTCAATAATCTTATCGGTGAACTCTTCAACATCAAAATCGGAACGGCACAGCTGTAAATAACCTGTGAAGATATACAACCACTTGGAGGTGCTTCCAATATTGTAATTGCAAGAAGTCATCTTCTCATTTTCACTCATAGCCTTGAGGTAAAGATTTGAGTTCGAAGACAAGAATATCAAATCTCGCAACTGCTTGGATGGCAAAGTGTCGTCACTCTGCAACTCCTTCTTTATGAAGGTAGTTATGTCATGTACCACTGCCTTGATTGTTCCACCTCCTCCAAGCAGCAACAAGTGGTTGAACTTTCTGTATGTAGCAAGTCTCAAGAGATCAGCTCCAAGGCTGTACAAGTGGCACTTGATCCACGGAGTGGCCAATAAATTGTGAAGTTCCAAAGGAATTAAGATAGAACCGTCGTTAGCCATGTTCTTAGTATGCATCTGTAGCTTATTGTAATAATTAGTTCCATGAAATCCGATTCGTTGCTTACTGGCTCGTATCATGTTGGGCCTGGTATCTTATCTTTATATAGGTCTGCAATAGTGACTAATTTGTGAAACCCAGGTGAGGAGTAATTTAAGGAATGAGTCAGGTTAGAGCCAGCTAGCAGGATTTTTGCGGCCAGAACTGGGAAATTTTAGATAGTCAATTGAGTGCTTGATGCGTTTGTGTGTTGTTTTGTCTTGCCTTTGGGAGAACTATGCTGCTGTTCTGTTGAATTCAAGTCGAGGCGTGACTGGATGCGATATGACTCAGGTGGGACGATATGGTTCCACTCTCGCTTTGTGAGTGTTCTTTGCAACTAATCAATATAGGATGAAACTAGATATGATACTCTAGAATATGAATGGCTGGTTCCCTCTTATCTGTTTCTTATCGTGTTTGATCCTGATGTTATCGTTCTATCGCAAGTTTACCCCAGAAAAAAACCTGATCGTGACGGGTTAAGCTTGTTCGCAAATGGGTGTATAGGAATTGTGACTATGAACCCGAACTGACTAGTTGATTAGCTGGACGTGCTGGTTCTGGTGTGGAATCCTATGATCTTAGAAACAACAGATCACCTGTCACATCATGGCTTATCCTTAGGGGGTTTGTTCTATTTACACAAAAGTGAGCGCGATTGCAAAAACGTGGTAGCAACCCCGATATGTCCCATAAGCATGGGCCACGGTTCTCAATAGCTGATCTACAGAGTCACGCTGTCGTAAGCAATCATGACTGCTCAAATACGAGATGCCTACATCCTACTTGTTTCCGCTCAGCGGATGGGATGCTACAGGTCACTGATAAACAGTCTAGATAAAGCTGTGATTGTATTGATTGAATACTATCATCTAAGCTCGAGTCCACCATCCTTGTTTAGACAACCAGGCTTAATCTGTTAGGCATTCATTAATTGGCTATTGTGACTGGCAAGTCATGACAAAGGACTGTACAGAGGGTGATATCACCCTCTACGTTGGTACACCCCCACTTCAACAGACGATTACTAAAGCCCTGTCTAACCTGTATAGCTTTTCCAGCTGGGGGAATGTTCGTGATATTCCCTTCTATTAGATTCAATGGGGTAGGTTTCTCACAATTCGTACATTATGCCCGAAAACAGAAATAGACTATCTATCACCAGCTAAGATTGTGCCATTGGTTTGGTATTTGCAAATCTACACGTTTTATTTGACATTTGTCTGAAATGGTGTCTGTGTTAGCTTGGTTTATAATTTCTTAGATTAAATGCAAAATTCTAGAATCTTGCCATTTTTTTAACTACAAAGCTGTTGGTACTCCTCATTTCATTTTCAGATAACTAATCTACAGAATAAGCCCAATACTGGCATTTGAAAGCATCTGTTATTGGAATCATAAACTAAAGTACTGCAAGGGGGGTGGGGGGAGGAGAGCGACTTTAGTCTTTGAGAGTTGCGCGCTCTTCTTGCTCAATCGCGAGTTCAAATTATAGAAGCCTATGCACAAGCCAGCAGTGCTGAAGTTTCAATTTATACATTGGAGAGCTCAGAATCTCTTTATCGAAATAACCTGAGAAATACTAGAAGTAGTTATCAATAGTTTCACGTGAGAAGTTTATTCAGTGTAGCCTCGCAACTAGTTTAGCTGAATTGAAATTTAACCATCAAATAAATTTTTCTGTCATGACTCGTGGACAAATGCACATAGTAGTTAGAGCGGCGTGACAAGAAGATAAATGATTTTGTTCTTCTTTGCAGCTTGGGAGTATCGACAATTTACTCTCAATATTCCCTATATTAGCCAATAAACCAACCACGATTAGCAACATAACATTATAAACCCATAGTAATGAGAAACTATTTGTCAATTATTTTCACTTGCAAGAAATAAGTTCTTTTTTTCACAATTTTTTTGGCAGCAATCTAGCTGATCTGAATATACATTCCATTCCATTATTCAACAAGATGCCTGCGTAGCGTAATGGTTAACGCGTTTGACTTCTAATCAAAAGATTCCGGGTTCGACTCCCGGCGTGGGTTCTTCTTGCGGTTTTAGCTCAGTTGGGAGAGCGTCAGACTGAAGAGATTCAGTCACAGTTAATCTGAAGGTCCTGTGTTCGATCCACAGAAATCGCATTTTTTTGCCCTAGAAAATCCCACAACATTAGTTGTACAATTTTTGTGCCAGTTACTGGTTTTACTAGTTAATACATTGATGTCGTTGCTAGACTTCTAGCTGTTCATTCATTCTGTATCTATCTATAATTAATCCTTTGGCTTCTTATCGATTTCAAAGTGTTCTATGCAAAAGTTTCTTAAGTCAAGAAACAGGGAAGTTAGGAATTGGTTCAATAAACTCTCTCCAATAATCAACTTGAAATTGCACAAGTAGAGAAAACCAACCTCAACCTTAAACAAGTCTTTCGGCGAAACACCCCCAACTGTAGCAAACGATTTCTGCTTCTGATAAACATCTTCTAGATTTTTGGTGGAACAACGTATCGATGCCAATATGAAGCGATATGCATTCATTTGTGTTAATGGAACTATATCAAGCAATACTGATAATTTGAACATCAACAATGCTGAGTGAATGTATGACGATACTGAAATAGAAGAAGAATAAGTCTTGATACGGAGTAAAAAGTCTGTGATCAGCAATGGTGGGAGCTTGACTAAATTGAATGATTTGAGGAGATGTGAGTTCTGAACCAAACGTTTATTCTTTTGGCACGAGAAGAACTCCTTCCTGAATCTCTCAGGGCACGACGAGTCGATAGGGGTCTCTACCTCGTCTAAGGAAGTGGATTTGACTAGTTGCTCTATTGGGACAAAAGGGGCGTCTTCTTCTCCCTCCTCATCCTGGGACTCTGGGGTGGCCTCGGCATACTGGCCGAAATCGTTCTCCGCAAGCGAAAAGCTCGAAGGTTCATTTAATTTGGTGAACTTTAACGGAGGTGAGCTCGGAGGGGTTGAGGAGTGAGAGTTTCCGTACTTCATTAGCCCGATCTGATCGATTTCGGGGGTCCTGACTGCAGAAAGTTCGATGCCAAACTTTGCCAATTGTGTAGCTCTGAACTGTTCGAACAAAGCGGGGTGTTCTTGCAATTTGATGATGTCTTGAAGGGTTTGGGATAATACTAGGATTGCATGGAATACATGGAGCTTGTTGATGTTTTTGATTCCGTGGGTCAAGTCAAACATGAGCTCGTCAATGCTGCATTCGTCCAAGCTGGTGGGATCATCCACGAAGGTCTCCACCGGCGGTTTCAACGGTATGTCCGATATGTCCTTGGAGTAAGTCATGGGTGGCAGGAGGGGTGGCTGGAACAAACGAGGAGATGGTGCTCAGCAAGTAGGTAGGTGTAGAATGTGATTTGATAGGGGCCAAGTAACACAAATAGAGTCTGGGGAATCACGAAGAATCACAAGGATGGATCGTATTTTAGATCAGTATTGTCTTTTTCTGGGGCTCAAAAAAGGAGCGTGGAGCGAGGCGGAGAGGCCAGGAACGAGGACGTAAAAAGTGGTCAGCGCTGACTGGGAACGAGTTAGGCAAGAAGTGAGGGCCAGACGTTACGGTGGAGGAATATGGGTCTGTCACGCGTGGTTAGCGTTGAGAGTTGAGATGTCAATTGCGATAGCCAATGTCGCGGTGTCATCGCACGAGGGAATGTCTGAGATTGGACCGAGACGGCCTCGGGACGCTATCACGTGGCCGGGCTCACGTGAGAACGGGTCACCCTTGCGATCTGGTTATTCTGTAGCTATCAGAGGGTGCAATTCGGCCAGATTTCTGGGCTGGTGGCAGTGCTAGTGCCATCCGTGTCCCAGCCCCCAAAAGTCTTGGACTGCTTGGCTACTTGGCCACTTGCTGGTTGGCCCGTGCTTGGCGTCATCACGTGGCGCCGTCGCCAGGTGCTGCGGCCCGTCCTTCGCAGGTGGCAGTCGTGTGCAACTGCTCATCGCTGCGGTGAGCTGCCACTACCGTGGTGGTAGTGGCGGAAGCACTCCAGCAGTCGCACCACCGCCCCAAGCCACGGGAGCAGTAAACTTCACCTCTCGCCACCTCTCGTCACCTCTCGTCACTCTACGATTGTTAGTAGCGATTGCGCTCGGAACCCCTACTGTGCGCGCTTCGCGACAATAATATTTCACAACGCGGTGGGTTTCTTTTTCAAGGGCTCCCCTACTATTTTTACCTTTGTTTATATGGTGTCCAGGTGAGTGTCGTGCCAGCTTGCGCCCATAAACTGCAAATCTTTTGTGCGCGCAGGCTCGCGCACTGACCCCACGGAAAGATCAGCACATCGGGGCCCACTAGAAATTTTCATTAGCCCGAACCTGCAAACCTCAGCCCCCAAACACTCAAACCTACAATCCCACGCATCGAAGCCTCCTAGATCGTTAACCGTTGCTTGTAATTCACCTCACCTTTTCTTTTACCACCATCCACTATCCAACAGGGCCTAGCACCCCGTGAGTGACCCAGCAACTTCCCTACGTCCTCGTTTCCACGTGCACGTATATCCCATCAAGCGACCCAGTACACCGGTGGTGCCGCTTCGATCCGCCCTCCGTTTCCTCCTCCTGGTCACTATCGACTCCCTGTGTGCTTCCCTGAAGAAAGGTTCCCCAGCCTCCACACTCGCTTACTATGAAGGTGTCCGTGTTGTCGGTGTTGTTGACAGCACTCTTCCTCCCCTTCGTCGCCCATGCCAGAAGAACACTTTCCGCCACCTCCTTGGTGACGTGTATGGAGAACTCCCAGATCTCCCCCACCTACTTCAACGTCACCTTTAACCCTGACGACAGGTCGTTGAAGTATTCGCTCGACTTATCCACCAGTTTGAGTTCCAAGGTCATTGCCGAGGTCGAGGTCTATGCCTACGGGTTCATGATTATCCACAAAACTGTCGACTTGTGTGATCTTGGCTGGAAGCAGTTCTGCCCCATCTTCCCCGGTACCATGCAAGTGGAGTCCATCGAGTACATCTCCAAAACCTACGTCGACGAAATCCCGGGAATCGCGTTCTCCGTGCCGGACATCGACGCCGTGGTCAAGGTTTTTGTCCGTGATGCCGACACCGGAGTCCAGCTCTCATGTCTCCAGTCCTCGTTTTCCAACGGTAAGACCATCAACCAAACTGGGGCTAAGTGGGCCACTGCAGTCATTGCTGGTTTGGGTCTTTTGATCGCCGCCATCATGTCCACTTTCGGCAACTCCAATGCAGCATCTCACATCTCAGCTAACTCGGTGTCTCTTTTCTTGTACTTCCAAAGTGTGGTCGTGGTTTCTATGCAGCATGTCGAGAGAATCCCTCCCATCGCCTCCTCGTGGTCTGAAAATTTGGCCTGGTCTATGGGTTTGATCAGAGTGGGGTTCATGCAAGATATCTTCAGGTGGTACGTCCAGCTGACTGGTGGTACTCCTACTCTTTTCTTGAAGGGTACCACCAGACAAATCTTGGTTCAAAGAGCTTACAACTACTTGTCTGAGTTGCACAAGAGGGCCACCGACATCAGTTTGAAATCGAACGTTAACTTGATCGTCATGAGAGGTATCAAAAGAGTCGGTTACAATGCCCGTATTGAGTCCACCTCCATCGTCACTACTGGATTCACCTTCTTCTTCATCATTGGTTACATTTTGGTGGCTGTTTTGGTGATCTTCAAGTCTGTTGTGGATTTGTTGGTCAGATTCAACAAGATCAATCCAAACAAGTTCTATACCTTTAGAACCTCCTTCAGTGTTATTTTAAAGGGTAGTCTTCTTAGGTACATTTACATTGGTTTCACCCAACTAATGATCTTTTCACTTTGGGAGTTCACTCAAAATGACTCCCCAGCGGTTATTGTTCTTGCTGTCCTCTTCATTCTTCTTGCATTGTCAGTTATCGGACTTTCATATTACAAGACCATTCAATTTGGAAGGCGTTCTATTCAACAGTACAACAACCCTGCAGCTTTGTTATACGGTGATCCAAGAATTTTGAACAAGTATGGTTTCTGTTATACTATGTTCCATGCTGAAAAGTACTGGTTCGGAATTGTCCTTATTGGCTACAACCTTTTGAAAGCCATTTTCATTGCTTTATGCCAAGCATCCGGAAAGGCCTCAGTGGTGGTATTATTCATCCTCGACTTAGCCTACACCATTTTCTTGATTTGGCAAGCTCCTTACTTGAACAAACCAACAAATGTTTTGAACTATTTAATTTCGGTTGTCACTACCATTAACTCCTTCCTCTTCCTTTTCTTCTCTGATTTATTTGGTCAACCTGCTGCTGTGGCTTCCATTATGGGATGGGTTTTCTTCATCCTTAATGCCGCTTTCTCGTTGATCTTATTGATCTTGGTTATTGTTTTTGTCGGATTGAGTATCATCTCCAAGAACCCAGACGCCAGATTCGCACCTGCCAAGGATGATAGATTCTCTTTCCAGCAAATGAATTCTGCTAAACAAAGACAAGGTACCAAGCCAGATGGTACTCCATACGACAATGGAGGTTTCAATGAAAAGGATGGTCATGGCAATCAAGAATTAGCGGCTTTGGGTATTGCAGCCCAGGATCATTCTAATAACTGGGAGTCTGAAATGTACAAATTAAATTCCCCAGGAATTGATGGATCCAACAATGATATGTTGACTCCTTCCATGCGTCAAGATGATCACTTTGGAGATACTTCAAGTGGTGATAAGGAAGTCGAAGACTCGGAAGCTACTCTTAATCACCAATTACTGCAGAAAAGCAATGGTGGTTCCTTGGGAGCTAAGCTTAAGAATTTGACTCGTGGCTTATCTATGAGATCCAATAAAGAAAAGGCTGACGTCAGGGCCGAGGCACCAAAGCACAAGAATATCACAAGATTGAGCGACACATTGCCGGATGCTAGTTCGATGCCTTCACCAACTCATAGTCATAAACATGATTCCAACACCCCGATAAACTCAAATTGGGAAGTTTACAATGAAGGCCACGATGTGGTCGGAAATGGAAGATACAATGAACCAAACTCACACAGCACTCATAATAGAAATCAATCTAACATTTCAAACATGTCTATGGAGAATGGGCCACAGCGTGCAAAGGGCTTTATTTGAACTATGCATCCAATCACTGGTGCTCCAATGCAATAAAATACGTAAAGAATTTCGGTTAGAAGTACCTTTCTTCCTCCACTACCTATTTTTCCATTTTCCTACGTTATATATTTTGGGACCTGTTCTACTATTCATTTCTGACTGTTGCCCTGCAACTTTTTCATGTATCCCTTATACTAATAAAAGCATTCGAAACTGATCTGTAACTAGCTCCAAAACATTTGAAGTTGTCTCAAGTACTCTTTACCCTTATCAGTCAGGGCAAGTATAATACTGAACTTTTGATCTTTCGTCATAATTGGCAAGTTTTCTGCCACTGACCTCAGGGCCGGCTCACCTAATCCAGACTTTAACATTCGAATATTGAGCAATTTGGCAAAGTATGCCAAGTTAGCGCTGGCAACCAATTTTCCAATGAAATTAGATGAACGCCCCACTGTTCGAGAAATTAAATCGAGCTCATAGCGTTCGTACTTGTAATTTTCATTAACATCAATACCTTTGGCCCAATCTAGATTGTTAACCCCTGAAAATCTTAAATCCAACGGAGATGGGCTAGACAAATATGGCAATGAATGCTTGACTGACGCAGTTTTCACATCAAATTCCAACCATTGGATGGTCATATCTTGTGCAATCAATGGCAGAATAGGAATTGATCTCGAGGCTTCACACTTGAATTCTAGCGAATAAATCGGAAGGTTATTTGTAATTTGCTTAAGAACTTCGTTTCTGTGACTTAAAGGCACTGGGCATTCGAACAATCCCCCTACAAATGTGCCAGGCATGTAAAATGTATAGTTTCTTTTAGCATGCTTCCTTCGCCGAGCCATCTTGTAACACGCAACCCTCTTCTCAATCTGCCGTTCTTCAGACTTTTCCATCCCCAACCAGTCCGACACAGGTAGGATACCATTTAAAATGGTCACTTTATCCGTGAAAGCATCGAAGTTTGTTTTCACCACTTCCTTCCAGCCTACTAGGGGAACTTGATTGGATTGGGTAGTATTTGGCAGAATGCTTGGGAGGTCTGGATTTTTGGTGGCTGGCTTCAACATGCAGAATGGTCTTTCCCAATCAATGTCAACTGTACTAATGGATTGGTAGGAGTTTCCATAGTCGTTCTTCCCGTAGTTGCAGTGATCTAAAGAGACTAGGTGAGTGCTTGTTAGGCCAGCGAGATCCAAATGGTGAATTCGATTTATCTTAAATCCTGAAAATACATAAAAGTTGGACAGAGAAGGATCACAGGTCTTTGCTTCTTTGAACAACCATGAGCCCATTACCTGTCCAAAGAGCAGGACAAAGAGAAATGGCAAAACCAACATATGGTAAGTTGGTGTGCACAGAAACATATTTAGCAGCCAGTCTCAGAGTGATGCACGTGACCAAATTCTCATCTCTGAGATGAGGCCGATGATATGCAAAAAATTCAACCTCACCTCACTAACAGTGGCACTACAGCATGGACACTCAACAAAGTAACAAGGCCCATCGAGGGGGGTCGTCGAGAACCACAGCAAAGAAGAAGTTGCATCAAAATGGACTGAACGCAAAGGCATTCGCTGTGAATGCCCCAAGAAAGTTGGAAAGGCAAGCCAGAAGATCTCAAGATGTTAATGAAAAAAAGTTGCATGTGCCGATGGTGGATAGAACACCTGATGACGATCCTCCACCTGTGATTGTGGCCGTCGTAGGTCCACCAGGTACCGGTAAGACCACCTTGATCAAGTCCTTGATCAAGAGATTGGCCAAGACCACCCTTACTGAAATCAAAGGTCCCATCACCATTGTCAGTGGTAAGAGAAGAAGATTGACCTTTATTGAAGTAGGAAATGACTTGAACTCTATGATTGATGCTGCCAAGATTGCTGATCTAGTTTTGATGTTAATCGACGGTAACTACGGACTTGAGATGGAAACCATGGAATTCTTAAATATTGCCCAACATCATGGTATGCCTCGTGTTCTAGGAGTAGCCACGCATTTGGATTTGTTCAAGTCCCAGAGTACCTTGAGGACCTCAAAGAAGAGATTGAAGCACCGGTTCTGGACTGAAGTCTATCAAGGTGCAAAACTATTCTACCTTTCGGGTGTCATGAATGGAAGATACCCAGACAGAGAAATTTTGAATTTAAGTAGATTTATCTCAGTTATGAAGTTCAGACCTTTGAAGTGGAGAAACGAACATCCCTACCTTTTGGCTGATAGAATTACCGATTTAACACATCCACAAGACATAGCAGACAATCCAAAGTGTGATAGAAAAGTAGCTATCTATGGTTACTTGCATGGTACCCCCTTACCTGCTCAAGATGCCCATATTCATATCACAGGTGTTGGTGATTATCATGTTCAGTCTGTCGAAAAGTTACCAGATCCATGTCCAACCCCATACTACGAGCAAAAATTGGATGAGTTAGAAAGAGAAAAGGCCAAAGAGCAAGCAGAAAAAGAAGGTACAGTGGCCAAAACTACCAGAAGAAGAAAGAGATTGGAAGACAGACAAAAGATCATCTATGCCCCAATGTCCGATGTAGGTGGTGTTTTAGTCGACAAAGATGCTGTATATATCGACGTTGGAGCTAAGGAGTCCTTTGCTCCTGGTGAAGAAAATGATGGAGAAGGTGAAAGATTGGTGACTGATTTACAAGAAGTCCAAAAGACCATGGCCGAGAGATTCGAGGAAGGTCCTGGTTTGCAATTATTCTCTTCATCCAAAGCATTGAATGAGGTCGATTCCGAAGAAGAACAGGAAGAAGGGGGCTTGTTATCGGACCTTGAAGAAGAGGAGCAAGAGAGTAACGGAAATATCGGAAGAACATCCATGAGAAAGCCAAGGATCTACGGTAAATCGGTACAAGAAGACGACGAGTTTGACAATGAATTATCTGAAGATGAAGAAGATGAAGAAGGTTTGAGAGAGCCCAAGTTAGTTGAAATTGATTTCAACAACAATAAGTATAAAGAAGATGAATTGGAATTCGTCGAGGATTCTTCTTTATCTTCGGATGAGGATGAAAATGGCTACAGAACTACAGCCAGAAAGTTGAAGGCACAAGCTCAAAGAAGATGGGATATTAACAAGATCCTCTACTTAAATAATATCGAACCTTCAGAAGTCATTAGAAGATGGAAAGCAGAACAACGTGTGGAAGAAGATGAAGAAGAAGAAGACATTGAAGAGGACGATGATCAATTCTTTAAGAAGAAGTCAACTCAAGAATCGAGTGCAGACTTGGATCAATTTGTCCCATCATATCCTTCTGTGGATGAACTCAAAATTAAGTTCAATGCTGATGCTACCAGTGATGACGAAGAATACGAGAATGGATACAAATTCTTGAAGTCAAGATTCTTGGTTGCTCCAAAGGTTGGTGATAGTAATGGGGAAGATGGTGATGGTCAAGGTGAGGGTGATGACGATGAGGAAGTGTATGGTGATTTTGAAGATTTGGAGGATCAAGACAATAATGCAGATGAAGGCGACTCCAACGAAGACGACTTTGCCGACTTCGATGCAGAAGAAGAAAATGACGAGCTTGATGAACAACCAGAAGAAGAAGAAGAAGATGATGATGAAAACATGACGGTTGAAGAGAAGAGAAGTCTTAATGCAACTAAGAAAGCAAAATTACAGCTTCAATTCGAAGAAGAAGAAGATCGTGAATTTGGTGCAAATGACCCTGAAGGTGACACCGAGGCCGACACTTGGTACGAATTTCAAAAGAACAAAATGGCCAAGCAATTGGAAATTAATAAAGCTGAGTATGAACAAATGGACCAAGCTACCAGAATCAAAATTGAAGGTTACAAAGCTGGTTCTTACGTTAAGATTGTTTTCAACAACATTCCTTGCGAATTCATTGACAACTTACAGCCAGAATATCCCCTTGTATTAGGTGGTCTTTTGGCTACTGAGTCCAGATTTGGAATAATGAACGTCAGAATCAGAAGACATCGTTGGCACAAGAAGATCCTTAAATCTTCCGATCCATTAATTCTTAGTTTGGGTTGGAGAAGATTCCAGACTTTGCCAATATATACTACTTCAGATTCCAGAACCAGAAACAGAATGTTGAAATACACTCCCGAGCATGCTTACTGCTTTGCATCTTTCTATGGTCCTTTAGTCGCTCCAAACACGACTTTCGTTGGTTTCAACTTGGTTGATAACCAATCTACCACTGGTTCGTTCAGAGTTGCAGCTACAGGTATCGTTGAAGATTTGAACTCATCTGTTGAAATAGTCAAGAAGTTGAAATTGGTTGGTTTCCCATACAAGGTTTTCCGTAATACAGCTTTCATCAAGGATATGTTCACTAACTCTTTGGAAGTCGCTAAGTTCGAAGGTGCATCTATTAGGACTGTCTCAGGAATAAGAGGTGAAATCAAGCGTGCCTTATCAAAACCTGAAGGGCACTTCAGAGCTACTTTTGAAGATAAGATTTTGATGAGTGATACTATTTTCTTGAAGACTTGGTACCCGGTCAAGGTCAAGAAGTTTTACAATCCAGTGACTTCTTCGTTATTGAACAAACACACTGAATGGAGAGGAATGAGGTTAACCGGTCAAGTGAGAGCTGAACAAAATATCGCTACACCATTGAACCAGGATAGTGCTTATAAGAAGATCGAAAGAGTGGAAAGAAGATTCAATGCATTAAAGGTTCCAAAGACCGTCAAGGCTGCATTACCATTTAAATCCCAAATCCACGAAATGAAACCCCAAAAGAAACAAACCTATTTGGCCAAGAGAGCTGTTGTTTTAACAGACGAAGAGAAGAAGGCCAAGGACTTGTTGCAGAAGATTGCAACAGTCAGAAACGCAAAGGAAGCCAAGAGAAAGTCGAAGAAGGAGGAGAAATTCAAGGATAGATTAAAGAACTTGGCTAAGAAGGATGAGTTAAGGAAGGAAAAGGAGAAAGAACGTAAGAAGGATTTCTTTGCAAAGGAAGGTAAGAAGAGATCATTAGGATCCAGCGAAGGTAATACTGAAGCTTTTGGCAAGAAAAGACGTGCATAGTTCTATAAATTACAAATAACAAGTTACAAATACCTGAGTGCAGATTCACTTCTTGATTGTAAAAAAAGTTTAGTATGATTATCATAGTTCACCCGAGCACACAACTAGGTGAGGGTTTGACATTGGTCTATCATAAATAGCAATAGCTTACTTATCATCTTCAGTTACGAACTACATAGAAAATAATAGGTGTTGTACTTCCAGAGTATTTTAGTCCTAGGAAGTATCTAACTTCTCTTTCCATAGCCGGCATAAATAGAATATGATCTGATCACAAATGATATTCAATCATTCTTTGGCAATCTAAATTCACCAACATTCCATCTTCACCCCAAATGATCTTCATTACATCGTAAAACTCCCTGGCATAGAATAATTGAATACCATACTTGTTAGAGAAGAATTCTTCAACCTGATTCATTTTGAATTCTGAAGATTCGTTATCTTTCAATAATTCATTTACCAAACCAGAATCAAAACCTCCTTCTTCTTCTATCCTTCTTCCGTATTCTTCAATCAAGTCCTTTCTATTTTCCCTAGGAACAATCATTCTTTTGATGTGGCCACTTAAATGAGCACCCATCATCTTTTCTTTTACTCCACCAATAGGTAAGACCAAACCTCTTAAAGTGATTTCACCAGTCATAGCAATATCTGCTGGTACTGGTTTATCCAAAAGAAGAGATAAGAACAGCAAGGCCATAGTGATACCTGCAGATGGTCCATCTTTGGAAATAGAACCCATGGGTACATGTAAATTAATCTCCAAGTTGTTGAACTTGTCAATTAAATACTTCTCATCTTTCTCCTTAGTATCCAAGATATTTCTGTAGATCAACAGCTTGATGAAAGTCAAACCAATTTTAGCACTTTCCATCAAGACTTCACCTAGCCTACCAGTCATGTTCAATGAGCAGCCTGAATTGGTATTCGATGGATTACCAACCCTTTTGTCAAACCCGATACTTTCAAAGACTAAGACAGAACCGGAACCATCAGAATTGTACGACAACCCATTAACAATACCTACCCTTGAGTTCGAAGTGATTGTTATTTCGTTGGCAGTGATGTCACCCGAACTGTATGGAATACCCAAGTACTTTGGTAAGTCATTTTCATCAACTCTTGGGTCATAAGTAATATCAGTGCCCAAGCTCTCACAGTATTCAACAGCTTTGAAACGGCAAATAGTAGCTAATCTGCGTTCCAAATTTCTAACGCCTGATTCCCTTGTGTAGTCAACGATAACTTTCTTGAGTGTGGCTTGACTGATGCTGACATGATCTTCAATGTTTGCAGAATCTGGGAATCCATTTCTCTTCACTTGCCTAGGCAAAAGATACTTCTTACCAATTATTAACTTTTCGTTGTAGTCATAGGCACCGACTTCAATCAATTCCAATCTATCCAACAATGGCCTACTCATCAAGTGAGGCTCATTAGAAGTACAGATGAAGATAACTTGTGATAAATCAACTGGAAAGCCAAGGTAATGATCAATGAATGTATTGTTCTGTTCAGGGTCCAAGACCTCCAATAAGGCTGCAGAAGGGTCACCATTAAACTTATTGACACCCGAGTTTCCACCAATAACTTTATCAATTTCATCCAACAAGATAACTGGGTTCATCGATCTGGCTTTTCTCAATGATTGAATAATCAAACCGGGCATAGCACCAATGTAAGTTCTTCTATGTCCTCTGATTTCACTCTCATCTTTGATTCCACCCAATGAAATTCTCTGGAAATTCCTTCCCAAAGATTTTGCAATTGATTTTGCCAAGGAGGTCTTACCGGTACCTGGTGGGCCAGTTAACATAATGATTGGAGACTTGTTGTTCTTAGAAATTTGGATGGACTCATTAGTCTCATTCTCGAGTCTACTTTCATCAATCGATGTTTTGATCTTGGTTTGAGCTTGCCTATGAGAAAGGGAGGTTTCATCATTATTGGCGATGACTATCGAAGATCCTTCCAATCCCTTGTCTGGTTCTTCGGTTGCATCAATTTCTTTAATCTTTGGAATATTGTTATCCCTCTTAAACTTGTTAATGTCCTTTTCTGCATTGATTCCCAATAACTTTAATACAACCAAGTACTGGATCAATCTTCTTTTGACGTGCTCCAAACCATAATGATCATCGTCTAATTGCTTCTTTGCAACTTTCAAATCAATCTCCTTGTTAGATTTGAATTTAGTAACATACTTATCCCAAGGGATATCCATAACGATCTCAAGGTAATTTCTTATGACATGAAAGTCAGAGTTACCACCACCACCAGGCTGTGAGGATGATTTAATACGTTTGTAATCCTTGGTAATAAGCCTCTTCGAATCTGATGATAAGGTTGAGATACTGGGCAACTTATTTTTGATAAAGTTTGTTATTGCTTTTAACTCATCGTCATCATCATCATCATCATCTTGGTCTTCATCATCTTCACCTCTACGAGTGATGGCTTTTGTTGGGGCATTTCCCCCTTTTACTCGAGACATTGATTTGGTTCCAGGCTTGGTAGTCATACCTTCCAAAACCAAACGAATTGATTTGAGCTGGTTCGCTACAACGTTTGCTTTTTGGATGTTCGTGGCTTCGTTGTAAAACCAATGATTGATGAATGAATTGTTGTACTTTAAATTTTCAAGAATAGTCATTAATTGATTTGTCATATGGTTGATCTGTTTAGATCTTTCAGGTACGCCAATCTTGTTGAGTAGCTTCAACTTTTCATGGTTTGGAAAAGGCAAGATTCCACAGGTTAAATCGATTAATCTGAGATAAGACTTGTTATCGATTTTGAATTTGGTGTCATCCGAAGAAAATTGGCCATACAATTTTTGCAAGCTAATGAATGCTTTAGTGAAGTCCTTTGAACCCACCAATTGTAAATAGAGGGCATTTGCTAACGGATTTAATGTGAGCAAATCTCCGCCTTCCTTTTTCCCTAATTTAGGGGCAGAACCCTTTTTGTTATTGGCAGTGTTGGAGCTGTTCAGACTCAAGGCTTGACGATAGTCCACGATGAAATCATCAATGGCTTTAAATAAATTGTAGCTGTTTTTGCGCAATGTACTGAACTGCGACTTCAAGTCTTCCACGTCTGAGTTCCAATCGATATCAAACAAGGATTCATTGGCCTTGATGTCCTTGACCTTAACTGCTCTGGTTATTCCCTGGAGGGTCAACTTGATGTTGGTGACGTCATCGGTGATTCCTACCACTCTAACCACCGTGTCGACATTATTGGCAGTTTTTGGATCAATGGCAGGGTTGCTTGGGTCCTTGATTTTGCCCAAATTGGGCTTGATTGCCAATGTCAACCAGTCAAAGCTAGACTGGGGGGCGGTAGGGTCGTCGTTCTTGGAAGAGATTGAGGAGCCTGATCTGAAGCTGGTTTCGGCCTGGAAGAAGTGCTCGATACCCGAGGCCGCTTGAGGCGAAATGACGGTTGGGTTAATCAAGCGCTCGTCGTCATCGTCGGAGCGGGCCTCGTGATTGTCAAAGTCGTACTCGGCGAGTAGGTTCTTGATCACAGACACCGACGACACTTGGTCTTTGAATCTGTACATCAAGGCGGCAGCCTTGAACCTCAGAAAGGTAACATTGTAGATGATTCCTGGGAGCAACACCAAGTTGGAATCCAACTTGTAAGTGGGCAAAACGAGCTGCTGGGTCTTTTTTCTGGAGCGTGCCATGGTGGTCGTAATGGGTGGAAGTTGTTGGTGGAGGATGGTTATATATGGAGTGGACTCAAAGTCACAGTCACGGGTGAGTAATTCCAGCGATAGTGTGGGGGAACCGAGGCAGTTGCGGAATATCAGATGATGTGCGAGGGGTGGGGATTCCGTCCTCGAGCCTGGGGTTCTGGCTGGGGGCTTCTCCGGCAGGTACTAGCGTGCTGTAGGGATTCTGGATCTGGACCGCCAGCAACTATGCCAGACGATGGGTTCAGTGGGAGCGTTGGATGTTAGTAGTCCTGGCGGCTACAGTGGGAGATAAGATGGTGGCAAAAAGGTGGTTATGAACGACAATACCGAGGTTGGCAACGGTGATTCAGACACTGCTGGAGGGCTCAAGCATGGGTAGATGTAGGAGTAAATGCATTAGTGGGCCAAGAAGGGTCTATTTCGCTAGACAAGTACCGGGAGCTAATTGATGCTAATTAGAGCTCTTTGCAAGATCTCACGCAACCGATAATTGCCGCGAAAACAGGACCGAATTCGGCCTGGACATGGAGATAACCATTATACCGATTTATACACGTTTAGCCAGAACCACCGGAAGACGGGGGCTTACACTTTCACAGTTCCTCCATGCTTCAGGTGGGCACGATGCGCCAACTTGGTGGTGGCTGCAATATTGCATTTTTTGTGGTTTCCAAGCGGACTAGTCCCGGATATTTAGAATCATTCTGTTACCAGCGTTTGGGAATTTTGAACAACTCCAGTATCCCTTAGTATAGCTTACTGGTAGTTCCTATTTGTACCCAGTTGGTGCTCGCGTATTGTTCTGTAGTCATCATTTTCTGGCTCTAGCCATTTTTATTCTGCTACGCTTCTACTATAATTATGGCCAGCCCCGACAGATTCTCAAACACCAATGTCTGGGCACCCCTTGAAGCAAGACGCAAAGAACATTCGAATTCAACATTTCAGAAGGAAGCTGTCGCTTATGACCCACTACAAAGCAAGGTTGGAACTGCAATTCGGGAGTGACAACGTCCCTAGCATATTGTCGGAGTCCGAGAAGCGATACTTGAAACAAAGGAAATCTTTTAGGTACAAACTACGCCGGTTCTTCCACTTGTGAGGCAGTTTGATATATGGTAGTCGAGATCAAGAGATGGCTATGGAATGTGGACATCGAGACTAATGGAAAATTGATTATCCATCTACAATGCTTACCTTGAACTGCATTATCTATCTCCATATTTACACTGAGGCGCGCATTGGCATTGGCGGGTTCCTCTTGTCGGAAAGACCAGCTTTATCTTACCTGTAATGTATGCGATTTAGATCACAATACATCTTTCAAATTAATTTGTCCCGTACCCCTGGCCAAAGGCTTTGGTTGATTCTCACTCTTCTTCCATCCAATCATGAAAATGACATTGAAGGTGGCAGGCAAGGTCACCTGGCCCTGATCGTCCTTTTCTCCATGCAAACTTTTATAGATTTCGTTGGCAGCCAACAACACATCTCTAGGTAAATAGCCTGCTCTAGACAAAACCGAATTTTGTTCTCCCATGGCCTGTAAGTCCTCGCATAATGCGGCCACATCGGGGAATCCGCCAACAACGATATCTTCGGCATCTATGGTCAACATGTTGAATCCAGCTCTGTTCAACAAGGAGCCAACATCGTTCAAATGCACCAAAGGCGAGACTCTGGGAGACATACCTCCATTTCTTTCCAATTCCGCTAATTGTAATGATGTTCTCAATTCGTAAAGTGTATCCCCTCCAAATAATGTTCCCATGAATAACCCATCGGGCTTCAACACCCTGTTGATGTTCGACAATGCTGTGGGAAGATCATTAATCCAGTGCAATGACAAATTTGATATCACTGCATCGTACTGGTTCGATTCTTCAAGACATGGGTGCTCAAATGTTTCTTCGTCCACCACGTTTCTGGTAACTTTCCCTTCGAAGTTAGACAAGAACAGCTCGTTGATATCACGGTTGAGTATATCAGAAGACGAGTCCACCATCACAAGTTCTTTTATTTTGTTTCTGATCAAGCCCTTGTCATTGTTGAGTTGTTTGGTCATTTCAACATCAGCATAGTCGCCTCCTGGAGGCACAGGAGTGTCTATACACAAGTTCTTGAGGAAGTTACCCAGGTGGGACCCGAAGTCTAGCACACGAGTGAAATCACGAGTTATAAATGCCAATCTTTCAATTGTCTTGAGGGCCACTTCATCTCTCAAGTATTCTTTCTTTCTCGAGAGCTCGGGGTTGAGCTTGGGAGTCCTGGATCTTTGCAAGAGCTTGGCCGACCTGTCAAACACGTTAAACTGCTGCTTAGCAATGTTCTCGGCTGAAGTGGCGAGGTGTCTCTTTATCATCATGCTTGAGATGTGGAACAGTGGAGATGAGTTGATTAGTGTGCGAATTTAGCGAGGGCCGCAAACTGTAGTCCTTCAACACTTGTGCCCAAATCAGTAAATCTACCAGACGAATAGTAGGAAGAATGGCGTGTGAAGTAGTATAATTGTGATGACTAACTATACTTTTCTCCCCAAACTGATCTCTACGACGGGCTTTTATCAATTAATAGTGCTTTTTTCCAAAGATAGTTATACTCGCTATTCCTCTCACTGGGTAATTCTCACAAATTAGCGAGCTCATTCTCTCATCAATTCCCATAAATGAATAGACTACTACGAAGGACAGCAATAAGGGGGCTACCGGTATTCAGCATTGGTAGCCTACCTAGCTCATTGTGCTCCTTCCTGTTGAGTCATCAAAGATGTTTTGCATCGGAGTCCACATTCACCAAGCTCAATATACGCTTGCCAACCAATCCTAGAGATGATTTCATCAAGTCGTACAAGACTTCGGAAATACGACACCGCCAGATCGAGCAATTAGCACATTCAGGCATAGATGAGGTGTGGAGCTTCTATACCCAAGTGAAACAGTACAAATTGTCGTTGCCAAACTCTTCTTTCATCCTACTTATGAAAATCATATCAACTTGCCATTCACCCCAAGCCCTGAAGATGGCAATATCTGTGTACTACGATGCACTCAATAACTATAAACAAGGTTCAAGATTGGTGGTTCCTTTATCGCAATCCGAGAAAACAAAGCTATCCATATTACTATTATCATCTTATGATGATTCCACAGATTATAACCAGATTCTTCCGTTAAATATGTTATGGGAAACATACATTAGCCAATTGCCAGATGAGTCGAAGAATATCGAAGTCTTATACCATAGAGCTTACCTATCCATTTTACTAGGCTCACACCAGTTAGAAAGTGCAATCGAGTATTTCGACCTCGTGGTAAAACACTTCACTTTCCCAAAACTACAATTGCTTTCAGAGCTTCCTATGGCAAAGTTTATCAACAATTTGTGCTCTACCAGCGATTGTTCTAATCTAAATTCAGTCATACAAACGATTATCACTTATGGGAGTGGTCAGATACTTACGACTTCGATGTGGATAAAAATATTAGATGTAGGGTTGAAAGAAAATGACTATCAATTGGTCAAAACTATTTACGATAATTACATTATGAAAGGATTTGCTGACTCTGCAGTCACCACCGAGCAGGCAATTTTCGAGGATTTCAGTTCCAAAAACCAAATTTTTAACACCCTAAATGACAAGATAATCTTTCAAATTCTTCACACCTTGTCCACCAATGGAGATGTTAACCTGACTTTGACCCTCATTGAAACTCATTTCCTTCACAAATCGGCAAAAGGGGAGAAGGCATTAACAAAGGAACTATGCATCAAGATCATCGAATCGTACTGCTACCATATAGAGTCTCAACGGGAATGGTCAGATATTTCTTCCAAAACCATCAAAGATCAAAGTATAAAAAAATTGTTGGACGTTTTGAATGGTTTCATGATCAAATTCGTCAGAGATAACAATGAAGTGCTATCTTACAAGGACATCACCTCCGCCATGTCTATCAAATTCTGGAATTACTATGCTTATGACGAGAATATACAGAAGGAACAAACCAAAAGATCCATCATATCTGAAAGTATCATACATTCAGAAGAAAACGAGTGGCAAACAATGGTTCTACCAAGAAAACTCTCGAACAAAAACTTACATTCTTCGAGCTTTGGAAACATGTTGGCTAATATGGATATTTTGAGAGAGTTTGTGCTGGACCATATCGAGTATCTCTCCTTAGACTCTAACTTTCAACCCAAAACGATAACATTATTTATTAATTGTTTATTGAATCATATTAATTTACATCAAAATTTCACGGCAACCACTCAGGTATTACTCCAATTGAAAAATAAGAATACTAATTTCATTAATGAGTGGTTGGATGGTGATCTGATTAATATCATACTCAACACTTTGGCGATATCTTCTGCAAGCAAAAAGTCTTCGCGGATTTTATTCGATTATTTGAAGCACAACTCAATACCCATAACGCCGGATCAATATAGGTATCTTCTTTCAGCTAATTTAAAGGGATATATTCATGATGGGTTACATATGGTGCTCTATGGGTATCTTCATGACTATAATGGTGTTGTGACCTCCGAAATCAAGCACTTGTTGCGAGATATTCCGACCAAAGACATCCATGGGCACGAAGGCACGCTAAAGTTGATCGAATTTTGCAATCTGTCCCCCCAGACTATTATTAAAGAAGTAGATCAATTCTATGGCAATAATAACCTTCACAAGGAGTTCGTTACAGAAGAACCAATAGGAAATTGGAGTAAGAAATATTATCAGGATTTTGATATTAGGGATGCGGGGTATATAAAGGGAATATTCAGTTTATAGAAGTTTAGAAGAATATTATAGAGCAAGGCTAATTTGCCAGCAAATAACCCTAGTGAGGTGTGCTCGAGTAGCGGTAGCGTATTGCTTGTCATGAAGATAAACTCGCAAAGTGATCGTTGACGGATCTGAATCGGAATTCGATTCTATAATCGAGAGACAGAAAGTTATTTTTACTCCACTCGCTATAAGTCAACTTCGATCTTGGATACAGCACGTATCTTTATTGTGTTTGGTAGTCAAAATCAATTAATTGATTTTTTCATTCTGCAACTGCTGCTTGCAAGTCGTCAGCATCAATGGTAGTCTTGGTGGCCTTCAGCTTTGCCAAACTAGATGTCCATCTTGCCTTCATACCTTCAAGAATACTTCTATCAGAGTCATTCTCATCATTGAAGAAATCAGGATACTTCTTCTTGGATTGTAAACCAAGTACAGAATCATTACCAAAAGTATTGGAGAACGAAGAAGAAAACGAAGAACCCAACATGGTTGAGTCGACCGCCATTCTCATGATATTATCGGCATGGCAAGCCAAATGGTCGTAGTCTGATTCGTCGGCCTCAGTGTTCTTCTTAGTTTCTTCCTTCAATCTGGCAATTAACATCATGCTGCTCTTCTTGGTGAGAAGCTTTTTGTTGGATTTCTGGTGGTTCAATTGGGCCTCCTTCAAGAACGAAACGGGAGTAGACTGTAAGAGGTTATTTGCTGGTTTCTTAGAAGATCCCGAAGGCGAGAAGTAGATGGTTTTGTTGGGGATGGGAGTATTGTAGATCGAGGAAGTTTCTGCCTGGATGTAGCTGCATTCAGTAATATCGGCAAACTCGGCCTCCTCTTCGTCATGCTGTCTGAAACGCTTGATACCTCTGGACTTATTGGGGGAGTCATGGGAGTGTCTCCGAGGGCTGGCGTTCTTGGCGCTAACTGGCACCATAGTCTTGGGCTTGGTGGGCTTGTCTTGTGAGAAAGGGAGTTCGAGCTTGTAATCGCCAATTATGGCTCTGTTTTCTTCGAGAAGTTCCTGAAGCGGTTCTCTGGCTTCTGTGTGGCCATTTGGGAAGTTCTTGGAGATTGGCTGTTCCAACACCCGAGCTGGTTGAGGAAGGGGATCATCTTGAACTCTGAGGTTTTTGCTCAACAACACGTCGGCTGTAAGGGCCAAGTTGGGCGCCTGTTCAGTGGAGGGTTGTGGGAAGGTGTAGTCAAGCGACACCGAAGGGTGGACGTTATGACGCAACATGGTTGAGGAGGAAGAAGAAGAAGAAGAATAGGTTGTTCTTATATAGAGATGGGTGGTTCCCAAAAGGGTTAAGTAATTGTTTATTTACCTGTACCGATTAGGCAATGGGTACTGGGACATTTACGGGACACCAAGACACAGGACCAATGGTCGTGGACAGGACATGCACGGGCCAGACTCAGGGCCTGGGGCTGATAGCTCTGGATGGAATGACAGCATAGGAGTGTAAGCTGGCTCGTCATGGACCTTGTCTTTATTTGCAAAAGCGATTCTGGTTTAATTAGTAATAAACTAAATGACATTTTTTGGCCAGAAACAGTGACTGGCATTCTATTGCAGTGCACATTACTGAGCAGATTCAATGGCCCAGTAGGTCGTTTGTTTCCACTAGCGAGTCGCTATATGTGTAGATGGGATGGAAGCTTGCGACATTGACGACATCCCTCACATATTTCTACGACATAACCTGGTTTCGGGCGTCGCGACATCGTGCCTTCATCAGTGCTCTCATTGGATACAATGCATTCTAATATACAGGTGGTGCTAGAATATATACGTAGAAAGCCAACAGCTGGAGGCAAGCCGTAGCAGTAAAGGAACTCGCCGCTTGATGCTGTTTGTAGTGCTGATGGTGAGGTGGCTTGCGCATTCACCTATCCCACTTGTGAGCCGGCCTAAAGTGAAAGAACTAAATTATGCTGAAAAATCCACACCGTGGAAACTATTGATGCTATTGTCATCTAGTTGTCACGGTTCTTCATAGCCTCCTGCTGTCTGGCAATCCTTTCATCTATCACGGAGTCGTTACCGTGCACATTGTCGACTGGACAGGGGAGAAGCGAATTAGCTCCCACCAATGCAAAACAGATGGCAAAGGTCGAACTGAACAAGGAGTTGGTGAGTCTGTTTCTTTGGGTGGCCCTTATGCTTCCAATCATTTCCGTTGGCTGTGAATGGGTACTTCGAGGGGATTCAACTGGTAGACCGGGGACGGGGTTCAAGTATCGTGAATGGAGTTTGATATATTTCACCTGATGATTTTTTTTGGATCCAAACAGTAGGTCACGTGCACCAGACCCCGGTCGTCCAATCATAGCCTGAGGGTTAGTAGTTTGAACACCACCCAGTTATCGGTTGACTGGAACGCAAATCGTCTCCTATTTATGTGAATTCCAATCTGGATGGGAAAATTCTGCTTTCATAGTTTCCCTAATAGAGCCAGAATCCTTTGACTTGGTAAAGATCACGTGCCGCGATGGTGCTGCTCAAATAGCGAATGATGTTTACTGCTGATGTGTTCCTTGGTTTATAAGGCGAAGGGACTATGAGTTACGGGGGATCTACAAGGGCTATTTCTGGCAAGTATCGATTAGGTTTTTGAAAAGCTCCATCCAAATTTTGTACCACAAACTCTTCGTTTCTTGTTATCGTGATATAGACTACTGTTCTACTAAATTGAATGTTAAATTTCGTCTATTCTGCCCATATATTTACATGACTGGTACTTCAGTCTTCTTTGGACCCGGGCATGGGATCATGTGGAATTGACCTTGCGTTGAAGAAATCCGGACCGCCCATCGCTTTCTCTTTTAGATAACCTTGAGGATATGTTTGTTGAGTATTGGTGAGCATTCACCGCGGACAGTTAGACCGTCGATTCGGTAGTATTTGTGTGCCAAATTTCTTGAATGAGTAGTTATTATGATTTATTCGTATACTGGCTTAGCCACATCTCTGTTGATGATTTCGAAACCTGGCTTGTACTTTCTTTCGTCAGCCAACTGTTGGACAGACTTTGGTTCGCCAACAAGTTCGACCTTGACTAATTCTTTAACAGCAGCGATTCTGTGAGCAGTTGAAGGAGAGATACTTTGGTACACAATTTGGAATCTTTTTTTTAAACCCAAAGCTTGCATATTCTTACGGGTAAGAGGTGGCATACCTATGGTAGACCGTATTTGAGTGATCTTGTAGAAGCCTTGTTTGGCAGCAGACATTGTGGATGTAGATGGAGTAGTATTGAATAGAACCTTTTGAAAAATTGATGAAAATTGTTAGCGTTATGTGCAGGACGTAATTGTTGTAGACTTCTGTAACGTTAATGATAATAGTCAAATTCAATGCTTTGCGCGACCAGAAGTGAGAATCTATGGCAGTGCTATTTGTAGAGTCGAGTCTTCCTGTCGGATCTACTTAATTTTGGCTAACGGTTTTTTGCTGTCATTTATCTATTACCTTGTGAAAGCGACTTTGTCGCGTGTCGTTGTATATCTATCGTCAAAACCATTCATATTCACACAGTAGAATGGATGAGCTGCAAGAGTTCAATGTGGTGAAGAATGAACGACAATTGCATGATGAGCTCGGGAAGCTTATTTGTGATTTTGGTTTGTTGATCAAATCCGACACTTCTGACCGTGACAAGTACGAACACTCAAAGTCCATACTTAATAGGATAATCTTAGGCATAAATGAGTTTGAACCTTCGCCAAAATTACTTGATTCTCACTTGAGCTTTTACATAGGTTCACTCACAGACTTGTACTTCTTCATAAACAATCAGAAGAAACTGGCAGATCCAATTCCTTATCACTATTCTGGATCATTTTCTCACAATATTGGCGAGATCATCTATAACTTTTCAAAGATTAGAGGCTTCAAACATGTCACAAATTACTTCTCATCAGATGTGTACCTAATCCCTCGTTTAATTGAGCTCACTAAATTGCTGGATAATGATAACGAGCTATTTTTATGTTTAATTTGGTTATCGAATCTCGTGTTAGTCCCATTTAAGTTGGAACATATTGAGTCAACATTACCTGTCCAATTAATCGGAATTGCTATCGAAAACCTTTCAAAGCATGCCAATGCTTCAAAGAATCAATTGATATCGCTGATCCTCTTGTCAAGACTATTAACCAGATCGGATGTTATTCATAATTCAAATCATTTGTATGAGTACTTCCACATATACGTAGAGCCAGAATGGAAGTCTCTAGATAGACTTAATGGTTCTGTCAAGCTTGGGCATCTAATTACAATCAACAAATTGTTGAAGAGATGTCCAATTGAAGTCATCGAACCGTACCTTGATACAGTCTACAATCTAATTTCTATTGATCTAATGAATCTTAGAATACAACAGGAAAGCACACAGAAGCATTTGAATAATCTCAATGTCTTATACATGATCAAGATATTGAGCAAGCTCTCGATGGTTTATGTCAAGCGTGGAAATTATCAAATGACATCCACCATCATTAACCATCTATTGAGTCATATCATGAATTTAATGACCACATTTGATACATCATTGAGGTATGCAATGGCAAAATCTTTAGCCAAGTTAACAAAAATATTATCGATGACAGCTACCAATTATCAAGAACAGCTTATATCCTATATGATTGGCCAATTAGACTTGAACTTGAAACCAGCTTCTTCATTTGTATCGTGTCTTATTATTGATAATGATGCAGTTTTCATTCCAAAATATCATACCATTTTATTATACTTTGGCTTTACAGCATTAGAAAATTCTTTCCCTGTGAGTCTTGTGCCAAGTTTACTAAGCATTATCCACAAGACATTGTTCATGGAACAAAGGAGACTATCTTCGGTCCTAGGTAGTCAAGTCCGTGATTCGTCGTGCTTTGTGCTTTGGGCATTGTGCCGAATAATTAAACAAGATGACTTCAACGCCTTGTCTATGGCCAATCCTTTGATGATGGAAACGATACTTTTCGATTTGATATTAATAGTCATCATGGATGGTGAATTGATAATCCGAAGATGTGGGATTGCTGTTATCCAGGAATTTGTTGGAAGATTTGGGAATTTACTTTTCAAGCAGTACATTGATGATGTTTTCAAAGTTGGCGAATTTATAATCAATTTTATTGAGCTGTTTGCGTCATCAAATATAAGCTCACATCAGTCGTCATATTTGCTAATTGATGAGATGATAAAACTTGGCTTCAACAAGTCGCTATTTATTCCAAAACTACTCGAAAACGTCACAAATGAGAACTTGAAATTTGCAATTAGGAAATTGAGCTGCACGTATCTCAATCTGATCATGAGGATGGAAGGTAATTTTTTGAATTACGAGGTGAAAGATCATGAAGAGTATGGTTTAGAATATATTTTGGAAAAACTATTAAATCTTGATATATATTTCATTTGCGTCTTTTTGCCAGACATTGATGAACGCTCAAGATCAAAGTATATTGGCTATCTAACTGAAAGGACACTGGATTTCAAGTTTGATTATCACCATGATACACACGAAAAGGCAGAAGGATACTTGAAGTGGACGAACTTACAAATCAAATTGGGTATGTCAATAGAGAACAATTGGCCCATCATTTTCAATATCTTAAGGCTATCCCCAACACCTTACTTGATCGAAGAGCTAATAGAACTATTTGGGCACTTAGATAGCTCACAGCTTTCTCAGGAAAGCATCCGAAAATTCCAATACTACTTGAGGAATAATAATCAGATGCTAGCAAATGTGATTTTTGCATATTGCTTTGAGGACGAGGAGTTTGAGGAATTTGTTGGGATCATGTCAGCCAGTGAAGTCGACTGCGAAATAAGGACACTCATGGTGAATAGCTTGACCCACCAACAAAGAAAACTTCCACCGGGTGTTGGTTCTCAGTTGGTTGGCTTGCTTGACGACTACACTTTGACAAAACAAGGAGATGTTGGCTCCAAGATACGGTATGGGGTCATCCAACTAATCAAGCACAATTTTGACCAATTTTATGGATTAGAAAAGCAGATCGAATTAAAGCTAGTGAGATTGGCAGGCGAGTTGATCGATAAGATTCGGTTGGAGGCCATGAACTTGTTACTCTCGATGAAAGGTATGAGCTTATTGAGCAATGAATTATCAGTATCGCAATATTTTGCCTACTTGTTCAAGTATTATGGAGAACAGATTTTGCCTCTTTGTGAACAAGATCACGAAAAGCAGATGTCTCTTTTGTTCTGGAAAGGGGTCACTTTCAGTATTGGAGCACTTGCGGCTAATGCCACCGTTTTGAACGAATCCTTTGCGCAGTTATTAGTATTCTTACTCGATCACTCGCACCCTGTGGTGTACCAGAACTTCTTGACTCTATTAAAAGTGCCCCAGGGTGTAGAGGTCAGTGCCAGGGACCAAAAGAGCTATGTTGTGGTGCTCAATGTATTTGTCAAGCTATTCGAGGCCAACTTTCAGTTCCCGGCCGACTTCAATTACGAGGCCCTCTACATTCGGTGCTACAACTTGCAGATCAACACCACAAACCTCACCCGGATCGGATTAACTCTCAAGATTTTCCATCACATGGGCGAGTTGCGAGACGAGGTGTCAGTAAAGTGCAGGAAGAGAATAGTGGCCCTTGCCTGTGGCCACAAGCTTGGAAAAGTCCGAGAAATGGCAGGCGAGACCATGTTTGAAGTCATCAACGACTTGTGTCCTACATCTGAAGCTGTGGGCTTGCTAGATACAATCGAATGGGGCCAGTCGCCCCTCAAATTAAAACAGTTCAAGGCTAAGCTTGAGCAGATTTTGATTTCCATTTAAATACAGAAAAGAGTCCAGCGGACCAATCGGACTTGTAGAATGGCCTGACCCAAAAACTAAAAAACTATGGAAACACGGTGCTGGCAGTAGCATTCGCAACGTAAATTGGCTAGCCTGGCATGTTGGTAGGTACTCTCGCGGTACCGTTTCGCTGTTGCCGTTTGCACCGAACTAAGCCTGTAGCCACAGGAGGGAGGAGGAGATCACATGCGCGTAGCCTGGGCTTACAACGAGACGTGCAAGTTGTCGGAAGACTTGTGGTACTTCTCGTGCTCAATGAGGTTGGCGATGGGGTTGTTGGTGAAGCCAGATTCCTCCTTGGCGACCATTGGAGATACCGAGGTGCTGGTGGCAGCAAAGTACGAGTCGGAGTTGGAGGTGGCGGATTCGTCCTTCAAAGGGGTCAGTGGAGCATTGTTGAATTGGTCGGTAAAGGATTGGTAAGTCATAGTTGGTGGGTGGCAATCGCTGGCGGGCGATCCCCTTTTATACTGCAAACACGATACCTCTCCCAAAGCGTAACATCACGATTCTGCGGGGCGGTGAAAAAGGGGTGTGGCTCTGGGGTAACTGGAGGCGATAGCGATATGCCGGACCCATCACCACCGTGACGTAACAATGTGGGGACGCCGCACACGTGACGCGCGGCCCCAGCCTGTCGGGACATCGGAAGTGCCTCCAGTGGCAAGCCGCGGTCTACACGCGGTTTTGCACCCAGCTTCTAGTACTGTACATTACCTTACATAATAAATATTGTCCTACATGGGTCTGGCAGCGCCATTCCATGACAGGGCGTTGTTGTTTTGGGAAGGGCGGGCCTGGCCACTGGCGTCGTGAGGCGCTGTGTTCGTGTAAATGCCGCCAAGATTGCCCAGCCCGTGGCGCAAACTCATCAAGTCGTTGATGGCTAGCTTCTCCTTATTTTTCAACTCGTCGTCTTCGGTCTTGACGTATCCCATCGACCCATTGTAGTCTCCGAGCAAGTAGTCGTACTTGGCCACCGGTGGCCCTTTGTACCCGAAGTTACCGGGAGATCCCATATCCAGGGCGCCTCCAGCGTAGAAGGGCTGGGGAAGACGAGTGAGTGGTCCATTCGCGCTACCGCCAGCGCCAGTCGCCTCGGTGCGTCTATTTTCCTGGTAATGGTGGTGGTGAGTAATGTGCCCAGGGTTGGGTAGCGAGTTGACCACCTTCTCCGCCGCCTTACGGGTTTCTATGTCCTGCTCCACTTTGGCGCTCTTGTACTTGATGAACTTCAAGATTTTGAGATACTTCAAGTCCTCGTCCATTTCCTCGTCGTCCCAGTCGATCTTGCGGTAGTAGGCACTGGCAGCATCCTCGTCGTCCTCGTCGTCACTCTCGTCCTGATCCCTCAAGATTTCGTCCTGCAACTGGTCGTTGATCAACTTCTTGTAAAGATCGTCCTCCTTGTGGGTGCGTCCGTTCAGCTTGCTGTTGGTGTTGACCAACCCCGTCTTGTAGTTGATGAAAATCTTTATGAATAAATCGATGCTTTTGCTCAAAATCTCCATCGAGTCGCCAATATACTCAAACTGATTTCTCTTCAGGAACTTGAGCTGGCAAATCAACAAGTAAATCATCTGAAGCACAATTGCTTTCTTGAAGTTGATGATACTCATGGACAACCCATTCAACATCGAGTTAAACGGCGAGTATGGGATCTCCTTAATAATCCTTTTCGGGTTGTGTGGTCCATGTCCATGCCCATGATTGCTTATTCTTCTTCTTTTCACAGAAAAGTCATTGATCACAAACCCATCCTCATCCATATCTAACCCCAAACTTTCCATCACAATGTTGCTTGATGAACGTGGCTCTGACAACTTCTCGTTTGCCTTGTTCAAATGCAGAAAGATCATGAGAAAATAGCTAAGCACCTCCTTAGATATCTTGGTAATTTCGATATAGTATGCATATGTCAATTCCTTGTCCACAATGAAGTTCAAGTAGTTGATTGACCTAATGATGATGCAGTGAAAGTTCAACTGGATCTTGATAAGTTGTGATGCCGTCAAAACATCGGGTTTCCCCGAGTTCAAATAATACATGTAGCCTTCGTTGGTGATTCCAGAATTGCTATCGTTGCGTTCATCATTCGAACCGACCGACTTTCTAGTTAAATTCGAATCAATGAGGTCATGATATAGGTCATTTTGAGTATCATCTGCCAAATTTACCAACCCCATTTTAGTCAATGGGGAAAGATCGATCTTCTTGTTCTTCAAAGATTCTCTCCAATTGCACAAGTTCTTATCAATGGTCAAGAACTGGTGAAAATTATAGTTCAAATTCCCATCATTTCCATCGCCATCATCCTCATTCAAAATCCAGTCCAAGTGCCGAGCATGCTCCTTATCTTTTGCATCATGTTTCTTTTTACCTTGCTTAAGATATTGGTAGTAATTAGGAGAAAACGAGGAAGGAATGATCATATTAACCAAGTTCAAGAACTCAATGCTTGGTTTCAATAGAGTTTGAAACAACTCATCGTTCATTCCTCCTTCAGTATCCAACAAAGTGCTCAACTTGTCTGGTGTTAACTGAAAGTATCTATCAATGGTGACTGGATTGATCACTGTGGTATTTAAACTTGGTTTGTACCCAAACTTCAAGTTGAAGCATTTAAGGAGTACCTTGAATACCCAGAAAATCTTGACTCTATCTCTTTTCTGTTGAATGCTCAATGACAAATCGTTAAAGAACAAATTTTTAGAATTCAAGTTAATTCCTAGAATACCAATGAATGAATTGATTAAGGAGGATAAAATCAATGACTTTTCCTTGTTGTTCGTCAACAACGAATAATATAAGAACAACTGGTAAGTATGAAGTTGATTAATCGATACATGAAACACATTGAAGTATGGTAAGAAATCGTACAAGGATGTGATTGAAAAATTCGAGGGAGCGGATGATGATACACTGGTACTTGTGGATGCAGTTTTCTTCATAATGTAGCTGGGGTTGGAGTGATTCAACAACAAATTCAAGTTAATTGTGGGATCATTCATCATAATCATTGCGTAGATTTGTATAATCGTCATTAAATAATCATTGACTAGTTGATAATCGTTGGTGTTCGAAAGGTTGAAGCCGTTAATTGTAGAATCATCATAGGTGAAAATAAATGGGTACATGGTGTGAAAATCATCGTAGGATTTCATAAACTTTTCGTAGTCAAAAATGGGGATGAAAATATTATAATTCAAGAAATATTGAGTGATTTGATTATCCAATTCTTTCTTGGAGCTGAATAGCTTTTTGAAATTATTGATAAGGCTGATGAACAAGTCATACACATCGATTGGCAAGTCGTTACCCCATTTTCCCTTAACTAATTGCCCTGCGGTACCATTATTCCAGTCCTCGCTGTTGGTGTTACCAGTCAAAGGGTTATAAATGACATCCAAATCCTTGTTGTGGAACTGATTATAGCTTGTGTAGGTCGGATGGTACAAATAACTGTTGGGATCGTTTATCAAGAAGTTGTGACTGTTGGTGATTTTCAAGAATGGAAGGTTGAAGTTAATGAGCAAATGATTGAATTGTGATTCAAAATTGAGATTGTCATTACCAATAATGATTCCTTTGTTGTCAAGATTGAAAATTTGATCGATAGGATTGTTGATTTGTATCTGTGAGGATTCATTCGTGATGGTAGTGGTTGAAGGTTTGGGAATAGGCTTTTTACTTTCTGGGACCGTTGTGTTGGTGTCATGCCCACCAGAAGCCAAACGCTCCTTGAGTCTGTCATTTTCTTCCTCGAGTTCCTTTAGCTTTTTCTCTAGGTTTTCAGTATAGCCCTTGGGAAAGGCTCGACGAGTCAACTTATCACTGGTCTTACATTCGAACCCAATCTTAGAACAGTTCAAACACGGGGTCTGGCCGTCACATTTGATCTTCTTGATACGACATCGGTCACAAGCTTGGGACACTCGAACACCGGTGGTGGTGGTGATAAGCTTGAAGTTAGACTTCGACTTATCCTGGGACTTAGGCTCCTCTGAAGACATTAGAATGGGTGATCTTAATAACTTGGATTGTGAGCCAGATGAATGTCCATAATCAATATCCAACGCTTATATTAGATGTGAGTCGGTGTATAGGTCTAACACTTTTGTGTTTATTTCCCCAGAATTTGGTGTGTACCCGAGTACCTCGGATAAAAGGACCTGAAATTGTCCACCGCCAAAAATTCACTCGCTCGCTCCGTAAAGCCTAAAAAGACTAGCGGGGTTCGGGGTTACTAGGTTGAAGGCATCGAGTACGTATCAAGCTGGGACCGCCCAAGATGATATGGCAACAAGCTGTCAGATACCGATTACTGGCCCTAGTGCTTCAAATCCACGTGAATGCGGCTTTAGAACTACTCGTTAGGGTGAACGGAGGTTTATGCATTTACGAACAATATCAGGGTCTGTGCAAATGAGTCATATGACTCTCTGTCTGTGATACGAGTTTCTTAGTCGGGCTTAATCTACGAACCATATGAAAATCGTGGCCCGAACTCGTTGCTGCTGACATCACATGAGAGTCCAAGTGTGGAGAAGACACTTGCGAACTGGTTAGGGCACGGAATTTTGTGGCTGAAAATAGTAACCATCAGTACTTTCTGGTACAGAGCCTGTAGTCGATAAATGAAAAGGATGAAGAGTGTAATAGTGAAATCTACCGCAATTCGGATTTTGTCCATACCGAGACTCAAAGAATCTGGAAAAGTTGCTATCCAATATGAATACCAAGAAGTGGGTGCAAAAGAATAAATAAGGAAAAATTTACAGACTGGCGATGCTAGAGAAAGAGTGCTGTTCATCGCGACCTTTGGTAGCTACATACACAAGATGGATTGACGCTAATAACGCAAGGCAATATGGTGCCTCAAAAGTCTGAGATTAAGTAAGAAATCATAGTTGCGGCCCATATGAGATCGGAGTTAGTCGAGTTTCCAAACACATGCCTAGATAGTGGAGACATCTGCCAACACTTTGTTGGCATTGATGAAATCTTTAACCGGTAAGCTAATAAGATCTTTAAAAGTCGAATGATTCCATCAACAGCTTAGTGTACTAATGTACGCAATAGCCTTTTTCTCGAACTAAAACTGAATCCCGGAAGAAAATTAAAAACTGTAAGGAGTGAACACATTGGGCATCTACCCAAATGAGGTAGAATCGTAGAAACTCTTGGAAATCCCAAAGTTACACCCTGGAATGTTTGGGAACTTTCTCTTTTTTGCGAAAAATGGAACTCAATATAGTGATTGGTGATAGTTTGCCAAATTATCTTGTAATATACTAGCCAGGTATGACCTTGCACCATGTACCTAATTTCACGGATGAATCTCGTAATATAACGTTGCTCTCAAAAACGAGCTCTGTTGATCAGTTTATAAATTGTTGAGCCCAGGAAACACCAGGAAACAGATTTGCACAAAAATGAAATGGTGAACAACATCCAGAGCAGATAATACAGAATGTAGTTACACAACTAATCATTTAATGCATAGAGCACAAGCATTAAGACAATAAAAAAGATAACGACAGCAGCAGGATTCGAACCTGCGCGGGAAATCCCAACTGATGGCCCGAAACAATTCGAGTCAGTCGCCTTAACCGCTCGGCCACACTGCCTATATTTTCCAAATTTGCAGGAAACTACATTTATACTTGGTTGTTTTATACAATTTTTTTGACAAACAAAAGTCAAGAATAAAGCAATTTTCGAACAAATTAACCTATTTACATCTTTTTCCTACATTAAGATTTTGTTAGTCGCACTTCAGCTTTCCAAATCTTTAAGAACCAGTTTTCCAAATGTCTTGACCATTATCTATCAATTATGAGATAAATTCGAATGTTTCCCCGACATCCTCAGCTGACATGACAAACCAGTTAATGCAGCTACTCTCATGAGTCTTAGTAGACGAATGAAAGAATCCAAGGAACAGGAAAAAAACGAACAGCTCTGAGAAGTTGGAACGAACATCTTCTCGACATACGCACAACAGGACGGAAAAAAACTTTTCACAACCCTTAGCTTCAAGTATCCGGGGGCCATAGACGGCATACAACTATTTAACCACGGATCCCAGAATCACCGCATTATTAACGAACCGACATGTCACATATGCAATGCCACTACGGTATTAGAAGAAGTCTTTGCCGCGATCAGTACAGCCCGCAAATGCTGGGAAATCTTCATGAGCTTCGTACCATAGAAAGCTTTTTTGCTCTCTGAATAAGTGATACAACTTTCATCAAATTGGACAAGTTGATTATGACTCTTTGGAGACTATGCAATTTCCAAGAGTTCAAGTGGGTACCCAAGCTCTTCCCTCTACCACTATCCTATTGTCATTCTTCTTGTCCATTTGTCACGAGTATTACTAATTGCTGACTAATATACCTTCGAACGGTTATAACTACTCACAAACTAAGTCACTCAACAAATCGCCTGGTTAGCTCAATCGGTAGAGCGTTTGACTCTTAAGTAAGACATCAAAAGGTTGCGGGTTCGACCCCCGCATCGGGCTTTCTTTTTAATTTTTAATGCAACAGCGATAGAAAAAGAGATTTACCATTCCAATTTGCAGCCAGTCTACAATTAAAATTAAAGTAATAGTGTTGGAGCTTGTATTTCCAATAAATAACTATGCATTAACAAGATCCTCTTAAAACGACCATATATCCAGGAGCAAAAGCTATGCAGCAGTCGAAGTAAGAGGTAGAATAAGAATTGAAATTTTATGGAGAGCTTTAATGCTTACCTCCGGTTCTTTGATTTCTTAATTCCTTTTCTTTTCTTTCGGTTTCAGCATCCCAAAGAATGAAGTCGTCCAACGCACGTCCGGCTGGAACCATTGGTAAGACTGGGACCTTCTTTTCAACAAGAACTTCCATCAAAACAGGACCATCGTTGTAATCCAAGAATTCCTTAACTCCAGAAACCATATCGGCTGGAGTAGAGAGTCTAATACCCTTCATACCCATAGCTTCTGCCAACTTCATGAAGTCTGGGTTAGATTGATGGGTGTGGGAGTATCTGTGCTCGTAGAATAATGTTTGCCATTGAGTGACCATACCTTGTTCCTCGTTGTTCAAGACACAGATCTTGACAGGAGCGTTGGCTTGGATAGCAGCGGATAATTCAGTAAGAGTCATGTTGAAAGAAGCATCACCATCGATATCGATAACAATAGCATCTGGTCTACCAATTTGAGCACCAATAGCGGCTGGTAAACCAAAACCCATAGTACCAAGACCACCAGAGGTAATCATGGTTCTTGGCTTAGTCCAGGTGAAATGTTGGGCGGCCCACATTTGATGTTGACCAACACCAGTGGTCACAATAACGTCCTTACCGTAGGTGTGAGATTGTTTGGAAAGTTCTTGAATCAATGTCTGTGGCTTGATTAAAGAGCCTGGGGTTTCTTTTTGGTAACTGTATGGATACTTGTTCTTCCATTCAGTACATTGGTCGAGCCATTCAGTTCTGTCGACAGACTCAACCAATGGGATGAACTTTTTCAAGTTAGCAGTGACGTCACCTTCAACGGCAACGGTGGCTTCCACAACCTTGTTGATGTTCTTTGGAGACACTTCGAAATGAATGATACCACCTCTGTTTTCAGAAGCAGCCAACTTTGCAGCTGGAGCGAACTTGGAAACATTAAGGGTGACTCTGTCATCGAATCTGGCACCAAGGGCAAGAATAAGATCGGCGGTTTGGATAGCAGTGTTGGCAGCGGCATTACCGTGCATACCCAAGAAGTCGAGGGACTTTGGATCTCTTTGATCAAATGCACCTAAACCTTGAATGGTGGTGGTGACAGGTATGTTGGCTTTGTCAGCCAATTCCTTCAATAATTTAGGACCATCTTCGTGATTCAAGATACCAGCACCGGCGTAGATAATAGGCTTCTTGGCAGAGTTCAACAAGTCGGCAGAGTTTCTGATAGCTTCCAAGGTGAACTCGTTGGCGGCCTTCTTGGTGAGTTGACTCAAAGCGTTGGAAGGCAAGGTTGAATGTATTGGGATCGATTGTCTCAAGATGGCGGCGGTGACATCCTTAGGCAAATCCACGAGGACAGGACCTGGTCTACCCGAAGTGGCGATCTCAAAGGCTTCATTGATACGTCTTGGGAGCTCGGCAACATTCTTGACCATGACGTTCCACTTGGTACAGGATCTGGAGATACCAATGACATCAGCTTCTTGGAAAGCGTCGGTACCGATAGCAGTAGTTGGGACTTGGCCCGAGAACACAACAAGGGGAACACCGTCCATCAAGGCGTCAGCCAACGGGGTGATGACGTTGGTAGCACCGGGTCCTGAGGTGACAAGGACAACACCTGGCTTTCCGGTGACTCTGGCGTAACCTTCAGCCATGTGACCAGCACCTTGTTCGTGTCTGGGGAGGACGAACTTGAACTTGTCGGAGTTGTAGATGGCGTCGAACACTGGTAAAATAGCACCACCTGGGTATCCAAATACGGTGTCGACATCGTGTCTCAACATCATTTCGTGGAAGATCTCACCACCAGTCAAGCCAATGAAGGAGTCGTCCATGGCTGGAGCCTGCCTGGCAGGCTCGCTGATTGCTGGGGCCTTGGAAGGAGCCGAGATGTCGGAGGCAGCGTTGAAAGCTGGGGCTGGGGTTGGTCTGGTCGATCCTTGGGTAGCGGTCATGGTAGCCTTGTGTAAGTTGGTTTTGGTGATGTTTCTGGTCTGGCCCTTGAGCCTAAGCATCATCCTTGATGCTCTCATTCTTTGATTGATCATCTTGTGCCAACTGGGGTTATTCTAATGAAATCAGCGAATTCTGAATAAATATACTTGGTACGAAAATTCCACTGCAAAAAAACCGGCGCCAGCAAAAGAAACTTATAAATCTCAGATGAGTCAGTCGTGGGGAATGCCTGAACCGGTGAGAATTAGCGGGCCTGAGGCGAGCCCGTTCGCCCGGGCGAAAATTTTTTAGGTCACGTGGAAGTATGGGGTTGGTCACGTGTGTTCTTTCGCAGCTGTTGATGCAGATGCAGGTAAGAGAATGCCGTGTGGATCAGTTGAGCTACCGGTGATGGCAACGTACCAGAGCGCTGACTGGATCTTAGGAGAAAAACTCGATAAGTGCAGAATGCCGATCTATATGAGACAATATTGTAGCAGTTTTTGTGTTCGTATTCATAAATTACCAGTGGAAGTACGACAAGATGAATCGCTTATTGTAGTCTCCAGTCGCGTGGGCACTCCTGGTAGGAGGCTCAGCCGTAACAGCATCGTTGTTGAAGAGATCGTGATCTCGCTTAAGGTGAATGACTCTTAGTCTGTCATCATTGTGCGATGATTGTGCCAGCAGCTACATAATTCAATGCTTGTGTCTATTATACGTAATGTGAATTCTAGTTAGTCTTTTCGTTTTTCTCCATACTGCTGGCGGTCTCTGCGCCGTGCTCGGTGGATGTGTCACCGTCCTCCACGGCCTCGTAGATTTGACGGGTCTCTGGCTTGTTCTCACGATCAACATGAGTGTTTCTCAAAGATGGGGCGATGGAAGCGGATTCGGAGTGCTGCTGAGATTGCTCGGCTACTGGGTTCGACCAGTCCAAGAAGTCTCTTCTGACCTCCACGTAATCGTACGCAAACTCTCCAATCTGGTCCTCGTCCACACCCACTTCTTCTGCGTTGTAGTCGATTCTTAAATGCAAGCCAGGGATCTTGTCGATCACAAAGCACAAAATTGCAGTAACACCCGCAGAATAACCAGCAGTTGCTAAGATGTACGCAATTTGAATGTACAACTGTTTCCAGTTGTGGTCGATCCATCCACCCAAGTGATCGGTGACTCCATCGTAACCAATCACCGTAGAAGACCCGAACAAGGCGTTGAAAATCAACCCAATGATTCCGGCTATACCGTGCTCCGCCAACACATCAAGAGAGTCATCAACACGGCATATGTACTTGAGCTTGGTGGAAAAGTTACAGATGATACCCGCAGCAATTCCCAAAATCACCGAAGCCCAGAGAGGAATCATCCCCGAAGAAGGAGTAGCAGCCACCAACCCGGAAATACATCCAGAACAGGCAGCGACCATGGACCACTTCTTCTCCAATCTGAAATCAAGCAACACCCATGAAATGGCACCGAAAGCTCCGGCCAAGTGTGTGTTCATCATGGAGTATGGGACTTTGAGCGATGCATTTGCACACGAAAATCCGTTGAAAAACAACCATCCCATGTAGAGAAGCGAGGTACCCAAGAAGATGGTGGAGATGTTGTGAGGTCTATAGTTGATCATCAAAGTCTCGTTTCTTCTTCCCAAGAAGGCACTGAATACAAATGCCGACACACCGGAAAGAATCTCAACAGGACCTCCGCCAGCGTAATCAAGGGCACCGCCTCTGAAAGAAGAGGCCCAGCCACCACCCCAAATCCAGTAGACTACAGGGCAGTAGACCACGGTGGCCCAACAAAACAAAAAGATCATGGAAGGCAAAAAACGGCCTCTTTCGGCAACACAAGCACCTGCCAAAATGGCCAAGGTAACAAGCAAGAATTGCATCTGGAAGAGAGCGTATGCTATTTGAGGGAAGTCTGAGTCGGAACTGGAAGCGCCCAAAAGATTTTTGAACCCAAAGAAATGCAAGTCCCCGATGAAGTTGTTGGAGGATGTGTCTGAGAATGCTAACGAGTAGCCCCAGAAGTACCATTGGAAGATCCCGATGAAGGAGGACATGAAAACAATCCATACCATGGACAAGGCTGACTTTCTTCTGGCCAAACCCGAATACAAAAATGCCAAACCGGGGACCATAATCCAGATTAAGGATGACGAGATGGAGAATAATAGTACGAAGGACTCATTATACTTGAAGTTTTCTGTGAAGATCTGCTTTTTCGATAGTATATCCGACATATGTGAATAGTAGTGATAGATATGATAATTTACCCCGGAGGATATACTAAACTATATATGTAAAAGGGTAATTTCAGTTTCTGCACTGCCAAAATCACACCCCAGCTAACGTGTATTATTTGTGCTAATTTAATGGCCTGAGTGGATTTGCAGTTAGGTGTTTCCGATGGTGCTGTTAGCATGAGTATCGCCCGAGCCAAGAAAATCGACCAATCAACGATGCGCCGCTTGGCTATCAGTTACAGGTTACCTCCGTTATCAGTGCAGGTTAACTTGATTTGCCAAGCTGGTTTCGCGAGTGAAATGCAGGTTTCACAAACGGCCATCACGATAGCACCCGAAAAAACCCTTTGATTGGCCAGTCTGTTCCGAAAGGCGCACTGCGAAGCCTACCCTGTCAAGGTGGAGGAATTGCTTTTCGATTACCCGAAGGGTTGCAAGTTTGCAGCTAGATGAGACACAACAACGCGAGCATCACTACCCTGTACGACGGCCTGTTCCAACCAGGCGCAGCCCCCAAGAACGAGGCGGTCACGACCCCAGATGCCTGTGAGCCCTGCGGCTGCAGGAATTGCTGCGAAAACGGGGTGGGGTCCAAAGTGGGGGACTTGGATACGGTGATAGGTGATGGTACATGGGAAAGGGTTAGTGAGGGTATGGATGGAGGGTCGGTTGGCTGTGAGCTGGCGGACTCATGTTCGGTCTTGCTCGATGTCATAGTGCTGCTGGTGGTACTGGTGCCTTCCAGAGTGGACCCGGAGACACTATTCTGTATGGTAGTAGCAGCCTCCAGCTTAGAACTCAGAAGCGAATCCTCGTGATTGGTGGTGGTAGAAGTCTGCGTGTTGTCGGTGTGGGACTTGGTTGCACCTGATGTGCGGTCTGATGATGTGGCGGCAGGCTCGTTGGGACTTGGCTGGCTGCTGGAAAAACTTACGGGTGGACCAGCAGGGCCAATGGAAGTTGGAAAAATTTGGGTTGTGTTTGCAGAAAGGAACGGACTAACAGTGGTAACCATGCTGCTGGCAGTGCCGGACTCGCTTACACTGTTCGACTCCTCGGGACTGGAAACCTCAGGACTAAGCTTACTTGAACAGCCTCCAATACTAGTAGTAATCACCACTGTGTTCGTTCCAAAAACCAGAGACTCGCTGGTAAAATTGGGAGCTTCCTGTGATTCAGAAGGAATTATCGAAATCCCCTCGATAGAACTGCTCCGGGGAGAACTTGAGGTCAAACTTTGTGCAGCGCTCGGGGAAAAGACGGTTGTGGAATCAGATGAAGCGGGAGCAGTGGTGGAGTTAATGCTGGAACTTACGGAAGTGCTTGAGGAGTGATTGACACTTGAAACTTTACTCGTGAAAGAGCTAGTGGTAGTGGCCGAAATCGAAGAAAGAGATGTTGACAGCTGGGACCTAAGAATGGGAGATTCACCCTTGGTGGTGGAATTTCCGTATGGGATTGTCATTGTACTCTTGATGCATGAAACACAATCTGTCGAGCTGGAACTTAAAGTAATGGAGCATGAGCTTTGCACAGCACTGGATGAATCACTGGAAAATGAAGAAGTTTCGGATTCCTGAGAGCTGCCTGTAAATGCAGACGTACTGGTGACCGTAATTCCTGCAACACTGCTTGAGTCGGTGGTTTTCAGGAAAGAGGAGCAATTTCTTTGGCTAAAACTTGGATCTGAAAGGTGGGAAGTAGAAGCAATGCTGCTGAATTCAGATTGAACCATTGACGAAGTAGTAGAGAGGCTGGAGTTGATGGAAATCTGTGAACTGCTTTCAAGAGTTGTTTCAGTGGCAGCAGAACTTTGAACAGAGCTAGCTGATTCGCTACTCATACATCTTGTACAATTTCTTCCCGCAATAGTGCTGGAAATTATTGGAGTGGATGATGGCGAAGTAACAGAAGTAGAGCTGGATCTACTCAGTGTGGAAGTTGGAGGAAGTACAGAACCATTACCATCGGAGCCACCATCGATAATCACAATCTTCTTTCCTGCCGACTGTTGAATTGTACTACCATCACCACAAGTTAATTGATACCCATAGTAGTGTGTAAGGGAATTCATATTTTTGGGAAATGCTTCAAACCCTTCAAAAAACACCCTTCTGCCCTCTTCAACTTGTCCAAAATATAATTCAAGCGATTTCTCATCATCGGACGTACTAGTTTCAAACTCAACTGAGTCCGCAGACTTGGGAAAATAAAAATCATTTAAATTATCAGTAGCCCCGACCTTGAATAGTGAAGAGTCTAGTTTATCGTCTGTCACAAAGTATAATGAGCCGCTGGAAATGCCACCTGGGCACACACCTGCTAAAAAGTATACTTGCTCCAATTTTTGTGGTGTTGTTCTTGAGTAAATGATAAGTTCATCAAGTTTGCTGATAGGCTCATAATAGGGACCTGAGGTAATTGGAATAACTTGAGAGAAGTCGTCCCATTGAAGATGGAATGAACCCTTGTCATATTGAGACGCGCAAAACTGGTCTGCAGGGTTAGTGGAACCACCAGCATTTAATGAAAAATCAAAGGTTATCTGACCCTGAACAATAAGTCCAGAAGAAGAATCAAAGCTGCTAGATACAACACATTCCAAATACGAATTAGATGATAAATATGAAGCATCGTGTGCTGTACATTCCGCATAGGTCTGAGAACCTGCAGTAAGACGGAGTATACTTCCAGGGAATTTGGTCCTGAAAACACAGGGCATATTAAGGCGAAAAACATCATTAGCATCGACTTGTAACAGGTCAAGCTTCCAGAAGAGGTTAGCAGTCCGAATATCTTGTGGGTGATTGGTAGAAACCGTGGAAGTAATTTGAAGGTTTTTAAATACAATTCCTGATTCAACATTTTTCCCCAAGATGGTGGTCAAAATGAAAGCGAGTGAAAGAATCATGAGCATTGTGTCAGTTGTGAATATTCTTTCTCTGAATGATGGTTTCGGTTAAATGAATTGTCTTCATCTTTTATACTTTTGGAAACAACTATTGAGTGTGTCTGTGGTTGCAAAAAAAGCTCAATTTTATTCATAAGTCAACCAAAATTAGTCATAAATGAAAAATTTAAAACTTAACCGAGGTACAAAGCGGCATCCAAATGGGTTTCGGCTGAGTTGTTGTATCATATATCATACAGGCTATTCACCTAAGCGATAATAAACGTTACAAAAAAATATAAGTGTTTGAGGAATCTGATAGAAATCCGTAATGGGAAAAATTGGCCAAAATGCGGAACACTATATACAAAACTCACCATTAACTTAATCAATCCGACAAAATAAGCTTAGAAGCCCCAAATAATACGTATTAACAAGCGAGATGATACGATAAGCTAGTTTCATGTCAAGATATTGTGGGATTTATGAACAAAATTATGTGTACTTTTCATAAAAGTGCACTGATTCGAAACCAACCTCTACCATGATCAAGATAATAATAATCCATTCTAGCCTAGTGCCCTTTTTTTCGTTGAGAACACTGAGGAAGGCACGTTGTTCCTCTGTGGCATAGTCCAATTTTCTGTTCAAAATGGAGATTCGAGAATTAATGTCGAGGATTTTTGACACTGAGTTGTAGATTCTTTCTAAAGCAGGCTCACTCCAGTACAAGTCAGGGGTTTCTATCAACTCACTGTACAAATTCAATTTTCCCCTGAGAAGAAAAAGTTGACCTGTGGATTTTAAAAAGTCCGACTCCGAGGCCGTCACTTTCAAGCCCTTCGACAAGTACCGCGAGTTCTTTTTGGTGAGCTGGAGATGGTCCTCAAAGGTGTTTTCCAAGATAGACAACCTAGTGGACCGGGATAAGCCTATGGCGAAAGCGGCCTTGTCCAACATCTTTCTATCCAGAGAAGTACCTTGGATGACCATTACCTCGCCCTGGAGGTAGGAATTACCGTTATTCAACGGATTGTCTGGCAAGTAATTCAACTCTATCCAGTCCATTTCTTCACTTTCGAAGGGGTACTTTTCGGTGATGGAGTCTCTAAGCACAGGAAGAAAATTGGCTAGAATGTCGTCCTCAGAGATGTCCCAGCCCACAAGGGTACCGTTCGAAAGGATCATCAAGTCCTTCTCGTGGAAGCGGATGTTGACCACTTCTTCAGGCACAATTATCTGGTATTCGTATCCCTTGATATCGTTGAGCAACACCTCGAAGTCGATTGATTCGCCCACAGTTATGGACGTCACTGGCGACAAGTACTTTTCCAACGTCTTGGACGGCGAATAGACCGAGCTGTTTTCGTTGAGAAGTGATAGTATGTAGCTGGTGGACTTATCGAGAAACGCAGGGTCGGTTCTGCGTAACTTCTGGATCGATACCTTCTTTTTTGGGTGCTTGGGAAACCGCACAAGCGAGGAGGAGACTGACGCGGATGGGCCAGAAGATGACGAGTTGGGCCGCGAGAACGCCAACGCCCGGAACGTCCTTGGTCTGACGAGTCTGGAGAGCATTGTGGTGGATGCCATCGGTGCTTAATTCCCCAGTTATTGGGGCGCGCGCACACTGAGGCAGCGGCCAGGTACAGGCAGGTGAGTAGGGTAGAAAGGGTAGAGGAAGCGAGCCCAAGAGTTATGTAATTTCCAAGAGTATTGAAGAATGGATGTTGGAGGCAGAAATTAGTACGCATACAACGCCAGCTGTATTATTGACTAACCTGGTATAATACATCGAGGTGTTGTCGAGTTCTCAAGATCCAGACTAAATCATCGAAAGTTCCAATTTGGTGATTGCAGAGTAGTCAGGCCATTATTTCCAGTGCAGCACCAGTGGTAGCATGGATGTTGATCCAAAATACCAATAAGTCTGATACTAATATTTCGCTGGCTCGTTAGGATACACCTAAGAAAGCGTACCGGTAAAATAGGCCAAGATTGAACTGTTGGTCCGCTTTTTGCGAGTACTGCTTTTATTTCTGGGGAGCGCATATAGAGACATTTGAATTGAAAAAATCAGTTGATCAGCATGTCAATCTCGAGTATAATAGGATGAATTTCCATGCAGTTCAAAAACCACGTTAATTGCTTGTTTGGGTCACTGTAGTGCAGAAGATAGCTATGCAGCCCCCAACATGTTCCTTGTTTTGGGGACCGAAGAGAAGACATCGTACCAGAATGAAGCAAGGTATCTGAAGACAAATACATACACAAAAGCCATTTAATAAAACCCCGGATGGGCAGCTATGTTAGTTATGGTAATAATTACCACTCATTAAATAGGCGACTGTTCTCGGTCTAGTTGGTTCAGACCATGGTAATGATGCAAATTCATGGTTTTCAGATTACTAGCTACTGCGAAACCATCTAAGGCCTTTACTGCCTCATGATGCACCTTTTGGGTCGGGATTGCACTGAAACGGCCTTTGGCTGTATCTGGAAAGTGCGTAATTGAGCATCAGGCGACAGGGCCCTGGAACGGCGAGCACTACAGGCCAGGAGAATCAGAAAGGAGTGGAGAAAGAGTGGAAGAGGTGGTGGCAGTAGTGATAGCAGGAGTACTAGCAGTAGTTCTAGTAGCAGCAGTGACAGTAATGGTGACTGGTATCGTGCCCCACGCGTGACCGCTGGCGGCCCACGAGCCCGCACATTTGCTCGTGGGAGATCATCCAGATCTAGCTGGCGGCTTAGAGGGCGCGGTTACGTAAGCGGCGACCAAAGCGGTGATCGGTGGGTGGAAGCATATGAGCATGTGCGACATTCCACGCCCACACCGAAGGGGCAGATCCATTCCAGGCGACGTCAGAGGCGTCGGAGCCACGCCGTCACAGACCGGCTGCGCTGCATGCGCGGTTTCTGTTTGAGTAGTGAGGTAATCCGACACCCTCTGCTTGGCTCCATCCGACTGGTGATCGCTGGCAGCTCCGACATTTGTTGACAAAATCTCCCAAACCAGCGGCAGATGAAAATTTCCTGATTTGACAGAGGTGTCGCTCCACCAGAAATTAGGTACATAATTAAAGAAGGGGCGATGAGGAGGGGACGGCGGGGGTCGCCGGATGCTGCTGTTGCGTGAGTACTCTGCCCCCACGTCTCTGTTTCTTGGTGAGCCCCGACGGCTACACTCCCACACCCGCAACCGCACGCTGACACGTCTCCCTGCCCCAATGAAACACCCTGGCTCAGATGCAGGCGATGAAACGGACCCCCAGCTACCAGTCACTCTTGGCTGTGCGTGCGCACCCAGCACGCCTCGGACATCCCTCCCGGCGGTGCCTCCTCAATCACCTTTCCTAAACTGGCGTGGTGCCCCTCTCTTTTCCGAACCAGTACAAATACAAACAACCAAAAATAGGCCTGGCCCGCAACGGTATATAACAGGGCCAATTCCAGATCTGCTGCCTACCCTCGTTACTATATACATTCTGCCGGATCGCCATCCTCCTGCCCACCGCCAAACGTGACGTGACCTTTCTCACCTCCACCTGAACACGCATCCTCTCGCAAACCCGAAGAAGAATTTTCTGCACACTCCATTGATCCCAGAATCATCCCAATAGTCGAATATGTGGTACGTATCAGAGCCCCGCCATGGCCAGTCATCCCAGCATTACTAACATCCTAGTGGTATTTTTGGTTACGTAAACTTCCTTGTCGATAGAACCAGAGGTGAAATCATCGACAACCTTATCGAAGGTCTCCAGAGATTGGAGTACAGAGGTTACGACTCTGCCGGCTTGGCTCTTGACGGAGACAAGGCAGGCGAGTCCATCATTGTCAAGACCACCGGTAAGGTCAAGGTGTTGAAGCAAAAGATCGTCGACCAGCAGGTCGACAGAAACACCGTGTTCGAAAACCACGTCGGCATTGCCCACACCAGATGGGCCACCCACGGTCAACCAATGCTCGAAAACTGCCATCCTCACAGATCCGACCCCAACAGCGAGTTCGTGGTGGTCCACAACGGTATCATCACCAACTACAGACCATTGAAGACTTTGTTGCAATCCAAGGGAATGAAGTTCGAGTCCGAAACCGATACCGAGTGTATTGCCAAGTTGTTCAAGCACGTCTACGACACCAATGCCGCCGCAGGCGTCGATCTCGATTTGTGCCAATTGACCAAACAGGTCTTGTACGAATTGGAGGGTTCCTACGGTATCTTGGTCAAGTCCACCCACTACCCCGGCGAAGTCTGTGCCACCAGAAAGGGTTCCCCATTGTTGGTCGGTGTCAAGACCGAAAAGAAGTTGAAGGTCGATTTCGTCGATGTCGAATTCCCTGAACAAAACTCGGAACCTGCCAACAACCAAGACTTGAACTTGTTGCAAAAGGGCAACAACTTGAGAACCGCTCAATCCAGAGCTTTCTTGGCCGACGACGGTGTTCCAATGCCAGTCGAGTTCTTCTTGTCTTCAGACCCAGCCTCCGTGATCCAACACACCAAGAAGGTCTTGTTCTTGGAAGACAACGATTTTGCTCACATCTACGATGGTGAGTTACATATCCACAGATCCAAGAGAAGCGAGGGTGACACCACCACCAGACAAATCCAAACCTTGGAAATGGAATTGAACGAAATTATGAAGGGTCCATACAAGCACTTTATGCAAAAGGAAATCTTCGAACAACCAGACTCCACCTTCAACACCATGAGAGGTAGAATTGACTTCGAAAACAACAAAATCAACTTGGGTGGTTTAAGATCCTGGTTGCCAACCATCAGAAGATGTAGAAGAATCATCATGATTGCTTGTGGTACTTCATACCACTCTTGTTTGGCCACAAGATCCATTTTCGAAGAACTTACTGAAATTCCAGTCAGTGTTGAATTGGCTTCTGATTTCCTTGACAGAAAGTCTCCTGTTTTCAGAGATGACACTTGTGTTTTCGTTTCTCAATCGGGTGAAACCGCCGATTCTCTCTTGGCCTTGCAATACTGTTTGGAAAGAGGTGCCTTGACCGTGGGTATTGTTAACTCTGTTGGTTCATCTATCTCTAGAACCACTCACTGTGGTGTTCACATCAATGCCGGTCCTGAAATCGGTGTTGCCTCCACCAAGGCCTACACTTCTCAATTCATTGCTTTGGTCATGTTTGCCCTTTCTTTATCCAACGATTCTATTTCAAGAATTGATAGACACAAGGAAATTATCCAAGGTTTGCAAAAGATCCCAGAACAAATTAAGAAGGTTTTGAACTTAGAAGACAAGATCAAGGACTTGTGTGACAAGGCTTTGAACTCGCAAAAGTCTTTGTTATTGTTGGGTAGAGGATATCAACATGCCACTGCTTTGGAGGGTGCTTTGAAGATCAAGGAAATTTCTTACATGCATTCTGAAGGTGTTTTGGCCGGTGAATTGAAGCACGGTGTCTTGGCTTTGGTTGACGACAAATTGCCAATCATTGCTTTTGCTACTAAGGACTCTTTGTTCCCCAAAACTATGTCTGCTATTGAGCAAGTCACCGCTAGAGACGGTAGACCAATTGTTATCTGTAACGAAGGTGACGAAATCATTGCTTCTGACAAGGTCATGGCCACTTTGGAAGTGCCAGAGACCGTGGATTGTTTGCAAGGTTTGTTGAACGTTATTCCATTGCAATTAATGAGTTACTGGTTAGCTGTCAACAGAGGTATTGATGTGGATTTCCCCCGTAACTTGGCTAAGTCTGTTACTGTTGAATAGATAGATCACGATACCCTATTGATACACACTAATCGGTGTATTACTTGTTACGATATACTCTTTATATACATATATAAATACGATTTGTCAATGGCTTCAACTATATCAGGCTGACACTGGTGTTGTCGCTGCACAAGCGACATTGCTTAATATATTAATATTTACCTCGACGCAATTCATATGGGTGATATTGAGGGGCCATGCGCGTTCAGGTACATCAATGTGTGCCTGACCAGGACCCTGCGATGACTCGCTTAGCTCCACTCATCTTCTCTTGAAGTAGTCCGACGAGCCAAAATAAGCAGCACTGTAGTCAAATATCTTCTCGCCAACATCCAAGTACTTGGACGAGTAGTATCTAATGTTCTCGTTATCGAATGATTCCAAATTTGGAGTCAACCCGGTGTTTCTCTTGACACCTGCCAAAAAAGCAGACACTAAGGCCAAATCAACACTAACATGCACAATTCTTCCAATCTTCAGACCATCGTACCTCAGCCAGTGAGCTCAGGCGAACCAACTTGTTGGTGCCTGGTATTGCCACCAGCCGCCACACTGGTACGATAGTGGATGGTTAGTACTGAGTTCGCAAGGTACGCAACGCTGGAAGCGCCAGTTATGTCCGAAGACTCCTAATGGACCACGGACGAGATGTACTTACCATACTGTCAACAGGTAGTAGTATTGTCTTATCATCGTTTCACACTTGTTTTCACAGTTCCTGGGGACCCTCCCGATTCGGAAACAGGGGTTACCCGGCAACCAGGGGGTTGAGAATTGATCAACTGAAAACAGATTGCCGTCAATCTACTTACAACGCCCTCCGTGGCCAAACACAGACGGCTAGACTGGATCAGTTTCAAGATGACACACGGATAACAAACCCGAGATATACAAAATTGCTGCTTTTGCTGGTGGTGAGTGCTGCCCACCACCGGTCATATGTGGAGTGATGGTGCTATGGACGTTAAGCAGACTAGGCGGACGCCTCTAATCTTTGCGGGCTAAGCGTATGCTCCTGTAGTGTGGAGCATGATTGTCTTGAAGTGGGAATAAACGGGCTTCGCTGGCGGTGCTGGTTGAACATACTTTAGTCTCGGGAAGATGTTATGTCACCAAGCTATGTTGCTACAAACGGTCTTACAAATGGTACTGGTATGGGTTCCCCTGGAATTTCCCAACAAGCTCCCACAATTCACTTGCTATTGGCGGCGTTGGTGTTGATGGCGTCACACACCACATGGTTCCTTACCGCCACGCAGTCGTGGCCAAGAGCAGCCAAACAACCACACCTTCCCAGATATCGTTGTTACGATCTCTTCAACCCCCTGCTCTCACTCGTAAGCCCCAGCCTCCCCAAGTAAGTTTGACGTCCCATGTTGCAATCACTTTACAAATGGCCCTCCGTTACGAATCCGGGTAACCTGGTGGGATTTTTTCTTCGTGTGCCAGGAAAAATATTCTTATACAAACCAGATACCATAGGTAGTGTCGAGACTCATCAAACAACGGAGTCATTCTTCTGGAGAACCAAACAAGGCAATTTCGTGAGCTGATCGTCAAGGACTTTGCGTATTAATCTGATAAATCGTTACACCACCACACAATGTCAGAGAACAAAGCTCCTCCAACAGGTCCTCGCTCAAGTAGAGATTATGACAGTGGCAGGTCTTCAAATCTGAGGTATGGTCAGAGAGACCACCATGATAGCTACAAACACGACTCATATCAAACACGAGATCCCCGCGACTACCATGATACGTATAAACCAGGCCGTGGAGGCTACGCAGGAAGAAGTAATTACAGGCCCCGCGGAGACACATACAAGCCTAGAGGCGGTGGGCCCGCCAGATCATCATACAATGACTCCAGGGACGAAAGAAGTGGCTCTTCTGCCATCGCTCCTCCCACAGGACCATCTGGCATAAAGCGTTCCTTGCCACCTTCAGAACCAAGCAGTTACAGGAAAAGGAGAGAATACGACCCTCAATCTGACTACCCCCCATACAAGGGCGGGCGTGGTGGACTGGCTCCCAGAGGTAATTATTCTTCAGGAGCAAGAGGCTCAACAAGAGGACGTGGATCCCAAGCCCCAAGAGGCTCGTTCCCATCCAGGGGAGGAAGTACAAGTGGCAGAGGTGCACCAGCGCCAAGGGGCGGCTCCTATTCCACCAGGGGCGGACCAAACAAAGGCAAAGCAAACTACAAGAGTAGCATACGTACTGAAAGAAGTGACGTTGATGCTAAGGCTGTGCCTGCTAAGTTGGCCAAATCACAAATCTACTCGGTGAAGATCGTGAAACCCTCAGAAGTGTATAAGAGAGTTCAACAAGTAGGAGAAGGAACTTATGGTAAGGTGTACAAGGCCATCAATATTATCACCGATGAAAATGTTGCATTAAAGAAACTCAGATTAGAAACAGAGAAAGAGGGATTCCCTATCACTGCAATCAGAGAGATCAAGTTATTACAGTCATTCGATCATAAGAATATAGTGGGATTACTAGAAATGATGGTTGAGCATAATCAAATCTATATGATTTTCGATTACATGGATCATGACTTAACTGGATTGTTGACCCATCCCGAATTAAAATTGGAAGAATGTCATAGAAAGTTCATCTTCCAACAGCTTATGGAGGGGCTTAATTATTTGCATAAAAAGAGAGTGATTCATAGAGATATAAAGGGATCCAATATCTTGCTCGATAGCACCGGAATATTAAAGATTGCTGATTTTGGATTGGCAAGAACCATGAAGATTGTCAAGGATACAGAAAGCCCTGATTATACCAACAGGGTGATTACCATCTGGTACAGACCCCCCGAGTTACTTTTGGGAGCAACCGATTATGGAAGAGAAGTGGATGTCTGGGGAGTAGGGTGTCTCTTAATCGAGTTGTACTCAAAGGTAGCTGCATTCCAGGGCTTTGACGAAGTCGGCCAATTGAGCCAGATCTTCAATATTATGGGAACGCCCAGCTACGAAGAATGGCCAGAGATAGAGAATCTCCCATGGTTTGAAATGTTGAAGCCCAAGATCAATGTGGGCAGCAAGTTTGAAGAGTTGTACTCGTCAGTTTTATCACCACAGAGTTTTGATTTGGCAAAGAAGCTCCTTACGTTGAACCCTAAGAAGAGATTGACTGCAGAACAGGCACTCGAGCATCCGTACTTCATCGAGGACCCCAGACCAGCGCCTTTAGAGTTCTTGAAGGACATCAAGGGCGAGTGGCACGAGTTTGAGACCAAGAAGAGGAGAAGAAAGGAGAGAAAGAGATTGCAGGACGAAGCGAAGGCCTCGAAGATAAAGGAGCTCGAGCGCCGTGAAAATGGCACTGTCAATGGGATCGACGAGTCGGTGCTGCAAACGAGCAGAGAAGCCACTGTGCCGCCCGAGCCTGTGCCTGAAGTAAGCACCAATACCACCGTGGACACCCATGGTCTTGACGACGTTGATGATATGAAAGACGTGTAACGCGACTGCATTAAATAGTGAGCTGGTCAGCAGGAAGACAAATGACTTCTGGGATTATGGGGTGCTGGCCTGCAAGCATTAGAATAAAGGTAATAAAATGACGGTTGTAGGCAATATAGAGTAGTCCTAATTTAGGAGCATTCACCAGCGAGTGTAATGCATTTGCACCAAGCTACTGTGGCTTGCCGCTGCCTGCCACCGTGGGGACGAGTGAGAATTTCTGTTCTAACGGAGTATGTTAATTTGTGTTCATTATTCGATAAAAGTCAACGGGATAACAGATACAAATTCCGGAAACAGAAAATCTCTCCGTGAATGCAAAAACTGTCCCAGAGAGATGAAATAATGTCACTATTGCAATTGCCACTACGAATGCGAATAATCCGTTACTAGAAACTTCCACTGGCATCTGTGATGTTTCGTCACTGTCCACAATTGCAGCCATCCAAGTCAAAAAGGTACTCGAACTCGCGAACTGCACGGAAAAACCCAACAGCCAGCATTGTAGTCTAAAACGGCCCGCGATGGCCACGACAGTGCGTCGTCTTCCGAGTAAGCCCACCAGCGGTCGCACTTCATTGCAGCTGCTAGCTTAGACGAGACAATCACAGCGCAGTAAATAAATGCGGTTGTATGCCAGGTGGTGCCGGACACGACCCATGACAATAAATGCGAGGAAGTATCCTGGTTTCCACAAGAGTGATCAGCTAGCAATTACTAACACGATCTATTCACGTCGGAGTCCAGGCGATACCAAGCAGCGGAGCTCCTCTAGTACACCTTATTTGATCTTTGGTTAGTGTTTCCTCTGTTTGACTGCTGGCCAACAGCAAGCAACAACATTGTCATCTAGCTCACTCCACAACAAGTGACTCCAGCCACCCTTTTCAGCATCCCCCCCTCCTATTTAATCTATTTGCATCGCCATGGGTTCATGTGCCTCCAAGGAGCCACAAGCTCCACAACAATCTTCCAAGCCTGTCAACAAGCGTCAGGAACAGAAAGCGACATTGGCCAAGAAAGATGAAGCCGCCCACTCGGCAACTAACCACTCCACGGGCTCATCCAGTGACATACAGGCAGAAAAGGCTCCCGCTGCTACCCCCAATGCAGTGGACATCGCCGCTGCACATCAACAATCCGGACAGGCTGCCAGCAGAAATGTGAAAGTGTTGTTGTTGGGATCTGGTGAGTCAGGGAAATCAACAATTGTCAAGCAAATGAAGATCCTTCATCAAAACGGTTATTCTAAGGAAGAATCCATCGAATACAAGCCGTTCGTATACAAGAACGTACTTGATTGTATGAAAAACATTATCCATGCTATCTACGACTTACAGCCTGAACTTGTCAAGCGTGAATCGAATGGTTTGGTTGGCACCGCCAGCGAAGAAAGCTTGCAGGAATTTAAGGGTGATGCATCCACCAAAGGTGTTGTTGACAAGGCAGACTTGGAAGCCATTTTACAACACGAATACTCCATGGATTCAGACACTCCATTCGATAGTACAATAGCTGCTACTATAAGCAAGGTCTACTCCATACCCGAGATCCGCGAGTTTGCCAAAACTCAGCAAGGCAACTTCTATTTGATTGACTCAACACATTACTTCCTTACTGAGATTGATAGAATAGCCCAACCCTATTATATTCCCTCTGTCAACGATATCCTCAGAACTAGAAAGAAGACTTCTGGTATCTTTGATTTCAAGTTTCAAATGGGTAATGGTTTGAATATCCATATGTATGATGTTGGTGGCCAACGTTCCGAACGTAAGAAGTGGATCCATTGTTTTGATAACGTCACCTTGATCATCTTTTGTGTTGCGTTGTCTGAATATGATCAGGTTTTACTTGAGGAGAACAGTCAAAATAGATTGGAAGAATCGTTAACGTTGTTTGACTCGGTTGTGAATTCTAGGTGGTTTGCAAGAACTTCCATTGTCTTGTTCTTGAACAAGATTGATGTCTTCGCAGAAAAGCTCGCATACTCACCTCTTGAGAACCAGTTCCCAGACTATACTGGTGGTAATAATATCAACAAAGCAGCCAAGTACATTTTGTGGCGTTTCACTCAGTTGAACAGATCAGGCTTGAACATCTTTCCACACGTCACTCAAGCTACTGATACCTCGAATATTCAATTAGTATTCGTCGCTGTCAAGGAAACTATCTTGGAAAATTCCTTGAGAGACAGTGGTATTTTGTGATCAATTCACAACAATCACCCATTGATCGTTTCGATCCCCCATTCTAACATAATAATTACCTCTATTCTCTCAGCTGCGGGAGTTTATCAACATTTTCATTTCCATTGAAGCTGTCTTTTTGACATAAATCGAAAATGGCCAAGAGCGCCAAATGTATCTGCACCCAGTGTGTGTATTTAGGGTCAATGGTTTAATATCAAATACTTCTTGTTTACGACATGTAGCTCTCAAACAATTTGAGCAAATACAATCATTTTAGAATACATTACTTCATACATATCTATACAGTTGTACTGGATGATAACAGCTTTCAAGATCTCTACTTACAGAAGCTCAGTTAGGTTCTGCTTTAAACTCTTCAGTTGGTTTTGGCCTTACGTACTGAAGATTGTGACCGTGAGACCCTCTTCCTCTGAAACCGCTTCTTCCCCTGGAGAATGAAGAGCCTCTAGATGAACCACGGCCCCTGCCTCTACCCCTAGGTCTTCCACCTTTGGCTTCTGATTCTAGATTCACTTGTCCATTTTCGGGCTTTCCTGAGACATCGGAATTCTTTTCGGTGTCACCCCTTGCTTGCTGAGTTACCTCATTATTTGCCGTGGAATGTGGAACTTGTTGATTGTGCAATTCACTGGAGCCATTTGTTTCCGAGGCTGAGCCATTTTGGATATCACCCTTGCCTTCAGCAGATGGGTCTACCGATGAAGACTTACTAGCACCACTGGAGTCTGTATCTTTCTTCTTGTTTCTTCTTGTTTCAGTGGGATCACCATTCTTTTGACCATCATTGTTGGGCTTAGAATCTGCTTCATTATGTTCTTCAGAACGAGCATATCTACCACCTCTTGAGGAGTAGGTTTTCGGCGATCTATTTCTGTATCTGTGGCCATGGCCATTGTTGAAGCCTCTGTTACGAGGTCTGCCATCTTCGGACGACAATCTTTGATTTTCAACTTCACCATTATCATGACCGTGATATTTGTCATGGCGATTGTTTCGGTTCAGACGTTTCTCTTTATCCAGATACACTTTCTTGTTCACCAACTCACTCAAGTGCTTTCTGAAGTCGGGTCTATCATCTTCAATTGGCCTGACAGGAGCAATTTTAGAATCTTGAGGTACCCCAGTTCCTTTCACCTCATCTCTTTGATTCTCTTGAGATGACACAGCATCAGCTTTATATGGACCCAAATTCTGATTCAGCAATTGAAGTTGGTTAACCGATTGCCTCACAGGTTCTATACTTGACTCGACGTCTACTTTGGTTGTGATAGGATCATTTTGAATGGGTTCTTCCTTATTGACCAGGTCCAACTGTTTGACAATTTGATCAGATTGAGCAACATCATCAGGGTTAAGACTAGATACTTCAATAATTGTCGCCTTATCTTTATCTTCACTGATCTGTGAACTCGATCCCGTATTTAAAGAACTAGTTACTGGAACCTTTTTCTTCAAAATTACTGGCTTTGAGACGACAGGCTTAGGTGACGACTTTTGAGACCGTGAAGAGTTTCTGCCTCTTATCTCTGAAATGCTGGTATTTTTACCACTCAAAAGTTCGGCAAGACTCTTGCCATTTGTATCATAAACATTCTGAGGAGGCGGAGTTGCAACTGCGTTCGCGGGTTGATTAGTAGCAGTAGCTGGATGCGAATTTGAAGCTGAACCCGATTGTTGAGTTGCTGAAAGTGGTGTCTTCTTTGTATCTCTATGCTTGGTCGATTCGGTGATATCTTGTTGAGGCGCCGTGTTCGATATCGATGGTCTCTTAAGAATAGAAACTGAAGGTCTCCTTCCCTCCGTTGACGATCTTCTAGAATTGTTTATGGAGTTTCTTCTCAATTTGGGAGAAGCAGCTTCATGAAAATGCTTGATGGTTGATTGTACATCGACTGCTTCGCCATCAGGACCCAAAGTTTGTACTGTAGTTTTGTTGAGGTTAATGAGCTTCTTTTCAATTTCCTTCTCTTTGGATAAAACATCAACGGGTTTTGCAGCCCCAAAAGGATTAAACTTGGGCTTTGGTGGACCTGGGGGAACAAGGGGAGGTGCATTGTCGAATGCAGGTGTGGGTCTGGTAGAGTTGAGAGGAGGATTGCCCCTCACTGGAGACCTTGAGGTGGAGCCTCTAGGTCCAAAAGCGCCATCACGGTGTCTACCGGCAAGAAAATCTTCTTGGATTCTTGCGATATCCTGCTCATGCTCTTTGTTGAAATTAATACAATGCTGGAAATCGCCAAAGTCTGCCAATTCGATCACCACTCTTCTGTTTCCTTTGTAGTACAAATCCTGCCATTTCAAAGCCTTAGCCAAATCTGCGGCGGAATGCAACTCAACAAAGGCCACTTTCTTGATGACGTGCGTTTCCAATATATTGGAGGAGGGGTCTGCCACGATCTTGAACTTCACAAATTGGGTATATCTGCTCCTAAAAAGGTCTTCGACGAATCCGTCGTCGGCAGTAATAGGCAAATTTAACAATTTCACGATGTAGGGGGGCCCTTGTCCTCCTCCTACACCAGGATGCCGGGAATAGTTGTTACCTGGGCGACCGTAGTGGTCCCCTGGGTACGGTGAGCCATATCCTTTCTCGATTGGCACAGAGATAGATGCCATATTGATGTCATCATCTGCCCAGGAGCCTCCGTACGCTAGCAGTTAGTATTGACCGATTAATCTGCACTCAGGGTGCCCCATTATGGCGCAGCTTGAGGTGTGGACATCCCATGATGTTGATGGTTTCGTAATACTTACACATGTCGAAGAACTCCTGCAAGCTCATCTTCTTAGGCGGAGCTAGTTGTTAGTATATTCTGGATTAAGTGGTACGACATCGCCAATTGTGGTTGGGCAGTGCCGAGGGGGCAGCAGTCAATGCTGGATACATACCCATTGGTACTCGATAGTGTCCGTTATTACAATCACCAGTTGGATAACAATTGAAAATGGAATTCCTAATTGGGCTCAAGGATCATTTGTGGGTGACGGGGTTTTGTTGTTATTCAGTGATGGATTCACGTGACGAATGATTGCGAATTGGATCACAAGTGCTAGGCGAAATTATAGCTCCAGGGAGCAACTACTGGTGATGTGAAAGTCGTGTATTCAATTAGAGATCGTTGAAGTTTTTGTAGGTACTCTGCCAGTCAGCAAAGAACCCCTTGAAGAACTTGAGTCCCAAACCTACATCCTTGCTACCGGTGGTGGCCCTGATGGAGTGCATGGAGAGCTGAGGAATACCCAAGTCGATGGTTCTAGCCCCGGTTTGCGACGAGATGGAAGGACCAATGGTTCCTCCAGAACGCGAGTCATTTCTGATCTGGAAGTATTGCACGGCATCACCGTTCTTTCTGGCGATTTCCTCCACCAATGCCACACCCACCGCGTCGGTAGCCATATGGCCATTGGCGTCCAAGGTAATGGAGATACCAGTGTTTGGAAGAGGCTTGTGGCCCTCCAAGTAGACGCTGGCGTAGTTTGGATGGAACGCGTGGATCACATCGGCAGACACGATGAACGAATTAGCGTAGGTCAATCTCAATTCCTCTTCGATGTTGGCCTTGTCTGGGTGCACAGCCTGGACGACTCTGGACACCACCAGCTCTACAAGGCCACCCTTGATACCTGTTCTGGTAAGCGAGGAGATTTCCTCGTGGTCAAACAACCCGACAACCGAGAAAGAGTCCGATGCAAGTAAGTCGTCATGCTCGGCTTCGATCAACGCTTGGATACCAGCCCAAGAACAGATTCTATCGTCAATTCTGGGAGCGTACAAGAATTCGTCGTTCAACCCACCAATAGTTCCCTTCTGAATGTCGTAAATTTCCAAGTCCCATTGGAGGATTTCCGAAACCTTGACGCCAAGCTTGTTGGCCACATATCTCAACAAAGTCAACGAGTGCTTGCCGTACAAGGGAGCGCTCTTCTCTTCGTCAGTGGCCTCTTCTTGCTTGCCAGCAGAGTATCCCACCACTGGAACCGAGTTGGTTTCGCGGTTGGAGCTCTGGGAAGGTTCGCCAAAGTGAGGAGCCAAGGTGGGAATGTGGGCAATTGGGTGGGGGGTAGAGTCCACCAACTTGGCAGTGACCTTTCCGTCCTGCTTGACCAACACCTTACCACCAAGTCCCAAGTCTCTGTCGTACCAGAGCCATCCCAAAGTGCCTGCATAAGGGGCGACTCCCAACAATTCGTAGCCCTCCACCGACTGCTTGACGGAGGCAGGCTTCAATTTGGCGGTCAATGAGTCGATGTGTGACACAATTGCACCAATACCATTCGCAGGCTTCCAGTTCTTGCCCACCACGAAGGCGGCAAGCGCAGACCCGTTTCTGATGGTGAAATACTTGCCAGCACTCAACTTGGACCAGTCTTCCTGTTCCGACACGTACGAGAAACCAGCATCACCAAGCTGCTTCTTGAAGTGGGCCACGACGTGGTAGATGGTGGGGCTGGTGTAGGTGAAGTCAATGTACTCCTGGGAGTAGGCCAGGATGGGCTTGGAGGTGGAGACGGCGTTTGCGGAGGAGGTGGTGGCATTGGTGGGAGCCGAGGCCACTTGTGGGGCCTGAGTGTTCTCAATGGCCTGTAAGAGGTCCTTGAGGACCAAACTAATGTCTTTGTTCATTGTGGGTGATGGTTCCAAATTGGTGGGGATTTTCGCTCTATATAGCTGGTCTGGTGCAACCGAGCCCCAAATGGGACAAAGCGCATGCATTACTCATTTGGCCCTGTCCCTGGCCGTGTGGCTCTCCGCCACCGGAACAGTCGCGGAGTGCTGGCTGCGAGGACTCATCAGGCACTGGTGGCAGTAGGACGGTTGGGACGGTTGGAGGTGCCAGGTAGGCAGTGGGTCGGGGAGGACTGGTGGGAGTGGCTAGCACCGTTTGTTCATGATGGAACTGGTCTGGGTGCTTTGGTGGGTGCTTTGGAACCATCATCCAATGGGCGCGGTGCTGCGATAAGAGCCATTCCGGAAACGCGCGCCAGGCTCGCGAGAGGCCGTGCGATAGGCGTGGAATTGTGGCAGTGGCGGTGGACTAACGATGGACTGGATGGATTCATGGATGCTTTCAATTGGATATATTCGTCCTACTACGACCGTAGGCTATTCATTCAGTGATTTGTCTTTCGATGTGCCGCAAGTTTCAACCCATCAACCGTTGTTGTAGCCGGAACTTTCTTGCCTAGAGTCGCTAGTTTTCAATTCGCCAGATTCTCTACTTATGTTCCAGTATGCTGATGTCAGTACCATTCGTGCTAATTCGTGAGGCAAAATTCGAGCAGCCTTCGAATTGCCCTTGGAACGACAGAACCATTCAAAAGTTTCAACTATAAGTGGAAGACTTTGAAGGTCATAGGTAAATATTGACCATGCAGGCTCGGAACTCAATGTGGTCCTCTATATGTTTTCTTGTATTTGCCGCAACTGGTGCCTGGTCCATCGAAGACTTCCGCTGATGTTCTTGATCTCATCAGAATTTAATCTTTGGGTAAGAGGTCCAGTCTTGGTCTCGGGGTAATGCCGTAGAGTATTCAAAGGATACTTTGTAGCAGTAGTTAGCTCCTCGGCTCAATAAAGGACCGAAGCAAAGGTTTCCCACACAAGCTAAATACCCTAACAAGTATAGATGAATTTTTCACAACCAATTTTCCTGTTGATAAATTATTCAATTGCAAGCATCGGAGGCAACATTTTGTAGATGTTGCTGTATTCCGCTTCCTAAATCATTTCCTTTGCGTCCCTGTGTTAGGGGTTCAGTTCTGCGAAGCCAAGCAGTTCGGATGGGTAGTTCACGATTCATTAGTATTGGATCAGTATCCCAGACTCTTAATGCACTGGATAAATTTATCTTTTATGCACCCACAAGACTTCATCTTTAACTCAATCGACTAGTAATTTTGCGTCAACTTCTCCGACAATTAACGAAAGTCATACATACTAATAGGTCATCTAAAGAGTCAACTCTAACATACTCTCCCCTAGCAAAAAATATAAACTACCTTTTCTACTAATAAACCATTTTTAATCATTAAATTAATAAACCATATACTCTCAACATCAATATCCCTTCGTTGTGAGGTAAGTATCTGGACAGAGGTATTTGCGAATGATACGCCCTTCTTTCTCCAAAAATATACTCGACTCTGGGTGCTATTATGTGTGTTCCTTAGAAGGGTCCGCCAGTCCTTTTGGCTGCAATTAGCCACCCTCCATCCATTATGGCTGCAATTCTGTGCTTCCAGGGCAATTCTACGTGCTGGGAATCTAACGTATTATTTACAGCTCTAGTTCGGTTTTTGGGCAGCAAATGTGGCCGCAACAATAAGCGGGAACACAACACTGACATCGGCATACACCTTGACGGACTTGGCGTCGGCCTTGATCTTACCCCAACTGATGGCCTCGTCAGGTCTGGCACCAGCATCGGAACCGTCGAACTCCTGCCCGGTGTTGATGTACACGGCGTAGTCGGCACCGTTTCTCATCAAGCACGCGTTACAGATGTGGTGCTTGATTAAGCCTCCACCCAAGATCAACATCCCAGCACGCGAAGCCTCCATGGACATAGAGTTGATCTTACGGATGTCACTGACGATGTCCAACCGCAACTGCTGGGGAGACGCCTTGAAGGTGTGAAAGAACAACATGTCTCCAATGGACCCGTCGGTCAACGCGGGACAGAAAATGGGAATGTTGTTCTTGTGGGCCCAGTACAACACCGAGGACTCGTCGTTGATCTCCTTACCGAGACGGTCAATCAACCGCGAGGGCGTCCACACAGCTTCGGAGTCGGCGTTCAACCCGTCGGCACCCAACCGCTTCATGGCCTCCTCCTGCTCCTCCAAGCACTTGTCCAACACCGGCACAATCCACTCCTCAAACTTACAGTAGTTGTCGTTAGGAACCAACAAGTTCCCGATTCTGTTCATTCCCTGGTCTCTCAATCCCTTACCTGGCAAGGCAAACTCGCCCATGTAGGTGGGGGCCAAGCACTTGATCAAGTCTTCCTCGATCCCACCAGCAGAGGCCACAATAGCACTGACCATCTTGTGCTGCACCAAGTATCTCAAGGTGTCTCTCAAACCCGAAGAGATCAAGTTGGAGGTGTACCCCATGAAAATGGTGGTCTTCTGGTACCCTTGCTCGTCGAATTCACCCTTGATTTCGTGCTCAGGCAATTCGTCCCTGTGCTTTCCTCTCCATGATCTCATGTCGTTTACAATGTCACAGGCTTGGGATACCGAAGAGGCCTGAAATCCCATGGTCTTCATGGAGCTGATCAAGTCAACAGCCCTCATGTTGTAGGCCTCATCTTTGCTGTAATCGATACCCTTGACCTCAACGAAGGACTCGGGAACTGGCGCAGATTGCTTCAAGACGGCATCAGATGCCAAAGCTGGAAGTTTACTCATGGTGGTGGTGAAAATTTTCGCAATGATAAAGAAACGATCTGATGAGGATATACTACTCCACGAAACATTTCGTAAATTTCTTGGTAGCAGATCGCCGAGATTTCTCCAATTTGTCTATATCCACGGGTATGTTGAACGACTAGAATCTTTAACGCTTGAGAATCTCCTCTGTAACCCGGAGAACGTGGAAAACTATTTTCATACAATTTACCTCTTTTCACCCCCACATTAAACCTATGAGAAAGGTGGCCTCCTACAAAACAGCTGAGCAAAAGCTCCTTTCGTTGACTGTTTACTCCAAAATTGTAGTATGGTCCCCCTTTTTAAATCTACTATCTGCAAGCATTTGTCTAATTTCAGCCAATTTGTACCCTTGTTATTCCATTGCAAGAACGCTATACTCTACGTTTATGTTCTGTTTAACATATATTTATCTTAATTTATCTCATCGTGTTGGATGCAGATAAGCGAGGGGTGACTCGTGATGGCACGGACCCATACTAATTAGTTATTGTACAAGAATTGGTCGCAGTATCAGCTATCACTCTCTCATGCAGTTTGGTACACCAAGAACTAGTGTTGACAATTTACACTTCAACTCTTTCTTTGACTTGTGGAGCCCAGGCAGTGTGCTTAGGTCTGGCAGTGTTGTAAGGGACGTAGGCACCGGCGCTGTTGGTCAAGTTTGGCTTGTGCTTCTCTGGTAATGGGTAGGCTCTGGTAGCCTTCTCGTCTCCTTGTAACTGGTTAGGTCTGGTGTTGGTACCGTAACCTAACCAGTAATGCCAACCTGGCTCGACTTGGGACATGTCAACAGACATCCCCCAGGTGTTGTATTCAACCCATCTGGTTCTCAAGTGGATTTCTTCTGGGACATCGGTCTCGTAGAACTTGTTACCGAAGTCATCTTCACCAACCAAAGTACCTCTCTTGGTATCGTTGAGGTTCTGTATTTGCCAGCCGGCTCTTCTTAACCCGGACAGGTAGATGTTCTTGATGGTACGGACAATCGAGGTAGACATCCTGTGGTATAGTTAGTGGACACTTTCTTGCTTTGGTTTTTACAAAGGAGAGTTCGTGATTGGCGCGGGATCACGTGGTGCATTACACGTGACTCGGTAGTTGACTTTGCCCCTACCTACAGATACAGCGAACTTTGAAGGGTGAATCCTGTGATATCCCGTGGAAAAGGAGCCTAAGTATGCGGCAACGTAACGTCCGTAGACTATGCCACTGAGCTTTAGCGCAATTATTTCTAGAGTAGTCACATTTGATGTTCGCACATTTGCACCCGATCTATGTATGGGTACTGTATAATGCATGTAGATCAACAAGGGCAAACTATATGCCTCTCAATCAACATTAATCCACTATGACTACCCCATCCGACTACCAGTCGCAGATAGATAGCTTGCGGAAGACCCGAGCCATGCTCCAAGCAGTCAAGGATGCCACGGGGAAGATTCATGAGGATATTGCCACAGTTGTCCAAACCAACACTCCCTACATTACCAGAGAAACTACCGCATTGAAGAAGGCAGTGGAGTCAGTTGAGGATAGTTAGAGCAGGTGTCTGTTGATTTGTGCTGCTACGAAACTTGGACACGAGAGCACGGACCGGAATGAGCTAGTTACCGTGTCTGGGCATCTCTAGAAGCTGCCAGGTTTGATTTAGACGAATACGAGTTCCCCCGGGTCGGGTCTTTGAGAAACTATACATCTCAAGTGAGATAAAGCGTTGATTATCCTATGCTATTTTTCTTCAACAATGATCTTAGGAAAGTACTTGTGGTAGCCTTGGGAAACCTCAAGGGAATACTTTTCTGGAGTGATCTCGCTCAACTCGGTAGATTCTATCAATTTAGCCAACTTCTTCACTTCCACCGAGTGACCAATACTCACTTTGATCAAGTCGTTGTACCATTTGGTCATGGAATCAGTTGTGTTCGCAAATTGTCCCTTGATAGTGTCGTTCTCTTCGATGTCCTTCAACAATTGTTGATGGGCAACCTTACTTGATTGTAACTTTTCTTCGATGATTCGGAGTAATGGAGTATAGTTCAGCTTTTGCGATAAATACTTCACATCAAGTGAGTTTTGATATTGCTTGAAAGTAGGAAGGCTAGGAACTCCAATCGATGACCAAGGCTTGAGTCTCAAGTTGTATAAGTTTTCAAACTTGGTTAACGAGTTTTTAGGGCCTTGTAAATAGTCTATGAGATTGAACGAGGACAATACGATCATGAAAATTCTACTTGCCTCAAGCAAGTCATTAAGGGCTATCAATGAGGGAATCAAATAAAGTGAGTGGTAGTTTTGGGTTCTGTCAATCTCTGGAAGAATAACTTCATGGTTGTATTGATTGGACGCTTTGAGTTGTTCTTTTTTGGGTCCTGCTTTAACCTTTTTGATCTTCTTAGGAATCACTTTCTCAATTTGATGAGCTTTCCCTATCAAAACCTGACTAACTCTTCCCTGCACATGTTCGATCAAGAGTTGAATTAGGTAAGATGAGTACCAGTAGATCAAATACAACTCAAAATTTTTGTAGATATCCAAATCAATACCTCCTAATGCGAGATCAATCATCATCTGTAACTTAGAATAGTATACAAACGAGCTGATTGGTAAAGCAATCTCTCCTCCAACAAGATCATTACCAATGTTAAAAAGCTGATGCATCTCTACTTCGAATGATTCCCATGAAACTTGAAGGTTGTCCCATATTAATAAACCTCTTGATCTGAGTTGCTGCTGGCGACATGGATTGTTACCATACACTGTCAAATTATGGTACATTCCAGACTCCAAATCGATCAACAACTGGTTTAATCTCTCTTCGATTTGAATCTTTGTTTCTTCCTTTAGTGAACCCAACACCAGCTCATTTAAGTTCAAGAGGGTATTTGATTGACCCACCACATTGTCAATCGCATTTACCGTAAATGTATTCAAACTAACATTCGGGTCACCATAGATCGACTTGTCATCTCTGATAAGATATAATTGGAAAACACCTCGAGCAATAACTCCTATGTTCTGAATGTCATGTCCGATGTCAATAACCAAGTAATTCATGAGTTCATTGAAATTTGAAAATTGAGAAGATTTAAGTACAAATGCATGAATTGTCTCAAACATACTCGAAAGTTTAGCCCAAGATTCTTTTTCGGGTATTTGATATAATTCGAAGGGAATATTTTTATTATCAAGATCCAATTGCACAAACTTGGAAAATGATGCTGAGGGAACCTCAGTTGGATTTTGGTAAGATGAAACAATTTCGATTGACTTTGAGGCTTCCTTGAGGAAGACTATTTGACTTGAGATGTCCCTTTGTTGCTTGAACAAGTGAATGGGGAGGTAGAATACCGAATCGATTTGATTCAAGAAGATGATGATATTGAGCTGATGGGTCAAAACAGAAGAGACTGCCTTGTCCTCGATATTCTTACCCAACCAATTGATGCTTGATTGTAACTCTTTGATGACTATGGATGCATCTACGTTCAGAAAGAAGTCAAAGTTCATATTTCTAGTCGTCAAATCTTCCTCTTCGTAGAGAACGTTGGTGGAAATGTAAAGACAGGTTCCAATGAACTTGCACAAACCAACTATGAATGACTTCAAGACTTTGTGGACCATTATGCGTTCAACGTAGGCTTGCGTAGACTCTTTTCCCTGGCTGGCATCTGCATCTGCTTTTCCTCTTGTTTTCAGTGGTAAGCGTTCATTTACGAGAGAGCACTTATTGGCAAAAGAAATACTGGAGTCTGCTGCCAGTCTTTCGAAGTTTGTCAAGAGAGTCTGTACGTAACGACAGCTCAACACTGTCACTGGCAACGAGCTATTGTTCAACCAGCTCATGAACAATCCAAGAAGCTTAGAGTGAATAGCTGCCACTGACTGGGGCGACTGGGGCAAGCCAGTGTCGAATGCAACCTCTTCTTCCAGTAAGTTTATAAGGCCAGTGTCGAGTTTGGGGTTAGATACTTCGATGGCCCTGGTTCCATCGAGTAGGTCGAAGTACTGGGACTTGACCACCTGGTTGGTGCTGATGGCCCTGACCGACTCAAAGAGCTGTTCTGTGATATCTATGAAACCGGCATTGTCGAGGAGACGCCAAACCTGGTCGGTGTCAGGGTCCTGTATCTTTAGTTGTTCTATCATACGTCGGGTGGTGGAGAATTTGGATTGGGCTTTCTTTCGCGTGAGGCTAGTGGAGCTAGCGCGGGAACCAGAAACTATTGGGTGGGGTCGCGAGCCTGGGTGAGAGTGGGTGCGAACCAGCTAGCGAGACTGTCTCGCTAGAAATGGGTCACCGGTGGTATATACAGCGCCAGGTCGCGAGAACTCTACCGACAAAACACCACCATCTTGTTTGCGCGAGCACTGGCGAGAAACCGTCTGGGCTGTCTGACCACTACCGATGCACATAAGCCTTGTTTGAGTTGGCAAGAGATAGATCCCGTGGGTTGAGCCACCCCCAAATCCTTGAGAAACAAATCGCGAGAAATGCCCTGAATTGTGGGAGCCAGTGAATTCTTGTTATGGTGAGCAATACAGCGTGTTGGATACTCCCATTGCACACCATTTCAGCTAGCACTTCACACAAGAGCTTGGTCCCTAATAGAGGTCGCTGCCTAGTCTGTGAGACCCATGATTGCTCCATTTCGCTGGTATTGTCGGTAGCCTTACGGCTGGTAGGTGATTTTGCAGCACATCGCCAGATTGCGACCGTTCACGAAGTACGGTCAGGAGTACCTCAAGTGATCACTGCACATGGTTAGTCTGCTAATGTGATTACTCTGGTTGGTCTGCTAGTGGATATACCCGGTTGCTAGTGGAAAATGGCACCTCGGAAGTGAAGTTTGTCATGAACTGATGGCTCCCCTGCCCCTATCCTCTGATCCACACTCTTCCCGTTGCGGAATTCCCGTACCGATCGGGCACTATCCCCATAAAGCAAAAAGTGCATTGCCGGTAATGGTATCGCCGGTGGTCCCCACCAAATACCTACCAAAACCCACCAAATGCATCAGTGACAGAAGATCGGCACGGCAGAACGAGGCCCCACGTGATGGGACTCCACCACCGCTTAAGCCACAGGACCGCCACCAACAAATCTACACCACGCAGGGGCCCCTACCCTAGACAGAGGCTCAAGGATTCCCGATCGCGGCCTCCAGGGACCTCCGGATGAGTCACTGGAAACTGGCCCCTATTGTCCCAGCCGCACCCCTTGGTTAGTTGCTCTTATCAGGCTGGGCCAGATAGAACCTTTTGGAACCATCCCTGTGGCAGGCTGGGCGGGCCAGACTCAATCAAACGGCTAGCAAACGCACGGGGAAGCCCCGGCCAAGTACAGAAAACCGGGGGTGTACCGGTGGCGTGCGGCTCACTGCGCAACCAGTAACTGTCATAAACTGCCACGGTTGAGGCCAGGTCGACGTCCCCTCCAGCTAGACATGCCGCAACAGGCTCCTCTTGCACACGCAGACCCATCCCATGGTCCAGCCCTAGAACCCCCTGAGTCTCCGCCCATTTACGAGCCCCCTCCCATCCACAATTTTCCTGGGCTCCGAGCCACCTCCACAGCGGACCTTATTAAGGCCGCCGTTTCCGTGTCCGCTCCCGCGCCTGCGCCATCATCCGCACTCGCAGCCGGGGCCGTAACTCGTCGTATCTGCCTCCGGTTGTTTCATATTCCGGTCGTATGAGGGGTTAATGTTTCTTTTGCCGGCCCCTCCTTTCTTTTTCAATACACCGGTCAGCTTATAAATATATCCATCCTCCCAACATTACATCACAGGTGTTTTTTGAAATATTTGGCCCCGTTATCTTTACTATCAGTCCCCCAACAAAGCCCAGCTTTTTTCGGGCCAGCTTGCATCTCACCTCTGTTTGCACTCCCCAGTTTCCAGGTAGTGCCGACACCGAAATACCCTGATTACTAATTGTTCAGATCCCCCTAAGAACAGCTTGACACCCGTCGAAATAGTCCCCATCCACAATATCTCTATCCTGCCCACCTCCCGCTCCCAAATGACCGATATCAAGAGAAACATCTCCGACGTGACGGTCGACCTGCCCTCCTCTGGCTCCTTCTCCCCCGAGTCCCACAACGACAAGAAGCTCCACACCAAGCCAGGAAGAAAACCAATAGAAACCGAACCCAAGTCCAAGAGAACTGCTCAGAACAGAGCCGCTCAGAGGGCCTATCGTGAAAGAAAGGAGCGCAAAATGAAGGACTTGGAAGACAAGGTCAAGTCCTTGGAAGAAGACAATATCAAGGCTCTCACTGAGTCGGACTTTTTGAAGGCCCAGGTTGACATGCTCAAGAGTGAGTTGGCAAGATACAGAGGCAATGCAGACATGACCGATTTGAACTTGCCCAACAAAGTGGGTAAGTTGACTCACCCACAAACAGGCGGCTACCTCCCATCATTCAGTTCCCAAACAAGTGTATCCACAAAATCCTCAAGTCTCTCGAATCACATCCCTTCCGTGTCATCTGTTGGATCCGAACCAGCCACCAAACTCAACACCTCTCCTTTTTCGGTCGACTTCCCTTGGTCTAAAGATAACTTGAAAAAGAACACTACAACTGACAGTATAAGCAGTCACAACAGCTCCAACAATAACTTTCAAGTTCCAGATCTCGTTGGTGGCTCTTCGTCTTCGAGCAGTCCTTTGAATGAAAACATCTTGGTCTCCCCAGACTCCTCGGTCTCCTCCACCCACGAAAGCACCAACCTCCAAATCAAACCAACTACAAAGAACAGCATTTCTAATAATTTCGAAGAGAAAGTGGATCCTTTCTGTGTGCAATTAAATGAAGCTTGTGGAACTAAGCAATGTCCTATTCCCAAGTACAAGAGAAACGGATCTAAGGCTTCAGTCACTTCCAGCACTAAGTACGGTAAAGATGATCAATTCCAACAATACAATTCACCATTCTCCAACTTAGTGACTCCTAACTCTAATTTTGAAGGCTACCAAGGTGGTCAAGTGAGTAGTCAGTTTGACTATTTGAGTGATCCATTTTTCCTTCCAAACAACAACACTAATACCACTGAGTTCAACTTCCCAGAATCTAGCAACGATGACCCATTAGCATTCCTTAACGATAACAATTTTGATGTATCCTTGGCATTCGGAAACTCAAACACGAAGAATGAAGTTAAGAAACCAGAAGTGAAGGAAGTGGACCCAATATCGTTCTTAACCACTGAAGAATCGATATATGATCCATTGAATCAAGGTAATAATTTCGACTTGGGTGATTTTGTCAAGCCAGCCGAAAATATTAGTCAAGGCAAATATGATAGTGCGTACACAACTTCAGTGGTGCCGAATGATGAGGAAGATGAAAACGAAGTGGTTCCCGCGCCTGCAGACACAATGAGATGTTCCGAAATATGGGATAGAATCACTGCTCATCCGAAGTACACCGAAATCGATATCGATGGATTGTGTAGTGAGTTAAAGAGTAAAGCCAAGTGTTCCGAAAGAGGTGTGGTTATAAATTCTGCAGATGTGAACCAATTACTTGAACAATCTACCATGTTCAAGCGTTAATCAAGAATAGCTACATCCCCCTTTGAAAAAGTCCCATGAAATGATGATATCCCACGTTGCCCCAACCCCTATGCCGTTACGTTTATATAATATGTTTGATCGTGTCGAGGCACGATCCCATTTACCTATATGACGTCTTGTTTATAATTTACCCATATAGAATAAATGCTGAGTGAAGCATATTTGTAGATGGTTCAATATCATAGGAGAAGAGACTGGATGTCATATCTTCAACTATCTCGTAAGATAGCATCTTACTATTCGGAGCCGATCTCGCGATGTTACCATTTAAGAGAACTGTCATCGATTTTTAAGTGTTCACCGGAAGTGTATGCAGAGGGTCTATTCTAAGATTTCCGGTTCGAGCAAATTTCAACTGTTCCGTATTAGTATCTGTCACTGTATTGGTTATTGGCCCGGAACCAAGCAGTAGCAGACCAACTTGATATGTCAGCAAAGAGAAACAAAAAGATCCGCCACAGAATTGTAATCTTGTCATACTAACAATTACCGGACAGCTTTCTCGCCTAATCTTAACCACAGCTACGGCTATGTGCTTACGAATTTCGAAAAGTCTGGACTGGAGTCAGTAGTGTATATACTTTTCCATGCAGCGATGAGATCACATCGTTCATGACGGTTCCGATTCAGCCACAATTCTAGGACAGAAATGATTGGAGTTTACTATTGTTGATAGTCTATCACTTTGTGCTGTTTCGGAGTTTTGTAATATCGCTCTTGCAAGATTGATTCATATCCCGTTTCCCGCGCTTTTTGTTCCCCGATACCCCGACACCTCAACTCCATTTTTGCACCCAAGTGGTATATCCGCCTAATGCTGTATTGTCTCAACTACTGGAATGTAGACTAACCGGAAAGTTAGGCCCCCGGCAGTCTCTTTGTTTTGTAGACAAATCTTCTTTTTCATTGCTGGCCAAAGATTACATGGTTTCGGTGAAGCAGTTTGCTCTATGCTACCGAAACTTGCTCAAAAAGAGAAATATTTGGAAAGAATAACAGTTGTAATATTATGTATATTCACCCCCAAGTCAGTCAGTTGTTCCAAGTTACGAGGTCCTGAAAGTACTAAGCATGTGCTGAAAATCTCGTGAAGGGTAGTCCCTAGATTACCACCATATTATTACTTGCTATAAAACTATTCAACCATGGGTATATCATACTCGACGTCATCCTCTTCGTCCAACATCTGGTCGATTTCCTTTAACTGGTTGTCTATCTCTTTTTTGGAAGAATCCTCCTCCTTCTCTTTGGACTCGTCCATATTAACGTCCTCTTCATCGTTTGCTTCTTGAGGAGTCCTTTCATGAATAACGCCAGTTTCATCTGAGCTTGGTTTATCTTCATCCAACCCTACTAAATTATCCTTGCTATCCTCAATTTCCTCTAATATTGAGCTTGCCCTACTAAATGATCTAGGAGTAGCTTGTTCTTCACTTATTTCCCTCGCTAATGCTGCTTCGTACAGCTCTTTGACGGATGTCTCGAAAGCTTCGAAATTCTTTAAAGTCAACCGGTCAAATTGAAATTCGGGATCTTGAGTATTTTGATCGTAACACTCTTTAGTACCTTCTATGGCCTCGAGAAGTCCCTTCAACACCTTCGATTCCAAAGCTGGGGTAATTGAAATCTTGGTTAAGTTGTTAAGGATCGCTTTCTTCACAGCTTTTGTAGTATCTTGTTCGACTACTTGTAACAAGTAAACACATTGCCAAACTTGTGATGTTTGTATTTTAGTCGACTCTGGGGTCATGTTAACCAAATTGTTTGGATCACACCAGTAGATTAACTGCTGTACAACTTGCAGAGGGGACAATTTGTTCTCATATTCGAGGAAGTCGCTTGATTCGTTGAACATTCTGTACATACAGTCTCCACTAACTGACGACAATCTAAACTGATGCTTAGGATGGCTGAAAGCATACACCGGAATACAAAACGCCAATATTTGTCTCAATTCCTGGTTTTCTTGTGTCAATGGATGGAAGTAACTCAAAATTAATGCTTCAAATAATTGCTTCTCTGTTTCGAGTTCTGGTCTTTCATCATCTATTTCTTCCTCAGTTTTATCGATTGCACTAAAAACGTCAGCCAAAAATAGTTTGCAAAGGCCCTCTGCCACAACACACTGAAGCTTTGGCATATCAAATGAATTCAACGATTTGTAAAACAACTTACCATATTGATACAATGCCCGCGAATCTATAAGTGTTGTCCCATATGTGGAAAGAATATCGATGATTGCTTTAATACCAATTATTCGAACATCTTCGCCAGAGTTTCTCATGGCCGCAAAGAATGTACTAATTGCATCTTGAGCAGTGTTCTTGTCAATCAACGCAAAAAGCCCCAAACATGTCAAGCCTTGCAAGTGGAGGGTGTACTTTTCACTATATTTTATAGCATAATTAACTAGCCCCGAGTAAATAGATCCTAAAGAAATATGGTTCTCTAAGGGATCCTCGATAAGCTCCAACACATTCTGTGTAATTCGCAAACATCTAATCACAATCTCATCTGGAGGAAGTTTTGGCTCTATTTTACGCTTCTTGATCTTTCGTGATGATATCCTTTGATTTGCTTTATTTCCTGATTCTGCGTCTGTGCTTTCCCTATCTTCGGGGAGCTGTTCGGAATCACCACTTGACTTTGAATCTTCTTCCTTTTCTCCTTCTTCTGCCTCTCCTCCTTCTTCTTCATCTTCTTCGTCCTCGTCTTCCTCATCAAACCCTGAGATTGCCGAATGGAAAGTTTCGTCATCGCTTTCGTAGGAATCTCTTATATCTGTAATTATTTCAGTGGCCATAGTTATGAAATCCTTTTCATTGATTGAAATTTTTCTTAACACTTGCAATCCTATAGAAATTAAGCTGGATGAAAGCTTGTCTTCTGTCAAGGACTTTCTGATAATCTGTAACATTTTTCTTCTTCCTATTTCGTCGCTGAAATCGAATTCCTTCGAAATCAACATCAATTGTTCAATAATGAATTCCAACTCTTTCAACTCGTCTGCAAATGGTAAATACTCTTCATCATGTTGACTGAATCTTTCTTGTTCTTCTAATTTTTCCTTCGACAATGAGTGATACTTTTCAGTTCCTTGTTTGAACCTTGATTCGCAGCCAATTATAGCCTTTTCAGTTTCCTTGACCTCAGCTTTGCTTGACTTAATTGAACTCTTTATTTCTGCTTGCTTTTGAACTAATTCTTCAGGTGAAAATTCTATAAGTTGTTCAACGATTTGTTCGTTATCTTCAGTTAGAAGATCCTGATAAGATTCATCATTAGCTTTTAACTTCGACAATCTTTTCTTAATAAGCTTGGCTAATTCCTCGTAATCTTCGATATTGCTTGTTGTCTCTCTGAGATTTCTCTTGTAAGCCTCCACTTCATACCTGATTTTTACTAATGCATTTTCAACTGTAAACAATTGACTTTTGACGAATTCTATCCGTTGTTCGTGATCTTCGTATTTCTTAATGATGGCATCATTTTCTGATAAAAACCTTATTCTCAATTGAAGATATTTCTCAAGAGTTTCTGCCAAGTCAATTGATTCGGGAAAATTTGAATCTATCAAATCATAATAGTTGTTATCATTGCAGTGATAATAGAATGTTCTCATAAGGAATGCCTTTTCGACAGTTAGTGCTTTCCAGTAGCTGTCATCAATCTTGATTGAGTAAAGCTTATCTTCTTTCCCTTTAAAGAATTCTGACATTACAAGATCAGCCACTTTACTCTCAGTAACTCTTAACACCTCTATCAACTCCAAAATATCTTCATTTGCTGCACTGTACCAATATGTGTTTACCATTTTGACTGCAGCCTGTTTAACTGAATCATTTCGATCGTTCATACCCCACTTTAATAAAAACTCTCTTTGAGTAAAGTCAATATTTTTGAAATCCCCTAATTCACGAGAAATTCTGGAAAAGATCAACCGTCTATTTATGCTGTTAACATCCCGTGACCTGTCGATAAGGTAAGGGATTGTGGTTTGATTTTTTGTCAAGTTCAAAATGGCTGCTCTTCTTACCTCAGCATTGTCGTCATTTTGGATCGTTGAGACTATTTTGCTAGTTATCAGGTCCTTGTTCAATGGAAAGCTAAATGGACTATCTTCTTGATCGTCGAAGTCGAAATTAAAAGACTGAAATCTTGAAATTGCCACCACCGCCTGTATCCGAATAGTTGGTTCTTTATCATTAAGTCTTTTGTTCAAAGAGGTGTATAACGCCTCGAAAGTATCATGGTCTATTTCCCCAATGTAGTATACTAAGTATGCAAGTATTTGAACAACACGATACCTGACATTCTTATCCTTAGCTTCGACGCCTCTCAATAGATGATGGATCAAGTATTTGATGAAGGCACTCACGTATGTGTCTTCTTCCTGCTCTTCCTCGCCCTCGTCCATCTCATCCACCTCATCTCGTTCGTTTTGGACTTCTTTCTCTTGCCTTCTTGCTAGATCATCCTTCGATACGCTTGCGACAAAAGAGGAACAGAACTTGGCGATTCTATCGGCCACTTGTTCGCCCTTTTTCAATGGCAAAATCTTGTTTATCAACTTGGTAAAATACATGGCAAAGTGTTCTGCAAAGTTCAACTCTATTGCTTTGTTCATGATGTTCTTCATTACTAGAACGAGCTTTCTATGCCCCGATAAACTGAGCTGAGCATCTTGAAAGACGTGACTTACTGCATTACGGATTTCATCCACAGTCTCTATTCGCTTGATATTGTCAAGGGTGGGTTTTATGATCGATTGATGTGAGGTTTGGGGCCCATTCATCTTCGTAACATTTGGTTGTGGGTGTGGAGATGGGATGATTTGAGGTGACCATAACAAATCGCGGTCAAAAACACGTTGATGTGCATCCTGCATATAGTGACGATGCGAGATCAAAAAGAATGAGCGGTACGGGAATCGAACCCGTGACACCTGCTTGGAAGGCAGATATGTTAACCACTACACCAACCGCCCTTTAATTGTGATTTTCAACATATTGAGCCTTAGTCGTCGATACAACTTTTGCATTAGTAAGTGCTTACTAATAACAGTCTTAAAGACAACAATAAGCATAATAAAGAATACAGCTTTGGCTAGACCTGGCCATTTACTTAGCTATCACAGTGGAACTAAGAGATTAGACTATCATATTATTCCCATAATCAATGGAAAAGTCGTGAACATCACGTATCCAAAGTTCTTAATTACTGTAATATGCTTAAGGAATTTCAATTGTTGGACTATAGGACAAAAGAGAATAAGGAAAATACAGCATAGAAATAAACTAGCTATCCATCACTGGGTTAAAATACTCCGCATGAGCAAAAAGGAGGTATAAGTTGCATGCTAACAGACTACATCAGGACTAGGTACTTCCAGTTTGAAAAAGAAAAATCGGAAATCACTGGAGTAATGTAATTACTAACAAATCTGAGGAATATAATAAAGTTAAGTGAGCTCCTGAAGGACAATGTTTGCCAAAGGAATGATTTTATTAACAGTATACCTTGTAAATTATTATTTCACAATGTTTTGGAGTGATAATTTATGACTAAGCTGTAAATCTAACCTTAAAGATAATCTGTGACTCTCTGTTAAGGTTGGTTCTTTCAGCACGGGGTTTCAAGAAGTATTTTGTCTTGCAAATTCATGAAGTCCAATGAATTGCACTGAGGACTGAGTGCAAGTCAAACATACTCTGGTACCAGAGTATGCTCCAGTTGAAACTCATACAAATTTACATCTCAGGTATGCTATACTTTCCCGATATGGTACGAGGGGCCTCTACGACAGTAGCCCACACTGCCAGAAACTACCACATCACTCAAACCACTCCATCTTGGCATTTCTACTTTACGTTCATCCATGCAACCTGGACCACCTGACACCATAGTTGACACGACGGCCAGTTTGAACTTGTCAAACTGGTCACTTTTGGCCTCTGTACGCCATCTCACCACTGATTGACGATGAGTGGAAAAATCCTTACTACCACACTGTCCATCACGCCTACAGTAATCAACCGGGTTTATGTTGATCCAAGTACCTCAGCATTCCTCGGTACGCGTCTTTGTGTATACACACCCTAAACGAGTGGTAAACGAGGAACGAATTGCGTACGACGGGAACGACAGAAAAATACGGCCACAAAAGAGTAAATCTTTTCGGGCGGTGACATCGGCACCAGTATATAAAGGTCGAAGTGCCGTGATTGATTTTTATCATATTGATTCAACTCTATAGATAGCATAATGTCCACAACCAAAGCTTCTAACAAGGATTTCGAAAGAGACTCCCAGTTCACCAAGGCCTTACACGGTGACTCCTACAAGAAGACCGGATTGTCGGCCCTCATGGCCAAGGCCAAGGATGCTTCCCAAGTGGCCAACGAAGGATACTTCAAGCACTGGGACGGAGGTGTCACAAAGGACGACGAAGACAAGCGTTTGGAAGACTACTCCCAATTAACCCACCACTACTACAACTTGGTCACTGACTTCTACGAGTACGGATGGGGATCTTCCTTCCACTTCTCCAGATACTACAAGGGTGAAGCTTTCAGACAAGCCACCGCCAGACACGAGCACTACTTGGCCCACAAGATGAACTTGTCCGCCAACATGAAGGTGTTGGACGTCGGATGTGGTGTTGGTGGTCCAGGTAGAGAAATCACCAGATTCACCAACTGTGAAATTGTCGGTTTGAACAACAACGATTACCAGATCGAAAGAGCCAGACACTACGCCAAGCAATACAAGTTGGACAACAAGTTGTCCTACGTCAAGGGTGACTTCATGAAGATGGACTTCGAGCCAGAGTCCTTCGATGCCGTGTATGCCATCGAGGCTACCGTGCACGCTCCAGTGTTGGAAGGTGTCTACTCGGAAATCTACAAGGTGTTGAAGCCAGGTGGTGTTTTCGGTGTTTACGAGTGGGTCATGACCGACAAGTATGACGAAAACAACGAAGAGCACCGTAAGATTGCCTACGGTATCGAAGTCGGTGACGGTATCCCTAAGATGTACAAGAGAGAGGTTGCCGAGCAAGCCTTGAAGAACGTCGGGTTCAAGATCGAGTACGAACAAGACTTGGCCGATGTCGATGACGAAATCCCATGGTACTACCCATTGAGCGGTGAAATGAAGCACTGCCAACACTTGTCCGACTACTACACCGTTTTCAGAACCTCGCGCATCGGTAGAGCCGTCACCAAGGGTGCTGTCACCATAATGGAAAAGGTTGGTTTTGCTCCTAAGGGTTCTGCCCAGGTCACCGACGCCTTGGAAGATGCTGCTGTCAACTTGGTTGAGGGTGGTCGCAAGAAGTTGTTCACCCCAATGATGTTGTTTGTGGTCAGAAAGCCTTTGGACGCTAAGTAAGTTACCCATTCAGTTCTCCTGTAACATTAATAATGCATATTCAGTATAGATTCAGGCTATAAGTTCCGTAAGATTAATAATGGATATTTAGGATAGGTTCATATCCTGCAAAATTGGGAATACATTTTTAGGATAGATTCATACAATTTCCTGTACATAATGCATGTTCAGTATTGACAGTTCCTGTAACATTAATAGTGCTTTCTGATCCATTTCAGTTCCTGGAATACTGCATCCAATTCTCTCACCCAGTTCCACGCTCCTGCACACCCCCGGCCACGATGTCCGAGGCACATCGGCGTGATTGCTTCGCCCGCACCAGCTGCGGCGGTTTCCCAATTGGGACCATCAGGTAATTTCACATCGATTATCAAGTAGCAACCTTTATACAGACAATGTATATATAATCCCCCAATTGCCCACCCCCATCGCCAATTGCTCAATTATCAAAAATGGTTCTCCAAAACCCCAACCTCGAAGGCTACGAGATTGTCCGCAACTTCTGGCAAGTTTACTACAACTCCCACAAGGGCACCTTCGTTGCCCCCAAGAAGTGTAGCGGCTGCTACAACAACGACAGATTCGTGGTGTGGGCCGTGGCCGTCGCTTCCCAGGCTGTGGTTGACGGTGCAAGAATCTACAAGGAATTAAGACCATTGGTTCCTGCTGCCATTGAAATCTTCCAAAAGTACAAGAACCCCCATCTCAAGGGGTTCTCAGCCGCTGAAAACAACGGCAACGACAAGGACATCTACTACGATGATGACGCCCAGGTGTGCAGTGCCATGCTCACTGCCTTCGAAGTCACCGGCGACAAGAAGTACTTGGACCAGGGCCGTGAATTGGTCCGGTTCTTGATGGGAGGATGGAACGATGACCCCAATGCGAAGACCAAGGGTGGTATGCGCTGGCACGTGTCCAAGACCTTGCTCAACTCCTGTACCACAGCAGAAGTCGCCAAGTGTTGCTTGCAAATCGCCAGCTTCATTCCTAACGAAGCCAAGATCTACATCGATTTTGCAGCTAAGTGTATCGACTGGCAGATTAAGGTGCTTCAGGATCCTGAAGACAAGTTGATCAAGGATGGTGTTGGTTTGGACTCCACAGATGTCGATGACGTCAAGTGGTCCTACAACACCGGGACCACCTTGTCTGCCGCCTCCCTTTTGTACCACCACACCAAGGACTCCAAGTGGAAGGCTATCGCCGACGACTTGGCTAAGGCTGCTATTAACAGAGGCGTATTCTTCTACGATCGTGACTACCCCGATGAGTTGAGATACTGGAGAGATCCTTCCTACTTTGTGCAATTGTTGTTGGAAGGCTTGGCTGACTATCTCTTGTTCGTTGGAGATGAGGCCCCAGATGGCTTGCCCCAAAAAATTCACACCGAAGTGAGAAGACACTTGATCATGTTCTACGAGTACATGAAGGATCCAAAGGATGGATTGTACCTCCAGAGTTTTGAACCTCACAATACTTACAAGGAGACATATGAACACAAGTACAAGAGAGAATTTGACAGCAAAAAGGGATGGGGCCTCAAGGGTGAAGACAAGGGTGACGATGGTGAACCTCAAAAGTGTTTGATGGGTGGAGGTGCTGCTGCCAGAGTTTTCTTCCAGGGTGCCAGAATCGTACCCGAGATCTAAGTTTTTCGAAATTAACCGCATCTCTTGTATAGCACACTAGAAAATACGATGCCTTATGATAATTGTGTAATATTGAAATATGTAGCCCTGTATAGGAATCTGTACCACGCAACTACATTCTTCTTTTGATGTACAAAACGCTTCGACTCTATAAAAACGTAATTGCTACAACCGTTATTTAAATCACTTGAAATGACCATTTATTGTCCTAAATTCTTAACTTAGGCAAGTTGAATGCTGGGGTGTGTGGCAATGAGAATTGCGATCTTTCAACCACGATAATCTCATTCAGGCCGAAGTTTTCGACCTTCATAACAGGTCTGTACTTCGTAGTAATCCAATAGGATTTGTCTTCAACATCTTCATCGACGTCTTCGCCATCATTTTGCTCGGTGTCACCGTTTGGCTTATCCTTTCTTTCTTCTTCCTCTCTACCTCTCTTCTTGGATTCTTCCTTATGTAACAAGTTCAAAGATAAGTCGAAGTAAGAAACCCAATTAGACCCATAGGTCCATAATTTTGACCCCTTCACGAACACACCTTGAGGTCTTTCCAAGACCAAAAATTGTTTTGGTAACACTTCACTATTTCTTTTGGACCATGGAGTCAACAACGACTTGGAATCAGATGCAATGAAGAATTCGTAAATTTTGTTTTCTTCGTTCATAACAACCAACTTGTCGCTACTGGTAAACTCCAACAAATGAGGGTAGGAGGTTAATTTGGAAACCAAATGACCGTTGGAAGACTCAGATAATGAGTAAATCTCAATAGAACCATTGAATCTAGAAATGGCCAAGTTTTGCTCGTCTGGTGATATAATTAAGTTGTTAATGTTGGAAATGTAAGAAATTCTTGCCTTAGAAGCATTAGATGATTCCAAAAGTTCGATCTCATCATCCAAACTTATTGTTTTGGCATCATTATCAATAATGAATTTGTAGATTTCTTCATCTGAAGTCACCACTATTAATTTGTTTGAGTCATATAATTTTACAATCTTTCCCCCTTGAACTAAACTATCGAAATTATCATCCCTAATCTTTTGAACCTTCAACTTTAGGGTTTTCTCTTGCTCCACCAACTCGAATACTTTGACTGATGATAATCTGGCAACTGCTAACAAGCTTCCTTCGTCATTCATATCGACACTGGTGATGTTTTCATCATCATTAAGCGTCAACTTTGAGATCAATTTGTATTTTCCATCAGTGATTCTCCAGATTTTGATGGTTTGGTCTTGCCATAACACAACCAACGACTTCAATTCATTGACCAAAACGTTCGACTTTTGCTGGTTTATACTTAACTTCTTGTACTTTCCATCATAAAAGTTTTGGACTGATTGTATCACTAGACATCTCTCTACACCACCACTAATCAACCAGTTGTGAGATTTACTTTCGAAAATGGACATGGATCTGATATCATTAGAGTGCAATAACCTGTTAAAACTGTGAACCCATTTGGTTGTTGACTTGGTTTGAATCAAGTTATATTGATGAATCTTTCTGTCCACACCAGCTGAGAAGATCTTCTCCTCTTGCACATCGAAATCCAAACTCAAAACATCGGCCTCGTGCTTGTTGAAACTTTGCAACAATGTGAATTGTTCAAGATCCCAAAATTTCACAGAGCCAGTGGAGTCTCCACTGACAATCTGTTTCTTCTTTGGCAAGACTATAATGGACCAGACCAATGTACTTTCGATCTTGGATTTATCAACTCTCATAGTAGATAATATTCTACCCTTAGAGTCACCTGAAGCTGCCCAGGATCTAATTCTACCATCAGAACATCCACCAATCAACATATCATTCTCGTACCACTTGATAGTCAAAACTCTGGCATCTTGTCTCTGACATATGTTATCATGTTCCAACGATCCGAACCCTCCACTGATGTCAATCATAACCACACTACCATCATCACAACCAACGGCCAATTTCTTCTGGTTTCTGCTGATATCTATCGACCAGATGGTTCCGGCGTTACAATCATAATTTATGACTGGCTTGAGGGTCTTCAAGTCCCATTCAGTGATGTATGTAGAACCTCCGATAGAAAATAATCTTGGAGACTCGTCCTCACCAGTACACCATACTAACCCTTCAACAGATCTGCCACTTGAGCCTGGCAAGGTTAATTCATGGATCCAGTTATTCTTTGGGTTCCAAATCTCGATGTCACCGTTACTTCTTCCTACGGCCAATCTTAAATCATTAGGGGTATTCCTGTTGGTGACCGAAGTATGAGAAAATGCAGTTGAAGTGATCGTATGTGGAGTATAGTCCACAAATCTACACCTATGAATATCCATTGTGGTGTTGTAGTGATGGAAGAATGAAAAATTGTCATCTCATCTCAGAAAAGTAGTTGATCACGTGATGTGTCTTCACGTATGGGTGCAAGAATTGATATCAAGCATCCATGGCAAGAGTACGATGGGACCCCTCTTCTGGTAGAAGAAGCTTGTGGAGCTTCCGGGTTGGGGTTATTAAGCAAAAATTCATCTCAAAGAGATAATATCAATGGGTTCCTAACTTAAAGCACACGCTTATAGTTCGGTGTAAATTTTATTCCACAAAATTTATCTATACCCGTAGTTGGAAGTTGTGTAAGCAGTTCCATCAGTATAGTTAGCTAGTTCAATTAGCATGTTGAGTTTTTCTCTAAAGAGTCTAAGTTTAGTTTTAATCAAAACTTGCTAAATAGCTTGAAAAAAGGAAGCTTGAGACGATACCCAGAAATTATGATCAGTCATACGCTATTGTAGAAGGGATATTACCGTAATTCTTAAAATCGCTGGGAGAACCATTCTTCATATAAATAATTTACTTTTCTAGATAATGAATGCATGTGTCGTATTCGTCTCGTATGCTCTATTTACGGTTTAGTATCTTAGAAACCGGAGATTTATTAGACAAAACCAACAAAACTATTAAGGAATGAAAGTAATCTGATGAACCACTTATTCTCATCAGTGTTGATTATCATATTGATAACTAACTCTTGTGCTTGTTTGTTCGAAGCCCCAGCCGCAGAAGGAACGTCGACCAAGGTTCTCTTGACTATGACGTTCTTTTTCGCCAACCATGTCAAAAATAAGATGGCCAACAAACTGATGGAAAAATTCTTCAAGAAGTGAAGACTATTCTTTCCAACAATTCTCAAAATACGGAGTATCCTAAGCTTCAAAATTGAGTTTAAGTCCTGTTCGTCATCCTCAGGGATGTTTCCAGGTAAGCTACCTCTAAATCCTTCGGCCCTTCTGTTTGAATCATATTCATGAGAGAGTTTCCTGATAACCGCATTGATCTCATTCTGCCATGTTTTAAACTCTCCAGAAGAGTTTGATGCAACGGGAGCTACGTTTGGAGCATTCTGGATGGGATTCCGAGGCAATGAACGCGCAGACTGGGTTCCATATCTTGGAGCTTCGCTAAGGGGCAACGAATACACAGACGCGGTGCCAACCCCAGAAATTCCAGTAGCTTGTCCAGCAGCAGCGGAAGTGGATTGTTGACGTTGTTGGTTGACGTAGTCATTAATTGAGAGCATTGTGCTTCTTCTGGAATGGGAATATATCTTCTGTAAATTGTTTCGGTATTGAGTATTTGGCACTATGCTGGGGGTACCTGTGGAGAACTTGTCCGATTGATCAGCCTGGCTGAACAGAGGCGACCGCGATGGTAATGGTATAGGGTGGTCGTTCTCTTCGTCAGAATTGAATTGTAGGTCCTTGATTTGGTCCCAGAGGTACTCTAGCTCACTCAACAACTCTCTTGCCTCCAAAGTCCCACTGGCGTATATCTTCATTGTATCGATGAGATAGGAAATGTACCTTCTCTTGGCCTCCGTTTTGGAAATCCCTTCCTCACGCTTCCAAGCATCCCATTTCTTCTTTGCCCCTTCGTCCTCGATGGTGAAACCAATTGGTCTGGGCATAATGCCCTCCACATCGCCTTCCGTTGCCTGCTTGTACAACCCATACAATCTAATTCTGTTCTCTGCAGGCGGCCTGGGCAATGAGCCATAGTTGGAACGGGACGATAATGCTCTAATGGTGGTGATTGCTTTAACAAACACACGATCTATTGTTAGTATACAAGGTTACAATGAAGGAACCATGCGGGGCATGTCACGTACCAATTGAATCTGACATGATGTGATGAACGGAGGTTTATGGATATGTACTGTGAGGACAGACAAATTGCTTTGAACCTGGGGTCGGACAGAAACTGGGGATGTTTGGAGGAGAGACTTAGCACGTGAGAATTAGTGAGTTAACCACATGGAAATGCGACATGCAGATGATGGCGAAGTTCATGGGAACACCAAAAAAAGAGACATAATTTACAAATTTGAGCTAATGAAATGGACCAGATCACCCTCATTGAAAAGGAGAGTGATGGTGAGTAGTCAGCTAAGATTCTAGTTTGCACCAAAATAGGAACCAAATATAGCATATCATAAGATAAGATTTGGCACCAGAGTGTTGGCAAACAGTAGAGGTCTACAATATCAAAATTAGACCTGGCAAACCTTGACATAGTGAAACGTAAGAATATCAATTAAACCCTATCAAACACTTTTGTACATAAAATTAGTTTAGTTTTCTGGAACATCAATTTCACCATCGTTGATGGCTTCGATGATGTCATGAGGGTTCTTTCCTTCGACACGGCATCCAACGGATTGGGCAGTACCCAAGATTTCCTTGGTGACAGAGGCCAAGTTCTTACCGAAGGACTTTTCCTTCATGGTTCTGGCAATTTCAAAGATTTCTTCCAATGGAATGTTACCGTTGTGCTTGACGTTCTTTTCCTTCTTTCTGTCTCTTGGGGCTTCCTTCAAGGCAGTAATGACTAAAGAAGAAGCAGATGGAACAACAGAGGCAGTGGCTTGTCTGTTTTGAATTCTCAATTGAACAGTAACCTTGATACCCTTGAAGTTCTTGGTGGCCTTGGCAATATCTTCACCAACCTTCTTTGGGGACAAACCCAATGGACCAATCTTAGGAGCTAAAGCGGAAGAAGCACCGACTTCACCACCGACGGCTCTTAAGTAAAGGAATTTAACCTCACTAGGATCGAATTTTGGAGGCATCTTGACTTACTGTTAATATTATCTACCTATGAAGAAAGTAAAAAGATTCAAGTTATAAAGTGAGGAAGAATTTTTTCACCACACCATCGGTGCGGGTGTCGCGAGAACATCCAAACTTCAGATCGTAGCCCTGGGTGCAGGAGACGTTCACGTGGAAAAAGGATGCGGGTCATGTGCTGAGCGCGCTCTCCAGGGCTTGAGCCCTAGGTTGCAACCTGGTGATGTCATCATCGGGATGGAATCCTTACTACATTTATCAGTTCTAGTATTCGTACATTCATTAATCATTACAATGTTCCTCCAGGAATATCGTCTCCTATCCGGGAGTCTTCGTATAGCTCGTCCGATCCTGTTTCTGTCGTGGCAGTTGTGGCCAATTGTCGCAACATGATGGCAGGATGTTTGCCCAATTCCTGTAACTCTTTAAAGATTATCACCGGCTTCTCCGCCAACTTCAAGATTCTTTCCTTGTCTCCGTAGCAGATGACCAACACGTACTTGGACCAGTCATCTCGCGGGATATGATGACGTTTCATTGCCTGCTGCAATATCTTGAGACAAGAATCCTCCGTAGAAGCACGCAATTGCTTCAATGGCTCGTTAGATGGTTGCGAGGGGGCCGTGCTCGAGGTGTGCGCAGTGTGCGAGGTGTGGGTTGTGTGTGATGTATGTGCAGATGTTTGTGAGCCATGCAGCTTTAATGTAGGCTTGCTAGAAAGTCCCCCTTGTCCAAACTTGTTCATTGTCGGGGTGGTTGGAGTTCCGGGAACATTGCCAAGGGTATTGATGGTGGTAGTTGAGCTGGACGATTTAGTTTCGACAAGTCTAGGTCTTAAGGCTTCTCCGTCTTTATTGGAGTTATCGGGAATTATCTTAGGAAGAGTGAAATCAGCCTGGGTTCTGGTCTCGTGGATTTTAGGAATTGACTGCAGAATTATTTTACCTGTCCCTAATGAAAACTGAGACCCTGAGGAGAAACGCTTTGAATATGTCGGACTTGGAAGGTTATAGGAGCTTCTATTGCTCACGTTCCCGCCATTGTTACTAACACTGTTACTTCGGGATACATTCTGACGGTGTGGCGCAAATGTAGAGTTGGAAGTGATGGTTCCAAAGTCAGAAAGTGGATCCGCCCAAGAGCCCGCCGATTCGGACTGCGAGCTCAGAATGGAAAGGGTGGGGGAATCAACATTGGACGAGCTTGTTCCCGGATCAAGGGTGGGTGTGGGTAAAGGCTTGGAATCCTTGAGTAGCCTGATCACCGGGATCAAGTCTGTTTTCAATTTAATGAAGTTTTCGTTCAACCGCTTGATATCCAACAGGTTCTGGTTAGGAGAAACTGGAGATGGCTCACTGGACTGGATCTGCTGCTGCATGAGATGGCCTAACTTCTTGAACATGTCTTGCATGAGGACAGACGAAAGGGACAACGACTCCATGCTGACGTAGTTGGTGTTGATGTTGATGTTGTTGAGCTTGTACTCGGGGTCATTCATGGACTGGAGGGGGTACTTCTGGTGATGGGCAGTGATGAGGTCGGTGAACGACTTCTTGACCGCCAAGCGGGTCAGGAGCTGGGCAATTCCGAGCTCCTTGAGGTGTTCCGTGGTGATGAAGGGGAGGAGCGAGCCCTCGATCTTATGGTGGAGAAAGCTTTCGGCCAACCCTTTGTGTTCTTCCGACAACACCGATCTTACGTGGCTGGCCACTTGGGCCGGGTCCCACTGCAAGAAAGACTCGTTCGATGGGGATGACATGGTGCATAGGGATGGCGATGGGACAATCAGGACAGGGCCAACTATATCTATGGTATCTATAAATAACTTCCCGGCACGATCGAGTTCGATTCCTCCGTATATGTAAGATGCGGTGGTGTGTGGGCCTGGTGTATGGACAAAGAATGTTCTGATCAGTGGCTACGATCTAGAATGTGTTGACACAGCTTTTTATGCGGAAATAGTTGCGAGTTTCAAGTGCTCGTTTGGGCACTGACTTTTGTCTATAAACAGAGTTCCCTGAATTGGCACCACGGGCTGCGAGGCGTGGCGGCACACTCATGCCTGTGCGGGAGGGGGTTGTGTGGTGGATGGAAGGATGGCCGGAAAAGCTGCTACTATGGCATCTAATGTTACAAGTAAATGTCGTCTCTCCTCTTTACTGCCGGATATCTAGTGTGAATCCGCAATCCCCACTGATTTTCGTAGCTTTAGTTAACGGGACGTCACTAAATATGTGATCTGTTTTGAACCATTCGGATTACGGGGAAAAGGGCCCTCCAGACACGTCACTACTTTTCACACGAGCGGGAGGTTTCCGACATCTCGTGAGAGGAGTTTCAGAGTATTGCAATAGAGGTTTTTTCTGGAATACTTCGTGCAACTACGTGAAATACGAGGAACCCTTACAAGCTCACTAGTCAATCTGTAGTGAAAGGTGGCTACTTTGCTACCTGAGCGACTGCAGCGGAGATTTATTGGGAATATATTGGTTTATTGGTAAGACCAAACTATTGCTATACAAACTTTGAAGGGTAATCACTCAGCACAATGGTCGCTGGAAGGCGGCTATTTCTTACAACCAGAGGCGACGCCACCACCGCAGATGGGCGCCTGCCATCATCCAGCGAACAGATGTAGCACTACGAGCTCCCACAAGCCCACAAGAACACAAGCCCATAAGCCCTGGCGTCCATCGCTGGCCAGGGAGGCTATCGCACTCTGCATATTGCAGCCGCGCCTGCCAGGGTTATCAATCTATTGTGGCTATTATTGATGGTTAGCGAGGGCTTAGTTGTTCGTATTGCTCCACCCTTTGGCGTTCTGAAAACCCAATTGCTACCATATCATGTCCTACCCCGGCACCCTCCACCATTACGGCAGTAACCTCACTGCATTCGAGTTTGGCAACGCTAGCCCCTCCAACACCAAAGTAGTGCTTTTTGTTGCAGGATTGGGCGATGGCCTTCTCAACGTTCCTTACACTGCCCAATTGGCCGCCAAATTGGCCGTCCACGGATGGTCGCTCGTGCAGATCCTCATCAGCTCCTCTTACAACGGCTACGGGACCTCCTCGTTGAAGAACGACGCCCGTGAAATTAGCCAATTGGTAAAGTACCTCCGATCGGCCCCTGGCGGCAACAGGTCCCACGTCGTGCTCTTGGGCCATCTGACTGGGTGCCAGGACACTATGGAATACTTGAGTAAGGCATCGCGTCAGCCAGGATTCGATGCCCCAGTTGATGCAGGCATTTTACAGGCTCCGGTGTCCGACTACGAAGGCATAGGTGGCCCTAAATTAAACGCTTTGGCAGAAGAAGTATACCAGGACTATATCTTGAAGGGCAACCTGGACCATATTTTGCCTGAAAAATTCAGGAAAGCGGTTTTTGGTACTCCAATCACTGCCTACAGATTCTACTCGCTATGCCATCCTCGTGGCGATGACGACTACTTCTCTTCATACTTGACTGAGGCCGACTATGCTCAGACCTTCGGTGTGGTCAATAGACCTTTGTTGGTATTATATGGCTCTAAGGATGAGTTTGTTCCCGCCACTGTCGACAAGGACAAGTTGGTGACCCATTGGAAACAAGCCACCGATCCTAAGTACTGGAGTCCTTTGAGTAAAGTATTGCAAGGAGCAACACATGCCATCGACTCTAACTCCGACGAAGGAACCAGAGAAGATTTCATCAACACCGTGATCAAGTTCCTAGCAACAATTGAATAGTTGCATCGTTTGTAGAATTATTCGTCGTCCCCAATCTTATAGCTTTTAACCAAAAGAACTAACCCATCGTAGTACTGTCTCAAGCTCAAATCATCGGTTTTCATGACATTGTAACTGGGTGGGGCTATGGTGAGTTGCTTAAACTTATCCCAAAATCCGGAACTCTTGGTATTCTTCTCTACTTGCACTTGTGTATCGTCCTTATCATTCGGATTTAGTCGGGAGACAAGAAACCTTGATTGCGAGTGATTGGTTTGAGTCAATACCAAGTTGGGAATCACTGCATCTCTTTTTGCCAAAATAGGGTTTACAAAACTCATTGGTAATGCAATTTCAGAAGTTCTTTCGGTGAAAAATTCGTCATTATTTGACAGGTGTAGTTTTAAGCTTGCTTGCAGCTTAAATACTATAATCTGAAAAACAGTATCCATTATCAAGAACAGGTCCTCCGGGCACATGCTTAAAGAGCTTGAGTCCAATGGAACTTCTTTTGTACTCTCGATAGATATTTCGAACAATTGAGGTTGAACAACCTTAAGGGATAAATCACAGCTCATTTTCAAAAAAGAAGAATGATAGTATGCAATTTCATCAGGACTTGAATTGAAAATGCTAAAAAGTTGAGTATTTCTCCTGAAGTGATAGATCAATGCAGGTAAAAGCTTGAAATGCTCGTTCATTGTATAAATCTGCTGAAGTCTGAGATATGGGTTGTGGGAGTTTGAGCTACTCAAGTCCAATTTGACCCCTCCAAAATAGAACAACAATCTCACAAAAGTACTATCCAAGAGATCTTTTAAGTCATCGACCCGATCGTATCCTAGTGAACTGTCAATCTTGCTGATTAGTAGTCTACTGAGAATAATCATCCAACACTCCTGATCAAAACTTTTCAAGAGCTGGTGCTCTTTGATGATTCTTGTGTTTTGTGGAGAACCCGATTTTCTGGAAACCAGCACAGAAAGTGTAGTCTGTTTTTCAATAGTGGATATTCTAAGCTTCCAGCTCTTAGAAACAAAATCCCAGTACTTCAATTGAAACTGAATGTACGCCTCTCTAGTCCCATTAGCCATTAGATCAGAGGAAGATCTTTTTGTATTCATGTCGAATTGAAATGCTAATGTTACATTTTTTGTTAACAGATTAAACCACCACCTGTTCGTGAACGACTTCTTGGCTACTGGAGAATCAAACTTTGTCAAATTGTCTGAGATTTTATCATGGTGCTGTTCATAGTATTTCAGTGACTGTCCGTAGCTCGAAGGTAAGGGATAACCAATATCACCAATCATTTTAGATATTTTCAAATCCTGTGATGTAGCAATGGTGAGGGTGTTAAAGACTTTAGTGGGAAAAGAATTGAAAGCTCGTCCCAAGCACTGTTCCAACTTGAAAGATTTGAATGAGTCAAGCAAATAAATGTTTCCCATGCTTAAATTGGCTGCATGCTTCATTTCGTAGATTCCCACTTGGTCTAAGGAACCCACAAAAATATCTGTGTTCCAAGAGGGTGCCCCAGGTGATAACCCGAAATTATTAGGTTTCATTGAGGACGACTTGCTTATCGAAAATGCCCTCTCAATACTTTGGCCATTTGCTATATACCCCAAACACTGATAGAATCTCAGAGAAGGAACAAAATGGGGAGCATTGAAATTCAGAATATCAGTATGCGACCTCATAGATTGGCCTTGTTTCAAATCTAAGACCACTCCAGGAAAGCTGGTACATGGCCCTGTAGTAAAAAAGATAGTTTTACCAAGGTAATTTTTGTACGATGCTCTTGACAAAAGAACTGTTGTAACATAATGCGCCAATCCAGACGATCTTGAGGGTCGATAACTGTCAGTAAGCTTAGGCTTCACGTTTCTAATCTTTTCGAGGAAGACTGCCTTATTCTCGGGATTGAGCTCTGTCAATATCTGCTCTTGTATCAATGGACTTTCTTTCCAGTCGGTATCCAACGGCTTGGATTCTAGTCCCAATATTTTCAAACATTTTACAATAGTCGATTCGTCAAATATTGCCTTATAGTTGGCAGAAGTGTCACGTAAAATGTCATTCAAGTTAATAACATGATCAGGCTTACCGATTTTGTGTACTCTGACTGTATCACTGTAAGTGATCAATCCAACCAAGCTGCCCACGGGAATTCTCTCAATGAACTTCACCAAACTGGATTTTAGAGCCCGGAACGGGTCATCCGGTGTATCCTCGATGTGTTGATAGACATCGATGACAATGAAAAATGCTAGAGGCAATTGGGTAGAAACTGCATCAGTGATGGTGTCGGGAAGCTCGAATTCCAAGGTTGAAGACGTTTGGCGTAATTCAATGGGCCATTCGTCCACACTCTGGGGTGATTCAGGTAACTTGTAGTCATCAGGCAAGTATGATTTCTTCTGGCAGAACGGGCACCACCACATGTTGTTTTTCCTGTCAATCTTGATGAAGGGATTGACGTAATTACGACAGGTATTGCATTGAATCGGATACCCAGTGGTGGTGGGAATGGGTTGGTAGTCCAGGTCTCTTTCATGTAATGGGGTATACAAACATGCCAACGGGGTGCTTAGTTGTGAGGCCTCAAGGCGGGTACTCGGAAAGAGGTTCCAATTGAATCTGACACCGTCGATCAGCTCCAACTCCTGGAAGGACATTTTAGTTACTGATAAACATTTTCTCGATTTCTTATCGGCTGCGAAGAACCGCGACATCAGTCGCCAATGCGAAGGGTCTGGAAAAAGTACATACTCGCTTGTCATCTACTGTAAATGCTTCAACTCTACGAGACGGACCTCTCTTGAGTCAATCGCTTCCAGGTGGGAAATGATTTCTTCCATGGAATTGCTACAGATGTAAGGCATAAATGTCAGCACGAGTCTGCTGATTCAAGCCTGTCAGTAATTTCTATCAGGTTATTCACATAAAGAGCAGTGGGTAATTATATATCACCAGTTGTATTTGACTGCTGGGTTGGAGAAACCTAGGTAGACTTCCATTTGGCAATAATCGTTTTGTTAGTTCACATAAAGACGGCTCTGGAGGTAGTTGGCAGTCAGCGATACGTATAGGTCAAGTTGTGGCCCGCACCTGTCACCAAAGCACAGCTGCCCATTTCCTGCTTGACGATGGGGGCTTCGGGCCGAATGTCGAAGTCAAAAATGTCAACGGGGATACCTAGCGTGGTACAAGCGTTGGGAACGTCCACAATACTGGCTATGTGGCCCTCAATGGGAGCACTAGAAAGTAACAAGTATATCTGGTAGTCGTTGTACCCAAACCGTCTCAAGTACTCTATGGCCCGAATACATGCTTGTCGATAGGCAGTAGTCGCACAGAGGAACTGCTGGACTCCTTCTTCGTCCACGGAGAACCCCTCGAAAGTGAGGTACCTCGAGGGACCGTACTGGTTCTGGACATCCCCCGGAATGAACATAGGAGACTTGAGCTTCAAGGTTTCCATGCCACCCTTGATGAGACTAGTTTTGATGGTGATAACCCCAGCCATCTCAATGGCCCCGCAGAACGAGATCTCACCATCGCCTTGGGAAAAATGGAGGTCTCCTACCGAGAGCTTGGCTCCGTCCACATACACAGGAAGATAACATTTGGAGCCTCGTGACAAGTTCTTGATGTCACAATTACCTCCGTTTTCTGGCCTGCCAGGAATCGTACGGGCGCCTTGGGCTGCTACAGCAGCAGCCACTTCGCCAGTGGCACTTCCTGCGTGGGTGTTCTCCATCTCTGGGAGGTTTGCAACCGGAGTGTCGTGATTGTGCTGGATATCTGCCTTTAGTCTACCTTCGCGTAAGTTCCACTCCTCGAGAACTGAATGAGACGGTGCCGTTCCAATAATGCCTGGATGTATCAACCCTGCAAATTTCACGTGGGGAAGATGCCTAGACGTGGCATGGATACCCTCTAAATCGAAAATCGCTTTCGCAGCCTCAGGGTAAAACTTGTCCAAGAAGCCCCCACCATTGTGCTTGGGAAAAATTCCGCAGTATCCCCATGGCTGGCGCTCCAAGGGCTGTACATCCTTGATTTCCACCACCAAGCAATCCCCCGGCTGGGCACCCTCGATGTTGAAGGGTCCAGACAAGTAGTGGATACGGGTAAGGTCGACGTTCTTGATGTCGTCAGCGAAGTCGTCGTTTCTGATCTGGTTTCCTGTCCAGTCCAAGCACTCAATTTTCACGGTCTCTCCGGGAAGTATTGTTTCCGCGAACGGTACGTCCGGGTGCCACCGGTTGTGGACTTGGGGCTGCTGGTCCCCAGGAAGCTCCAAGTCGACTTTAGTAACGTATCTGATAGGTTTGGACATAACCCACGATCTTGGGCAAGGGACGGTATATATACTTGGATGGGGTCCGAAAAGCTTATCGCAAATAGCTTATCGCAACTCCTTATCGATAACGGTGCTATCTTGGCACTAAACGCCTTGCAACACTGATTAGCCCAAAGCCATAAATATCACTCCATATCGGTGAAAAGGCCTAAGTCCACAACTAGAGCCGTGGCTATTGTTTCACCATAGAATCTTTATCGCAATTATCTTTAAGATCAAAAACGCGGTATCCCTGTGAAAGTGAAAATGTAAGAAAATTACCAAATTTTGAGAAAACTCGATTTTCGGTTTCAGAACCAGGTTCATATTTCGCTTTTTAGGCATGAAACTTGAATCGTACCTTTGAATCGTACAGAGGCCTGTGTTATAATGAAGGATTACACTCTCCAGTTGATCCATAGGTACCAAGAAATTCGCCAGGGCTTCCATGTGGGGGCAGAACTAAATTGTAAATTATTTTTATAATCTGCTCTCTACCCTAGATAAATATAAACCTTTTACAATGGCAATTATACCATTACCGCTAAACCATTATAAATATGAAACTATAATAATGATTGTTTGATATGTTCTTGCAACTTAATTCGCGACACACGGGACCATTATAGAGCAATTCATGCTATTTGATACTTTAAATTTTCTGCTGTGGTTGGATAAGAAGGATAATTTGCAGTTAGATAAATTATGGACAAGGGGTAGAGGTGAGTTTGTAAGATTTTAGGTTTTTGATGAATTTTACAACTTTGAGACTGTCATGCAATCAAATTGTGTATAAAATCATGTTAGTCAAAAATATAACTCAATCAAACTCACTTGAAAAGAAAAATTTGGAAAAACAATGTAAAATTACCTCTAAAATTAAAATGTATTACAGAACAAACAATGTTTGATTATAACAAGTTTCCGATATAGTGTAACGGCTAGCACGGTTCGCTTTCACCGAGCAGACCCGGGTTCGACTCCCGGTATCGGAATTAACTTTTTCTTAATTGTTTTACTGATTCCGCTTTCTCCCTTCTCTTTTTTCTTCCTAGTAATATGGGCTTCCCCGTTGCTCGCTATCTTCCCCCAGAACTCGATTGCAGCCATCCTCACTCAATTTTGATACAGAGCGACATGAAAAAAAATGCGATGCCATCGATTTTTCAGCACTATCAACTTACTAGACACTAACCAAGATGGCACCAAGGCAATCGCAAACAGCCAAGAGGAACAAGACCCAGAACAAGACAAGAACCAATGATTCCGAAGTCTTTACCGACTCTGTCGCCAGAAATTTGTTAGCATCCCAACCCAAATTAACCCCTAAAGCCATCTCCAAGAAGCCATCCAAACAATCAGTCAAGAAACAACAAGCTAAAATAAGACTTTATGGAGCCAAAAATGGTAAAGAATACCGTGAAGACCAACTTGACATACCCACCTTGAACAAGGCTGTTATACCCGGGGTGAAAGCCAAGAAGGGAAAGAAGGGTAAGAAGTTTGTGGACGATAACGATTCATTGACCATGAATAGATTGGTCAAATCCATTAACGACAAGTACGATGTGGTGAACGAAAGTAAGTTGGAGAAGAGCAGAAGATTGGAAGAATTGAGAGAGTTGAAGAAACAGGAAATAGAGAGAAAGGAACAACAGAAGATTGACAAGTTGGAGGGCAAGAAATCCGAATTGAAGAACAAGGCAAATGTTGCCAGAGCCAATAGAAGAAAGAATGCCAAGGCCAGAAATGCCGAGGAAGAGGCCGAGGCTCCATCTAAGAAGAAGAAGAGTGTTTCGTTCGCATAATCGAATGAGGAATCGTTGTATATTAAATTTAGTTCCATATTGCATAGAGTTCTGGATAAAGACACTAGGTATATACATAATCTATTTACATGACTAGCCTGACTAGCGTTAGTAACATTACCCTCGTAGATAATTCATCTAAAATCCATATCTCACTCTTCTATGGCTCATGGCCTCCTTTCTTTTCTTGTTAAACCACCATCCGTAGGCTACTCCTGCGATAGAACCACCTAAGTGAGCAGCATAGTCGTACTTACCCCACCTGAGTACACTTCCGGCTATATTGTAGGCAACAGATCCCAAGAACATAATCCAGGCTCCTCCAGGAACCGGGATGAAAAACAACGCAATTGGCGCTTTTGGAATCAAGTACGAGAAGGTACCAAAAACGGCAAACACTGCACCAGAAGCTCCCAAGGAGGATACTCCTGCAATCGATCCGAGAACTGTAGGAACGACAAGGGAAACAAACGAAGAAATCACCGCAGCATTAAGGTACATGATTGTGAAATTGGTCACACCCACCATGGCACACAAGGAAGTTCCGAAACTATGGAGCACGAACATATTGACGAACAAGTGGCCTAGATTCTGATGGGAGAATGCTGAGCCCAACAAAGAGAAGTTAGACTGGACGTTGTCCTTGACTAGAAGGGCGTATTTGGTGGTATACCTTCTTAATTGGGGGACTCTCCACAGCAAGAAGACGGCACCGTTTATGGCAATGAGGCCATACACCCAAGCATGCGGATTCCTTTTGAAGTATTTCAAAGGAGTGTATTCGAAAACATATGGAGTAATCAAAGTGGTACCAGCACAGAACAATGCAGTGAAGAGGGCAGGGCGCTTGAGCCTGTCCCAATTAGTTCGTTTGTAGTACTTATTGTAATTGTTCCATGTCTGGGATCTCTTGAAACCTCTGGCAGGCACAAGGGTGGGGGACTTCTTGAGCGATTTGAAGAACGAGGTGGGTCCAAAGCTGGATTGTAAGATTTGGGTGTTGGATTGGAGGTAGCGACTGGACTGGGCGAAGGACTTGCTCTTGAAGGTCTGAAGGTTGGTATTGCTGAAGAAGTGGTTGAGCGTCACGGGGGACTTGAAGCCAAACCGAAACATCCTGAGCTGGCGGTAAAGGAGTGAATGGTGAAGAAAAGTGATGCTAGCGAGCTTATTTGGTTTTCGCAGTGGCAAAGTGCTGCGAATGGTGATAAGACAGTAGCCAGTTTGGGGGAGAGTAGAGAGAATGAGTTTACTTCAGTAGAGCAGGACTAGAGCAGTTAAGTCATGGGCTTACAGGTAGGCTAAAAAGGTGCTATGGTACATTAATTAGTGGTATACACGATGTAGTGGTGGTGGGAAATTCATGGTGGAGAATTTCATTTTCTTGCGAAGTATAGACAGCATGTAGCTCACAAGCCAGCAAACTCGTCTTCCTTCTCTTCCAAGTCGATCTTACCCTTACCAGCCATTCTGAGCGCCGATAAGTTCTGGGTAGCCACCTGTTTCTTGACCTTGTTGGTCATCTTCTCGATGGCCTCCTCTGCATTCTCGGAGTCTGCTTCCGCGTATTGCATTACCAATCTTCTTCCGAGCAAGTGGACACCTTCCAATTGGTTCATGGCGTTCTCGGCTTCCTTGAGCAAGTTGAATTCAACAAACGCAAAACCTCTGGCAGACCTGTCGAATTTCTTTGGCACTCTGACCGATTTCAACTGGCCAAAAGCTCCGAAAAGCTCCAAAATGTCCTTTCTGGTGGCCTCGAACGGCAAGTTCTTGACGATGATTTTGTTCGACTTGGTGGACTTGTCGGCCTTGCTTGCGGTGGTACCTCCTTGTCTGTGGGACAACTTCAACTGCAACTTGTGTCCGTCCAAGACGTGGCCATCCATGAGAGAAATGGCAGTGTTGGCTTGTTCCTTGGTCTTGAATTCTGCGAATCCAAAACCCATGCTCAATGTGGAGCCAGTGTTCTTTGGGTCTGGCTTGGTCTTGATGGTTGCAACAACAAAGCCAGCCAAGTCCTTGAATGCTGCAGTCAACTGTTGTGAGGTTGTGGAGAAGTTCAAGTTCTTGACAAAAACAGAGACAGTAGGACCGTCAACAACCTCACTCTCTTCTTCTTCTTCTTGTCTTTCACTTCCACCCATCACATCACTGGCAGACACCTTCACTTCCACAGGCTTTTCTTCTGGCTTCTCGTTGGCGGATTGGACCTCGTCTTGCGATGGTTCTCTTGTGAATAGCTCCTTTGGACCCTTTTCCAAGTAGAGGATACCCTTTTTGAACCTTCTGTATGCTAATTTGGTGAATGCTGATCTCGCACTTGGAGCGTCACGGAACTCAACAATGGCGATGGTACCTGCTGGTGGCATCAACATTCTCTTAAGTTCACCATGGGGGGAGAACAACTCTCCGATTTCTTCGATGGTGGTACCAAAGGGGAAGTTTTTCACCAAGATGACTTTATCATCTCTTTCCTTCTTATCAAAAGTGGTTAAATCCACCCCTCTATCTTCAAAGTACTTTCTAACATCGTTGATCACATGCGCTTCAGCCAAAGCTTGCTTCACGGCCGAGTTAGAGTTCTCTGGGTCGATCAATTGAGACTTCGAAACTCCCATTTTGGAGGCAACAGATTCCAAGACAGCATCAGAGTTCATGTAGAGTGAATTCCAACTGAATTGGTTCTTGGAGGCTTGGTCCTTTCTCTTCAACTCCCTTTGTTTCTTGAGTGGCAAGTTCTTCAAGTCAAACTCATCAAGTCTGTGGTCCTTCTTCTTTTCACCAGGCAAGATGTGAAGTAATCTACCCTGGAAAATTTGCTTGTCCAAACTCTTGTAAGCAGAAACAGCATCGTCACTTTTAGCAAATTGTACGTAAACAAATCCTTTGGATTTACCAGTTCTAGTGTCAACGGCAATATGGACCTCTTCAAGGCGTCCGTAGCTCTGGAATAATTCCCTGAAATCTTGCTCAGTGGACTCGTACAAGATGTTTCTGATGAAAAGTCTACCAGTTTGTGAGATCTTTTCAATCACGGTCTGGACAGGATCTACGGTTGGTTCGGGTTGACGGGCAACTCTGGATGGTAGTTTAGATTCGACAGCTTCGTCTGTGTTTTGTGTTTCTTGTTGTTCTTGTTGTTCTTGTATGTCTTCCAGATCGTCATTATCCTTGATTCTTATTCTTCTGGATTTGAGCCAGTCGAGGTCAGATACATTTTCGTTAGCAGCAAGACCATCTTCCTGAACTTCTGGCTGGATTTCGTCATGCACAGGGTTGGTAGACTCATTTTCGTTGACATTGCTCAAACTCATCATAGGCTCATCTTCCTCATCCTCTTCGTCTCTTTTTCCGAAGTCTTCATATTCATCGTCACTGGCATTTTCTTGAACTTGAGCCATTTCATAATCGATGTCCTTCTTAGCTGGCTTCTCATCCTTTTCAGCCAAGGCATCCTCAAGAGCTTGGGCAGAAGGACCACCAGAGCCATCAGCCACAGCATCGTTAGCCCATGATTTAACTTGATGAGATGGTTTCATTACTTCCATGAATTCTCTTAATTTTGGATTACTACTTATTTCCTCATCGATTGTGGATCTTGTCTTTTGCTTCTTGGTTCTTCTCTCCTCCTGTTCGAGTAACTCCTCTTCTTGTCTCCTCAATCTTTCCAAGTCTTGTCTCTTCTTGTCCTTGTAGGAAAGAGGAACGTTTGGGTCAGAGAAAGTCTTAGCAAGCTCGACGTCTATCCTTGCAGTATCAATGAAAGACTTATTGTAGAATCCGGCTGCTTTTACTGCATCTTCGTAAGACTTGTAACCAATAAACGCAAATCTTCTGGATTCACCATTTCTCTTTTTCATCAACTTGACATCAGTAACATTTCCCTTTTGAGAGAAATGCTCTCTCAATTTGTCCTCCGTAAAGTACTTGGGAAGTCCTTTCACAATCAATCTTGACATCTTGAACTCTTGGGGTTGAGATGATCTGGAAGCTCATCGGGAAAAATACTATGGTGGATGTCGCTAGGAACAAATGTCGCGATACTTGATAGTGAGAATGTCGAATGGGTGCAAATTGTATTTGTGACTGCAACTGAGCTACAGTGTAATGGAGCTTACTCAACATTTGGGGTTCGACTCATGGGAGTCGAGTACAAAGGACTACAGAAAAAGGGCGAGAACGATATGTATACTCATATTGTTGATGTTTGTTTTGTTAATAGGCAGACTTTCATCCAAGATTTGTGACATTGTACAACATGTTGTACCAGATGGTACTAGAAATCTAAGAAGGCAATGTGCCTTGATTTTTTGGGATCTTTGCATTTACTTTACGGTATGTAAAAAACTAAGTATGAACTGATCAATGTGGTATTTACTAATGCTTTAGAGACTCAATAACGTTCATATCAAAGTACTGGGAGACTTGATGAATGCAGATTCTGCTATTGTAATCAGCAATCACCGCTCATTAGCCGACCACATCGTTATTGCAGTATTGGCAAGGTATTCGGCCAGTAGATCCGGGGATTCTCCGGGGGGTCTTAATCTCACATTACCTCGAACCAATATCTTTTCATGGTTCCTGGTGTGGACTGTACCTAAATTGAGGTTGTTGTACAACATGGCAAGATGTGATGAGAACTGGGAGCTTGATTCTGCTATTGGGGTAAAGCTCTTCCGTCACTTGCAAATTAGCAAGTACCCTGAATGGATAGTAGTGTTTCCGGAGGTGAATATATGGACGAAACTTGCTCACGATATCCAAAAACAACAAAGTGAAAAATACTATTTACCCATGTTCGATGGACTTTTATATCCCCGATTCTCTGCATTTTACAATCTTATTTCGGCTATCAATCAAAGTCCAAGTAACAAATTCTTCAAAATTTATGATTTGTCCATTATTTACGAGCTGAATGGCATTTCTAAAGATGCAAATGGTACAATATGGACCCCGTCTTTGTTTGAAATATTCTGCAGTGATTCACAAACTACAATAAGAGTCAATGTCAGGGTCAGATCTCTTACTAGAGTACCCTCGAAGAGGGCAAAGCTTGAGAAATACTTAGAGAAGCTTTGGTTGGAGAAGGATAGAACATTGGAAGAGATGGCTTAATTGTGCCGAATTATTTATTTTATTATTGTCCTCACTTCTCTTGGATCTTGGAAATAGGAAGACTGTAAATCCTTGAGCTTTGTTGCTCGTCACGTTGGACTCTATAAAACACATCAGTAAATCTATCCCCATTGATGTGGTTCAAAAAATGCTCATCGTGTGTGATAACTATCAATTGAAAGTTCAGCTGTGCTTTTCTGAACTCGATAATTTGATTTAATGCTTCGGCCAAGGATTCAGAGTTCTCTTGATCTAAGTTCGTTGTTGGTTCATCTAAGGCAATAATTCCACAATTGGTTCCAAAACACTCAGCTAAAGCTAATCTGATCAAAATACTAGTGAGAACCTTTTGACCAGCAGAACACCGGCCTCTCATATCCAACTCATTTCCACTCTTATACATAACCACCCTATAATTGTATGATCTGTTCCCCTTTGCTTGAACATTAACATCACTCTTTATGGCAATGGTTTCTATATCCGACCCCTTGTATGTTTGTGACCACAATTCTTTCAATATTCTATTAATATCTCCCATCTTGATACTATGGAATTTCATGATTGCATTGTCAAGGGCCTTTGAGTACGTCTGAATATCATTAGATACTAGCATGTTCGTCTGTAATTTAATCCATTCTTCATGATAGTTTTTATTGACGTATTCGTATTCTGATTTAAGTTCTTCTTTTAACTTTTTGATTTGATCTCCTATCTGTTTGAGTTCTCCTGACTTACTATCATGGTTGGACCTAAGACTGGATATGTCATTGCGCAATTTCTTAGATCTGTTTTGATATTCTTCTCTTCTAGCCTGGGCAGACTCTATATCTAACTCTTGAAGCCTTTCTTCTGTCTCCATAATTTCCTTGAGCAATCCTCTGTAGTCTAAATTAGCCAAGATATTATGCTGCTCCTTCGAAGACTCGTGGATTGATTTTTCAAGCGATTTTATTGATCCTTCACAATTTTCCATTTTTAAATTGAGATCATCCAAGGTACTCTTAGTCTCAACAGTCTTTTGGTTATTCTCATCTAGCTTTTTTCTATCAAAGGATTCAAATTGCTCCACAACAGAGTGCAATGAATTGAAAGTGTCCACATGTGTTTTAAGATCACGCACTTTTTGTTGATTAATAGTAATCGATTCTTCGCCACTGGATCTTTCACTTTCTACTTCTGTACGCTTGCTATCCCTTTTAACATAAAAATCCTCAAGTGATTCGTCTGTACTCTTTAGCCTGGATGTCAAGTTTTTTATGGAGTCTTCAAGCTCAGCATATATCTTTCTTTGGTTTTCAAGATCAGATATGTAAGATTTTTTACTGCTTATGCTCACCTGAATATCCTTAATCTTTCCTTCTAATTTTGCCAAGTCTCTCTGTATGGATTGCTTTAACTCACTCTTTTCACGATTAGAGTTACGGAGTTCTTTAATGTTAAGGTTCTTGCTCTGTTGCAATTTTTGAAGTTCAGAAATTGAGAGGGAGACAGAGCCAAAATCACTGAGCTCTTCAGAAAGCTCGTTGTAAAACTGTTGAATACTTTGCACTTCTTCGTTAATTCTCAAAATGTTATTAAGATCCCTTCCAACTTTCTCTGATTGTGTGAATTGCTTTGTGGTTTCTTCTGATTCACGATCCAATATCTCCCTCTCATCATTAAGTTTGTTTAGCCCAGGAGCGATTTCATCAACCTCCCTTTTCAAAGTATTAATTTTCTTGGATGTATCTCTGAATGTGATGATTTGAGGGTTAATTGCCTTGACACTTGCCAAATCTTTCTTGATAATTTCTGCTTGTTCTTCAATTTCTTTGAATCTGTCTTTGTTGACACTTGTTTCAAGTTCCTTGAGAAATTTTTCAAGACCTGGTGATTCAAAATCACGCTTGCATAATAAGCATTGCTTCTGTTCAGTTGCAAATTTTATGGCAGTAATATTAAATTGTCTGGTTACTTCAAAAGTGTTGATATCCTCCAGCACATTTCTATAACTATCCTCTAAATCTTCAACAACCGATTCATACGAATCAATCTCATCTTCCTCAATAGACTTCAAAATTTGAGATTTTAGTTGGGAGAGTTCGCTTTCCAACGTTTCTATCTCACGTTTCTTCATAGAATGTAATGATTCTTCGACACTAATTTTGGAGCCCAATGATTTTTGAAGCTTTAAGTGATCTTCCTTTGCTTTGTTCAACTCTGATTGCTTATCTTGAAATTTTTTCTCACCATCGTCAATGTCAAATGAGGATCCAGTGATTGATTTAAATTCAGCTTGGATTTCGTCGATCAATTTCTTCAATTGATTTTTCTTGTTATCTAGTACATTCTTTTGCATATCAACTTTAGTTCTAATTTCTGATTGCCTGTTACTTGTTGAAATCTTCTTACTTAACTCTTCAACTTCAAATTCCATTTTCGAGAGATTAAAATTCTCTTCATCAATCTCTTTGTCAAGTTTTGAAATTTCATTCAATTCTTTCCTCGTCTGAAGTTTATTTCGTGCTGTTTCCAAATCCAAGTTTAGGGCCTCTAGCTCTTCAAATGCATTTCCTGCTTTTTCGATTCCAATTTTGATCTGGCTCGATTTTTTTTCTTGGAGTATCAATTCGCTTTTCACAAACTCCTTTTGCTGCTCCAATTTAGTGATCTCATCGAGAATTTTTTGCAACTCAGCTTGTTGTTTTAAGTCATTTTGCTTGACACTCTTCAATATTTCATTCAAATGCTTCTGTTGGCCATCATAATTAATCGACAATTTATTCTTATATTCTTTGAAATCTTCAGAAGTGCTTGAACTAGCCGTAAAGTCCAAATTTGCCTCATTTTGTTCGATCACTTGTTTGAGCTTTTCAGAATTTTCGATATATTCTGCTTCTTTGGCTTTCAAAACTCCATCTAATCGTATTAATTGATTATACGATTCAGTGATACTTAATTTTCGCTTATTAAACTCGTTAAGCTCATTTTGTAATTTTTGAACTTCTTCTTCTTTATCTTTCGTGATAGTTTCAAAATTTTGTTGCAAATGTAAAAGTTCTTCGTCAGTTGAATTCAAAATCTCGATAGAACTCTTCAATCTCTCGGTCTGGACATTCCTTAGCTTTATCTCGTGGGTTAACCTCTCGTGTTCGCCCAAGATGGATTGGAAATCTTGGTTTAAGGAGAATAACTCATCCGCCTCACGTTCTTTCTTGTCAATTTCAATGTTAATCAGAGAAATTTCTTCACTCAACGTTTCGGAAAAGGACTCCATGGATGAAACTCTATCAGTAATTTTCTTTGCTCTTTCTTTGTCTATTTTCAAATGCTGAACACTTTGTTCGATCAATTTGATATCTACCGACATGTCTTTCTTGATTACTTTTAAGTTATCGAGGACCTTTGTGAACTTCGAGGCTTCAAATATATCATCAAAACGTTTTTTTAATACGGAAGCCTCACTTAAAGGCCAAAGACTGTCATCCTGATGACAAAATATCACATAATCGAGAATGGCCCTGCTGGCGCCTAAGTATATTGGAGTTTGGGTATCCAATTCGGCATTCTTCGACGAAATACTGATTCTATTACCTTTGTCAATGATTACCAATTGACCCTCCAATGTTTTGAATGTGTTTGTCATGGTGCCTGCCTTGGTGCTCTTCTTTCTGGTCAATTGGATGGTTCTTGTAGTGATCATTGACTTCCCGTTGGCGTTTCTGAACGCCAACTTGACCTGGCCTATGACGTTTGTTCTCCCCGCCAAGCTAGGATCATTGACAAAGGCACCACCCTTGGAATTGGGTGGGAGGTCTCCTGTGGTAGCATACTTCAAGCATTCGATGATGGTTGTCTTTCCACTTCCATTCTGCCCACAGATGAGGGTCAAAGGAAATCCGAATTGGATCGTCTCCTCCTGTTCAGGCTCGAAGGCTCTTATTCCCTTGATGGAGAGTTTGAATAGACTGGACATGGCTTAGCCAAGTGCTGTTGGGAGGCAGTTGTGGTAAGATCCCCAGTTGATTTGGTGAGATCGTAACACTTCGCAGCAGTTTTCAGAAACGAGAGCTGGATGGTGAAAAAGGAGCTACGGGCAAAGGATTAGAACTCCGGAGGCGTATGACTTGTAGAGTGTATGGTGCGTTCCATAAAGTAACACGGGTGATCTTGGTGATTATTTGCTACAGTCTACGATATACCTTCAGCAAGTGACAATACGAGCTGGGATTGAGAATAGACCAAGCTCCAATTACGCTATAATTACTGGCGAAAATTGATAAATATTTATGCATTTATTACTCCCAAGGGAATCAATCTACTTAATGTGTGTTTTGGACAATTCATCGGCAATTTCATCGACATTAGAGTCCCCGTGCTCTTCCAGCTTGCCAGCCAAGTTGGCTTCCAATTCGTTCAAGTCGAGATCGTCTTCCAACTGGTCGTCTTCGTCCTCATCATCCTCGTCTTCTTCATCACTGTCCAATTCTTCAAGCTCGTCGAGCTCATCGAGTTCACCGTAGCCCCTCTCTTCAAATACCTCGTTGATTTGCTCAACAAATTCGGAATCCTCTTCGAATCTGTTACCGTTAAGTTCCAAAACCTTCAAGTTTGGCAACTTCTCCTTCACGGCTTCCACGAGAACCTTCAAACTATCTTCTTCTAATTCATTGTATTGTAATCTTAAGGTAGTGATGCTGGTCTTTGGTGCACCAGCGTTCAAGGATTCCACCAAGTTCAAAGAACCCTTGTTCTTTAACAAACAGTCGTTAAGGTTCAATTCCACCAATTCTGGCCAGTTACCCAAGGAATCAGCCAATTTGACGGCACCAGGAGTAGTGATGGTATTGTCTTGTAAGTCCACAACCTTTAACTTCTTGTTGGAAGCCAAACCTTGTTCAATTAACTTGGAGATACCAGCTGGTCTAATTCCGTTTTGGTACAATCTAATTTTCTCCAAGTCCTTGTGGTTTCTCAAACCAACTGCCAAGTAGTTGATGGATCCGTTTTCCAATCTGTTTCTACCACAAATAAAGGTCTTCAAAGAGGACTTACCAGCGGCTTTCTTGGCTGTGGCCAACTTGAACAAAGAACCTCCGATTCTAGCACCGGCAAATGGACCCATCCCGTTGTTGGAGAGAATCAAGTGCTCGATGGTGACGGCCTTGGCCAAGTAGGCCTCTATTGGGTCGATGGTCTGCAAGCCAAATGCATTGTCACTCAAATTGACCACCTTCAAGTTGGTCAATTGGAGCAAACTAGGCAACAAGTATTCCAACGATTGAGGAATTTCCGTGTTCAATCTTCCGGTGTACAAGTCGGAGAAGTTGATTTCGACAATGGTGTCCTTGTGCTTCAACAAAGCCTCACTCAAGGTCTTGGAAGCTTCGATTCCGATGGTGTTACCCGAGAAGTCGATTTTCTTCAAGTCCTTGAACAGGTCTAATTCCTTGACATATTGTTCAATATCGGCGCTGGAATCGAACTTGATCTGTTTTCCGGCAAGGGAGTACGTGTTCTCTGGGGTGATGCCCAAGTCGAGGTTCAAATGATGCACGGTGGCCATTGTGGTGGTGGATGGTGTTGGAACGGTAGTGGGAGATGATTTGGCCCTTCGCGGATCGGTCATGTGGCCTAGCGCACGTGTATTTGTGCGGCAGCGCACGACCCACTCAAAGTTTTCAATTCATCGACAAATTCGTGCTAGCTTGCCATCATCCTTATACGCCATGTCCGGAAGATTCCAAGCTGCCGCCCCAAAGGCCCCCTCCACACTTGAGAAGATCACCAAGAGCCCCTTGTTCACCGTTGGGCTCAACACCGCCTACTTCGTTGCCGGGATTGCCTTCATCCAGTCGCCCTTGATGGAGATGTTGGTTCCGCAGTTGTAAGGGCAAACATCCGTGCCGCAGCACTATGCCGCGGAGCACTCTGTACATACTCAATCTACGATCCTGTGACCAGCTGTAGCGACGGGGAAACGCCCCAACCCAGTCACGTGGAGAGCCACGTGACGCGGACCTCGGTCCCGTTCACATGGCACCGACGGGAGGGGTGCCAGGGACCGCTGCCGGCGCCTGCAGACAGGCTACCCCACAAATAGTGTCAGACAATATCGCCGAGCCGGTGCGTCCCACACACGATTCCGTTATCAAAGTGGCCCGACCTGGCGGGGCCCGAGGCTATCAAATCAGGCCGGCTATCGCCAGTGGCGTGATTGTCACCTTTCCTCGGCTCTGTAGCGACCCTCCTGGTTGCGTCAGCACGGTGCTGGGGCCCAATCTGGGGCCAAAGTGGTCCCATTCGCGGCCGTTGGAGCTGCGCGCATGCCTCGGTGTATCCCGTGCCTCCACGCATACCTCGGCCTAGTTCAGGGCATTTGCGCCAAATGCAGGAGCCGCCCATAGTAGGGTGTCAGTTCTCATCGGACTCGCATGCTGGTGCAGGTCGCACATGGAAAGTGATTGTGGAGAACCGTGCCAAAAAGTATATAAGGACAGGAAATCCACCAGCGTCTAGTCCACCACTAACCTTTATTGCCATGTCTATTTCAAAGAATACCGTGACTACTTCGCCAGGCCCCGACCCTCAAACCTCCCTCCAGAAGGAGAGAGCCAAGGCTGCATTTGATCCCGTCAAGATGCACTACTTCTTGGAGGGGTCCAAGGAACGTGCTGAGATCATCAAGACCATGACCCAGCAGATGGAAAGAGACCCCATCATGGTGGCTGACGCCTCGTACTACGACCTCACCAAGGCCCAGCAGAGAGAGTTGACTGCCGTCAGAATCAACAGAATCGCCAGATACCTCGAAACCGAGTCCTTCGACGACTTCCAAAGAAGATTGTCGTTGCTTGGTGTTTTCGACCCCCAGACCTCCACCAGAATTGGTGTCAACCTCGGTTTATTCATCTCGTGTATCAGAGGTAACGGTACTCCCGAGCAGTTGACCTACTGGGCCTTGAACAAGGAAACCGTCTACATCAAGGGAATCTACGGTTGTTTCGGTATGACCGAAATGGCCCACGGTTCCAACGTTGCCGGTTTGGAGACCACCGCCACCTTCGACGAAGAAACCGACGAGTTCGTCATCAACACCCCCCACATCGGTGCCACCAAGTGGTGGATCGGTGGTGCTGCCCACTCTGCCACCCACTGTACCGTCTACGCCAGATTGAAGGTCAAGGGTGAGGACTACGGTGTCAAGACCTTCGTTGTCCCATTGAGAGACTCCAACCACGACTTGAACCCAGGTGTCACCGTCGGTGACATCGGTGCCAAGATGGGTAGAGACGGTATCGATAACGGTTGGATCCAATTCTCCAACGTGAGAATCCCAAGATTCTTCATGTTGCAAAAGTGGTGTAAGGTCTCCAGAGAAGGTGAAGTCACCTTGCCACCTTTGGAACAATTGTCCTACTCTGCCCTTTTGGGTGGTAGAGTCACCATGTGTATGGACTCATTCAGAATGTGTGCCAGAATGTCTACCATTGCCTTGAGATACGCCATCGGTAGAAGACAGTTCAAGCCAGCCAACGCTGACGAGGACGACCCTACTGTGTTGGAAACCCAATTGATCGACTACCCATTGCATCAAAAGAGATTATTCCCATACCTTGCTGCCTCCTACGTGTTGTCTCAAGGTGCCCTCAAGATTGAAAGAACCATCGAGTCCACTTTGTCTGGTTTGGATGACGCTGTTGAACAGGACGACTACAATGGTATCATGAAGGGTATCGACGAAATGAAGTCCTTGTTCATCGATTCCGGTTCCATGAAGTCTACTTGCACTTGGTTGGCTGCTGAAGCCATTGACCAATGTAGACAAGCTTGTGGTGGCCACGGTTACTCCAGTTACAGTGGTTTCGGAAAGGCCTACAACGACTGGGTGGTCCAATGTACCTGGGAAGGTGACAACAATGTTCTTGCCGTCTCTATCGGTAAGCCATTGCTCAAGCACGTTATTGCTGTCATCGACAATGACAAGGTTGTCAAGGGCTCTTCTGCCTTCCTTAGCGACACCAAGCAATTTGTTGGTGAAGGTAAGGGTGACAAGCCAGTCTTGACCACTAAGGACGATATTCTTGACTTGAAGAAGTTCATCCGTGGTCTCGAAGTCTGTATCATCAGAATTACCCACCAATCTGCCTTGACTGTTAAGGCTCAAAAGGGTAACTTCGACTTCGTTGGTGGTGACTTGGTTATCATCTCCAAGTTGAAGTGTTACCACTACTTGTTGGACGAATTCGTCAAGCAAACCGAAGCCACCGAACACAAGGACCTCCAACCATACTTGCTCGACTTGGCAAGATTGTTTGCTGCTTCCCTTGTCTTGGACAGATTCTCTGGTACTTTCTTGACCTACAACGTTATCTCCAGCTCTCTTGTTGGTAAGTTGAGCTCTGAAATCATCCCAGACTTGAACGCTGCCATCAGACCACACATTGCTACCTTGACTGACTCTTTCCAACAATCGGACATGATCGTCAACTCTGCTATTGCCAACTATGATGGTAACATCTATGAAAACTACTTCAAGACTGTTAAGCAACAAAACCCACCATCTATCACCAAGGCTCCATACTCTGGTGCTTTGGAAGCTATGTTGAACAGACCATCTCTCGAAGCTAGAGATAGATTTGAAAAGACTGGTGAAGCTGCTTTCGAATTATCCAAGGAATAAGGGAATTCAAATTTGCTAGCTCAACTACTGATGACAAATTAAGAATGGTTCTTGGCTTTTGATAAGTCAGGATTTATTTATTAAGATACGTTTATGTCCAATAATACAAGTGTAACTAAATCAAAAGTAGAAACCTAGATAGTATGATGCAGTTTGGTTCTGGGTCCATCGAATCTGTTGTAAGCAATCGGATTTGATTTGGAAAGCAAGTAATTGGTTAATTATCAATATTGAACAGTTTCCTGTGCACACTATCGTTCATGGGGTAGTCAAACTCTCTCAATAGTATTGACAATTCGTCTCCTCTACAGCAATGAAGTTCACGATATATGGTTTCATATACACACTTAAATATAAATAATACTACGACCTGGATTGAGTCCGTAATTAATTGGAGAGGATATCCTTTACTTTATCGCTCTTTTCGAATCTGTCTCTCTCTGGGATACTACCTCTGTCGAGCATGTTGGTAAGGGCCTCAACGTATGGTGGCTTACCATCGCCAATAGGATTGATGTTCTTGACAGCATCCAAATAGTTTTCATAAATTTGACCATCATAATTACCAATCACAGAGTTAAGCATGTTATCAGGTTGCTGGAAAGCATCTGTCAAACCAATAACATAAGGTCTCACCTTAGCTAATGATTCGGATAAGAAAGTAGAGCCGATGTACTTAGCAATCTTGGATTCATAAACGTCGAATCTCAAAAATTGGGCGGTGAATGCACCAAAGATAGACGTTGTGAAGTAAAGCTGAATGAGGTTAACCAAGTGAGGGTAAATGTCATCAGACTTGTTGAGAGATGCCAATTTTCTCTCGAAAGATTCCAACAAGTAGTGGTGAGCTCTCAACTTGGATAATTCGACTCTTTGTGGAGACAAAGCGTCCCAGTTGCCCTTGGTATCCTTCAAAACCTGAAGATTTTCAGCAGCATATCTAATGATAACTGCCTCAACTGCTTCTCTGACCTTAGTCAAGTCCTTCAAATCAGACTCCGACTTGATGATTGGACCAGAAGAAATCACTTCATTGGCATTGTTAAGGAACGCAAAAGTGGAGTTTGGATCAATTGGCTTCTTCTTGACAATAATTTGTTCGATGTTCTTCATTATAGTCCTACCAGCAGACATGGCCAACACATTGTTGTCACCTTCCCAAGTACATTGAACAGCCCAATCATTGTAGGCCTTACCAAAACCGTTGTAACTGGAGTAACCGTGACCACCACAAGATTGTCTGGCTTCATCGATTAATTCTCCACCCAACCAGGTCAAAGTAGATTTCATGGAACCAGAGTCAACGAACAAGGACTTAGTGCCCAAAATGGCCTCGGAAATCTTCTTCTTGTCCTTACTCAAAAGAGCAGTGTCCAAGTCCAGGATCACTTTTTCGTGTTGTTCCTCCAAACGATCGGTACCCACAGCCATAGCATAGGTCAAGGCCAAGTTGGGGAGCAATCTCTTTTGGTGCAAGGTATAGTCCAAGATCTTCTTTTCGTATTCGTCGGATTCTCTGTTCTTGAATTGTCTTCTGCCAACACCGTATCTGAGTGCAACAGTGGTGAATCTAGCCCCAATTCTGTAGGAGTCAACGGCCATGGTGACTCTACCTTCAAGAAGGGAGATGTAAGACAATTGCTCTAATGGTGGTAAGGCAACAGTACCGTCCCTAGAAACCTTACACCACTTCTGCAACATGAAGTATCTAGGAATTCTGACATCAGAGAATTGGATCCAGCCGTTATCAACACCCTGTCTTCCCATCTTGGCTCCAATATCACCGATACTAACACCTGGGAACAAGTTGTGGTTGGAGTCTCTCAAGGGGACAACGAAGGTCTTGACACCGTAGTCCTTGCCCTTGATGAGAAGTCTGGCATACACCACGGAGTGGGTAGCAGAGTGGGCAGCACCACCGATCCACCACTTGGTGGCACCGATGTGGGGGGTGTCGATGATGAACTCGTCAGTGTCCTCATCGAAAGTGGCAGTGGTTTCCATACCAGCAACATTGGAACCGTGGCCCAACTCAGTCATCCCGAAACAGCCGTACAACTGCTTCATGATGCCTGCCTCCATCTTCTTGGCCCAGAACTTGTACTGGTCCGCTGTTCCGTTACCACGGACACCGTTTAAGAACAAGCCTAGGTTGACGGAGATTCTGATTCCAGTGGAAGGATCGTAGACGTTGAGCAAGTTCAATCTTCTGAAAAACTGCTTGGATGACTCGATTTCGATGTACTGGGTCAATCTGGCAATTCTTTTAGCAGTCAACTCACGGTCGGTCAACTTGTCGTTATCGTAGTGGGCAAGGTTACTTTGCAAGATCACGTCTCTTTCCAAAGACTTGTAGATTCTGAGAATCTGTTCGGCCTTGGCTGGGTTTCCCTCGATAAAATGGTGCATTTTGGTGAGGTTGAAGTTGGTACGGCTTCTCTCCTCAGCAATCAACAGTGCTGGGTTGGGGCCTGGACTGGTGGTTCCAGTGTTGGTAATGGAAATGTCGTGCCCAGTGAAGAGCTTGGGGCCGCTCATGGCCTGCTTTATGGAAGACATGGCTACTTAATTTTGATGGTTATTCCAGCCCCGAATTACACCCTAGTTATATATGGGGAGTACCCCACTTTTTCGCGGCCACACGACTTGCCAGGAGCCGACCGAATCGGGACCTAAGCACGCTGGGGAAGAGATAATACGACATCTGCTGGGGGTGTCGGGTCATTTGAAGCTGCAATTGCACGAGTTATCTATTTTCCGGTGACATCTGGTGGTTCTCTGGAGCTGTTCGGCACTGGTGTTTGCCTGTGGTGGAATCGGTTCCACGGAAACTACTCGCGGGAAAGTTTCACACGAACCACAAGGATATCTTTCATGTGCGAATGCCAGAGTGGTCTCATGGAAAATTTATCGATAGTGCTGGGAACGGCCACAGCTGGTGGAGGACGTGGGAGGCACGCTGATGGGTTTTAGAGCCGGCTACTTTGCCGGCTGGAGATGGCCAGAGCCATGGGGAATGGAGGGGGAAAACCATCGGTACCTCGGTACGTGTTCACGTGACCGATTGTTCGTCTGGGGTAGATTGATAAGTGGGGCATCCAGCGCAAGCATGCCGAAGGACGGGTCTGGAATGGTCGTGTGGAGTAGTAAGGAAGTTAAGCCATTGCCACTAGTGTCCCGCCTATTTTACAGCTCTGGTGCACCCTTGAGGTCGAGATGTACGGATGTTCTTCTACTCTAGGTGGATGAGCCAGAGTATACTAAATTTTGAAATGTCTGAAAATGTGAAGATCAGTCAAGTAGGACACTGTATTTCTGTCTTCAGTTCCCACTGCTTTTAGCATTACTGTTTTAACACTTTCAACCAATATCGTCTTTAGCATCTGTTTCTAGCAATTCTGTTTCCGGTTACTACTATTTCTCGCATCACTACGTCGAGTGTTACTGTTTCTACACTGTCTACCATTCTTGTGTCCAACTTCCAGTGCTTTTACTGAAATTGCAAATATGTAGCTGGCTTATTGTGTTCCAAATGGCATATTCCGGCTCCACTTGGAAGGCGTGGCTAATTCCCCCAAATGGCCATAATCAGTAGTGTAGAGCCCCCTAATTAGTCTACACTACATCGTCGTCTTATTTGGATGCTTCCGCAGCCTTGAAACGTGGACTTGACAATTACTAGATCTGAAAATATCTGGTCGTTCGCCCCTATACCGGGGGTGATAGGGGCATCCGGGGAAATCTTCGGAGTACAGAAATTGACGTGTCCCGCATGTATGTGCAGCCGTTGGCTCGCTATCGCCAATTAATATTTCCCAACACGGGTTACCCAATTGGCCCAACAGACGCACGTAACCCACTACCAGTTGGGGCTCGCTGGGCCACATCGGGACGCCAGAGTTGATGAATTGTGAACCACAACAAGCTGCATTGGGACTTCCCGCCTCGCAAGTGGGACAAGATCTGGCTGTACCAAGGAGGGGTTTCAAGTATTGTAGCAAGGATCACGATCTCTCTTGAGCTGATATGTCTCAAAGGAATAGAATACCTAAGTATTGTGAATCTGGAAAATATTTCTAAAGATAAAGGCACTCATCTCCCACCAAAACCTTAGCGTGGTAAATATTGAGAAAAGCCAGCTATCGGGAAGGCTTGAATAATAAAGGGGCGAGTGAGTAATTTTGCAAAAGGGGTCTCTTTTAGCCTAAAATTTGGTTTCCACCATATCGCCAGTATCCTTCCTGGTCTATCTGGGTGGGACTATCCTTAATATACGGAAGCCGATCAAAACAAGTGTGAGTAATAAAATATTTCAATCACCATTCCCAGTCACTGTTCGTATTTTCAACACAATAGCTTCGTATGGCTATATAATATTCGTTGAAGCAAGGTGGGATAATAATCTGGCTTCGCGTGCTCCAGGCTCCAAAAAAACTGTATTAGTCCAATTTGAGGGGACCGTATTAATACCATCTCCAGAGGGACAAGGCTTTTTTAACTGCGCTATTTTAAATACTGGGCCCAACTAAGTCGTGGTTCTTTTTTTATCTGAACCCATCAGTATCAAATGTTGTGTAATCCAGCTAAGAGGAAGCCATAGTGTGGTATTTTCACCCCAAAGGCCTCCTTTCGGTTTTTTTTTTATTTCGCAAATGTGAATTATACTCTTATACACTCCCTAGATGTGCCCTCAGGTTCCAGGTTACGGGTTAAAACTGGCCAGTCCCTATTGCAATGGTTAAACCACCACTATTTCAATCGATTTGGCCGAATTCGACCAACTTTTGGGTAACCCACCACTTGTCAAAAAAACCACCGTTTTCTGTCCACCAACGAATCCTCTCGGTGGCCAAGCTGGCTAAGGCGCGAGACTGTAATGTTAACTCAAAGTAATCTTGAGATCGGGTGTTCGACTCACCCCCGGGAGATTCTTTTTGCCACTTGGATCTGTCCCGTTTTCCCTCGAGCTCGCAGCCTGAACCCACCTAAGGTCACTGAAAAAGTTCAGCCGTGGGTGACCATTGGGGCACCCGAGCCGACCGCGGCAGCCCATCAGATTCGATCGTCACCCAGCCTTCGTGATTTGGGTCACAAGTTACACAAAACGCCGCGCACTCACCACCACCCACAAATAGGAGCACAAGGATAATCACAACAGCGAAGACCAGTTGTTTAAATAGAGCCCAATTGGCCGGTGCAGTTTTCAGAATTCACCCGTTTGTCTGCTCATCTCCCCGTCTTTGCCTACCACTCGCCACTGTTCGCTAGTGCCGTTGCCGCCCATTGTCCATCCCCTAGTGTACCATGAACTCCGAAAAGATTGTGGCCGTCATCTTGGCCATCTTCTTGCCCCCCTTGGCCGTCTTCATGAGAGAAGGCCTCACTGCCCCATTCTGGATTGACCTTGTGTTGTGTTTGTTTGTGTGGTTCCCCGGTATTTTGTATGCCTTGTACGTCGTGCTCAAGAATTAGCTAATGTACGTTGTTGAATGAATCCAGTAGGAGCTGTAGCCCGTAGTGGAAAGCTAGTGGAGTACTAGTGAGCTAGCGAAGAGCTGGTGGAGTCCCGTGGTGGGGAATGCTGGAGAATAGTGATGGAAACAGCCGCCTCCAGTTACGCCTCGCCACTCGCCACCGTTTGTCGCTGGCCTGCTAATGTCCATGGATATCCCCTGGTTTAATACCAGCGAGCCTAGCTGTTGCCGCAAACGCCTGCCTGGTAGCGTCTCTACGCCCCACGGTGCCAGCGCCCGCCACGGTGCTGCCACCACGGTGCCACCACGCCGCTGTCAGCAACTGACGGGGCCAGCGCTCGCACAAACATCTCCCATTAGACGCAGGGCTGCCCAACTCCATCTGGCAACAGCAGCCCTTACCCTTGCCCCTTATCTGGCGGAGGCGGTCCAGCCAATAGGAGCGCCTGATTTGGGTTGGGCGTCCCTGTTATCAGTGGATCGTGTCACGTGCCTCGCACCATGGTATTATGGTGATAAGAGCACCACCACCTCCGACATTAGCTAACTACCTCCGTCCGCCCCACCGTCCCAGCCACTAGTCGAGCGTGTGTTGTCAGTGCTTATCAGCATTCCGTTTGTTTTGCCATAAACGTCCCCGCCACTGTCTTCCCCGCCACAAATCATACACTCGTCAAGATGGCCCAAACGACTACCACCACAAACCCGGCTTTTGGTGGTCCAACGCCTGTCTCCAACGTCTCACACCCAGACCAGACCTCCAGCACGTTGGCTGGAGTGCTGGCATCGTGTTCCATCTCGCCCAACACCAAAGACCACTCCAGTCTGGCGCTACCCCCGTTTTCATTCTCCAAGCGCCCAGTTGATGAATACTTGAACAAATCCAGAAGCTCTGCCTGCAGCGATGCCGACATCAAGTCCACCTTCCACTCGCACATATCAGACATCATCCCGTCGTCCACTCGCAAAAACACCACCAGAAGTTCGGGTGACTCAGGCACTCCTGACAAGTTCAGAGACATCAACTATGACGAGCAGATCAGGTTTCCCCAGATGAACAACATGAACTGCTACACCTACGTTGGGGGTTCTCGACGCTCCAGCCGTCCTTCATACGGCAGCAGCGTCAGCGATAGAAGTGTCAAGAGCTCGGAATCAGCTAAGAAACAACCTACCGACCAGAAGAAGGAGGGCAAAGAAAAGGAGACCACCAACCGCAACTACCGTCCTGCCACCTTCGACCTCTCCCAGCCGCTTAGACGGTTCTCGATTCCTGTGGAGAAGGAGTGCAACTTTTCCAACATGGCCATCGACGCTAGCGACTCGCTGAACGAATACTCCAAGCTCCTTAAGGAGTATATTGTGAACAACTACATCTATGAGAAGAACGTAGAGCAGGCCCAGCTAAGTCGCAATATCAGCAACTACATCACGGAGCACGGACTCAAAGAGCCTCCCTCAGAAGCACTTTTGAACAAGATGCAACCGTTTTCGTCAGTGTTTCCCAGGATGAAGAACCCAACCGCACCCGTCGATCCAGCCAGCCGAATCCCATTAAAACCCACCAGAACACCATCGTCCACCTCGTCAAACTCCACCAATTCCGGCTCCACCTCAGACACAGCTTCCACGGGACAGACCGTCAGTGCCACGGGCTTCAACCACTTGTACCAACTAAAGAAACCGTTGAGCACTCCTGCAGTTCTCAGGCCCATGGTTTCGACAAATGGGTTGGCCAGCACGGTGCCATCTTCCCCTTCATCCAGCGCTGATGACACAAAGTCGCCAAAGAGGAACAGCGGCAGCACACCCATGAACAACTCCATCTATACCATTACCTCACCCACGATTGCCGAGGGCTTTAACGACGCGGAGTATGTTGAGGAAGACGAAAACTCCATCAACGATACAGACCTGGAACGGGTTGCTCCGCAGGCGTTCGACATCGAACCCACGCACACCCACTGGAAGCCCAACACATACTCAAGCCATTGCATGCAATGCTTCAAGACATTTGGTAATTCAATTCTCTCATTATTTTACACGTTTTTTGACGGAAAGAAAGACTCAGAGCTCGATGGCAGGGGTACCCAAACTTCAGTGCCCCACGTCTTGAAAGCCAGCGGCTCGGGTCTCGCGGGACCTACCAGACGCCACCATTGTCGGTTTTGCGGGTTTATCTACTGCGACACCTGTTTGATCCAGAACGACCAGGACGAGGCCTCCAAATTCAATGTTACCACCCGGATATACGCCACTCCGCGTGGCAAGTTCATGGGAAGTGGCATCCTTTTGGACCAAAACGCCCGGTTTGTCGTTCCCATCTACCGCAACTTGGAGGCTAGCGACGCAGCTCAGATGTCGTTGATCACAGATCCCGAGAACTACAAGCTCTTCAAAATCTGCAAGAACTGTGGCGAGATCTACAAGAACTTGGTCCTCGACCTCAACAAGTCGGCCAACGACGCAGATCCCGAATCCGACACACTCCAGAAGTTTCCTTACGTGTTCATCGAGAATCCCTACGTCAATGCGTTGAAAGGCGAGCGGATACGGCCACAACTGCGCCGGCGTCCACTGAATCAGCCGGTTGTGGTTGAGTCGTCATACCTGGCTGCGAAAATCGACACCCACGGGGGATTTAGCCGCAAGAACTCGGTCAACGAAGTACCCTCGGACTGGACCTGGAGTTCGTTTTAGGCACTCCATAAGCCCGCTTGGCCTGGTGTCAACAGGGCCCTTGGGAGACTGCAGTCTGGCCACTGCACTGCCCCATCATTTGTAGCAGTAGTGTGAGAATACATAGTAGGAAATAGATACGATGCAGCAGGAATGCCATCGGTACTACAGCACCCAAGGACGTATTGTACATATGCAACATAGATGTGTCACTTTTCATATTTTGTTTAGCTCGAGTTAGAATTAGAGTATCCCTCCTTTCACCCACAAAATTTGTGGAATTGACCTTGAAAGGTCCCCCTCCACATATTACTTTCTGATTCTACCAATTCAATGAATATTAATCATAAAAAATCAGTACAGGCTGACTAGTCACAAATAAGCACTTCATAGGGTAAGAAGAAGAATTTCCAAATCAAAAAATACCTTATGGTACCATTGGCAACACAATAAGGTTATTGTTGGCAACGAATTTTTGAATCTAGATTATAGAATTGTCGTTTCATAACCCAGGGCCAAAGTTTTCGATCTACGTGATGGAAAAAGATGGTCCAGGATTTTACAGTAGAAGGTTAAAATTTTATACTCATAAACTTAGTAGAATGCTGAGTACGCTGGTTGATTAGAATGCTTTATTGGTGCTAATGGTGCTTTCATCGCCTTGCACTAGAGGTTTTACAAGGTACTGTAATGAATTCAGAGGAAAGTAGTGAGGCTAATTAACTCAATTAACATTCTCCGTAAGTGTGCATTACAAAAAACATTCCACAGTAATCCAAAGACGAATATTTTTTACTTAAGAGTTTATAATAAACTAACGTCTATAAATTGGGTGCAACAAAGATTCCAGTCAGCGCGACATTTACTTGCGACTGTATAACAATCAACTAGGGAAAGCCGTGCCTGGACGCGTCAGTCACGGGACAGACGAGGCGGCCCACAGGGGCTGTGACGGGTAGGCGGAGTTTGGTTGGAGGCTGGAGAACTGGCAGGTGATAGGCTGGCATGCCAGGAGATAGGCAGTGCCGGGTCTCACTGGTACCACGAGTGCCCTGTCCCGCTGGGCGTGGCGCGAACTTCCCTGGCACTAGCTACGCAGCCCTTGGCGTCGCCACGAACGTCGCAACGGCGACGTTATTGCCCTGGACGCCATGCACCGCCTGGGGATTCTAAGGCGGACTATGAGCTACAAGCACGCGGGTGGCCCGCACAATTCGTCCGGTCCCATTAACGTCCGTCTGCCACGCCTCTAGTTCCGTAATCTCACTACCGTCGGTGCCGCACCCCTAGCCCCGCCAGACCGCTGCGACGGTGACATCGTCTATATTCTTCCCCGCCGAACCGCTGGCGACACCATTGTGCCTGCGACCGTGCCCCACAGAACAATACCAAGCCCCAGCGTGGACGTGTCGTTGCTCAGCCAGTGCCTCCCACAGTCAGTGTACCAGTGTCGCTGTCAGTGGAGCTGTTTTTCTCCCTCTCTTTTCCCTGTCTCTTTCGAACTTTCCCTAACTACCACTAATTTCATCGTCGGTGCAAATCACAACCGGTTTTTTTCGCCCCACTGATTCCAGCCTTTTCTGTCGCCTCTTCACTTAAACAAAGACTGGCCTCCAGGCATCCTTCCCACCACAATAGTCGCCCCTGACACCTCCCACACGCCTAGCGCCCCCTCCACACAACCGTCATAGTCCAGTGCCGCTCCAGCCATCTTCTGATGTACAAACAGCCCAACCACTCGTACGCGTCCACCGACTCGTTGAGAAGATTGTCTTCCAACAACCCGTTCAGACAGCACCAGGCGCAGGCCAGCTACGAGCCACCCAAGCTCTCCAACCTCTCCAGCTTGTCGTTGCACTCGGGCGAAAGACCCTCCAGTTTTGGCGACTGGGTAGAGAAGAACAAACAGCTCCTCGACAACTCATCCGACGAAGAACAGCCATTCAGACCGGTCAATATGGGATTAAAGTACAGTCCTCTGAGTAGGGAGGACCTCGGCAAGCCTGTGTTTCCTCCCAAGCCCCACAGGGCCGACAGTGACAGCAGTGTCAACTACCATAACGTGTACGTATTACTAACGCAGCAGTGATTAGCAGAACAGAACAGACAAGAGATAAATCGGATACAGCGCCAGATACGGAGTCAGATACAGCGTCCGATACAACAGCAGATACAGCACCTGATACAGCGCCAGATACAGTGCCTGATACAGCGCCAGGTCAGCACCGGGTCACAGCTACTACATGAACAACATCGTTACTACAAGAACAACATCTACTTCACCTGCTTCACCCACTACACCTACTACAGTGCTAGCCCCTTGCAACCGCCCTGGTTACAGCTTCGTGGCGTGCACTGGCCTTGGTGTCGCGACGATGGGCCACCCACAGCTACTGCCTGGCGCACGGCACAGTACCACAAACTGACAGCTTATTTGCTCTGGCTGGCAGCACACCACCGCCTCTAGCGCGGTGCGGCGCGTCGGTCCACGGTTTCACCGCGGTGCAACCCTGCGGTCACGTGCCGAAGCCTGCTCCAGTCCAGTCTCGTCATGCCTGTCCTCTAGGTGCCTCCACCACCTCCGTAGGGTACTCTGGGGTCTCCTAGGACCTTGGCGCCCCTATATACCCCCCATAGGCCCTCCGGCTGGTTACATAAGCGTTTTTTCTTTTGTTCTGGGTCCCCTTAATTCTGTTCGTGCCTCGCTGACTGCGCCATGTCTACGTTGATTGCGCTTGAGATTAGGTTTCAAGCGGATAAATAATCAACAATCGCATTCTCACCATATCACTTACTAACCGTTCTAGAAGAATGTCCTCCAACAATCCATTCGCAGCTGCTCTCAACGAGCCTGACTCCTACGTCCACCACCGTGACCCTCCTCCCCCTCCAAGATCATCCAGTCAAGGTGGCACACCACCAGCGCGTCCTCCCAAGCCAGACGCCCTTGCCCCACCTTCTTATGAAGAAGCAGCCGGTCCTGACGCTGCCAGAAGAGACTACCCCAGAGAAAAGGCGTCCTCGTCGTCCTCGTCTTCCAGACAACGCCGTTCCCACTCACACTCCGAAGCATCCAGACCTCACCGCAGTTCCAGAGAAAAGGGGTCGTCTTCCAGACACCGCAGCGGACACAAGTCGTCTAAGAACAAGTCTCCCAAGAAGCCAGAGCCCGTCAAGGCCAAGAACTTGGACACCATCGACAAGCTTGACGTGACTGGATTCTTTGGAGGTGGTTTCCACCACGACGGACCCTTTGATGCATGCACCCCGCACAGAAACAAGAATGTCAAAAGTGCCCCAGTCAAGGCGTTCCCTCCTGATGGGCCAAACAGCAGTATCAAGGGCTACGGTGGTACAGACAAGAACCAACAGATCAACTTGGCCTTTGGGCAATTCGAAGATCAGAACGAAATAGTCGGCAGAAAGACCTCCATAAAGTACAAGCCAAAGGATACCACTGTCACGAAGACATACGAAACCGAGGAGCCACCACAGATCCGTACTCCTGCCGACATCTCATCCAATCCATCCATTGTCAACTTTGCGTCCAACCTCAAGGCTGAGCCCGTCCATGGTTCTACCACAGCAGGATTGGGATCATCCACATTCATTGATGGTGCCCCAGCACCCAAATCCAGTGAAACTGAGTACTTGAACGTTTCCAATGGCGGATTGGGCAGAAAGAAGTCGTTGGTGCAAAGATTGCGTAAGAATAGTCATAGCGAAAACAGCACTAGGCGAAACTCTAATGACAGTTCCTTGACCTCCCCCGAACCAACCAGAAGGGGATCTTTGAACAATGTGGAATCTTCAGACGAGCTCACTCCTCCTAGCGGTGGAGCTGGATCTTCCTTGTTAAGAAGAGTTAAGAGTTTGAAGGTCAGAAGGTAATTCATAGCATCTTGCTTACATTCATGTACTATGTGACGGCCGTTGAGGTCGATGTACGAACAGAGAAGGTTTTGATTTTTTTAATGACTTGGAATGGAAACACTTATTAATACGTATAGACATTATTCTAATCACCTACTCGCGGATCATGTCCGTTAGCACCATCTATGACCAAGTCTGGTGTCGTCTTTTTCTTCGTTGTATTTAAGTACCTATAATATAAAGTGTTTTGTCAAGAGTTATCGCGTAGCTTAGTGAGAATTGGGGAGATCACTATCACTATTTTAGCGAGGTGTCTCGCTAACGCGCACAACAACTTCCTCTACCTCCCGCCAACTCTCGCACGAGCCTAATGGGAGACTCCCTAAGTTGGTGCGACTATCCCGTAGGCCCTCCACGTGACAGCCAAAATTTTTCATCAACTACAACATTTCTCCACTACTACCCATCAACGCCATGTATAGAGTAGCCAGAACGTTGCCCAGGAGAGCACCAACCTTGCTCTCGCAAAGAAATGTGTCATTCAGCTTGCCCACCATATCCACCTTGGAGACTGTGAAATCTACCCAGCAAGACTTCAAGGGTTTGTTCTCATCCGAAACTGTCAATGAATTGTGGTTCAAAAGAGGCCAGCAGTTAGTCGAGGGCTTGAACCAGTCGTTGGAACAGGCTAGTGCATCCAGCTCCGAGTCCCAGTCGAACAACTTGTTGGACATCATAGCTCAAACCATTCAAAAGCCAGAACATTACGGAATCTACTCGTACGGATCTTTATTATACAACCTCCAATTTTTCTTGGAGAGCTTGAAAGAAAACTCTGCCGAAGTCAAGTTGTCCCAAAGCGAGCCTAAGGACTTGTTGAAGACCGGAAACACCACTTTTGGGAACATTCCAGCCGACGAAAACCTCAAGAGCTGGTTGATCGACTCGTTCGGATCCATTGAAGAGTTCAGAAACTTGTTGCTCAACTCCGCAAAGGCCATCAAGGGTGATGGTTTGGTGTGGTTGGTTGCCGAAAGCAACTTGAGTCAAAACATCTTAAAGCAGTCCCCAAGCATAACCGAACCAGGCACCACTAAGGACCCCGTTTACAACAACTTGGCTATAGTCAACACTTACAACGCCGGTGTGGTGGATGACTCGTTGAGATCTGGCCAAGTCAACAGATTAAAATTACAGAAGGAAGCAAAGTTGGCTTCTTTGAAGAACAAACAACTTGAGAGGGAAAGAATCGAGGGTCAAAACCAAGAAGCTCCAATTGAGCTTGTTGAAAACATAGAAAGCTTGCAGCTGGAAATTGATAGGTTGACTTTGGGTACTGCGGAAGAAGCCGAGTTCAACACCTTATACAACGACAAGAAGTTGTTGCCAGTTTTGGCCATTGATGGATCCATGAGAAACTATCTCTTGGACTATGGTGTCTACGGCAAGCAACAGTATCTCGAAAATGTCTGGGAGTGCATTGACTGGGACGTGGTTTCTAAGAGATTACCTGTCAGAACTAAGCAATTTATAAATAGTTATTAAGTGGGTCAAACCGCTATGTAAATAGACGTAATCAAACTATTGGTTTGTGTATTTGTGGTAGAGGCATAAGGGTAGTAGTGATTTAATTAATCGATGGCATTCCCACGATAACATATACTAGAAGATCATATGGAACGATAAATGTGTTGCTACATAAGTATCAAAACCGTTCTAACATGAATAAAGTTTCGATAAATGATCGTTGCAACAATGGACAATTCTAACGGATAATGTAGACTACAGGTTTATATAACATTGATTTGCAAAGAATTATGCAAACCTTACCACACATGTATTGTTCCTATACTAGTTTTTAATGACTTTCTTTACAATCCTCTCAACTTCATCCCAGTCATCGGTAGGAACTCTAGTCATTTCAATACCTCCGAAGTATGCCTGGATAGCCTGCAAGACATCGTAAGACCTTTTGTCGTGAACAAAGGAAATAGCAACTCCAACTCTACCAAATCTACCGGTTCTACCAATTCTGTGCAAGTAGGTAGAAGGGTCTGGATTTCCGTTCTTGTCTACAGGCAAATCGTAGTTGACCACCATGGAAACTGAAGCAATATCGATACCTCTGGCCAACACGTTGGTAGTGATCAAAACCTTCGATTTGCCGTCTCTGAAGTCGTCGATCAATTTATCTCTTTCAGATACCTGTAAACCACCATGAAGGATGGAACAAAGATGGCCTTCTTGTTTCATCTTTTGGTATAAATGGTCAGCAGTATCTTTTCTTTCGACGAAAATAATGGAAGAACCAATAGTCAACAATCCATACAACTCACACAAAACTTCAAACTTATGATTCACAGAATCACAGTCCATGTACAATTGTTTAATGGCATCAACGTTAAGTTCTTCTTGCTTCAATTCAAGAGAATTGGCCTTTGGCACAAACTTTTCGGCATATTTTCTGACTTCATCTGGGAAAGTAGCCGAAAATAAAACAAGCTGGGCTTGCTTTGGCAAAACCCTCTTGACACGAAGACACTGGTCCCCTAAACCTTGAGCATCCAACATGTTGTCAGCTTCGTCCAACACGAAGACCTTGACCTGAGATGCATTTATTTGTTTTCTTCTCAAAAGATCCAAGAGCAAACCGGGAGTTCCCACCAAGATGTGAGCGTTGGACAGCTTGCCTTTCTCAAGAGCTTCAGGAACAATCAATTGGGTGGTAATCTTGGTAAACTTACCCATTGTTTGGATAACCTCCAACGTTTGTCTGGCCAACTCTCTGGTTGGAGATAAACATATACATTGAGTGACAGGAAGGTTTTCATCGACTCTAGACAACATGGTCAACGAAAAGGCAGCAGTCTTACCTGTACCTGATTGGGATTGACCAATCATGTTCTCTGGAGGGTTGGAGATCAATAAAGGTAAGGCCTTTTCTTGAATTTTGGAAGGCTTGTTGAACTTCATGGCATACAAACCCTTGAGTAATTCGGGAGACAAACCCAACTCTTCGAAGGATTTCACCGAGTATAACGGGGAGTTTGGATCGGCCTGTAAATCAGCCAACTTAACCTTTACTTCGTAGGTGGACTTGATCAAGTTGGTGTCTGGGGTCTTCGTTTCGTCATTCTCTCCATCCTTTTTGGTTTCGTTAGTTTCGCTAGCCTCCTTTGTCTCTTCAGATGCACTGTCCTTCTTAGATTCTGTGGGTTCTTCGGTCTTGCTAGCTCCAGAGTCCTTCAGTTCTGAGCTGGCTTGTTCAGCATCTGGCTTGGCTTTAGAATCAGCAGGTGCTGGTGAATCCTTCTTCTGAATAGAGAGGGACGAGAGCAATTCAGCAGCGTCCGTTTCAACTCTTTTGTCAGACATGATGGCGATGATTTGGATGTTGTGGACTCATCAACTTTTGAACGAACTACAAAGAGCGTATCACGTGATCTGCTTCATTCGTGAAGTACGTAAAATTTGAAGAAATCGAGCGAAATCTCCAGTGAGGAGTTGGACTTCCACATCCAAAAAAATGTTAGCCCAGGAACTAAAAAA